GCATCGCATTCACAGATGCTCAAGCACGGGTATTCCATCTTTTGTCCTTTAAACATCTGTGGAAGGATCCTTTAGATGATCATCAAGAGCGAATATACGACGAGCTTTATACCTCTGATGCTTGGCTGGAAGCTCAGGACGATCTTCAAAAACTGCCAAAGGAGTCCGGGTGTTCATTGGAATGTGTTATCGCAGGTTTGATGTTCTTTTCCAACACCACTCACCTGGCGAACTTCGGAACTGCCAAGGCTTGGCTGCTTTACGCCTACTTCGGAAATCTCACAAAATACTTACATTCATCACCTACATCAGGATCATGTCACCTTGTAGGATTTTTACCTTCCGTAAGCCCACCTGATTGCATGTTTAACAAACACCGCTAACATAGACTATCTTCGTCAGCTTCCTGATAGTATTAAAGATATTCTAAGTAGCCTGCCTAGAATCTCAAAAACCGGCATGACCTCCCTTCACACACTGCCGAAGGGAATTATTTCATGTGTGCTGGGAAATCTTGTTGGACACAGAATTTCTCTATGTATATTGACACAGATTTGTTGTGAAATGTGCCGATGGAGTCATGTGGAGAGTATATCCTCGAATCTTCACCTATTCAGCTGACTATCCAGAGAAGTACATTTTTCATTTGCATTCGTTAAAAATGTTGGATGGCTGATACATTTCCAGGGCTTTAATCGCGACCATCAAGGACATGGGCTTGTGCCCATGTCCTCGCTGCCTCACACCGAAAGCCTTGTTTGGTTACCTTGGACTCGTGAAGGACATGAAATGCCATGTAAGTAACCTTCGAGTCTATGTTACAACTAAGGTTGCTGAGGCTCGCGAGTTTATCTATGGATCGGGAAATACTGTCAATGGTGCAAAGGTCAAAGACACTCTTGGAGAAGGCTCGTGGGTGCCTGTTCTGGTAAGTCCAACCCTATTAGATACAATCCGCTAAAACTAGTCCTTGCAGAATCAATTCGTTGAGAAACTGGGAGCTTTAGGCCTTGACCCATTTCGGATGCTTGTCGTCAACCTGATGCACGAGTGCGAACTAGGTACCTGGAAGGCACTCTTTACACACCTAATGAGGCTCCTTTATGCCCTCCCTGATGGCGTTCAGCTTGTCGCAACCCTCGACAAGAGGTATGTAGAGTTCATACGGATTATCATTACACTCTAATGAGTTTTCAACTTCTCGATCTCGTGTTAGATTTTGCCAGGTCCCGCCATTTGGCAGCGGTGTGATTCGCAAATTTGTGAATAACACCTCCAAGATGAAAAAATTGGCAGCCCGTGACTTTGAAGACATCTTACAGGTTATTTTTTGTTGTTTAAGTTTCTGCGCAGGCTCGCTGACATTCCCTCCAGTGTGCTATTCCAATTTTTGAAGGGATTTTCCCTCTCAAGCACGATGCAACCGTGCAGTCTCTGCTATATCAGTTTGCAGAGTGGCATGCACTTGCTAAACTCAGGTTACACTTGGATTCTACTTTGATTTTTCTGGAAAAAACGTTCAAAAAACTCTCCCAGCAGTTGTGAAAGTTTTGGACCGACACATGCGCTACCTTCGACACTCTGGAGTTACCGAAAGAGAGAGCAGCTCATCAAAGAAGATTCGATCAGCATTCTGAAACCCACAAAGTCTCTCCAGAATCCATGGGGCCCAAGGTAAAGAAGTTCAATCTGAACACTTATAAGTTTCATGTGATGGGGGATTATGTGAGGACGATAAGGTTTTTCAGGACCACTGATTCATTTACTACTCAAATTGTGTGTATCAATGACATTCCTTCTATTATGCACCTGAAATCCTCGTACAGGGGGAGCTTGCACACCGAGCGCTGAAGGTGTTCTATCCACTGACTAACAAGCAGGACACTCCATCACAATTAGCTAAACATGAACGCAGGTGCCGTGTACTTCGACGGGTGGCAGAGGCCACAGCATGTGTATCCCCCTCCATCAATCAATCACCAGTTGATCCCGGAAAGCATTACCATATCGCATGCAATCGGAACAATCCAATTGCTCTATTCATGTTCCTTTGAGAGCATAATGACGACCCAGCTCTCAAGGTAGAAGTCGAGTGACATTTTATACATATGTTTACTCATGGTGGTTATCAGAAATTCATACCGAAACTCAAGGATCACATCCTTTATAGGCTGCACAAGCTAGACGTGAGCCATTGCAACCATATCTTCACAGATGAAGAACATAACTCAGTCATCATTCCTAACAACACGATCTACTCCATTCACACCATGCAAGTACATTACACCACGTATGATATGAGGCACGAGTATGATACCATCAACCCTAGGACACACGCCGACGTCATGGTGCTCTCAGGCAAGACAACGCCAACTCACCCATATTGGTATGCTCGTGTATTAGGTATCTATCATATGGATACGTGGCTCAACGACGAGGGGCAACCTGTGAAGCAGCATCTCAAAGTTCTATGGGTTAGATGGCTGGCCCCCTTGCAGAACCATAAATCCGGCACGAAACACACACGTCTTCCCAAGGTCGCCTTTGTAGAGGAATCTGACGCGGATGCTTTCAGGTTTCTCAATCCAGGACAGGTGATTCGAGGTGTGCATTTACTTCCGGCCTTTGTTTCAGGTCACAGTGTTAGCTCCCTTCGCTATGGAAAATTGTTCATGCGTCCTGAAGGGGAGTTAGATGATTGGGAAGTATATTACATTGGCATGTGAGCGCAAATATCTGTTCTCATCATATATTGATTCTCAACCTCCAAGCCAGATTTGTCAATCGGGATATGTTTATGCGGTATACTCACCTCAGTGTTGGTCATCCGGCCATGGTGCGGAACATAACCAAAGACTGTCTCAGGTTCAAGTCTCCAGGCACAACCATTGTAAGCAACAGCAACGAGGCAGATATGGACTACGAAGGCAACAGTGAGGAAGAGTGTTGTGCAGGATGCGACGATGCAGAAGAAGAAGAGAGCAATGAAGAGATTAGTGACGACAAAACGGAAGATGAAGACTCGGATGAAGGGGGTGGGGACAATGACAATGACAATGACCTACCGTCTTTTTAAATTCCCTCCATCCAGTATCGATCTTCACTCACTAGTAGCTTCATAATTGTGAACGTCCCTTCTGATGTTAGGCACTTTGCACGATGATGTTGAGGCTTGAATCACTGAGTCGCGAATGTATGGATTGCATATCCTCTACACACCAATCACGCACACACTTCAAAGTGAAGATGACGTGACTCTGTTACTCTTTGCATCTGAGTCACGCGGATATATTCTGATTTCCACATTTCCCGAGTTTGTTTGTTTGTTTGTATTTGTACCGTTCCTGTGCTTTGTCTCGTATTCTCGATCTCATTGTATTCTCAATGTCTGTTATCAAGGAGAACAGTATCATGTATCATATTGTACCCAACTCGGACACCAACACCCCACTCACACATCAACAAATCACCTCAAATGCAAGCTCCTCAGCTACTCGTACTATACCTACATCCTATACCTGTCAATAACCTCCAACACTGTGACAGCCCATCATGATAGGGCACCGCGTCTTAGCACTTGCCCTTGTTTGTAGGGGTATATAAACACAGAGATTCTCTATATCTCTCAATGGCTGTTATCGATCATGATATTGCTCAAGGTTCTCTACTCTTGGTAAGTGAAGTCCATCAAGACCTGTCGTCCAAGTCTGTGGTTGAAGGCAGTTTGTTTGTCCTCCATTCCAAGTCCATTCTAGATGGACTTTCATGATTGCAACACGCATAACAGGGTCACCTGCAAGACTACCCATGCACAGATGGGTTTATCTCAGGCTGGTGATGGTTTATATATTTGTGAGGTGTGTTTTTGTTCTATTTTGCAACAGACAAAGATGCTATAATGATGATCTGCTGCACTTAGGTTCACAACAAGTGCACTAAAGAGTGGTACGGGATCCTCAGACAGCCAGAAAAAGGGCAAAAAACTGGTGCTGAGTAGTTTGGCCCCAAAGGAGCATCCAGCTGTCAAATGGACATGGAAGTGCCTGGTGATGGATTTATTAACCTTGGCAAAAATTAGTTTCACGAAGTTTGAGTCGTTTTCCTTTACCATGATGCACTGGCATGTGACCATGTTAGAGCAAGATGTTTTTGTAAACCGGTTTACTGTCAAAAATGTGATTGAGGAGCGGTGAGTTAATATGTTTGTATTATTCGAACGCTCACTCAGATCCATTGTTGTATGGACTAGTTAATGCCTTCCAGGAATCTAAGTTTTACAACAAGGGCATTGAGCCCTGTCTGGATGTTGCTTAATGCCTCATCAGAAGAGCAAACTGCTGTAGGCGATGAACTGGGTGTTAGGCGCAGGCAGACTGGACTGTGAATTGTGGGGTATGAGACGGGAAAGCAGGACATGTGAGTTTTTTCACCAATCTTTAACTACTTCTAACTTAGAACGTAAAGAACAGCCTGCCACGCTCACTCATGACCATTGAGTGGGAGGACACCTTTGCCAGTGTCTACTTGAAGGACAACCCGCAGTTGTTGTTCTCTATATGTCGCTTTGAGGTCCTCATCTTGCCCAAGATTAGGATGGCAAGCAGTTCTCATTGAAGACGCTGTATGGAATCTCACCAACAAACAGACTTGGTTTCCTCGTTCATTCTGTCTATGTAATTCTTAAACCATTCCTCAGGAAAGGCACCCCCTAGCACTCTCGGCTGCATATGTAAATACAAGTCTGTCTCGTTTTTAGCTGATCTGCTTCGTTTACCAGTGTGAGAACAGGTCATGGGAGTTCTAGAGAGCGAGACAGGTCGTTGTCTTTTGATCCTCTTGCTGCACAACAATTTATTGTTGCATCAATATCCTGGTGAGCCCAAGGGCCAATTCACGACTATGAAGGCTACTAACAATAAGACTGAACTCCCACCCCATGCACAAAGTAGCCCCAAGTTGCCACCATTAACAGAAATGATCATCACTCTTGCGTCTTGAATTTATTGTCGGATCAATCCTCCTGATTGCTTTTCCTGGTCTCGCCAAGATGAATCCATGGACTTCGTGGCGTAGGCCTGCAGGTGCTTGTGTACAATGCACCCGCTCACTTCCTGTGCAGAATTTTTTTCGGAAGAAACTATCGGCAGGACTTGATGCTGGACGTTAATTTCAAAATGTCCATCAGTGCTCTCACTGCCCAGACACAGGAAATGGGACAGAATTTGGATATGGGTATTTGTGTAAGTACAGTGTATGTATCCGAAGCATGCAGCCTGTCTGATAATCTTGTAAGTCCATTTGGAAGTATGTAGTTTTAAATAACTTACCTAGTAGCGCTAACGCGCACATCTGAATCCCAGGAGATATTCAAGCTCCTGCATCTCCATTTCAAACATTTGGCGTTCCCTTGCAATCCATAGCACCATCATCACGCGCATCTCGTCTTCCCAGACCAGCAGCAGCGGATATGGAGGGAGTGGTAAGGCAGGTTCATAGACTTGTTGGTGCATGCAAATTCGCGTGGCAGCCCATGTAACATACATCAACTCCTTCAACAAGGTCAGTGCTGCAGCTTGCGGATGTGTATGTTACTCACCAGTTGTCTTCTTGGCATCATGAATGTCACGTCCCAGGGCCTTGGAGCATGTTGGAGCAGTTGTCTAGGGATCTGTATCATATCAGTGAATATCCAATGTTAAAAAGTCATTGATGCACCTGATTTTCATCTCCATTTTGATTCCCGAATCCCCCATTAGCATTGGCATGGTTGTTCATAGTACTAGAGTACTGAATATAAATCCGAATCGGAAGTGAATAAATCCTAAGTTAACTTCAAGGCTTTGTTGTTGAGTTATCGGGGAAACATCCTGATTTGGACAATGTTGTGTTTCCGGCATTTTCCGGAATAGTGTGGTGCTTATGTCAGTTCCATTTCGTCAAGACTCTTAGTTTCAGCTTACCCCTTTCACATTCACTGGTACTAGAGAGCGAACGCGGCAATGATGCAGTTGATGTTAGTCAGAATGTTAACACTTGTTCATTTACATCTATTTTTTAGTCTGGCCTTTGCGGGTGAGATCCTTGCATGATTCGCTTGTGCTTTGCCGCTAGTGATGTGCATGGCCCGGCTTCAGGCCATGGGCCAGGCCAAGCCAGGCCAAAGTCATGGCCTGGACATGGCCCAGGGCTCAGCTTTGGATGTTGGAAAGCCCAAGCTGTGGCTTTGTATGATCATGTTGTCTGTTACAGACTCATCCGTGAGTCAGGTACAAATCTATCTGCTATATCTATTTCTGTCTAACTGTTGCTACTCTTCCACAAATCTAACAAATGCTTAAGACAGCAATATTGAGAATACTCAGCCAACATCAGACGCATCACTTGTTCATCTCGTTTTGGGTTGCACTCGCCCATAATTGATCGGATTTGATCCTGCTCATTCTCGGACGGATAGGATTCCAACAAAGTGTGCACAATTTTGATGGACATATTGAGATACAAGGCATCATGCCTACAGTACTGACTAGACCTGCAAAAAATCTGTCAAGGCAGGGTATACTATCAAAGAACCTCTCATGAACGTGTTTCAACGTGGAGAATACATCATGGATGAAGAGCTCCAAGGTCTAGTTGCGAGCAAGATTCAGTATCATATTCTTACGAAGCAGTTCCAACAAGGTATGTAAGCACGCCCAACGTCTGCCTTCCTCACTCATGAATATACTAGTTAAGATGATCTTCTACAACAGGACTGTGTTCTATTCCTAGGACATGATCGTGTGTGGATATCGCGTGATGCCAAACTTACGATGGTGCGCGAAGACAATGGGACAGCCGGTCCCATGCTGGCGGCAGATCGACATTGACATTGACCATCGTCCTGACCAGCGGACATCGGAGGATATATTCATGCTCTTCGAAGGCATGGTGTTTTAGAAGTCAAGCTTCAGACTCAGTTCGAACAAGAGCCATCAAGTGGGTTATGGACCTCATTCAATTCCACCTCGTCGAAGCTGTTCCCAAGTTCAGGTATGATTCTCACCATCAAGGCATTTCTATGCCACCAATATACTTGTTAGTAAATTCATACACGGCCATGCAGCCTGTGTTACCCTGGTGCCAAATTGTGTATATCTTATGCCATTCTGACTGCCCCAAAGTGAGTCAGAAGACCTGCCTCTGATGTGCTCTACTCACCTCACATCCCCAGTGGACGCCAACATCCTGAAGCCAAACACTGGTTACCTCACTGTCGAGCGCCACAAAGGTACCCTCGGGAAGCAGTCTGGTGTCATATCACCAGTGCATTCTGATGTTAAGCCCATCTCAGAGGGCGAAAAAGACCGGGGGATTGACTTGGCACCTTCTAAAGGCGAAAACTAGCGCACTGGGCTGCCACATGAGGACGTCTCAGTGGGGGGCGACTGCAGGCGAATAAGAATGTGTTTTTGCGTGTGGAACTTGAGGGACATGGGAGGCTGCGGGTTTGGATGAGAACTTGCGAGGGACCCTGAGGAGAAATGTTTGCTGGTGAGAGACTGGACCGTGCTGTCGGCCCAGCAGATTGCATTCCTTGTTTATATTGAGCCCAGGTCGTTTGCTCATTTATACTGCACTGGAAATGGCTTAGATTTTCAGTGCTCGCTACGACATTATTAAACTTCATGGATGCAAATGATCCTCGAAGTCTGATCAGTGCTGCTACTTTAGGATTTGATGCTGGAATTTCACAACCTTCACATTGTATTGTTTGTTTCCATCAAGAGAATATCATGAACATGTTATTCAAAGAGACTTTGGAGGCAACACTTGGAGGCTCATCAAGAATATCACCATCAATGTTTTATCTGCATATTTCAAAGAACAAAGAGTCGGCTTTCCTTGTTCAGTCATGAAGCCGTACAGAGCCAAAGTTCCTTTTCTGACATGTCCTGGGCGTTAACTTGTAATTTCATCAGATATCAATCACGCATTATCGATCAGGATGTACAAGGCTGCGAAAAGCGATGCATCGACTGCGCGATGCAATGTCAAGTGCAGTGCTGCTGTATCAGATGTGTTTACTATTTTGGTTTGTTGGTATTTGATAATCAATCCAATAATGCAAAACATAAGTAAGACAAAACGGCAATGGTCAAAATAATTGGCGCCAGTACGCTACCACCACTCCTCTGCTGCAAGGGAGGAACGCAGTCATGTTGTCGTTGACTGCTCATGTTACTCTGGATTTTAAGGCATTGATGGCTATGTGTTTCCAACTCAAATTTGTCACACTATAAATGATGATATTTAGCAGGAGCTGAATTATATTGTTCTACAGTTCCATCAAGGACTTGTTGGACTAGGGGTCTCATGGGTAGCAGAGACGAGGAGAAGAGTCCCATGGCTGTTTCCGAGGCTTAGTCAGAGCAGGTTGATGGTTTCGCATAGAGTACAGTAGAAGAAGAATTAACCAACAAGTAGCAAACCATAGAGCCACTTTGCCCCATCTCATTGTGGTGAACAGAGCGCATTCAAACTAGCTCATTGTTGTCTTCGTCATAGCTTAAAGAACTTAGTCCTAGGCACAACTTTGGTCTTCCAAACAGAGTAGGCATAATGGAGAAGCAAACTCAGAACACAACATGTATAGATACACGAAAGCGCAGCAGAAAACATGGTTCTATTACATCGCAGTACGCCCAGAAGGGCTAAGCTAGACAGCAGGTGTTCATAAGACACCTGCAGAAACCATAAAAGGACCGTATCTGCATTATCATTTACGTGGATTCTCATCGGAAACTGATGCCCAGCAGCTTAAGACCCAGAGCATCTAAGGGACAAGCAGTAACTAACATTTGTTTAAAAATCAATTGGTCGAACCGGTCGACGGATACATCCACTGCTTCCTCTCCGCTGGATACACCAGAATCATCTTCGCATAACACACCATATCACATGGATAGTTCACCCCTTAGCAGCCTAGAAGACGGAGACCCACGTAGCATTCCATTCCCAGAACTAGATGTCCCAGAGTTAGACCTTCAATTACCTCCACTTGACTTCCAACTGCTACCGCGCTATAAGAAAATCAAGCCGCTTAAATCGATCTCTGCAATACCAGACTACAATTTGGATAAGTTTTTTGCAATTGCACAAACCAAAATCGACATGCCCACAGAAACACCGCAGATCTTTCATGGCAATGGCCATACAGAGGAGAACCCAGCAGATTTCTTAAAGTCGTTTAATCGTGCAATGAGGCAACAGACCATTAATGCGAGCGCGGAGAAGCTAGAGGCATTTGGAGACTATCTGGGAACAGGCTCACAAGCAGAAATATGGTTTAAAGCTCTGCAGACAGCGAGTAGAGCCACGTGGCCACTGTTCGTTACAGCATTCGAAACACGATGGCCACCAATCATGATTGAGGAAAAGACCAAAGCAGAATACGAGAAGGAACTGCTGGAGTTTTTTTAACAGATCAAGAGGTCGGAACGAGGACTACGTTATATGATCGTGAATGCTGGACGCACGTTGCTTGGGCTACCAAAGCACTACAGCTTGCAATGAGTGCAGGAATTGCGACAAGCATGTCCATGATCTGGCAGGTTAGAGGAAAGTTGCCGAGCATCGTGAAGGACCTCTTGAAGGATACAGAATATATGAATTGGGCAGAATTCACAAAGGAAGTGACAGAGCTGAAAGGAACGAGGCTCATGGAGAAAAAAGAGCAACATGCAAAGCAAGAGCTTGAAGTTAGTCTATTATGTGCAGATGTAGCCCGTTTGCAACAGCGCAACATGATGCAAAACCCTATCACAGCACTCCAGAATCAGCTCTCGCGGATGACCATTAATCCTTCAACAATGTCCAACGCACATTGCAGTAATAACACCGTCACACGTGCACTGACACAGACAACTGCAGCATATCCACAGTCTACTTTCACACGGCAACCGAACGCAGCCCCACAACCATGGACAGTGACAGAAGACATGAAGACAATGGTCAGACAGCTCATAGCGTTATACATGCATCATCAGGATACAGCGGCAGGACGTACAGCATACACCATGCAAATAGCTCAATGGAACGCGAGATGGGGGGAAAATACCAGGGTCACACATGAGATGGGGTACCCACTTAAACCGGGCATGGTGGTGATCCCCTCTAGCAAATGTTTTGTGTGTGGTATGCATGGGCATCACGGAAGAAATTGCCCAATACCACCAGACCATCCGGAGAGATTAACGCGCAAAGAAGCGGCATGGAGAGTGACAGTGAGCAAGGTTTTAGGATTGTTTAACCACATGGTGGCTACACCAATATCTCTGGTATTTGGGAACGCACAGCAGTCAGCATCAGCTTGGATCGAGGAAATTCAAGAGAGCAGCGAGGGAAAAGAGAATGGGTCTGCGTAAGAGAGGATATCATGTCAACCCAGTATTTTAGGAATATCCAAGCTGAAGAGAGGGTCCTCAAGCGGGGAGAGGCACCACATGAGGACAAATCAACAGTATCACGCCCCAACCCAATCAACGAACTTATAGATAACACACCAGCAATATCTGTACCCATCTCGACAGGAACAATTCAGATCGTTGACTTGTATACAGCGGGACATGTCAAGGCAACTAGACAACAAGTAGATGCAAAGGAAGCGGTCCCATTCCTGCATCAAGTTTCATTAGAGGGCCCGAAGGGGGAAATCGTTAGAGTTAGAGCGCTTTTTGACGACGGGGCTATGGTCAGGGCAATGTGTACATCAGTGTTCAACAAAGTTAAGCATCGCTTGCATAACTGGACCCAGTTGAAATGACAATTACGCATGGCAAATGGGAGCATAGTCAATTTGTTGGCAAAATGGGAAGGAACAATAGAGATTGAAGGAGTATGAGCGAGAGGAGAATTGAAGTGTTTGATAGCAGTGGAGGATGGGGATTCCTTTTCGGAAAGCCAATGTTACAAGTGTTCAAGGCAGTACACAAGTATGAAACGGACACAATGGATATTGCGGATCAGCACAAGAAGGCCATGCTAAACAATCAAATCAAGAACACACCGAATGAAGAGGAGAGCTTGACATTAGACAATAAGCAGTGGAGAAAAGTAGTGGGAGGTTTGGAAACACCCCCCTCGAGGCAAGTCTTGACAACTCCTAGCGATAAAGGAACACATGAAACTAATAACGAGGAGGAACATGCGCAAATATCACGCGCACCATACGTTCCAATGGGGCAATGGAGACCGATGGGGCATCAGCAGTGGCATCAAGACAAGAAACGGGTGAAGCAACTGTGGCGAAGAGTGGAGAACAGTAAACAAATGCAAAACCTGGCTCAGAACACGGGAGAAAGAGCAACAATAAGGCAGAGCGATATTGGTGTAATCACCATAAACGAGGCCTCAAATCCTGAGGAGCAAATACTTGGAGAGCTACCAAAATTACCAGCAGCAGATCAGGATCCCTCGATCTACATGCGGCGAACAAACCCATTCAAACCGGAGAGAGTAGCAGAAATTGTGTGACAAGTCACAATAGGCGACGATCTTACAGAGGCCAAATGACAGGAACTGGAACAGTTCATCAAGGACAACGCGGACTCATTTGCACTCTCACTACGAGAAGTTAATATAATACCAGGAGCACAGCTAAATCTCAACATACCAGAGGGCAAGACGTTCAATCTACGCACACATCAAAGACCGCTAATGCTGGAACAATCGCGTTTTTATAACGAGCGAGTAGAGGAGATGTTGAAAGCAGTGATTATAGAGAGAGCGCCACCGGAATTAGTCAAGTGCACAGCGACAACGGTCATAGCCCAGAAGGCCCACGAGACAAACGGGTTATCAGAGAAAGAGCTAAAGCAAAGAGTCAATGATCAATGTAGGAGCGCAGGAAAGGCCCCAGCATTCGAGTTACCCGAACATGAGGTATCGCAAGCACAGAACACAGCAAGTTCAAACGAGGGACCACGGAAGTGGAGGATATGCCAGAATTTCGCGCAGCTGAATAAGGTCACAGAAGTCACGCCCATGATTCAAGGAGACATCCTGGCAAAACAGCAGTGTCTTAGTGGACACCGTTATATATCAGTCTTTGATTTCGCAGCTGGATACTATGTGGTTGAAGTACCAGAACAGTGGTGGCCATACCTGGCGTTCTACGTTGAAGGACGAGGTTATTTCTGGTACAGAAGAATGCCAATGGGGATTACAGGAGCACCAACGGCGTTCTGTGAAGTATTAGCGGCAAGACTACAGAATCTTCTGGTAATGTATTTCATGGAATTGTTTATGGACAATGGAGGTTGCGCAGCTGATACATTTAGGGACATGATGGGCAAGTTAACCACTATCTTCACTCGGTTCAGAGAGTGCGGGTTCTCAATAGCTCTGGGAAAAACGAAATTCTGTGTATCAGAAACAGAGTTCGTAGGGGGTACAATTGGGCAAGAAGGAGTAAAACCAGATTTAACCAAGCTTACAGCGATAGTAAATTGGCCAAGACCGGCGAACGCGATGGGCCTAATGTCATTTTTAGGACTCACCGGTTTTTACAGATCATTAATAAAAGCCTATGTGAAACAAGAAGGTCCTCTGCGAGACCTATTGCTCAAGGTTCAACTGAATAGTTCGTATAGCAAAACTGCATATCGAAAAGCAATGACTGAGTTCCAACTTGATCAACATTGGAATATAGAACACACTGACACATTTTGAGACCTCAAAGCAGCTATTACAGCAAGACCGGTGCTTCAAGCACCAAGGTATGATGGTTCAATATTTATTGTAACATCGGACGGGTGTATAGAAGGATTTGCAGCAGTTTTATCACAACGGGTGAAAGTGCAGACACCTACAGGGAAATGGGTTGAATGAATACACCCAATAGGTTTCACGTCAAAACGGACATCACAGATGGAAAGGAAGTACAAATCTTATCTATTAGAGTTCACAGCACTAAAATTCAGGTTAGATAAATTTTCAGGGATCATTTGGGGTTTCCCGGTCGAAGTCAAAATGGATTGTAATGCGCTAAAAGACACCCTGCTGAACCCAACATTAAATGTAGCACATGCACAATGGAGAGAGGGTATACTAGCATACAATATCGTGGACATGAGACACATTCCGGGGAAGTTGAATGTTGTTGTGGACGGACTTAGCCGTAAATGGGAAGGAATACCACCAACTACAGGAGACAGTAGTGAGTGGATGGTAAGTGAGGATTGGGAAGCCCGGATAGGACTGGCGAATGACATGATGCTCGTGACATCAATAGACCCGGTGATAGAAAATCTTAGAACAAGATTTGCTAATGAGCCGGTGTTTCTAGAGGTCATTGATGCTATCTATAACTTGAATCAAGATAGAGACGTACGGGAGAAATGACGAGCTAGACACCGAGCATCACAGTATATCATTGAAGATGAAAAACTGTGGCGCTTGAAGGGCAGAACAAAAACTAGGGCAAGGGCTAAGGTAGAGTGTATATCAAAGGAAGAAGCAAAAATTTTAGTGGAAAAAGCACATACCGAAGGAGGACATTGGGGAAGGGACGCGGTGAAAATGACGCTAATGGATCGAATCTGTAGCCCAAAGCTGGACGCTTCGATCATGGAGGTCATACGAAACTGCACTAAGTGTAAAAGTTTCGGTTCAACACACCTGCACTCACTATTAGAACCGATAACCAGGAGACACCTGTTTGGACTACTAGTGGGCGACTATCTAGCACTTCCTAAAGGGAAGGGCGGATATAGCACATTAGGAGTATACCTTGACGTATTTTCACAACATACCTGGATATTCAAGTATAAAACAGCAGGCAGTGCAAAGACGACGATGGATAGTCTTAACGGCATCTTCAACGTGTTTACACTGTCAGAAACTTTTATGACAGACGGTGGGAAGCACTTCAATAACGACGCAGTGCAGGCGTTATGCGAAAAGCGACAATGTAAACTGCATATTGTGGCAGCATACTCCCCATGGGTAAATGGCCTCATTGAAGGAACTAATAAGCTATTGCTACACGTGTTAAAAAGGTTATGCGCACCGGACATGGGAGAAGATAGCGAACAACAAGGAGCATCTTGGGATAAGCTCCCAACAAAATGGCCAGATTATCTGGATAACGTGGTTCACGCCCTAAACCACCATTTATTACCAGCGCTGAAATTTTCTCCTAAGGAATTGCTTCTGGGCCTAGTGGCGAATACACCATGAACAAGGATCGAGGACAGTGCTTCGACACTCAGACAATCAGATGTGTTGACGCAGATGGCATACATGGAACAACAGTGACTGGACGGTTATGAGGAGACGATACGACATGCCATCAAGAGTAAAGCAGCATTCAATAAGAGACTTTTACAAAGAATACCCGGTGAGGTTATTTTTAAAATCGGTCAACTGGTTCAAGTATACCGCAATGATTTAGATTATACCTTCAAAACGGAATGGAAGTTAATACTGAAATGATTGGTTCCACGCCGAATCCAGTCAAGAAACCTCAATTCGTACAAATTGGAGACGCTAGAAGGAAGACCAGTACAGGGAGAATTCAGCGCAAGATGCTTGAGAGCATTCAGTCCTAGGATCGGCACCCAATTGGCGAAGAAACAAGAGATGTATGAAGCAGAAAAAAGAAATAAGGATGAATTAGAGAGCGAAAGAGAGGAAGAAGATAACGGTGAAGAAGATGAAGAGGAAAACAAAACGGAAGATGAAGATGAAATGGAAGAAGGGATAGAAGAAGGAGAATAGAGGGGAGTGGCGTCGAGGGCGGTGCCAGTTCTTTTTAGGGGGGTGCATGGACTAGGGGTCTCATGGGTAGCAGAGACGAGAAGAAGAGTCCCACGGCTGTTTCCGAGGCTTAGTCAGAGCAGGTCAATGGTTTCGCATAGAGTACAGTAGAAGAAAAATTAACCAACAAGTAGCAAACCATAGAGCCACTTTGCCCCATCTCATCGTCAATTTACTGATTGGTGCCCCGTCTGTCGTGATGTTGCCATAACCTCAACCTTCTTTCTTAGTCACGTGATCTGAACACTTGTCGGTCATTGCTAAAGCATCTTTCCATTAAAATGCTTTAGATAGCCTTGGAACTGAAACATATATCAGACAAAATGAAAATGGGCTTGAAAGGTGAGGGCATTGCACTACCATGTCTTGTCTACTATGATGTTGCTATACCTCAACCTTGTCATTCACGCCTCTTCAAAGTGTAGATTTGTAGGGATCAATGGTCATTTACGAACAACACAAATTTATTCCAGAATACATGTATATATTTGGCAAAAGCATAATTGTGTCGGTCTATAGGTCTCATGACTACCATATTGTGGACTCATGAATTCACTGATGGCTAGACAAACGCGGGGAGGCAAGTAGAAGGAGTGACAGCAAGTGTATCATAGGTAATGACGTCGCCGTTTGCCTGGGTCATTAAGGAGACATTCAACATGAAAGATCTGGAACACGGATTAACAAGTGTGCACAGCTACTGCCACTCGGTGAGAGGGACTCGGGCGGTACTTCATTAAAAAAAGTTGTCCAAAGTACGATAATCAATGTAGTATCACAATGTACCTACTACTGCCGCACCATAGCCGATGCTACAAAGATGCATAGCCCTTCCGATTCCAATATGATCTGCCTGGAGTCACCCGTGGACATGGAGTGAAGATGAGGTGGATGAGAATGATTTTGCGCAGACCAGCAGTTCAGAAACTATAGGTGCTGGTATACGTGCATGTATTCATCGACGTAACACGGCATCCAATCATCCCCCAACTAACGATCAGGACCGTAAGGCTTCAAGGTCGCTCAAGGAGCACGTGCAGCAGGTCCAGCATGTGCCCAGAAGGACAGGTACCGACCCTTCCCCGCAAGAAGGTGGATTATTGACGCACTGCATTGTGCAGATCATCAGTCCACCGGTATCAACTACATTCAGCCCAGCGACAGAGGCAAGGTAACCGAAGTAGGCGAATTTCACCCCGGCGACAATGGCAAGGATGGCGACAAAGAGTTCCACAGTCTGCATGTATCTAGTATGACCGTCATGCTTCAGTTATTGCTGAGAGTGCAAGGAAACCATACACTCACAAAAGTTTGATTGTGTGAGGGGCGCGAAGGTGATATAGCTGGTCCAACGTTGGGAGCTATAGTAAGTATAACGACTCGGTGAAATGCATATAATGTTGCATAATAAAGCTACTCACTGCCGACGAGCCGATCGTCTGAGAAATTTGGAACTCAGCAGGGGTGAATTTTATATCGCTCTCGCTGAACGCTAGTGCTAGAAATGATAGTGGCCACGGATTTGCTGATGGGGCGAACTCAGCATGCATAGGCTATGAGCAGGAAACAACTTTATACATAGGCTGTTCGCTTCCGAATTCCTGACCTGATCATCTCAGCGGATACAGACCTGATGTTTCAATTCAAGGTCAGCGACTCATGATCAGCGGAGGCATGCCGTGGGGAATGTTAAATTATGTTCAGTAGGATGACATGATGGCCGGCATCAGTGAACTGATGAGCCGCAGATAAAGTCTTATATTGACGATATATCGTCATATATAGAACTCCTCTCCTTTATATTGGAATATAAAGTCGTAATCAACGTAAAGTACCCTGGGTAGACTCACGAGTTTTCTGATCGCCGTGTACCTATGTACGTATCAGTAAGAGGACCTCGCCAATACGTGCATAAAATCCTGCATGTTTTGTTTTGCGCTAAGTTAGTGCTACCGCGAACTTGTTACTCTGCGAGAAGCGTCGAGCCGTCGAGGTGTTGGTGTTTTTATGTCTAGTGAAGCCCGCGCGGCATTACATATAAATGGACTGAGATGATGAAATGGGACTCCGACGTTGTCAGCAGCAGCAGCAGTGTTGGATACAATTACGATACCTCTATGAGCAGGGAAGTCATCTGACTCTAAGACCCACCCTCTGCCCATGTGGAGAACCACGTCAAACACGAGAACACATCCTACGTGACTGCCTGCAATTTACGCGACAGCGCATCCATTTAAGAGAGGTATCCTACAACATCATACTCAACGAAATCTTGGGTACGGAAAAGGGCATAAAGGCATTAGCGAAATTTATCGAAGAATCCAGCGCATTCAAGAAGGCCGCACTGGAACGAGAAGGGGACTGGGAAGAAAGGAGAGGGATAGAAGCCTGAGTGAGGGCGGGAAAGGAGGTGACGAAGGAGGGAGGAGACGAGAAGAGCACAGAAGGAGGAGGAAGGAGAGAAACTGTACCATATTATACTCAGCCTGGACACCGGACGAACTTATACGCGCATCGAAACTTCTCAAACGCGGACCGCTTGGCTATTCGTACTATACTTACACCCCTTACCCTGTTACAACATCCCCCAGTACAGCCCTAACAGGGCACCGCGTCTTAACAGTTTACCTTATTTGTTGCGGTATATAAATATAGAAATTCTCTCTCTCTCTCTATGAAGACCAAATTTCACTACACGAAGATTATTTAAGGACACCGCTCACGCCTGAATAACACATACCCGCTCGTCAAACCTACCGTCATGCTCTGAAATGTCAATAACTTTGTTGGAATCCGCAAGCCTAGAAGTCTTCCGCGAGCACGTGGATCGTGAGGCGTAGGTATTGTCATTAAACACAACTGGCAGTCGCATATGTATGGACCACAATGCGATACGGCGCACAGGTGGAGCAGAATGAGGAACGGAAGGCTTCAAGCCTATGGTTGCTCAAGGGGTACGTGCGGCGGGTTCATTCACCCAGAAGGACGGGTACCCGCCCTTCTACGCAAGAAGGTGGGTAGTTGGCGCACTGCATTGTGGAGGTCAACTCTCTACTGGTATCTGCACCTCGGCAACAGAGAGAAGGTAGGCGATGTAGGCGAATTTCACCCAAATGAGAATGGCAAGGAGGGTGATGACGAATTCCATAGGCCTCATGGTATCTAGTAGGGCAATGCTTCAGTAATGGCCGTGAGTGCAAGGAAACCACACCAACAAAAGTTTGATTGTGCGAGGGGTGCGAAGGTGGTATAGCAAGGTCGCACAAGAGCTTATACTTAGTATGACGATTTAATGGAATGCATACAACGTTGCACAACAGAGCTACTCACCGCTAGCGAGGCGATCGTCTCTGAGAATTTGGAACTCGACAGTGAGATTTATATCGCTCTCGCTAAAGAAAAGTGATCAAACTTCTGTGGACGCAGACTTTGTATTTAAGTAACGTCAGCGGCCTCCGCTTCAGATATGCGAGCCATGGAGAACGTTAAATATTGTTGACTGGGGGAGGATAGTCGCTCACTTCGTGGTATATCATATCAGCAAGGACACCTGGCCGATGTGCATAAAACACTGAAGGCTCTTCTTTCAAGAGCCACGAAGACGGACAAATTTTCCCTACAAGAAAGATATTTAAAGACGCCGCTCACGTCCGCGTTATCGCCTCTGAACACCCGCTCGTCAAAACTTCCATCATGCTTTAAAATATCAATATCAATAACCTTTCTCAGAGCCGGAAGCCTGGAAGTCCTCCGCGAGCACGTGAATTGTGAGGCGTCGGTGTGGTCATTGAACACGAGTCGCAGTCGTATATGAATGGACCACAATGCGATATGGCACATAGGAGGAGCAGATCGAAGAACGTAAGGCTTCAAGGTTGCTCGGGGGGCACGTGCGACAAGTGCAGCATAATGCCAAGAAGGACGGGTGCCCACCCTTCACCGCAGGAAGGTAGCACTGCAATGTACAGATCACGTCCCTGCCGTATCAGCTACCTTCACCCCAGCGCCAGAAAGAAGGTAGGCGAGGTAGGCGAATTTCACCCAAGTGACAACGGCAAGGATAGTGATGATGAATTCCATAGACTTCATGGTATCTGGTAGGATTATGCTTTAGTGATGGCTGTAAGTGCAAGGAAACCACACACCACGAAATCTTGATTGTGTGAGGGGCGTGAAGGTGATATAGCAAGTCAAACGAGAGCTCTCACTGTAAACGAGGCGGTCATCTCTGAGGATTTGGCAACTCGACAGCGTGAGATTTATATCGCTCTCGCTGATTGTTAGCGCTGACTGCTGATGGTCCGGACTCATCATCTGGGCTGTCAGCAGCTGTCAGTCACGCCATCTTGGAAATATTAGTACTAGTAAAATAACGACACATAGGCTCACCTAGGCTAGTGACGGGCACCCAGACCTCGGTCCAGACAATTGGCCCCAGACCGGCCATTTCAGAGATGAAGTCCTAGTAAGAGGCTGTAAGTAAGTCCATACTTAGGGCAGGGGCGCCCGCCACAAGACAAACAATCACCAATAGAGAGAGTGTGGGAAAGTCTTGAGCCTCATTGTGACAGTCGCGTTTCGCTCAACGCCAACGTCGTTCATCCATTCCACTGTTTTGTCGCCGTCGTTTAGCACAGCGAGCACGTTGAATTTAGCATAATCAAGATGTCTACTACAAGACTGCACCATCATCCGTCTCTCCCCGCCCCCGTCGTCCACGCTGGCTTCTCCGCCCACCAGTCCAAGTCCCATGTCCTCGCCGGCGTGCAGGACGCGTACTGGAGCGACGATGACGCCGTATGTCATCCTTTTTTAATTAATGTAGTCTTATTTATCTACCCCATCCCAGGATGACGCAGATTGTCCCCTCTGTCTCGAAGAGATGGATATTTCAGACCTTAATTTCAAGCCGTGTGTTTGCGGGTACCAGGTATATGCTCTCTTTCACCATCTGTTGGATGGTCATCCTGAGCCCCACTCAGATATGTAGATTCTGCTGGCATCATATTAAGCAGAATCTCAATGGCCGCTGCCCTGCATGTCGCCGTGAGTACTCCGACGATGCCGTTCAATTTAAACCTATTGCGAAAGAAGAGTGCGTCCCCGCCCTCACAATTTACGGGTAAATTCAACACAGGCCTTCCTGACGTATGATTGCATAGCCACAAACGCCTGACACAGCAGAAGAAGCAACGTGAACGTGAGCGCAAAGAACTTGACGCCCTCGGTAGGCGCCATCTCGCCAATGTCCGCGTCGTCCAGCGCAACGTTGTTTATGTCGTCGGCATCGGTCCTCGGTTTGCCAAGGAGGAGGTATGTTGCTCCTCTCATCTGACCACTTCTCCCCTCACCCAGTAATACTATTCAACGTAGCTCATCCCCACCCTTCGCTCGAATGACTACTTCGGGCAATATGGCAAGATCTCCAAGATCCTCCTTGTCAAGCGCACCTCTTCAGGGGGCGGTGCACCCATTGTAGGACTCTACATTACATACCATCGGCGCGAAGATGCCGCACGTTGCATCTCAACCGTTGACGGTGCGCCAAGCCCAGGAGGAGGCCGAGAGGTCATGCGTGCAAGCTATGGGACAACCAAGTACTGCATGGCATTTCTCCGCGGTGTGTCATGCACTGATCATACCTGCATGAATCTGCATGAATGGGGAGATGAGAAAGACTGCTTTACAAAGGAAGACCTGACGACATTGTACGTGTGGATTTTCGAAACTTTTTCATGATGTAGCTCACCGCTTTCCAGGAAGCATACCATTAAGGATACAGAAAGCAGGGGGACGAAGAACGGGGATGGTGTGTCGTGTGATTGCGCAATTATTCCCGTCTCACTCATACATTGCCTCTTCCAGGCCTCCCGCGCACAGCAGCATGGGCCAAACCTACCACTCCAACGCCCAGCAGTACGACATCCACTGTTCCCATTGCTCAGCGTTCCCGGCGCGGTGGTCAGCGGCAGGCTCGCACCACACGCCCACAGCATGATCGCAAGACTGGCTCAGGCAGTACGAAAACACCCTCCATCGCATCTTCATCTCGGCCCCCGACGCCTGCTGTCTCTACGCGCCCCGCGTCGCCTCCTGAGGTCAAGACCCTCCGGGCCAAGGAACCGGCACCGTTTCCGCCGACGTCGCCCTCCCCGTCAATGGCAATCGACTCGGATGATGTAGGCTCCGGCAGTCCACCCAGTCCGCCACGCCCACGCTCCACGGAGAGTGTGGACAGTACACCGGCTGTCCCTGTCTCTCTGCCACCAGGCCTACCGGATGCCCCACCCGGTCTCCCGCCTCCGACTCGTACACCTAAGGCAGACCCTGCTGTTGCACCAAGTCTCCATGCACCACAAATGTCCTCGGGAAGCTACCAAATATCTACCGCTGCACAAGCGCTACTTGATGACGTCAAAGCTCGTCGCGAGGCAGTGCTTTCGAGCACGCAAGTGAGCATCTTTCCCGATTTCGACCGTACGCTGCGCATGCTCTCGGAGAGCGAGGGTGGCTTCAGCTTTAACCTGGACCCAAAGCTTGCGGACGTAAACGTGAATGCCGATGGAGAGGCAGTATTGAGTGCGCTTGAAGCGGAAGCACGTGTACCTTTCGCTGGTGGCTTTATGGACGCATTCCCTGCGCTCAAGCCACAAGTACATCCTCACACGCATCAAGTGCCAACTGTGTACCCACACAACCCCGCCCGCTCTATTTATGATCCTCTCGCAATGCGAGAGAATTATCTTGGGTCATTCAACCCGTTCGGAGAGACGGAAGGACCCTCGACTGGTAGCGGTGCACGTAGCTCGCCGTCTTACCCCGATGAAGAGCGGAAGGTTTCAAGATTTGGGTTCGCACGGGGTAGACAAGGCTCAACAGCTGCAAGCTCGCCTGTGCACGTGTCGTCCCCCTTGAGCGCGAGTGAGAGCCATCACTCGTTTTTCACGGCTTCGGAGACTCCAGCGATGTCGTCGTCGCATTGGAATCTTGGAGGACATGGAGAGTATGCAGGATATGTCACTAGTTCTCCTCTTGTGTCGCAAGCGCAGACGGCGCAGACGCCCCCGCAGCAGCACGTGCAGCCTCAGACGCAACCGATACGCTTCCAGCCGTTCGACACGAGCGTTAGCGTAAGCGAAGCCCAGCTCCGCGAGTTGATACAATCGAGCAGGGAGCGTGCCAGCTCGATGCAGATGCATAACGCTACAGCTGGTAGGAGACTTTTGTTTGTGTGAGCAACTGGATTGCGCATTGACGATGCTTGTCTTCCTTCACTTCACTTCAATTTGATTCAATGTGGTTCACGTGTATTTTTTGTGTATGATGATGATGTTCTCTATGCCTTTTTTGCATTTTGTGTTCGGTTTCAGATCAACTTCAGTACCAGTTTGCGCCTTTCAGTGACCCAGCAATCATGTCCGCGCGTTTCGCTTCGCCGGTGTTATCCTCCGCAAGTCCATCAAATGCTGGCACCCCAGCCGTTGCGACCGCAGCACCAACTACCACACCTACGTACGGTCCCCCGCCGGGCCTCGCATACCCAAATAGTGAGTCCCTTTCTTTTGTTCAGGGGAGGGAGTCCCAGGTCAAAGTACCGAGCGCCGTGCTTGCAGTGCGGAAATTCTACCACCGGCCATGAGAGCGTCCGGGACCTTCGCAGTTGGCAGTACACTCTCTATGTCTTCTCTTCGCAACATTATTTCGATTCTCCCCTTCTTTCCCTCCCTTTCTCCTCCCTTCCCCGATGGTTTAAGCCTTGGTTAGATGTATGCTGACTAAGTGTTGCTCTCCCTTTCTTTTTTGGATCATCTGTTCGTTCCGCTTTTAGTCACTCCTTCCGTTTCGTCCTCACCTTCGCCAGCACCTGCGCTGTCGTCGGCTGATTTCCCCGCACTGAACGCCGATGTGTCACCTCCGCCTGACACGCAGCCTGCCGAGCCGCCATCACCTGCCGAAGTCGGTAAAGAACAAGCCAAAGCAGAGCGCAAGGCTGCGAAGAAGGCGGTGGCGGCGGAGCGTGCACTCGAGCGTCAGAAGGCTGCCCAAGAGAAGGCTGCCGCCAAGGCTGCGGAAAAGGCCCGGATCGCGCAAGAGAAGGCGGTGGAAAAGGAGAAGCTGGCAAAGGAGAAAGAGGAGAGGGAGAAGTCGATGAGGGAGAAGGCTGAAAAGGACAGGGTGGAGAAGGAGAGGCTGGCGCAAGAGAAGGCAGCCGAAGAGGAGAAGGCCACCGAGGAAGAGAGGGAGAGGAAGGAGAAGGCCCTGGCTGAGAAGGCTCAGGCGGAAAAGGCAAGGGTACTATCGCAGGCCAAGGCACAGAAAGCCGCCAAGTCAGCATCGGCAATCAAAGTCACTAAGTCTGCAGACTCCTCTTGTCAGGCACCCGCCACTTCTACTCCCAAGCAGTCTCCCGCCCCACCCAAGGGATCTGAACCCTTCGAACAAGCACCCATACTGTCCAAGATGCCGAAGAAAAACAAACCCGTCACTCGTCCAATCAAAATCCCAAAGGAGGACGAGATTGCTGCTGGAGATGCCTCGGCTACACCATCAGCGTCGGTTTCCGAGGCTGTCAATTTCCCACCCCACAAGACCACAAATACTGTGGTCTCTAGTTCGAACGGCTCGAGAGCACAGTCTGTGGACACGTCCTCTCCTATAGAACCTACCTCGCTTGTTGATCTGCTCGACGACATTGACGTGAAGAATCCAAGCATGGATCTTCCCAACCATCCGTTCTTCGACATGACAAAGATAAATCCTGCCGCCAAGATGCCTCTCGAGTATGGACCTTTAGTGCATGCGTTGTCTGCACTTTCTGTGGGCGGAGGGTCATTCGCTACCAATATGCCTTCGGGCTCCATCGATAACGCCGTGTCCTCATTCCAGCAGCTTTTGGAGACACTGACACAAACCATCTCTGACCTCCTGCGCCTGCTTCCTCGGACGACGTGGGACGACAGTTCTTCATTTGATGGCGTACTTCGTGACATGCTCAAGGGTGATGATTTCTTGGATGACGGTGGTGATGATGCAGCTGGCAAAGAAGACGAAGTCGCTGCCTTGACGCTTGCCCTTGAGCGTCGAGCCCGTTGGATGGAGGTGCAGCTGTCCAAGCTTGAGGAACTCCATCGTGACATCAACACTGCTGCCGTACGCGCTGTCCTCGCATTCAACGACAGTGGCTGGGATCGTCACATTTTCATGCCTCGGGTTGGCAACACCCTCCGCCGCTTCGACAATATTGGCATGGTAGAGCAGGGTGGCAAGATGAGGCCCATGACAGTGGACGAGCTAGAGAAGAAGCTGCAGGTTGCGAAAGAAGCTGCCATATTTGCGGAGACTGAGTTTCGGGAAGCGATGGAGAAAATGCAAGCTGTAAAGCCCGTGGAAGTTGACGACTACTGAATAGTTCATATGGTAGTTTGACTGGTCGTAATGAGCATTTGGCTTGCGCACGGAAACGGTGAAGTTGTGTGATATTAGTCACGTGCGTCGAACGCGCCCAGACACGTCTAAAACCTCAGAAGTTGGTATGGTGTGGCTGACATGCATCTTGAGGTCATCGGTTCGATGTAATTAACATTCCCGCTTGTTTATTGGCAACTCGCCGACTGACATGACTGGTTACAGCCCGCAACGTCAAAAGCAACTCTCTCGGCTCGCGATCATAATCATTCTTATTCTGTTCGCTGCTGTGCTGGCACGCCAGCTATTCTCAAAAGCAAGCCCCCATGACAAACAGCCTCGTGCGCTCAGCCATCGCACTACCATCGAGGGACGTTGGAAAGCCGTGCGGGCGTCACTCGGCCTACCTCCTCTCCCCGACACCATCAACCCATCAACAGTCATTGATTCGCCCCCGTCGCCACCACTTCGCGCAGGAAAACTCCCCTCGCGCTTCGACCTCCGTCGGAAGCGTGCCGAAGCAGACCTTCGGAATCAGAGTAGGCTTCAACTCGCTGCAGACGTGAGAGATGCACCCCGCGTGTCACTAGAAGCACTAGCTGCGTCATTCCGCCGCATTGCAGCTGTTGAGAAAGAGATGGCGGGAATCCGAGGCAAGCATGAGAAGTCAGGACAGAAGGTTTCACGAGTCCAGAGACGTATTGAGGATTGGAGAGCGGACCCAACAAATGCAAAGAATGTATTGGCTACTGTCACGAATGACTAGATGATGCTTGCAGTTGATAATCGAGTAAACATTATACGATCGATAATGTAGCACAACCACGATTACTACCACTCCTCCTTGACCGGAACAGGCTCCTTACTCTTCGCCCATCCAACGAAGTCATCGAGTAATGACGGCCAGGCCTACTGGGCTTAGCACATGCCTAGTTACCAGAATGATGTAACGCACCCCATCCGCTTCGTAATTGTCCAAGGAAGGGTCCACAGCGCGGCAGAACTCATGCACCTATCACGGATGAGTACGTCATATGCCTGAAAACAGAAGTACTTACCATGTTCCAAATGTCCTTATTTGCACCTTTGTATGTGCCTTTCTCCTATGTGACAAGATAAGCGTTGTGATACAAGGCAGGCGTGAGAGCGACGTACAGTCAAGAAGGTCGTCAAATCATTGATGATTGGATATCGTGGAGCAAGAAGCACTGACCACAGCGCCATGGCCGTCTATATAGGGGGGTGATAAGATGTATGGTTCGCCTCGTGCGTAGCACTTCTTACCTCTAAGTCGATGTTTCGTGCTTGTCTGGGAAGGATTGAGACTCGCCTTTCGGAGATGCATAGAACTTACGGTGGCTTCGCAAACGTGAAGCAAAACTGATAGAGATCTGCGAAAGCAGCTTTCCGGTCAGAGGCATACTGCCAGTAACGAGTTCGGTTGTAGGGCTCTCGTTTGCTCGCACCGCCACGCTTCTTCCCTTGACTCAAAGTGGAAGCTGAGCGAGTAAGCGCCTGCTTATCACGGATAAGGAGATCGTCGAGCTCTCTCAAAGCTTGGGCTAGAACTGGCGATGAGGATATTCTGATGCGATCACTTATGAGAATGCGATGCGTAAAAAACTATGCAAACTCACTCAAGTAAGCCCATTCCATGTGACCATTCTGCCCTCGTAAACTTGCCCATTTCGCTACTCTTCAGCTGCCACGCAAGGATAAGGGGCTGTGCACCATCAAGTGGTATGTCGGCCTCCGTACATAAGTTTTCCAATCCCTCTGGTCCAATTACATCGCGGTCGTCTTCGTCAGCAAATGAGTTAAACAGGTCTTGCGCCCGCTGGAGGGTATACGGTTGGTTAGATGCTTCTTCCGACTCTTTGGGCTGAGGAGACAGAGTAACGACAATAATGTCAGAGACGTGCAAAGCGAAAACATTAACAGTGCATGTACCACTACCGTTTTTGTCTCGACAACAACTTCATCGCTGCGAGCGGGCGTGTTAGAGACGCAGCACAACAAAGACGAGAGGCGCATGAAGGAATGTCGTTAAAGACGTCAAGGTTGAGTCGTAGGATACGATTGATGCGTCGTGGCCGTGATGATTGAAATGTACTAAAGACGGACTTACTCGTTCAATGCAAACCTAGTTGAGGTGAGTTTCTGCAAGAGATGGAACGGAATTATATAATTCATGTTGGGAAAAGGATGTCAGCTGCAAGCTTACATCATCATTACTTCTTTCGTGTGGCGAATGATTCGGGCGTAAGGAAGCGTTTTGTGAATTCGATGCGGCATACAAGGGGTCGCAAGACTCACGAAGCATTCGTTACACTTGTGTGACCCTTTGTCGTTGTTTTTGCTCTTGATGTTGCCTTCGCTCCGGTGTTTCTGGTTTTCTTTTGAGGCGGGGTCGCCTACAGAACAGTGAGAGTGGTAAAGGAGATTGTGCAATAGTCAATACAAGCCTGCGCACTTCTACACTATCCACAGAACTGTCCTTTGCAACCCTGCTCACAGCCTTTATTATCACCAGGACGGAACATGGTGGGAAGACAGGACGCACGAGGTTCCAGCACTTGCAACGCTTGCCGTGGCGATTTCACCTCCACCTTTACATTTCCATTCATCTGACTGAAGTGTTTGATATCATGGGAGCATACCGGTCCGTGTCGAACTCCGCGTCGAACGAGCTGGAGCTGGAGCCCCTTGAGCATCTGCGTCTGCACGTTTTCGCTGACGAAGGCTGCGTCAAGAACGGATAAGTTTGTAAGTGAACAAGACTTGCTTTAGGTGGCATATTCAAGTGAAAGTGCCAGATTCGAGAAACACGGAAGAGAGCAAGGATGGTCGTCCAAAGGGTGAAAGGGAATTATTAGCGCGTTCTGCGGCGCGTTACATCGTGTCACCACACGTGACAATCGTGACCCCCTCAGACTCCAAGACGGGGATCCGCTTGATCTACATCACCAGTCGTCTGCCATGAACGGAGAAATCTTCAATGCCAACCCAACTGTTTACGCATCCAAGCGCTCTACCCGTAAATCTAAATTCGAGGCCGGGCAGTCACTATGGATCGACGAACAGTATCAACCTGAGCTCAGCAATGAATCCGAAATTGAGCCTATTGATGAAGATGAGATATTTGGTGTGTTTCAGGCATTCGTATCTCATAAACTCACCTAAATCACATGCATCACTATAGACTTGATCCGCTCTATCGCAGATCCTGAGCATCCCAACTCTCTCGAAGAACTCAGGGTGGTATCCGCAGAGCAGATTGAAATAGGTCACAATCACATCGTGGTCGAGTTTACTCCAACTGTACCTCACTGTGGGATGTCAACATTGATTGGCGAGTACTTGTACATCGCTTTGAGAATATCTCTTAACCACCTGCTCAGGATTGTCCATTCGTGTGCGACTTATGCGGAGTTTACCTCAGCGTTTCAAAGTGGATATCCGGGTGAAACCAGGATCGCATCAAAGTGAGCTTGCAGGTTAGTAGGCGTTTATTCGTTTCTTTTTGATATTTGTTAACATCATCCCTTAGTAAATAAACAATTGAATGATAAGGAGCGTGTTGCAGCTGCCTTGGAAAACCCTGCCCTAGTGGAGACGCTAGAAAAGTGTCTAGAGCCCACCGGAGGACACGACAGTCGGTAGCAAGTATCAATTCCCTCAAGTGATTCTATGACAGTTGTATCTATAGCTTTATTTTATAGGATTGTAGCGCCTTTGTCTCTTTTTAAGTGCAGTCGTGCTGTTCCTAAGACAGTAATTCCCTTCCTCCTTGTAAGTGATTCATGAACGTGCTAGTATATCATGTTTTTCTAGGTTGTATCTAGGAGATTAATCTCCATCTCCCTTCTTGCTATTGGCTCGGTCCACAACTACCTTCCCCATCGGTTTCCCCTGGGTACTCTCATCATGTCCAGGTCCAGGTCCGGTGTCATGAAAATGTCCGTTGGAAGCGAGAGGCGGCCCATGTAGCCATCAGGCATCGTTTGGTCCGCCGCAAACTTTCTCCACAACAAGGCGCACGACAACAAATCAATTGTGTGCTACCAAAGACACGGATCCGGAGAACTTTTCGGAGACCGGTATGACCAACTCCAGATCTGTAGCGATGCCAGTAATAGTCGGCATGAGTTGGCATGCTGCGGACTGGACAAACAGCCCCAAAAATGGACACACATGAAACAGCATGCCAGCGGAAAGCGTAATTATTATTCTCCGCTGCCTTCGTGCCAATCTAACAGTGCAAGAGCGGTGGCGATAGAATTAAGTCCGAGAGACAGTCAGCTATTGAATTCATCTGGCCCCGACGACAGCAAGTTAACTGGTGCTCCAGTTCATCATGTGATGCACTGGAACATAAGTCAGTTCTCTCGAGACATGACTCTGCCCGCCTTTATTGAGTTATACCACGGCGAATTGGAGCCCCTTTTACACCAATTACCCGTGCACACGATAATGGGCGGTGACTATACGGCAAGGACATTACCTCGGCGATATAATGTGCACTGCAAAAATTGACATGTTACAGGCAACCGTTTACGACGTAAGTCGGGCAGGGTTAGCTTTGCCGAGTTGATTGCGTACCAGGTTGGAGATATACCCCTGTTGGAGTGCGCAGGCAATGCACCTTCCCACCAGAATCTCCGTCGCCGCAGCGAATAATCGCCCATTGATGTGAGCAGACTTAGCTAATGCTAAAGGACTCCTGTCATTTAAACATACCACCAGGTCACAGCGATTCTGATAACTTCCTGACATCCGTTCCGATGAGGAAGGACATGATCACTCGGTCACTCGGAGCAGAGGTGGTCGAGCGCTCGAACACGAAAAGCATCTCACATTAATTTCACAACGCTTCAAATTTCAGCCACTGGCTCGCTGCCCTCAGGCTGTATCATATGCCTTCGGACAAGCGAATAGGCGTCCATTTCCTCGGAGGGGCGGATCGTGAATTGGAGGGACGGATCGTGAATCGGCGAAAAGTAAGTCGAGACCTTTGTCAGACACTCGGCCAGGTTAATTGACGGGCCGGGCCCCAGCTAGCCTTCCGACCATCGTTCTTAGTCACAAACCTCTATTTCAAGTCGTCTACATAAAAGTAGGGCCGCATTCGAACTACGTCCAATGAGCTGGCTAATTTCAAACTACTTGCAGGGGCAATACTATGTGCCATTCAATATTGTCGTGCGTAAGGGAACGTCATGGCTTCTCATGCCGCCAGGGTCGTGTGGTACTTAGGTCCTCTGGTATCGAAAAAGAATCGTAACGCTCTGTCAGTTTTGCCTACCCAGAAGTTCCGTCCTGAGAAGGACGTGTCGCTCTTCATATATAATAACCAAACCATGCATTCAATCGAGTTAATGACGACGATGCTCGTTTGCTTGCTTGCAACGCTACACCTGCCCAACAATAAGTCTGAAGACAATTGAGGATCATATTGATACAGCGGTAGTTGTGGTATAAAAGGCTACATTTGTGCAGAGTGTATGCAAGTATGCTACAGATTGGGATAAGAAAAAAGAGATAGCCTAGACTATCCTGCAGCATGTTAAGTAGACGTATAAAGTTCCAGTTAATTCAGAGAACGAAAGGAAGTGACAGTACAATATCAATTAGGAGAACATGGCTCTTAATCATCAAGAAGAAAATCCCAATTAATGCTCTTCTCCGGTAATTTCTTAGAAGTCGAACTGAAAAGGCGTTTCAACGTTTCTTTGGGCTGGCTCTCTGGAGCATTGGTGTAAACGTCCCACATCCTGAACGTCACCGGACCGCAGGTATCGACCCATACTTCATCGCCATCCCAATTGTCATTAATCGACATTGCCTCATTCACCCGGACATTTGCCATCATGCGGTTGACGAAACCGGCTGAGAAAGATGGAGTGCCCGAGCAACGAATGTGACCGCGAAAATCCGAGGGCAACCAAAGGGTCACGTTGGAAGAGCTAGTCCGGATGTCAAGGAAAAACCTGCAGCGAGGCATAGACCGACACTGTAATCACGGAGTTTTGTTCAGACACAATATACACCAAGTCAAGAAATGGCACTAACAACTTTAAGCTTAATGGGCGACGTCTCGGTACTAACGAACATGGCCAGACGGTGGTCTACCGGCTGATTGCGCGCACGATAGTGTGGTAGCGCCAGAGACATATTAATAGGCTTTGGTGTCTTGAGGACAAAATCATAGTCGCCTAGTGCGTTGTAGTGAATCTTACGGGTGCCAGTTGGCTGAACTCTCTATGCACTAAGTCAGCTACTTGCGCATAAACACATGAAGCAGGACTATGTTTCACCAATAAATGAATCTTTTCCGATGATGAAGTCTAAGCAGCATCCTTCAGCTCGATGCTACACTCAAAGAATAGAACATGAACTGACCTCCGAGTCGGATGAAATTGAACAACTTGAATAGCTCGACATGATTCGCGAATTAAGTGAAGAATGAGCGAATGTCGTGACAGTCAATAAGTCAAAAACAAATGCGGACGAGAAAACGAAACGGGCGCCCTTGAGTTGGGAACACTGCGGGTTTCTGCCATCTTTAAGGATTTTGGAGGGCGGTCACCTATACGGCATCCAGAGGGAGATGATCCCACATATCGTTTTCTTTATGCCTTATTTGGGCAGCCTTGTACTCGTAAACAAAAAGCGCGCCCACCAACCTGGCCACCCGAAGGCGAGGAACAATCGGCCACACGCTTTCTATTTCGGCTCGACAATGTACTCCGCGTGCTTCGCTTGTAATATGAACACGTGTTCGAATCAGTCCGACGGATAGTAGATCAACCGCTCGCATAACAATTTCCATTACAAGTTTCAAGAGTTACATCTCTGATGCATGATGGCTGTCCTTGACAGCGTTGAACGAAATAGCAATAAGTAAAAGTACAAAGTAAAAGTACAACAAACAGAAGACAACTTCAAGAACTGCCCGCAGCGCCTAAAGCCGAATCCAAGAGTACTAGACGATCCTAGGCGTCGTTGGAAAATCTTCCGCATGCCACGATCCATCCGGGACCAAACCCTATCGTTGACATCACCGTCCGTTCTCAGCCTAAGCTCGATCTTCCCTTCCGCATGGATAGAAACCTCGTCATCGTTTTCAAGCGGGGAGGAGTCGATCCTGATGAAACCCCGGCGCATTCGATCGTTGAAGGCACGAGAACAACGAATCTGTCGCCTCCTACGGAGGCCCTCGTAGTCGTTGATAGTCACGATTCCTCGGAAAGAGGAGGGTAATGTGATTTTCACACCGGCTGAGCATGCGAAAATGTACAGGCGAAAGAAGTGGTTCTCTGCACCGGCTGTACGAAACTGAAGAAGCAGAGATTACCAAATAAAGTCGACTCATTGTTGGTCGGTCACCTAAGTGACCACCTGGTGGAATGAACCTACCACTTCGGCCTTGATGGATCCAGAGCGACTAGAAAGATAGGCTACCGACTTGGCAAACGGAGGGGTGTCACATGGGAATGGTGGGAGCATGACGAGCCGCGCGCAGATGTGTTTGTTCGTTGCCGATGTTTGGAAAACAAATTGATCGCCAAAAACGGCATCTTGTTTGCGGGGGAGAAACTGTTCGGTAACAAACTCAATGTCCTCTTCCTGAATAACAGGTAAAGTTAGGGTCACGCAACATTGCACGATCGATTTAAACTTACCTCTGTTGTGGTTGATGCCGACAGAGCGCTTAAATTACTAAGGAGCTGCATAATGCCGCATCAGTGACACATTCCCTTCGAAATGGTGAATCGCTCACCGACAGTGGTGGTGTGAGCCTGCTCATGTTTGGAAGATGGATGCTGTGGCATGGCACTGCGATGCGTCGGGTTTATATACGGTGCTTTGCCACCCAGATTTTCTGACTGTGAGACAAAGCAATTGAATTGTGGACTACTGTGGACTGATTAGCAGTGGGACAAAGGTCCACTGGCAATTAGCGGGAGCTCCACAAAGGAGAAACTTCAGTTTTCTTGACACGTGTTCGGAAACCACTCATGACAGTGATGCCCGGAGGTCGTATCCGGTTGTGGCTAGTAACTCCACCACCTGTCTCGACACCAACGAAACTGAGTGGACCACGTGGACAGGGCCAGTGTAAAAAATATAGTAGTGGCTTCACACGTACATATACATGTCTGTGTAGCATCCAAGCCAGAATTATGGATAGAGATGGTTAGCTCACGAAAGCGGCTGATCCTCTGCTTGAGAATCTGCAACGATCCCGTCATCGTCCCGAGGATGTTGCCGCATAATTGTCGAACCAGAATCTTTCCTAGCTTTGTGATTCCGTGCATCGGCAATTAGCCGTGTAAACTCTCCGTTGTGCGTTAACTACAACTTGCAATGAGCAACTGAGTCAGTAATGGAAGGATAGGAAGGCGTACTATGTGAGCTTCCGTATCGTCGACAAGATGTTTTCGCCCCTTTCTATCATCTTCCCATTTTTTCAATTCATTGCGCAGTTCTCGAGTGCTCTTCCTGTTAGATCCGGACTTATCCAAATTAGCATTGAAAATCATAACCCAACTGAGATCCGTTGAGAAACGTGGTATTGATTCAATAGAAGCCACGCACCGTTGATGTCGAGCAATCCACGTTTTCCTGTCACCGTGAATTGGTAGGTTGTAGGTGTGCAACAAATCTTTGACTTGTTTGTCCTTCAATACGTCATACGACGCCTTTGGTATGCGCTCCGTTACATCGTCCACATCATTCCTGTCCACGTTCCATTCTATTCTTTACCATCAGAAGGAAACTGGCGCTTACTCGTTATCCCTATTCTTTCCCTTCTTGGCCCATAATTGTGACCATTGATCTTGGGCGCCTGATTTCGTAGCACCGGATGCATTAGATGCCTTCTTGCATCCGGAGTCTAAATGCGTGTTGATATCCCCCATAACAATAGACACGTTGCAGATAGGACAGTTTACCATCTGACTCCCTGAGTACGAATTGAGCACTGTGCTTTGTACGATATAAAAGGATTCCCAAACCTTGCTCCATTTCCTCCTCTTGTGGATCCGACGAAGGTTCCATGTCTCTCCTTCTTGGACGCCTAGGCCTGCTTGGCAGGGGAGAAGATCGGAGCTCGCTTGAAGGACCCGGAACCACAACAACATCCGAGTCGGAGGAATCTGAGCTGATGCGTCGCTTACGTTTGTTACAGTTCGTCAATGGGGTTTTTGACCGGCGAGGTGTTTGTTCTCCTTGACTCCTTAGGGCGCGATTTTGTTGTTCACGTGAGAGCCGGAGTATAGTTGGACTATGCTTGTTCAGGCAAAGTCTGCGGAACGGAGGATAGAGGACTCACCGAGCAGTTTTCCATGCACTCACTGCTTCCTCAAGAATTGGATTTAGCCTGAATTGTCCCTCACTCGTCGACTTCCTGCAGCTTGGGCACTCTGATTCTTTGACAATATGTTCCCGAATACACTACCAGCAACATTCAGAGGCTGCATCAGAAAAGGGGTAAAGCACTCACAAGTGAGCAAAAGCAGTGCCCGCAGGCGAGTGTTACTGGTGCATCGTACAATTCGCCGCAAATTGTGCACCGCAGGCTCGCATCCAATTGTCGCAAGTCTGGCATGGGGAAATCGGTGGGGTCTGGGATGTTTGTGGAAAGGAGAGCTTGAACGTTATTTGTAGGCATTAAGCTCGGCTGGACGAGAGGCTGAAATATGTCGTAGAGATGTATATACCGAGATCGGAACGATAGAAGCCAGCTCAGCCAGAGTTCCAAGAAAAGAGGTTGCGATACTTGGTAGAAACGCGTCCGTCGCGTATTCACACATGTGACCCGCGTGACTTCTCGCGTTTGGATGTCACGGAACTTGCCTTCTCTTCTTATCTCCTTGTTATCTCCTCGCCGTGTCCTCGTCTCGCTTGTTTCTTTCAAGTGTTCACTTGGATCGGTTGTAAACGGTCGCTCATCAAAGTCTCGTAATTATATATTAGACCCGTGTCTGCGCGCAATAATATGCGGCGTTCCACTCAGCAGCGTACGCCTGTTGTCTAGTGTCACAACTCGATAATCGACGAACACTGCCGAGTTTCGTAGTGACTGTTTGTCCTTACGATTAATAGTCCAGAAATGCGTATGCGGTAATGGACTTCATCACTCCAAGGAAGAGCTCATGAAGATTGTGCAACACATCGTGTCTTGCCCCTTCGTGCATATGACAGCGACGGAGAACTCATTGCAGCAGGAGACTATGGGCGCCAGATTTGTGATACAATTGTGGACGCTTTCTCCGCCGATAGCAGTGATGGAGAAAAGTAAAACGTCCACGACTGCACCATGCTGCATTACTCTCGCTCATAACACAATCAAGAGGTCAAAGAAGTCAGTGTTTGGCGCTGTACCTCGAGAACTGACGTTCCTCGAAAGCTTTCTAGCCTTCCTCAAAGCTCAATCAAAAAGCGCTCGTCTTGGTCTTGTGGAGACAACGACAACAAGAGGATTCGTACTACATACATACTACGAATTCGTCCCTAAGCTTAGTAGTGCTCTAATTGCCCTGTTGAATTTCTCGTTGTAACATGTAGAATGTAACTCTCTCGTTGTGCACCGCGACCAGGTTCGCGTGATTTGATTTCGTGGCATGCCGCTGAGCGAACACCTATCTCAAGTATAGATGTCTATCAAGAAATAAGTCCATGAATGATACACTATTATACATGCAGGTGGGTATAATACAATCCGCGAATGAATCCAGTTAATCAGACAATGCCTTCAAAATCATACATCTCTTTTCCATCCTCGGGTGAAGCAACGTTGCGAAGGAGTGGATCAAGAGACGTCAATTCATCCTTGATGCCATTTCGAGCGACTTGGTCCAACTCCTTCAATAACGCCGACGTTATTTTCTGTCATTTTCTGTTCAACATTCATGGTTTCATGACATTCTAAATTTATTACCTTGAATTTCGTGTCCACTTTCAGGAGCATATCTCCCATTCCAGGTGTCCAGCTAGGTGGCGGGCTTCCAAGGGCACCGCCGTAACTACCATAACCACCATGTACATTGGCGATACCCCATAGGCTGGAGTCCCCGTCGTCCATTTGCTTCACATGGGAGTCCGCGCCAGAGAACAGATAGGAAACGCCAGGATGTGGTGCGAGGAGCCCAAGAGGTCCCATCATGTGTTGCCCAGAGTTGGGAAATGGGGAGGGACCGAGTATTCGCGATATTTTGTTGTAAACTTCAGAAATGACATCTAGGAGGGAGAGAAGGGTCTGATGATAGTCTAAAGGAAATGGCTGCGAACGTTTCGTCATTTGATGATGCAGCATCAAAACCGCTGGGAACGCACTATATGAGGTGAAACAAGGTATGATGTTTCCGATCCATCCGTATATGGTACAGTATATTCAGCGAAACCGCCAGCGGCTTGTCGTTTGGCCACTTTGGACCGGAATAACCGCTAGCACCCAAAGTAAGCAGCGAGCGCCTCGCAATAGTTGGAGAAAAGCTCACGATCTTTGGTTTGTCGGGCTCCTCCTTCGCCTGGTCATATTCATTCATAGTGTTCATCAGTCCGCGAAGAAAGTCTTGCACTTGAGGTATATCCAGCAGATTCGAGAGCGACATCGCAAGGATAGCAAATCGATATGTCCTATTATAAAACCTTAGCCAAAATCCCTCCAATGGAATCGCTTGCCGCACCGTTTGCGCATAGCTAAGTTATTGAATACCTTATCGAGTTCATTCTTAGACATCATAATGGTGTGGAACCAATGACTTCTCCTGGAGACAGTTATGAACTGGATGAATTAATGCAAGGCTAGACCGAACACACCCTTCATGTACATTTCTCATGTAGGTTAATGTGATGATCCGCTTCTGCACCAAGTCTCGGAGGTATTCGACAGAGGTCCCCTGCGCGATCACCGGGGTGCCATTTCCCACCAGCGTAGCACTAGATGAGAGGGTGTCAGAGTGAACAGATTGGCCATCCCATTCCCTGCCGGATGCAGCAATCGTAGTCGGGGTGGAGACCGAGGTATAAGCAACGCTGGTAGCTGATGATATGCTGCCCACCGTTGCCGTATTAACGGAGCCATTTGGAGGCTTAAATGACGACAGGAGGTTCTGCGCAGAACTCTTCCTGCGCATACTTGGACGAGATGACTCTGTCATTTGTGGACTGCTGGGCGGAAGTGCAGCCTGGAAAACCACCGCCATCTCGCGTAGTGAGAATCACAGCCGAAATGTTGATAACCCGATTAGGAAAGGTATCGATTGCAAGTTCGGCACTTACCAAGTGTTCTTGCCCTACTACCACCATCTCTTGTAATCGTCTGTGTCCTAGTTCTCTATCAGCATGGATATCACCGGCATAGCAAAGAACTTCACTGAATTCTATTATTCACAATTCGCCCAAGGCAGGTCGAACCTGGCCCCTTTGTATGTGAGCAACTTCATGATCCGTAGTGAGCTCGAACTTTCGGTATTCAAATACTTTTTGACAACTTCCAGCGGCCACATTCCATGTTGACATGGGAGGGCAAACAGTTCCAGGGTGGATCTAATATAGTCCAGCATCTGAGTGTAAGTCTAATCGTATTCTAACGCATATCGCTCACCGTTTTTCCGTGGTTCAGGAACTGCCTTTCGAAAAGGTCGCCCACAAGATCAGCACATTTGACGCGCAGCCATCATCCCTCGATATGACTACTCTCTTGATCAACGTGACAGGGTTGCTAAGGGTTCGTCCTCTTGTTTATCAATCGCGATCTAGCTGTTGACGACGGTGTAGGTGGACGGAGATCAAGAGTTGCAGTTCTCCCAGGTGTTCGTGCTGGCAAAGGAAGCCGATTCTTTCTACGTGTATGTTCATCCAACTTGGTGCCACAACCTTGCTCATAAATCTTTTACAGGCTCAATGACATGTTCCGACTCAACCTCGGCTGAAGCACGGCATATTATGATCCGGTAGATGAGTCAAAGATCCGTGGAAGTGTACATAATGGAGGACGGAGGCTTCTATCGTTTGTACGTCGTAGCTTAGCATCGAAAGTAGATCCCACTATAAATCTGGAAAGATCGTCGTGTCGAACTTTTGAAACAACACAGGATCGGCACAACACGCGTTCACCCAATCACCTTGCAGAGCATAATTCGGTATGAAAAACCGCAAAAGATAAGAAGTCATGAAGTCTAACACCAGGTAGAACATATATGTAGAGGGTATTAATACTAGTAATCAGTCCATAAGCACAACAACAGCCTCGAGGTCGTGCAAAGAACCTGCACCCAACCTCCCCATATATTATCCATTTAAACCCCAGCCACGATCCTACACAATAAATCAAGATCAGTAAAAGTATCAAGTCTGAGAGAGGATAGTCCGACGTACTCCTCAGCCTTGTTCAGTGCCGAGACCATACCAACAACTTCCTTCCGGCGATTGACGACAAACTCACTCTCCTTCAGCAGGTCGTCGAGCACTTCAGGTTTATACAACTCTTGGAGAAGCTCGCGTTGCAAGTTCTCTTTCGAGTGGTTGACGAGTGTCAGCACGATAGCCTTTGGAACCATGTCGATCATTTCGCGTTTGACGATGTTGAAGTACGAATGGATCAGTAGCTCTGAACGAGGAGGTTGTGTAAGTGAAAATAAAGATAAAAATAAAAATGACGCACTGATAACATCGGTCTCCATTGTTTCCCTCTCGCTGAGAGCAGACTGGGGTCTAATAACCGCTGGAGGCTAAAAAAGATGCAACTATAAGTTGCAGCACGTCGAGGTATACGAGAAGGACGTACCGCCTCCATGACAGGACCAGCCTTCTTTGGTTGCCCCTTCTTGGCTGACGAGAAGAACGAGCCGAAGAAACTCGGCTCTTCCTTCTTGAGATCAACGTCCAAGTCACGGTTGTTGATTTGACCTTGGGTAAGCTTCCCCGACTTGGCGTCCGGGACAGGCGTCGGTGGCTTGTTGGCGTTCAGTCTATCTTGAATTATTGACATAGCCTGTGCAGGATGCATGAGCCCATAAAAGATCATCAAAGTCGCATATACTTGCCCTGTGACCGCTAATGAAGTCGGGGTGAGTCGTGTTGACATAACATGCTTGCATCCTAATCACCAAGAGCATAAGAATGTAGAAAATGGTAAATTTTGAGGTTCTGTACGTACGCCACCATGTCAGTTACAAGCTTCGTAGTGGGGTTCATCGCAGTCTTGAAGAAATTGATTACAACTGAGTTGAAGCGCTCGCGGAGCGCAGGGAAACGTCTGAAGGCTTGCTGTACGGTCCCGTGAGCACATTATTGCGATCGTCAATTGCGTGATTACGTACGATCTTCTGTAGCAGTTGTCCAAGAATGCGAATGAGTTCATCATATACAAGTTGACAACATTTCACACTCGGCTCTTCCAACCGCTTGATCTGTTGCTTGACAATGATTTCAAAGGCTTGTGTACCAACAAAAAGTGATGGAGTTTGACCCTGCGTTGTTCAAAGTTTAAATCAGTAACCTCGGGTTCCGCGAGCAACAAACTCACCGACGAATTGTACAAAATGGTTCGGATATCCCCATCCTTGACCTGGTCGAAAGGGTCGATACCCTTCACACCAGTATTGAACAGCTCGTGGAAGACGAAGCTGATTCGAGCACCACCGCTCAACTCATTCAGCGAGAGGTCGTTGGTGTTACCGTCAATGACTGTCCGGAATTCGTTTGTAAACTCGGTGATGACCGAAAGGACTACGTTTCCAGAGGATGCATCGCCCATAGGACCGCCCAGGGTAGCCAGCTCGGCAGTGAATTTTTGAAGCTGCTGGCTAATACGGGCCTTGATGTCGGGCAGAGTGGCACGAATGTGTTGCATAAGAATCTGGGAGAAGGAAAACATCAGTGATCGTTCCGGACAGCGCATGAGGAGAGATTGAGGGACGCACCATGTTTAGCTTGCGGGCGAGGAAAGGCGTTCCACAATACTGCGATTTCCCTTTGTACGAAGAGTGTAACTCGAAGAAGTTGCGCTCCGCGTCCAGTGCAGCACCAATTGTTTTAGATGTGTCAATGTCGCGTTGCCCTCGGTTTACCACCGGCACGTAACCCAGACGCAGGGGAATGACGCGCCCTGCAAGGATGTCCACAACATCTGTCCCTTGGTCCCTTTTGGTGAGTTAGCCTCAAAAGCTGCTCGTTATAAAAGCATGAACATACATAAGGTCGACCTTGGTCAAAACACCAATCGTTCTCGTTCCTTCTGGGTCAACCTCCCGAGCTAGCTTTAAACCATCGGAGTTCGCCAAGTCTGTGTTTGCAGCGGTAACAGCCAAGATGATACATGCTGGACGCGAGATATACTTCAGCAGCATGTCCTTGATTTGCTTTTCAATGTCTTTGGGTTGGTCTCCAACAGGGACTTTGGTGAGACCGGGCAAGTCGACGAGAGTAAGAGTCAGGACATTGGGGGAGAATATGCGCAAGTTGATGGGTTGCGGCGAGATACCTGCATTACGACCGGTCTTGGCTTCTGTATCTTTAACAATCTCGGCACGGATTCTGTTAAAGTCATAGAACTTTTCGCCAGGAATGTGCAGGAATTCACCCCACTCCGATTCGTTCGCCTGCTTATCACTGCCGTTTAGTTGCGCTGCCGCGGAAATCAGCCTAAACGAAATAAAGCTACAAAAGTAAACGTACGATTTGTCCCATTGGCTTGCGGCGCAGTTGCGGGACGATTGATGAGTTGAAGGACTAATGGTCTCCGAGTCACGATACCAGTGCCACGAGGGAGGAAGTCTCTCCCAACGATGTTCTAATGCATTAAGTTAAGTAGTGCACTTCACATACTTCGAATATCGCGGTGCGCACCTCGAGCACACTACTCTTACCGCTACTTTGACTTCCAAGCACACAAATCTGTGGTAGGTCTATTTGGGAGGCAGAGGAACCGACAGCGGTGAATACGTCTTGTAGTTTGTTAATGACAGAGACAATCTCTGAACCGAGACCTGTTGACATGCTGGGCAGATTAGACGATGGACAAGGGCAAAAGGATAGAAGAAATGAACGAGCAGACCCGCTGCGCTGCGAAACACGCAGTAGCACACCTTGCTGGGCACAGCCACAACTCCAAACCGGAACAAATTTACTCTTCAAGGAGTCACTAGTCACTAGTCATGTCTCTGGTCTTGCGAGACATTCTGAACTTCTGCAATCGGTGCCGACGCGCTGTAATTTTAATTTGTGCTCATTCTTGACTGTTACCAAGGAAAATACTGTCTTTCAAAGCCAATCGTTTCAGCTCTCGTCTCACTTCTCTGCGGCTTGCCTCGTCTCCTCGCACGCGCTTGTGGCATGTTCTTATTGCTTCCCTTCTATGATATATATGGCTGTGACAAGGCAGTGATTGCTCACAGAAGATGGCTGGCTAGCGCCAAAATTCGTTTATTGTGGTCAGGACCGAATACCCCTTTGTCTCGCACGACAGCAGAATGAATTGGGCACGTATCGCGAAGATTATCTTTACGACAACTGATCATGAGTCACCCTGAACAATGGGTAAATTGTTCAATTTGTGGGGCCCCATTCAATTGCAAGCTTCGAAGCTTCTTTGTTATTATCGACCACATAGCGGCCGCCTCACTCGAGCCTCATGCCCATGCCCAGTGAGAACTGTCTATACTCGGCTAGGCCCGGAATGCCGATAAATACTTCGACCATCTTGTGACCATCATCTTCGTCTTGACCTCCACATCATGGAACAGTGCAATCAATGCGACCGTTCATTCCGTTCCGCTCAAGCTTTGTTTGCCCACTGTCGCGACAAAGATGACCATCCCTTTTGCGAGGATTGCGACAGATTATTCTTGACTTCCAATGGACTTGATCAGGTGCAATACTCATGTTGTCGTTTATCTCTAAGGCGCCAACTCACGCCCCTTTCATGTTAGCACCTGCAAAATGCTGCGGTACATCGCAGCGACAGTGAAGATGAGTATGAGTATGCGTTCGAGAGCGACGACGATGACGACAGCGATGATGACGATGAAGAACCGTTCTGCGGGGGATGTGATAGGTGGTTTGTTGACCTGGCAAGCCTTTATAAGCACCTTGCTGCCAGCTCAAAGCACAATTAGTGCTTTGTATGCTCCCGCGATTTTGCCACCCCAAGTTCATTGGACCAAGTAAGTTCTGCTTCGTTTTCCGCTTCTTATATTGATGAAGCACCCTATCGCACAGCACGCAGCCTCCCCCGTGCACAGGGCCCTGGATTTTGAGTGCCCTCTCTGTCCCAAGAGGTTCAAGACTCCCTCCTCGATCGCCCTTCATATTGAGTCCGGGACGTGCCACAATATCTCGCGAGCCCAAGTAACTGCGGCAGTGCATGTACTCAATATAGTGCCTACGATTTCGATCTCTCGTCGCATAGAGGGCGGGGCGCCCCGCGTCGTGTCTTACTATGTGACAGAGCGCGCGTTCAACGGCACTGCCTACGAGTGCTATCTCTGCCACCGTACTTTCCGCACCTCGGGGGCTCTGAACTCCCATATCAACTCTCCGGCGCATGACGCGGATGAGTTCAAGTGCCCAAAGTGCAAGCGGAAGTATAAGCTTGTTTCGGGCTTGATGCAACACATTGAAAGCGAAGGGTGTGGGATTGCTAGGTTCCAAGTGGTTGAAGACTTGACGAGGGGCTTGGTCGACCAGTTCATGCATCGCTTGAAACTCTAACTTCGATTGGGAAGGATCATGGCTGGTTCCAAAGGCTATTGTATTGTAAGTGTAATGTACGTTGTGTATTTTTTGGAGAAAGTGATTCATAATCTTTGTGTCGCCACAACCACCTAAAGAAGTACTGCTTTGCGCGACAGAAACTGAATTCATCTAAATGATATCCACGTGGCACCATTATTCTTTCCCACTTACACCACGTCGGTATCTCTCGTCGTCGTCGTGATGCAAACTAAGTTTGTAGTTGTGTTCTGTGGGGCCGGGACAAGCAAGCCTTAGCAAGGTGGAAGTCTCCCCAAGATTGCATCCAGGTGCACACACCAATATTGGCTCGCGGGACAAGCAAGATTACTGCCGATTTAGTCAGTGCGGTGCTTCTCGAAGAAGCTGTGGACCTGTATTATACTTATAGACTGCGCAGCCGGGGGCAAGCTGGGGTATAAGTAAATTTCTGATCCGGCCGTGTGCCTCTTCTCACTTGTTCTCCTCACCTCACTAGAGTCACCGCTCCCTCAGACATTCCAGGCTACATAAGTATCACATTTTCACTCAGTACAATTACTATGTCGCTCCGTTTTTACAACTACGCAAACAGCGGATCACCATCTGAATCCTCTGCTGTGCCGGGGCCTGTAGGTTCTCAATTTCTGATTGTGTATTGCTGCATCTAATGAGCGCTTTCAGGGGGGCCATTCTCTCGAAGAGATGTTCCTGTGTATGTGGGGTTATCCACATGTGCTGCATTGCAACCAGTTGATTCGCGGCTATGATCTTGCTGCTCACTTGCGTGAAGTTCACGGAATTCGAGGCTCGGGCAAGTTGCGCGTCGTGTGTAAATGGGAACATTGTTGTCTGGAGCTCAACAAAGCCAGCCTCGCTGGACATGTGGAAGAGACGCATATGGGGATTGCATACTCCTGCGAGTGCGGGAAGATGTTCTCGCGCAGAGACACTCTTAAGAAACACAGGAAAACCTGCACTGAGCAGTATGTAGATCCGGGGAGTCTTGGATAGATGTCGGCGTGCGTCTAGATTATTCTCACTGCTTGACCCGTTGCAGTAGGCCACTGCTCACTAGTACTGTACTTGGCGTTTATTCACTGTCATGACTTCGGTCAATATTTCTCCGGATCTACATAGGGTTATTATGATCCGAGATTAATACGTACCACATCTGAGAGACAGCCTAGTTTACGTTCACATTTGAAACTTTCTTCAGCCATAAGCGTGCGCTCTCATTGGTGGAGAGGTACTTAGGCGACGCTAGGCGCTCGGCTACATACAGGCTTCCGTTTGAAAACAAGATCAAAACTTGTTTTGACCGGTTCGACTTTTTTAGATGCACATTGCAGTACCAGCGTCCTCTATATATATCTGTTTAGATAGTCTCGCCGATCTCACACCGAAGCGATTAATATTTGCTAATGAGGCATGGGGTAGAGGCAGGGGTGGCTATGCCGCTCGATTTGTCCGTGGTAGTATAAACCAGACTGGTCCCGAGCCTTCGTGTTATTATTTTTTCCCGCTTACACCGTCTCGATGTGTCTCGTCGTTGTTGATAGGAAAATTTGTGGGACTCGTTGGAGGAGGGAAACTAAGGTTTTTGCCGATTTAGTCGGCGCTTGTCGAATGCTGTAGCCTGGGACCTTGGCAGGCTGATTAAGCGCTCGTGGACCTAATCAAGTGGCAAAGTGGCAAGTTGGCCTGGTCATTGATAGCACTTGGTGATGAAATGTAGAAGCATACACGAAATGATGCAAGGGGGAGCAAATTCAGGGTTCTAGGTAAGCCTGTACAGCTGGGGAGGGGGTATAAGTAACTTGCTGATACACCGATACAGTTGTGGCCCCAAGTTGCCTCCAAAATCAACCTTCTCATTTCGCAAGAGTCACCTCCAGGCTGCATCATAACTATCCCATTCTCCCTCGAAAATACTGCCATGTCGAGCCATTTTTACAACTGCTCAAGCAACGGATTGTCTGAGTCCTCCACTGCACCAGTGCCTGTAAGTTCTCGATCTTCTGACCATGCATCGCTGCATCTAATGAGCACTCTCAGAGGGCCCATTCTCTCGCAGAGATGTTCCAGTGCATGTGGGGTTATCCACAAGGGTTGCATTGCAACTACTTGCTTCGCGGTCACAATATGTCTGCTCACCTGCATGAAGTTCACGGGATTCATGGCTCAGAAAAGTCGCGTGTCGAGTGCAAGTGGAATCATTGTGGTCAGGAGCTCAACATAGAGAGCCTCCTCAGACATGTGGAACTGATCCATATGAGGATTGCATATTCCTGCGACTGCGGGGAGACGTTTTCGCGCGGAGACACTCTTGATACACACAAGAAACATTGCTCGAGTCAGTAGTATGCGGATGGGGAGTCTGTTAGCATGGTCCATGGATAGACTTTAGCGTGTATTCAGATGATTCATACTTAGCTCGTTGAAATAGGTCTTCTGGTATTCGTTAATTATTGACTACAACGCCATGAGCTCATAAAGCGTACACACCTGATTCGCGAGAGGAAAAATGCTCGAGGACCCAATCAGCTTGTTCCCACTTGACGGTTGGATCGTGATCGACGTCGAATTCAGCCAAAGGTCGTTGCAATAATGTGGAAACTGCGGGCCCAGATATCCTTTGCAAAATGCAAAGTGATGCCGCTCCAAAGACAATAGTCACATCGATTTTTTTTTGAAACAGAGATAGACTCTGAAATGGAAAGGCAGCGCTCGGAGGGGATAGAGACTCGTCGGATTTTCAAATTCTCACTCATTCTCGCCGGTAACTATTTGCGTCGAATTTAAGTCCGGTGAATGGAAAGACAGGAGACCAAGATCGGATAATTTAATTAGGCCAAGAATGGACACAGGGATGCGGACTTACTTGAAAGCTGAACTACTAGCTTGTCTAGAAGTCGGGGCTGCTCGTCGAGCGCTCATCGAGCGGAGCCTGTATGTAGCCGAGCGCTTAGCGTCGCCTAAGTACCTTTCCACCAATGAGAGCGCACGCTTAATGCTGAAGAAAGTTTCAAATGTGAACGTAAACTAGGCCATCTCTCAGATTGGCAGACGCGATGCTGAGATGTAGATATAGTCAAAAACGGGACTTACATAAGTGGCCATGGGCGCTTGATCTGCACAGCCAGCCACGTAGCGATCAAGCTGTGAAGCGAACACGAAGATACAGCATGAATACAGCAAGATCCCTCTTGGCACGGCTTTGCATTGAACGAAACGTCCACTCCGCCGCAGCTTTCATTTAGCAGGCGTACACGTAACAATTTGCATTGTCGTTGATGAACTTGAAGTACCTGTTACAAACTCGTAACAGGCTGCGACTCTTGACAAAGAGCTGAAATCTTCCCGCCCCCGTTAGGCAAAGTCCGCGAGCAAAATTCATGTCTTCCCCAGCCCCTGCAAAGCAACAGAAATCAGCGACGAAGCCTCGCCAAAAGATAGAAGGACACACCGATGCTGTCCGGAGAGTCTTATGTCTGTCTGGTGGACATCTGATCATCACGTGTTCATTGGATGGCTCACTTCGAGTCTGGAACTTGGAGAGCGGCACGCAGGTCGGAGAAGCCTGGAAGGACGAAGAAAGTGGAGGAGTGCGCGCAATTGCATTGTCCCCGGACAATAAGAAAGTAGCAAGTAGGGGTGAGGATGGCGCAGTGAGATTATGGGACATCGACACAAGCAAGGTGATAAAAAAATGGACGGGGCAAACAACTTGGGGACTCGGACTATGGTCCGTCTCCTGGAGTCCAGATGGAGGGCAAGTGATGAGCGGATCCTGGGACGGGACATTCAGTGTGTGCAATGTCGAGAGGGGTGAGACCATCCTTGGACCACTCGAGACAGGGGACAACTACGCTGTGTGGGCGGTTTGCTATTCTCCGGATGGTACGATGATTGCGACGGGAGGGAGCGCGATGAAAGTCTAGAATGTCAAGACAGGCGAACTGATCACAACGGTCGAGTTGGGCAGTGTTGGATCCCTGGCATGGACCGAGGATGGAAACACACTTATCGTCGGCGCGCTGAATGGGATCAGGAAGTTTGACACCTCCACCTGGACGGCAACTGCTGTTCTGCTAGTGGACCAGCACGACGACATATTCGAACCAATTGTCAATGGAATTGCACTCTCTCCGAATGAACGCATTCTCGCAAGCGCTTCGTGCGACGAGATTGTGCGACTATGGGACCTCCGCAACAATCAACCCATCGGACAACCCCTCCACCATGAAAAACGGGTGGAATCCGTGGCCTTTTCTATCGGTGGAACATTGCTCATTACTGGCGGCTATGACCAAATATACACATGGGATGTCTCTGATATCCTCGGAGAAACTTGCCTCGACGACCTTCTGTCAGATAATGTAAGTTTTTCCTATATTAGTGGGTTATGTTGCATTGGATCTCTGATCTACGCTTGTCACAGAACGCCGCCAACAAGTCAGTGCTAAATGTATGTGATATGTTTCTTGACCTTTTCCCTTGCTTTTGAGTATCTACATCATAGGCTGATGCACGACGACGAGCCCCGCAAATCGAAGATACTCGTCGAATACCCCGAGGGTTTTTCGACGATGTTAACGTGGGTGACCTATATCTATAATTGGACACTTCCTCTTGAGCAATATGTCCTTAGTTCCCTACCTCGCGCCCATCTGAGCGGGACGCCGGCCGCCCTCTCAGCCGGGCCCAACACTTCGTCTCTGGCATACTGCACAGACGAAATGGATCAGACATGGAGTTGCGAGAGCCACGTGTAGTCGACGTCCCATACACAGCGGCCAAGCCTGTACTTCATTTCCTTCTCGGTTCGTCTTTATTACTGACTCATTTCACACAGAGGAACTATCACGCAAGAAAAGACAGCTGCCAGCTCCACTCGCCCTCCCAATACTCATACTATGCAGCAATCCATGAGAACATCGCAGAGCACTACTGCAGTTGCAACTGGAACGTCATCGCAGCTTAATATCACCATAAGACAGGCCGGATGCTGTGTTGGAAGGTGATCCGTCAGAGCACCCGGACCGGTCTCACCTACATATATCTAGCGGTTCCACTCGCATATATCTACTAACTGTCATCTGTCATTGCACGTCATTCACCCTAGTTACTGACATTTTTCCTCTTCGCTACTTAAGATGGCCAAACGCTGTCCTCGCACCTCAGTCTCTCTTACAGTTGACTGAGGTGCGTATACCATTCACATTGTACTGTACACGATACTTATTAGCGTCCCTGTAGGCTCGCGCTACCTTAGGTTAGTCTACAGGAATTAGAGTCTCTCTTACAGTTGACTGAGGCTCGCGCTACCTTAGCTCTCACTCTCTAACATGCTGGACTCGTTTCTTGCTCTGGGTTGGTTGTGTGTTTATTCAATACACAGACGGTCAACGTTAGGTGCCGATTTCGTGCGTCATTAACGTTCTCTATTGGCTCACTCAGTTCTCCATGACCCTCCTGCGTTCCACCGTGATATTGTATATCCTGCTTGTTCCGCTACATGTTTCTTTTTCAAAAATCTTGTTTGCTACCCTACGTAGACTCTGCACCACACTCCAAGGGACACGCTGCTTTGATTGCACTGCAACAGGTACGATACACGCGCTAGGAATTCTATTCAGTCCTTGTGTCGACGTTGGACGAGCACCGCGCTGAGCATGTTTTGACATATACTCAAGTGCCTTACGGTTGGCGGGGTCGTGTAAAATGGATTATGCCTCTCACCCCACTTGGTTAGATCTCCCTAGCCTCCTATGACACGAAGACCTCAAAATGACGGTCTCCTCTGTGCGTAGAAGATTATTGGAATAACCTGTGTAAATAGAAACTTGATGACGGGGGGTGACACCGCAGACACTCCCCACTATCATTTCATGGTGCTGCATTTTCTATGGTCGTATTTCCTTTGCGCCTGCATGATTCACTTGAACAAGCAATCCCCTCCGGGCAGAAGCGAATTCCAGTTAGTACTTCTGCGGATTTATATGGCTTATGATTCGATATATTCTGACGTATTTGACTCGCGAGGACCAGATGATTTTACTAGCACGTTCATAGTCTCTTCAAATCCCAAAGTCAGTCGTTTACACATCATCCTGACTGGGACGTACTCACTAACCATTAGCAGAAAGCGCGCTGCAACTCCACAGGAGCAGAACTGTCCGTGGAGAGCCAGCTGCTTTTGGACTCTGGAGTGATCCGATAGAAAGGACTTCTCTTTCAAAGCCGCCAAGGACCATCAATTGCGATCTAGGATATTTGGCAGCGGTCCATCATTCTTCATGATCGTGACCCAAACTGTGACGCGTCATAATGTGTTGATGCTATGGCTGTAACAACCCCAGGCCCACAGTTTACCTCCGGACCGAGGCTCCACTACCAGGCTGTCAACCCCGCATTCTCCAATCATTCGTCACTAGTTCTGCTTCGTCACCGAATATTTCCCCGATGCCGACAATGTCGGAACGAGAAGCCGCGCGAAACGTTGGGGTAAACCTGTTCTCTACTAAAAAGGAAATCGATGAAATTTCATCAGTCACGCCGCACGCGTCATAGTCAATCGATGGATCAGCAAAGACTGAAACAAAGCGCACTTAGTTTGTGGGATCCTGGGTGGGATTAGGATAACTGTGAAGCTATCGCTCTCGTGGAGCAGCCGCTTTCCCTGACAGTGGATATTCGAAGAACATAGCAGGTCCATCGCTACAGGAAACCTCCTTCACCATTCATTGGACACGTATAGCTAGTACGTATGCGAGCGCTCTTCCGAGTCTGGTCTTCAAGATATCGATATTTTCGCGGAGGAGTCGCCCTTTTACCTCAATGTCGGATTGAGTAATTCAGGTGAAGTCCTATGCACATGACTTGCCATCCAGCGTGACATCGTTATCAGTTTTTCGGCACTCTCCCTCAATCTCAAACCAGACGGTCCTACAAGTTCTCTAATAATTTGCTATTGAACGCGATGGAACATGCCATAACGCCCGCAGGAATTCATTACAAATGACTTCATTATTGGGTGGTGGCTCCCAGTTCCGAGTTGCTGAAATCGCTTCGTTTCTTTCCTTACACTGATAAATTTGTTGTAAGAATGCAGAATAAGTGAGTACCGAAAATGCCATATTACTTCGAAGTTCGCAAACTGCTTTTATCAAATGCCATCAATATATAAAATTGCGTCCGAGTCCAGTATGACCAATCTACATTCGCGTATAAGATATGCACATCCACTGCGCCAAAGCTTGCAATAGGGCTTGCGAACAGCTGAACGCCATCAGGCAACAAACGCAACATTTAAAGGCGAATTTTCAAGCTTACAACGAGACTACAAAACTGCGTCGTAAGTACTTTAGTCACATTCTATATATTCCAGTCTTTGAGATTTCCTAGAGCTATTCCAAGATCTCCATTGCTCAAGTGGCAGTAAAATTTGTTCTGAAGATTCGTCAACTCATCAGCCAACTTCTCGTGCCATCAACCATACTGCACTGATGTGAAAGCAGAAACACGACTCACCACCACCTCTGCCACGCACCATAAAAGAAGCCCTACCCAGGTTTGAGGAAACACAAAAATATTTCCTACCACGCCGGTGAGCCATGTGGTTAAATCCAGGACGCAAACTACTTATACTCACGCAGAAACTAGGCGGTGAGCAGCCTGCGCAGTCCTTATCATGCCAGCAAAAGAAAGCACAATGGTCACTGGTAGCGTCACTGGCAGATATTGATGCTGTCAAAGCAGCAGCAACGGCGAGAACAAAGGAGAAACGCATTGTTGTGAGGATGCGATTCGAAAAATGGATCTGAAGGGATAGTAGGAAGAACCTATCCACCTTAAATCCTCCTTCGAACAGATGATATCTGGAATGCCAGCAGATTGCCACCTAAGATCTACCTTGCGAAGGTCTATTGGCAATTTGGCACGGAACAAAATATCACCTTATCAATGCCAGCTCGCAACAAGGACGGATCAACTTGTTGTTTTGTCTCCTTCTGCTTACAGTGAGTTACATATTAAGCTGCAGTAGCAGAATTTACTATTCTGCGTTTGAAGTAGGTACGTAGCCCTCACTTGAGACTGGAACAATTCGAATTCTAGAACATCCATTCACCTTACCTGTCACTTGTGACAACACTAGCTGAGGATTGTCCCCCGATCACATTCAGCATGATACGTTTTGCGTCACGAACTTGCAGACGCGTGCGTGGTGTACTCGTATTTTCTGAACACTAAGTTGTGTTTGTTGAAACAGCGAAGCTGGTACCTACACAAACAAGCTTCAATGCCGCGACACCTGAGCCCTCGATCACGTCCCGAACCCCTCATGATTGGATCACTCAATATTAATGTAGGTAGTACTCGTTTGTCACATTTGGTGTTTCTTGGCACTTGGCACGTTGGTTCTCGTTCAAATAATGGGCGGGAAAGGGTCGACCCACCACTCCCTACAAGTTTGAGGCACAATGACCCTCAGCATCGGAACTCAGGCCTCAGGTCCGACAACGATAGGTCATAATTCAAAAACTATAGTAGAGACAAAGGGCAAAACCCCTAGAATGAACCATCACAAAGGAAATACTTCGCTGGGAGAGAATTGATGGAAACATGTGACAGTCTGTCAGACAATGCGTGAACCCTGATTATCATAGGCTAGATCTAGGGAAAGCATATAATGATAACCTGGCAGTCTCTGAAAAATAAGGAGGTTAATTAGTAGCATATCTTGGACGTCTAGTAAGACTGATGCTGCGAAGTAGCATAACAACGATCAGTATACACACCTCAAGAGTAGGAATTTCACGATCCCTATGCCTCGACCAGAATGGTGGAAAAAGCAGCGTAACCCATCGCTCCAAGCACTACACTTATTCGAGTGTTCGAAGATCTGTTTTATCCGGAATCCAGATGCACCAGTGGCCAGCACTGCGCGATGGAGCAGTGCTGGCCACAGGTCAATGAGACAACAGGAAGAAGATATAGAATGGGTGATATTCGACCGAGTTCACTTACGGCCTACATTTCAGAAATGTTAGATGGACATGGATGTCATGTAAACCACAAGAAAACTCAGTATGCGAATGTTGTTGACTCAGACACGCTGATCTGCGACGTTGCCTGCATTCGGTATTCGGCGCGATAGACATCCAGGGAGGGACTGCGTGGTTCCTGATGGCACACGACTTCTCTGAGGTAGAAACCTCAACAGAAGTGGTCATGTTCCTGATCCGCAAGGGGGACTTGTCGGGCTTTGGGACGTTGTAAACAAAGCATAGTCAGAAAACGAGACTGGGGCGGTTGATCTGCACAGCCAGTGGCCATGCTGTGGATACAGCATGAAAGACGACGACTCCGACAAGATCTCCCTCATGTGCATTGAACAAAACTTCTGTTCCGCCGAAGGTTTCATTCCGCAGGTATGCTAGTGATATAACTGTGAGTAAGTGATAGCATTGGTAAGGCTTTCGAAGGGAACAGCTGAAATTACACCGCACGTTAAGTAAAAAACGCGAGTAAAAAACTAACCCTTTCCTTGCTCCTGCGAAGCAAGAAATATCAGCGAGAGCGCCTCACCAAAGGATGGAAGGATACACCGGGGCCCGGTAGAGTCTATGGCCCCTTGCGCTTGCCCGTCAAATAGCTGATCATCACCAGTTCATGGGACGGCACTTCGAGTCTGCAACTCGGAAAGCGGCACACGGATCGGGGAGGCCTGGAAGGACGAACAATACCCACCACAGTATTGTGGCCAGACGGCAAGAAAGCAGCAAACAGGAGTGAAGATAGCGCAGTGATATTGTGGAATATCGAGGCATGCAAGGTCATTGAAAAATGGATGGGACGCAAGGGGACTTTGGTCTGTCTCCCGGAGTCCAGATGAGTGGATCGCTCGATGGAACATTCAGAGTGTGGAATGTTGAGATCAGCGAGACCATCCTTGGATCGACCGAGGCAAGGAACGACTACAGATGGGCTGTTTGCTACTCACAAGATAGTAAGTACGATGATTGCGACGGGGCCGCTCGAAAGTCAAAACAGGCGAACATTCATTGAATTTGGGTGCACACTGATCGCCGGGTCACGTGAGATGAGGAAATTCGTGTACTAAGCCCGTTGGCTTACCTGCCAGTGAGTTCCATAAATACTGTCTGCGATAATGAAGCGTGAGCTTTCCTTATCACTGCCTTTTGGCGTAACGGTTAAGGGACGACAGTCTTGACTACTTACAATTCGACAACGAAGCATCTGGTTGTCGAGAAACCACAAAATGAAGTCTAAAGCAGGGTTCCTGTCTCTTGCTGAAGAACTCCAGTTTTACATTCTGAGCTTCCTTCCTTACCGAGATATTCTTCATTGTACATCCGTGAGTCACAGTCTATGATCGATGTTATTGTTGTCCGAGATGCTGATGGTAATCTCGTAGGTATGTAAGGCCCTTCGGAAGACGTACACATCCTCCTCAGAGCTTCAGTACATAGTTGAACTCAGTGGCCAACAATTGCTCCCTGTCCCCGACTCGGATGCCCGCACACCGATTTCCAAGCGCCTAAAACTCTTGAGGGACAAAACTCATGCATGGTTCAAGTTTGACATCCACTCTTTCGAAACAATCCCTGTCCCTGAGGAGCAGCTCTCTAATCACAAAATTGTCACTGATGGGCATCTCCACTCGTGGGCCCGGACCCGGGGCGGAGATGGACACTCCTTGGCCACGATCTTTCCAATACTACCAAAGCCCTCACAACAAACAATCGAGCGCAACTGGTCTATAGGGGCGTTGTGTCCACTTCCCCACGCAGTTAGTCTTGATGTGTTCATGGACCCAGCGCAAAACCTGATCGCGGTCCTCTATCATGATGATATTGGAGTTCTGTTGAACGCCAATGAGACCCTCTATATCGACCTTAGAGCACTGGATAGTGGTAGTGCTCACCCCCAAGCTGCCGGACAGGCACTGTTTCTGTCGGCGGTGCCCGGATACGAGTACCCCCCCATTAATACGAGCTATAGTATTAGGAAGCTCAAGGGTTTTGGGAGGCATATCGCTTTGCTGCACTCCTTGCTGTTCGAAGTTGATGATGATGAATTCGGGTCCGTGCATGTGTGGCAGTTGCAGATTTGGGACTGGAAACACTCAATGACATCCAGTGTAAGTCTTGGTCAGAATAGTTGAAAGACTTGACAGTTGATTCTCGGTTTAGAGCATCCTCAGCGACACATTATCACTCGATTTTCCTAATCCAATCGATTTTTGTTTCCTCGGAGACAATAGGTTGCTCGTTGTCACCGACGATTTGAAGCTCTATTCGATCGATGATATGTCCCAGACGCCGCAATTGCTGGCGTGCTTCCTATCGCCCTTCCCATTTCCGTCCGTAGAGTGCCTCCTTCCGATGGATGATATTGAGCATAGCTCACAACCGCAGATGCAAGTCCAACAAGCGATGTACACCTCAGACCCTAAACACCGATTACTATGCCTCATCGCGGGCTACCCGGATCCGCGTCAAGTCTATATCATTTCCACGAAGATTTTCTTCAATCTTGACGCAACGGCATCCACAACGCCTATACCATGGAACCACTGGGGCCCTTCAAATATTCGTATTTTTCAGCACCTGTATGATTGCCCCATAGTTCATGTTAGTGAGAATCGAGTTTTACAGGCATTTACCACGCCAGGCACTGGTTTCACGGAGTATACATTACATCTAATGGACTTCAGCCCACTAGCTGTAACGAACAGGCGAGGTCTAGGACGAGTGGTGAAAGAGTCATCTACGATAGACATAGGTGGGTTCCCTGGCAGGTCCTGGAAGCACTTGACTATGTCCCTGCCTTACGTCGAGGTTGTATCGGACAGAAAGTTTCGTCGTGACGAGTTAGAGAATATATGGATCGATAATGATAGGATCTATTTGCTCAAGAGAAGTTGGCGGCGCAGATTTACTCAGAGTTTAAATTATCACCTTGAGGTCATTGACATCTAGAACCAAGTCTGTTATCCGCTGGTTTACCATCAGCTAGCGATGGATTGTCGACGTTGTTTAGTTGTTGATTTTGTTCGGGCGATATCATAGTGACATGGTAGTGACATACTAGATTTATGTAACATCAATTTGACTCGTCAGTATACAAAAGATATGCGCATTCACTGCGCCAAAGCTTGCGAACCGGTTGAACGCTATCAAGTAACAAACACATCGTTTAGAAGACGAGTGTTCAAGCCTACAACGAGACTAAAAAACTGCGTCGTAAGTACTTCAGTTATATCCTATCATAATGTATTCAAGTTTTTGAGATTTCCTCTATTCCAAGATCTCCATGGCTTGAGCGGCAGTAAAATTTGTTCAGAAGCAAACTACTAATAACTCACGTGTCGTGCCATCAACCATACTGCACCAATGTGAAAGCAGAAACACAACTCACTGCCACACTAGCTCGCTGGCATACAAAGTAGACCTACCACGCCGGTGAGTAATGTGGTTAAATACATGACGCAAACTAATCACACTCACGCAGTAAACAGGCTGGTCGGTGCAGAGTGAGGAGTTGCTTTTTTGGACGCAAAAGGTAGGTCATTTTTTGGCACCAGTGTCAGCGTCACTGGCAGATATCGATGCTGTCAAAGCAGCAACAACGGCGAGGGCAAAAGAGAAACGCATTGTTCGTGAGTATGTGATGTGGGATCAAATAAATCTGAAGGGGACAGTAGGAAGACGCCTTGCTCTTATGTGCCGAATATTGTTCTTCATGACGATGTAGGAAGAACACATCCATCTGAAATATCAGCCTATGTATTACGCCTTATGCCTCGTGGTTGACTGTGCTTTGGTCTAGTCTGGTCTCTTTTCGCGGTCCTTCTCCACACAGCTCCAGGATTTCGCTCGCAAACCACCTTCGACCCTCATTCGCAAATCACCCTTTCGAACAGATGTTATCTGCAATGCCAGCAAGTTGCCGCCTACTAAGGTCTGCCTTGTGACATGAGCGGGCTTTACCAATTCTACCACGCAGGAGTAGGATCAATATTAATTGACTTGGCAGCAGGCGCAGGTCGGTAATCCTTAGTGTCATGGAAGAGCCATATGACCGCATACTGCATGAACCCTGCTGGCATCTTATGGCATGTCCGCCTCAGTCGCTGGTAAATCTTAGCATCAACAAACCTTCGCCGGATTTCAGCACTTCAAAGTTTGGCGGACGTGCTGTGTCAGTTCTCCACGGATGACAAGCTCATCCCCAGCGGAAATTGCGAAGAGAAGGACTTAGAGTGGGGAATACTTACCCGAGGATGCTTGCTGGACAACCAATTGTCCCACAAGTCAAGTTATAATTGATTTTCCGTCCCTCGGTTATCTCTTGTCACGTCTTTCTGATGCCAAGGCTCAAGAATCTGATTTCAAGGCTTGTTGCCGCCTTCGACTCTTATATAACGCAATGCGATGATCTATGCTTCAGGCAGATCCTCGCTATAAGAACGACATCCCACAATGCATAGCTGGGGACTTGCTCACTGCTGAAGAACTGCTGATACAAGAGATCAACGCTGATGCCAACAACTACAGGCCCATGTTTATCGCTCATTTGTCATGGCTGAAAACAGCTGAAAACCCGACGGGGACCGCGCGTTTCATAATGCATGTAAGTGACGTATGTCGTCCGGGTCCCGTCGTGATCGTCTTGACAGGAGCTAACTTTCGTGGTGACATAGTAGTCCGAATTAGTATTCAACGTTGCAACCCTGCTTGACGGGCTGTATCTCCGAGGGCATTTCCCTCTGCGGAAAAGCAGGTACAGGACGTGATCAAAGCATTTCATTTCGCATTCATGTTTGCAAACGAAAGTTTCGAAGACCATTCAAGTTCTTCTCTCGATTGAGGGACTTCAAATTATCCCCCTTTTCAATGCAAATCGACACGAGGACGTAACGCTGTCACTGCGTTCAAGGGCTAGCTGGTGCTTGTCCCAATGCCGATACCCTTGCCTCTCGTGTCGTGGAAGTGGTTCGTGGGTTGATACTGGAAGGGAGACTTCTGCTAAATGACATCCAGGACTTTGTGTCCAAGTTGAATCCGGTTGGCGGTATTGTGAAGTTGCAGTCTTTCTGTGAAAACGTTTGCTCGCGATTCGGGGTATAGCTCTGCGTGGAGCGATACCAACGTCTACCCGTCGGATGTTCTGCCTTCATCCAAAGTCTGGCGCACTGGCGGGTGCGCTTGGAACAGACGAGAATGGACGGTTCAAGAATTTTTGACTCCCAAATTTCCCCCTTTGATCAGAGGGAATGGACCCTCTATCTCGACGATCGCTCTAGGAGTCTACTGCGATCACGCAGGAGTTGGAGGTTACGACGGGCATGGATCGATGGATCTACGGACCCATGTTGCCTTCCGTCTAGGGATGAAACGTGCCCGAGAGAAACTCCAATGGGCAGCGACGCGCGTCACCACGTTCCAGGAAAACGTCGTATCTCATTATTTGGCATTTTGTCTACGTACTTGTGGGTTGCAGGGGATCGTGCTACTAGCTATAGCTCAGAGGTGACATTTTCTTCCCTGGACTGGGTTACATAATCATTTCAACCTTTTGCCAGTCGACATCACCGAATTGTCACCGAAGCTCCTCCGTGCACGCTGCCATTGCGCTGCCATCTTGTTTGAAGATGAGATCGATCTCTTCGCTGCAACACGTCGTTGCTTCGGAATTGAATTCGAAACTTTATTCCTGCTCGACAACATACGCTCCCCGTTTCGCGAACTGTAGGCTGCTTCTACGTTGTATCGCATTCTGTGTCGCAGGAATTAGCCGGAGGCATGCTGAAGACCATAGGACATATTCACATATTGTGGCAGGGCAAAGGGCTTCGTGATCTACTGATCGCTACGAAGACAAGTTGATTCCGTTCTCTTTGGCAAGGCTCACTCTGTAGACATCCTTACTTGTCCGGCCGCGGAATCACTGTGTCCTGGAACTGCCTTGGCATTGTAGACGATACGCAAAGTGTTGGTCCGTACCAGGGTCTTCGTCACACGAGTCACCCGGCGGGCCTCATGGAGAAAAGGTACCGGTTAGTTTTGACTCGAAGTCTTACCCATGAGCGTTGCGATTGATTGTTCGCCTTGGCCAGCCATTCAATGCATTGTTGCTAGCGCGGCGGAGAGTACAGATATCCACGGATTCTTGTCACCTTTCCGTCTACGGATGAAATATGTCCGAGACAAACTCCAACGGGCGTCGACGCGTATCACCACGTTCCAGGAAGATGACACATCTCATTATTTGGCGTTTTCGGCCACCTGCGACTGGATCATGGCTCGGCCAGGCAACATTTCTTCCCTGAACTGGGTTGCAAAATCATCCGAGTTCAATTCTTACTCGCGTTGCAATTGTTCGCATTGGACAGCCTTTCAGCGCATGTTTTCCAGCGCGGCGGAGAATATAAGAGAATTGCATCAAAACCTGACATCATTGCACGAGTCAAAAACATGCCATGCTTCTGTTCACAGCACAATGGGCGTCATTGGGCGTCATTACACGAGATGTTTCAGCTGGATAAATCCTTTTATCCACCCCGCTCAATGCCCCTTCCCGGTGGGTCCAACCGGTCAGCAACAGCAGTCTTGATTACCGAGTCGACTGGAAACACTGATAGCGACAGGTTCGATTCTCCGGGTGAACTTTTAACTTGACCGTCCGTGCCAGATATCTACGTGGCACTTGCATATTGCATTAATGACCGCCTCCTACATTATGAATGTCTAGAGCTTCTAGTTCCCAGTGAAGCACCATGAGGGTGGCGTTTCCTTGACACTTCCCCTGTGGTGGTGCCATGTTTCATCCTCGTTTGTAATTCACGCCCACATCATTCTCTGCGACGAATCCAAGGTTCCAAGAAAATAACGCAAGGTATTGCTTGGCGCATATACGTGTGGGAGCTGATCGGTGATCTCGAATGATTGTGTGCATATTCAGGCCCGCTTCAGCACAAGGCGCCTTCACATCAGTCTTGAAGGCTCTCGACTTGAAGGTAGGCTGAACATACAGCAAACGTACAGCGCATCATCCACGAGGCTATCAGGAGAGTACTACGCGTTCACATGTCGGAACCGACTGCTCGGGTAATGCCTTAATCCATGCGTAGAATGCCGCCAGCACGTGCGTGCACTCATTGGAGCCGCCAAGACCTGCCGTCTGTATGCAGGCCACGCCACCACTCAGAAGGACGAATACTGGATATCTCAACGGCATATCGAATCCTTCACTATGGCCAAGCACAATATACCTATCAGTCTGATCGATACGATACGTACGATACGATCGATTCCATCCATCGTGGCTTGCGTATGCACGCGCAACCACCGCGCGGGATCCAGCCTGCTGGAAATGGATTCCAGGATGGAGAAGTGTCCAAGGTCCGCTCGCGCATTTGTGGAGTCACATTGCATAAGATTGCATGTGTATTAATGCACTTCCTCGCCTCGTGATATCAGTCCCTCATATATGAAGACGCATGTGTTCATGCAAGCACCAACAGAACTAGCCCCTACAACCTTATGTGATTACTGTGTGCTGTCAGATATTACAAACTGATCAATCAGCCCAGCTCATACAATCCATTTCAGCCTGGCGTGGTGGCGCTTCACGTCATATTTCACATCATACCAACACTTTGACACCAACTGTCTGGACCAGACCCGGAAATCGAGAATCATCCTCTTTCTTCACACCGTTTATTTATATATATGCCGAGGAATTCGAGATCAAAAGTAAGCGAGCGCCTTTTTACGTTGTTCCATTGTTAATGATTCTCCTGAGTCCTGAGTTCACCCTGCATACATATTAGGTGATCTCATACCCTTAACCCAGCGAAAGCTTCTGCTGACGCCAGGCTGTGTGCCTCGTTTCTTACCAATCCATGACTGCGCTTGCCATAATCTGTGGGATATTTTTGCTTTTTATTTAGATGAACGGGCAAGTTACGACATTGGGAAGTGCTGCGGAGCGGGCCAAGTTCGACACTTTGTGACTCGTGTGCACGGATCCTGTGCCGTCCTCAGTCATCCGGCTCATATCCTGGCATTGCAGGCCAATTGGTTTGCCCGGATTTGCGTCATCTGTTATCGTCTGGGCGCGGCGTATCTTGGCGTGTGTTGGTCTGATGATGATACCAGCTGGGGCGGTGTACCCGCCGCGTCAGCGACACGGCCCCTAACCGCGCTCCCACCCCTCCCGACTCCAGCGGGGGTAGGTCTCTTACCCCACAACACCAAAGCCGAACGCATAAACGGCAAAAACCCCTCGTCTAAATCAGATCTCACTGATCAACCCCACTTTAATCGCTAAATCCTTCAGAGCCCCCTCGCATCCTCACTCAACCCCCACGTTATATTTAAGCTACATCAAATAGCTAAAATCCCGCCACCTGTCTGATAGACTTGCGAACCGTCAATCTGGCGAAGGAGTCAAGATAGACGTAGGAGATCAAGGGGGATAGAGAATGAGGCCTGGAGTACGTTAGCCATCACCCCTCAGCTCGGGCTACATCACTTCTGAGGGCGGGCTAAATTCCCTCTTCATTCCATGACAAGATATGATCCGAGAGTCCAACCCCGGGGTCCTGTACAATTATCTGGCACACGACCAACAATTCTTCCCCCACGTTGACTGTGACTTTTACTTGTCTATGATCTTTCGAATTTCCCCTGAGGTGACTCGACCACGCCACGACATGCCACGTCACCCAAATCGCCAGTCTGGTCGAGACGTGATCCGAGGGTGCTAATACTTACAGTCATCGGGCACAAGATCCGACTGACGCCATCGGATTTATCGTCTCGTATGCTTATCCCGGACTGGACACGTCCGAAGCCCCACTATAACTTACGCGTATGCGGTCTAGAGGTGTGTGATGCATATCTTTGTTTCGTGTCGTGTCTTATCAGATCATAGATATAGCGCTTCCAACAACTCGCCACGTCACGTCAGAACCCAGGTTCGCATATGTCTCGCGTCGATCGACCTTTTCGAGCAAACCCATAACGCGATCGAGTGGAGTGTGTTGAGCGTGGTGAATGAACTTCATACTCTCCTCACTCGTCTTGGTCGTGCTATGTACAAAGCTTCATATCGGCTCTTATCCGAATTATCGCGTCTCATCTTATCAGATCACAGCTCTACATAGGACTTACAACATCACGCGTACATAGGACTTAGTATGCAGTTCAATGCAATCTTATCGTTATTTATAAAATCTACGATACACATCAACAGTAACATCGCCCCCACCCCTCCCGCTCGACACATCTACATCATCCCATCAACTACAAAGGGAACAAAAACAAAACTGAAAACGAAAAATGGGCTGAACTAAAGCGGGTATAACTAATGCATTGCGACGAGTCCATGATGAGGATGAAAGTGAATTTAAAAAAAAGATGAGATGAGATGAATAAAAGTCAGATTGATCGACGCCAGACGGAAACCTAAACCGAAACGAGACCAAAACGATGAGATAAAGAGTAACGAAAGCATGATAAGAGAGTAAGAGCAAGGGCTTGAAGTAGACGAACGTCTGATTCATTTCGCTCCTCACTCTCGAAAAGATAGACGAGAAGAGACGAGACGGTGCCCTATAATCAACACAAAGAACAATGAGCCTTGTCCCGCACTTGGACATTGATGAAGGACGTACCTGTACCCGAGTCAACGCGCAAGGGGTGGCTATGTGATACAATTTATAGATGCGATACAGGATATACTTTGATGAGGATATGCCGGCATGTATATTTGAGGGAAATTGAGGGCATGTGAAGTTGAGCTTGATGGAGATGGAGCGGTGGGTGTGAGTTGAGAATAGACGGTATAAATCTCCGCAGGGAAGAACATAAAGCCCACGTCGAAGTCGAAGCCTAGCATAGAGAAGTTGGAGAAGGAGAAGATGATGATGATGAAGGAAGATCCGGAGTGGGGATGACATGCGGGGATGGAATGCCCGCACACGCGTCCACGCGTGCTCATGAGTCACGACTGCGCCTGTAGCGTCTGACACGGACACTAACAGAAAAATAAGGCGGAAATGAAGGGAAATTGACGCTGAAATTGGCGCTGAATGATGTATGATTGATCTAAAGGCCATAAATATCGATCAGTATGAATACTACTGCGGATGGAGCTATTGAAAGAAATTACCTCAGACGACCATATGCACGATGACCGGTACGCGTCGGGTGTGTTAGCCGGTGAAGACGATACGATACGACGGCTCCATGAATAACCGGCGGACGACGGGTTACGTGTAGATGAGTGCCACGTCAGTAAACCCACCAGCGCGGTATAGGGGTGGGGAGGAATATGAAGAATATTGGCAGGATAAGATAGTAGGGTAGATGAGGAGGTTGAGCTCGAAAGTTGAAGCTGAGGTGAAAGGGTTATGCACAGAAAGAGGAATGAACGAAGGGCGACAGAGCAAAAGTGATATGGACAGCGAAAGCGAATGGATTAGAGGAAGGGCTCGAGGGCGGGCGGGCGTGAGGGAGGTGGATAACCACGACTCCCTCTGAACTTTAATGGACGTAGACGCCGAGGCACGAACTCTGCATAGTTTGCGTTCACCGTTACCCATCTTTGTGCAATCCCTCTTTGTGCCGGCTAATTTTCTCTACTCCAGCACTCAGCGATGTCTTGCGTTGATCCTGAAAGAGGTGAGTATGGGGGGCATAAAGGAATGAAGAAGACGTACCTCGCTCAGCTCCTCCTCGCTCTCATCTTCTTCATCCTCTTTGGGCGGCTCTTCATCATCGCTGCTGCTGTCGCTGGTGGTGCTTTTGTCAGCAGGCTCGAGGGGGGAGAGGATGGTATCCAACGCGAGGTCTCCTCGTTCAGGTGAGCGTTTATGATGTGGGCTAAGTCTTATGGCCTGGAGGATACGTTGGTCTTGGTCTGGGAGGTTATCGGTTGTGCTAGGAGGGGTTGTGGGAGCTGAAGAGGCAGCGAGGGTTGAGCGATCGGTGCTTGCACTATCCACAGCAGAGGATCCATCAGTGCTGGTACGCCTCGAATCTGAATCAAGGGTAGCAGTTCCCTCACCAGCCTCCTTTTCTCTAGCGAGACGTTCTTTCTCCAATCTCCTACGACGAACCCAACCCATACCACTTCCATCGTCATCATCATCACCGACACCATCGATCCTTCTAGCAGCGCCACCACGACCTCCACCGACAGGAAGTTTCTGAGCGTGACCATGGGAGAGGAGAGCAGGTGCACCTTTTGCGAGTACGGAATACTTTGAATCGCTGCTGCCATTTACGCTTCCCATGCCACCATAACCCCATTCTACGAATTCTGGCTCGTCGCGAACGTTTGCAAAGGGATTTGAGGGGGGTTGACGTTTTGAGCCGTATACGCGACCGTTGAGCATGCGTACACCGTATTTTGTTGGGACTGTTGCTCTAGTTGGGGGAGAGGAAGGGGTTGATTGTGGGTTTAGGATACGGTTTGGAGGCATTGTATGACGACCGCCACCTGAGCCGAGTGAGTTTATGGAGGAGCGTGATGGGGCTGTGGAGGGACGTTTTGGTTGACGAGCTGATGTTGAAAGGGGAGTTGTTGTAGAATTGGTACGGGAGAGTGGGGAACCGAGTTCAGGTGATCGAGTACGACGTAGGACTCGGGATGTACCGAGAGTGAGTATGTCTTCGGCAGAGAAACGTTGAGTGGGTGAGTCGATTGTTGATGATATGGATGAAGTGCGTCTCAACAATTTAAATTGACGAAAGAAGGAAGATATTGGTTTTGATTTGGGTGTTGGAGTTGGGTTGGATGGTGGTAGAGCTTCTTCTGGTCGTATTGGAGTTTCGGTGTGACTTTGTTCTGGTAGAGGAGCGAATCTAATACGACGAGGGGAATGGACGTGCATGTCTGAGCATGAAGATGTACTGGAAGTAGAAGATGGGTAAGATGGTAAATGTAAGAAAGGTGACTGCGTAGGTGAATTTAATAAAATACTGTTGGTACGAGTGACCATTGTTGGGTGAAAGTTGAAAGAAAACGAAACAAGGACAGTCGTTGCATAAAAAACCATTCAACTTGTAATGAACTAACCGTAATATTATGTAAATTAACTAACAGTCCCCGGGGTCCTAATAACGATCCAAGATCTATCAGATCTAGATCTTAATTCCTAATTTAGATTTGTTTCCGTGAGGGCGGGGTATAGCAACTTATCCCTCCTCCCCACCTTCGTAGATCCTTGTCTGGAACATTCCGGTTCCGCTATCTTAATCCATTCTTACCCGTGCACTCACAGCTCACGTGAGACTACCTCCTCCACCGCCTTCCTCGTGAGACTACCTCCTCTTGACGACTCTACAATTGGTTATACCCAATCTAGATCACCCCCTCTATCATCTCCTACTCATCACAATCGCAAGTTTTCTTCTAGACCACAACAGTTGCCAATACCTACATAGCATCGTGCCTTGTAATATCCGTTACAAACACTACCCAAGACCTTTCAGTAGAATACTACCCCACCTCATGGGTCAAGAACAATCCATTGGAACTCTGTGTCATCATCCCAAGCAAAATCACGTCTGTCTTATCCTTCTGATTCCACTTTCTCTTTCCATTCCTCTTGGCTCATTCTTGGCGGCACTTTCCGGGCCCTTCCGCCCGTACTCGTCCTCACGGTCCTGAGTGGGCGTGTCGCTTTTCTATTTCTTTCCAATCTCGCCTCGATTTGCTTTGTCACTTGTCAATGTAAGTTTCAGCTTCTTGCATACTGTCTGAGTAGGTTGATCCCAGCGAGCCTTCTTCAAGCCGGAGACATGGTATTGTTATCCAGGTACGTCCTGTGACATATTCGTCTCCATTCCCCGGTTTCAGAGGTGCTGGCTCGTGTCGGGTGTTACCATGTGATCTCCGTTTTCGTCATTTACAGCGGAAGAGGTCCGAGTGTAAATCATTCACTCGAACTATCAGAACGGGCTCTGCTGTTTTGGTCTGACTTCACTTTGACAAGATAAATTGACAACGCCCTCAGATCACAACTTCAGCCCACATCACGGCATACGCCTCTACCATAACCAACATAATTATCGACTTCTCGACACCGCGGCTCATATACTGGACGTGGTCAGGGTAACGGTGCCTCCCTCCGTTCGCGCGATCGCGTCGCTTCACTATTGACATTCAGAATGCTAACACGTGTAAGGTCTTAGCATGCCAAGTTCATGATGCCGTCTGGGACGGTGATCAGAGTCCCTTGACTCCCTTTGCCAAGGGACGTGTCATCCTCTTGCGTAGTTTCAAGTGACGTTTTTGGATAGCGGTGAACATCTTGATGGTGTGGACGTTAATATTGTGAGGTTCCCTCTTCCTCTACGCCAAGGCCACCTTACCCATTTCGAACGCTAGTGTTTACTTGTGCCGTCAGCTGACGGAAGGCAATTCAACTCGGCGCAATGGAACTGCAGAACCAAAGGTCACATGCGCAAGAACACGCCTTATTTCAATGAAACAACACTTGGTTTCCGCACAAGTTCCACAGATGACTTGAAACGTAGATGTTGTTAGGGTGGATGTGTCGCATATCTTCTGCGACTACGGTGCGTTTCCACTCTGTGTTTTTGGCTTGCTTCCTCTTCCAAGTGAAATTATCGAACACTCTTTGGTTCCACATCCGGAGTGCTAACCCGCGTCAGGGGTTAGCACGTCAAGTTCATTGCCGTTCAGAGCGGGAGAGGTCCGAGGCTCCGAGTGCAACGTTCCTGGACACTACTTTTCCGCCATCAACTTACACGAGCTCGCGTGCACGAGTTCGCCGAGGGATGCTGTACGTACTGATTCTATTCTTTCAAGTACAGCATTTGGATAGCCTTCTGATTTATTGTCGATATAGGGACGAGTCACCCAGTGAACATCAGTATGGTGACACACCTCTCCCTCCATCTGCGCGATGCCGTCGGTTCCTTGACGCAGCTTATACACTCCGGATGTTGATAGGATTAGTACGTCAAGTTCATTACCGTTAAGAACGGAGGTGGTTAGAGTGCAAATGATTCTTGATGCCTATCAGCTTACGAATGTTGATTCAATTGATACAGCCGCAAGCTACGTACTTGACGTACTTGTCGCCAACTTACGGATGTCGATAATCGGATTCAGCTAGGCGCGGTTGAAACAGCGGCCGCAGGCTAGGGGTACTTGACGTATTTCGTTGCCGCCATCAGCTTATGAATGCCGATAAGCTTGAGCGGAAAAGGTCAGGGTGCGAATGTTTCTTACACTATCTATCGTCCGCATCAGCTTACTGTTCAGCGGTTGAAATAGCAGCCGCAAGCTACACAAGTTGCCGAGGTGTACTTGACGTATTTGTCGACGTCAGCTTACAAACGCCGATAATGGGAAGAGGTCAGATAGCAAAGGTTTCTTAACTCTACTTATCGTCCGTATCAGCTTACAATTGTAATGTCGATTCAGCTTAGCGTGGGCAGCCGCAGACTACGAGGGGTACTTGACATATCGCGATCAGTTTACGAACGCCGATCAGCTTGGCGCGACTGGAGCCATGGACACGAGCTCCCAAGTCACCGAGGGGGAGCGGGCTCCAGCCCAATAGAGACGTCACCTTTTCCCTATGTCAACGGGATAAATGAATACCACCGAGGGTCGACCGGAGCTTGTCCAATCCACGCTGCAAAGCACTCATCCACAGGAGTTTCACAAGCCCACCCGACCGTCTTGCTTCTTCTTCTTCTTGCATCACAGTTTGTCCGTTGGGGTCATTGGCCCTATGTTGGCCATGCCATGCTTCTTTCTGGATGCACCGGATGTATTTTTAGCTATGTTACTGAAATTAGACCCCGACCCGACTGTCGCTCTCGTGTGTTCGCGTTCAAAGTTTTGCACTGCATTGGACTTGGACTTGGCCCGACTTGGACGGACCTACAAACAGATACGAGTTGGCATCACCGAGGAGTGCTCTATGTTTGATTTTGTGTCTTATCAAGACCAGGACTTGTTTCGATGGAACAACTGAACATTGACCTGGCCGTCCATTTGTCCTTGCGCTGTATCGAAGTGAACAGCGTCATGCACGTATTTATGGCCCCTCGGTTAGTTCCGCGGGCGCGTCACTTGAAGCGTGGATACGGATGCGCTGAGGCAGTATGTTTTTTCGTCATTTGTCTGCTCTGCAATTACCGTCTTCCGTAACAGCACGCATCCATGGATTCTTGACTTCTTCAAGTTTGCTGTCAAAGTGGAGTGTTCAACCTTCATCTGCGTCGGTGCGCTATCGACATCCGGAGTGTCGAGCCGTTGGCATGCCAGATCCATTCTCGCCGTGTGGGTCCGAGTGCGAATGACAGTTTACGCCGCCGCTTTTCTCGTCACGATCAGCTCACGAACGTTGGTACAGCATAATCCGCGTAATTGAAATAGCAGACACGAGCTATGCAAGTCGCCGACAGGTACTCTACGATGGCATCATACTCCCAGGATCTTGTGTCGGCGCGATAAATGAATGCCACCGAGGGTCATTGCCCGAACCCTCTTCCCGTGACCCGTCTGTCCTTCTATCCACACTGCACCGAAGTGACCATCTCCAGGAGTTCCCCCACCGTCATGCTTCTTCCTAGACATATTTTTGGCTAAATCAACAAAATCAAATCCCCGTTCAAAGTTCTTGCTCGTGCGTTGGTATCCGGATCCTTGATCCTCCGCAAATATGACTCCGCGACTCGGAATTGGATGGACCTTTCAACTGGAAATGAAAAGAAGACATCAGCTCGTGGGTCGCCGAGGAGCAACAATGCGCTATATTGCTTTTGTCATATTTGAACCTTATTTGAACGGAAGAACTCACCTTTGGTTGCTCCCCCCTATCTCTATGTTTTCGTATCCACGCTACACCGCAGTGACCGGCGTCATGAGTCTCTCAGGCACTCCCGAGTCCCGATTGCTTTGCTTCTATTCTTCGCGGACGATGATGAGTGGTGGCGAGGGGTTTTCCGGACGGAACCTCCGATTGGTTTTACAGGTGCATTATTGAGAAAGAAAAGTTTTTCTTTGTTTTGCCCGCTTTGCGACTATTGTTCAGTCGTTCCTTTTCTTTCGTTTCAGTGCGGATCCGTACGTTCTTAGTCTCCCCTACATGGATAGGCCTAAGACGAATGAAGTTCCTTCTATGCCATGGTATGTTCTTAGTCTCCCCCACATGGGCAGGCCATATACGAATGGAGATGGTCATTCCTTCTATACTACTATGGTATGTTCTTGGTCTCTTAGAGTGAAGTGGTGCCTCTTTCACTTCAGCCCGCATCCGTACGTCCTTGATTTCCTTGCTCTATTAGAGTGAAGTGTTCAACTTTTTGATGGTACAGGGAATCAACGCTACATGCAACGGACATGACCGAGTTCAATACTTCCGCGTCGGTTTCCTGTTGAGTCATGGCACCAAGTCCATTCTCGCCATTTTGAAAATGAGATCCGAGTGCAAAGATCCCTGGCACTACTTATGGTTAGCGTCTGCATCCGCTCACGAACGTCGATGCAACAGCAGTTACGGGGGGCTACACAAGCCGCCGAGGGGTACTCTACATGCTGGTTTTAGTTCTATCAGGGCGAACATCACCGTCGATTCACCTAGGTTCATCGCTCCCCCTGTATCTTCTCATTTCACCTCCCATCCACGCTACTCCGAACACGGAGTTTTCCAGGCACACTCGACTGCCTTGCTTCTTTCATCGCGCACAAACGTATTTTTGGCTCAGTTCCTCCTGTTGGTGCTCCCTTCTAGCTCAAATTTTCCGTATTTTCGGATTTATGTGTTGGGCACTCCGTGGACTTGACTCTATAAATTGGCCATTTAGGATTCCAACTATTTTTAAGTATGCGTGCTTCTTTCGCTTTTCATCCTTACCAACTCGGTCGTGCTAACTCATTATGCCATAAATATAGACACCCTCGGTGTACTATGTACAACATGCACTCGCGGCAATATGTGTATAGGTTAGTACGTAGCATCGCGTCCAAGCATCCTTATCTCAGACATCAGACGTCGAGGCCTGTTCTGGAATATGGGTCCCCCCTCTACGTACGGGTACTTACCGAAGCTCTAGCCCCAACCAGATCAGGCAAGTTGTCGCAATCATATTCTTTCGCATAAGTTAATGAATTGAAGGGTTATCGCTCGGGAAACTTCGATTCGTGTAATGTTTTCGTTATCCTCACTCAGCATCGTCGTGTGCCATGATAAGCTCGTTTTTCCCCCCGTACGTCGGGCCTGAGCACCTCATGTCCCTCTGCAGATTTCTCATCGGTTTTCAGTCCTATGCTGCTTAAAACTTTCGAGGGTCGCAAATTTCTCCTCCGAGGAGCTCTCGCGAGTTCAACTATTCGCGCCTCAGGGTATTACACCTTCTATCCGTACGTGTTGCCAGCTTCTTCTAATTACCCTGACAACTCTTCTGCGTTTCACACTGGCAGAATCTGCCTTATCAAATGATAATCGGTTCTGCAAGTTCTTCTCAGAGAACTCAGAAACGTGCACCCAAGTTACTTAAGGCACTGCTCGTCGTTACGGCATTCTTCCTACGAACGACAGCGACTGTGCTGAGGACATCTCACGCATTGCGTTTCGAGAAAAGATGTGCATAATGCAACGACAACGTACGCGTAATGTTGTTCCATTTGAAATGCCCCTGATATTACGGACACGAAGCGTTTATGTACGGAAACACCTAAGTACAATACTTAATTAGAGTATCAGCATATAGACACTGCCTTCGTACCAATATTGTTTACGACACGACACACTCTGGTATCCGGGGGGACGATTCCTGAAAAAGCCGCTCATCCCTGACAAGAGGACTAGCTTAGGTTTCACGTGTATCTCAGAATGTCAATCTGTCAGAGGCAGCCGGCTGGCAGCTGACTTTACGACAGAGCATGATGGATCAGTCGAACAAGAAACGGTTCTCTCCGTTCGCTTCAATCCCCTGTCTGTAACTCAAGATCTGATTATGCCGTCGAACCTGACTTGCCTTCGCCTAACGGTTGATCTAGCTGATAATAAACAGGGTTCACGCATGACAAAGATGTCTGACAGGCTGCCACATGTTTTGCTCTTTCAGCGAAAGGCGGTGTTTCCTTTATCATGGTTCGTTCTATGTTTTGCCCTTTATGTCGTCTACTGGTTTTGAATAATGATCTATCGTCGTCGGACCTGAATTCCGACTCGCTGGTGGTCATTGTACCTCAACTCGGGTTGAAACTTGTGGATCTGTAGGGAACCATGGGTCGACCCTTTTACGCCGATTGTATAGAGAACCAACATGCCAAGAGCCAAGAAACACTTGGAAAACATGTGACAAACGAGTACTGAATAGGTACCTACATTGATATTGAAGTGAGTCAATTGTGAGGGGGTTCAGGACATGATTGAGCGCCCGGGTATCAAGCCTGCTAGTGTGTAGGTCCCAGTTTTGCTGTTTCAGCAAGCACAACGGCGTTCAGAAAATACGAGCCACAACGTACACCACGCACGTGTCTGAGTTCGCGACGCAAACCGTATGATACTGACGGTGATCGGGGGACAATCTGTTGTCACGAGCGAGGTTCTAGAATTTGAAATTGTTTCGGTCTCAATTAAGGGCTACGGTACTACCTGCTTCAAACGCAGAATAGTGGATAAGTTTTGGAAAAGTCGCACTGTAGTTTGATATGCGACACACTGTAAACAGAAGGAGACCAAACAACAAGCTGATTCACTCCTTGTTGCGAGCTGGCATTGATCAAGGTGGTATTTTGTTCCACCAATGGTCCTTGCTTCAGTGGCATCTTCACAAGGACTGAGGTGGTAATCTGCTGGCATTGACGATTGCAGATATCATGGATTCAAAAGGGGATTTCACTGGGTGAATAGCATCGCCATTAATAACAATATCCAGGATAAAAAAGCAAGGTGTCTTCATACTGTACCCTTCAGATTTGTTTGATCCCATATTACATTCCTCACAAACAATGCGCTTCTCCTTTGTCCTCGCAGTCGTTGCTGCTTTGACAGCATCAATATCTGCCAGTAACGCCGACAGCGAGAAATGTGCTACCTTTTGCTTCTTTCTAAGCGACTGCTACGGCTGCCCTGACAACCCTCCTTACTGCGTGAGTATGAGTAGTTTACATCCTGCATTTAACCACATGACTCACCGGCGTGGTAGGTCTTCTTTGTATGCACCTGAGCTAGTGTGGCAGTGAGTCGTGTTTCTGCTTTTACATCGCTGCAGTATGGTTGATGGCACGACGCGTGAGTTACTAGTAGTTTGTTGCTGAGTTGATCATTGCGTTTGCTTCTGAACGAATTTTACTGCCGCGGAGATGATCCTGGAATAGAGGAGATCTCAAAGACTTAAATACATAGAATATAACTGAAATACTTACGATGCAGTTTTGTAGTCTCGTTGTAAGCTTGAACATGGTCAAAGAAACCTTCTCGTCCCGATATTGCCGCATCGGGGAAATATTCGGATGTCGGTGACGAATGACATCGGAAAGTGCGGGGTTGACAGCCTGGCAGTGGAGCCTCGGTTTCGAGGTAAACTCTGGGGTTGTTACAACCATAGATGCCGGGCCCCACACTCAGTGTCATCAACACATTGTGACGCGTCATGGTCTGGGTCACGATCACGAAGGATGATGGATAGCTGTCAAATATACTAGATCGCAATTGACAATCCTTGGCGACTTCGAAAGAGAAGTTCTTTCTATCGTATCGCTCCAGAAGCAGCTGGCCCTTCACGGACTGTGTGGAGTTGCAGCGCGATTTCTGCTAATGGTTAGTGAGTACACGTCAGGATAATGTGTCAATGACTGACCTTGAGATTTGAAGAGACCACGAACGTGCTAGTAAAACCGCCTGGACCACCTCGCGAGTCAAATAAGGCTTGTTTCGGAGGACTTACCAATGCCAAGTCTTCATAAGGCCGGAACTTCTAAGAGCTGGATGTGCGTTCGCGATTATGGAGCGAACGGATGTTTTAGATACGTGCCTGAAGTGATACAGCTGATTGGTAGAGTCCTAAAATGTACAAGCCGTTTTCTGTCGAGTCACCAGGTCGGCAGACTGTAGTTCGATGTGGGGGGTACAAGTGGTGTCGTGCGCAGTCGCGGAGAAAGAAAAAGAGATAGCGAATGTCTTACATTGATCGGCGGCGGCTGACCGTGCGCATAATAGAAGGAACGACTGTCTTCCGTTATGGTCTGCCAAGCGGAGACTGGGCTGACCGTGTGATAAGTGATTGGCAACTCTCGCGAGGAGATCATTGAATCCTACGAATGAGTTGCGTACTGTTATGTTTGTTCAACGCAAAAGCGTATCGTGCACTTGCGGCGATTAATTTGTTATAGCACGGACTACGGTGCTGTTAAGTTGGAATCGCTTTTCAGAGCTCGTTGAAGATGAAAAAAAAGATATTTGAATTCGTGGTACATGTGGTACATATTACCTCCTGATAAACCGTCGTTCCACTACAAATTATCACCTAGAATATTGTGATGGGCCGCGCCGCCGCAGTTAAGTATTCTCTAGGGCGGAGCTTGCTTCCATCAGTCGCCTGAGATCTTGAGTCTTCGCTACTGCGGTGGTAGATTCCACCAGCGACCCTACTGCCGAGCTACCAGCACTACCATCATGCTGCTGTGCTTTTGCGAGCACCTGCTTGCTGGCCCAGTCGAGGTAACCCATCTTACTCACTTCCCACGGCCGTTTGCCAGGGTCTGCCAACGGTGATTGTGAAAAAGCAGCGACAGCTTCAGGTGTAAGGACCGGAAGCGATGATACTGCTGAGAACATCGAGCGGTACTGTTCTGGAATGCTCGCAAGTTCAGACACTTGCGGTGCTTGTAGGAAACAGAGCTGTTCCAGGCGACGTTCAGAACGGCGGCGTTTTGCTGAAGACAAGCGGACTGCGCGAGTCAACACACGCTTCAGGCGACGTTGCTGCACAGCATGAGAATAGGTTCAATGGCGAACTCGGAAACGTACAGCATCTATTTTTCTTCGCAATTCATCCATCTCTGTCATGAGCTCTGTTTCACGTTCTGGGGGGCAATCGAGATCAAGGTTCTCTTGGTGAGGGACCACGACAGGAAGATCGGCGGGAATGGCGAAGATGTTACGGAGTGACCACGTCTCGAAAAAGTCAAATGCAATGTCCGTATGCGATTCGAGAAGCGTCTGGAAAGAAACGAGGCCCTGTTCCACTTCTTGCGTGCTATCCCAATCCTCTTTAACTCTCTGTTCCCGCTCAGATGCCCAACGAAACAGAAAGCCCTCTAAGGCATCGACGGTGTTTGTTATTGCTTCGTTTGCGTAGTTTATAATGTCGTCGAGGATGAGCTGAGGGGAAAACTCGAGAATTTCGGGAAGTAACGCTGAAGGCACGGTAGGTTGTTGCGCGTTCATCATGGTCGCGTCAAGAGAATCACGACCACGTGATCCGATAAGCAATGCCGAATGGCTTACTCAGCAAATGCGTGTTCCTCCGGCACGGCAAGTCGATTTAAGTAACAGCACTGAGCCGCAAGTGTGCAACGTTGAACAAACGTTGACCAGCTCTGACCATCACTGTCGAACTGAATTGTACTGATTGTTCTTTATGATGTCTGCCGTCTCGCACGGCACCCGTCACCTTAGACAAGGTATCGGCGGGACTAAACACTACGCTCCTGGAGCTGGTCCTGCTCGATCCATTCATATCCCTGCGTTTACACCACCACGAGCACCCCAGACATCCGCTGCTCAACGGATTTTTACAAACTCTCGCAACCTTGTCTCCAGATTTTTTGCCCATTTAACTACTCCAGGACTTGCGCATTCTGCCTCAGTCGTCGCTCCGAGTCACTCGCTCGTCCGTCCTGCACATTTCCATTCCACTGCACAGAGCGTTAAGGCTTCGTACTCGCTCCCTGTGAGGAATGCTCTTTACCGCCCCTTGTCTTTGCCGCACCTTCCTCGTCCCCCTCGCATCCCCGGCAATGTAGCCTATGTTGGTCTGGGCACTGCTCGTTCATTCCATTCTGCGCGCCCCATATTCCAGAATGTCGTTGATAACGTCCCTATTGCTACCCGTGCACTTTGGGAGGCTGAATGGGAATTTAAGGCAAAGAAGAAGGAGGAGCGCAGATTGCGCAAAGCTAAGGAAAACGTGGCTCCCCCAAAGACCAAGGAGATGCTCAAGCAAAAGCAAAAGCCCATTGTTGCTGAGATCCCCACCGGGATCGACATCTCTGAACTTGACCATTACTTGCCGCAACCTGATGTGCCAGAAGTAACGACATACCTTCTCGTTCCTCTCGCACCTACTCCTACCGCTCGTCTGCCCCTATCTGCACAGTCCACTACGGGATCTAGCACACTCCATCCGCTTCTTCCTGTATCTGACATTGCTGCTGCGCATAGGATGCATCGCAACCATTCGCTTCGTGTGTCCACTCTATTCTCCCGATTAGATGCTGCGAAGGTATGGGATGATCCTGGCGTCAGCGTTGATGCCTACGCCTTTGGTACAAGTCCTGGCTTATCAGATAGCCATCCAAACGAGAAGCAGTGCACAGTACTCCGGGTCACTTTTGCAGGTTGGACAGATGTTCAAGTGCGCGGTGTCATCGGAGAAAGCGGTCAAGGATGGTGTGAACCCGAAGAAGTTTACCCAGACACTTTGTCACATTCCTCACAGATGAGCGCCGTCGATGACGCAAAGGTTTTATCAAGTCCTCAGTCCGTTGCTTCCAGTCTCGAGCTCGATTCAGCATGTGTGTCAGAATTGGACTTCGACAAAGATGCTGCTGTCGAAGTTGGTTCAGACTTCGAGCTTGAGTCGGATGAATGGGACTTTGGGCCCGGGTTAGCGCCCTCTCCCGAATCACAGCATAACTTCATTCTGCCCACTCTCGACTTTTCGTCATCATTTGCGCAGGTTGCGTCTCCTACCCAGTCATGGGCCCCAACGCCACAAATCATCCTTCGCACAGCATCTGAGCTTGCCGAGGAGTCTGGCAATGTATGGTCCCCCACTTCCCTCTCGCCGTCGCTCTCTTGCGACTCCCTGTCTGATCTGGGAATAGACGCAGCACGTCAATTTCCACATGTCACAGAAAGTGAAATGGAGAGGTCGTGGCTGGGGATTAACATGGGGCTGAGCTCCTCGTTCACTGAGAGACTTGAAAGTCCATGGTAGTTGGTTGGGAATGATCGGAGATACACGAATCCGCATCTTATACGTCACTCTTTTTTTCTGCTTTTGCGTTTTCCCGTAAGTCTAGCTCTTTTGTATATTCTGTGCCATTTGGAAGTTCGGTCATTGATTGAGCATGTATATAAAGATTTGTACAACGATCGAATGCCATCTTTTTCTTAGCCTCGCTGCAGTGTGTTTAGTCTCGCTGGGACACCGCACCTGGAGTGCTTCTCACTTGCGCTGGCACGGGGCCCCCTATGTTTAGGATGGTAAGCCTTTTACCGGCGACGACTAAGACACTGGCCCCGTGCGGAGATATGCGCAAGGCTCTCTGTGTGCTCGGTACCATCTCTGAGGAACTGGCTTCTCGACGTCATTCGTTTTTGAAAATTCCAAGGTCAACAGATTCACTACCTACAGCATGTATACATGATCACCCTCTATATAACAGTCCTGGGCAGAAAACCGAAGAGTATGTCAAGGTGAACTTCTCATATCACTCCTATCCCACTTGTGGTGGCAGGGTCCGGCGACAGCTGGTCGAACCAGCACCGTTGTCACGGTGTTTCCAAACGGTGACATTCATCTATAATATGTATTCAAATTGGAGGGCAGTGGAAAGGTATGTTTTCACTGATCCAACTTGGGGACCCATTGCAGGCTTAGAAAATATTCTGCGGCATCAGTGCTCGTCATTAGTGATGTACGCCTGCTTTCCGGCGTGCTTGAATATATTATAATACAAGTATGTCTCTCGTCATGTTAATCATTAATATTCCCCCTCATCCTATGCCGTATCTAGATTCTAGTGCCCCAGTTTGCCGACAGTAAAACGTCTGTCATGCGCTAGTCTCGACCAGACAAACAAATACCTCCTTAGCTGTTCCCGGTTATTTCAGAACGGCAATTCATACGAGACTAGTCATGTTCACTCGTTTACTGCAACTTTTCCGCGATTAAACCGTCCCTGGAGTAGCAAGATCACGCAATCCCATAGCAAAAGGGGATCGACTACCCGTCTACAGTATGGTCTGTATACTAGTAGGGAATGGTATTACGATCGTGAGCGGGAAGTTTAGGCCGGAGTCCCCCTGACACCTTATGCAGATGCAAGTCTTCTCCCTTTACTGCAATGGCCATCTAACTACCTCGCCTGCGCCATGTTAAAAATTAGATGACGCGAAGTCATAATAGTGGGCTCTAGTGTGAGCTATTTATATTTGTGCTGTTATTTTTGCCTTCTAGCTCAATTCTAGCTCTATTTAATTTTTAATCTTAAGCACTCGTTGGCGGCCGCGACCAACTCGGATGTGCACCGGTGAAGCTCGACCGGTAAGTATGTGCTGCGCGCGTGCCGGATTCGTGTCGAATCGTGCGCGTGATGTATCGCTCATCAGTTACCGCAGCGTCACCCCAGCTACACGCAGAATGCCGCAACTGGTAGCCCATCAACTCATTGCAGGGGCGTTCATATACTCATGTTTGCCTTTAGTAGCCTCAAGCTTCCGACACGGAGCGCTGGCAGGTTTTCAAGGCTTCGTCATGTACGTTGCATATTGTACTACCTGCGTCACAAAAATAGCGCGATATTTTCGGCGAATTTAACTTTATCGCTCTGCATTACTAGATATTGTTGGCTGCCCGCAGCTGAATACATGCTATCACTCATGTCCGGCAGGCGCCTAGCTGCGCAATTAATATGGTTTGTCACAGTCCTGTAAGCAATTAATGACGCCAAAAATACCTAGTTGCATGCTGATATCTGCTTGAATTCTGAAGAGCCCTATGCCGTGAAAAGAACTGTGTCTTTAAGAACATGATAGAGAAAGACCAATGAGGCAGCATCCATATTTCTTACAGCATGACGAGTCGGACATCCTTGCCACCGAGCGCCCGTAGAACCCATCGTACTTCACTAAAATTGGACGTTTAACGGTAACCTCACAATCGAACTGTGATAGAGTGTATACATTGAATCAAGTTGGAAATTGTGTGGGCACAAGAAAAATGAACCTCCGGGGACGACTCAGCTGCGAGGTACAGTATTCTGAATTGGACTCCTTGGTCCCCGTAAACATTGCCGGAGAAAAATACCATAAGGAAGACATTCGTTACTGGAGAAAAGACTTCTAGCATGCTCAAAAGCCGGGAGCGACCCAACCGTTCGCCCCATCATTTACTTATCGATTGATAAATAAGACGAGGACGTGGGACACGCACGATCTAGGCAGGCGTTCAACTATTTTGACTTCGAGGAGATGTATTGCGATATGCGAGGAGATGTATTGCGATATGCGGCGAGAAAGGTCTCCACGTGGTATGTTGCAATACATCTACTCGAACTACGCAGAGCTTCAGTATTTGCAGATCGATCTAGCGCTCCACATCTTTCGAACAGTGTAGACTCTTGCGGAGTCGAAGGACATCAACCTGCAAACGGCTGTGCCACGTTGACTCCGGATAAGAGGGAGATGGCAGGCTCATTGTCAGGCTCGGCCATTCCAGCGTGGTTTGGGAGGTGCTGAACCTAGCGATATTAATGTGCCTGCATATTGCGAGCAAGGCAAAGAAGTGAGAGCCTACGCGACGACAAAACCCTTCGATACTATGCATTCCAGCTCCACCCCTCACCTAGGGGTCCGGGCCGACTCCAATGCGTGCCTCCCTACTCCCCCCTTGAACCATATCACGTGAGCGCAGCGCACTGGACTACCAGGCACTGTCTACATTACAGCGTTGAATACACACGGCAAAGGGCGTATATCACGATCGAACCGGCGTGTCAATGCGTCAACGCACTCGATCCCAAAATCGTAGCACAATCTCAGAGGGACAGTTCGTTTCAATAGTGCGCGCTAAATACACATCATGTGGAAGTTTGAACTACAATGAACCTTTGATACCCATCAGCGGTGGACCAACACAATGTGGTGATAGCATCCTACAATGATTCCTGTCATGATTGGTCCATGTCTTCTTGTTCAGGCTCCTGCAAAATGATCTGCTCCGGCTCCTCTGGTGATTGGACATTCCCGTTATTTTGCCCAGAATTTGTTGCCGATCCTTTCGTAGAATTGTTTGGGTCCCCTGATCCTCCGACGCGAATGACGACGTTCATTGTAGACTTGACCCTCGTTGTGAATTCCTCCTCATGACCATCGCCATCTTCATCCTCGCTGCCGTCAAGCATCTGGTCGAAAACGTCCACACTACCCGTCTGCACTTCAACGCTCAGCTCTCCCGACACTATTTGAGGCAGAGAAGCGGCCAGCAGCGCTAGATGCGGGATAGCGGCACCCATTGCGCTCAATCGAATCTCGTTGAACCCATCTTCGAGGATCAGAGCCTTACACCGGCGCAGGTAAACTGCTAGCTTGGTACGTCGCGTGACGCAGATGTTATTATTGCCTTCCTTATGCAAAGAGCGTGGGGCTGTGGCAGGGGCGGACGGTGCGACGGTTGGGAATGGGCGTGGGGGTGCGAGTTTTCGAATTCTGGGACGGGGACGGTTATTGGGAGGTGCTGATTGCGAAGTGGCCATAGGGTTCTCGGTCGATGATCCGGTTATTTGTCCACTAGTCTCCTGGACCTTTTTGCCCTTCTGTAATTTGGAATTGACCTTTGCAACACCACTGCTATGTAGCTTGACTCTTTTCCGGTCATCGATTGGAGGCACATTCGCTTTGCGCTTTCCGGTTGCATTGCTCATGACGAGACGAAGCCCTGTGCGAACTGAAATAAATGGTGGCTCGCTTCTGAGCGCGTCAGCCGCAAATTTGAGTGACTAGATGGCATGCAGTAGATCTCACAAAGACTCGGTCAAGATTCGATTGGTGTTGATTCAGAGTCAGACTGAAAGTGCGCCCCAAGTCACTTGTGCAGTGAAGGCAGCCTACCCTAAATCCGCCACCATCCGAGCAAAAAACTTTGTGATTCATAAAGGCGTCAAATCAAACGGGGCCAAGGCGTCCCACTCACGTTTTCGTTTTCGTTTTCTTTGCTACTCTTCTAGAAACAGAAAAGCAATAACTAAGCGTCTAGAAGAAAGATCTGCCCGTCATGAGTCAAGATGTCGCAGAGCAGAACATTCAGATGTGGAAAGTAAAGAAACTCATCAAGAGCTTGGACTCTGCTCGAGGGTATGTCTTCACCGTCCCACTGAATTAAAAGCGATGGGCGTTGATCACGCACTGGATAGAGCGGGGACCTCAATGATCAGCTTAATCATCCCTCCTAAGGTGCGCCAATCTCAGCGCCCCTTCCTGCTAACTCGCTCACTTGCGTCCACTTGCTACAGGACCAGATATCTCGTGCCTCAGCTATGTTGACGCAGGAGTACGGTACTGCGAGCAACATCAAGTCGCGGGTGAACAGATTGTCTGTTCTTGCGGCCATCACCAGTACCCAGCAGCGCCTTAAGTTGTACAACCGAGTACCGCCAAATGGTCTCGTCCTTTTCGTGGGCACCATTCTCACCGACGAAGGTAAAGAGAAGAAGGTTTCATTTGACTTTGAGCCCCACAAGCCGATCAATACGTGAGTATCTCATCCAATGTATGACATCGATCTTATGCATGAAACAGTTCGCTTTACCTCTGTGATAACAAATTCCACACCGAAGCCCTGTCTGAACTCCTCGAGTCTGACTCTCGCTTTGGCTTCATCGTCATGGATGGTAGTGGCACCCTCTTCGGCAACCTCTCAGGCAATACTCGTGATATCCTACACAAATTCACCGTCGATCTTCCTAAGAAGCATGGTCGTGGTGGTCAGTCTGCACTACGTTTCTCCCGTTTACGCGATGAAAAGCGCCACAACTACGTTCGAAAAGTCGCCGAGCTTGCTGTGCAGCACTTCATCACAAACGACAAGGTCAACGTGACTGGACTCGTCCTTGCCGGAAGTGCCGACTTCAAGACAGAACTTAGCCAGAGCGACCTGTTTGACCCACGCTTGGGTGCGAAGGTCATCAAGGTTGTAGACGTGAGCTACGGCGGTGAGAATGGTTTCAACCAGGTGGGCTCGAGGTTCTCGAACTTTTATGTAATTACTAAAGGTGATGTGCAGGCCATCGAGCTTGCAGCAGATGCGCTGGCAAACGTGAAGTTCGTGCAAGAGAAGAGGCTTATCCAGAAGTATTTCGATGAAATCAGCCAGGACACGAATAAGTACTGCTTTGGTATTGATGACACGTTAAAGGCACTTGATTTGGGTGCCGTCGAGACCCTAATCGTGTGGGAGAACCTGGATATCGCGCGCCACGTATTCCGCAATGCTGCAGGAGGTAAGATACTTACTATCATTGCATTGCTCTGGATCTCATGGATAATATCAGAGGAAATCATCATCCACGCAACCAAAGAGCAGGAGAAAGACCGCGAAAGATTTTTGGACAAGTCCACTGGTCTAGAAATGGAACATGCCGCCGAGCCGCAGCCTCTCCTCGAGTGGTTTGCCGAAAAATACAAGGACTTTGGAGCAAACCTTGAGTTTGTGACCAATCGGTCGCAGGAGGGCGCGCAATTCGTTAAGGGCTTCGGTGGGATAGGCGGGTTGCTTCGTTACAAAGTCGACCTGACGAACCTTGCGGCCCTTGATGAAGATGAAGACGAGTTCTACAGCGATGATGACGATATCTGACGGTTTGGTTGGCTCTTCGGAGCCCCGTCCACTGAGGGCACGCCGGGCGGGGCGGAGGTGGGGAAGTTAGGGGAGAACGTTGGGACCGGTTTGCGCGAGCTTCTGCATTCGGTCATCTGTTCGAGTATCACACGCCAGTACTTGGTCTAAAGGTTCGTTCCGGTGCATCTCGAGAAATGATTGGCTAATAGTCGTCTCAGATAAACAGTTCTTAAAGCGTATGAACTACTACATGAGAGTGGAGCATTGAGTGATTCCTGTTGTTCGCCGATGAGTAGTTTCAACCTATGTAGTTGTATCCCGTTGTTCGTTTGATCAATGCATCTCTTGTGTTATGCAGTGTCTCAGGTCTCCTATCAGTGTCTGGTTTCATGGTGTCAAATGTCGCAAGGTATTTCTTGTCTGTCACAAGGTCAAAGCCAGGGTGGCACTTGGTCAAAGCGCATTCAAGGCGTGACGACGCGTGACGTCACACGCCCACCTTGCGCCCACCTGTGGTATTTATTGGTGGTTGTCAGCCACATAAACAGCCGCGGCGAACCATTCAGGACCAATAATTTCAAGCACATACCTTTGACTTCTAACACCCATTCCACGTCATCTCCTGTGCTACAACTATGGTTGGTAAGTTATACTTCATTGTATGCACCCCAACGGCTCCTATAAATGTACTTGGCAGGAAGAAAACGAGCTGCAGAAGAATCCCCCACCGAGAAGCGCGAGACGCGTAGTGCCAAGGTACCCAAAACGGAGAGTCGAAAGAGCACTAAGGGCACTGGCAGGAAGGGTGGCTCAAAATTGAAGGTCTGTGTCCCCGCGCCCCTCAGCCCCTAACTCTCACACCATGGCCAGACGTCGATGGGCGCTGCTACATTCAAATCGCGGGCGGAGTCCTTATATGTTAACCTCACACACACAGTGCCTTCCGCTGATGTTGAGGCCTCTGAGAAAGACCCTGGGTTCATGGCGGCTATAGAACTCGTTACGACGAGCTTTTCCACTGGGAGCTTCGGATGGAAAGGGAACAAGCGCATGACTGTGACTTTGCCACAGAGAGAGGGAGAGGAGGAGGCGGAGAAATTGCATATCTCGTTGTCGTGAGTCCTTTCCGCGAGTTGTTTGCAGTTCCCCGAGTAACCTTTCATTATAAGGATCAATGCCACTGTCATTGGCAGCAAAGACGCCAAGGATGAGGGTGAGGAGGGAGAGCAAGCGGGAGAGAAAGAAGCCGAGGGGGAGGACGAGCCTGCACAAGAGGGAGCTCCTCCTGCACCTGCAGAGGAAGCCGAAGGGACAGAAAAAGTGTCCTCATAAGCTGTATCTTTATTCATCCGTCGACAAAGTGTTAGTTTCTGAATGTTTTTATTTATCAGAGGTCGATTATCTATCTGTTCGATCTATATGTGTTCGTGCTTTGCAAGCTACTGTACATGACTATCGTTGAATTTGAACAACGGGTACTTTTTTTCTCATGTCAGTTCAAGTTTGCATATGCTGCTGTCGCATGTGAGCATGTCGCGTGACACAGGCGGCTTTACATACTGAAGCGCCTTGCATGAGCGTTCATATATAAATCTCCCACTGACGTCTCAAGCTTGTTTGTTCAGTTCACTCAGACGTTCAAGTTGGTTCTGAGGAGGACGCTAAAAATGGTCCTTGAGACCAGTGACTCAAACTCGGAGAAAGGTGGATTCCCACCGCCAACAACTACGAAGGAAGTCCCGACGGACTTCACGACTAATACCTATACCTATAGACATGGGGAACAAGCGAAGACTCGTCGGTTACTACTTACTGTTCTGAAACTAGCTACATGTCTCTGCCTTGCATCATGGGTTTATCGCTTCGCCCTTCCCGGCCCTGCTACTCCACCTCTCCCTTCCAAGTACTCTGGAGCCTTGCAGGACGACCCCGCGTCCGAGTTCCCAGACGATGACTTCCCTCTGCGTGCACACGAACCATGGGACATCTCTGTGGACTTCCCCTACCCGCGTACGCTGTCTTATGAGGTGACAGAAGGAACATGGCTGCGACTTGACGTACATCCCGTCAGTGGGGATATCGTGTTTGACATGGCTGGGGATTTATACTGCCTGCCGGCTGACGCGTATTCTGGAGCTGCTGGAAGAGTAGGTGGGAGGACAGAAGCGGTGCCAGTGCTCACAGGTGTCCCACACGATGCGGATCCTCGATTCTCGCCTGATGGAGACAGGCTCGCATTCAAGAGCGATGCGGGGCTCGGCGCTGACAATCTGTGGGTGATGCCCTGGGCAGCTGAAGGATGCGCGGCCATGGATGTCCGCGCGCATGTTAGTTTGTCACATGAGCTCGAGCTGAAGATCCAGGACGAGGAGCTGCTTGCAGGAGGTATCAAGGAGACCAGTGAGAGGAAAGCGAGGAGATTGACAAGGGAGGGAAGGGCAGACGGTGAGCGATATCAGTTTTTTCTCGAATCAAGGCGGGATACTCATGAAAGTACAGCGCAACGTATCACGAATGAGACGTACAACTGGGTGTCCGACCCACGCTGGCACTCTTCAGGGGATAAGGTCGTCGCAACAAAATGGTACTTCTCTTCACGCTCGCTCGGGGCTGGCGAAGGATGGGAGTTCCCCGTTCCTGCCATCAACACCAAGTCACAAGTTGAGGCAGGCGCTGGAAAGCGTTTGGTGTCAAAGATCCTGCCTATGGGGTGGACAAAGATGGACTACGTGGAGCAGCAGATAGGACACGAGCAATTCATATGGGCGGGCGATGATGCCTTGATTTATGCTGGTAATGTGAAAGATGTCGACGGGAGTTACACGTATTCCAAAGGTGCGTTAGCATCTGCTGTTTTATCAATGCCCTATGTGCTTCTGACTCATGCGTCTGCAGATGTCCATCAGGGTATTTACTCGATCTTCCGGCGCAACTTAACAACGGGCGTGGAGGAGACACTCGTTAACGCATTCCCTGGTGGTGCTAGCCGGCCTACACTGTCGCGTGATGGACGCACCCTTGCGTTCGTGCGCCGTGTGAGGGACAAGGAAGCACTCGTGCTCAAGTGAGTAGCATTTGACTTTTACTTTTCTTGAGAGTTCAGTTTATCTATGCTCTCCAATGTTCTTAATCTTGCATTTGGCGTTTATTTGGCTGACTCAACTACCGTTACTTCAACAGGGATCTTAACACGGGTACCCTGCACCATGTCTGGCACGGGCTCACCTACGACCTCTCGACAATCTACGCGCCGATGGGTACCTACCCGTCCTTCGCATTTACGCCCTCTTCGTCCTCGCCGGGCATTGTCATCTGGGCTGCCGGGCAGATCTGGCATGTCCCGTTGGCGCGCAATGCAGAGGGGGAACTTGTTGCCGCGACAAAAGTCACCAACAACGTAGATCTCATACCGGAGGTGATCCCGTTCACAGCGCACATCTCGAAGAAGCTCGCGGAAACGCGGCGTGTGAAGACTGATGTGCGCAAGTTTGAATCAGGCCCGCAGCGCATACGTGCATTTACCCAGCTTGCGCTGGATGAAGCTGGCAAGCGTGCAGTATTCGCAAGCGCGGGACAGACGTGGGTGCAGGTGCTCGGGGGTTCTCTCATCAACATCAACCCCGCTACGTTGAACCCTGTCAATGATGCGAATTTCCTCGGCACAAAGCCTCCACGGCGTATTCCTCACCTGCATCCCTCCGCAGGCTACTACTCACCTTCCTTCGTTCCTGCTTCTTCCTTCGTTTTGCACGCACGCTGGGACAATTTGCATTTCTCGTCTCTTGAGCTGGTAGATCTGGCGGGCGGGCGGATTTGGGCTGTCGTCGGACTGCCTAAGGGGCGGTGGTTTGGTGCAGTTGTAAGTGGAGCTGCGGATAATGGCGTGCGGACAGTAGTGCTGGTGAAGACCGGTGGGGATGTGTTGACCGGTAACGTGGTGGCCACTGCGCAAACGGGAGTTTGGGTCGGGGAGATGATCCTCCCGTCCCTATCCCTCCCTGCAAATACAGTGGCACTGAACAACTTGCGATATATCCCAAGTAGTATCGACCCCTCCGACGTCGTCAAGTTATCATTCGTGGACGGCACGGCTAGTGAAGTGCTCGTTCAGCAATCTGACCGTGCACTTTGGCTCTCATTGCGTGACGGTGCTGAGCAGGTGCTTGCTCAGGGGAAGGGAACGGATGAGATTATTTTCTCCCCGTCCGGGTCCGTGCCCTCAAAATCCTCAAGACGAGCTGGTCGAAACCAAGCAGCAGGGGGTGCAGCATTTGTCAGCCTTTATCACATATATTACGCGCCACCTTCCTCGGTGGACCCTGAGAATCAGATGTGGGCTAAGCCGGGGAAGGCACCGAAGAACTTGGCGCGTCTGAGCGGGGACGGTGGACATGATGTCGTGTTTAGCGGGGACGGGAGTGTGATCGGGTGGTTCCTCGGTGAGTTCATTCTCATGCAATTTTACCTCTCCCGAATTTGTCGTACATCAACTTCCGTTCCGACCTGCTAACAGCTGCATCAATTAGGTCCATACCTCCATACCCTCCCACTCTCCCGCCTTCCTTCATGCAAGGGAGCAATCGGAGCTGACGCATCTACCTTTGGGATTGACTGCGTCCGGGGTTTGCTGGATGTTACAGCAGTAGATGTCGCTTATACTCCTGATGTTAAACGGTTGTCCAGCGAGGCGCGCCAGTCAATGGCGGACGGGGCACAGAGATCAATGCAAGGACATGCAGCATGGAGCAACGCTGACGTCGTCGTCATCCACAATGCGACAGTTTTGAGCATGGCGAACGGCGTGCTCACGCAGGATTTGAGGCCGGGCGCGAGTGTTGTGATTCGGAGCGGAGTGGTGGAGGATGTTGGTGGCCCTGATGTTGGTGAGGGACTGGCAGGAGCGTTCATAATCAATGCTGAAGGCGGTCGGTGGTTTTATCTAGTTCTTTTTTGACAAGGGAGAGCTGATGTTGCATGATTCGTAGGGTATGTCGTTCCGGGTTTCATCGACGCACACGCGCACTGGAGTGGCACAGGAGACAAGTACCCAGCGACGTCCTGGGAGATGCAGACATTCCTTTCGTACGGCGTGACTACACTACACAAGTGCGTGATTTTTGTGGCTTTCTCCTCCACATATCCATTCACCACTTCACTTCCGAACCTACAGCCCAAGTCTACATAACTCCCTCGGCTACGTCGAGCGCGGACGTATCGAGTCTGGACTCATGGCTGGCCCGCGACTCTTCCATACCGGAACGGTCATCTATGGTGCATCGGAGTATCACATCCATCAGGACATTGCAAGCATGCGCGAGGCACGTGAAGCCCTTGTAAGGATTAAAGCCGAAGCCGGAGATGCGAGTTGGAGCTATAAGAACTACAATTTGCCGACGAGAGCTGCCAGACAACGGTTATTGACAGCTGCGCGTGAATTGGGGATGCTGTGTGTGCCTGAAGGTGTAAGTGCACCTTTGTGTTATGGTTTCTGTTGAAGGACCTACTGATTACGGATATAGGGGATGAACTATGATTGGGATTTAACGTATATTGTAGATGGTAAGCACCCAACTCTTGAGTTTTCAATGATTGTTAATTAGACTAGGGATGACCACGATCGAGCACAATATTCCTGTGTCGATGTTATACGATGATATCCTCACACTCTACACGATGAGCGGGACAGGATCTACTCCAACACACATCGTCGATTATGGAGGTATGTTCGGGGAGCAATATCTTTGGGCAACTGAGGACATTCCGAACGACCCCAAGTATGTCTCTGCTTCAGCCTTTAACTATGTGCCCTAAGTAACCAATTATCACACTCAGACTCCGCACGCACACACGACACGACATCCTCGAAGGGCTCTCGGAGAGCACAAGTCGGCCGTTCAACTGTAAGCCTTCATGTGGATTCATGCGTGAGGATAAGCCTGTTAACGTTTTGGTTCAGCGATGGCGCTATGGAATGTTTCTGCATCGGTTGCGAACATGGTGCACCGAGGGCTGCGCGCTCATATTGGGGCGCATGGCGAGCCGCCTCTTGGACTCATGTACCACCAGGAGATGTTCTACGCCAAAGCAGGCGGGCTGAGCAATTATGAGGTCTGTCTCCCCGTCACATTTGTTTGTTGAGTTTGATCTAATATGAACCCGGTGTAGGTGATTCGTGCAGCAACTGCGGATGCCGCAATCACTTTCGGTCTCTTCGACAGCCTCGGGTCCATCTCGGCGGGTAAACTTGCAGACCTCGTCGTTTTCCCGCCCGGGTTTGATCTGCTGCAAGATGATATCCGCCACACGCGAAATGTCAGGTATGTGATGCGTGGTGGGCGGATATGGGACGCGGAGACGATGGAGGAGATGTGGCCCATCAAGAGGAAGCAGGTGCTTCCGCCGTTCAATGCGGAGTAGGAGTCTGAACAGAATTCGCCTTTGTATACTATGCTAGTGGAACTTGGATTGCAGTGGTTGAATTCAAGACGACCATTGAAGTTTGCTCCCAGGAAGTTATCCACATTGGTTCCAACATAGCAACCCAACTGCTCGAGAAACATGGGCTTTAGAGTCCAAAAGTGAGAGAAAATACAAAGGAGCCGGCATGTTATGTCTCTGATCTGCTCACCCCACTCATGTTCATGTAAATATGCATGGCGGATGCGAGTAATTAACTAACACGCCTCCTGGCAAGTACAACTCCATCCGGCATACTAGGACATCATTCATGAAATATCTAACAGATCCTCCACTGTCCAGCCTCTGCGCTGTCCAAAGAGCAGGTGCTGGCAGCAGCTCCATCACGATCCTTACAGCCCAAACCACAACACAATTCGGAGGCTCAGAATTGCACTGCCAATCCAGACACCTGGCCCTAGTAGTCAGTCTTAGAGGCAGCTTCGACACAGCCATGACAGCCAGCAGCATGTGTTCAGATGTTGCCTGAGAAGACCATCTAATTGCGATGGTATTGACGCAAACGATCATAGGGAACGTTATGTTAAAACATTTTGAGCGGGGTACACCAAGAACATGGGGGAAACATGAAAAATAGATCTGTAAACAACATGAATGCAGCCAGTGTACAGGTATCGGGAAAACTGGGCAGTGGGACTGCAAAGTTTGAACCTTGAACCACACGATCCCAATGACCAGTCAGGGGCAATTTGAATGCAACTCAAGCAAAACTCAAGTGGCAAGATGTAACAAGCGAGCGAAAATCAGTATGCCACCGCGACGTTTCATATAGTAGATGCGCTGAATGCAATGCAGCTACATCATCACACGGAACACGCAAGAAGACGTCAGCGACAGTGATTCACACCGTGGCCGCCCCGTAGCACTGCTGGTAACTTTCCACCCATGTCTCCACCGTGACATGAAAAGTTTCTGCGTCTGATTTTGAAGGCAGCTCTGACGCCACGAACGAAGATGTTGTTGGCAAAAATGTTCGAACTTGAAGAAGACTTTCCGTGAGGAAGAACGATGAACAATTTTCTATGTCAGTGCTAGTGCTCATGAACTTGAGAGGAAGCTTATGTCAGTTCATATCGATGTCCCTAAAATGGTAATGAGAAACGCGTTGGACGCAAGACGCGTTATCTTCATCAACCTTCACGCGCACGGAAGCAAATTCGCGAGAAAAAAATTCAGACGAATCCAAGGGATTTTACGGTGCGGAGGTTTGCAATCGAGGACAAGAAATCCAAGCTTTTTCGTGTTATATGTTTGCTAGACTTCATTGTTTTATTCGAGTCAGACCTATGAACACAGTACAAAGGACCCACTTACCACGAAACGCGTCAATGGCCGCCACTCAAGTTCGCGTACAGTGTTTACCACCTGTCCTCCAGAGCGTACCCGCAGCAGGCAATAGTGCCAACATGACTGCAGACAAAAAGCACTTTACGTCGAAGCGATTTGCAGATGCGCCAATCTCAGCGCTATCCAAGGCGGGAATTAGACATGAGTGCGTTCCATAGTTTGCACTTGTCCCCATGTTGACAGGTCGTCGCGTAGGTTTCTTACCGATGTCCAAGGTCAGTCTCGTGCACACTGTATAATGCGACCGAGCTGATGCGGCAGCATAGATGCGACACTAGAGGCGGGTCTTGTTGACAATCAGTCTACTAAGCTAATGCTCGTTTCACGTAGCATGCATTGTCGGGCATAGATCTCCTCGTGCAGGCTAAGACTGGAACTGGTTTGCAGCATGTATTCACTGTCCAGCCATCAACTGACCTCACACCAAGGCAAAACTACGGCGTTTCTCCTCCCCGCCATCGAGCGGCTCGCCTCCTCCCGATCAACATCCTCCGATGTGGGCAAGATTCTTGTTATCGCGCCCACACGGGAGCTCGCACTTCAAATTGAGGAAGAGGCCAAGTCTCTCCTCGTGCACCACCCATACGGCGTGCAATCTGTTATCGGAGGCACCAAGTGCGCGTTTCTTCTCATATCTTAGTGCATACTAAGATAGATATTAACACCTGCAGCATAAATTCCGAAAAAAACCGCCTTAACTCTCCCACTGCTCGTGCTGACATCCTAATTGCCACACCCGGTCGGCTCCTTGACCACCTCACTTCGGGGCTCACCCTCCGCCCAAGTGTGCTCATTCTGGACGAGGCAGACAGGCTGCTTGACCAAGGGTTTCGCAAGGATTTGGAGCGCATCGTACAATTCTTGCCTGATAGATGGGGAACAACACGGCAATGCATGCTGTTTTCTGCGACTTTTGATAAGGCAATCCAGGAGGTGATTAAGTTTTATGTGCGGGAAAAACGAACACTGATCATTTGGGCGAGTAGATTGCCAAACTTTACCTGGATCCTGAATTATAAATTTGTGTCCACGCTACACGAGGATGAAATCAATACGCATGAGCATGGTGTGTATATCTTGCCCATATGCCATCAAGTAACTGACAAAGTGACACACATAGTTCCCCAGAGTTATCTCATCACACCCCTTGAAGACACCCTTCCGACACTCGTTTCCCTCCTCAAGCAGGCAGGCCCACAAGCAAAGACGATGCTATTCTGTACAACGGCACGTGGGACGGCCGTTGTTGCGAGTATTTTGCAACAAGTGTCTGCTTCCAAAATGTCTATGCTTCCCCCAATCTACCAGATCCAAAGTCGTATGACACAGGTTGCACGTACACGTGCCGCACAGGAGTTCCGCGATGCCCCGGAAGGTGCAATTTTGGTTTCAAGTGATGTCACTGCAAGAGGCATGGATTTTCCTGGGTGGGTCTCATCAGTATCTCATAGTCGTCCGATCAATTTTTTCTTCATTTATGTTAACCCCTATCTTTCTTTATTTTCTTACCCCTGCATCAGTCTACTTTATCTTCATCACCAGTTGTACTGACATTGCCCTACAGTGTAACACACATCATTCAACTTTCCCTCCCCACCTCACCCGCACAGTACATCCACCGCCTCGGCCGAACTGCGCGCGCAGGGGCTGGCGGCGAAGGCATATTGATTCTCATGCCCGACGAGCAATTCTTCTTGCGACTCCCTGAGATCGCCTCGCTTCCGCTAACGCCCTTCACACAGCTTGAAGATATTGGCAATTTGAAATTTAAGCTAGATGAACGCGCCATTTCCCAAGCATATTCTGCTTGGCTTGGGTTCTACAAGTCCTGGATTAAGCAACTGCGGTGGACGCCTACGGAGCTGGTAAAACAGGGCGCTGTATGGGCTCAGTGCTTGGGGTGGCCGAGTGTGATGGCGATTGGCGGTGGGTCTGGTACTTCTGGTGGAACCACGGCACCAAGAGTTACAAGGGGTGGAAATGAAGTGGTGACGTGGATCCCGCCACCTATCGCCAAGCGCACAGTGGGGATGATGGGTTTGCGGGGAACGCCGGGCCTGAATGTGGTGGATCGCCTGGACGATGCGGGTGACGCCTCAGCTCGGAATGCGGGAGGGGGACGCGGACGAGGACGCGGACAACCGAAAGCTGTTAAACCGCACACAGTTGCAGAAGGAGAGAGTGGTAATGCGACTGTGCGGACACAACCAAAATTCAAGGGAAGGGGCAAGGCCAAGGCGAAAGCAGGGCAATAGGATAATGGGAACGGCTAACCTATATATCTTGGAGGGAAGTTGGTGGGTTAGAGCTCGACATCATACCTATCATTATACCTGGACGATGCAACGCATTGCTAGTTGATTGTCTTTGTTCAAGCTGAGCGGCTCGGACATATGTCGCAGTGCCAGCTTCCCTCAATGACCATCATCATAGTTGTTGGTGCAACAGAAAGGTTCATTTCACGCTCCTGTGGCTGTGGGGGACGAGCAAGGTGGCGTCTTAACAGCATATAGGCAGACTAACGATGAGTAACAAGTATTCCAGGTGGCGAGGGCAGGGCACTGACAAGAACAAGGTGACACACGTTTAATCGAGGAACGTAATGAATGATATGATATAGCGATTGCAAAGCAACGAGCTCGAGTACACCAATGAAGCATCTAAAAATCATCATCATCATCAAAGTCTCGCCTACGCTGATACTTCGGTGATCACGATTAGCAATGGTTCATTATGACGTGGTCGACTACTCACCACTATTGTGGTCTTTGTAGTTGTCTTGGACCGTGCATCCTCCATCTAAATAAATTAGATCCAGCACGCTGGATGCACTACACGAGAAAGACTGCATACCTGATCAAGAAGGTCAATCAACTGCTTTTCGGTGACCCGTTCCCGCAGCTGTCCTGACTGAGCCATCCGCAAAATGATGGTCTCGATTTGCCGCGATCTCTCGGGGCTCACGAGGGCGATGCGGGACACTGGAAGTGACGACATTAAGTACGGGCACTAAGACAGACACTGAGGGCAGTACGCACATCGCTCTCGAGCAGCAGTGTCGAGGATAGTGGCCATCATATCCCTGCGCATTTCATCTTCAGCAGCCTTCCGCTTTGACTCATCTTCCCCTGTTGCAGTTTGGTTTTGTGGTGACAAGCCCTGAGGCAACTGTAGATTCTCCATGAAATGGGTGTTAAGAAGTGTTTAAAGTCGTGAAGGTTATCGTCGTCGAAAGGTGGGGAAGAGCAGTCAAGAGTATGGATGATCAAGACAGATTAGATATGTGTACTATTTGGTGTCTGCTTGAATTGCTTCCGTTACCACCGAGCTCGTCGACCTAGACAGCGACGACATCGATCCTGTCCATGACTGCAGCATGACGTTGACAGCGTACCAGATAATAAACCCCATTGCAACGCTACATGACTGTGCTCTGCCAGTCACTGCCCTTAGCTTCGACCCCGTCTCTGACACGCTCTGGTCTGGGACCAGTGAAGGCACGGTCATCGCGCTACATACCATACAGGGTCTTCGTGGCGTGTCTTTCCCCATCGGTGGTGTCCTTCAAGTCAAGCAGATCGTAGCAGGAGACAACTATGTCAGGGCGCTTGGTGTTGCAGGTGAAGGCGTCGGCTCGTGGTCCAAAGGCGGGATGAACAAGTGGTTTTTTCGGTACGTGATTTCTCCTACTACGTTGGTATATCCTGACGTCAAGGCTGTAGGTCAAGCTCTACGCTGACAGCGTTCTCGAGCTCTACATATACTTCCAATATCCTCGCAGCTTCAACCGCTGCACCTGAGCTTGTCCTCCTGAATGCAATGACAGGCAACCCCGTCCGTGTCGCTTCCTCCTCATCTGTCGCGACACACCTCCAGTTTTCACATTCCACGCTCCTTGCAGCGCTTACAGATGGACACGTGCGTGCATATGATCCCCGCACTGCGCTTCTGCGCGAGAACGGAGAACACTCGGTCCTAGCACATAGTAGCGGCGTGCAGGACCTCCAGGCGAGTGGAAACTATTTCTATACAATTGGGTGGGGTATCAGGTTAGTAGCGTGTGGTCGTGTATGGAAATCCCATTGATTCATTGCAGACGCGGTCACGATTTTCCTGATCCCCTAGGTGAAGGTATATGATCTGCGTACGATGCGTCCTCTCCCTCCTATCCCCTTCCAGGACGGTCCTGCGTTCATTAATATCCTACCTAAACACAGTTCTAGCCTCGTAGTCACCTCTGCGCAGGGTCTGGTCAACGTTGTCGATGTATCTGATTACAGTAATGTCTCCGGGTTTTATCAGGTATGTTAGTGATACTCCCCGAACTTAATCACTCATGTGTTGCAGCTCGATACTACATCCTATATTAGCTCAACAGCTGTCTCATCCAACGGCTCGTTTCTCGCTTTTGGCGACGCGCTCGGTGCCGTTCACCTCATGACAGCCATCACAGAGGACGCAGAACCGCTTTTCAATGGTTTTGAAGGCCAACCCATCGAATGGGCCGATCCCCCCGAGCAGCCCCCTGATATCACCTGGACAGATTCAACGTGAGTTATATCTTCCACCATTCATGCACCTTGTTCATTTCAACCCTCCAAAGACCCCTCAATTCCATTGGCATGCCACACTACAACACTCTGCTCCTCTCCTCTTGGACACCTCAATTTCTTCCGCGCTCTGGAATCTTGAGTCCACCTCCGCCCAAAATTCCACCGCAAGTATTGAGTACTATGAAGATGAATGACAATATTGCATACGCGGCTCTTCCGAAGGAGCTACGAGGACGGAGGAATCGTGTACTTGTGACTACTGCGAAAGATCAAGGGCGATTCAGGAGTGGAAAGGGCAGAAGAGATGATGTGAGTGTGATCGTTGTTTACTCGTTGGGCAGAACTGACAGGATCTAGCTCGAGCTGGAAGCACTAACCATCGACGACAGTGTTGAGGAGGTACCCAGAATATACCGGAAGGTAGAAATCGAGTACTCGAAGTTCGGCGTGGAGGATTTCGATTTCGGGTGCGCCCTCTTTGTCTCCAGTTGTACTCTGGCGGCCTTGGTTGATGTTTTTGCAGATTTTACAACAAAACGCCATACAGCGGTCTTGAGACACACATCCTCAACTCCTACACAAATTCAATGCTCCAGGTTATGCACTACACACTTCCCATACGGCGTCTCGCCAAGTCACATATCACAACAAATTGCCCAAGAGAGCACTGTCTGCTGTGCGAACTCGGTTTTGTGGCACGTATGCTCGAGGACGCGGGCGGCACGAACTGCCAAGGAGGGAATTTCTGCAAGACCGTTGGTGTGTTGGCTCAAAGTCAAAACCAGATCGAGTTGATCGACTACGGACGCGAGCCCACCGAAGTCGATTACGCCCATATGATTCAGTCCTTCCACCGGTTCCTTGTCGACCATCTTTCACTTGAAGGGAACGCCTTCCCACACAATCCACGCCTCATACATCAGCCATTCCAGGAAGACACGCATTCGCCTGCGGCGGCGCCTATCACACAGCTCCTCGGTCTAGACGCAAAGAACGTTATTACATGCATGAGCTGCAAGGCTGTGAGGGAGAAGGAGAACATGACGCATGTCGTCGATATGGTTTACCCACGGAGAGTAAGGGCACTTGATGCACGTACTAGCTTGTGATACTGACGGAGATAATCAGCTCACACCTTCAGATCCCCCTCCTGCAACAGATTTCGCCAGTATTCTCCGTGCTTCCCTGATTCGCCAAATGACACACAAAGCAACATGCCAGACTTGCAAGCAATTTGCCACGTTCAGTTCGCGACGTTCGATACCCTCATCTGAGCTTCCGCCCGTGCTTGCGGTTAATGCAAGTGTTTACAATGAAGAAAATCTCAAATTGTGGCTAGATAGCCGACAGTCCAGATTTTTGAGCCCGTCGGTGGAGGTGAGAGGCGAGGTGGATGGCGTGGATGAGGTAATGGGTGTTGTGTATGCACTGAGAGTGAGTTTATTTTCTTACTTGCCGTTGTAGTGCTCAGTTTGGTTCCTATAGGCCATGGTGGTGCAAATCATGACAAAGGAAAGACATTCACATCTAGTTGCGATTGTTAAGGGTGAGCTGTTTCTCTAGTTTTTACCAACGCAATCCCCACTGACAACGATGCAGTTCCTGAAGCGGAGGGCCAGTCGAATCTCAAGAGCGCCTGGTTTCTTTTCAACGACTTCGTTGTGCGTAATATATCAGAAGAAGAGGCGTTGAGCTTTCCAAGCACGTGGAAGGTCAGTTGTAATGTCTCTTTGTGCACAAAGACACTAAAGATGAAGCAGGTTCCAGCAATATTGTATCTTGAGCGGGTTGACGTCCGAGAACAGCTCGACTACAGCGGCCTTCCAGCGCAATTGGATCCGTCGATATTGAGCCTCGATACCTCTATCTCTGTGTTAGTAGATTCATCTCGTGGCAGTTTAAATCTTTTCATTTTTTGCCCGTAGGAACCGTGACGAGAACCTCGTTCGGCACGAGTGTCTCCGCTTCGAAGAACTCCCTAAACCTGGAACACTCGTCGCAATCGATGCTGAGTTTGTCTCCATGCAGCAGGTATACTTTATGGAAATCTTGCGTTGGGCTGTGTTTTCACGTATCCTGTACTTGACAGGAAGAAACTGAGTACCGTTCAGACGGTACCAACCGTGTCATTCGGCCCGCACGTCTCAGTCTTGCTCGCGTGTCTGTCCTTAGGGGCGACAACCCGAATGAAGGCGTCCCGTTCATTGACGATCACATCCATACTAGCGAGGTCATTGTTGACTATCTGACAGAGTTTTCTGGTATCAAGTGTAAGTTTTGTCTCGGGTATCTTTTTGTACCTGGCTAAATTCTGATAGTCGGTGACCTTGATCCGCATTTGTCGCGGTACACATTGACACCACTGAAGCTTGTGTACAAGAAGCTCAGGGTGCTCGTTGACCGTGGGTGTATATTCATTGGACACGGGCTATCGAAAGACTTCCGTATAATCAGTATGTTCCTTGCAAGAATCAAGCAAAGGCTACTCACCAACTGTGGTCATGGTCAGATATATTTGTACCACCAGACCAAGTCATAGACACAGTCGACTTGTACTTTCTGCGTACTCGCCAGCGGCGACTGTCCCTACGTTTCCTCTCATGGTTTGTTCTGCATGAGCATATTCAAACCGACACGCACGATTCAATCGAGGATGCTCGAAGCGCACTCAGGTTGTATAAGGCTTATCATGATTTTGAGGAGCGCGGTGTATTTGATGAAAAGCTGGAGCAGTTGTATCGCGAAGGGAAACAATATGTAAGTGTTATTGCTATTCCCTTTCCTATCCGCACAATTATTCGGAAATGCTAATCGGCCATTTCAGAACTGGAAACCACCACCCCAGCCAGGCGCGACGACTCGTTCGCCTGCTCCTGCTACACAGACCTCGCCTATCGCCCAGTTCCCGATGGTGAATCAGAACCTTGCACAATCACCGTTCAGTGCTGTAAACTTCGCTATCTCTAACCCAGCATTCTTTGCCTCTCCTGATATGGGCCAGTTCGGAGTTGGTGGGCCTAGTCACAGTTGGAATAACCAGAGGCATCGATGAGGAATATATGTTACATGCATGTAATCTAAGCAATGATTCTGTTTTGTATAGCAATCGCTTCCAAGGACGCAAACCGTGGTATACGATCAGTGCGAAATAAGTAGGCTGTGATTCATTCCAGGCTTGGGAGTAAATATAGCCTTCCCAAAGCCATCTTGACTTGAAGGGACAAATTGTGCTGCCAGGGCGTCTACTGAGATTAAAGGAGTTCATTTGGCAGTAGAGCCAAGCTCTGGTACTCCAGTGCCACTGGCAGTCTTCGACCCGGACCGTATCTGCTTCTTCTTTTTTTTTTTTTTGGCCTCAAGTATAGATTCCACGTAGCTGGTCTACACTCGTGTCTACGATTGCCAACGATTTCAAGAGGAAAAGCTTTCAAACGATCAGACTTATAATTACCCGAAATTTAGATGTCTGACTCATTTGCAGACCTCTGGAGCTCATCTGCCCCATCCAATGCCACATCTCCTCAGATACTTGGGGCTGCCAAACCACGACCACCTATTCCTAAACGACCACAGGACGCATTCTCTATTCTTTCTGCTTCGCAACCAACTTCACGCACATATTCTCCGCACGGTACTGGTCCTACCGCTCAGCCACGAAACCCAGTACCAGCAGGTGGTTCGAGAAATGGAGATGCCTTTAGTAGTCTTTTCTCTGGCTCGTTAGCAGATGGAAGGAACGATGTAACTGCAAATATGACAATCGCTGAGCGCGCAGCAGCGGCTCAGAAAACAAAGTTACAGCGAGCCCAAGCATCCCCCACAATCACTGCGCCTTTGCCACCGTCTGCCTGGGATGGTCTTGATTCTCTCGTACAACCATCGACAACTTCACGTCCTTCACCCTCTCGTTCTCCACAGGACGACCTTGGTTTCTCCGCGTTTGCCTCTTCTTCAACTACCGCCGCGATCAAATTACCAGTGGGAGATGATGATTGGGGTATATCTGACTTCACTGCTCCTCAACCACAATCTACCTCTCAAAAGAATCCTAAAGAAACGCTCTGGGACATTGAAGATTTTGATTCTTCTTCCCCTTCAGACCCTCAACTTCCTTCCCGCTCACGAACACCTGGTGACTTTGACTTCGGCGATCGCGAGGATGGCCTTTTGGAGATCCACTCCGATGATGCTCATGATGATATCCTGGGTGACCTGGCACGACCAGTCGATGTAGTCAAACCGTCTTCACGTGTATGTCGCACTAAAGCTCCCTCGCTGATTTATCACTCATCATTAATTCATTCGGCAGAACCAATCCACTAACGCTACACCATCTCCTCAAGCTCCCAAATCTCAGCGCCTTGCATCAAGGCCAGTCTCACCACCTCCACACATTGTCGGACAAATTGTGGAAATGGGATTCTCTCCTCAACAGGCGCGTATAGTGCTTGCAGCTACAGATACTGGTCTCGATGTACAGGCCGCTTTAGACACTCTGCTTGCAAACGGTGCCGGAAATACCTCTACCCCACCTCCGTCGCATGATCGCGACTACGAAGCTCGTCCGCCCCCACGACGCCCACCAAATCAGCGTGTTAACTCAAACCGAGACAGAGACAGAGAAGCACCGCGTGGCACCGAACCAGAAACGCATCAGTCTCCAGATATCAACGTGCAAGCGGAGAAGATTCTGGCACAAGCCAGCGAAATCGGTATAAGCGTTTTCAATCGTGCAAACGCTTTCTGGAAGGAAAGCAAGGAGAAAGCACAGCGGATATACGAGGAGCGTGCGAATGCAGCTCGGACTGGGACAGGGACCCAGCGAGGAGATGGAAGGCCACGTTGGATATCTGAAGAAGGACCGGATAGAGCTGAGACGGGGCACCGTGACAGGAGAGTGACAGGTGGGTTCAAGGATGACGATGAGGATCCCTCTCCGACTGTGAGACGACCAGAGGGACAGAAGATACAGCCTTCCTTGCAGCCTGTCGAGCCACCATCGCAGTCTCGGCCCAAAGAAGTAGATCTTTTCTCGTCTGAGGCTCCCGTTTATCAGTCTCCATTCCGACGCAGTCGCCCAACACCGCAGCCTCAGCCTCCCGCAGCTCCTTCCCGACCTGCTCCCATTCCCTCGCCTCCGAAACCACAGCGCATACTAGTCCCCGCATCGTCCTCAGCCCTCTCGACGTCCGCTTCCCACAAAGCTACGGGCACGTCCGCATACAAACTCGGGCAATATGCAAATGCAGAATCTGCATACTCTCTTGCCATCGCTGCATTGCCAGCCTCGCACATCCTCCTCGTTCCACTGCATAACAACCGTGCGCTCGCAAGGCTCAAGACTGGTGACTCACGTGGCGCAATAGAGGATTGTGTGAGCGTGATCGAGATAGTTGGTGATGATAGAGGGGTCATCGAGGGGGTAGATCTGGGGGATGCCCTCGTGAAGGCTTGGCGAAGGCGTGCAGAAGCCTGTGAGGGGAGAGAGAAATGGGAGGATGCAAGGAAAGATTGGGAGTCAGTTGCTGGTGCGGCATGGACGCCTTCAAATATACGTGCAGAAGGAGTGCGTGGAGCTGGGCGGTGCAGGCGGATGCTCAATTCCAATGCTGAGGGAGCTACCCCTGCATCAAAACCCAAGCCTAAGCCCAAGGCACCCTCGATCAAGCCTGTGACTACTCCCGCCAACTCAGAGGCGCTTAAGGCTTTGCGGGCTGCGACTAGTGCAGCTGAGGCCGAAGATAATCAGCGGCATGAACTCAAGGATTCCGTGGACGCTCGGTTAACAGCATGGAAAGGCGGAAAAGAAGCCAACATCCGCGCACTGATCGCTAGCCTCGACTCTGTTTTGTGGCCAGAGCTAAGATGGCAGAAAGTGGGCATGCATGAGCTTGTGTCGAATGCTCAAGTAAAGTCTCGTTATACGCGTGCTATTGCGCGAGTGCATCCGGATAAGGTCAGTTTTATTGCGACAGTTTTCGCGTCCTGTCGCACACCAGTATCTGCTGTCTTTACTCTTGGCGGAGATCACGAAAGCTGACCAAACTTCTTACAGCTGAACGCACAAAATACGACCCTTGAACAGAGGATGATTGCCAACGGGGTGTTTGGTGCTTTGAATGAGGCGTGGAATGCTTTTCAACAGTGATACCTCTTCAGTACAAAGATTCGTCCTGTAGTAATGGAAGGTAACGTGGGCCTGTATCTCACTTGCCTTGAGCTTGGTTATAATACGGATGCCGATTTTTATACTCCAGTGTGTGTGTACCTAGCGTTTCCGTCAGTTCTCTGTGTTCGTTGGTCTGACCTCTCCACTGAGCCCATCGTGTCGACAAAGATCATCACGTCTTTGCTCCTTGGCTTGTACGCCTGTGACCGCCGTGGCCCGTCGCCGTTCACAACAGAAAACGTAGCTCCATTCTCAGGCTGTTCGCCCTTTCCCGTCGTCGGTCACACCCCAGGCGCGACGACCCGTTCCTGCTATGCATCAGAACTTTGTGCAATCACCGTTGAATACTGTAAACCTCGCTATCTCTAACCCAGTATTCTTTGCCCCTCCTGATATGAGCCAGTTCGGAGTTGGTGGGCATAGTTGCAGTTGGAATAACCAGAGGTATCGATGAGGAATATATGTTACATGCATGTAATCTAAGCAATGATACTGTTTTATATAGCAATCGCTTTCGCTTTCCTTCGCAGGCGTCGGTGACTGTCAGCGTTGTGGCAATTCATGCCATTGGGATGCTAGAGCGGGTGTAGCTAGGGATCTGCATCTGCATTTGGAGCGGAGCCGAGAGCCGCCCAATCAATCTCTTCCCCGTGTTTCTTCTGCAGCCATTCATTTGCTTTCTTGAAGTGACCATTGCCCAGAAAGCCCCGATGCGCAGAAAGAGGAGATGGATGCGCAGATCTAACACAGAAGATTACCTACGTCCTAATCAAATAAGCTAGAACGTACCTTAGTACCAGATGCTTTTCCTTCTCAGCCTGAGTCAGTTTTTCCAAAACAAGTGGATCGCTGGCACGCACCTCGTCAATTCCAAGCCTGTCGTATAATTTTTGTGCAGGCAACCCCCAGGCAAAGAATACAACGCCTCTTCCGTCCGGGCGGTCGAGTACCGCTCGGATGACAGCATCCGTGAAAGTCTCCCAGCCTTTTTTAGCATGTGAGTTGGCGTTATGCGCCCGTACGGTCAGACAGGTGTTCAACCAGAGAACTCCAGCCTTTGCCACGGGCGTCAGATCTCTGTGTAAAAAGTAAGCGAATTGCGAGCTTGGGGGAACGGAGATGCGACAAACCCAGACGTGGGGACTTTGAAAGCGGGAATATCATTTAAGAGTTGTTTATAGATATTCTTCAGGGAGCCAGGGAGCTTGGTTGGTGGGAGGACAGAGAAAGAGAGACCTAAAACATTGTATTAAATCACATCATTATTGAGTTAAGCATGCGTACCGTGCGCTTGCCCTACATTATGGTATGGATCCTTGTCGAGTGGCGTGATGAGTGATGGAACACGTGTAAATTATGCAAAACGCACCTGGCCAAGTACGACGGCTTTCACAGAGTTAAGTGGCGTCAATCGTGACCAAGAGTAGATATCGTTCGCTACAACGGGTTTTGTAACCTCTTATCGAAAAATGACAGAATTCACTTACGCTTTGGGTATATTGTGTGTGAATGATGCTCCGCAATGAGGAATTCTTTGAGCTGACGCAGATGGGGCACTTAGAGGAGATAATACCAGAGCAAAGCAGTTAGGACACACCTTTTGGAAATATGGTTTCATGAATTCCCTCTCTAACGCAGTCCTCCAGGAATCCCCCATGGTATCGTGTTCTAAGTTCTCTATGGCAGCCTTTATGTCAGGTGCACTGCTCTGACATGGTTCTTCTACGACTGCCGTGGAAGTGATCGTCGAACTGCGGCAAGCATGTTAACTAGAATGTAAGTATTCGAAGGTACTTTCAAAGGGGTATACCTTTCAGCCTTGGTCTTCCGTCTTTTGGTAGTGCTCAAGCCCACAGAGCTGACTGCAACGCGTTTTCGTGACACTGAAGACATAGGACGAAAAAGTAAGACGCGACATGCATACATCATGATAGTATTGATCGCGCTGCACGTCACGTGATACGTATGTCTCGTTTAGATCACACGCTCATTGCCACTCTAGAGTCTAGATCTGCCTCGAAAGACAAATTAGACCTTCTCCGAGTCACGCCCGCCAGCAACGCCTTTATTTTGTCTCTCAGTACATAAGTAGATTACTAGCGTTCTTCTACAGCAAGTACAGTGCAAATTTGAGCAACCAACGTTGAACTAGATAGTGTCAATGCTCCCATAGACGTGATATCCCATACACAGAACATCCCCTGTACAAATCACTCAGGGTACGCTATTCCGACTTCGTGGCTTGTAATGGTTTGCATCGCCGACTGGTGCCCCCATGTGCTGGCGTGGTCACTGGAAAGCTAGGTATGCTCGACCGAGCGCCGGACTCATGCCGTGCCCGAGCTCGTTCTCGAGCTCAATAATAAGTAATGTTACATAGCACGCCAATTTGAATTTGAGTGGCGTACGTGGAGAGCATACCTCTCGGCTAATAGCGAAAAAAACTTGCGAGGGGAACGATTGAGAGTCTATGGGAGGATTCGAAACGTTCCAGGTCAATGGCATTTGTACGTAACGTGACAGGAACTTCGAAGGACGAACTATCTCTTTCTTGTTTTCATTTTCTTGTGTAGAGTCGTCCGTTCCTTCTCGAACCTTGTCTTTTTCTTTGGTTGCGGCCCGTCATCATCTGCGCCCTCACGATCCCCCTTCCATGTCGTTCGGGATCTCGATAGTGCATCAGCTTTCTTACCCCTTTGCCTCAGCTCCTCGTATCCATCGCCAAGCACCCCCTTCTTCGTACGCCCGACTGAGCGCAGCACATCCGCGAACTCATCTTCCAGGCCCCGACCTCGCTTCCTACCCTTCCCAGCACCCGTACCTCCGAGCGCCAAATCCTCTTCATCTTTGCGCCGCCTACGCGCATCTTTCTTCTTCATGATCAGCCGAGTGAAGTTCTCCTCCTCGAAGTCCTTTATACGCTGGATCTCGCGGGCGCGGTCGGACGCGAGGGCAGGCATGGAGCCAAGACCAGATGTGCCTTCGATGTGTGGGCGCGAAGGATCTTGATGGAGGAGGGTAGAAAGTGCCTTGGGGACAGGCTGCCTTTTAGAACGCTTGTCAGCCGCGGCTTCTGTATAGGGCATGGGTGCGAGCTTGGGAGGGCGGTAGATTCCATCGGGATCTTCAACATCTGAAGCGGCATCGTGGTCCTCGTCGGAGCGTTGCTCGTTATCGACGAGATTTTTGGGATTAGGGCGGAAGGCGAGGGGATCTGAGAGAGCATATTGATGAGGGATTTTTATTACAACGAAAAAGAACATACCTTCAGCTACGTCTTTGCCCGACGGCACTTCTTCAGCAACTCTGACGAGCTTTTCGATCTGGTATCGCATCCTGCTTTCCAGGACTTTTATTTTTTCGAGTACAATACGACCCTCAATCATAGAGTCGACCAGATCACCAGCACCTGGGCCTCGCGCCTCTCGATCCATAGTACTGAAAGGAGAACTGGCTGGTGTTCTCTCTGTTAACGAGTCCCCAGTTATTCGGCGTGCAGAAACCAGAACAAGCGACTGCAAGTACGACAGAAGCAGGTGGTGTTTGAGGGAAAGCAAAGATATGCCGTCCTTCATATCCATCTCATCCGAAGTTTTTAATCTGGAGAAATGTTAATAAGAGCTCGACTGTCGTAGGGTGCAAACTTTTTACTTTTCTTTGAGGGAATGCATCAAGTCTCGCACTGATGCCATACTAGTGGTCATTTCATCGAGTATGCCGCAGACAACTTGCGAATCCGCCATTCCGAGCAGTGTAGTGCAGCTCGCTATTGCTTAAACGCGGATGTTAAGCCAGAGGTGGACGAGGTTTCAAATTTCAAGTGCAAGGTTTTAACCATCGTTTCTTACTAATACATTCAGCCTTTTCTATAGAGAAAAGCACGAAAGCAAATCATATCATGGTAGTTGAAAACAGAGCGTAAGGTTCTCACTTATTTAAATGCATGATATAAGTACTTTCGAGACAGTAAGCTAGTACTAGTCGATGAGGTGCACTAATCTACTCTTCTCTTATTTACATAATGCTGGGCTACCCTCAAGAAGGTAGGGTCATTGAATATTAACACGGACAGACTTAACTCAGCTGCCATGTCGCAGTTCCGCCTCTCACCCTCACCACCAGAGCTACCAATGGAGATCTACCAAACCAATGATCGATCTCTCACAAATTCTCGGTGACCCGTTGAGACACTGCCCACGAGTACAATGAACCTCGCGTGCGAGCAGCAATGGCCGAAAGAAGGGCGAGAGCCCGCAAATATGCGGGGCGATCATCAAAGCTACATGGACATGGAAGTCGAGGTCGAGGACAGCGGATCCGTAGTTAACGATGCGGAGAACCTACGGCCATACCGCGGCCACGTGATGGTGGTTGACTGTGGGGAAAAGTCAATATCGATCGGCTCGAGGAGGGCATAATCAAAACAATGAAAGTTGGTTTATTCAGTTAACGGTTTTCTAGGCCGCCGCTCTAGTTAGAGCGTAGTGCATGACATCTATTATTTTCAGAGCCCAGTGCGTTTCATCTTTTTAGGAGCAGACCGACAGCACGAGCTGTACAAATGGCAGCCACTGAGACTCACCTGAGCGCAGATAGTATCGTTGTCCTCAAACTCCTGGGCGTGGAGGTGATGGGAGTTAGAAAGGAACATTGAAAACATGGGAGATTGCATAAACCAATTTATACGAGAGGCAATCAAAGAACGGACAAGGCCGAACGTATTGCTAACGTCACTTATCTCTTTCTCATGATCATGCATATGCGAATCTGTCGGATCATCGCCCCGCCTCGAGTCACTCGCAGCTGGCTTCCATTATTGTTTTGATCCCCTCGTGTGCACGGCCTTGCTCCTGCAGGCGCCTTGTGCCTTTCTCTTATTCTCGTACCATGACTTCGTATCCACCACCGATACCACCACCAAAGCGCTATGATCTCGTCGAGGCATTCGATGCCATGGCACTCGCAGGCAAGCCAAACGAAAACAAGCGACTACATGACCTTCCCCCTGCCGGCGAGAACCAGGCCAGTAGTTTCATAGGGGGTTTCAGTCCGGAAAAGTTAGCAGTGAACGCGATGCTTGACGCGACGAAGCGACCACCCATACACAGCGGACAATCCTCTCCACACAGCAAGGGCGCGTTACCCCCACTGCCAAAGCTGCCTACCTTCATGACAATGCCATTTCCTCAGACGGGGAAACAGTCGTTGACCATGCAGCACGCGCTCAATACCACCATGGCACGTGTCACTTCGCCATCGCGTCCTCAGTCGGATTCCCTCCTTTCCCCTGGCGCAATGGCGCATCCCTCTATCTCTGCGACAGTGCGCTCGCGTCCAGTGCTCGATATCTCACCTGGACCGCGTTCTGCATCTGTACCCCCTTCACCGTTATCACCTTCGGCGAACAAGAACACCGCACAATGCAGTGGTATGACAAAGGCAGGGAAACAGTGCTCCCGCCAAGTCAAACTTCCCTCAACGCACTGTTATATTGACCCAATGCCTGTTGTGTATTGCCATCAGCACCGTGACGCGATGTTTACTGCTCAGACCGGATTTTATGTCAGACGGAAAGGCAAGGAAGACACATTTGTTGAATTTAGCAGTGAGTGCCGTATCCATCTCGTCTGTTACGCTCTTCAATACAGGATAGATCATATACCACAATACCTCCAGCGCGATACCCAGTTGGCACTTAGAGTAGAAATGGAGAAGGCTGCGTCTCCTTCAGACGTCCCCGGTTATATCTACACGTACGAAATACGAGGTTCGTCACTTGGAATTTTCAAGGATCTATTAAAATTTATATCATCTTCGACGTTCATGTTAGACCCGAAACGTCCCAACGTAATCCAGCTCAAAGTTGGGCGTGCTGTAAATCTCGCAAAACGACTAGATCAATGGGACAAACAGTGTGGGTCGAAGGTGCAAATCGTCCGGGGGTGGTGGCCAGGCACAGTCGAAGATGATGACGACGGCACTAATGGGAGCCTGCTCAAAGGAAACATTAAGGCAGGAGAGCCAGGGCCACTGTGTCACCGTGTGGAGAGGTTGGTACATATAGAGCTTGCGGATTTGGTGGTCCACACGCCGTATCTGGACTCGAAGTTTCCGAAGGCAGACAATTCAGACATGTCCCCTTCTGGTTCGGGGTCGCCGAAAAAAGCTACGATGAAACCCTGTCTTGATTGTAAGCGATTGTCATATTTTAATGGTGGTAATGTAGGATTTTTGACGTTGGGTCCAGGTGGTGCTATACACAGAGAAATATTTGCGTTTCCGCGTCCTACGAAGGGTCGCTACAAGGGGCGTGAGTGGGACCTGCTCGTGAAACCCGTCATCGAGAAATGGGGCAAATTTGTATCGGAACACTACGCTTGAGCTGTCATATGCGACAACATCGCCTTTGGAGGGAGCTACCTGGGGAAGCCTTATATCTCCCAATTATTCATACGAGCCGCAAGTCGGTCTCGGTATCCCGGATGGATACATTGTACTAACCCCAGAATGACATACTTCCCAGCCAAGCTTCTCCGTGTCTTCCGCTTATTGAGAAACATGTCAGGCGCGATGTCCTTTTTTCTTTTTTGACTCTCGAAGGACTTTATGATGCCGACAGTGCGTATCGCGTCTTTCGGTACGCGTCAGATTTATTTTGCCTTTACATATATGTAGAAGAAACAACTGAACTGTCTTCCTTCTGTTGGTGCTGGATTCTATTGTTTTGTGAACTCAACGTTGAAGTAAGGGAGTTTGATGGCGAGCAATCAAATCAATAAAAAATAATTTGTGAGTTGCGGACACTATCAGTATCTCCAACGTCGAGAACACAAGCTCTTCTACACGGGTGTGCTAATAATAAGGACCGGTAAACCGATCTAAGCTTACGGAGCATACAAATCGAGTGCGAAACGGCCAACGAGGCCCGCTCTTCTGTGCGCAGACTGCTATGCCAGTGGATTTGAAAAACAGGACGATTGCGGGATCAGCATAGTAAGTACTAAGTACTAATGCTGCCGCAATAGCCTAGCAAGTCTGCCGGGACCTAATGGCCGTCCATTTAAATTAAGTCGCTGCTCAGTCAATCGATCTCGTCATGCCCAGGAACGAATAGAGCAGTGTGCCATGGGGGCAGGGGGTGTTGATGTGGCACTGCCACCGCGTACGTAAGCTTGTCCGAGACCGATCAATGACAGGTACTGTACCTTACTCTCTACTCGGCAGTTAGCTACAAAGGCAAAGGCACCCCGAGCAAAGCGTCGTGCAGGACATCGTGCCGTAGAAAAACATCAGAAGCTCCAGGGAGATACATTCTCGACTGCTCTACTTATGCCGACGGTCATTAGAAATTTCGGTCCCGCGTGACTCCCCAGCTCTTCTGTGAGTTACTCTTGGACCCTCAGGGCAGACCGCCGCCGGCCCATTAATCCCGTAAAATGAACAGCTTTATTCACATTCTGCGCGTAATAATCGGTAATAAAAGCGCTGTGTGGTGGTATATCTGACATCGTATACATCCATCAAATTCCCCTCCCACTCAGCACTGGCACCGATCCCTTGAATATGACCCTAGTCTCAGACGATTCCAATTTGTGGCCACTAATCGATTTCAATCGTGTTTATAGCTATTTTTCAGGTTCGTGAAGAGTATGTTGGTGTCCCAATCTAGTATCTTTGATTGTGGTTTCGCTTGGCTTTCGCAGTTGCAGCCTTTATTGTGGTGGTATACGACTGGGGTAAGCAACATGACAACTTATCGGAGGAATGATCGATGTCCTTATTGTATCATCCAGCCTTGGCATTGGGACAAGAGGTTGGCAACTCCGTGTCATTGTCGAAGCCACCATTCCACTAACAATCGGTTTATAGTTTGACTTAGTCTGGGTGAGCAGAGTGCCATATTATAAGAGCAACATGATAACACAGTGAATTCGGGGCAGAGGCAACGTTGGTCCCTCATGACCATTTTATACCTCAGCGTATGCAACTTATGTCACAAGCAAAAGTTGACAATCTGTGCTGATTTCATGATATTCTAGGTGCGCTACGTTGGAATACTATACTCTGCGTATGTTTTCTGGGCTAATATAAGTTGGCACTGTGCTAACACGCTATCTGTCACGATCAGCATCGCCATATTGCGTATGCCTCCTTACATCCGTACATTCATTTATTCTGACCGGCGGCATGCAGCAACTCTTCCATCAGTCTCAGTGACAAATACAGTAGGTATTCTGCGCCGACGCCTGTCACTCTCGTCCAACTAACTGCACCCCTACATAGGGGTGAGTGAGATTGTCGACCAGCTTCTTAGTTCAATATAACGACTGAAATAGCTGTGAGTTCGTTTGCATTGAGTTCTCTAATACTCATCAGTGGCTGTGTTTTTCAGGCACCATCCTTTGCATCGCACAATGGTGGATGTCTGCTGTCGTAAATGCAATGATAGGCGGTGAGTCACTCGGCTGCATTACCTCAGCCTTGACTGAATTGCCGTGCAAGTCATTATAATCACTCGGTTGCATGCCATGTATCAGCGATCGAGAAAGATGCTCATCTTTCTCGTTGTAATCTTCTTGGCTAAAACCATCACCTGCGGAGTAATCAGTGCGATGAACAGCAGCCGTATTTCAGGGGGTAAGTTTAAATTATGGATGAAAGACCTCAGTGCATCAGGCTCATGGGATGAATATCAGAGGAGCTCGTCCTCTCTGGCATCCATATGTGCAATTACAACGAAGACAACGAATTCCTGAGCGCCGAAAATTTGTTAGTAGTCGCTGCATGGGAGGTCCTCACACTGTGTCTTGCAGTCTGGATTGCTGTCAAACACTTCCGGGAACTGCAACGCCCATGGACAGGCTCGACCATCGGGGACTGTTTTACGGTGTTAATAAAAACACATATTTTTTACTTTGCAGCGTGAGCATGACATTTGAATGTGATTATCTTTTCCGCTGACTAGTATCTGCATATGCTAGCTTTACTGTCGTTTCGTGCTTCATCTTTGGTTTGCTGTCCCACGGCATCTTGGTATGCCAATCCGTGACTGGTGTTTCCATCTGACCCTCCTCACCATTTTAATAGAAGCCAACTTCCGTGGGCGCTGAGATGTATCTTGGCGTTCTTCGTATCTTCTCTTTCGTGCAGCTGTTTGTGCTGGGTCCACGCCTTATCATCGGCGTTCGAGAATATCATGCTACGTTCATGGCAAACTTCGATGCTGGAACCGGGATGGCTACAATCGCTTTCTAGGAGCGCACATACATGTTGAGTGGTGGTGGTGTGTGGCACATGAAATGCTGGAAGTGATCAACACTTTTCGGGTGCTCTGCAGGACTTCGTTGGAACTTTAGATTAGCTGTGGTATGTTCCGAAATGGGTGTCAAAGAGAGAAATAGGTCTGGGCAAGCTAGTAATATAATATTGTATAATGCATTACTAGTGTAACTAACTGCTGAGTCACATCGGGCGAGTGGTTCAGCGGCGATAAGATCAATTCGTTTGCAAGGACTTTTCCACCCCTTGATCTACAAAGACGATCGATGATGAAAGTCAATTGTGCGCATTTCTACCAAAATAATTGATGCTAGATGAACACCCTCCGTGAAGATCTCTTGCTCGTGAGCTATTCGGATGTGACGAGGGTTCTTGGGATCATCACAAGGTCATGTCATTGAGAACAAAATGCCTGTTCAAGTTCAGGTTGCTCAGCCGGCCTGTGCCCCTCGGATATATACCTACCTTGAGCTGTTGTCGAGTTCCTTGCGCACCTCCGCTTCCGCCTTCAAAGACAAGAGTCTCATGATCAGATCTCAGACCCTGCGATCAAGTTGGACAGAATGCGGTGATATATAAGTTTGAAAATGGAACTGTGACTCGTAGCGGGCCCAGGCGGGGGCAATATGAAAACTGTGTTAGTGTGGAATGTTCCGTACCACAAGCTGATAGAATGCAGTTGTCGAGAATCTTATGTTCTTGTATTCTATGGTCGAGTGGGATGTATTCTCGGACAGACTAAGATAGTTTATTCTGAGCATGTCCGTTGTCTATTTCGGTAAGCTCCGCTCGTACTTTATGTACTACGTACAACTCCGATACTCAGATTCTCCGCTAGTCACTCCACGAGCCATCTCCACCGATTGGACAGTTGCCTCGGATCTCAACAGCAGTGCCTCCAGATTATGATAGGCTGTGTGCAAGTCAGTTTCTGCAAGTCCGTCACTTGCACCTACTATGTAAGTACTAGTATTGCTTGCCCAGAATTGGTAATAATAATCAACACGTTCACCGCCAAGTTGGCAACGAACTTTCCATTGTACTGCATGCAACATCCTACTAGTGCTATGTACTAATCTCCTTGCTGGTAGCAGTCTGTGAATTTCAGTTGCTGGACACACAGCAGTTCCAAATAAGCTTGTCTTGAGTTATCTAGTTGGATCTAGTAAGGGGCCTTGGGACGATCCAATGATTGACCACGAGAATAATTCCTTGTGAGTCGCTCTCTCTCGGTTCACAGTCCGATGGATTTCAGTGCTCCACAAATATACATTTCATTGATCTCCTCCATAGTGTATATTAAAGGGCCGGGTGATGTTACATATATCCAACACGAACGCCTTTCATAAAATTTACGTCTAGTGAATCTCGCCACAATTTTGAAATACCGCCGACACCAATATTAATTCCTCGGCTCACTTCAAGTCACCTTGAATATGTCCTCCGTCTCAAATGATCTCAGTTCGTGGGCGATTAGTGTTTTCAATTATTGTGCAGGTTCGTGTGGAGTTGAAGTCGGATTGGTATTTATGTCTCACTCTATCTTGGACTGTGGTCCCGCAGTTGCATCATCGACCGCGGTGATATACGATTGGGGTGAGCATGATAATACTTACTTGTCGCGGGAATTATTGATGTCCTTATAGCACTGACAATCGGACAAGAGGTAGGTTGATGCCAATGCCAGAGCATCTCACTAACAGCAAGACAATGGCTTCATAGTTTGAACTGGTCTGGGTGAGCAAGTTCATATCAGAAGAACAGCACACACTAAATTTGGCCATGCAGTGGCAACGCTGGTCCTATATGACCGTTCTATACCTCGGTGTGCGTAGCCTACATTATGAAGGTAGTTGGCAAATTGTTCTAACAGCCTGACTTCAATATATTCTAGGTGCGTTACATTGGAATGTTTTACTCGGGGTATGTTTACAATGCTTACAATTTGACACTGTCCTAATGAGCCATCTCCTCAGCGCCACCTTAGTGTGTATGTCGCCTCGCATACACTATGTCCATTTCTTCTGACTAGCGACATGCAGCGAGTCTTCCTTCAGTACCGATGACAGATATAGTAGGCATTATGCACCCTGTTACTCCCATCCAACTAACGGCACCCTATGTAGGGGTGAGTTCGTTTGTCGACCAGCTTTAATCCTTGGTTTATTATAGAGACTGAAACAGTTGTGAGTTCGTTTGAAGCTTCGAGCCCTCCGATATTTGTCAGTGACTGGGTTTTCCAGGCGCTATTGTCGGCTTTGTACAATGGCGTGCATTTCTCGTCATAAATGCCATGCTGGGAGGTGAGTTACACAGTCGCAGTACTCATTCAGTTGGCTGAGATACCACACGAGTCATCATGATTACTCGGTTACACGCCATGTATCAGGGATCCAGAAAGATGCTCATCTTTCTCGTTCTCGTATTTCTGGCCATCACGATTGCTTGCATGGTGATTGTTATAAAGCAAAGCATTCATGTTTCGTGGTGTAAGTTTGTTGAAAACCTCCAGCGCATTGGGCTCATCGAACGAATGCCAGATGAGGTCGTCCGCTCTGGCACCTATCACTGTGCAGCCCAGGGACTCGACGACTCCATTCTAATTGCCAAAAGTTGGATACTCACCACTGTATGGGAGGTCCTTGCACTGTGCCTCGCAGTCTGGGTTGCTGTACAACACTTCCGGGAACTGCAACGATCGTCGACAGGAACAACCGTCAGGGACTGTTTCACGGTGCTAATAAAAGCCCACGTACTTTACTTTGCAGCGTGAGCTCCTAATTTGAATGTGATTATCTTTTTTGCTCAAGTCGCAAATGCGCTAGCTTTGTTGCTGTTTCTTGCTTCAACCTCGGCTTGCTGTCCCCAGGAGTGATCTCGGTATGTCGATTTGTGATTGATATCTGCATCTGACCACTACTTATCATTGACATAGGAATCGTTCCCCGGGGGACTTGGGGTTTACAATGGCATTCTTAGAATTATCTCGCTTGTGCAAATGTTTGTGCTGGGCCCACGTCTCGTCCTTAGCATTCGAGAATACCACGCTACGCTTGTGGCCACCTCTGACGAAGGAACTGGCATGTCTACCATTGCTTTCCAGGAGCGCCTACAGGTGTCAACCTGCAGTGGTGTGTAGCATAGCTTACGAGGTTCCTTTTGTAGTTTTGTCGTGGGCAGTAGTGGTTCTCTTGACATCTTTAGGCGCGGAACTCTTCAGATACTTAACGAGACGCCACTTGCAGATTGACCAGCCACGGTCGATAATGAGTCATTCTGCAGGGCTGATAGGCTTCCAGCAGGTAGAGATCAGTTGGTGGTGGGGTGGGAAGACATGACATGAAGATGACGTTGAAGCACTAGCTACTTCTGAACTCATAACACAGACTTCCCAAAACTATCGACGAACGATCGTGAGATCTCGAGACTCGGATGTTGCTCGGATGGCAGTTTTAAAAATTGTTCTTTAGCCACATGGGAGCCCCCCAATTGAATGAAGCCTCTTACACCAATTAAGACCAACGGTAATAACGGTCACGCCGAACCGTTGCAATCAAGAGCCTCCCGCTTTCTCCAGGACTATCGCAGACCCACTTTCTGGAGACCTTGGAACGACTTCGCTGGCTAGGTCTGGCAGGGGAGACTACTGGAAACCCACAGAGACCCACCAACGATATATCGATATCGTAACAGCGCAATGCCAAGCAGCTACCTGACCCAGGCTATCCGGATCACGATAGAAGTTCGCGGTGCTGCAGAGCATTCTAGTGTTCCATCATGGACTCCTTGGCATCGATTACTACACTCAGTGACGGCGACTCGAGGATACATTCACATTCAGAGGTAAACTCGGAGGAGAAACCAGCAGCAACAGTGCGCAACAATTTTTATGTGCGTATTTGTGGGGGGGGGGGACTGCGCAAACGGGAACTCGTACAGTAGACCTTTCCTGGGACAGTCATATGTTTGGTATATTATAGGCAAGGGAGGTTGAGGGGAGGCGTACAGTATATCTAGGGTTTGTTATTATGTTTCTGTGCACCACACCAACATCCTACATACAAGGAATCCATCAAGACAGACCACCGATTTCAGCGCCATCGAAACATTTTGCATGGCATGATCTGGCTCACTGAGGCTCCATATTGGTCGCCTTCCGAGTCAGCGAACTGTTGTACTCCAGTTGCAAAAAGTCCTTGTTGTCGGTCATTACCGCAACCGGTACCGTGTTGTTTAAGATACATGAAGGGAATGTAGACGATACGACAGAGACGTATGCATTTGGGAAAGTCTTGAGCAAGAAGTTGGCAAGGAGGCAGGCAAGCGAGAAAACGACAAGCCAGGCAAGTACTAGTTGACCGTGGTGGAGTAGGAAAGTGAGCTGAAAATGGGGCTGCGCCCTTTGCCAAGGTCGGACGGAGGCGTGGGAGGGACGATTCGATAGCTGAGGTCGTGTAAGCCCGGTGGCTTACCTGAGTTCCCATAATCAGCATAAATACTGTCCGAGATAATGAAGCATGACTCATGAGCGCTAGCTTTCATTATCACTGCCTTTTGGCGTAACGGTTAAGGGACGACAGTCTTGACTACTTACAGGTCGCTTATACTTTCAGCTTGCACCACCCTACGGACAAGCCTTGAGGTGTTTCCATCGACTCGTCTTTCGTTCGTATATGACCCACACTGGCACTAGAGCATGTACTGTGGCACCAACTTTTCTGGATATTAGTGATACCTGCCACTGTCTTCATTCTGTTAGAGTGACTACAGGAGAGCAGCCACCATGAATGCTTCAGGCTCCGGTGCCAGCACTCAGGCTTTTTGCCGCCCAACGTCCCTACCCGATGGCTTGTGGTTGTTTATTTGGGACGATACTCAGCGTGGCGGTCCTCCCCGCACGCCACCATCAGACTGTACGTATGCTCCTATTGTTCTTTGCAACAGAGCGTTGTCTTTGTACGGCGCTGACTTACTAGTTTGGCTTATTTCCTCCAGGACTGTCAGACCCCTGTTCGGACCTTCATCTGGCGTACCGCGGACTTCTATCGTGATGTGTAGCTTAGTTTGGCATGATATAGTACTAGGTTTGTGTCTCGCTAACATGATTATCGATTATGTGTTCAAGTTAAACATCTAGATGCCTTGCTATGCTAGACGTTCAGGGAAATATTTCCCCCACATCTTCATATCTATCACTTCTCCAAATATTATCTTTCGGCCTATGCGGGCGATTGCGGTGTTGGCACAGGATCAGGCGCGCATTCCATCACTGCCGAGATATTTGTTTTCATATGGCCTTCTTTGTTCCAACCTCCAATGGGACACGGGGAGGCGTCTATTCCTCCAGGTATTTATGTGGATGATGGTCTGTAGTTACACTACGCTTTCTCTCACCACGACATCCTACTATGGCCACAAGTCACCAAATGCCTCGCAACCCGACCAGAGTCCCAGAGGACGACAGTCAGGACGATGCGGCTATTATCACGAAGACTACTATTGGTATACCATCATGTGGAGACATTCTCTCGACTCCGCCCCGCATCAATCGAGTCTTTGGGCTTGTAACGCCCGACTCTCCCTCACAACGCAACTCCTGTCAGTTTGGTTCCACCTCTCCACCTCGCACTCCTACCAGGTCTCGCGGCGTCCCGAAGGACACGAAGTCTCCGACCTTTACCGGAAACCCATCTGAACGATCTAGCGGGCCAGGGCTTGTGACGCCCGATCATACCCCTCCACGTGATAGCAAAGCCAGACCCATACCTATCCGGCGTAGGGAAGAGACGAAAGACAAATCGGAGCTGAGCCGCTCTCTTGAAACCACATCAAATATAGTGCTCGAGGTCTTGGAAACGTAAGCGCTGTTTCTCGGCCTTCGGAAATTCCTGATCTCAAGTCCCACGACAAGTTTTCAACATCAGGCAGAAGACATTCCGTATACAGGAAAGCCTGGGCAATCAAAGACACTATGCAGTGGCATCACCAAGAAGACATGCACAGAACCAGCCAAAGCCCCTAACCATCATGAACAGCATACCAGTCCTCCTGCCTCTACTTCATCCGTGGGGGTGAGAGGTCCTCAGCGCCGGCAATCCAAGGATACCGCTGCGAATCCAACGACAGATGTGAATTCGAAACTATGTGGGCAACTCACACGGCTTGGCAATCCATGCAAAATACGACTCAAACCTCCCGCTCAATACTGTCGTCATCATTGGCAACCCGCAAGTCATAACACTCCTACCTCCCCCACCACACCGAATACCACTGCAAAGCCAGCGACAGATGTGAATTTGAAATTATGTGGGCAACTCGCACGGTTTGGCAATCTACGAGTCGAACCTCCCGCTCAATACTATCGTCGTCATTGGCAATCCGCAAATCATGACACTCCTACCTCCCCCACCACACCGAATACCACTGCGAAGCCAACGACAGATGTGAATTCGAAATTATGTGGGCAACTCACACGGCTTGGCAATCCATGCAAAATGCGAGTCAAACTTCCCGCTCAATACTGTTGTCATCATTGGCAACCCGCAAGTCATAACACTCCTACCTCCCCCACCACACCGAATACCATTGCGAAGCCAGCGACAGATGTGAATTCGGGGTTATGTGGGCAACTCACACGGCTTGGCAATCCATGCAAAGTGCGAGTCAAACCTCCCGCTCAATACTGTCGTCATCATTGGCAATCCGCAAGTCATAATACTCCTACCTCCCCCACCACACCGAATACCACTGCGAAGCCAACGACAGATGTGAATTCGAAATTATGTGGGCAACTCACACAGCTTGGCAATCCATGCAAAGTGCGAGTCAAACCTCCCGCTCAATACTGTCATCATCATTAATCCGCAAGTCATGGCACCGTCCGGGAAATAGTCCAATGTGTGACATTTGATGACGAGGGATTCAAAGTACGGCGACCCGGGCAGGAAGAAGGTTTCCGTCCGCTTTTGTGGTATGGTGTTTGTTACCGATTTCGTCGAACCTATTTGAACATTCAATAGATTATATACCTGGATACCTGCAACCCGATACCCAAAAGAAACTTCGAAACACCATCAAAAAGGGTCTCGGGGAAAGAGACAGGAAATCAGGCTATGTATATGCGCTGAACGTGTTCGGTAGGTATTCCTTCACCTATCATAAAAACATTGGCCTGCAAGCTGAGCCCTTACAAAGACCCCGAGAACGAGGGAAAGCTCTCACTGAAAATTGGGTATACTGTCAGAGCTGTCAAGAAACGCCACGCAGACTGGAAAGCACAATGCCGTTCATATATAAAAGGGGTCCGCGGGTGGTGGCCTGAGACTATAAAAGAACGTGAAGATGATGACGAGGTCTCGATACAGAAGCTCCTTGAAAATAATATGGAGGGCGTCGTCGGTCCGATAGTTGTTCAGCTCGAGCGGCTGGTACATATTGAACTCCAGGATCTTGCAACACACGCTCCTTATCTGCGTCCCGATTTTCCTGACGTTCGCTTGTCGGATGTACAACGTCTGTCAGAGGCTGCTCCTATTAAAGTCTGTGATGACTGTAAGTTGTCCTCTTTAAGCGGATGCGGAGCTGGTGCTAAAGCTCGCCAAAATACAGGTAAGAAAAAACACAAGGAAATATTCTCATTCAGGCGAGTCGAGAAAGGTAAATTCTTTGGGAGAGAATGGGAAGGTATCATCAAACCTGTGATAAGGAAGTGGGGATCATTCCTGGTGAATTATTTTGCTGAAGGTGATGTACGGGTTTTGAAAAAGACTCTTGGACTCGATTCTGTTATCTATCGCGAAGGTCTACCTGTGGACGATGTTAGTTTTTCTTGACATGGATATCGAATATCTGAAACATGGCGAACATTGATTGGGAGTTGTTGTATTAGACACTGTAACTAGTACTGGCCTGTATTTTAGTATGCTTGTATGAGTTCTATCGTCTTTCAACGTTGAATTGTAACACTCAGAACTCGAAGTAGTAAAAGCTGCAAGACAACCGTTCTCCAGATACCCCAAAAGGCAATTCTGATGATCGGTCGCATGGCAATTGATCATTGTTCAGGTTCCATAACGGGCTTGATCCTCACCCTATTTTTTGTTATGCTTGTTTTGGCGGACCTTTTGTGGACCTTGGCACAAATGGCTCATATAAAGGGCTACTTACAGTTGTTCGGCTTGTTGTTTGCTTGTTCGGCTTTTCTGTCTTGACCATCACCTTCTAATTCTCGTCGCCGTGTCAGAGCGTCTCAGCTTGACTGGCCTTGTTTTATTTCTAAATTCTGTGGCACTTCAAAACATTCCAACCTGACCATCTGCGATGTTCTCGAGCTTATTCTTGGCGTTGGGTGTGGTGTCACTGGCACAGGCTGCCCAGTTTAACGTTACTGTTGGTGGAGGTCCACTAAGATATGATCCACAGTTTGTTGTACGTCCCTGCAGTCGAATTTGCAGTTATCCATTGCTCATTAATGTGAAGAATGCGAACCCTGGAGACATCGTCATCTTCACGTTTAAACAAGCCAACCATACGGCTACGCAATCTACTTTCGCTCAACCATGTGTGAAGATGTCCGGTGGATTTGACTCTGGCTAGTGAGCACGAAAGCACCGTTGTATAAAATTACATTTTAAACTGACGTCCATGGGCGCGCATAGCATACCGGTATCGGCCAACAACACAAATGGCCCGTTCCCTGCAGCCCAATTTACGGTGCAGGACATGAACCCAGTTTGGGTATACTGCGAACAAGGCAATCACTGCAAGCAGGGCATGGTCTTTGCGATCAACCCAGGCACTCAGTTTGCGGCCTTTCAAGCAGCGGCTATGGGCAATACTACGGCATCATCTTCGTCTACTTCGACTGCGACTGCAACTGCAACTGCTCCGACTGGGGTCACCACTGTCACTGCGACTGTCACTGTTGGCGGGCAAACTGTGACTACAACCTACGGGTCGTACCCCGGTAGCGCGGCACCGACGAGCGGAACAAGCACGGATCACAAGGTTGTTGTTGGAGGCACGAGCCTCACTTACACGCCGTCGAATATTACTGCACAAGCCGGAGACACGGTAACGTTCCAGTTCATGCAAAAGAACCACACGGCGACACAGAGCACGTTTGCGAATCCGTGTCGCGGGCTTACGCTCACATCTACGAGTGGGCAAGTTGGGTTCGATTCGGGATTGTAAGTGTCTTTGATGTTGATTAGTTGATGGGCGACACTGACGGGGTTGTCAGCGTACCTGTTGGATCTAATGCGACGACATTCCCTACCTACACGATCAAAATTAATGATGTGAGCGGCCAGACACCCTACCACTTTTTGTACTGATATCGAATGTCTTAGACTGCTCCGATTTGGGTTTACTGTGCACAAACTGGGCACTGCGGGCAAGGCATGGTGTTCTCCGTAAACGCGGTCGAGTCCGGATCCAACAACTATGCTGCATTCAAGGCGAAAGCCATGCAGCTCAACGGGACCGCGTCGTCCTCGACCACGAGTACGAGTACTGGAGCACAAGCTACACAGACGAAGACGGGTGGTGCAATGAAGATGAGTAACCGTGGCGCAGGCGCTGTGGTTGGCCTGGTGGGTGTGGTGGTTGGCATGCTTCTGGCATGAGGCCACGTTCTATATTTAATTTATGATTGGGAGAAGCACGTATCTTACTGCTTTTGTGTATTGTTTGCGCTACTTGTTTCTGTACTAACTATGTTGATAAGCTGTAATAGAACTGTGTATTGTACCGTGTATTGTACTATTCGCACATTCGTTGTACCCAATCTATTTGAGGTCCTGATTATGTAATGGTCTTAATGAATAGCTGCGGGTGAGGCGCTTGCGGTTGTTGTAGAGGACGCCGGTGAGAGGGCGCCTCACAGAACGCACCAGCTTGTGCCCTGACGGGCTCACGATTTCTGATTTTGTTCGTCACCATTCCTACGGGCGGTTCAGTGTATCGTCCTCGTTGTTTATGCATTGCACATACGGTGTGACTACCGACTTACTCACTACTTCGCAGACGTTTCGTATATCCAATTGCTCAGCTGAGTGAGCTATTATGGATTCGCCGACTCAAGTCCCGTATCAGGCCTACAGAGTACGTTAATCGTCTTGTATTCTCATTTGTTCTCATTTATTTAAATGTCTAAAGTCGAAACGGCATTCCCGTACCGTCTCTGCTATTCATCTGGTTCCCAACGTCTCGCCGCCGCCTATATCCCGTCCATCGAGCATCATCTCTACAGCTCCCTCCATCCCAGCTCCCACGTTCACTCGTTCCCAAGAGTACTATGAATCTGAGAAGGTCTTGACCGTTTCCACAGAGTATCCAACTGTCGTAACAGACAAGACTCGAGCACCCAGCGTCGATATAGTACCTTCGGAGGACCTTCCTTCCTCACCGACCGCCATTGACTCATCAACTAATACTGAGTTACCTTCCCCTGCAAGCATTAATATTGCTTTGCCAGACCCTGTTCAGGCGTCTGTACCCGAGGAGGAGTCAGTTCCACGTACAAATGGGAAAGACAAAGAAATCGAAGTACCATCTTCATCTCCCGCATCCTCCACAATGAAGCTGCCTGCCGCTTCTCCCAAGCCATCCAAGTTCAGGCGCCTCCGTCCACCTACCGCAAAATCCCCGCTTCTGAATCCTTCGCCTCTCCGCCCGCCCGCCGCCCACTCCCCCGCACCATCAACTAGCGTCCGTCATCTCGATGCACTGCATTCACCCGCGATGCATAGCCGTGTCACCTCGGTTACATCAGTGGCATCTGCAATATCAGATGGTGGTAAACTACCTCTGCCAGTCTTACTTCGACGAGAAAGCGCACCTTTCCCTCAGAATATTGTCAGCCCACCGCCGCGTTCATCTTCGATGGTTTCGCCCCTGCCACCACCAAAAATCTACTCACCCACACCTACACCAGCATCCCTACCGCTAGCTTCCACATCAGCTCCAGTATCAGCACCCACCTCAACCTCGGCTTCTCCTGCAGCGTCAACTCCATCCCTCCCCTCCACCTCATCTGCACCCGCATCTTCCTCTGCGCACACACGTACATCCACCCCTGCGCGGTCTGCAGCGCCGTATCGTCCGGGGTTTCAACCAAGGGGTCTGTACCGCCCCCGCACGGACGAGTTTACTGAATTACGGAATAAACGTACTGACGAGGGGCGGGTGGAAAGGACGAAACTAGAGCGGAGACTCGAGAAGCTTATCGCTCTACATTTTCCTGTGGAGAATTCTGCTGAGAAAGGCCTGGGTGCGAAGAAAGATGAGGTCAGTGTTAATGGAAGAGGAAGAGGAATGGAGAAGAGGAGGGCCTCGTCGTTTTTTAATCTTGACCTTAAGAATATGGATGCGGGTGAACTGTGGAAAGGGGTACTGCAAAGCCAGATGAAACAGGGCTCCAACGGTGATATTCGAGGTAAATACGTGATCGTTCATTTCGCTTGAATGGATATTGATCAGAATTATTATTATTTTCCAGCCGCAGAGCAGCGGATAACACCTTGGCAGGACGATGCTGCAGTATCCAAATGTCCTCTATGCACGTACGTCTTCTATCTACGTGTCCAACACCACCAATGTTCCTACATAAGAATCCCACTTACATCCCTCCAGCGCTTCCTTTCACCCACTCACGAACCGTAAACACCACTGCCGCCTCTGCGGGGACATCATCTGCAGCCTCCCGCCAAAGCTCCCGCAGCGTCAGAGCCCCTGTTCAGTGCTCTTCGTCGTCGATGCCAAGACACGGCGCATCGAGGAGGTTGGGGAGGGCGTCGATTACGGCGTGCGTCGTGCGGGCACCGGCGATGAGGAGAAATTTCTCCGCGGCGTCAGGGTGTGCCGCAGTTGCAGACCTGTGCTCACGCGACAGCAGTATTGGCAGGAGATGGCGAGCGTGCCGCCGTTTGTGAGGTTTTATGACGTGAGTCATTACTTGAGCTATTGAGTTTACATTGTACTGATACGGGAATAGGCGTTTATTAACCTCGAGAAGGAGATCGAGGACGCCCTTCCGCAGTTTCAGGACCTGCTTCTTACGCTCAGGTACGCACTGGGCTTGTCCCGTTACGTCAATTTTGCATAGATTTATACTGCCACCCGTACATCTAGCAATGACGACCAGCCAACCAAAGAAGCGTCCGCAGCTCGGAAGCGCCTTCTTGATGCCTTTGCTCAATACGACGTTTTGGCCAAACGGATACACGCCATTCCGTGCAATACAGGGTCTTCCCAGCATCACGTGCAGCTGGCAGTGCTCACCAGGGCGAATCTATTTTTGCAGAAAAACATGTTTCCACTTCAGGTGTGTAAACCAACGTTTTTTTGATACGCCGAACTGACCTACGCGCAGTCTCTGCCCAAGCCCAAGAAGCGCGATGCAACGTTGTCACCTGCAGCGCCCTTCGAGCCACCGCTTGTGGACCCCGATTCAGACCTCGCCCACACATTACAGCCGCTCCTGGAGCAAGAAGCTCTCCTCGAATCCTTCGTCGGCGAGGCAATGGCGCATCGCAAGTTCGAAGACGCGAAGACTCTGAAGGCAAACCTCGCTGAAATCAGAGCCGAAATCGATCGTATGCTAGGAGACACGCGATAAGACGGAGACAAGTATATGATGATAGCTGGTTCATGCACGCAAACACAACAATATCTCAGGAATCTACAATTACATCCGCATCCTCATTTTATCGCTCGATAGATCTTATGCTTTGGGGCCCTCTTACTTCACATACACATCACCGTCCTGTAGGATCCAGCATAATATAGGCATGGAAAATTGAAAGCAAGAGACAGTACTAGTTGAATATGTAATATGAGATATTGGTATGGATGCTACGATAATTACAGGTATGCGTCATGCGTCGTAAGGATGAGTCATGGACATAACAGTTAATCAGTTCTACAAGGCCACCAGGGCTCAACCTTCATCGCTCGTGTCCCGCATCCGGGGTATATGGAAGGACTGGTTTGGAAGAGCGCTCCGCGGGACTGTTATGGGACCAAACAGTTTCAATGTCTTCGGCTGTGTGGAGCTGCGGCTTCTGGATAAATTTGCACCTAGCCGCCCGTCAACAGCAGTCAGCCCGACTGCGGACGGCGCCAAGATAGCAGTCATGGGAGAGTATGGTCGAGGCGTCGATGATGGCGAGAACGACGAGACGTGCAGCAGCATCACAAACTCCTGCGTGGCATTTGTCAATGCCAACATCTTGCCTAGAAGATCTGAGAATACGGCGTGGGACGTGCCGTGGGTTTTGACCATATTTGATAATTTCACTACGATCTGTCGAATGGAATCTCGGCAGTCAGTATCAGAAATCACCCCAAAGATTTAAAAGACTAGTGGATCTCCACAGGAATAAGCCAAGAAAAGGCAACCAGAGCGATGAATCACCTTGACGAACACGTGTGCGTCCTCGCGGAGGCCTTTTCTGTCTGCCCCTGGGTCAGCGCACCGCATTGCGTTTATATTAGTACGTAGGCGCTCTGTCGTGGATTTAGCTTTAAGAAGCGTGTTGCGGAATTCTTCAGCTCCTTCAGATAAATTGTCCACAATCTCTTTCAGCATCTCCCACACTGCAGGCGCTGCCTCCACTGCGACTTCCATGGCGTCGAGGGCGTCTTTGTCGACCAATGTCCGGGAAGGAGGAATTTCAAGTGTTGGGCGTCGGATGGGCGCATGAGGTGGCGATGGCGCAGGTGACGGCGTCAAAGACGTTTGTCGGGAGTGCTCACCATTCCGAGAGGCGTGTACTGGGTGCCCAGACAGCGACGATATCGAAGGCATGCTGGAATTCATCAACGAGGGAGCCAGGCTCGATGTCGATGCTGAAAGGGGAAGCGCCGGATGACGTTGTCCTGCACGAAGCGTCGCCGACGGAGAATGTACCATACCGCCAGATGGGAGTGGCAGGTCATATGAAGGTAAGGATTTACCAATCTCCACGTCTTTCGAGCTGAACGACCCAGCATGGCGCCGCGTGGTTCTTGCTCGACCAAGGGATTGTGTGGGCCGTGATCTGGCGATTGGAACACCATGCTGCGGCACATTGAATGGGGAGTATGACGGGGGTGCTGATGCGGGGAGAAGCTCAGGACTGGAATGCGGAACTGGTTGGGGCTTCACCACATGAGGCCGCCGGCGATCCGAGAGATGAGGTTTGATGGCTTCAACGTGTGGAACCATCGACTGCCATGCATTCGATATCTCGGCCATGGCACCGTAAAAGATCAGCACCAGTGAGCGCATATAGCGGTCATCATCTTTGGACGCGAGGATGTTCAACTGCAGTGACATCATCGCGATAGCCTTGCCAAACATGGCTGCAGTGTCTCTACTGCTCTCCACAAGCGCCCGACAGAGCGAAGGAGGTGGCGTCGTTCTCTTGCAAATCGCATCAAACCGATCGAGAGCACCGTTCAACTGCATCATGTAAGTATACGCAGGGTCAGTGACTTTCTTCAGTACGGAGGAGAGTTGGCGGTCGTTGGTGTAAGTGATATAGTGTGAAAGTGCCTGATACACCTGCGAAACAGCGAAGAACAGCGACCGTGCACATTCTACGAGGGAGCGTAGTGAGGAGGGGAGATTAATAATCATAGCACTGGTAGGAAGCGCAGAGAGACGCTTGAAGTATGCATGGCGTTCGACTTCGGGAACCGGCCGCGGAGGATCGCCAGAGGTCGGTGATGCAGATGAAGGAGGTGTCTGACCGTAGGCCTTTTGGCGTCGGAAATGCGAGGAACCGTCAGACGATGATGAGGAGTCTTGACGATGAGAGAGAGGTGAGGGCATTGAAAACTCGTACTGTGACTGTGGATCAGGTGAGACGACTCCTTTGCTTGCTCCATTACTAGTTTGCTTGTCGACACCGTCACTCACTTTGGCTGCACGGAGATCTGGTAGACTCTTCTTTCCGAACAGTGCTGGACGGCGATCTCGAGCTGAACCGGCAAATGATGCATTACGGCCATGCTGTGAACCCTCTGGCACGGCTGTACTGTCATCATCTGTAGAGGATACGGACTCGGCAGGAGTAGGTAGGTAGCTCCCGGTAGAACTTGATCGAGGCGGCACTTTGAATGGAGGAAGCGTCCCCAGGCGTAGAGGTGGCGGGCGGTCGGAACGCGGCGATGGCGCCTTTGCAGGTCCCGGAAGGGGGGGAAAGGTGGAGTCAATAGAGAAGGAGCGAGCGTGGGGGGTAACACCTGGGTCTGAGTCATCGTGCATATGAGACCAGGATTGTATGTGGTCCTCACTGTAAGTATGTCAGTCGGCATTCAGGTATGATAGAGACTCATTCCCTACATGGAGTTATCCAGAGCAGCATTTGCACTCAAAAACGAGTCCATACTGGGCTTTTTCACGTCCAAGCGAGGCCGAGAGCTGTTCTTCATCCACTTCTGCATGAATGTTATCCACTCCTTTCCTCCATCTGACGTTTCCATAACATACTTCGGCGGCCACTCTATCGGATTGTGGTCTATCTTCAAGACGTCAAGTTCATGAAATTCAGTAAAGTACACCGGGACGCGCGTGATTTTGTTGCGTGAAAGGCAAAAAACCTGACGAGATCACCTTTAGCACGACCGGGAAGAACGGGATCAAGGAACGTACCCTCAGGTTGATCAGAGAGCCTGATTGGCTGGGTAGTCGTTTGATTTTGTTTCGACTGATGTCCAGAATTTCTAGGGATGGCATGACCGTTAACTTTGTCACGTTCAGCAACCATTTAACGCGTGAGCTGGATGGCTACCCACTACATCGGGGAAAGTGATGAAACTATTGTTCTGCAAGTTCAAGTATCTCAAGCGAGACAGTAGGGCAAACGCAGTAGGGAGTGTAGCAAGACGATTGTACCCCAAGGCAATCCTAAAGTAGTTAGGGTATTGTGAACTTGAGGCCACAACGCGTTGGCAGCAACATACCTGAGTACTGAACTTTCGTCATCGAGGGAGTCGTTCCTGCCCATGGTTGCTAGATGTTCTGCACCATCGTCACCAACATCTGTCAGGTTCTTGTGTGTAAGATCAAGGGTAGCGCCATTGTCGGATGACTGTTGAAGGGCTTCCGCGATGTGTTCTTCCGTTAGTGAAGCAGAAAGCAAAGGAGATAAAGCGCCAAATCTACTAGTAGTACCCGGGAATGGTGACGTGCGCCCAGCAGCACGGTCAACGTCCGGGACTAACATTTAGAGAAGAAAGTAAAGAAGGCAGGGTCGACGGCTGGGCGGTCAAACAAATATTGTTCCCAACAATGAACCAGAGGCAGTAGTTGCGCTGAACTCGGTACCACCCGGTCCAATAATGCTGTACACTCACGCGGTCTATCCGACAATTCCAGTGGACTTTGAACAGCTGTCATTCTCCGACTTTCGCATTATTCGTAATAATCACCATCAAGGTATCTACGTATACAAGGCCATCCTAAAACCACATCGAAACAGAAAAACTCGTCTCTTCACTCCGCATCGCATGCCACCATCCGGGCGGAAAAAATAGCACATCACCGGGGGCCAAAGTCACGCGCATGGCTTTCTGTGGCACTTCTTTCCAGAAAGCGGGGAAAGCATCTTGCGATGCTTGCTCTGCCTCCGCGGAGTCAGGAAACACATCTACCCGAGAAGTATTGCACATCGATGGCTCCGTAGTATTAGCCGCTGGGTTGTGAGATTTATTAGCCGTGTCAGATGTCGATTCATCGAATGGGTACATCATATTGGAAACCTCGGGCGGTGCGAGCCAGACGGTCTTACGACCGACCGCTTGGGCTAGCACGAGAAATTTAATATATAATCAAAATAGCACGCAAAGAAGCCATTTACCATAGCAATTAAAGAAGGGATCCTGTCAGATGGTATCAGTAGACTCGTGCATCGACAGGACATCTAATCTTGGAGGGACTCACAGTATGGGCCGGGGAAATGGTACCCCTTGGGCCGAGCCATACATTAATGACCAGCCCGTCCGTGTTTCCCGGAGGTTTGTATGCAGGATAACAAGATGGAGGATCAGGGCACGCATAAACGTATTCGGGAATACCGATGTCGCCTTCAAGCGCCGGAAATTGCATCAAGAGGTTGTGTTGTGCAAGGTATAACACTTCATTCTGGGTTTGAGCTGGGTGCTCAGGAAAGTCGAGAGACTGCAGAAAAGAGTCCCAGCTCATCAGCCTTTGGGTCCATTCCTCAGCCCTGTAGTCTTTCCCAACTTCGACAGGCACAATACGACCAGGGCCTGCCACAGAACGGAGATAGTCAATAGACGCCCATGAACTCAGGGCCTTCCAGCCTTGTACGTAACCATAACGTCGGAGCACAAATGGCTTTTGTGACCATTCCCTCCCGAAGACACTTGGTGGGGGGTGAATGCAGGGAACACCAACGGAGAAGGCGCTGGAGCAGTACATCTGCGTCAGAGGCTGTCTGTGACCAGGAGGGGCCTTGAGCGGTTTCAGCGTTAGATGATCATCCTGGATATATTTGATGAGCTGATGGATAGATTCCAATCTCCCAGGAGCGCCTGCTATAATGATGGCGCGATCCAAGGTAGCAATAGCTTCTGAAGCCGCTGCATCTTCAACGTGTACCGAATCAGAAACCTTGGATATAGCGCAGAAGAGGCAGGCGTCTGTGTACAGCCTTCGCCAGCAAAGAGACGCGGATGGCGGTAAGAAGGACATTTCTCGATACGCCCTATCGATGAAAGGTTTCATAGTACGCGAGTCGGCGTTGTCACGCAATAAACGAGCCGCAGCATGAAACTCGAAGTAAACCGAGCTGCCAGCATCGCCGTAAGTCTTTGACCAGAAAATTGGTAATCTTTTTTACTTCTTTTGAGAATGAAACTTACCAACTGTACAAGGGTGACTTTCGTCGCTCAACTCAGCGAGGAGTTGGTCAAATGAGTCCAGGCTCATATGAGTAGGCAGAACCTGATAACCTGTAACAAAATTAATGAGAGTCAAGGAGGGCGGCTACATGAGCGTTCTGCTCTGCGGACTTGGGCACTCCACGTGTGAAAGGTATCAAAGTGTCACAAACGCGAACATTTACGTGACAGAGTGCATTTTTCGTCACGCGTGGCTGAAGATAAAAAGGACAACGGGGAAGGAGCGGCCGTGAGAAAATTCCCCAGACGATCATTTCCTCTCAAAGTAACCCATTGTATCCGGCCCGCGCCGAAACGGCGTTGACCGCATTCCTTTTTCGGAAATGACTTCGAGGTATACCCACTTTCCAGCGGTCTAGTAGCATATGAATAATTTATCGGTTCCAGGTTGGACAGGCTCCTCCTTCTTCTTGATACAGGATCTTCGTCCTCCGTGAGGAATACAGCAGCCAAACAACTTGCCCAACTTGCAGCGAAAAGTGTCATAAGTGATGTTGCAGTTCAAGACGATATCAAGTCAACTCGCCACCATGTCCCTCTCGGTGACTCCTCAGCATGGTCTGAATTAATGGCCGTCGTGGCTCGGGTCTGTATAGCGCGTTGCCCTCCATATTTCCTCGTACTTACTTTCGACCGCTCAGATTTTACCTTACTTGCATTCGAAGAGCCATGACACACGATCGGCCGCATCGAATGCACTCTCGCAAATATTCTCCCTCGTGCCAGTATGGCAGCCGCAAACTGACGTCAAACCGCCCCCAGATCTAGATACATCCTCTCCTGACTTCCCTACATTTTCTGTGCAAGAACTCATGCAGAAAGGCGTGCTACTTCTTGCTTCATCCGGCACAGAGTTTTCGAAGCCAACCGGCATCCTTGCCAATGCAGCAGAGGTTAAGAGAGCTCGTAAGGAAGCCATGGGTCGGCTAGGCCTTGACTTCCTCGAAAGCGTAGGTGCCGCAGATGACATGGACCTGGACAAAGAACTCGCCGTCGAAGGGGAGGCTGAAGCCGATCGTGAAGACGAGATTTCTCCTAAGAGAGAGGAAACTGCTACCCCCGTAGATTCCCCGATGGTGATCGAGACTCCAGTCAAACGCGAACGTTCGCCACCTCCACTGCTCTCTCGCCCAAAAAGTACAACCCCCGCTGCGCCGTCACCGACAATAGCTACGGAGGGAGATTGTCTCAACGGTCTTTCAGCACGCGAACGAAACCGCCTCAAACGGAAACGGAAACCAGGCAATTCCGCCTTTGTTGCAGCACCACCTCCACCTCCGGCCGGTGCCAAGTACAGCGCGACCCCTGCAGGGCCATCAAACAAGTAGGTACAATTGCTACAATATTCTCGTTTTCATCTCACTTTCTTGATCGCCTAGAGCACGACTGGTATCAGCCGAACCGCAGGATGCGCCAAGGTCACGACTAGAGAGCCCTGCTGACAATGTTAAAACATTCGCTGCAGAGAAGGTCGTCATAGATCCTTCGAAGGGTGGTGCAGTGTCACCGAAAGCAGCCCAACAATCACATGCGCTGGAGGTCCTTCCAGGGGCTTGGATGTGGCAAGGTATTGTAGCCCTCCTAGAGGTCGACCTGTTCTCTGCAAATTGGGAATCGAGACATGGTGCTGCCATGGCTTTGCGCGAATTGCTCAAGGTCCAAGGGTCTTCGGGTGGCATGAAAGGTGAAAATTTTGTCCGTGGTGGTGCCAAGCTTGTCGTTGACGACATAATTCAGACGGCTTGTCGGCGGAGGAAAATTCTCTTGCACATGAGCGTTGGTGTAACGACTTGGCCGCAAAACTCTTGTGCGTTTTCGTCCTCGACCGTTTTGGGGACTTCGTCTCCGATCAGGTTCGTCTTTCCTGCATACACTCACCCGTAATCATGTACTGAGTTCAATGTAGGTTGTGGCACCTGTCCGTGAGACGGTGTCACAAACACTCGCATCCCTTCTACTACACATGCCTCAGCAGTCTGTGAAGCATGTCCATTCTATACTACTGCAAATGATCCGGCAGGACTTCCCATTGGGGCAAAAACCAACCAAGAGCAAGAAGGGCGATCGTAGCCACGTATGGGAGGTTCGGCACGCAGGACTTCTCGGGATCAAATACGAGGTTGCCGTGCGAAGTGATCTTTTTGAGACTGCTGGTGACACAGGAAAGGATATTCTGCAGGGCGTTGTTGATGCCGCAGTGCTCGGGCAAGCATTTTCACATAGTATTCATGGTCATAAGCTTCCTAACGTCTGGCGATGCAGTCTCAGTGATCCTGACGATGATGTTCGTGCCGTGGCCGCATCTTGTTTGCTTCCGGTCGCGGGCCATCTCGTCGAACAGCTTCCAGAATCTCTGGATAAAGTGCTGTTGGTTCTCTGGAACTGCCTGCGCGGCATGAAGGATGACTTGAGCTCAAGTGTTGGCGCCGTAATGGATTTGCTGGGTAAGATTCTAATTGTGGTCTTACAGGGTAGTACTCATGGGCGGTAGGTAAACTCGTAACTTACAGCAAGGTCATTGATATCCTTGCAGAAGCTAGCGTGTCGTAAGGGTTTCTTTGCTTGTTTCTTGGTCGCATGTCTGACAGGCCTTATTAGTCTCCCACTCACGGAATTGGCGCCCACACTGTTCCCATTCTTCCGACATACGATCCCCAACGTTCGTCTCGCCGTAGTGAAGACTCTGCTTTCTTTCATGACCGTAGCTTCCCTTCCCCGCGAATGGATCGTCACGTCATTCCTTCGCCTTCTTTTCCAGAATTTGATTGTGGAAGAGCGGGCGGACATTCGCGCTGTCACGTTGACAGCGTGGCGGACGGCGCTCGAGATTGTAGCTTCTGTGCCCGGGTGGATGAAGAAGTTGGTGAAAGCAGCAAACCGTCCTCGATTGGTACTCGACCATGATGACGCCACTTGGCGCCCCCATCGATTGCTCGACATTTCATTATCCTGCCTTCACAGAAGACGAATGCGACTCAGTGCCACTGGAGAGACATAACGTCGACAAGAACATGCTTGCCCAGGATCTATCCTTAGTCAGTGCTGTGGTAATCATGCAGGCTCGAATCGCAGCGGCTACCTCTATGGCGTATCTGATGATTTATTGGCCTCCCAAGGTACTGTATTTTTCAGTGCGCGTCTATTTTTTTCTGACGCCTTTTTTGCAGTCCATCGACGAGCTCTTCCAACCCATACTCATTCATTACTTGCAGTCAACCAGCATGCTTCAGAAATTCTTGGCCGCCCTCGTCTCAGAGGAATGGGCTCGCGCGTACGATGCAACATCGCCCTCTGCACCCATCATTGAGGCTTTTCCTCTTGCAGCAGAACTCAGCACGATGTGTTTGGCCTGGTTGCAGGGCACGCCTCCGATTGCGTATCACGAGATGGCCTTCACGCTACACCGCATTCACTCAGAGTGCGCTGCGCTACTTCGTTGCTTTGCGACTGATTGCAAGATCCCGATCTCCCTGATTCCTCACCTCGGTGACGAGATTGACATCACTGGCACCAAACCGAATAGTTTCACCATCGAAACTGCAGAACAAGCGGTCGGTCCGATGTACACGAAACTAAAGGACAGCCTTGGGCGTACGAAGAAGCGCGAGTTGGGAGTTATTGCCGAGAAGAGACAGAAAGTCGTGATTAGCATTGAACAATACTCGGAGGTCAAGGCACAGCATGACACTCGCGTTTCAGCGGCTTTTGCAGCTTCCTTCGTTGCGTTTCGGAGCACCCCGGATAAAGTTAGTCCTGTGGTCAAGGGCATCATGAACGGCATCAAGGTATGTCGATTCTCGATTATCAATTGCCAAGCTTACCTTGTTTCAGAATGAGGAAAATCTGGATCTTCAGACCCGCTCAGCAGTCGCAGTGGCAACATTCATCGACTTCTGCTTCCAACATAATATTACGCAACCGCCCGACAAGATCGTCAAGAATTTGTGTACTTTCCTGTGTCAAGACGTGGAGCAAACACCGACCTTCGCCTATTCACGGTCTGTTTACAAGGGTGTTCTGTCCCTCACTTCTTGGTCAAAGCAAACGCAGCTGGGGAAGAATGGCAAGGATAGTTCGAACGGTGCTGAAAGTGCCAAGTCGAGCGATGATGCTGCGCAAGCACAATTATCAAGACGAGGAGCTTGCCTAGCGTTCGATCAGCTGTCGGCCAAGTTTGGCTCTCAGCTCCTTCATGTCATCCCGAAGATGTGGATTTCCATGGCGGGAGGCTTGCTGAGCGCATGCACAACAGGTGCGAAACTATTCTCTGAGCTTTCCGTTTTCCTGACCTCTACTCAGCGTTACCACACGAAGCTGACGCCCTTATGGACAAACAATATGGACAAGATGTCATTGATTCGCTCAGTGTCCTCGAAGCAGTTGTGCCCACCTTTCACCCTGATCTTTGGCCTAAGCTTGCAGAGCTGTTCCCCGCTATTACCATGGCGCTGCGCAGCCGATATGCCATCATTCGGCAGGCAGCTGCGCGGTGTTTCGCTACCATCTGTAATGTGATGACATCTGACGCCATGCGGTTTGCCATCGAGAAGATCATCCCGCTATTGGGGGATGCTATCGTGCTGTCAAACCGTCAGGGTTCTGCCGAAGCTATCTATCGTACGTACTCCACTGCTCCACAATCTTCTGTCAATCATACCTGGCACAGATATCGTCCAGCACCTCGACATCAAAGCGTTGCCCTACGTCATCTTTCTTATCGTCCCCGTGCTGGGGCGTATGAGTGATCCCGATGACGATATTCGTTCTGCTGCTACCAATACATTTGCGTCCCTGGTCAAGATGGTTCCATTAGAGGTTTGTACTGCTTCCTGGTGTACACTCCCCTTACTCACTTTTTTTTTTTCCAGGCTGGTTTGCCTGATCCTCCCGGCTTCCCTGAAGAGCTGTTGAAGAGGCGTGAAACTGAGCGACAATTCCTCACCCAACTTCTTGATGGCAGCAAGGTCGAGCAGTACACCATACCTGTCCCTATCAAGGCAGAACTCCGCAAATACCAGCAAGAAGGTGTTAACTGGCTGGCGTTCTTGGCTAAGTATCAGTTGCACGGAATTCTTTGTGATGGTGCGTTCGAGTTTCCTTGAAATTTCCCGCATCGTTCTAACACATTCTAGATATGGGTCTTGGGAAAACCTTACAGTCCATTTGCATACTGGCCAGCAAGCACGCAGAGCGAGCTAAGAAGTATGAAGAAACGCAATTGCCCGATGCTGTTCATCTTCCATCGCTCATCATCTGCCCTCCCACTCTTACCGGTCACTGGTACTACGAGATCCTAAAATATTCCGAGAACTTGCAACCTATCCTCTATACCGGCAACTCCAAGGAACGCGCAAGGATTCTTCCTAAACTGTCCAAGAAGGACGTGGTCATCACCTCGTACGAAGTTGTGCGGAACGATATTTCGAGCCTAGAAGATTTCAACTGGTTATACTGCATCCTCGACGAAGGACATGTGATCAAGAACGCGAAGACGAAACTCACAAAAGCTGTCAAGGCCATACATGCGCAGCATCGCCTCATTCTCTCGGGAACTCCAATCCAGAACAACGTGTTGGAGCTATGGAGTCTTTTTGACTTCTTGATGCCTGGCTTCCTCGGGACTGAAACGTCGTTCAACGAGCGATTCAGCAAGCCGATTCTGTCAAATCGTGATGGAAAGGCGAAGACTAGTGAAGCTGGTAAGTGACGCGTCCTGAGGGCTTAGTCTGCAGTTAATCAAGTTCTCTGTAGCTGCTCTTGCTCTCGAGGCTCTGCATAAGCAAGTCCTGCCCTTCCTATTACGAAGGCTGAAAGAGGATGTCTTAAATGACCTTCCCCCGAAGATCATTCAGGACTACTACTGCGAGCTGTCAGATGTGCAAAAAGCTCTGTACGACGACTTCTCCGGCTCACGAGCCAAGACGAATGCGGAGGACGTCATCCAGGGAACTGTCTCATCCTCCAAGGATGCCCCGCAACAACATGTTTTCCAATCACTACAATATCTCCGCAAACTTTGTAATCATCCTTCACTGGTCCTGAAGACGAACCAAGACGCCGTCGTTGCAGCACTCGCCAAGATGAATTGCAAAATCGAGAGCTTGAACAATATTCAACACGCACCAAAACTACTTGCTCTAAGGTATGATCTTTTCTTATGTGTTTAGTTGCAACACTCAAATGCGGGACAGGCAACTACTCACGGATTGTGGTATTGGAGGCAGCTCTGCGGTTACTGGTGACAGTGGGAAGATCGATCCTGCGGAGAGCTTATCGGAATCGAGCGGCGCATTCTCTCAACATCGTGCTCTAATTTTCTGTCAGATGAAGCAAATGTTGGACATCATCGAGAATGACCTCTTCAAGCAACATATGCCTTCCGTCACGTACATGCGACTTGATGGTGGAACCGACCCCAATAAGCGTCATGCTATCGTACAAACATTTAACTCGGATCCCAGTATTGACTGTCTCTTATTGACGACGCACGTCGGTGGACTCGGTTTGACCCTCACTGGGGCAGACACTGTAATATTTGTGGAACATGACTGGAATCCTATGAAGGATCTTCAGGCTATGGACAGAGCTCACCGCATTGGACAAAAGAAGGTCGTCAATGTGTATCGTTTGATCACGAAGGGCACATTGGAAGAGAAGATCATGGGGTTCGTTTCGATCTATCGTCTTGTATTCGATCTCTGACAACGTCCATAGTTTACAACGCTTCAAGCTCAATATCGCAAACTCAGTGTTAACGCAGCAGAACTCCGGTCTGGCGTCAATGGACACAGATCTTGTCCTCGACCTTTTCAGACGAACTACGGAAGAGGAGGATGCAGCCACAAAGAAGAAGGCAAAAGACCCAACTGGTCCTGTCAGCCAGAAGAACGTCCTGGCGGGTCTTGAAGACATTCCCGCGGAGGATGAGTATGAGGGACTCGATCTGTCGAGTTTCATGGGCTCCTTGGGGATGCAGTGAGGTGGACGATTCTAGATTTCATTCATTGATTATGCATTGGCTTGGTTTTCGCTTGACACGACTACATAGCATCTATAGTAGAATGTACCCATACTCCACCAATAATGTATAGTAGATTAAGTCACGGATAGGTCTTCTCTCACTTGCCACTGCGAGGACTTCATAACCATGAGGTCAAGACTACCGCGTATAATTATCAAACCACATGTTGTCAAGGGGAAGCATGATGCTCTCGGGCCTCAGACACAACGTCTCCCACCACATCATCAATGATAGCCGTGGCAGACAGGAACATCGACAAGGGAGTACTGTATGATAGAGAATATATCTCCAACATGCTTTCATTTAAAAGTCCTATGTGCTTGCCACGCTCGGAGCGCAGTTCATAGCTCTGACGTTCAGGTTCAAGAGTTTGCGATGGGCTCTACATACTCCCGAGTAATGTCAACGGTGTTCCCTACAAGCCGGCGTCCTGGTGAACTATATCTACTCTTCTCCTCAGCAAATGTGACTCTGGTTGGAACAATGCATATACTGTAATCTCGGTAGCATATCAACGTTATGATACAGCATACGTACTTTTGCTGGCGAATTTTGAGACATGGCGGCGTCAAAAAGAGAAACTCGGCCTGATCGAGAAAAAAGTTGAATAGGATGGACGAGCGCCAAGTATCAAAAAAAATTCAAGACATACCATTTAAAGCATCCCTCCTCCTCGACGTCTGACGAGACTCAGTCAAATAATTCGCTCTCGCTTCCGCTCTCTTCTTCGAATGTCTCTCCATTTTCACCGATGTCACCAACGGCAGTGGCTTCCCCATTTCCAGCCCGCCGCCCCTTAGTGGTCATACGAACCTCACCATTCTTCATCAGCTCATTCAGCATCATTCTCTTTCCCTGATCACGGATGATGGATAACGTCTCGATCAAGTCCTGGACGGGAACCCACTGTGGGGAGTTTTCCAGATAGTCGTCATCCCCATCGAACTGAGGGTCCCACGCCTCAATCGATTATACGTTCGGTGCAATGATTGAAATGAAAGCAGCAATCGCTATCGGATATTCAATCAGCTGAAACACCAAAGAATGCCTCGGATAGTGCCTTGTGAGAAAATCCTTGGTAAGGGACGTCGCGGGATATGGGGGTATCGTGGTCTATAGTCGACCAGTCTACGATAACGGCGACTGAGACTAGACATGGCAATGTTGCAACAGCGAGACGAAGGCATCTAGAGTGACTTGATAACGCGAATGGGTGTATCTGGTGATGTATAACTCTTCGAGGAGGCGCAAGGCCTTGGCCATCTGCACAATGACAGCATCGTCCATTTGGACAATACAGTAGTCATATACTTCGAAGTCGAGCTTGCGAAGATTGAGGAAGGCAAAGAGCGGTTGGAAGGCTGCAGCTTTGATTGAAGCATTGTGATGAGCACGCCCATCAATAATCTTGAGCCGCACCTGTCGCAGTGAACTGTGTGCACATCTATCGGATAGACGAGAAATCAAAACCGGCAGGGTCCGTGCGGAATCCACTCCATGAGTGATTGTCAAGGATAATACTGTTGGAGTGGCAGCAAGCTTCTCTAAAAAAAGCCTCTAAAATACCCGATTTTTGCATGGTACGTCCAGTTCTTGTATCGCGCAGAACACGGGGCGCTGCATGAGCTTTTGTGTATCCGCAGACACTGGAGTTGAAGGTAATTGGAATTTCAAAACTCGGAGTGAAGGCAAATTGGACAGGTGTAGTATGGCTGCCTCAGAAACTGTTCCAGTGCTCACTGATGTTAGATGAGAACCACTTTGGGATGGACCGAGTATGCGGGACCCTAGATGGATATCGAGCATCGTCAATTTTGGGGCCATGAACAGCTGGATATGTTGGAATGTCTCATTGGAAGCTTCGCTCCAGGTAAGGGACGTCAAGTTGGGGAGTAAGAGAAGTGGGAAGGGAGGACAGCTGAGGCACGCCAAAGTAAAGCTCGGTGCCACAGATCAGATTTCCCCCCAACCTATGATATGGATTGCGCAATGAACGAACACGGTGGTTATATTTGCAAAAAAACAGACCAGTCATCGAAGGTCATGGCCCTTTGAAATTCCTGTAAAATGGAGTGAATCTCTCGAGCATGAGCAAGAGCTTGACTGACTAGCTTGTCTATATCTTTGTTCTGTTTCCATAGGCTCTGTGGGAGGCATCTAATAAGTGGCTCGAGGTCACCCAGGTATCGCCACGAAAGGTCTAATTCCGGTCCAGCGAACAACTTGCACGTCAATGCAAGTGCCAGGAGTGATCTTCTCATAGACAGTGACAAGCCCCAATTCCGCAGAAACTCAGATATCATTGCACAGCGAGTAGATGCAGGCAAGAATGGAAAAGCACCGCTGCTAATATTGAACAGCCTACTCACTGCCTTAGCTGTTCAATATTAGCAGCGATGCATGCGTGTTGACATGACCGCATCTATTTTCGATGAACGGTTGCACCGAGGTGGATTTCTTGTTTCCGATAACCTTGTCGTGTGAATGAGGCTACGTGACGACTTGGCCGCAGCGGCGCAGTTAGTTTAGTCTCAAATTGCTGACCTTTGCTGACCAGGCCGCAGCTGCCCGTAGCGCCTTGTGCAATATAAAAGCGAAACGGTTCACAAGAAGTGCTACCAACTTGATTCAATTCGCTGTTAAACACCTACTAGTACTGACTCCATATCTACCCCGATGGCCGCTACCTCTGGCATAGGTGTCTCCCCCGAGCTAACAAAGGCATTCTCCGACGCTGTCGAGACAAAGAATACCCGTTTCATCAAAGTCATCATTCGCGACGGTCTTTACTAGTTTATCTGTCAGCAGTCTGTAGTGATCTCATATTAATGACACAGAGTCTCTCGTCTCGATAGCCTCCCTGCCAGTCGCCAAATCCTTAAGCGAGGATTTGGTACAACTTCAAGAATATCTTGAAGACAAGGAACCATGCTACATCCTAGCGCGTCTCGATGACCCCCCTTCAGAATGGCTTATGATCAGCTACGTGCCAGATTTTGCCAACGTCCGAGATAAGGTAAGAATTATTGTCCATGTCAGTATGTCGGACTGCGCCTGATCTACCCAGATGCTGTATGCTTCAACGCGTGGCTCTTTGGCCAAGTCGCTGGGCTCTACTGTTTTCACTGACAGTCTGTTTGCGACCTCTAAGGCGGACGTGACATCTGAAGCCTATGAGGCTCACAAGAGGCACCAGGCTGCACCCAAACCTCTGAGCGCACGGGAGCAGGAAATGGAAAATATCAAGGCAGTCGAAAGAGAAGCTGGAAACAGTTATGAGGGGAGCAGTGCAAGAAAGAACCACATTGGTCAACGAGTAGGCCTGTCTTGGTCCTCAGAAGCTGAGGACGCTGTGAAGGGGCTTAGCTCGCTCGATGATAGTCGAATCGTCATATTGGTTCGTATTCCCATTGATTACATTCAACGAGTCGTTCACGCATCATTTTAGAAAATCGAACCATCAACCGAGACACTTGAGCTACACTCTTTTGCAGATGTAACAGTGGATAATTTGAGTTCAAGTATACCAAGTGATGAACCCTGTGCGTGTCCCTTCTATTGCGATCATGTTTTATATGCTGCGCTCACACATTCTTTCTTCAGCATTTGCGTTTTATGCGTGGTCAAACTCGTATTCTCAGGCAGGTGGAGACATTGGTTTGTGTCATTTTACCCGTTGGCATGGGACGTATTTCTGATTTACTTGCCCAGTCTTTATATACTCTTGCCCTACGACATCACCTGTCCGATACAGGATGCTCTACTCATCAGCGGCTATGTCAACTTATCTTGCGGTGAAGGACTTCTTGGCGGAAACTGGTTCAACGTTTCCCCTTGCAACAAAGAGGGTTGAAACGTCGGACCCAATGGAACTCGATGAGGCGTTCATCAAGGCTGGTCTTAATCTTGATGGACCCGCGAGTACCGTTGCCAATAATGCTCGGCAAGATGACCCTGCGAAACCCTCATTCGCGAAACCAAGAGGCCCTGCGAGGAGACGATGAAAACATGATTAGTAAAGGGCATAATACCCGTTCCAAATGTACAGAGTAACTTATTCGTAGTCGCATGTGATTTCAATGCACACGAACTCGGATTTCAGCTTATACTTAGTAGATGGCCACAATAATAACCACATTCACATCCATAAAAAGGTCATGCGCACCGGAACAGGGTTCAGCGCCAGTGGGACTCCGTTGAGCTCCGGAGGCGCTCGTTCTCGTCGAAATTGTGGGCATGTGACCAACACAACACAAGTACTTATAACATGATCTGGGGAAAGAACACCAAAGTCTTCAACCACATCCATGTTGGCTACGTGCGTCTCGAGAGCGACGCTCGTCCCAGTTTTCAAACCCCGTACAGCTGTCTTCCTCAGAGCAAGATGGTATAGTACTCCTACAGAGGTTCCACTACCCAACAAATCGAAGGTGTGGGCGTCTGCCGACGAGGCAGTTAAGGATGTGAAGTCGGGAGATGTCCTTTTGTGTGGTGGTGAGTATGGTCACATTTTATATGGTCTCATAGCGGATGTGTGATATGTGCCACGCAACACCCAGGTTTTGGTTTGGCTGGTGTGCCAGGTAAGTCTCAATAGAAGGCGTATATCGAGCAGTGGAACTAAGCAAGGTACAACAAGACACTCTTCTTGCGGCTTTGGTTAAGCGCAAGGAGGTTACAAAGTTAACAGGTGTTTCCAATAATGCTGGCGCAGGCGACTCCGGACTCGGTATGTTTATACACACCGGTCCATGATCCATAAAACTTATGAATATCATTAGGAAAGTTGTTCAACAGCAAGCAGATTGACAAGGTCGTCGCATCATACCCTGGCGGGTGAGTACCTCATCTTGTCGGGGACAGCGTGAGGTTGAGCGCCTGTTCGTCCAGAAACAAGGCCTTTGAGGCTCTATACCTTAAGGGCGAGGTATCTCTGGAGCTATGTCCTCAAGGTACACTTGTCGAACGTCTTCGTGCCCATGCCGCAGGTATCCCAGCGTTCTACACCCCTACGGGAGCATCAACAGCAGTAGAGGAAGGTTCCATCCCAGTACGATACAACGAAGGAGGATTTGCCAATGGAGTCAAGATACCAGGTATCAAGAAAGAGACACGAGAATTTGGAGGTCGCAAGTATGTCATGGAACCAGCCATCGCTGGCGATGTCGCTTTTGTTCGTGCATGGAAGGTCGATGAAGTTGGCAATTGTGTTTTCCGGTGAGGAAATAGATGCTGTTATTGGTTGCATACCCGAGTGCTGAGCATGTTGACTCGTGCAGATACGCTCAACAGAACTTTGGTACAGTCATGGCAAAGAACGCAAAGCTCACGATAGTGGAGGTGAGCCAGGGCGTCGTGGTAGTTTGCCAGAAGTTGATGCGTTCCTTGCAGGCAGACGAAATTGTACCCACTGGTTCTCTTTCACCAAATGCCATCCATGTTCCCGGTATTTATGTCGATCGAGTTGTTCTGGCCACCGAGCCTAAACGGATAGAGTTCACGACGGTCGCGCCAAGCCCATCATCTTCTGGTAAACAATCTACTCTAACACCTGCTCAAGAAACTGCCCAGAAAATGCGTCATCGTACGGCAAAGCGTGCTGCCAAAGAGCTCAAGGATGGATTCTATGTAAACCTTGGTATTGGCATGCCCACTCTCATTCCTGGATACCTCGAGCCTGGCGTGAGCGTTTGGCTGCAGAGCGAGAATGGTATCCTCGGCATGGGGCCATACCCTACGGAAGACAAGGTGGATGCGTAAGTAGCGCCGCCTGGAGGGGTTTCCTCATAGTAATAATCTCTTTACAGGGATCTCATCAATGCGGGTAAAGAGACTGTAACCTTGCTGCCGGGCGCCTCGATCTTTGGTATGTTTTCAAATGTTTCTCGTATGACCCAGCTTCACTTGCTGACTCTACTGGACAGACTCGAGTGAATCATTCGCTATGATTCGCGGTGGGCACGTCGATGTTTCCATTCTCGGCGTGAGCGTTTTCACACACTTCCCATTGCCTGGATGATCTCACAGTAGTTCTTATAGGCTATGCAAGTATCACAAGCAGGCGATATAGCCAACTTTATGATTCCCGGAAAACTGGTCAAAGGTACGTGGTTTCGCCATTCCGTCTTCCGCAGTGTTCTCACTATCGATCACATTCTTAGGCATTGGAGGCGCTATGGACTTGGTGTCTAACCCTGACAAGACAAAGGTCATAGTGACGATGGAGCACTGTGCGAAGGACGGCAGTCCCAAAATCTTAAAGGAATGCACTCTTCCGCTCACGGGTGCTCGTACTGTTAGTCAAATCATCACGGAGTTGGCCGTTTTCGACGTCGACAGGAAGAACGGTCACCTCGAGCTTGTTGAACTCCAGGAAGGCGTAACGCTTGATGAAGTCAAGGCAAAGACCGGCTGCGATTTCAAGGTACGGAAAGATCTGAGCAAGCTTTGATTTGCTCTCAGGTTTCATGGATACTATCATGAAGGAATGTTAATACCTCTGTTCCTTGTGTAAATTGTGTATTAGGACATGCGTGTATTATTCTTATACCATCCTGGTTGCACTTCACGTCGTTGACCAGGCATTCTGGGGGCGTCTACATATCTCTACCCAGACTGCAGACGGTGCTCCCGCCTCTTTTCAACCTATAAGGTGACATACAACAACGACGGCACACTTGCACGGAACTCGAACATGACATCCCCCTGCAATTGTCTATTCTACAAGTACACTTGACTGTATGCTGCATGACACCCGAACTCTACCAGCGTGGCTGATTTAACGAAGAGTAACCAATTCTGCGTGCACCCGTCAGCACGTTAAATGCAAGTAAAGTAAGAGAACTCGGTTACCTTCAGCAGATGTCGGATGGATAGCAACCGTATCATCTAGGTCCTGTTTCCGGGCTTCACAGACGCATCAGTTATCAACAGAAAGGTAGAACGATGGAAAGTACCCACCACCCATCTTGACGGCCACCGCAAAGCCTTGCATTACCTCGTCGCTTCCCTGTCCGATGATATGCACGCCGACTACGCGCTCTTCTTCGCCAACAACGATAAGCTTGTACACGGTCGGCTCCTTGTGCTCTTCATCGATCTGGGAGAAGTAGAGCGAGCGGAACGAGGACTTGTCTAAGTTACAATGAGTATGATTGCGTACTTGAGCAGAATGAATGCAGACACACAGATCTTAACGGCAGCGCCATACTTCTGGCGGGCTTCGGGCTCTGTTAGGCCCACCGTGCCAATAGTGGGGTGACTATATGCGCTATAAACTAGCAATTCCAACAAAAAGAGTGGTATGCTCACGAGAAAACGACTGTTGGGATGTCCTCATACGACAATTTGTCGTTCTTGAATTTCTCAGGCCCAAACAGCCTGTTTGATAGTCGCCGACCTGCCGCAATAGCAACAGGCGTCAAGAGAGCTTTACCCTGAATATCACCGATCGCGAAGATGTTCTCCAGTTGAGGCTTGCCCTCTACAAAGAGAGCCTTCTGCCACTCATCAACAACGATGTCTCCCTTCTTGTCGAGCTGGATGCCTAGCTCCTCGAGCCCCAGACCCTCAGTGTTTGCGTGCCGTCCGATAGCCCAAAGCACGCAGTCTACCTTGAGTTGTGTGCCATCATTGAGGTGCACAGTTAATTCACCGCCTTTCTGGCCTTCAACCTTGACGACAGATGTATTCTTGTGGACTTTGATTCCAGTGTGCTCCATCCAAGGTGTAAGTGTATCCTGGAGGATGGGATCAAAGGTACGGAGAACGCGTTCCCGCCTGATGAGAATATGTGTCTCACTGCCCAGTGTATTGAGCACACCGGCAAGCTCTACGGCAATGTACCCTGCGCCAACGACAGCCACGCGCTTCGGCTGGTCCTCAAGGTCGAAGAAGCCATCCGAATCGATTCCAAGACTTGCGCCGGGGATCTGCTCTTCGCTTGGTATGGTCGGGCGACCTCCAGTAGCAACGGTGATGTAGTCACTTGCGATGACGTATGGCTCACCGCCGTCAGAGGGCGTGATCTGAACCTCGGTGGGCGAGACTAGACGGGCAGTGCCACCGTAATAGTCTACCTTCTCCTTCTCGAGGTTTTTCTCATATATGCCATTCAGTCGGCGGATGTAGGCATCACGCTGCGGCTTGAACGATGCCCAGTTAAACTGGGGTGGTGGGACATTTTCGAAATGATAGCCTTTGCTTGCATGGCGAAGACGGTCTGCGAGGTCGGCCGCATGCCACATTATCTACACCAGCCATGGTTAGGGGGTAGGAAACGAGGAGCGGAATGACACACTTTCTTGGGAACGCAGCCAACGTTCACGCAAGTACCGCCGAGGTTAGGCGACGATTCGATGAGGGCAACTTTCTTGCCGTAGGAGGCAGCGCGCCGCTGGGGTGAGGGATTAACATCTCGACACTATCACCCTGGCACGTGCAACAACACACCGACGATGCGACTCCTCCACTACCGCCTCCGATACAGATGTAGTCGTACTTCTCTTGCAGTTTATTGAGTGGTGCCATCTTGGTGCTGGTGTTCACAAATGATCTTGATATCTGTGGTTAAGGAATAAGAGAAGATTAGATACTCAGGTGACCTATCATATATAGTGAATGAATCATTGCACATTACCTGAAAGAGTCGCTGTGATGCCTGTGTGCGCACTAAGGACTGGGATGATGCGATTTTCGCAATGGATAGTGCACTTTTCAATGAAAGCGCCACCTTGAATAGTTCGAGCAACTGCTCGTCTGCTTTATAAGTAGGCTGGGAGCCGGGCCTGCTCAGTCAGACTCCCCAGCTTGCTGCGTCATCGCCAAGCTGCGTCTCACGTGAGGGGTGACAAAGAGGGATACACAACGCGTCACGGGTACATTTGCCAACGCTCATTAGAACCACCAAGCTTGAAGCTTCGGTTTGTAGGAAATATGGCAACGGTAGACTGGACGGCAGACGCAAATGAGGCTCTCACTCTTTCTCTAGGTGGGTCACTTTGCACGAACTAGAGCATAACTAACGCGCTTCGTGCAGTCCGAGCAGACGAGGATAAGCAGGTGTTTGGAGACGAGGAAACTTGCGAAGAATTTCGTCCAACATTTACTTATCCTGTGCGTTCCTATTTTATCTTGTCCAACACCCTCCCGTGATCCGCTGTAACGTTGTCCAGATTTACGGAGAAGACGAGAAGATCTACGGCTACCAGGACTTGGTAATCGACGTGCGTTATACCTCATTCGTGTATTGACACCGGCGCTAAACGTCCAACCCGTGTCCCGCAGCTTCGGTTTGCCTCCGGCTCACTGAGACAATACCTCTCTGTCCGTTACGCTCAAAAGCTAGATGCGTCTACAACCGTGGACAATGTAGAAGGAATATTAAAAGAGTTCATACCCCCTGGTGTGTTCCACTTCTCATACCCGTTGCTCTTTGACTGAATCTGGACCTGTCAGACTATGATACAGACGAAGCAGCATTTCTTACACGCGTCCAAGAGGATGCAGTTTCGTTCAGGCCCATAGGCAATCTCATACATTCTTATCTGCGACCCGTGTCAAGCAGTACATCAGGATCCACATCTGCCACTCCGGAAGTGGTCGAGTACGAGGTGTTTCATGTAAGCGCTATGAGCACTTTCTGCTTGTAATCCCGCCGACATGCATACAGGCGACATGGAATGATCCAGGATTCAGAGAATACCATAGACGAATGCAGATTTTTATTCTGCTTTACATCGAGGCAGGCTCTTACATCAATGAAGACGACGACGCTTGGGACTTTGTTGTGTTGTCAGTTCCTCAGTCGCATCCTTCAGAAACTATTTAACCCTGCACAAACAGGTACGAAAAACGGAAGCGGCAAAATGGCACGGAGACATACCATTTCATTGGATATTCATCATTGTACAATTTCTACTGCTTCCCCGAAAAACTCCGAATGCGTCTTAGGTATGTATTTCCTTTACGAAGTGGAACTAGAGAACCCATAGATGATTTGTACAGTCAGTTCGTAATCGTACCACCATACCAACGCCAAGGCCATGGATGTAAGTCCTAATTCCGTTGTCCTCTATCTCTATTCGTGCTCAAGTCTTTGCAGCGGAGCTGTACAGAGCAATCTACAACTTCGTCCTCTCCCGTCCTTCCGTATCTGAGTTAACAGTGGAAGACCCCGCTGAGGCATTTGAGGACCTACGAGACCGAAATGACCTCAGGATGCTCCTCGCCCACGAACAATTCATGCAAGAAGGCTTCGGTGGCGAAGTGGTTTCGCACGGGGGAGGAAAGGTGCGAAAGCAAAAAAATCGCGCTCGAGCAACCCCAATGGGTAGATCACCCAGTACGGTGAAAGGGAAAGGGAAAATGGGTCCCCCGGTAGACAAAGCTTGGGCTGAGAAGTGGCGGATACAACTGAAGATAGCGGGGGTAAGTGCTGAGTTTGACTTACTCTAATCATTGTTCTGAGTTTTCCCCAGCGTCAATTCCACCGGCTTGTGGAGATGCTGATCTTGATGCATCTCGATCCCGCCGACATCCCCACCGCAAGAGCATATCGATTACAGGTCAAGGAGCGGTTATACCGTTTCAACTTTGTAGGTCTCATCGCCGGCTGTCTCGCCGTTAACTAACATGTCTTCTCGTCACAGGAAATTCTGGCCCAATTAGAAAAGGAGGAACGACTGGAGAAACTGGAGGAGACATTCCAAAGCTTACGAGAAGATTACTTGAGAATACTAGCGATGATCAAGTAGCGCGGTTGCATATAAGCACCTGCTCATTGCTCTCTTTATTGCTATTTGACGCACTTGTAATTCTGCCACTGATACTATCTGAAGCAAGTTTCTAGACTAAGTGAGATTTATATGATCATTTGTACGGGACACGATCGCGCAGCACCCCGTTGACGGTAACCTCCCTCGCAACTGAGAGCAACGGTTTAACGATACCCACATCAACTTTGTTCGGCGACGCCTGAAAGTCTACCACCTGCATGCGGCAAGACGCAACTGCCAGCGCCTTAATGCAATCAACTTCCGGTTTGTTTGGTGCTCCCACAAGAGCTAACTTCGGCAGCATGAGATGAAATCTGTCGAATATAATGAATCCGCGCCGATTGTTCGAGAACAGGGGAAGTGTTATTAGTTCAAGGCAGGGATGCGTGACCGAATCACCTTTATCGCCAAACTCTGATCCAATTGCATTCACCACGATGACTTCCAGATGAGGGAAGATTACTGGAATGGAGCGTATGATATGGGCGGAAGCTGTTCGGAGGTGAAGATTACGTGTATTGTTGCAGGTAGGAGTTGGGAAATGCGATATTTTAGTGATGCTGAAAGGGTCTTGAGGTCAAGATAATGTGTATCTTGGCCAGGTTTGAACCAGATATCATCTTCATCAATGATGCATAGACAAGAGTTTTGGTTCATCGAATTCGGCGAGATCTGACCAGTAACACTCCAATGTTCTCAACTGAGGTGGGTCGGACTCGTACAAAATCCACAGACGCCGCCACAGGTCATATATGTCAAGCGACATAACAGCTACCGTTTCCCAGCGGTCACGCGCAGAAAGGAGGGTCCTAATTAGTTGACAATCTGTGCTTCAGTCAGTCAGTCGTTCGATTTTGCAGATGCGAAGGGTGAGAGGCTGACAGCCAGAGCTGGCGAGCCCAAACTGGAGTAGATATGGAAGGAACGGGTCCAATGAATCAGATTGCCCTGGAAACACAACCTGGACGCGCGACCAGACCCCTGTTATTGAAATGGCAATGGCTCGCCACAGGCAACACACCCGGGTGAAGACTAAGAGAGGGCTGGCAAATTGGCGGAGGTGGTGGTGTCTCCGTATGAGAAAATTCTGGGACAGTCTGGCACGTTGTTCACGACGAGCAAGAATATATGCTGTAGAAGTTCCACCGGCAGTCGGTGCCAGGTGGATGTGAGGTGCCGGATGGTTCACGTTTACGGGAGGGACATGTGATTTAGTGAATGACACATCCAGGTCGAGAACCCAGGCGGAACCAAAGACGATTGGGAAAGCTGAGCTGACGACGAAGAAGCAACTATTTGAGCAGAATCTGAGAGAGATCAGACAGGGAGAGTAACAAAAGAAGACGTAAACAAAGAAGAACAAACAGAATAAACGGCCTGTAATCCGTAGGTCGCGGAGAATTTCTTTCGTTATACCCTGATCAAAGTCACGATTTTTGTCCAATACGGTCCCCCATACTCATCGGATCGAGCGTTATCAATCGATTGTGACTCGTACATGTCTTCTCCGTAAGCGCAGGTTCGGCGGCAGACGCCAATTTGGACCGTAAACGTCTGAATTCCGCCAGCGGACTAGTCTGTCGATCTTTCCTACGAAGCTGGGACGCAACATCTAGAGCGTATCTGACGCCTTTCACCCATACTACAGTACTTGTTCTACATTCTTGCAACAATTCATTCGTGTAAGGTGTTGAGATCCGAGGCAAGTGTCCCGACGATCTGTATGTCCTTGTTATCCTTTTTCTTTATGCCATTCGTCGCTGATATTCTCTTCGCTGCAGCATTCGGCGAGGACAAATTACATCATGGACATGTCGTTCACTAAAACACATGTCCTTGCCGTCAACGTCAATTACCCGGCACCCCACATCCACCTACTGGCTAAGGGAGACTAATATCCACCGACTGCCAGTGGAAAAGGTTCTTCAGGTGGATAGGTTCTTCACATCAGTCCTTGTTGCGAGCTGGCATTGCAGATATCATCTGTTCGAAAGGGGATTTCAAGTAGATAGGCTTCTCATATAAAAGCAAGCCGTCTTCCTACTAATGTCTCCTTCAGATTTATTTGACGATCTGATCCCATATCACATCCTCACAAGCAATGCGTTTCTCCTTTATTCTCGTTGTTGTTGCTGCTTTTGCAGCCTCAATATCTGCCAGCGACACTGACAGTGAGAAATGTCCTATCTTTTGCTGGGACGTGAGCGACTGCTTAGGCTGCGTGCAGCCCAGCGCACGCGCGAGCATGAGTGGTTTGCGTGTCGATGTAACCACGTGACTCACCGGCGTGGTCACAGGGCTTATTTTTATGTGCGCCTGAGAGGAGGCGGTGACTCGCCGGTGACTTGTGAGTCGTGTTTCTGCTTTCAGGACGGTGCGGTATGGTTGATGGCACATACTTTGTTGTTGAGTTGATCAACGTGTTTGTTTCTGAACAAATTTTACTACCGCTCGGGCAATGGAGATCTTGGAATAGCTATAGGAAAGTCGCGTCCAAAGCTGGGGCACAACAATCTCTAGAGCGTGTCTCACGCCTTTCACTCATACTACACTTATTCTGCATCCTTGCAATAAATCTATTCGTGCAAAGTAAAGAAACGATGCTTGATGATCATATTTCAACCTAAGTATCAAGACGCTGAACTCGAAGCCCTTCGATCGGCGAGTCAGGCCTCAGGGGCCATAGCTAGATGATAGGGGAGCTCTGATAAAGTGCGGACTTCTTGAAGGGCTCGAGTCTAAGCTGAATACCGATGGCATTAATCGATTCAATGGTCCAGCCAAGGACAACTTTCGCGACGATCTGCATGTACTTTTACTCCTTTTTCGTAACGCCAATCGTCGCCGCCGTTAAGGTTATCTTTGCCGCAGCATTCGCCGACTCGGTGGAATTCAAGCATGATGGTGTCTCGGCCGTGTCTACGTATCAACGAGTATCAATCTTCCTTCTATCAATGTCTGGCTACGGAAGACTACGGTTTACTGCTGCTTAACTGTTCAATCTCTCTGCCATACACATACTACTCATTTACCTTGCATGTATCCACGTACCAGTTAATACATGCAGAACTTCCTGAATCTGGCCTCGTTTGTGGGACAGGAAAAACGAAAAGAAAACATTTAAATTGTGTTATGGAAGTATCGAGAAAGAAAGAAAAAAAAAGAAAACATTTAAATTGTGCTATGGAAGTATCGAGAAAGAAGAAGAAAAGAACTCCAGAGGCTCTAGAATACATCTGCCGTCACACTCGCCGACGTCGCAGAAACATACGGAGATGCTGGATTTTTAAGCCTCATCAGGAACATAGTACAGGAGGCTACACTCACCCTCAGGCTCTCGAAGGACTGGGAGGAGAGGGTCTCTCAGGGGGGGCTTATAACTTCTTCTAGTATGATATTTCCCCGCACGACTCTGGGTCTGGGTTGCAATCAGTGCAAGAAAAACAGCTACAACTGCTCGCTTAACCATCGGCTGGCCCGCACAGATGGCAAAAGAAAAAAAACTGCCACACCAGTGAGTCACGTGGTTAAGTCCATGGACGCAAACAATACTCACGCAGTTGTGGGGTTGCGAGCAGCTCCAGCAGTTGCTATCTCTCCAGCAAAAGGTATTACATTTCTCAGCCTCAGCGTCACTGGCAGATATTGATGTTGCCAAAGCAGCAACAACGGCAAGGACAAAGGGGAAACGCATTGTTTGTAAGGATGCGATATGGGATCGAATAAATTTGAAGGGGACAGTCGGAAGACGGCTTGCTTTTATGTGGAGAACCTATTCACCTGAAATCCCCTCCCGAACAGATGACATCTGCATCGTGATTGTACAATGCCGGCAGATTGACACCTAAGATCTACGTGGTGAAGCAAGGTTGATGCCAGCACGCAGTGAAGAACCTACCCACCTGAAATCCTCTTTTGAACAGATGATATCTGCCACAATGCCAACAGATTGACACCTAAGATCTACACGGTGAAGCAAGGTCAATGCCAGCACGCAGTGAAGAACCTACCCACCTGAAGTCTTCTTTTGAACAGATGATATCTGCATTGTGCAATCCCAGCAGACTGACACCTAAGATCTCCGAGGATATACCCTGTGAAGCAAGGTCAATGCTGGCTCACAACAAGGACTGAGTACTGATCAGCTTGTTGTTTGATCTTACATATTACTGCTCTTTGCATAAAGGATGGCAGTGGCGTGAAATTTTCGTTCAATTAGGAAATGTTGGACTTAGTGAAATTTTGCTCCTGCATCACCAAAATTACCGAATCCAGACATCACATGACATGTTGACATTTCTGACGCCGCCAATTACTATCTCTGGCCCAGAGTTGCAACACTTTTCGATGTTCGCGCGATAACTCAACAACAACACAACATTAAAAGAATGTGACAACAGGGGGACATAGGATTTAGTATAGGCTCTAATTCTATGTAGAAAAAAATGGGAAACTTGTCAAGGCTATGTTGCCAGAGAGAAGCCGGCGTGAACAGTGTTTGAGCACAGAGTTGCAAAATTTCTCACCCGCATAGAAGGCATCGTGTCACACTGTGTCACACCGCCGTTTTCACTCTCCGACGCCGTCAAGTGCAACAAGCCACTGATATTTGGACGACTCGAATGCTATCAAGTAGGGCGTTGTACAGTGACCGGCGCTGAGCACTGAAATTCCAATGTAGGTATGTTTGTATGTAAGGTATTATATGCTAGGTAGGCATAATATATGATATATGCTGCAGGAAAGATTACGAAGGATAAGCCAAAGGTACTAGTATGCATCCAGATTGAGGACCGGGTAGGTTACTGCTCAAGTATGGATTAAATGAGCCACTCATGTCAGTAGGGTAGGCAAATGAGTAAGAGTGTGGAGCAAAGGCATTGTACTGAGAAGAAGTAGCTGAGAATGGGTCCTGAAGTGGGGGGGATGCTTGGGAGAGTATTGCGAGAGGATGAGGCAAATGGAACTTGATAGGATGGTCCTGCTGTGCGACGGAGTAGTGATATCAAGGCGAGGGCGTGTGGCAGGGGGGACATTCTGATCATTTTCTTCAGAAGGACCTTCATTGAAGGACCATTTTTGTCCGGTACGAGAACGGCCAGCGAAAAGGCCAACAAAGCGCTCGTCATTCTTCAGTTCTGGATGGGACTCGAAGTATTCTTTGATGGCTTTCAAGAGCTCCGGTTTGGTCCCTGCGGTAGAAATTTGAAGGGCGCCGGCAATATCAATAAGATCGTCCTTGTTCTTTGCAGAAAACAAGCCAGTAAAACAAGCACCAGCACCCTGTGCTGCCTGTCGTGCTGACCACACAGCCTTTTTGGCAGCCGCTCGTTGCTTTGCTTCCTCCTTTTTTTTCCGGGCTGCTTCCCTCGCCGTCTCTTGCTCCTCACATTCTTTCAGCCCTTGTGATGATGTCAACCAGCGCGCGTTGATGTTGTGCGCTCGAGTCTTCTTCCTTCCTGCACATGAATTTAATTTTTTCTTCATAGCATCGACCTCGCTCAATGCCATTGCACAGTGTGCTTCGGTGGCGCGCACCTGCGATTCCAGTGCCTTCACTTGGTCTTGAAGGAGGGAGATATCCTCATCAGAGTTTTGAGATACGCTGTGCCGTTTTGGACCGCGGCTGCGTAACGGTAGCTGTGGGTGAGAATTTGATGGAGTGTCGAGTGAAGGGATGGACATATGGTATGTGGGTAGTGCAAATGAGGTGCCAGTTGAGTTGACTGGATGAAAGTCAGACTCATCATCTGTGGACTCATCATCCTCAGCAGTGGTGCTTGAGTCTGTGCTTGAGTCACTGTCTGAGTCACTATCCGAGTCTTCCGATAGTGGATCGGCACCTGTTGGAGGATGGAGCACGTCCTGGAAAGCTGGAAGTTGACTTGGCTGAATGGGGTATGAGGTAGGGACACTAGCTTCAGTGGATGTCGCCATGCTTGAACCGAAATCTCTATCAATGAAAATGCTGGGATTAAATGGCCGAATTCCGCTGTTCTTCCAAGCCTTCGAAATGATCTCTGTTGTGAACACCTTCCCACGCACTGCCATATATTGATTGATGAAATCAGCACGAGGTATCTCTTCACCAGTTTCGTCCAACACCTCTTCACAATGTTTGTACCATGCACGTTGAAGGGGGCCAAAAACACCGACATCCAAGGGTTGCAGCTCATGAGTGGTGTGCGGGGGAAGACAGAATAGCTCAATATTATGCTCAACTGCCAGGCGCCGCATCTCCAGTGTGACATGTGATCCGTGACCATCATAGATAAGGAGGACTGGTTTACCAGACGTATTGCGGGCTGTCGCTTGTGGGATAAAGCATTCCTCAAACCACTTCGTGCATATGAAGTCATCTGTCCAGCCATTGGGTGATGTCGCCACACTGAAAATGCAAGGTTAATATTCAGACTTCAGGTTTGTGTTGATAACTCACCAGATGTCTTTGTGTGCACTGAACCACTGCTTGTGATAGGACTTTCCCACAAAAACAAAGCCTGGTGCAATGCTCACACCATCAGCTGATACACACTCGATGACTGTGACCAGTTCCAGATTCCCGCTTCGTGTCTTATACTTCGGGTATCTACCATGAAGTACAAAGTACTTCTCTGGTGAAGCCTTCCTTCTGCCGCCTTGCTGACACCCCTTCTCATCCATGTTATACATGTTTTCCCAGGGAATGTCCTTTTCATCAAGAAGCTTCTTAAGAAGCTCAAAATGGTGATTGACAACAGTGCAGTTAAAACTTTGGCATCGTTTTGGGTCCAGAGCTGATGGTTTCCCCAAGCAGATATCTGGGTGACGTTTGAGAAAGCCTCTGACCCACTTCTCGCGGGGCTTAGACTGTCCATGACATAATACAGCTGCCTTGCTTCGGATTGTGCGCTTGCTGAGTGGATGCCCCATGGAGCTGAGTAATTTAATCCAGTCAACGAGCACATCCTCTGACTCTGGTGAAAGGATCTGCTGCCCAACATGAGCCTTGTTGTATGGCTGACTTTTGCCAAGAAACCGTCGACGAAGGGTGTGATATGGGACTTTGTGCTCTGTTGCAACAGCACATATGTTAGGAGAAGGAGAAGCACGTAGAACAGAGCAGGCATGTTGGATTTTATCCTCAAGTTCTTGAGCAAACTTGTAGGATTGTTTTGCCTTGGGCATGCGACCTGCACTGCAAGACTGAAAGTTTAACTTTGCAGATTCACATTTGTGCAAGTCTTGGCCGAGTTGCCGAGCGGAGCTTGACAACTCCGAACGCCAACTCACTGCTCCTGTCACGTCCTGTGTCTCGATAGTAGAACACTTTTATCTCACAATACAACTCAGCTTTCATGTTGGAAAAATTTAGGGTAGTATCAGAAGACAATGAAGCATCCCTTGTAAAATCCTTGATTTTTTTGGCACATGTGATGGCTTCCCTCCGACGGATTGGCATGGAAAGTACACTTTCTGAGCAGTGTTTCACTGCCGCAAGCACTTCTAGTCCATTTTTCATGAAATAAAAAATACACACAGTAAGCTATGTATTAATCATCCTTCAGAATCATTGTGTGAAGGAAATGAGTGAAAGATGAGTGTGGTACATCGTGTTTTGCAACTCTGGGCCAAAGATAGTATATATACCCGTCATATTCGACATTTGAAATAACGTCATGATATGATGACATCGAACATACTGTCTGTCAGACACAGGTCATCTAGTACTTAGCTGTCAGCCAGATATCAGATACATCCAATGTATTATATAGAGTAATACTAGTGGTATATGATGAAACTGGGTGGAACCCAAGTAAAGTACCTAAAGCACACCATAGCCTCAACAAGTATGTCATCATCGAGTTCCTCACCAAACTCAGCTATAATCTCATCCTCCTCATCATGCCTCAAGATATCATACTCCTTCAATTATTCTCATTTTATCAACTAACGAATCCAGAACGCAGTCTCGTTGGACGGCACCTACTGCTTCAACTTGAATATAGACACTCCAGGCACCAAGGTACCTTTATCATTTTGCTCAATGCTTATCTTGGATCGAGAAGCGAAACTTGAATCTAATATCACCAAACAAGGACAAGCACGTCAATATCAATATTGCGTGTCGCATATTTTACATCTTATCTTTCTCTTCCACCACCATGGTGCGTCGCAAACGCTCTGCCTCCATTTCATCTTCTTCTTCTGAATTGTCCCACAGTTTCAGGTTATCAGTATTGTCAGTAGCCACCTCTACTTGGCGACCCACAGAAAACCGAACTTGCTGTCATCATCAAGGTGAGTGTATGTGCATATATGCACATATTATGTACTTAATTCATCCACCAGATGGATGCTGCTATTTCAGTGACTCGCTCTGACAACACCTCACATCTGGTGATTGTCTTTTCGTTCACCCGAGATTTGTTTGTATTCATTTGCGCTTGGTCATGCAATCTAGGTGCATCTTTTTTCACTTATCTATGTATGTACATTGCTGACAAGTATCTACATATCTATTTGTGAAGTTGTGTACATTTACTTTTTGGCACTTCATTGTGGCCACTTTGCATGCTTGCACACATCTACGCTTGTCTTTATGTGTCTCAGGCTGTGCTCATTTGTATCCGGCGTCTTCAAGTTGTGCAATAGGTTCGATTTTTCGATTGATAATATTTATAACTAACTGATCGCATGCTCACTTGTTCACATTGCCATCACAGAAAATTTAGCGCGCGCGCCGCGGCTTGCTTGGGCCCAAGCCCCGGCTTTGGGCCAGCTTGGGCTCACGGCTCAGGCTTGAACTCATGGATTTCTCATATTCCTGTCCTGGTGTCCGCTCTCGATTACCCGTACTCACATACATAGGCTCGGAATGATACACTAATTGTACCTCACTGCTTTGTACTACCATTAATTCAATGCATTACCTTGTTATATCAGAACACAATTGCAATGTCTGATCAATCTGAGTGAAATTCAAATACTTGATGTACATAGCAATGTCTGACATATCGGTACACTAGCTTAATGCCAAACTTATGTCATATGGCAGTCACAATGCCAGAATTGAGTTTCCTAGCATTGCCCGAAATTGCGACCTTGCACCGGATACATATGGCAGGTATGGTAGCTCTGACATGACCATATATAGCCATGTCTGAGTTGTGTAATTTTGGTGATGTGTGGCCTTGTACTACCCTCATCAGCAAATGCAACTTTGCTCATTAAGTGCTTTTGAGCAGTTTGCTTTTGGTTTAGTTTGGGTTTGCGTTTGTAAGCATACATTTTTGGTCATGTGTTCAGCATCTCCACCAATCGCATGAGTGCGCTACTGAAGTCATAAGCGAAAATTATGGGTCTTTTGCTGATGCTTACTATCATTCGATGGGAAATGCACAATTTTCACTTATTGCTGAATAGCAACACAACAACAACACATATTCGTATCGGATCTACTGTAGTGTATACCTTAGGTCTCTGCGCATAAGGCCCAACAAGAATTTTTTTTATTTTGTTGCGAGCTTGTTTCAGCGGCAGCACTGGAAGTTGAGATGTTGAAAACACAATAGAAATGCACAATTTCGTCACACTATGTCACGTGCGGCACCTCGGCCAATACACAATGATATCCAAAGTCCGACAGTGTGCAAAGCGAATGAAAGTCCAGTGTTGCTGAATGCAAACAAAGTGGAGACTCAACCAAGCCGAGAGTGTGATTTCCCAATCTAGCCTGACTGTCACGCTTTGCTCATGAATTGTGAATAGCACACTGTGGTGGTGTTCTATTGACATAGAAACACCTGGGGTAGATTCAGAATAGTGTATTTCATACATGTTGAAGTTCCTATGTTGATAGGTCAATGGGATGTGGGTGGATCTTGGATTTAATGTCCAAAAATCACTCATTTTGGGTACACTCGCACAATGTTTCATCTCAGGAAGGCTTCACAGCGCCGATTTTAAATATTTGATTTGGCAGTCTTATTGAACATATTCTAATACTTGTTCTCCAGCTGTTCCGAATGAAATATATGTAGAGTGGTGAGCTCTGGAGTGCATTGTGCATTCCGGATCAGGTGATAGTATTATCATCTTTGCCGCATGTGATTTCGTAAGATCAGTTGTGACGTGAAACTTGCAGCAATCCGACTCCATGAACAGAACTGAAGTTCTGAGCCTTCGCAACATCCTAGATTCCTGCGGATTTTCCGAATGCACTTAGTTTCAGATTTTGAGGCTCTGGCGCGAAACCGGTGATGTCGTGAACCGTCAGCCTAGCACAGCAGTGCGTGATCATCTGCGTGCTCTCGATCTCTAGCAGGCTCTTGTGTTTTTTAGAGGCAGGAATAGTTATAAATAGCATAATTGTTGGAAATCTCAAAAATCTATTTTGACCGATTAGGATGCTTTATAATAGTCCTAATATAACGTGTGATTCGCAAGCCATTGCAATAGAAGCCACAGTTTGGAATATATATTGTAATGATGATGTAACAATTATATTTGCACCTGTAATGCTCATTGCATTTCCAATTCTAGCATGTTTTCGATGATTTTTGTTGCAGTTACAATTATTTTTCAACATAATTGTGATCTGTCTTGCACATTTGAATGGATTTGCGTCAGTCATTCCCATAGCATGTTCTGTCATTAAAATAGATTTTCATTGTGTGTTAGAATCATTGTAATTTATTTGTGTTGTAGATTACAATTGATGCGGTACTACATTGTGATTGTTTCGCAAATCAAGACTAGATTTTATGGTCATGGTAGGTAGTTTACAATACAGCGGTCAAATTACAATCATTCTGTGTAAGGGTGTGTACGTCGGGTAGCCAACAAAACAAGGCAATTCATCAAGCAACAGCAAAAATCAACACAAGAATGAGATGAAGGGAACAAGGTACATGGAATAAGTAGCGAGGGAACCAATGGAGGGACGTGAAATGAACAGTCTAGGTGAGAGAGCAGCAAGGGAACTGGATGCAGCATCAGTAATAAACAGCCACTACTCTGCTTAGGCTTGTGCAGAGACACCTTGGAATAAGTAGTGAGGGAACCGGAGGGTTGTGAAATGAGCAGTGAGGAAGCGGTGAGGGAACTGGATGCAGCAGCATTAGTCAACGGCCACTACTCTGCTTAGGCTTGTGCAGAGACGCCTTGTCGGCATTGGGTAGTGCTGGCTCTGCGGTGCACAACGACCTTTAAATTAAGCGTTATTAAATGATGCAGATAGATACCCCCGACAATGAGCTACTAGGGGTGAACTCACCTTGAATGATTCGTTCAACTGATTCCTTTTTGCAAGTGGACCCAGGGTGCCCCTTGTCCTGTCAATGCAAAACCAGCTCTTAGACTGGGACCTTGGCGCCGGGGGAGATAATTTCAATGGTTAAATTTAAATGTCGAAGTTCAAAAGAGAAACAAAGACATGTACTAATATTTGTTGCGATGCTGACATAATCACGTCACGCAAATTGCAAAGTCCTCTGTAATAGGGGTTGTGAACATTGTCAAGCAGACACTGAGCTAATACATAGATTGTCGATGTAGTAACTGTAAATAACAACTGTAACAATTATGAGAAAATGGAAGGATTGAATCAGAAGAGAGCTGGCATGGCTCAACAATAGTAGTATGATACCTATTTGACATTCTTTGAATGGCCGTGCCGCCAGGAGGTGCCATCATCCCCTTCCGATACTGGCACCCTCGACTTTTTGGCCCTACTGGACTTGGATTTCATCGTCTCAATGGCCTGGCTGCTACTCTCTTTGATTACTACCTCTATTTCCTCAGAATCAACTGGTCCATCACGGACTTGAAGCTTGCTGATTGAAGAACAGTGACTTGCTACAGTGCGTGTTGATGTCACAGTATCATTAGTCAATGAAAGAGTAGGTCCAGGAGGTCCAGGAACCTTGTCCGATTCATGTATGGTTATGGCGCCTGTATTCTTAGCGAGAATGTCAATATTAGCATCATGGACATCTTCATCGTCAGATAGATTCTCTTCTACTTCTGCCGCTAATCCAAGTCAAGCGAGACGCATCTCTTCTTGAAGATCGTCAGCCGAATCCTCGGTATTGTGAGTGGGGCGGCGAGAAGTTCGCTCGAAAACAAAGGTATTGATGTGTTTGATGATCCCCTTTAGGTGAGGCTTCTCCCAGTCGCAGAGCAGAAGTTCTTTCAAGAATGCGTAGAGCGTGCCGTAGTTGATTCGCGAGGTCTTCCCTTTGCCTTCTTGGGGAAACTCCTGGTCAGGGGATAATAAAAAGATGTTCTATTATTAATAGAAGCACACGTTTGAAATTAAATCAGTCCAGAGCTCAATGAATTAAAACCTCGGGACTTACTGCAACAATCGCCCAAGCCACAGCCCCAGGTGTCACTGCTGTAACACCCCACTTGACTGCATTGGGCGGAGCACCACCCTGTCATCTGCTCTCGTTAGATAGTGATGTCCTGCCCTTAAGGCAGCAGCTCAGTGTCTGTCATAATCAATACAATGTAGATTAGATGTTAAATTTAAAGTGAATAGTGACTTACCTTAGCAATAGGTTGCCAATTACCAAACAGCATTTTACGAGTGCAGTCAGCAATGTTCCCAGGAAACAGTAGTGGTGGCAAAAGGGGATACAACTCGCCAGCTTTTCCCGTGATGCCAAGTAGTCGGTGAATATCGGGTTCTGCATCACGAGCATATAAGATTGCAAAGTAATGCTGGGGTAGTTCGAAAATCTGACCCGCAGCACTCCTGAGCTTGTTAAGCTCGGAGGCACAACCAGCACATACTGCCTTAGAAAACTGTAGATAGGCATTAAGTATGTCATAGCATTTTAATTATGAAAATAAATGTATTACCATGTTCGAAAACCGATTCATTGGCACCAGGTGGTGCAGGTGCTGAGGAAGCGTGTTGTACAATTCCACCAGACATGCGAGCTCCTGCGAACCCGTAGTAGCATACTGCGCAGCTGTATTGAATGGCGGTAGAGGGTTGGGAAGTGTTGTTTTGAGCAGGGCTGCTGGTGGTGGGAACATGTTGACCATAAGACCATAGCATTTCACACAAACCTTGAGTTCCCCTTCAAATGCTACGATATCTTCCGAAACGGCAGTGTCCTGCTTGCGACAACCCTTATTGGCTGATAGTACTTTGTTTTGCTCCTCCACGGTGCGGAGTTGTTCTTTCAGCGCCTGGTTTTCAAGCTGCGCATTCTTGACCTCCTGCAGACATCGACAATGCTTCCATTAGTGCTATGAACAAAGATTATTTAGTTCAAACTTGCCTCCACTTCATGTTTAGAATGGCGCGATCTTGGTTGAGTTGCGGCTTGACATTGAATGGATTAGAGATCGACCCTTGAACGACGCCATGCGTGGACCCGACCCCCTCATTGGACAACAAAGCTTCGTCAGCTGATGAAGATTCATCAGCATAGCGGTATTGAGTTACTTGAGACATTCTAAGGAATAAGATCAGTGGTGCCCAATGCCAAAGTAGTTACAATTTATATGCAACGGTTCGGATGACAGTCAGTGCATGCAGTGCTTGGTATCAGGGTGTGGAGGACACATTACGAATCCATGACTATCATTGTGTAATGATAGAAACTGCAGGTGGTGGTAAGGAGTGCATAATAAACGCCCGGATGTCGAAACACTTACTCCTCCATTGTGTAATTGTCAATATATTCGGAACCTTGATGATTCAAAGCCCACTGAGACGTAACGAGAGCATGTCATCTAATCAAAGTTCTTTCGAATGAGTATTAATGCATGCCAAATAATGCACGTGCAAACCTTGATACATGCTAGATGAGTGCTGCAATATTACCCTTCATCCACGAGGTGTGTTGGTCTTGGCACATCGGATAGGGCAGTATGACTGGTAGGGTAGCGTGCACGCAGCAAGTAGCTGGTGTTATTGTCCAAGAGCTTTCAGGATGAAACATCAGTAGCATTCTGAAGATTAAAATCCATTCTTACACCCTTGATTCGCCAGAGAATGTCTTGTTCACAAAGTATCTTCCGGTACTGACGCTCGCACAACAAGATATGCCGCAATGACATCTGCTGGCGTCTTCTTTGATGAGTCTCTGACAGGGAATTCGGGTAAGGTTTGTATGTGATAATAACATGGCTTGAGAAGACATGAGGCGTGAATGTGGCAAAATAGTCTGGGAAGTTGATCTGCGAGAGATCGGCCTTGAGGGAGTTGATGTTAGTCAGTTAATGCCACCCTTGTCACCCAGAACAGGGTGTGAGGCCATCCCAACTGCGGGATTGTCCACTCCCTGGTCAGCGATGAATCCTGCAGGGCAGTTCCTAGACTTGTCCGCTTCGTTCCTAGACATCCATTCAATAATCAAGTGGATACAGAGGTCAGTAGTGGCTGAGCGACGTACCTGTTCTTCAGGAAGAATCGGACATGGTGCCTTGAGCACACGCAGCTGGTGAGCAACAAAAGCAAAGGTATAAAATGGATCGCAGACTCACCGTTTACCTACAACTATGAATGTTAACTCTGATTTTGAACTTTTGTTGCACCAGATGTCATCAATCGCCCCTAGTAGACACAGTTAGAAAAGAAACAAGCATTGCTGGACTAACTTACCTGTGATGTCCTTGATTTCCTCTTTCCCATGATTCTGTATTCCCATAGGTGTGACCCTGTTACGCTCGTCAAATTTGTTGATTGCTTGTGATAGCTAAAACCGCATGTGCGCATGGTAGATGGAATGAACTCACATAAACCAGCAAGTGCAACTCATCGATTTTTCTCTTGATGTGGTGCTGGACTGATATCATTGCCTCATACCTGGACTGCCAGTGTGCAGCATAATACTGATCAAACAAATAGACGAGAGAAGTCACAGAGGGCTGGTTGACTGTGCCAGGTGCAGGATATCCCACATCGGCACCTGGCCCTGCAGGATGAACCAGCCTTCAATGAGTCTCAAAGGCCAAACAGATGATACATACCTATAACAATGAATGGAGCGCTCATGAGCTTCTCCAAAGCACCTGACCTTGGTAGCGAATTGACGCCTCCAAGTTCGGTGTTGATCCTAGCAAACATGTCAACAGTGCACATCTAGACCGAGATCAATACTTGACATACTTCATGCCGAGATTTGTACAATATTGATTGTTTGTCCCCTTGATCTTATTCTCTCACTAGAGGGAGTATGTTATAGGGCAGGTGTCAAGGCGCAGAGTCGAGGGGTGAGTTGCTAACAGACAAGGTAGCAATGAAACCACAAGCCTTGGAGGAAGGGGGCAGCGAGAAGCAGCAGGTGCAGATGTGTGCGAGCGAGCACAGATGAGTGGCGGCATGCAGAAACAACTAAATGTGAGTAAAAGCACAGAGACAAGTGCAGAGGCGGGGCGCAGAGGCGGGGTGCAGACCAGTGCAGGCAAGCACAAAAATTAGCAGACAAGCGGGAAGCATAAACAAACGATCAGTTATAGTTTAGTTATAAATGTGAAAAAGCGGTACCTATCGTGCAAGATGCCAGACGCAGACATGTCGAAATAGGCATAGACGTGCACACACAAGCACACAGAAATGAGTGAAGATGCTTGTCAGTGATGTACATACATATATAAATGAAAAGACACACCTAGATTGCACCAAACAGATGTGAATGAGTGCAGGATGAACACACAGTCATCCGATCCGATCAGAGGACCTCCAATGAGAGTATACTGCCATGACAGTCGCTTATGGTGATGGGCGAGAGTGTGAAAAGACAGAATGATACATCAGCGATCAGACCTTGCTTGAGAATCAGAACTGCAGAAGTTTTAAATCAAAGTGAGATATTGCAAGATCAGACTATTAGTAATAATAATACAATGATTAATGCCCGGCTGCAAGGTGCATTTGCTTCATGCGCAGAAATATGTCACTGTCTACTGTATCCATAACGAGAAAGTCACCAGCTGTAGTAGGATTGGGAGTGAGAGCAACTCCTCAGATGATCGATTCTGCTAGTATAAACTCACTAGCAGTTTCTCTTGGTTGTGATCTAACACGCCAAAACTTCAGGTGTTTGTCCTTCTGGAGACGCCTCCCAGTTGGTGCATCATATGGATGTACAAGGGCGATGGGATAGGATGTGTCATGAATGACACACGTAAAGAGGAAGAGGAGCCGTGCAAAAAAGACACCAGCTGTGGTGTTAACAATGACACAGTCGTATCGGGGAAGATTATGGAAACTCGGGCTGCAATGGAGATAGTCGGTGGTCTGACGGAAGTCAACTAGCGACTCGTAGTTAACCTTGAGGAATCGAAACTCTGTTATCTTCTCGGGATCAGTTATGGGTGAGTACCGACTTTCAAATTGGACTTACTTCATCCAACAGTAACATGTTCACCCGGGCCTGCTGTGTAATAGCGGGCAAAGAATTTAAAAATGCATTGAGTTTTGTGTGGAATCATCCGAAGGAGGGATTGTCGATATATTGTGTTTTGATTGCCTCCAGAGACTTTTTCGGTTGCTTCGATCCGAATCTGATATGGAAGTTGGATGGGACATTAGTATCAGGGTCGTTCTCATTGTCCTCGTCTTTGGCCATCCAAGTGTTATGACCAACATCCCTTAACCTAACTAGTAGGTGTCTGGAGATTGAATCACACCACAGGACTCGTCTGAGAGAGGATAAAACAAGGATATTATTGAGAGGGAACGTCTAGGTCTACGATGACGTAAGAACGAAGAGGTTAAGTCTAAGGAGTACTACTGACTACAACCTAAACTATATACTACTATTGGGGCGGAGATATCTGAGTATGAAAGGTTGTGATATATCTATATACGGTCATAACATTGCACCTAGGGTATAGGGCGTCTTATCAACCAATCAACTACAAGAAAGGGAAAAGGGTCCATAGGGGTATCGGGAATTAAGCAGGGTTCTCAGGGTACTGCTTCTATTCTGGGTAAGCGGAGATTAAGAAGGGTGTGAGAGAGTTCAGTGACAAGAAGTCTCGAGCGGTGATTAAGGATCTCGATAAGAGATGGGATCTGGAGATGTATTGGGTATGATCGGATCTAGGGTTTCTCCAGGGTCTTCGGTAATGAGCATGCTTCTCTATGAGCGGTGTTTCTGTGATAGGGTTCAGGGTTTAGCTGTGACTGTGCAACAGGTTCTATTGTAAGGGGTTCGTGTCATGAGAAGTGAAGGTGTGCGATGTGAAGGATGATGACTCTTCGAGAGATGACTCGTAAGGGACTCTCGGTTATGGTTCGATCATAGAGGCATACAGATGCTTATAATGTAACCCGTTGCCTAATCGTAGGACTTCTAAGGATATGATGATGTCGGGTGTCTAGGGTTACGGATATAGATGGATGACGTCGATGTAGCATAGATGTGATGTAAAGATAGTGATCGTTAATCGGTTATCCATCTTATCTTATCAGGGATCTATCTAATCTAATCTTATCGGATAAGGTGACTTAGGGTTTGATAATCGAAATTTAGATGCAGTTGGTAACATTCATGACACCAAGTGTTGTATGCATCCAGTTCATCCACTCGACCACTGATGAACTCAGAAACAAGAGACCAATGGTCTGCACATAAAATCTGTATGTAACTTACTAGATTAAAACTAGAACCAATGATATCGAAAATAGAATGACAAACCTGTGGTGCAACATTCTTAAAATTAGTTCGTCATTGATATGACTCCTTCAGGGGGCCGTGACACTTCTTGTTCGGCTTTGTGTTGTAGTTGCGAGTCACTCCCTTAGCCTCGATGTCGTCAAATAGGTGGGCAGCTAGATGGTTCTTCGGAAATGACCAGTTCTTGTCTGGCCGTATAGCTTGAGACTTCTCGATATATTTCTAACAGATTAATAGTTAAAAGGTGATTCAGACAGTCCAATATCACTTACATTCATTAGCTTGGAGAATTTTTCAAGGGCTTCTCGTCCTCCCGCAATTGTTGTTGTGGTCTGTACCTCAAGTGCTGCATACAGGTCCACGTCGAGGTATGCACAGATACATCGAAGGAGAAGGTAAGCAACTTTACTTTCGTCAGTGTTTGGAAGAACATCATGAGCCGTGAATGTAATCAGCTGATTCGATAGTACATAGCTCTATTGTTAGTAAACGGCATCGTCATCACTTAGATAGATTAGTTTTACCTTGAAAATATCTTCATATTTACTTCTGTCGGTGAATGATATAGACATAACAGCATCGAAATGGTTCAAATTCTGCCAACGAGGCAGTGCATCAAAACTATTACATGTAGAGCGAGAAGTGAGACAAAATGCTGTGAATTTAACTCAACATGACTTACTTCTGGTCAATTTTCATGGTGGGGTTGCGTCCCAAAAGGCCAATTAGTAGTTGTAGTTCTGGCCACATGTGATCCCTGAAGAGACCCCGAAGGACAGCATGAAGTTGGTCATAGCATAGCGCGCAGTGTATGTCAGTAGTCTTCAGATTCATGTCATGAAATGTGTTCTAAAAGTAGTCAAGTTAAATGGTTATGAAACGTGGAACAATATGCTATCATACATCAACATCACGAATTGACTGACTCTTAAGTATTGCCTCCTGTCGTCCCTTACGGTGCTCCGCCCTTGCCTCGATCAAAAGGGTGTTTGTTGCCTGGCTTGTCCGAAGAGCATAGTTATGAGGCATGATGGAAGCTAATTCATCTCCAGGAATCAAACAGATCAGGCACAGAAAGTTGCTCATAACACCCCAAGTGAGTGACATTACACTCCTGGAGTGTCAGAAGTTAAACAACATATCAATAAAGTTAAAATGTAAACCTACTGCTCCTCATAGTCTGCGGACAGTATCAACACCAGGGTATAGAAGAGCCTTGCAATATTGTCCCAACAATTTGCCCATCGGCCACTTATCGAAGGTGGTACAATTGATGCGAGAACCTTCTTGATGGACGCATGCCATACAGCTACTGTGAAGTTGGCAAATTGTGGTGTACCTTTGTATTTCGGGTCCTCTTTGACCTATGACGTGACAGTTAGCTCTAGATATGAAAAATGATCACGAAACGTACCAATGGGAGCCACCCAACCACCCAGCCCCCACCCATCCCGCTTCCGTTTCTGATGGCGACGGGAAGGTTTGCTAGGCGAGCGATTACGGGATATCCTTTCTCGCAACCGAATGATGATAGTTTTGACTTGTCAGCATACAAAATAAACGCTAATGGTTTCGCGTCAGGAGGTATCTGAGACTATAGTAACATCAATAGCCATATCACAGTACAACATGGAAATAGTTACCTGGCAGTCCCAGAACACATCCGCCGTCCATGGTTCATCGATGAACCTGATGAACGTGTCTCCATCAAATTTTGATAACCGTTGGGCATCAAAAACGCAATGCGGGCCGATGATGGGATGTCGCAGAATATCAATTGCCCAATCCCAAAGGGGGCGAAAGTAAACTGTGTATTCCTTGTCTGTACCGTCGAGCGGAACCACAACAGTATCCTTTTCAAACTAGATGAATCAGATAATGTACGAGAGCAAATAAAGACATGACTTACTGGTGTCAATCGATGAGACGCCGCTTCCCAAGTATTCCGAACATCGGCATAATTTTTAAGCGTGAAAACTTCGCTCTTACTGCGTTGAACCAACCAGATAAGGCGTGTTGTTTGCTCATGGGTGAGTGCAGCCTCGTGTGCCAATTCAGCAACCTCAAAGTCAAGTCGACATGAAAATGGAAGCCAGGGCTGGTGTTCTGGGTGGGGTGGCTCATAATTGTGGTGTCAGGTGAAATCAGTGAACGCTTCAATGCATGGTGCGATCCTCACATGTGGGTGAAATTCAGTGCGGATATCGTCAATAGCGGGTCCAGGGACATCGACATCAGGCTCCGAGTTGGAGCGATCTAATAAACATAATGGTCAAGACACCAAATAACGCTTGACTGATGGAAACTTACCTGATGACATGTCAACATCGGCGTTATAATGGTCGTTATCGTGATCATAGTTGTAGTCCTGCTCAATCCAGGCTTGTCATATTGCAGGTTATCAGTTGATCTAAAATGCCCGAGTCAAGATATAAAACTCACCATCGCCATGCGCAGCTCGTATGGACAGGGCTGGCACAGCAGCTGCTGTAAAATTGGTGTTATGTTAGTAGAATTGTACTAATAGTCTAAGCATAAGATCAACCTGCGGACCTTGTACATGTGGGATCGAAGCCCATTGCTCTGCATCTTCTTCAGACTCTCTTGCATGTCACTCGCAGGCTCTTTGATGACTGTTGAAGCCTTTCGGCTTGAAACTGCATCCGCAGGTATCACAAACTTGCCGTTTTTCATCTTGTATGTATTGTAGATGTGCAGACATGCTGCGGTGGTGCTGTGTGGTGCTGACAAGACTTCGAGGTGTTATCCAGATAGAGTACAGTGGGGGTAATACAAGAGACGTCTGAATCAGCGGCAGAAAATGGAGTTGACACGCGATTGCAATGTGCGGACTGTGTCATGATAAGCGCGACACGTGGACTCTGAATCAGATGATATTAATGAGTCACCGGGAATCCTCGCCAGATAATGGAAGCTCGTGCGGTGAGTAGATTATGACGGCCCTGTCATAGATGCAGCATGGCGTGAAAAGGTTGGAGCTGTTCGAAGACCTATGATCCTCCTGCGAGGACTCTTGACACGATCGACGGGCCAGTGGGTTGTCAGACTTTTCCAGAGCTGGTGTTGCAAGTTGTTGAGCTTAGACTGATCAGATCAGAAAGGGACATTATCGTCTACGGCAAGAACAATGTAAGTACTGAGAGATGTACTTGATGTGGTTCAGAACAAATTGCGCAGTGACGTCGGTCCAGGCAATGACTGTATATATTATTAGAATAAGATGATGCAATTCATATCAATCTTATCATATCTACGGGTGCATTTGTAAAGCGTTGAGCTGTGTTGCAATCAGGTCACGTGCATTACAATGTTCAATTCAAACCTTATCTCAATCATCAGTCATTGTAATGCAGGTGGGAAATTTCCGACAATGAATTACAGGGAATGTGAGTGTAGACTCGTGACCAGCCCCAGAGTCTATGAGGCAAGCCACATCGATGGCTTGCCCATAGATCTGGGGCTGGTCACGAGTCTAATGTGAGTGTACGACGAGCAAAATTTCAACAAGTCCAACATTTCCTAATTATTTCACGTCACTGCCATCCGAGCTGTAAATTGTGCTATGGAAGTATCGAGAAAGAAGAAGAAAAGAACTCCAGAGGCTCTAGAATACATCTGCCGTCACACTCGCCGACGTCGCAGAAACATATGGAGATGCTAGATTTTTAAGCCTCGTCAGGAACATAGTACAGGAGGCTGCACTCACCCTCAGGCTCTCGAAGGACTGGGAGGAGAGGGTCTCTCAGAGGGGGGGCTTATAACCTCTCCTAGGATGATGACCCGCACCACTGTGGGTCTGGGTTGCAATCAGTGCAAGAAAAACAGCTACAACTGCTCGCTTAACCATCGGCTGGTCCACACGGACTGCAAAAGAATATAACCTGCCACGCCGGTGAGTCACGTGGTTAAGTCCATGGACGCAAACAATGCTCACGCATTGGTGGGGTTCCGAGCAGGTCCAGCAGTCGCTATCTTGCCAGCAAAAGAAATCACATTTCTCAGCCTCAGCGTCACTGGCAGATATTGATGTTGCCAAAGTAGCAACAACAGCAAGGACAAAGGGGAAACGCATTGTTTGTAAGGATGCGATATGGGATCGAATAAATCTGAAGGGGACAGTAGGAAGACGGCTTGCTTTTATGTGAAGAACCTATTCACCTGAAATCTTCTTTTGAACAGATGATATCCGCATCATGATTGTACAATACCGGCAGATTGACACCTAAGATCTACGTGGTGAAGCAAGGTTGATGCCAGCACGCAGTGAAGAACCTACCCACCTGAAGTCCTCTTTTAAACAGATGATATTTGCTACAATGCCAGCAGATTGACACCTAAGATCTACGTGGTGAAGCAAAGTCAATGCCAACTCCCAGTGAAGAACCTACCCACCTGAAATCCTCTTTTGAACCTGCGTCATAATTGTACAATGCCGGCAGATTACACCTAAGATATATGCTGTGAAGCAAGGTATGAGGGACTGTATTGGACAAAATAAAATCAAAACGATAAAGTAAATAAATTGACGTGATAACTAAAACTCGAATTGATTACATTCCCCCGATGACTGGCCATTCCCCTGATGCGCTGTTACGTCGATCGTCCAAAAAAACTCTGCAAGCAAGGTTTGGTACAACATATAGATTCCTTGATAATAACTAAAGTACAAATGAATGATTGTGGTAGTACTACAAATGCGTAGTCGTGAAAATGTCATATGCGCCCAGTCATAAAGCAGTGAAGAAAGAAAGCTAAAACAATAGCGAGAATGTCGAAAGTATATCTATCGCGGTATAACGTTAGAGAAAATAAGAAAGAAAACAAGAAAAAGAAAAAAAGTGAATGTGGGTGAAAGAAGGAAAGAAAGAAACTCAGAGTCGAGCCAGCGACTACTCGCTAACCCACTCGCCCCCATTCGCAAGCCTCGCAAATACCCCCTTGCGCTCCATCAAACTCTCACAAGTCCCTGACTCGCGCACCTGCCCATCTTCAACAACAAGCGCCCGATCATATATCTTCATCACAGGCACCTTATGCGTCACCATGATAGTAGTCTTCCCAACCTTGGCAGCACGTATCGTCTCCAATATAGCTGTCTGGTTCGCACCATCCAGCGCTGAGGTACATTCGTCTAGAATGAGAATCTTGGCTGGGCGTGCGAGTGCGCGAGCGATTTGGAGGCGCTGGGCTTGACCACCCGAGACTAGAGATGCGTTCTCCCCGATGAGGGCGTCGTACCCTTGTGGTAACGACATGATGAAGTCGTGGACGTTCGCAGCACGTGCTGCCCTCTCGACGTCTGCGTCGCTCATCCCGTTATCCTCGCCTACTCGTCCGTATGCGATGTTTTCACGGATGCTGGCGTCGAAGAGGTTGGGAGATTGGCTGACGACGGCGACGTGGTCACGGAGGTGGTTGATATCTGTCGCGCGAAGGATACATCAGGGTTGGTGGGGTAAGAGAATGATACGTTGTTGAAGATGAGATCGCCTTCCGCCCTAGGGCGGAGGATACCCTGAGACTCGGAGCTGCAGGTTGTGCCTAGTTTGATGAGCTCGTGAAGATCGTGCGTGGCGGGGGCGGACTTGGCGATGCGTTGACTGAAGGACATGAGTTGGGAGCCAATGGAGACGGTGAACACGATGAGGTTGAGGACTTGGCACATTTGGAGGTATGTGTATGTGCCCTTGGCGATGAGGACAGCGCCGACGTAGAAGAGAAGCGCTTCGGCCAAATAGATGAGAGCACTGGCTACACCATAAGAACACCCCTCGACGAATGCACCGCGTACACCAGTGGAAAGACACTGCGAAGCGGCCTTGTCGAATTGAGCCTGAAGAACAGGTTCAAGAGACATAGCGCGAATACCACGGACGTTGAGAATCGACTAGAGAACGAATCAGAGCGTCACTCATAACAATAGCAAAGATAAAACTCACCTCGTAGTACACCCTCGCAACCTCCTCACAAGCCCTCTTATTGCGCACCTCGCACTTGGCCATCAAACCCGTCTGCAGACCCATAACTCCAACAAAAACAGGCCCAATAGCCAGCCCAACAAGCATCAACTGCCACCCCCAAGCCATAGCCCAGACAAGTTCAACAGTCATCATCGCGCCAACAGCAACGATCTGGCCTAACACCACAGCGATCAGCGTACGCGCATCATCCCCATGTTTCACGATGACTTGGGTAAGCTTGGCTGCACCGTTCTCAGGACGGTCAAACCAGCTCTTGTCCTGGCTGAGAACACGGCTGAAAGCGATGTCGCGGAAACGAGTGACCCAGCGCATGGCGCTGATTTCCATAACGAAGAATTTGGAACCGAGGAAAAGCCCGTCGAGGGCTGCGATGCCGAGAACGAGTCCGCCGTAGCTGTTGATCATGCTTGCGTCTGAGCCGCCTGAGGAGGAATGAGAATATGGGTGTCATCGCTCCGCTTAGGAGGCAGATGATGAGCCCGATGAAAACGGCTGGTTTTGGGGGGATGGTGGGATATACGGCGCGGAGGATGGCGAAGAGGCCTGGGGGTGGGGAGATGTCGGATTGGTCTTGGGGTTCTTCGCCAGATGGAAGTACGACGACACTCTGTAGTGCGTCATGGTGCTTGCGTTCTCTGCGCCCTCTCCTATTCGCAGCCTCCTCAGCACTACGCCTCCTTCTCAGTCTCGAACTCCTCGTCATCTTCAACCATGGACACGGGCTCCCGTACAGGAAAGCTCGGGGTAGTGGGTGTGAACTGCAAGCTGAAACGACGACCGTCGTATGTACGAGCGGGAACCGCAACCTCGGGAATGACAATCGACATGCTGCTCGGTCTCCATAGTCGTCCAGTTGCTCCACCCTCGAACTGCGGCATTTTTTCTCTGGGTAAGGCACTAGGAGGAATGAATCGACTCATCTGCCAGTCCTTGTCTTTCTCTGCCGCAGTAGGAATAGGCGGTGGAGGTACACTCGTCTTCGTAAGTTCCGCGACGACATCGAACATCCAGTTTCCAAGTGTCACAGTGACAGGGCGCATACCACCCAGCGTAGGCGCCATGCTCATGTGTCGTTCGTGAACCGGGAGCTCATCGTCGTCATCCTCCGCTGCGAGGATCTCTGCAACTGCGTCGTATCCAGGAAGCTCGTATTCAACGTCAAGCCCCCAAGTACGAAGCATCCGGGCAAACTCATCATCCGCTTGCAGGAGGTCCGATTGGAACCCTTGCTCGATGACAGAGCCTTCTCGCATGACGCAGACAAAGTCTTGTTCTTCGATTGAGACGACGTCGTGCGTGATGATGGTGGTGGTGCGGTTTTGGCGAATAGCGGCCACGATAAGTGCGCAAGTTGGGGGGTCTAAGGCTGATGTTGCTTCATCTGAAACGAGATTACAAGATTAGGGTAAGAATATGAGAGGGAGATGGGAACTTACCAAGAATCAAGACGTCAGGGTCACGTATTCGCGCCCGCGCGATTACGAATCTCTGGCGTTGTCCACCGCTCAACTGGATGCCTTCTGCACCAGTGCCGCTTAATAGCGTCTCGTAGCCTTGATCTAGACCTAAAAGACTCGAGCATCGCAACTCTGCATGCTTCTTCTACTTCGCCTCATCAGGAACATAGTACAGGAGGCTACACTCACCCTCAGGCTCTCGAAGGACTGGGAGGAGAGGGTCTCTCAGCCGAGGGTTATAACATCTCCCCAGGGTGTTGTATGCCCGCACGTCAGGATGAGCACAAGAAAATGCCTGAGAATGTATGGTAAGTGCCGGCGAGGCGAGCACGCTACCAGGACAGTTGCCGCGAATTTGTGGCTGCTGGCATTGGGACTGTAAACCCGAGCGGAGTTTGGACCGTCAATTTCTCGACCCGAAGCTGCAGCCGTCAGAATTTCGCGGAGAACCGCACGCTTTGTGCGTGTGGAATCAGCACGTTCGGACTGGAAAATTGACGGTCCTCAGGTGCGAAATTTGCAGTCCTTTCGAATCCCGCTCGGCAACGCTTACCAGGACTCCGCACGGTGGCAAAATGTCGTGCAAGCTCTCTGTAACGCGATCGCACCCCAGGAAACGCTTCGGAAGCTCAACGAAACTATATTTTTGACCGCTCTACCTACGCCGACCGTCCCCAGAATTTTCCGTCCACAGCTCGTCCCAGACGCGACTCCTTCGAACCACCACCTCCGCCAGACGCGCCTCCTCCGCTTTTGGCAACGCTTAGGTAATCCAGTGCAGGACCGTCAATTTCCCCGCCGTGATCAGCTCTACTTCGTCTATTCTTTCTGCTTCGATCTCTATCCTCAATCAATGCCACAACCTTCTATTCCAACGTAGTAGCACCGATTGCAAAAGAAAAAAAGCTGCCACACCGGTGAGTCACGTGGTTAAGTCCGTGGACGCAAACAATACTCACGCAATTGTGGGGTTCCGAGCAGATCCAGCAGTCGCCATCATTCCAGCAAAAGTGAGGACATTTCTCAGCCTCAGCGTCACTGGCAGATATTGATGTTGCCAAAGCAGCAACAAAAGCAAGGACAAAGGGGAAACGCATTGTTTGTAAGGATGCGATATGGGATCGAATAAATCTGAAGGGGACAGTCGGAAGACGGCTTGCTTTTATGTGAAGAACCTATTCACCTGAAATCCCCTCCCGAACAGATGACATCTGCATCGTGATTGTACAATGCCGGCAGATTGACACCTAAGATCTACGTGGTGAAGCAAGGTTGATGCCAGCACGCAGTGAAGAACCTACCCACCTGAAGTCCTCTTTTGAACAGATGATATTTGCTACAATGCCAGCAGATTGACACCTAAGATCTACGTGGTGAAGCCAGGTCAATGCCAGCTCACAACAAGGACTAAGTACTGATCAGCTTGTTGTTTGTTCTCCTTCTGCTTACAGTGTATTGCATATTAAACTACATTGACTTTTCAAAACTCGCCCACGTGCGCTGCGGTAGTTGAAACAATTTCAGATTCAAGAACATCCACTCACCTCACCTCGTGATAACACTAGCTGAGGATTGTTCCCCCGATCACCATCAGTACGATACTATTTGCGTCGTGAACTCACGCGGTATACTTGTATTTTCTGAACGCTATTCGGTGCAATAAATCGTTGATATTGGAATTGGACCTAGTGATAACACTAATACAGGGTCGATAATGATACTTGATATATCTAGAACACATGCGGGAGAGTTTGACGCGATGAACATGATGGGTGTGGTGTAGCAAATGGGGAAAGTATGAACTATGCAAACAACAAAACGCAAAAACATATCTAGAAGTCTTCTTCCAAAGAGCTGGAGGACACATTGTCAGACGAAGTCTACGAGGTAGATTGTATACTCACAAAAGTTTGCTTGTTGCTTGGTCGGTCTTGGCATTCGTGTGGTTGACGTTCGCCTTTGAGTAGTCTGATACACGCTTTTCGAAGAAGTTCGTCTTTCCCTGTAGCGAGATCATGTCCATGAAGTCGAAGGGGTTGGTGGCATCGTACACCTTGTCGTTGGCCAGCGACACTAGTAAGCGATCTGCGACAAACTCGATGTACTGGCACATGAGCTTGGCATTCATGCCAATGAGACCAACAGGGAGAGCATCTGGAAAGATAATCAGCATAACAAAGACAAGATGACGGCAACGACGGACCCGTCAGGAACTCCTGCTCGATAGTGACAGCCTGAGTAATGATACACTTCACGGTGTCGGGGTGTGGCCGACGCTTGAGATGGCTGAAGAGCAAGCAAGCAAAGTCGGTGTGCATACCCTCATCACGGCTGATGAGTTCATTGGAGAACGTAAGACCAGGCATCAGACCACGTTTCTTCAGCCAGAAGATAGACGCGAAGGAGCCAGAGAAGAAGATGCCTTCGACAGCAGCGAACGCCACCAAGCGCTCAGCGAAAGTGGAACGTTGATCGGAAATCCACTTGAGTGCCCAGTCAGCCTTACGCTTGATGCAAGGAATAGTTTCTACGGCGTCGAAAAGGTATTCGCGCTGCCGGGGATCCTTGATATAAGCGTCAATGAGGAGTGAGTAGGTCTCGGAATGAATGTTTTCCATCATGATTTGGAAGCCGTAGAAGCATCTGGCCTCGGCGGCCTGAACCTCGTTGGAGAAACGTTCGACGAGGTTTTCATTAACAATGCCATCGGATGCGGCAAAGAAGGCGAGGACATGTGAGATGAAGTGACGCTCGTTGTCATTGAGACGGTTCGTCCAGTCATGGATATCTTTTGAGAGGTCCATCTCCTCAGCAGTCCAGAAAGATGCCTCGGCTTTCTTGTACATTTGCCATATCTCGGGGCAATGTTAAAACAAAAACCGAACAGAACAGGTTGCAACACACCTCATGGTACTGAATAGGGAAAAGAACAAACCGGCGCTTAGATTCTTTGAGCAAAGGCTCTTCGCCTGAGATGGACAGTTAGGTTGGAATTCATTTCACGAATGAAATTGTGCCACTGACTTTCAGGCAAGTCAACTTCACCAACGAACTTCTTGCGAAGCTCCTCAAGGTCGTCCTCGTCTTCAGGCTCCAGGCCCTCGGCCTGCTCGGAATCTGGCAAGACAGAGCGCTTGCAATCATCAATAAGGGGAAGGGTGTCGTTTTTCGATGGTTTGGCTGGCGAATCTAGAGAGAACGCTGCGAGGGCAGCAGCAGCCTAGTGATTCAAGACATTTCAGTAGAGGAACACAGTTGGTTTTGGATTGCGCAAACCTTCTTGCTTGGTGTTGGAGCAGGGGAGGGTACACGAACAGGAGCAAGGATGGATGCCATTAAGAGCAAACGTGATATGGATAGTAGAATGAAGGAGACGATATCGCAAAAGATGGAGGAGCTAGGTTGAGGAGCAAAACAGCTAGAAAACAGAAGTTGAATTTAAACATTTCATTACGCGACGCGTTGTTGGTTGTTGTGGACGTGGAATTATGGACGCGTTCCCACTGGCCTACGAGGTTCTATTCATAGTTAAATTTAGAACATTCTGAAACCTTCAACTTCTGAAACTACTGTGACTACTTTGAGTGAAACAACTTGAGTGGCGTTATAGATAATGGGGCAAGATTATAAACCACCACAGTGGATCCACCAAGCACTGTGAATATTTGCAGAGCCTTTCAGCTATACGATATCGACTTCACCCTACTATAGCAAAGGGATTTATGTCAGGAGAGCTAATGATCAAGCGCAAGGAAAGATCACAAACGACAGCAGGACAAATAGATTCATCGGTTTCCCAGACAGCCTGTGATCCGCTAACTTCGTCGGTGCCACCTGCTTATAAGTGCAGGCCATGTTCTGTGTTGAAACTTAACATAAGTGAGTAACAAAACTCCTTAGACGAACAAAAGAGGCTCACCTACATCCTTCAGGCATGTGCTGCATACTAAAGCCGTCCTCGAAACCCATCAAGTCGGTGAGACATACTTACATGACGTGCTTTGTGTCCTGGTGGTTGGACCGGATCCTGACTAAATCCCTGGGTCACTGAAGGTCAGTGACGAAGGTGTTGCTCGTGACATAGGTCAAGTTGAGCATCTGTGCCGTTGCTTGGTCTGTTATTCAACAAATACGTGCGGGTAGACATACACATGCTCATTAGCAGGTCAGCGATAGCCTCGAAGTTGAGGGAACTGTTGGAGCCTTCGCCAACAATTCTCTCGTTGAGAGTAGAGACTGCACGTGCCAGAGCATATCTGGCAAGCGAAGCAAGAGTGAGACTGCCACTGATGGTGTTGAGCTTCACGGAATAGAAGTCTAGGGCGGCGAGAGTACGATCCCCTCTTCCATCTCTGCATTTAAGCCTACCATGACTCGTGTATTATGGAAAAATCATCCTGAGATCGTGATGAGCCCACAACTTATACCATGCGGCAGAGCAGGGGCGTCGTGACATCTCTGGGGTGAACATGATACTTCAGAAACAACGCAAAAAAAAATCGGGTTATTCAATTGGCACAAGTGCGAGCATGATGGCGAATGGATGCTTGGAATGAATCCAAGCATCTAACTGGATGGATTCGATCATGTTTCGGTGGACACCATACATATGCGAAAAATCCCCACTGTCCCAAAAAATCAATTGGATTAGCGCTAGCGGCTGTGGGTTGATGACACTCATCCACAATCCACACTTGATGTGTGGCTGTGTAACGCCAACCACATACTTGAATAACGCAGACTTGTGAAGGTCTTGTCTGTCCCACATAGAATAACTCTTCCAAGAGCTAGTACTCGTTCTTGCCTCTCTATCCTGAACATGTCTTCTCTTCTTTCGAAGTCGCTTGAAGCCCTGAAGGTAGGCCTCTTCTCCTATGGTTGGTTTTTGTTCTGATAGCTTTAAGATCGCGACTCCGCAGCAAACCGATGATTCCATGAGACGGCGACCCTTCAAGCTTGTCCGTCCACCAAGGCAACCTCATGTTCAGTACTACGGCTATGCCGTCTCGCCCGAGTGGCTTGTCCAGTTCACGGAGCAACATTGGTCGGGCGCATTGCCCGAGCGAAACGATATAGGCTATGAGTACATGGCCGCGACACGGGCATTTGAACTGCTTCTGGATTGGTCAGGCATCTTCACTTTGGACAGCAAAGATTGCTTCAATCCCAAGGGCGGCTCTGTACCTCCAGAATGGATTGCTCTGTATGATGGTGATGAAGATGATGATGAAGCTGACGACGAATACCCGAACATTCAAATTGACACCGTTCACGTGTTTGCTCTGTGCTCGGATCAAGATGAGTCCTTTGAGGCGCGCCCTACGCAGGAAAGGGTCGATTTTATGACGAATTTGATCGGGCATACGCCGCAATGGTGGGTGAGCTGTGGGTACGCAGATTAATACAAGTGACAACCGGGTGGAACGAAGCTCATGTACTGTTCTCGTTGCACATATGTATCGGGCCTCTGCCGTGAAAGTAACTGTATTAGACCAAATATACGGAAGATACGAAGCGCGCCACCTTCATGGCACCTTACACTCGGACGGTGATAGGACAGGATAGGACGCCCATGCTGAGCCAAACTTGCGCTCCTGACCTATAGAAAAATGAAGTTTCTGTGCAGCAGAGCGGGGGCGTCATGACATCTCCGGGGAGAGCTCGATGCTGCGGAAACAACGCAAAATTGTTCGGGTTTTTCAATTAGCACAAGTGCGAGCACGATGGCGAGTAGATCATGATGGATCTAAGCAGGACTTGGTCTGCTGACGTAAGATAATTTACCAAGGTCATGAATTACTTAAAGGCGGCAATTTCAATGGTTTCAAACCTTTCTGAAAATAACTGTAATCTATGAATCTCCAAGTTACTCCTCGTCCCCTTGAGGGCATCACAGTCTATGATAGCGACTCGAATGTCCTCGAGCCCGAGTAAATCCAGCAAGGCGACCTCATGAGGAGTGATACTGTTGTGCGTTCAATTCAGCGCTCGGTAGTACACGATAGTTACTCATGATTTACAGAGACATACTTTCCATCAGCCTGAAAAGCCACCGTGAAACAGGTTCTCCAAGTCCATCTTTCGCTCCCTCCCGGCGATATCCTCGTATTTATGACTGGAACAAGAAGACATAGAAATCACTTGTCAGGTTATTAATGGTATGTAAGCACGAATAAGATGATCATCTCAACGACGCCAACATTGTAAATTCAATGTACCAACTTTGGGTCTTGGGTGCGCTGGATAACCTTGGCGATTTGACGCCTGTGGTGGGAAAATGTCCGAGTTCCCCAATGCCTATGGACCCTCCATGGCCAAGATGCTCATTGCGTCTGTTGAGATGAGGTGCTCATCAGAGATGTTGACTATTGTGTCCATGCTTTCGGTGCCAAGTATCTTCTACAGACCAAAGGAAAGGATGGAAGAGGCCGATGCGGCACGTGAAAAATTTAACGTACCAGAGAGCGACCATTTTGTTGAATGTTTTCAACCGGTGGAAGAGCCACGGGTGAGTTTGTTCATCTTGATATTACCAGCGGACGCTCATCATGACTCGTGACTTCCGTGATGACTGGGCTACACGTCAATTTCTGCATCCAAAATTGCTCCGCAAGGCTCGTGAAGTCAGGGCTCAGTTGGAGGACATCATGAAGTTCCAAAAAATGGATATTATTTCTGCAGGCACAGACTTCGACGTCGTTAGGTACCGCACAGTCGCTGAACAATTATGTCACATTGACCTTTTTCGCAGGAAAGCTATCACTGCTGGCTAGTTCCACCAATGTGCACGTGTGAAGGGTATTGGCAAGTATGTCAATATTCGTACTGGCTTGCCGACACATCTGCATCCCACGAGTGCACTGTGCGGTCTTGGTTGTACGTGACTAATCATTTTTCTCTGAGTGTCGCTGACAACGACGAAGATACCCCTACATACGTTCTTTACCACGACTTGATCTTGACGTCCAAGGAGTACATGACACAGGTCACCGCGATTGATTCCATGTGGCTAGGTATGGCAATTCGTCTTACACATTCATCCTGGCGTAAACTAGTGATGGTTGTAGCGGAGTTCGGTTCGGTGTTCTGCTCGGTCAAATTCAAGGACTTTGATGATCGTGGAATGAGGCGACAAGCTGATCGAGCATTCTCAAGAAAAGCTGAACTGGAATCCTAAATCGTGAAGCAAAGAGAAGAGTACGTGACTGACGATCCCAAGAAACGACTTTTTTGATTGATACCCATTGTAGGAATGCACGGCGAGAGGTAGAAAAAGTTCTCGCGGTCAAGGTGTCGAGTGGAAGCGGCTCAAAAATGATCGTGCCTAGGACGCCGAGACATCTTTTGGCACAATCAATTTCATGGCTGTCTACGTTCTATATATTAAACGCAGTAGTACTCGGCACCGGCAGATCTAAGATCTCCAGCACTGAGTACTCATTGATCATTGCTGGGTGAGTGGGGTGTCTTGCGCTTCCCTCACCGAATTAGTAACTAACGATATTTGTCCCAGCCGTCCGCGCCTCAGACGTTGATTATTCTAAGAGTACAATACACAATATACAACATACAAGACCTAGCTTCATATCATACCAAGAACCACGATAAATAAGACAAATTGCATAGGGAACACAGATGTAGTATGCAACGATATCCATACGAATAAACATCATGAAATGAGGAAGACTCCTACAGTATTCCCAAACCCTGCCATCGCAGCTCCGCGGATCGCAAGGAAGGGAGACACCCGCGTGAATGGAATGCGGGGGTACTCTTCTGGTACCGCAGTCGGTGAGGGTGGCTGGCTCAGGTACATTGAAGGAAGAAACGACCGCCGGATAGAGAGAGGAAGGTCATCAGTAAGGCTCGACAGAGCAGTACTTCGAGTTTTTGAGACACCAGTATCGAACAACCAGATCTCCCACCGGTCCAGAACCGCGGATGTTAGTCCACGCGATGTCGAGGAAGGTGGAAGTAGGGGTGCGCCTTTTGTGTGCGCCCGGGATACTCGGCGGACGCCTATTACTTTTTCGCCTGCAATGTCCCAGCCTCCCCGCTCGCATGCCGCACCACCCGCTCTGAGAACGGCGACATTCGACCACGTTGACGGACGTGATATTGGTGGGTCGATGCAGGTGGAATAGCCATCCTCATCGTCATCTGTTAGATGGGGTAGCACGTAGCTCTCCGAAAGGCGGCGCAGTCCTTTTTCTGAGGCTCTGCGGGAGAGAATCCCATGGCCGGAAACAGGAAACGCAGAAATGTCTGGTGCAGGCGCATTACTAGCAGAGGACAGCCTGCGAGTGGATGTCACGGAGGATGGCCCTGTAGTAGAGGCTATGCTACTACTTCGTGAGCGCCGACCCGTAGCGAGCTCCAGAATGGTCGATTGTTGTGGATTGTTCCGAGGGCACGTACACCTCCTTCCCTGCGACGTGACGTAAACCTTGTAGAAAATAACATCATTGCCAATCGAGACAGAGACCATGAAGCTGTCCATGGGTGGTTCACCACAGAACTGGCAGTTCACGACACGAGAGTTGGATATCCGTAGTTGGTCGATACCCCCATGGTTTTCCTCTAAGATGAAGATGCACTCAGAGGAACCAGCATCCCACAAGGAAATGACGCCAGCCGCTGAAGCGACGCCAATGATTATATGATCCCTGCCATCTAGCCTGACTTTACACGCGTCCACCTCGCTGACCCGGTCTGCTGAGCTGCCTGCTTGCAGCGCACAGCGGATTGGCACAGTACTCCGAGCTTCGCAGACGCCGAGCACCTCCAGCGATCCATCTGCCAACACGAATGCCGCCAATATCCGGTTGTCTGAGCGAACACGAAGAAGATGACTCTGCAAGATAGGCTCGGATGAGATTGGGGAGATGAATGACGCTGACGTATGGCTCTCCATCATCCATTGGGCAATGGCTCCATTCTCATACGCAACGACGAGGGGCTCTGGTTCAGGAGGACCAGGCGGAGGCGTGCATGGGCGAGACTGCGGTCCATTCTTCTGCGACAGCACTGATTGAAGCGGGGGCGCAAAATGCAACTCCTTAATCCCGGCCGAGATCGAGTGTGGCGCAAGGGTCGCATATGGTTTTGCGGTCCTCCCCGCAATGAACCATACCCCAATTGTCCCACATGTTGTCCCTATGGCACAATACTCTCCTGCGTCATCCAAGGCGACAGCAGCTATCCGCTCCTGCGAAAATGATGTACTGGCTGTACTCAGAAAAACGCCGCTTGTATCGACGAGGATAGGGCTTGGGTCATTGAAGTGCCATATGCTGAGCTCGTTCTGCAGTCCAACGGCAGCTATCACTTCGCAGTCTTTGCTTGATGCAAGCAGCTCGACATCGGTCGCAAAAGCGCGTGGTAGTGTCTTGAAAGAGGCTTGTCCATTCAGTGACTTTTCACCCCCAGGAGAAGGTACATCAGCCTCTGCACGGTTCCGCTGTGCCTCGAGTAGCTCCGCATCTTTCAGCAAGTACAGCAGCAGTCCATAAAGCGTGGCGGTGGTCACGCTAATTGGCAGGACGACGAACTTAAAGAGCCAAAAGATGAGGTTAACGGGAGGTGCAAGCCCAGAGGTATGCTCGTGACCCTGTTCTACCCTTGTATCAGGCTGAAACGCGACAACGGTAGGGACTTCAAGACGAAGATGAACTAGTGGCTCTTCATCGGGATTGAGAGGTCTTCCAAACACGCCAGGAGGGATCTTGCGAATCTGGGCGACGGTGAGCCGCATGCATGCGTTGCTGAGCGGTGGAAGGGATGATGAATCCTGCCTCGGTGTCACGCGCAGCAGGTCTCGTCATAACATACAATGTTGCTGTGATAGCAAGAAGCTAGGGAGACGTGAGCACATAGACAGTATAGAGCTCAAACTCATCTACACACCAGTAACAGGCTGATATTCGTCAACGCGCGACCCTTTAGTGATTCCTTCATATTGAGGGTGGACTTCGCTGCCATTTGGACGTATTTTTCTCCAATGAGGCATCGCGAGTCAAAGTAGACTGCAGCAGGCGCTAAGCTCGGGTCTTGCCTCAGCAATTGATTAAGCTGAAATCGTCTACTTCAGCACCGACCCACATATGCAAGCTCACGTGAACTCACCTCCAGCCTCTGGATATCGATGCTGAGTACCGCCAAGAAGAATGTATGTGCAAGGAACCAATGTGCCACGAGAACCACCACCGCAAAGGTGCAAAATTGCCTGATTGCGCCTGCAGAAAAAAAGGCGATGACGCCAAGAATGCTGTTGTACGACACGACTTTGAGTGTATTAGAGGTACCGGCACGGCTTAGTCCCTCGGCAATGCGCTCTTTGACAGGAAGTGTGATGGACGTGCGAGTCACTGCATCCACGAGATTAAACATATTCTCTGCGCCAACGAAGATGATGACAATAGGGAGAAGGCTCCTGTGTATGATGATAAGTGTTTGTGCGACACGAGACAAAAGATGAAGCTCTACCAAGGAACCATAGTTACTTTAACCCGCAACAATGCGCATACACTCAAACTGGTGATTGTACTCGCTGCAATCTCAACGAGTGCGGTGAAGGTGAGACCGATACGGTTGTGCACGCCATTCATACGCTTCATCGACCACGAGACATATGCAAAAAATGCACCATACGCGAGGTATAGAAACGTTGAAATGGATGGAGTTCCCGTAGTCTTGGATAGGCTATGGTTGTACTGCAGACGTTAAGAGTATGCACACGATCGATGGAAAGTACTGCACATACCTCCAGCGCAATTAGGGTCGGATCCGCAGTCACTGCAAACACTTGCGCGCTCTCTGCGCTCTCTAGTGTCGAGTTCGTGATGATTTGTAGCCAAGAATCATGGCCAGCGCTCCTCAAACAATCCGACTCAGGGAATAGATAGGTAAGTGCCAAGAACATTGCAGAATCGGGGGTGGCAGGATTACGTTCTGTGGAATCGCGCCCTGCAAGGACCATCTGTGGTGTAACTTGCATACCTGCAGCTGTAGCACCTTCAGAGTGAGAGACCGTTAGGGAGATATTTCGATCACTGCGCAGACGCTCCTCGTCGTACTCCCAAAAGGAAAGAGGACTGATAACAAAACAGTGACGCGAGTTCAGGTCGTTGCAAGAGATTCCATGGTTCAAAAGTCCTTGGAGGATCCGTTGTTCGAGATGGAGGGTGTAAAGCAAAGTTTGCAGGGAAAGTGCCCCTGCTCCATCAGCTGTGTTGACTAGAATCCGCTCAACACGAAGTGTACGATCACTTCCGCAGCGCGCTCGTGTGAGGAAATCGTCTCGTACTTGGAGGTTTGCATTTCCATCCCAAAGTTGATGTATGTCCCGTTGTGTGTAGCTGTCATATGCTGCATGAGCAGCAAGGAAAGAGTCGAATGCGTTCGAGGTAGATACAAGGTGCGAGTAAGATGGGGTCGACCAGTATATGGCAAGTGCAGGATATGACAAGGATGTGATGACAATCGTTGAGATGAGGATGAGACGAACTTGATGCATTGCGCAATGTCTTGATTTAATCTGTGTCAGACTTGAAGTCAAAATGACTGTAGAAAGTACGCACATTCCAAATCGCCTTAGGGCAAGGTCTGCAAGAGTTCGCATCCGTTGCATTAATGAAGGACCAAATGAAAAGGAATCCGTCTGCTGGCGGGCCATTGTAGAGAGTTATAAAGAAGTTTTGGAACCGAGCACCGTCAATTGCATCTGACAGGCGTTTCAACACCGGTTCCCGGATGATTGTTGCCTGTTCGTTTCTAAAACGAAGTACGCTGTGTTGCAAACTTGTAAATGAGTGATAGGCAAATGTTATATGCGACAACTTAGGACTCGAATCTGGTAGAATGCGGGCGGCGACTTGGGCGCAGTAACCGTTGGTATCCGTGCTATATACCCTGACCGGTGCTAAGGTAGACCTAGCCGCGGAAGCTAAATGAAGAGATGCCAACTTGGCAACTTGTTCCCATCACTGCGGCTCCCTTATCATCATCAACTTATCATACTTCTCACCAATCCTTGAAGATGTTTTGAACATTCAACCAGAATGCAATACTTTTACAAGCGGAGAGGTCAGCTTTCCTAGCTACAGAACGAGGCTTATCAAAAGACGGTCGAAAACTCGCGTGTGAGCGTGGCTCGTAACAACATGCACAGATTATATGATGGATTCTGTGCCCGCTATGTTAGTAAATTTTGTGACATACGCTGAGAAGATTTCGTTAGCCCTGGTGTATTGTTGGAAGTAGTCGGGTAGTTGGGTCAGGTATTGGACGAATCCCTCCAGATATTGGACCTCACATGCGTCTCGAAGTCACCGCACATACCACTGCGTTCATTAGAACTCCCCTGCAACGCCGATTGTCAAAAGAAGAATCAGTCTGCAGTGGAGCTGATAAGGAATAAAATGGGATCCTCCAAGACAAGGTAGGCAGCTGGTGGGATTCTCTTACGAAGTCAGGCCCATGAATCACGTAGACCAAGGTGATTACTATCAAAAAAAATACAATTCAGTTCCTGGTATATGGGGAATTATCATAGTAAATCGGAAATAAATCATCGGCGAGAAGCCTTGGAAAGTTGTAACAACCCATTGAACCGCGCACGATATCCATCAGCATATAGCAGCATAGTCAGACCATGAACGAAGTCCCTGTCGTGCAACATTGATCAATGAAACCCAGAATATGTAGCAAGAACATACCAGCTCCGCACGAGTGAGCGTATGGGATAGTCCAGCACTTTGGGTATACTGGTCTGCGCAAACGACGGCCAGCGGTCGGTGACAATCGCTTTAGGGTTCGTCAGCGCACGAAGTCCTTCAGGGCCACCGAACCGTCCGTATCCACTGGCTTTCGTGCCTCCAAATGGCAGGTCTTGGCTGTGGGAAAATTGATTACTACATCCTCGACGACAACATACTGCTTACTTGAGCTAAAAGCAGAATATCTCAGAATTCGGAGGAAAGCAGGCTAGTGAGAATAAAAAAAGACTCACATAGAACACTCCGAAGTCATTAATAGATACCATACCACAACGAAGCTCCCTCGCGACTTCAATGCACAGGTCCTGATGAGGTCCAAAGACGCTGGCGCCAAGTCCGTACCGCGTTCCATTTGCGATAGTGATCGCTTCATCAATATCATCGTACCGAATGAGCAGCGCAATCGGGGCAAACACTTCATGAAGCGTCAACAACCTGGAGGGCAATCATATACACAACAACACCTACATTCCACCTGTGCGATTCTCGAGTTGGGCTGGGTATCGCCTACCACTGTTGCTTGGAAGAATGATTTCCCTTCACACGACGTATGCAAGAGCTCCTTTCCACCGATATCAACTTTTGCACCGTCTTCCTGTGCCTGGAAAACAAGTTGCTCGAGCGCATTGAACCTGTCATTACTGATCATGGAGCCACAATCCACAGTGTTGATGTAACCTTCCCGTGTAGGCGCCAGCACAGACCCAAAGCGCAGCTTGGCGACGCGGTCCGTCAGGATATCATACAACTCGTCGTGTTGTGCCGAGTGCACAATGAGACGCTCAATACCGATGCAGTTCTGACCGGAGTTTTGGCTGGCACATCAGTTAGTTTAAATCGTGTCGAGGAAATGCACGGTACAGCTTACAATATACCGCGCATCCAGATGCTAGCCCATTTTTGGAGGTCCGTGTCTGGTAGTATGATAGCAGGGTCCTTTCCGCCAAGTTCAAGAGTGACGGGTGTGAGGTGTTCAGTGGCAGCAATGGCGACCTGTGGAGAAGTTAAAACCAGCTCAAATCACTTACGCAACGACGACTTGTTCACCTTTCTTCCGACTTCCTCTGAGCCAATAAAAGTGATGTGCTTGATAAGAGGGGACCTGGTCAAAGCCTCAGCTTGATCGGGCCAGCAGCAAACAGTCTAGAATCTAATTAGCTTGTGATACAAAATTACCCCCACACATACCTGGACAATGTCAGCGTCATATCCCAGAACCTCTAAGCACTTGTGAATAGCGCCAACAAACCATTCCGTAGACCAAATAACATGTTCAGAAGCCTTGAGCACGATAGCATTTCCAGCAAAGATAGATGCAATAATTGGTGACCAAGCATTATGAAGAGCTACAATCAAATTAGCCACCTTATCAATCACGTCACCAAAGAGACACCAACGGTAGTTCCATGATACGATAGCAGACACAACGCCTTTGGGTTCGTAAATGACCTGTGACTTCTTGTAACTCATCATCAAATTCGAATATCTCGTTTCCGTTCGTAAAGCGCGCTCTCCATGGTTGATCAACCACTCTAATTTTGAGCACGTCGTTAATATCTCGCCCAAAGCCGCGTCAACCACTACACGGAATCATCTCAGTAACAGTAGAAAATGACACCAAAACAACTCACGAGTCTTTCCCGTGTCGCGGCACGCGACCCGCGCGCATACCTCCTGGTTCTCCACCAGCCACCTCAGTAAGCTGCGCATGACGCGTCGCCGCTCCGAAAACGACGTCTCGCACCACTTGACCTGGGCATTTTTCGCGCGTTTGATCTTTGCCTCGATTGACAGTGCTTCGTCCGCCATTATGGAATTGAGGTGCAGGTTGTTGGCAGGGTCAAAACACGTGATATATTCGCGCTCGCCTCCGAATTGGAGAGGGAGGAGGTCGGGCTCTTGGAGATGCGAGCGGATATTGGCGTTGGGTATCACGCGCGAGTGCCAGTTAGGGTCCGCTGCCTGTCAACGAAAGTAGGAGTTTTACGAAGATATTTCGGGAGATACGAAAGAGACACACCTCTGGAGCAGCATAGCGGAAAGGCACTGCGCTATTGACTGCCTTCTGGTATCTGTCAAATACCAACCATATACCAAAGGCTGAAAACGTGGTGAAGAGGTATAATACATCGACGATGCTGGCGTTTGGATCGTCTTCGAGCCATAAGTTGAGCGTCCTTAGCGGATGGAATAAGACATAGAAAAGCGAGTGCATTGCTGCAACGACAGCACAGAACCAAGACGAATCCTCACCAAAACCAATGTGTTCAAAAGATAAAGGCTCAAAAAAGGCAGATCCAACAAAAACACGTCGGTACGCCGTCACGTGATGTCACCCTCAAGCGCCCACAACAGGACAATCTGCCAGGAAGGTAAAAATAAACAGAGATCTAAGTATGGGTCTCCAGGAAAATTACATTAGCTGAAATCACAGAGCAAGGCTGATACTGATTTGTAGTTACGTATGGGTATATCAGACAAAAATTGCAATGCAATGCAACGAGTGGGTGTGTAACGAGTAAAAGTCAGGGTAGAAGTAGTAAGAAAGGGCAGGAATATAACTCGAACAACACACTCGCGCAGCTGTAGTGAACATGAGCATTAAGCAAACTATGTCCGGCGAACAAGTCAAAAATGCGAATCCGTGGTATGTATGTCGCGAGGCGGTCATATCGTCTCTTTGATGCTACTGCTCGAGTCCTTTTTCCGCTTGCCCCCACCGACGTTAGCAATCTTCTTCAGCGACGATAGACTCGACCTGCTCTTCTCATGGATTTTATCCTTCTTCGGAGAGTCGCTAGGTCCTGAAGAAGTCACAGACATGGCATCTGCTGCTGGGTCGGAAACAGCATCGTCTGCTGGGTTGGTATCTACAATGCCACAGGAGCCTCCACCGCCGACCAACCGAATAGTCGTGCTAGCTTCTTGAACAGCCTCTTGCGACAGTCGCGGGGTAACAATGGGCTCTGATGACCCAGAAGCCTCTAGTTGTGCCACATCAATAGTGGGAGTCGAGGGTTGGAGTGGGACTGCATCCATAGCAGGAGCAGAGTCAGCAAGCAGGTCAGTGACGTTTTCTATTGTAGGGGGTGGTGTCCCTATGCGCACGTCGTCTACCGCAGAAATAACCTGTTCGACAGGAATCTCCACTTTCGAAGGAGGTGAACGTCTAGGAGGAACTTTAACAATTACCACGTCTGCTGGTATTTCCCGCATGCCGAGGCCACGTCCTGCTTCGAGATCCTCGCTAGACGAGCGTCGCGAATCTGGCGGCGAAGGAAGGGAGATAACATCGTTGACAGTCGGTAGGCCGACGGGCAACGGAGCTGGGGGTTTGGTGATGGCGATGGTGGGAATAGGTGGGTGGGATATAATACTGGGTTCTTCTGCGAGTTTTAAATCCGTGAAAACGGGTATAGGAACAACAACTTCAGAGTCAGTGAGGTTTAAAACGCCAAGACCATGTCTCTCCGGCGCCTGTAGTAGTATGTTAAACGGTAGAATTCACTAATAAGAACAACAATGATGCGTACCTTGCCCTTCTTCTCATCCAGTAACGGAGCAGCTTGGAACAAACCTGATTCGTACCATTTCTTAACGCTCCGGTCAGCCCATGCCTCCATTGGATTCAACCCCCTATACTCTCCGGTGAGCCGCAGTCCCCCCGGCCCAGCCTCCCCACCACCATCACCTTGCCCCCGCCCATTTCCGTCAAAGAAGTAGGCCTCATATCCCAAGCCATCTTCACTGCCTTCACTCTCTCCTGCCTGTCCTAGCTCAAAACCTTCCCCACTCTCTAATTCATCGACGAAATTTGCGAGCCACCGCCCCCATCCACCGCCCCCATCCCCGTGCCAAAGCACTATCTTGGTGTCAAATTCGCGCCCAAAGACAATGACCTGACCAATGGTGCCGTCCTTGTCAGGGTTTAGATCGACGCCAATGTAGTTGCCTGCCTTATCCACGACGAGTGGGATCCAGCCACGCTGCGAGTATTCTTTCCGCACATAGCCGTCAGGTATTGACCGCATGATATCGCGCAGACGTGGATTACTTCCTGTCTGAGGGTCATCATCGACTTCGCGCCAAAAGCGCCATTCATCAAGGACAGCTTCGAGTGGGAGTAACGAGAGGCCAAAGAAGAGACCATCTGAGCACCCCTGCTGATGATTCTGCTTCTTGTCCGTCCACGACAAGATAAGACTCCCTGACTGCCTGCGGTAGTGCAAAACCAAATTGCATCTCAATTTGCGCGAGGTCCTGTGGAAGAATGCCGTAGTTAAGGGTATCGCCTAGTTCTGGGTATTCACGAGCGAGCCATAGTTTTAGGCGATTCCAAGTATTTTCTAATGGGGGGTAAGGTGGCGGTGGTGTCATTGAATCTATGAGGGGTGTATGATGTAGAGGAAGGAGGGAAGTTGGTCGTGAACGAGAGCTATAGGTGAACAAACGTCAGTTTGAAGACATAAAGTTCCGGTAAGGACGCACGAAGTTGGTACATAACTATATGAAGAGATTGGTGACTGTGGTGGATAAGTGTATGCTGGACTGAGTGGGTCTGGTGTCTGCAAAGACGCTGGATTGAAAGCGTCTGGATGTCGCCCATGACCCGATGACGAAGTTGGGAGTGAGAACGCCTCGTGCGTTGTCGACATTGCCTGTCCTCGTCGTACAGACTGTTTACGTTCAGTCGAGAACAATGATGCGAACCAATTCATTGTTGGTGGTCACCAGCTCAGCGACGAACGAATTGCCAGGCCTAGGACACACAGTCCGCAAGAAGAAGGTAAACCGATGTGTTGTAAGTAACCCTACAAGCCGGGAAATTGATTTTCTTGTCTATTTCTGTCCCTACTACGCCGCCTCAACCTTTCGTTTTCATTAACTTCTATTCAAAACATCCCTGAGGCTGCGTGCGCAGTCCGAGCATCGTTCTCGTTTAAAATTGTAAGCAATCCCAAAATATGAAAATTTCAGCTGTTCCAACGACGACGGAAATGGTCGTGGAAGAATGTGTGGGTAACATAGATATCGAACGTGGAAACAGGCTACTCATCACTACAAAGTCACATCTCTCCAAGGTTGTCGGAGACCTTGAAGTCGCAGGCTGTCTTGGCTTGTACCTCCTCCACAGTCACACCCTTGGCCAACTCCATGAGCGTCAAGAAGCCACCAGACCGATCAACGTTGAACACAGCGAGGTCCGTAATAATCTGGCTGACCGCCCGCGTACCAGTCAGTGGCAAAGAACACTCCTGCATGATTTTTGGACTTCCATCCTTAGCACAGTGTTCCATGGTCACGATGACCTTTGTCTTGTCAGGATTTGACACGAGGTCCATGGCTCCACCAATGCCTGCAGGTGTAACATAAGACCATGTACAGATACGATACCGATTCACATACCCTTTACAAGCTTGCCTGGAATCATGAAGTTTGCGATATCGCCAGCCTGCGATACTTGCATAGCCTACATGAATGTTTAATCAACAAGGTTCCCACAGCCAACGAAACTGTAACATACACCAAGGATGGCAACGTCCATGTGACCGCCCCGAATCATACCAAACGAATCAGCTGAATCTATGTACAACATATTACCCTCTGCCTCCAATGGTGCATTGACGTCACTCACCGAAAATCGAAGCGCCCGGTAGCAAGGTAGTCGTTTCCTTTCCGGCATTTGTGATATCTCTGTCGGCTGAGCATCAGCACCAACATCGTTGCAACACGTAGCCCCCGACACCTACGGATCAACTTGGTCCTCGGTGGGGAATGGACCCATTCCCAGAATGCCATTTTCACTCTGCAGCCAGATCTTGACGCCCGGTCGTAGATATTCCGTAACGAGAGTGGGAATGCCAACACCAAGGTTCACATAAAAACCGTCACTGAGCTCTTGTGCTGCACGCTTTGCCATTCTGCGCCGTGTGCTCTTTTCCAATAGTTCCTCAGGTGAGGGGCCTCCACCAGTCCCTGGTGGCGGAGCAGGTGGCAAGAATATCAAAACCTTTCGGTTCTGTAGCTTGCACAACCCGGTCAACAAATATCCCTGGGACGTGGACAGAGTTTGGGGATAATGATCCGACGGGGACAATCTCCTCTGCCTATAAGCGTGATAAGTGCGGTGACAAATAATTATCGCTTTACCCTTACCTCTGCGATTACCAACCGCGCACCCCTTGCCATGACATTATTGTAGTTGTTTGCAACATTTCGGAATATGAGGTTACCTGCCTCGTCTGCCTTCCAGGCGTGGACGAACGCAACGTCGCCAGCGATGGCTGGCTCCATAATGTACCGCTTTCCGTTGAACTCTCGATATTCCTTTTTATTTCCAGGGATCAAGATACCTTCTTTGAAGCCGCCTACTTTGTATCGGATGGGGATACCACCAGTTTCAACGGTCGTCGAGGCACCTGTGGGTGTGAAGAAGGCGGGAATGCCTGCGCCGTGCGCGCGCATCCGTTCAACGAGGGTACCTTGCGGTACCAGTTCGAGGGACATCTTTCCATCGAGATACATCTGCTCAAGGTACTTGTTTCTGGGCGGCAATGAGTACATGAATTTTGTTTCAACAGTGGCACATACCCGCCAAGGTATGAGATTATGAGCTTGTCAAGCTGGCCGCTCTTCATTAGTTTGACTAGCCGATAGAATCAGCAAGATTGCACTGCTTGGCGCAGAAACACGAAATACTTGCCCAGACCCAAATCACTGGAACCAGCATTATTTGACACAGCAGTCAAACCGTGGACGCCCTTTCGTCGTGAAAGGGCAGTGATCAAAGTCTCTGTGGGTTGATCATTAAACGTTCTTCTTTGGTACTGGCGGACGAGGAGCTCACCAGGAGTACCACACAAGCCGAACCCTAACGTTGAATGGGACCGCGTCAGCTTCAATCCAGCTGTAGTGGAACAGACATACCTCCACTCAGTACGATGTCCCCCGACTTGACATCTTGCACAGCAGCATCTGCGGATGTCCACACCTTCTTCCGCTTCTGTGCAGGAGACTGAGGCGTCCCGTAATGTCTTATGTACAACCGGAAGGATGTCAGACCCTCGCATCGTCGAAAAAGCTGCGTGCTGTGCTTAGGAAGGAGGAGAGCAGGACTCATAGATGCCATGCTTCAGGTCAGAGAATAAGGGGAGTATTCTGCTCTGATTCTATATGCATCGTCAGCGACCGAATGATCCAATAATAACAGTTTCAAACATATCAGACTTCTGTCCCGTTTGCGGGCAGATGGATCGGCACACGTATTTCCGTGCCATCAGAGGCCGCATCAGTAGCAGTGAAACATTGACAGTTCCTGATTCACAGTCGGCATTCCGAAATTCACGGTCGGTGGTTGAGGACCCCTAGCACCCATTTCTTGCTGGTAGGTCGGACGCCAAAAGGCCAGGTTGATTCTTGAAGGTCAGGAAAAAAAGAGGAATGGATGGGTTATACAATGGGTTACACAAATCGGTTATAAATAACGTATCAAATGCTTGCATCTGCAAGAGTGTATGCCCTTGCGTCATTTTGTGTCGAATGGCGGCGAGGCTGTGGAGTATGGCCACTCATGTCGACATTGACACAGCGTACTCGTCATCTGTCCTGCTACCGTGACAGAGTGAGATGGAGCAACGGTTTCTCATCGTGACGCCAGAGCTATATTGCAATGGAAGATGTGGGGAACAACTCGGCCGAGAGAGTGAAAACACATTGCGTGACAAATTACAATCAGGTTGAGCTCGGAAACGAACGGAAGCGTGCCTCAAGGATGTCATCTTCCGTTCTCTTGCCGTCCGAATCGTTGACTTTCCGTATGACACGTCACACATGCGGGTTGGGGAGTAGTACTTGTAGGATGTGCCAGTGCCCAGGATTTTGATGACGGGGAGTCCGGATTATAAAAATCCGGGGCACTGAGGGGGCAGAACATACACTACTTGCTAGTGGAACCCGGAGACACTGCATGGGAGTTCCCTTGAGCCAGAACGGCTGGTTAAACGAGGCTGCCTAGATGGTATAAGAACAATACATTTACTTCAATGGACAAGTTTCATAAGGAAACGATGGTATTATTGCTTGATAATGATATCCTCGAAACCTAAGAGCAATCAAAGTTTACTCAGACCGCTCCGTACCTTGAAATCGCAGCCGGTCTTTGCCCTGACTTCATCAAGTGTTACGCCTTCTTGGAGTTCAACAAGCTCGAGGTGACCGTTCTTCCTGTCGACGTCGAAAACGGCCAACTCCGTGATGATTTGGCTAACAGTACGAGCACCCGTGAGCGGAAGAGTGCATTCCTTCAAGATCTTGGGACTGCCGTCCTTCGCACAGTGCTCCATCACTACTATAACCTTTGTCTGGTCGGGGTTAGATACGAGGTCCATAGCTCCTCCGATACCTAGGAATTTGATCGACAATGAGGATGCTGCGGAAGACCAAATGGCACGGACGCATTTAAAACCACGTACCTTTAACCAGTTTTCCGGGAATCATAAAGTTAGCAATGTCTCCTGCTTGCGATACCTGCATGGCCTATGGGTTGAACGAAACCATTATGAGATCATCCAGGAAGTCAACGAGTGTACAAGAATGCTCACGCCGAGAATGGAAAGATCGACATGACCGCCGCGAATCATAGCGAATGATTCACTCGAGTCTACACAACGAGTCAACAAAGATCATGTGACAAACGTTTGAGAACATACCGAAAACCGAGGCGCCCGGCATCAAGGTCACAGTTTCCTTACCCGCATTGATAAGATCTCTATAAAGAGAGGCTTAGTATTAGAAAACACTCCCTGGCGGCACTACTTACGCATCCACCTGCTCTGCCGTAGGGTATGGCCCCATACCGAGGATGCCATTCTCGCTTTGCAGCCAAACGCGCACGCCGGGCTCGAGGTATGCAGGAATGAGAGTAGGTATGCCAATACCGAGGTTTACGTAGAATCCATCTTTGAGCTCTTTGGCGGCGCGCTTTGCAGTACGATGACGCATTTTCTGTGCAGCTTCTTTCTCAGCACTCAGGGGAGACTGTTCACCAGAAGATGATGGGCTTGATGCGAGTTTGATATGCTCTATCAGCTTTGGTGCGGTGGCCTGAACAACCCGATCAACGTAAATGCCAGGAACATGGATGGCATTTGGTGACAGAGAGCCAGTAGGCACGATTTGGTCTGCCTGCAAGGAATGCATCAACTTCCGGCAAAAATATTGCGATGCCCCGACTCACCTCCACTATCGTGAGTTTTGCGTTCTTTGCCATGACTGTGCTAAAATTCTGCTGAGTGTACCTGTGCGAGTCAGCATACTCAGCGCTCAGGTAGACAAACAAAAATGGCCTCCTTACCGGAAAACACAGTTGCCAACTTCATCGACTTTCCATGCGCGAACGAAAGCGACGTCTCCAGCAATGGCCGGTTCCATGATATACTTGCGACCTCCAAATTCTCGCATCTCTTTCTTAATACCTGGTATCTTGACATCCATTGACGAATCCTCCTTCGTTGTATCGTACTGGGATAGAACCTTCCTCTACTGCTGTTGATGCTCCGGTAGGGGTGAAGAACGCCGGGATACCAGCGGCATGAGCACGGAGACGTTCGACGAGTGTACCTTGGGGGCATAACTCCAGAGATACCTCGCCCTTAAGGTATAGGGCCTCAAAGGCCTTGTTTCTGAACAAAAAGACGCTCGATCATACGCAGTACCCAAGAAGATGAGGAGCTCACCCGCCAGGGTATGACGCGATGATCTTGTCAATCTGCTTGCTGTTGAATAACTTTCCTATAGATATTAATAAACCTCCGGATCATAAACTGGTATGAATGAAACCAACCGAGTCCAGAGTCGCCAGCTCCAGCGTTATTGGAAACTGCTGTTAGCTTTGCGACGTCCTTGCGTTTGACTAACGCGGAAAGAAGAGTGTCTTGTTGTACCCTAGGTTTAATTACACTGTTCAAGAACCGACATCTATTGAGACTCACCTGGCACACCAGCCAAACCAAAACCTGGAGTGTCGCGCGGCACATCACACATACGTATGAAAATGAAACGCGACGATACTCACCACCACATAAAAGGACATCTCCTGACTTCACATCTTTAACTGCCTCCTCAGGAGACTCCCATACCTTCGACTTGTTGTTAAGCGGAACCTGTGCGTGGGTACTGGACCATCTTGGTCTGAGGAAGATGGTTGAACGGGATTTGAAAGGAAGTGGGACGAGCGTCGCTCGCGAGACGCATGCAACCAACATGATTCAACCTTAGGTGGACATCACGCTGCTGTAACTTATAAGTATTTGAATTTCGGGGTTCACCTCCGAAACACCCCCGCACCCCAGGTCCATCTTGTCCATCGTGCCGCTGCGTCGGTGTTCCTCACTGTGCCTCGGAGTGTGTTGCCCTGTTAGCATTCCCCCTGAACGCATCAAATTGATTACATCAGTGGCAAAGACCTCGACCACCGCTCGGTAAGCATATTCCTCGTCATTCTTAAGTCGAAGTTCACCGGTGCATACCCATTCTGCGTTGTTCTGCCACGTTCGCATCACTCCCTTAAACGTCCAGCGCCGAGCTACACGACCAATACTCAATATCGACATCCCCGACTTCAATTCCCACGGTGCTACCAGCTCTGACGCCGCCAACAGAAACCACCGCTGCTGCCCCAAACCCCTCCGCGCGCTTTCGCTTTCTACAGCCTACGGACATCAGTACCGACGGATAGACCTCGACTGGAGTCACCGCACCGACGCTTATGATCGAGCGCATTCCTTTGGGCAGCGCTTCCCCATACACCAATTTGGCTTCCTCATCCTCGTGTCCCACCCTCTCCCATACAGTCTTCCAGAAATTGGGTGTGTAGTGTAACTCCTTGACAGTATTCTGTTCTTTACATACCATGAAATTTTAATTGTGAACCAACTTAAATTTTCGTGTCTTTGGTTTACCCGTCATGATGCGCTGTTCCGAAAAAAAATACCGGCGGCGACTAGGGTATAGCACGGTGACCAACCCTTATCTGATTAGACGCCACGACAACCTGGGTTCAAGCTCAGAAGGTAGATGAACTTGCTCATCAACTTCTTTGTCAAGTCCCCCACCATGATTATTTTTAAAGACTGAAGTCTTTAAGGCCGCAATCTGCCAATGCCCACTTAACTTTGCCATGAAAATGGTGTGTGTCTGTGCTCTGTGCTCAAATGTGCCCCCTCACCTGCGTCGTCACATTGCCAGCAGTCATGTGACCGGGAAATTACTGGACATTGCGTCCCACAGTGAGTAAAGCTTCTTGCTCATCTTTGCCATGGGTGGCAAGGATGAGCAAGAATTTTCCCACGATCAGTCAGAACATTTTTTTTGCGAGGCTACAATAATGGTAATGTTGAGACAACAGCTGAGAGTCTCAATTAGTTCAGAAGATACAGAATGCCAGTTATCTTGCCCCAGGGTCAAAGTCTGTGATTGAATATCCTGACAACAAGACCAGCGATAGTCTTTTAAACTCCGATGTCTATTTACCAACCATACCATTTGCATGCCCTTTGTTAGACTCCCAGTCCCTGTGCTACTAAGCTTTGAACCCATTATGAAGAACTCAGATGCTACTGAATCATGCTCTGCTGCCCATTTAACACCCCACCATTTTCATTTCTCGGTTTTCTTGCTACTTCAGTACCGACCGAGACTCCTGTCCAGTCACCCTGCTCTCTGATTGCTCACCTACTCCAGGCTCATCTCCTCCCAAGGAACCGTCCTGACTGTTTAGTTGCCGTTTATCTCTGCTTATTATCATGATTCGCTCAGTCATCCGCAGCATCGTATGATCTTTTTATGTGATTCTTCACTCTGATCATGTTAGTGAGTAGGCTAGTATGTAAGTATCTTAGACTAACCTCTCGTTTCACTGGTATGACCTAGACTTCACGCTAACCACTCTGTACTCATCATCATCTCTGACGAGTCTAATGGTTGGTACTCGCTCACATAGGATTTGGTCATAACCCCACCATCTTTCCCTTCTGATGTACCAAGATCTTCCACACCCCTGCCTCCCAGTCCCTCCCCCAGCTCACCATTGTTTGCAGAGTCGTAGTATGATTCATTGTCGATTATAAGAAAACATTATCTCTGACAGCACACATTTCAAAGATGTAGGAAATATCCCTTTGATGCCTGAGTCCCCGTCATCCCTACCCCGCCACCCCCCCCAGGTCCCAAGACCCCACACAGGAGATATTTTCACCCTTACCCCTGCCCGGCATCTTTTGAAGATGAACACATCTTTGATAAAATGATGGGCAGACGTGTCAATGAAGATATGGAAGATTTGACTCAAAAGGTCAGCCCTATTATGTTCCTGTATTATGCCTCAGATGATCTAACAAGCATTTCTAGACCACAGAAGTGTTTCTAGAAGGCCTAAAGGGGCTTTCCCAAGATACTTTCCACCATGCTGTTTGCTACAAGCAATCAGTTCATGCACGCAAGCAATCTCACCTCCAGTGTTCCCAATTGGAGATTGAGGAAACTGACAACTTGGCCATGTTGCTTCAGTCTCTTTATGCTGATACCAAACTGGAAACCATCATGGCAGAGCACGAGAGAAATTTCTTCATGAACCTGCTAATTGATTGTCAACCTACCAGGCCCGGCACTTCCACAGGTATTCAATATTCCAAGGGAGCTTTGACCAAGGATAAGAGAGCTTTGGATTGGTCTAGCATTGAACTGAGGCTTTTGCAACAATGCGATGAAAGGGCACAGCCTTCTGAGCCTGGTGGCAAAGAGGAGTCGCAATATGGAATGATTGCCAACACCTAACTCTTGGGTAAGTGTCTTCTATCTTTGATGATCACCCCCTTATTAATCCCTCCATTCAATCCAAAGTGTGTTAATTATGCATCTGACCATTATCACCTGCCTGCCTCCCGGCCTCAGCTTCCTTTTGCACGTAATTTAGGTACTTTTACAAGGGCTTCTTGTCACACTTGCCAATCTAAGAATTTTTCATTGTTGATCAATTGACTGAAGACAAAAGATCTTCCAAGTACTTGCCCATCACCGTGTCTGGTATGGGCCACACCGTGGGTATGGCGGTCACAGGTATGCCATCAGTAAAATACCACATTACTTAATCAACTTGGCTGACTTGGCTGAAAACTGTTTGCTCTCTCCTGCAACATTCACTTGGCATATCTTGATTTTTTTAGTGCAAACTATAATAAAATATGTATGTTAACATAACCCAACAACTTTTTTCTGAACATGTTGAAGTTGAAATTTTGGCAAAGTGTGTCAACTTCTGCAAAGTCACTTAAGTGCGAGTTAAGTCTGTTTAAGGCAGCTTAAGTAACGTGGTATTTTACTGATGTGGCGGGTACGGTTACGGTGTATGTTCACGGGTAGCCGCGCTATCTCCGAATTTTCTCCGCGGTGTTATATGTTGGACATGACAAGGATTCGCCACTCACTGCGATCCTTATTTTTCGGAGGGTCGTTGACTGCAACAGTGACTCGCTGCTTCGATCCTATTTCTCGCTGCTTCAATATTTATATTCTTCCGTCTCGGAGACACATTACGATTACTGATTACAACTCGGTGATTCAACAGTATAAAGTGAGGTATGCAGACTCTACATGTCTCAATACTCTATCATTATGGTTAATCAGTCTACTGCCAATGATACGGCCTCGCTCGCTGAGTCTACCTCAACACGTTCAGATGTATCGTCATCTCTGCAGCCCATAGCGGACAATGTTGCAAAACGTGTTAAGCTTATCCTTCCACAGGTCAAAGCAACCCCCTCCGAGTTGCACTCCGCTGCTCCGGAAGTAATTGATGTCGATGTTGATAAAAATGATGCACCTCCTGCCGCCGAACAGGATAACGAAGCTGATCTAAGTACGTGAACTTATTGCTCGCGTTTGCGTGAACCTGGATTAATTTTCACTCACAGACGCACTCAAGAAAACTTGGCGTTCAGCAGTCTATTCGTTTTTTAAGCTTGACGCTGTGACTGTGAAACTCCCTTCCGGAGGTGTCCGCCGCTTCCAGGACTCCAAGGATAAGTCATCGACTACGAATCTAAGGCACCACGCCAATGGCTGCTGGGGCAAAGAGGCAGTTGATCGTGCATTTAGTGGCGGAAAGGTACAGGCCACGAGCGGATCAGTTTTCTCTGCTTTTGCTCGAAAAGGATAACAACCTGTTCATCATACTTATCGAATGCACACGAGCAATGAAGTTTGGTGAGTCAACATTTTTGGGGCCTTAAATCACTCACACTGAATTTAGGGCAAATCTCGTGCGGTGGATCACAGGGAATAATCGACCTGTGAATATCATCAATGACCGTGCACTTCGTGACCTCCTGCTCTCTGGACGCCCTAATATCGAACTGTCATCACATTTTACAATCTCTCATGATATTCGGGCGTCATTTGAAAAGTCCCAAGAACGCATTGGTAAGCTCTTGCAGGTATGTGATCATATATCGCCACAGAGTCTCAAGCTGCATACAGGAACATGCTGGCCGTCTTCATTTTGCCACAGATGCATGGACTTCCCCGAACCACCGCTCATTCATTGCGTGGACTGTCCATTTGGAACATGAAGGTGAAATAATATCATTATCTCTAGTAGATGAGCTTGACGACTATTTATGGCAACCAGTGGAGAATACCAAAGTCTCACTGCAATGGTAGATCCATAATCAAAAGACGTATCCGAATTTGCACCGGATGGCACTTGATTACCTTAGTGTTCCTGGTAGGTTGTGCACCATCGCTCTCGCTAGCATCACAGCTTATGTGTTCTACACCATAGCTACCTCGACTGTAGTCGAACGTGTATTTTCGCAAGGCCGGCACCTTATATACTTCACTCAAAACCGCTTGTCTCCGTCATCGACGCGTGCATTCCTCTGTCTTGGCTCGTGGCCACCCGAGGACCTTACTAAGATCATGAAGTCTCTGAAGAAAAGAAAGCGAGAGGACGAGAATGTTGGGTGAGGTTATTAGACCTACGTAGTGTTAGTATTTCTTGTATGTGTACCCGCGGGTATACCCGTGCTATACCCTAGCGGCGACGGCCTAGCCAGGCTGCAGGAAGGAGCAGGAGCAGGATTGGTGTCAAGGGTTACAGGCCTCAGGATGCAGAGAGATGGCGGCATTAATATTCACGGGCACTAGGATTGGAGAAAAAGGCAGAGGATGCTGTGCACAAAGACCGCGAGCTCGACAAGTAGGACAACGAAGACATACAATTAGGACAATAAAGGCGATAATACAAGAAAAAATATTTGTGCCTTTCGATCTGAGGGTGCGATCGATTAGTAAAACCCCCGACTGACCTTGTCACGTGTTAATTCCTATCGTCGGGTGCGCTCGTGTCCGAAATATTGATTGGCAGTATGATGGATCTTGAGGTGCTCTCTGTCCTCGTCCCTAATTCGCATGTAATCAAAGTCCGAATGAACGCGAAGGAGGTGCTGCGGCTCGTCCGATTTTCGGCTCATGTTCATTTTGCTTGATGCGCGCTACAGTCTAGCCCAACCCGCAGTCGGCATCAGAAGTAATCAGAATTACTAGTTTACTAGCGTACCGGATGCGTAGTTATCACGTACTGCGCGCAAAGACGAGTACATATTTATGACGATTCAAACAACCTGAAAGAAAGCTATTTTATAAGTAACTGCAAAGGAGTATGTACTGGGACCTACCGTCAGCGATACTCAGTTCCAACCATTTTAAAATCAGGCGTTTTTGAAAAGCCTGCTCAAATCCACGGTGCCTAGCTTCCCTGCATGGCCGCATCGGTGGCGTTGATGTGGCTGAATTGAAGTTCAGCTTCCTTTTTTTGGCATGACGAGGACATGTCGTCAGACTGCGGGGTATAAGTCCACTACATAAGCAAAACCCCTCTTGCTCCATACCTCCACCTTTGTTTTGCAAACCACAATACGAAGAACATTAGAGAACAGAATCAACATGTCGGATAGTTGGACAGACGGCATCTTGCTCAAGGTTCGTGGTTTCTCAAGCTTTAGAAATGTCGGACTCATACTATGTTTCTAGATCGCGAACATCATTGTTTACTTCTTGTTCCTCGGTTCCAATGTCTATACTGTAGCGGCGCCTCATGATATCTACTTCACTTCAAGGGACACATATATCACCCCTGCTCCATGGGCCTTTTTGATTTGGTATGTTGTTTGTTGCGCTCTCCGAACCGATACTGACGTCGTTCCCAGGTCTCTCATTCATCTACTCCTTCTCGGCACTATCATCTACCAGTTCACACCCTCTGGTAAGAAGGTAATCATCGATGGTATTTCGTGGCGCTTCCCTCTTTTGGGCATCTTGAATGCGATATACGTGAATTTGTGGGCGTCCCACCACTATGTCGTCGCATTCATCTTTGCTCTGTTCGTAAGCAGTGCTGTCACCGTAAGCTTATTCGCTTCATCATATTGAGAACGTCAATTACATCTTTCCTAAAGCACATCTACTACATCGTGAAGAAGTTTCACACACCTGCTAACGCCGGCGACGAAGTCTTGGTCCACTTGCCTATCTCCCTCTACCATGGGTGGACAACCGTCCTCGTCATCCTAACCGCGTTTGACGCATTTGGCGTCAACGCGCTTACTCACCCCGCTGGCGTTTGGACCAAAGTTTTCGTATTCCTTGCTCTGTACGTCATTACAGTCATTCTCTTGACACGTCACAAGTCTTACGTCGTACAGGTTCTTCCTCGAGGCAACTGCGGCAACTTATGCTTTCTCCAGCCCTGAGGGTGACCTCCCTGCGAGCTTCGCGATCACGTGGTCCCTCTTTGCGATCTTCGCTCATCAGAATGTTCACCGCTCAGGGTTCATCCACTGGTCCGCACTCGTGTTTGCAGTGCTTTCTGCAGTCTGGGTGTTCAGGGGTGTCTATGGCATGTTTACTCGGTTCAGGGGTGGCTCAATCATCTTGGACGAAGAGCGTGCCCCGCTTGTTGGTGGTCACAACTGAACGTCCGATTTTGAAGAGAAGACAAAGGTGACTGAACCCTGAACGTCTGTTGATATGTACTTTTCTTGCGAAATTCCTGATCCAGCTTCGTCTTATGAACTTTATTGTTCTTGTGCCCTATTGTAACTTGTTATGTATCTGCATTGTTGATCCAATTGGACTTTATTGTCTTTGAGAGTTCATCATGGTATAAGTGGGCAGTAATACATTGTAACCCAGACTACGAGCATACTGTATCATATGGTCTACGCGTAAGACAAACCGAATGTTCAAAAGACATGAATGAGAAAGGTTCTTGACGTGGAATGGTTCAATTGGTTGATTAACATGAAGAAGACGGCGACAAAGATGTCGGTTATTATCAGTGAAGAGGGAGGATGAGGAATATCCGTGCACTACGTCTGCTCCCCGGTCTTTCAACCCTCGGTAAAGAATATATTTTTATTGGCCTCGCCCACTGCCGTCGTCGAAGAGAGTCGTCGAGAATCAGGGCGGCCCTATCGACGAGCGGTGCAGTACGAGCCGTATGATGATAGAAGGCATGAAGAAGGGAACGAAGTCCAAGTGTAGACTGCATCAGGGTTTCCTGAACTCGCACAGCACCGTGTAGATGGTGTTGAACGCAGTGTAAATCTCTTCCCTGACCTAGCGGAGGAGAGAATGATAACAGTGTCAGCGGAGGGTTCAAACCAGATCCACCAACGTGTGTCTCATCTTGGAATAATCCAAGAATCCCTCACAAGAGATGATATAATAGAAGTCTTTACCTTTGCACCAGTCAATACTATCTTCCCCGACACGAAGATCAATAACACGACCTTCGGCTTGAGCATGCGATAGATGAGACCGGGGAACAACTAAACGTAGGTGAGCAAATAATGGTCGCTCAAATGACTACAACATACCTCAGGCTCGTAACTGCTGAACTGTCCGTGGCTATACGCAAGACCTTCCAAGCGAATAGGGAACTTGACATCACAACTTCCGACGATGTTTTGGATCTTGAACTCGGCAAACTTGGCGTCGAAGCCGAGCTTCTGCACAATACGCGCATACTTGCGCGACGCCAGTCGCGAGTCGTCTTCGCTCTTCGCACCCGTGACGACCATCTTGCCCGAGGCGAAAATAAGTGCAGTTGTCTTGGGATCACGAATACGCATGATGACAGCTGCAAAACGCTATCGTGCAAAGCGCATTGGCGTGCCACGACACGTAAGTCAAACAGTAGTACCAACCTTGGGGTTATACTCTGCATTCCGAGCGTGCAGTGCAATGGTCTTGAGGTCAAGACGGCAATCGAGGTTAACTGTAGCAACGATGTTTTGCAGCGTGGGCACGATGCCTTCCACAGCCGTGATGTGCTGTTGCTCAAGAGTGAGGGGGACGGGTGTGGCGGGGACAGCAGTAGTTGGTGGCGTCGAGGGGCCTGCCATAGCGGCTGATGTCGTTCCATTGCTAATTGCCGTGGTAGCATTGGCAGCAGGCTGAGGCTGTGAAGGAGGAGGGGTATGTGATTGGGATAGTGGTGACGGTCCCGGAAGCGCTAGACCCGATGGCGCCGGAAGACTGTAGGTACTGGCGCCAGGCAGCGCAAGACCATGACTAGGTTGTGACTGAGAAGGTTGACTTGGCTGGTAAGGCGCAGCAGCCCTGCCGAATGTGACCTGACGAGCGGGAAGTGCGAAAGACATTCTTGACAACGGACAGCACAATGAAAATTATAAGTCGTGGGAAATCTCGGCGGGGAGAAAAAATGCGTGAAGGGTCGAGGTCGCGACCATTATATATACCTTTGAATTTCAAACTCCGATCATGACTCAGACTGATTTCCATTCGATTGTTCCTCTTCCTCTCTCTCCCATCATCAAATCCATCACTTATGATCCGTGCGCGCTACCTTGTTCCTTTCTTATTCATTGTCCATACTTGAATGCATTCGTCTTGATATACTTTCTTTAGAGCGAATAGGATGCACACGTCCTCTTGGAATCGACTTTGAAAGCTACACATATGTTGGCGCTCAGGCAATACCTGTGGCGTGGAATATTCCAGAATTATACCTGGAATGGAAATATTATTCTCACGCTCTTGCGTCTGATTATCTGTACGTGTCAGCACTGCCTAGCTGCGCATTCTTGATGCAGGGTACGAGAGTGTGCTAAGGATTATCGATTATCACTTGATATGTTTCGAAACAATCTAGCGGGCTCTGCAGAATGTACAATGGGCTGGCCATCCGTTCATACACCCTCACCCTTACGTGATACTGCAACCGAAGTTCTCATTGACTAGTGTCGGGCTACTGGCGCCGATCTTGACATGAACGCTTTGTGAACGCTTGCGGGATGTTGCCAAATACCTATGCAGCAGTTTGATAGTGTATATCATTATGCAAATCAATCTCCCTGAAAAGCACGGACCCTCGCTAAGAACGTGTACTAGACACCACGGTATGTATCATTACATTGTTTCGACATTGATATCTGTATTTCTGCCCTAACTGTCAATAGCCCTATGCCTCTGCTTCAGTGACAGGCTGACTGTCCCAACTGTAATTCGTTAGGTCGATAGTAGTCAAAAGTCCTGTGCCGTCAAGTGTTACGGGTGACTGTAAGGCTGGTGCGGCGACTTCGGAAAGCTCTATCTCCGATTCAGATTTTGACTCGGACTCGGAGACACTGCGGCTACGACGAGCTATGATCCTGTAGATATACGTTGTTGCCACCAAGAGGTTGCATATGATGAGCGAAACCGCGAGCTAATTATTTTCGGCGAGCGGTCAACCAAAAGGTGCCTCAACGCGAGGCGCAAACCATACCTCTGAATCAGTCGCAATCCTCAAGATACTCCTTAATTGCATAATTTGGCAGATAGAGCGGAAAACCGAGACAATCGTCACAATGATACTAGCCGAAAATGTTGCCAGTATCATTCTGCGTTCCTTCGCTAGAAGCTTGACTCCCCACAGAAGATGCAAGGAAAGCAATACAAGGATTGCATCAGAAACGAAGTCCGCTGTTGTAACACCGTAAGTGGTCAGGATGTAGTTCAGAATGACGCTCTTACTCATTAACTCAAAAATAACCATGGGGTGGCTCAAATACGCATGTACTTTGCCATGCTTGTCGGGGTGATGGTACCAATTGAGATCATGGCCATATTGCCAAGCCTTCTGCGTTACTAGCGCGCCATACAACACCAGGAAAACGACGGATATTATGATGGCCGTGAGGCGCAATAACCTCATCGACCAGAAAATCCGTGCCACGGAAAAGAGAATACTTTGACGGACTGCCCTGACCCTATCATATGCAAGCGAACAAGTGATAGACACGGGAAGATGCGCACCAGATAGCTGATGGAAATGCAAACGAGTACACCCAGAACGATATGATTGACCACTGGCCAGCTATTAAGTCAGGACAAATATGAGCCCGTACCAGTGGATAAAATCAACTGACTTCTGCCCACCAGTATAATCGTAGGTCCATCCAGCAATTAACGAGGCCTTCAACATTCGTCATCACTGCGATATACTACAAGTACGACAACTTGCACTCACCACCCCACACACGAGCGCTGCGGCAGCCCACATATCCTCCACCCAGAACATTTGTGTCCGGGCACGATACCCGAGCCGCAGGATAGTAAGTAATATAGCCGAGACCTGGATGACAGTGTAACAGACTAAAAATCAATTGAAGGGTTAGGATGTTGCGAGATATGATTGGGCTTTACCTCTGAACGCCATCGGTGGCATGGTGTATCGACGATATCATGAAACCCAGCCATCCAGCTGGAGGCTTAAATTGATCATACAGCCTGATGTAATGTAAGAAGGCGTGGAAGATCAACTATTTTCAGGACAGAGCCAAGAAGGACATGAGTTAACTTGGCGAAGCTGCGAAGGTCATTCAAAATTTCCTCGTTGGTCGCCGAGTCTGGCCTTAGTGGTCTAGATCCCAAAATGCCTGGATGCCTTCGAATCTTGGGAGCGTCGTTGTTGTATTGACAGGAAGGAATATATAGAACGCCTTCGATGATGAAACAGTGACCCTGCTTCACCGCATTCTCGGTCGATTTGCGCGGAAGCTCGGCGACGTTGTACTATGGAAACTTCTCCCAGCCTATCATGCACGGGACATTGGAGCTCGATGGCTAAGTTATTGGGCGCTATGTCACGAACACCCTACCCTGACGTAATTCAGGGATGGTTGAGCGGCAAACCTGCCAAGCAATGTATGTGTCCTGAAGGTGATACGACAGCGGCCCGTTAGTAAATCAATCAAGCTCATTGGGAAACACTCCGGGTGTGTCAGTGATGTGATCTACCGAATTCTGTTGTGCGCGGAAGTTCCGTACCGGTCTGAATCTGTAAGCCACAGGTGCATGTTTCCTGCCCCGGCTAATTGCTTCTGAGGACTGCGTCGCAAGGGCTTGTGTAATTTCCTGTCGTTGCTGGTGCTGAGCCATGTCCCCCCATATTGGTACGAAGACCAATGTCAACGGGTTGATATCACATGTAGCCCGCCATATGCGTCCACGAGAAAGTTGTGCACAGACTTGGTGGGGCAGAACTATGAACTGCATTCCAGAGTTACTTCCGTAGTTGGAATAATTGATTCTCACCAGCTCACCTCGACGGGTTGTCGACCACTGACTCGGAGGTAGCCGTCGTTACGACTCATATAAGTTTTGGACGAGTAGAAGTCAAGTGGATTGCCGGTGTCAATACAACCTGAACCTGAGTCGGCTGTCTGCCTCCCTGACAGTGTGGGACACTGGCAACTCTGTTACATGTTCATATCCAAGCTTCACAACGCTTTGATAATGTCACGGGAAAACCCTGCTTGTGGTTACACTCTGTCGAATCTTCGACAGGAAGGTAAACTAGATCAAACATCTGCTACGCAGTATTAACAAATTTCTTGCCTTTGGAGTGTAGATTGATTGTTCGACCTTCTCCGCTCGTCACTTCCTGACCCGAGATCGCTCAATTCGACGGTGGTAAAAGCTTCCCGCGTAGTAGTTCGCGGCGTGATTCGCGTCATGGTCCGTGTCATTCTCTGCGTCGAGTAATCCTCGTCATCGCTAGAGACCCCATCGTCCGCACCTGCAAAACCAAATATGCGGTACAGGAACGTGACTACGACAAGAAGGTTGCAAACAAGAAGCGACATTGCTATCTAGTATGTTCAACATTCAGAAACAAGTTGTCGTAGAAGAAGACGTTGACTGTACCTGGAAGCTTGTCGCAGAGCTCAGCACAGTCCCGTATCTCGCTATCTGACAAATGCCCCGGAAGATGGATACAATGGTTACGACGATGCCGGAGGAGAATATGGCCAAAATCATCCGCCTCTGTCTTTTTGGTAGTTTGAGACTCCAGAGTAAGCGTAATGGGAGAACGATCAGTATCGCGTCGGATAAGCAGTCAACTTGTCGTGTATGCGAGTTCAGGTCGTGTACTGAGAGCCGCAAGAAAGGTCGCACCTATCAGTTCAAACGTAACCGCGGGTCGTGACATGTATGCGTGCACCTTTCCAGTTGTCGCGGTGTTGTACCAACTGGTGTTGTGCCCATACTGCCACGCTCTCTGTGCAACAAGACCTGCCCACAAACAGAGGAAGAGAACTCCCAGACCAAGTATCAAGCGACGGAGGTGCTGCGTTGCGTACACAATGCGAACGATGGAGAACAATATACTTTCCCGGACAGCCCTATCAGCCCCTCAGTAACAATGATGCAGGTTGAACACGAAGACACACCACACGACGGAGGGGTAAGAAAATGAGTATATCCAGAATGAAATAATTTCGTCTTCGTTGTCTGCAAGCAGGAATTTATGACCAGTGGGCGATATTAATGAGCGGACGTCCTTTACCTCCGGTAACGTAGGTCCAGGAAGAAGTCAACATGGCTATCCCGCATAGAAACGCGACGACTGCCCAAGCATCCTCGACCCAGAATCTTCTCAACCAAACACGGTAGGTGAGTCTAAAAACCGTCAACACCAGCCCTATGGCTATGATGGCACTCGAGATAGCTGAAAAAGGTTCAGCGAAGTTTAAATACCATGCACAAACCTACCTCTCAGAGTCACAATTGTCGCCCAAGAAATCACTAGTACCATGTGGGTTGGGATGAGCACCAAAAGGATGTGGCACCCAGGACAGCCAGAATAGCTGTATTTATCTTGTGGTTTTCTCGCACTTCGATTGATGACATCGACGTGAAAACTGTATCCCTGAAAGATTTACATACATCGTGAACGCAGATAAGGTAAAGCCCCCTAGCTTCAAGTTCCTCACCCTTTCACGTAGTACCATCCCGACCTCTTCGTGCGAAAGAAGAGTGCTATGCCAGCCTGTTGCGTAACGGCGGTGGTGACGTTTGTCATTGTTCCTGATAGCGACAGGCACGGGCATGATGCATAGCAGCATGAAGAAGTTCACTTTCAGCCGGCACTGGATGCAGATCTGGTCCGACGGCTAGTTTCTAGCCAGCTATGGTCCCGGGCTGGTTCGAGACTAGGTACGGTATATTACCGCAGTGACAAGACCTTTGTAAATGCATCGTCGAAAGCAGTCGCGACTTACCATTTCCGCATTCCCAGGTCACTTCAAGTTGAAACGCCACAGGTGCAAGTCTTTGCAAGCCCAGACTGTTGTGCTTGTTCACGGGGCGGTGAGCCTGATATTAGCCCGCTTATCCGGAATCTGTGTCTTCCTTATACGTGGAATAGTAGTCACGGGCCACGGCTCAAAAGACTACCAACTGTTAGAGTTCCTCACGATCGACTTTAGAAATTGGATTAGATAACCACGTGGCATTGCTATCCGCGATAATCTCTCGAGTCAACGTTCGTCTGATACTTTTATTAGATAGCTCAGCACCCTAGCTAAACTTAATCATACCTTTAGATGTCGAATTCCCAACCCACTACTGTCCCTGCCCAAGCGCACGAGCAACTGGTCACGCCGTGGGATGTCCAGGGTTCAGTCTCTGCTGACGGCAAGCAGCTTGCGATCGACTACGACAAGTTGATTGACCAATTTGGGACGCGCAGAGTTGATGCAGCACTTCTGGAGCGGTTCGAGAAATTGACAGGGCATAAGCCCCATCCATTGTTGAGGCGGGGAATGTTTTTCTCGCATCGGTGAGTGCTATGCGGCTCGGTTGATGCCCCTTGCATTACTGTTAATGTCGTTGTGCTTTTTTTCAGAGAATTTGACAAGATTTTGGACCGGTATGAACAAGGAAAGCCATTCTTCTTGTATACTGGACGCGGGCCAAGTAGCGATAGCATGCATCTTGGGCATATGATACCATTCCTCTTTACCAAGTAAGTCGCTCGCTCATGTCTGTCATTGGCCTAACAATTTCCGGAGATGGTTGCAGGATGTCTTTGACGTCCCACTGGTCATCCAACTAACCGGTAAGTTTTCCGTCATCTCGATTCGATCACTCGTTAAACTAACGAACAGATGATGAGAAATTTTTGTTCAAGCACGAACTGAAGGCTGAGCAGACGCAACAGTTCTCGAGGAGCAACGCAAGAGATATCATCGCGGTTGGCTTTGATGTCAAGAAGACATTTATCTTCAGCGACTTTGAATACGTCGGCGGACCATTTTACCGCAACGTCGTCAAAATCTCAAGACAAATATCATACAACCAATCGAAAGCTACATTTGGATTCAACGACTCGTAAGTCTCACGCATCCTTCATCCAGGACGATCGCCATATTTTGTTAACAGAGACAACATCGGGAAAATCCATTTCTGTGCCGTTCAAGCAGCCCCGTCTTTCTCTAACTCATTCCCTCACATTTTTGGCGAAGTCTCCAATATCCCATGCCTCATCCCCTGCGCGATCGATCAGGACCCCTACTTCCGGCTTACGCGCGATGTCGCTCAGAAACTCAAGTATCCCAAGCCATCCCTCATCCACTCCCGTTTCTTCCCTGCTCTTCAGGGCCCCCAGACGAAGATGAGCGCATCAGATGCGACCTCAAGTATATTCATGACGGATACCCCGAACCAGATCAAAAATAAGATCAACAAGCATGGTTTCTCCGGTGGCAGGGAGACGGAGGAGGAACACAGGAAACTTGGGGGTGATACGGATGTGGACGTTTCATATCAATATTTGAGCTTCTTCCTGGACGATGACGAAGAACTTGCAAAGATAGGCGAGGTCTGTGGTTGCGGTTAATGTCGGCGAATCATGTTGCTGACCCCTGGCAGGAATACAGGGCAGGACTTCTGCTTACAGGACAGTTGAAAGCACGTTGCATTCAGATGTTACAGGAGTTTGTGAAGGACTTCCAAGAGGTCAGAATCTTCGTTACCATCTTCGAGATTATGTACTCATCCTTATATATAGCGGAAAGCCAAGATTATGGATGAGGATGTCAACTTATTCATGGATCCGAACAGGAAAATAGACCCCAATTTTGGCAAGCGATCGCAGACATCGTGAAGTCATCAAATTGATACCTGTCATGGTAGTTGTTGTACGAGGAAGTCTCTACGATACAATGTGTGTGGTGCGCGTTGCAGCAACAGTGGGGGATATGCTACTTGGCAAATATTTTGTTTTACGTGTATGCATGCGAGTTAAGCGCGAGCGAGCATCCTAGACTCGTGTTAGGTGACTCATTGATAGCATTCACTGTTCATTCCATTAATATTCCTCCTGGCAAACCGACAAATTTAGCACCGACGCGCTTTGCCTCTCGATCTCACTCGTGCATTGACGATGATCTTGGGGTGAAGACAAATGAAAATGAAATAAAGGCAGAGATCGATCGACAAGATGGTACACGCTGTGCGAGCTATTACATATACTGTCTCTATCTATGGTAAGTGTGGTCGTGCGCGTTGGTGAGTCAGGTCCATCATCTCTGCAATATAAAGAATGTATGCTGGGGTCGTGAGCGTTAAAGATATGATGGTGGTGGTGGTGGTGGTGGTGGTGGTGGATATGATAACAAATACGTAGGGTATACGAGCCTGCCAACCTATGCCATGATCAACACGACAAATGCACCAGCGGACCTAAATTCGTCCTGAACGGGAGCGAGCATGCCAGACCCTCTTTAACCACGCGTTGGTGACCTTTAGGCCGTACAATCCACCGTTCATCTCTTTGATGCTGGCTTTGCCATTGGGAATTGCACTGGTGTCAGTGTCCTTCGTCCAGTGGAATGGTAACGTCTGTATTTTGTCATGCTGCCATGCTGCAATGGCATCTATGGCGGCCTGCCCCCAGTTGAAGGACTCGTGATCTTTATGATCCGCGGGTCCATCGACGAAAACGCAGAGCTTCTCGTTGTGTGGCTGGATGAACCCTTCCCGTACACCATTCCGGATAAGTTCACGGAGAGGGTTGTAATAGGACAGAACATTAAGCAGTATGACAGCTGCAAAGCATGGCTTTAGTTAGCCAAATTAGCGACATAAAAACAAGAAAATTATTTACGTTTGTTGTGAATGTTGAGTTGGTTCCAAGTTATAACTTCGAGGACCTAGGGACAGGATGGGATGAGTGTGAGATACTAGGTTACGCGAATGAGCCTCGTGTACCTCTTCAAAAGTGCCGTATCCTCCTGGCAAACCGACAAAAGCACCGACACGCTTTGCCATCTCGATCTTCCGCTCGTGCATTGAGTCAACAATGACCTTGAGGTAGAAACGAAAAACAGAGAAAGAAATGAAGCCAAATGGAGATCGATTAACAATGTGGTGTGCACGTGCAAGCCATCACTTACTGTCTCTATCTAATGTAAGTGTGGCCGTGCGCATTGGTGAGTCAAGTCCATGTTGTCGTTATGTATGACGAAATCGCGCACCTGTCCTCGTCGTTTTTCCTGGAGAGCTTCAGCAACGGATTCAGTCTTTGGAACACCGTTGCCTTTGTCCATTTCGCCGCCTGCGGCGTGAATGGCATATGGGATAACACCGGTAACCTGGCCACCCTCATCTATGACGGCACCTGAGATAATGCCCATGATGCCACATTTACCACCACCATAGACAAGAGGACGCTTTGCCTCAGCCAGCGCATGGCCCAATGCTATAAAAATACGACGCAAGATGCATCATGTGAGGGCATTCGCGAGATGAATGAATCAAGAAGACGTACAAAGCGCAGCAAGCTGGAAAACATTCTGCTTCCCGAGTGACGCAGCACAATAAACTGCCACAGCTAAAGAATTGGAGGGTGCAACCATAGCTAAGTGCTCTGGAAGAAAGGCTGACTTGCGAACAGAGGATTGGGGGTTAGATAAATCGTGCATGTTCTGCACCTTGGGAGCCTTTAAATGTATGTACAGTGAACTCGCGGCAAATGGCGTTTAGGGTGATAAAGATCGGCTATTTGACGGCGTAGGCACTATAGGGTACAACGAGGCAAGCTTGCGGTCGTATGTGTGAACCTGCGGTGCGGCTTCAGCGCAGAGGGATTTGTTACATAAATTTCACAGGTCGATAACCAAAAAAAACGAATTTGCAAACGACATATTGGGTTCGAGTGTTCTGTCTGCTATCATTTGTCCTGAAGCTTGTCACCGACCACGAACTATTTGCAAAGTATTCGAGAGAGTTTGCAAACCCAGCGCAATTACCGCTGCAGAGCTGCACTGTGCCACTAATGTCAACGTTGATTCCATCGACGATCCATATCCGGGAAATTGTCGCACAGCTTCGAGGCCAGCTGACTCGAGGTGAACACGTTGAGAACTTGAGATCCTGTAGCAGCCCACAGCTCACGATGGATCCTGGCAGAATTTGTTGCCACCAAGCACTAGGTCCAAGTCGTTGACACATAGAGAGCGACTTATGTGCTAGCGCAAATCATAACTACGTTTCATGTACGCCACTCGCAATCTCTTCCAGAAAATTAAGGCACATCTTGCTGAACCTACGTAAATCGGTTGATAAGGGACCTAAAAGATCTAAAGGTAGCAAACAAGTCGACTTCTTCGGTACTTAGTTCCGCAATTCACGCCCAACCTTCCTCCAAGCTCTTTCTCCCTCCGAAATTACATTCTACAAACAGCGGGATGACGCCTTGTTCTATCGGATCTTCGTAGAAGTCCATTAGCGCCCAACCCCTGATCCGCGGGGACCCCATCTGTAGGAATATTCTCCTGCCGTTCACTGAACTGGTCTAGGAGCCATTTTCCGACTCGAGCATTGACGCCTTCAAATCCAATTCTCCACCGCGGCCACCCGAGGCCTCGGGCGATTGTGGGAGGGAAAGCTAAGGGTATTGAAGATGCAGAAAGGAAGGATATCGAGAGGGTTGGGAAAGGAGAGCCACCGGGTGCAACGAGGATATCGGTTGAAAGGGCAACTTTCTCAGGAATAGAGAGGAAGGAAGGGATTGCATACCTGTCGTTATAGTCAGGCTCATGATTAGCAAGGCGATCCAAGGGCACTTTAAACATACCAGTCCTGAGTCTGCACCAGGGTGTTCTGGCAGTTCCAAGTGAAGCCGAGCTTGTCGCTGTCAGGCCAGATAGGTGGGTGGATTCCAATAGCAGCATTGTCCCACCCATCACCATTGCCACCGAAACGGCTGAACATTACGACCTTGCCTCTCACCTCGCCCAGGGTTGGTATTCTATTTTCTAAATACCACATGCCCAAACCCCCTGGTGAGGCCAAGATCTCTGCACGAACAAGGCTGGTGAAGCGTTGTGGATCAGAGTCTTCCTGCTTGATTGACATGACTATGGTCTCGCGCGAGGTGGAGGGTGCTATAAGGAACATGTGCACGGTTGATAAGATTTCCGCAAAGGGCGTACGTTCTGGGTATATTCCATGGTATGAAATAAGGCGGGAATCGACGATCGCTAAGCGTATATCGAGAACTCGAATGCCAGAATGTAGTTGTCTTTCAAGAGGGGTGCTTAGTGATTGACACTGAGAAATAGGCCATCCATAGAAAGCCATTCTATCAGCCTCGTCATATCAGCATTCCGCTCGCACATAGAAGCCGAGACATACGTATCATGAGTTCCTGATATGCGTGGTCAGGTAAGTACAAGCAACACAAACAATATTTTTACCTGGAAGCATCAAAGATGACAGTGGAGCGGCATCGGGAATGAGAGACAAGAAACAGGATGTATCGCGTCGAGGAAAAATAAGTAAACAATGATGCTTGCGAGACAACTAGTGGCATATAAACTCTGACAAGCCAGTAACGTCTACACCATTGTCTCACCTTATTGCGGTACACTAACCATTCTGAATCTGCTGGGACTTTGACAAGGTTCCAACTCGCTCCGGTGTCCATCGAAAGTCGCATGGTGACGGAACTTGGAGGGATAATTTCATGTTCTTTGGTCCCATAATGTCGAGATAGCTTGAATACAGAGCACTTTTGAGAGAATACTACGCTCTTGGAATGCGCCCGGACGAGGAGAACACGGTCTTCCTGTGCCGCGCCCCTGAGATCACAGTGTAGATCGTCCTGTGTCTGGTTCGAGATCGTGAGGTGCATACGCGTTGTTGGAGCGTTGGAGAGCACGACTTAACTGACTGTCCGTAGTTGCCAATAGGCGTGATACCTCACGTGATCTTCAACACGTAGTTGGTCACGTTGTTTGTAAGTATTCTCTTCCTGGTCAATTTAATAGGAATTGCGATTAGCCAGAGAAACCGGCAAGGTCATATACATATCCTACTACACGGGAGTAAGTATAAGTGGGGAAGTTCTCTCAAGAAATGAGTCTAAAATATTATGTGGATACGAATGTTTTCTGAAAATGGGCCTATAATGTAAGTTTCTCGAGTATAGCAAGAAGCACCTCTCAGCGTCACGATCGGGGTTGTTCCGACTTTTGCTTGTCTTTCTCCTCACACGCCTCTCGCCATTTCTTGCCCTTATAAAGGACGGTTAGTGTTAGGACTTCCATTATTATCATAATACCGCCCCATAGAGTATACAGACCGCCATCACCAATGGCGACCTAATAACAAGGTTCAAACTTCAAACTATACAATTCAGCCGAAAAAATTTGAACAGACCTGAATCGGAATAGCTACTTCAGTAGCAACGAAAGCAAACACACATCGAAATGCGCTGTTTGTGGCAACGACCGTCGACGAACAGCCCGGGTTAGCATCCACAATGTATGCCAGGGTGCTTGCATACACCCATCTGGGTACACGTCAGTAAAGGTCCCGCGAATCGCATAACAACGTACATTGCGAAGAATCCCGAGAGAAAGAGCATGATGCATATGCCTGCGACATTAACGTGCTTCTCGCAAACCCAAGCGTATCCAATTACGGCCGGTGGCAAGAACAACATGGCAGGACGGGTGCTGGCCAATCGCATCTAGATTTTCATGTTAGGATGATGTCTGTCAAATGGTCATACGAAAAGTACCAACCTCGGCGAAACTTTGGCCTCCATTTTCTTCCTTCAACCTGGTGAGTGTTCGGTCAGACCAGCGGCCGCCAAGTACGGATCCACATATACAGCCTTCGACGCGAGTCAGTCGTTGTCGATCTGACAATAAGGTCCTACCTATCCCATACGAGAGTAGAACTAGGCCAATCTCAAGAGCGTCATAGTCGTAGTACTCAGATAATGTCCTTGAACAAGTGTACGAAATGCTGTAGTTGAAAGCGAATATCAAACCTGGAATATAGCAGCACGGCTAGTCAAATTATTCACATGGTGTATTGGTTTGAAAGACTCACCAGAAGCAAACAATATTACGAGATTATTCGAGCGCATCAGAATCTTCAGAAGAGGAGGGAAGGGATTGGCATCTGCGAGCGTCAAGTTGATATCTTTCGTATTTGAAGCAGATGCAACGACAGGTGTATTAGCCTCAACGTCATGATCCCCTGTTTCCTGCGTAGAGGCCATTCTTTCTAGTACAACTTGTGCGGGCTTTTCAGTGGCGGGAGGCGCAAGAATGATCTGGCTGGATTTCCTCGAGTGTTCCTCCTTTACCCTCATTTGCAGGACATTCTGATATGTCAAACTACGCTCCTTCCTGAATGTATCTTTGAATAGAAAAACCAAAGCAAAGAGAACAACTCCGGCGCAGGCGGTGATAAACCAGAAGACCGAGCGCCAGCCCAGGCCTTCTGTCAGCACACCACCCAATATTGGGCCCAGAGCCGGCCCCAAGAGCGGAGCAGAATAATATATACCCATTTTAATACCTCGCTCATGGGGTTCGTAGATATCTGCTAGTGTGGCTGCAGCGACTGACATAAGTGCGCTCGAACTGATTATTATAAGTAATAGCTCTGAGGATTCAACGTAAATAACATCCTTACCCGGCAGCTTGAAGGCCTCTCATTCCAATTACCAGGCCGATAGATTTGGACACGGCGACAATGGCCGAGGCAACCACAAATAGTGCCACAGATGATACATAAACAACCTTAGGAATATCAACATTTTATTGTCATGAAACAGAGTGCCAGACAAACCTTGCGTCCCTTGATTTCGCTGATGGCGCTCCATATAAGTCCAGGAACTCCCTGAACCAGAATAAAGACTGATAATGTCCAGCTTATTTCTGAGGTAGACGCCTGTAGGTCCCTCTGAATTTGGGCATTTGCAGCTGTGCATAAGTTATTTCAGTCTTCCGGCCGCCTGGGGAGCGAATAGTCATACGGTTTTGTATGCTGACGGCTAACCCTGCGATCATAGAGCCGGCTGAAACAATGATAAGGATGGCGGTCTACGACAAAATCAGTCAGTGTTTAGAGTGTGAATGATTGCCATTTGCCTTGCGAGCATTTCCCCACTTCCGAGGATCATCTTCCACAAAAGTGTGTTCGATATCTGTCTTAACTTCGTTACAGAAAGCAACGGCTGGGCATCCAACTTCGACTGCGATGTGAGGAGGATTCTGTGCATGTCCGGTACCGTTTTCAGGTTTCATTGCATGAGTGATGTGCAGGGGAAGCTGGGTCCGGCAAAGATGAAACGAAACCTTTTATAGGAATCAAGTTGAGGGTTCTTCAAAGAAGAACCAGTGTGCAAATGATGAATGCAAGTGCGCTGATGGGCCGACCGAAGCCATTCCATGGTGGTAATGCGCACATGGAACCGGTTCGGCATAAAAGGTGAAGACGCCGAAACACATTGACAGTGCGTGTTTAGTCGGTCATGAGCCGGTGGGGCATAAAATCGTATCTAAAAGGTTCGTCGCTTCAGGTTCTGAGGCCTCCGAAGGCGAACCTCCGATTCGGATTCGCAAAAGACTTCTAGATCGATTCAGGCTTACGGCACAGGCCGCATCTCCACATCAGGAAGTCTAAGCGCGCGTCTGCCATTTGAAACGTTGAGCCTTGAAGTCCTTATCACGCTAAATCATGCGGTGGTCACGACATGTCAGTTAAGGGTTTCGATAATACAAATGTGAGTAAGTCGAGTCACAGGGAAGGTTTATTGATAGCGGCGTTTGTTATGCAGATGCATTTCGCGTACGTGGCGGACAAGACAATCTCTCCTCATGAACTTGCCACATCCATTCCAGGAACAGTAAACTCGGCGATGCGAGGCTCCTTTAACATGCTTGCGTATATGAGCGACAAGGGTGTCGACAGACACGGCAGCATTGCAGGGACCAGTAGCCTGTGACCACCCGCAACGATCTCGTAGCATTGTTGACACACCGAAATCCAACACAAGATGGAAGGTTGGATCAGTGCAGGGCATCGCGATAGCCTGTTGAGCAATTGGGTCTATTGACGGGGTGCAAGGATACCCAAGAACTTCCTCTCGAGTGACATGTAGCGCCCGTCGGCTTTCAGGTTCCTAAATCATAGCAAGAGTATAGGTCATGCACCGAAGGAAGTGTTTACAGAACTCACAGCAGCACGGCCGCAGTGCGCAGCGCTTGGATCAGGAGTTCTTCTATGCCTGGTGAATTGACGCGATCAGATTCGGCATATTACAAAAGATATCGTTATACGCTAGTGCAGTCGTAACTCGACAGAAGTGTGATGGATCGAGAGCTGTAGCGATCTCGAAGCTGGCACTAAGAAAAAAAATCAGAACAGCAGCGCGCCGCGTAAGAATTACTGACTAGTTTAGAATTTGCTCTCTTTCCTCCGGATTAGTGTGAGGGGATCCAACGTCATCACCCGAGTGGGGGGAAACAATCGAATATGATGCTATTGTAGAGATGGTCAACTGTTTGACGTCCATGTTTACAGTCAGCCAAGGAATGCAGAAATCAAAAGAGACTATATTGTCAATTTATACGCGAAGATGGCACCTTTACTGGAGGGGCCGCTATCAGGTGCTATCCTGCCAACCACGAAGTGACTCGCGAAGTATAATCTTCTTGACCTTCTAGATTGTGGCACAGTTTCCGTATCAAGGATCGTAGAACGGAGATTAATGAACGTATGGTTGCGGGTAGCTGTGACACAATCGATGAAAAAAATATGTTTCGGAACCTGGTTGAAAGTGGTAGTAACTACTAGTGATTGGGTGAACGAGCGCTTGAGCAGGAGAATCGAGATATCTACCGGACATCGCTGGTCCATAGCAGCGGTAGGAAAGTACTCGAAAAGGTCCAATGTCCGATCAGATGGATCTTGAAGACTAAAACTCCATTCGGGCAGTGATATCATGGAGTCGAAGATCGTTGAGTTCAAAACATGGTGGAGAACATTCAGGACCAGATAAGCTTTGCCCTTATTCGCGGTCTTTTAAGCGGTGAATTGAGTACCCATTGGACACCTCTTCGTGGTTGTCACGCATGCGGTCCGACCAGGGTACGACACGTTGTCCTGGATCAGGTGCAAAGGGGCCACAGCCAGCTGCTCAAAAGGGACTTACGGCTATCTCGGGTTGAAAGTATCCTTCAATTGGCCACCAGCTTGGAAGGATCTGTGAATGCGCAGCCAGAGAACGTCACGGTCGAACAACAATGGAGTGATATGATCACTAAACACGAGGAAGACACAAGGTGAACATCCGTCATTCAAACAAAAGTGACATTACGTAAGTGTATGTTTTCCTTTTTGTACCAAACTTTATAGATCCCGCGAACCAAGGAATTGAAACTCGTTACATACTTTAGCAAGCGACTACCATCATGGCTAATACCACCGTCAAGGGTGCAATCGCAATCCATGGTCAAAACCCTCAGGCGAGTAAATGCGGTACACGTTGTGGTGATAGCTGACAATTGTATAGTTTCTAGTCGAGACAGTCATCCGCAATCGAATATGGGAATCGAATTATTGGAAGGAGCATTGCTTCGCTTTGACTGGTGCGTCTTCAGCGCTTTCCGAGACGTCCAGCTCACCCTTTCTAATGTAGCGGAGTCACTTATTGACCAAGCTATCGCGCTTAGGTGCATCGGGGGTGTTTATGGCAATCAGCGCCCTACAGAGTTCCTGTGCTTGCTCTTGAAGTTGTTGCAGCTTCAACCGGAAAAGGAGATATTGATAGAATATCTGCAAGCAGACGAGTTCAAGTAAGCATTATCATACGTGTCACCTGCTGATTGCTGACGCAGGTAACTCAGATATATGAGGGCGTTGGCCGCCATGTACGTACGAATGACATTCAGTGCAGTAGAAGTGTACGAGCTTCTTGAACCGTTGATGAAGGACTACAGAAAGCTTCGATACCGGGACATGGGTGCGTTGATCTTTCATGTTCGTTGGGTATACATCTTACACCCCGACAGCAGGGTATTCGCTGACGTATTTTGATGAATTCATCCATTCACTCCTCACTGAGGAACGAGTTTGTGACATCATCCTTCCACGCAAAGCCAAGCGCTCAATACTTGAAGAAAACGGCGAGATCGGTCCTCGGAAGAGCCGCTTGCTTGACGCCATGGAAGGCAGAAGTGATCATGGTAGTGACAGAAGTCGTAGCCGCAGTCGAAGTCGGAGCAGGAGCAAGAGTAAGAGCCCATACCAGTCACGCAGCCCAAGCGCTAGTCGGAGCAGAAGTCATTCTCCATCAGATAACGGACGATATCTATCACGGAGTCCTTCTCGTTCTCCATCTCGTTCGCCCGACCGTTCTCGCAGTGGAAGTATATCTCCAGATAGGATGGACGTCGAGCCCACGAATGTATCATAATCTGTCTAGCACATCTACATCTTTTTGATGCCCTTAGTATCGAAAGTCTGATCCTTGAAAGAGAGCAATTGCTTAGACAATTCCTTCCATCGCTCTTCAACTTTAGGATTTTTCTCAAGAGCTTGAGGAGAAAGATATCCTCGGTTGCGCCAGTCAGTGTACCACACTTTAAGAAATGCCTGTCAGAAAAATCAAAGTCGAGAGGGAGAGACTCACAAATGTCCGTGCGGCGGGTTGGTGCTGCTGAAATACGATCCTCACGGCTCTTGACGCAATCACGAAGAGCCAGCGGGTTATAGTATTTACAGAAGACACTTCCTCCAAGTGACTCAACTGCCTTGATGGCACTTTGGGATGCACGAGAAGGAGTAATGTGGATTGGTGTTTTCAAAAATGGAGCGTTCTACATGACCATGAGTTGCACTAGAAGAGCGTCTGAGAATAGAGACATACGTCGCCCAAAAGTTTGATTCCATCGTGCACATTGTGAATGCATCCGCTTAACAGCAAATCGCGGGCCGTAATAGGGTTCTCAGGCGATGAGTGTAGTCGACCTTGGTCTATCCAATGCTGTATCCGGTCCAGGTTGATGGGCGCGTATACCTTCCGGTTCCTTGACGAAGGTGTCAAATAGATGTTGAACTAGCTGAAAGGCAGCACTCACGGATTCACAAAGCCCTTCTTCGGGAATCTCTTCGTAATTGGGGTCTGACCACCCTCAAATCCAGCTTTAGGTTTACCATTGCCTGCGCGAGCCTTCTGGCCCTTGTGACCTCGTCCTGACGTTCCACCACGACCAGAGCCTTGACCTCTGCCGAGGCGTTTTTGCTAATGAACAAAGCATAAGAAAATGGTGTCAGAAACGAGGACAATACAAACCGCGTGCTGTGAGTCTTGTGCCGGCGAAAGATTCGATAGAGTTATTCGAGCCGCCCTTGAGCGCAGAATGGATGACATGTCTACAAAGTAGACCAAGACTCTGAGTTTGTGCTCTCTCGAAATCGTTCGGAGGTTGAAATTACTGAATTGCCTAATATGGCATTTATCAAATGTCCGAATCATCGACCAGAAGTTGAAGTGACAGAGCGTTCGACGGTCTTCTTTCAATCCGAAAATTTCCCCAGAAATGTCAGGTCTCAGACCACTAATCACGATTTGCGGGACTACTGGCGTCGGAAAGTCCAAACTGGCCATCGAGCTGGCGCTGAAACTTGCTCAAGGAACACATGCACGATGGAAAGGCGCGAGGATCATCAACGCTGACTCCATGCAAGTATACACTGGGATGGACGTAATCACGAACAAAGTCCCAGTCACAGAAAGAATGGGAGTCGAGCACCTTCTCATGGACTTCAAACGACCTGGGGAGCAGTACGTAGTGGGTCAATGGGTCCAAGATGCTATCAAGGCGGTAAATAACTCCTCTTCTCGTCCCTGTCTCTTTGGTAATGGTTTGAAGTCAGATTGACGAGACGCATGGTATGGATCAGATTCCGATTATCGTCGGCGGTACATCCTATTGGATCCAACACCTCATATTTCCCAATCGGTTACCCACTCCAGCACATTCTTTGTCGGATTCCGTCGCACAGTCCGTTGCCAATCTACCTTCCGACCTTCTTGAGCTGTTGAATGCGCTTCCAGAGCACCCTCCATCTGCAGCATCTCATCCTGAAGATGCCATGTTACTGCACAAGCTTCTCACCGCGCTTGACGAACCAGTTGCGCAGCGATGGCACTGGAAGGACACGCGTAAAGTCATAGGAAGCCTTCGTGTAATCAAAGACACGGGAAAGACTCCGAGCGAAATTATTGCTGAGCAGTCTCAAACATCATTGATTCCAAGGTTTACACTCTTCCCAGTGGTGTAGTCTTGTCACTAATTTTATATCAGGTATCGAACTCTTTGTTTCTGGCTCTACGCTGAGCCTTCTGTCTTAAATGAGCGTTTGGATGCAAGGGTAGATGATATGATCAAGGCAAGGAATGTCTTGAACTATCAACTGCACACTAAAATGCTCGTTCAGCAAGGGCTGTTGGATGAAATCAAAGAACTACGATCGGTCGCTTCCTCCCACATACGCAGATCGCCCGATGCAGTCGTCACAGAACTGTCCGACGAATTAGCTGGGCAGCAGACTGATTATACTCTCGGGATCTATCAGTCTATCGGTGAATTTTGTCAATCACCTTTCCCCACACCAACTTATAATGTTTAGGATACAAAGAGTTTCATGATTATCTCGCTTCTCCAGAACCCTCCCGGAAGCTTTTTGCATCCGCTGTGGAGCAAATGAAGTGCGGAACAAGGCAATATGCGAAGCGTCAGATACGGTGGTTAAGGAACAAGCTTCTTCCTGCTGTCTATAGCACGAACAGCAGTGTGGAACATGCGGCACCTCTTCTCCCATTATACCTTCTCGATGCAACTGGTAAGCTTACCAGTTCTACATGTCTAATTTCAGGCAGTGTGATTTGTTCCCTGCAGAACTCGGTGACCAGTGGACATCCCATGTTCTTAACCAAAGTGAATGTATAATGAAAGGTATATACTCTATATTTACTTCGCGCTTGTATTTACGGTTCTGCCAGCTTTCCTTGGCAACGAGACAATGCCTGACTCTCTATCGCTGTCTGAAAGGGCACGGGAGATGCTGACGATCGACGTCAAACCTACGAAGTATGTCTATCACATTCTGGCGTCCTTGATATCTTACCCGACAACTTGGTAGTCCTACAGAAGTATTGCGAGCTCGCAAGAAGATCATATGCCCTGTGTGTACTCTTGATCCTTCACAGCCCTTTATGGTCGAGGATGGCCCTCAATGGGACGCCCACTGCCGCTCCCGTGCTCATAGAAAACTTGCGTCGAGAACTGCGACAATGTGGAAAGCCGGTCAACCGCCGCACTACAGTCCATAGCGGCATTCCTGACGCTTTACTGGATGCTGAATATATGCAAGACCTGCATCGTTCTGCCGTGTAGACGAGGTCTACTTCTTGCACACAGTTCGTCATCCCGCCTGGGATGTTCACCCTTTTTGAATAGCGGCTTTCGGACCACTTTCATCATGTCATGTCTCGAGCAGTTACACTACAGGTGGTCACTGTTCGTTTATTATCCCACGCAATGACTTTGGAGGAGGGCTCTTAACGGGCCAATTTTCCTCGTGCGCCAGGGTCATTATGATACCATGGGTTCGTCCATAATGGCCTACATCAGCCCACATCGTCTGAGGCACTCATGACCATCACTACGAGGACCGTCTTACCTTCACATTCAGTTTTATCTGGAGCCACGTCACTGGTACATGGAAGCCAAAGAAGCACGCCTGAATGAGCGAACATTGTGAAATGAGCAGTAGTTGTGTAGCAGACAGACGTTGTACTAGCCCTTAATTTTGTGAAAAATGTTGGGTGCGATGTAGTTGTCGTCTCGCTTGCCACCACAGTAACAGCATCCTCTGCGAACGCTGTGACCATCGCCCCTCATTACCTGAACTGCTCCCTTTCAAATACACTTTCAGAGGCGGGGCCATTGACGGACTCCTGTAACCCGACTTTCTCTTTACTTTTTAACCATGACTTCCATGGCGGACGTTCCGGTGTATATGTTACCAGGAGTACCGGTGGTGCAACCGCCTCATCTCGAGGGTCTTTCAGATCCATCTCTTTCAACTGAAATTTTACCAGGTCCACCTTCCCTGCTGTCTGTTCAGCAGGCTGCGCACAAGCGCGACCCAAAGAAACCAGGAGCTTTCGTGTCGTATCTGCCAGCATCTGATCCGGGCTCCACCTACTCTGGTTTGATGGCCTCCACCTTCAGTGGCACAGATGCTGAAGGGCAACGGCGCAAACGTGCTAGGGTCGACAAAGGGTAAGTCGTTGTGTTCCACCTTGTTGCGACGCTAATCATCTCCGCCGTCGTGCTGCAAAAATGCTCCACCTCCATCCCCCTTCAAATTTTACCACGTCGCTGTCCGCATATCCCTCAAAAAGAACTGCAAACGGAAGGGCTCAGCGTGCATCTGCTCGCAACATGAACAGCAGTGCCATTCCACCCTCGGATCTTATGGTCCCTGAGGTATCTTCTCGCCAGCCCAGTATACCCCCAGTCCCAGACTCTGACCCTTTCCCGATAAACCCTGACTTTGACGAGCCTTCAGTCTCTCGAGCAACCTCTGCTCCTGCTCTCGACGAACCTTTGCCGCCTCAGCCACCCCCTCCATTGGTATCAAATGGGAGAGGAAGACCGAGAAAAGACAAAGGGAAAGGGAAGGAGACTGAAAAATCCTCTGTAAAGATCAAGGAGGAGCCAATGACCTCATTCTCGCTCTCTCCTGACCCTTCACTTGGACTGGTGCGCATTTGGTCCTTTACTTACGATCATACCCCTCATTACCATGTCGTTTAGTTGAACGAAGATCACTGCTCATCTTGCCGGTCGTTGGGAGCTCTGGTGTATTGCGATGGGTGCCCACGAGCCTTCCATCTCTGGTGCCTCGACCCACCAATGGAGACTGTCGACTTGCCGGAACTCGGAGAGAAGTGGTATTGTCCTAGCTGCACGATTCGGAAGGTGTGTCTGTTCCGTTCCGTGGACCTTGTATAAGGACTTCATCCCATGCCACAATAGCATCCACCGCTCAAACCTCCGCCTTCCTTCATTTCACCCCTCATTCATCAAGCACAGACAAACATTCCAAAAGAATTCCAGCTCCCAGATGATGTTAGGAATTTCTTCAAGGATGGTGTGTTACTTCATGGCCGTTTTTATGTTAATGGTCTCATCGTCGATGAACTAGTTGCTACTGGTTCCAATGGGTGTTACATTGATAACTCGGAGATCAAACAACCTCGCCTGAAGTGAGAGTGAATTCCACACGTCTTCATTCGTTGCTCAATGTTTATAGTCGCCATGGTCAGCTCGAGGAACGCGAACCTTACCGTCTCAAGGACAAGAACGGTGTCCCTGTGCTTTGCTTCCGTTGCGGAACATCTGCTCTTCCCAGTGCTGTTGATGTGTCTGCTCCTCCAGCAAAGCGTCCCCGGAGGTCGACATCGTCCTCCCATAGTGCCACTCCAGAGGTTTGGAGAAGTATGGTATCTTGCGATTACTGCAGTCTCCACTGGCATTTGGACTGTGTCGACCCGCCTCTCGTCACCATGCCGCCATTCAATAAGAAATGGATGTGTCCTAACCATGCAGATCACGCTTTGGTAAGTTCTCACAGTCCTTTGGCTAAGCTTTCATAATTCATTGTGCTCTCTATATCCAGCAATCTAAGCGTCGCGTTCCTAAGCAAAATCCGTCCATGATAGACATCACAAAACCGCGTCAGTTTAACAATGGCAACATCGATATCGTTCACCCACAAGGCACTTCGATAGCAGAGAAGTTAGTCCTTGATGAAATCCTTATCAATGGTCGAAGGTATAGAGTTCCGGAGAAGGTGATCATGCTTGACTTCTGGAATAAACTCAGTAGAGATCAGCATTTCGATCAAAGGTATGTGCGTGGCGTTGATTCGTGACAGTCTTTAATGCGGGAATAGGCCACCGGTGTCTGCGATGTCTTCGCCTCTCACGTCCCTGAGCTCTTTGGATGATTTTGATGAGAACATCGGCACATTATCGGAAGGACCTCTTATCTCGCGGGACGAGTTGCATGCTGCACAGGTAAGATTCGTTTGGGCACTTTCATCGCCACATCATCTCAGGCTTAATACTGTTTTTAGGCACTGTGCAATTTCCAGCAAATGCTGAACAAGCAATCAGAACAGAGACATACTCCTATTGTCAACCCAAGGAAACTTGTTGACTCCAGTACACAAACAGAAGCAGAGTTACCGCCTATTATACCTTTACCCCCGCAGGTGGAGGTCTTGAGAGCATCTACTAACAAGGCATGTCGGCTCATCATCTGAACGACTTTGGGTCACTGAAGAAGTTCTCTGCAGCGCAAAGCACCTACCAAGTCCGCTGCCCCTGCGCTAGAGAATGGTTCTGGTGTTAAGTCTTCGGTACCATCTCCTGCTGACCAATCGGCTCCGGTGCGGCCCAAGAGGGCGCGAATTGCGGTGAAACAGGAGGTGGAGGAAGTCACTTTACGTGTGCCTGATAAGCCCGAGAAGCAGCCAGAGGCTGTGAGTAGTGTTTTTTTTTTCGGGCTTATTGCTTACGTGGGTACGGTCCGGAATTTTGTAGCAAGGGAAGTCCACGAGGACTACTCGCCAACGCCGGAAGCCCAGGCCTTCGGACACAGCGAAGGATGAGGGTGCATCTATGACGAACGCCCAGACCATTACGCCGGCATCTAGTTCTATGGTCCGATCTGTTGGTCCTGAAGCTTCTGACTTGCACGGTGCTTCAGCCTTGCCCGCCCCCAATCCTCCCAAAGTTAATGCACCTATCACTCCCAAGGCCTCAGTCACAATCACCCAGTCTTCCCAATCTTCAACTCCTACGTTGAAGATACGATTACCGCGACTGAGTGCTGTCAGCGCTGCAGTGCATTCGAATGCTGCCCCACCCGCGACGGGACCAGTACGCACTGCAGCAGGAGCCAAGGAACCCCGCCCAAAGCGCTCGTTACGACGACAGACTTCTGACTCTGCTACTGTCTCTTTGAGCGGCACGTCTCCGTCTGCAACTGATGGTGGTGACGAATTTGAGCCAACCAAACTCAGTAAGGTTCACATTCTTGTTATCCACTCGGTTTTTAATGTAGGGATGTCTAGAACGTAAGCCATCCAAGTCGGGCAGGAAAGTCCGTGAATGAGCTCCATGGACCGCATGTCGTACCTTGACATGCAGTCGCAAAAGGCTGGGGTGTAGATGATTATATACGTCTTGTCACATCAACATAAATTTTGTACTGAGCGGCAATGCGTGCTTGTTCTTTTGTTTGGCTGTGTTAGGAACCCAAGCCATCAGAAGTCTGCACCGTTCACCTTTCAAATAATCAATTATGAGATAAGCCAATATTTGAGGTTACCTCCCGGTTTGCATTATTTTATCGTTCTTCATCGCTCTGACGTGACCTAATTTTACTCTATTGGCTTGAGCAGACTGATACTTTTTGACATAGTGCCCACTGCCTGATGACCATTGGTGTACAGTTTCCCTACTTGGTCGCTCACATGTCTACACATTCTTGAGCTTAGGCTGACTCTCGCTGAACGAATTTTTCACCCTGCAGTAGTGTACCCAAGCTGTCTATTCCTTCACCACCGATCCCGGCCCATTATCGTGCCGCTTGCTTTACTTTGCAAATTACTCACATTGACAGCTGTCACAGCATCTTCACTTGTTGCTTTGGTTTCCGCAAGGAAGTTATCGTGGGTAGGCCCGATAATCGTTGAGTAGGATCATTACTGGGGCGGAAGTCTATCACCACCTCTGAAAGATCCTTCGAGCAATGCCGTGATGTCATCACCATATGTACATGACGCCCGACGCGCGCCCTGCAACTTTGCGAGGGCTCGGCAGGTAGTTGATCAAGTGAATTATAACGTGGCCTCTCGCGATTTTCTCAGCCGATGAGCCTGCAATGGATCTGCAACCTTTCGATATTCAAATCACGTATAGTCCCTTTACAAGAGAGGAACTTTTCGTCCGACTTTGGAACCGCTCGGGTCGGCACCCTCTCGACAAGTTATGTTAAGCGTGCTATATCTAGGGTTGTTATTCAACCCAACTTGAAGTACTCTGATCTTTTTGTTTGTTGGTTGTCTCGCCAATGTCGCTGCCAGTTGTTCGGTACGTTGTCCCCAAGCAACCCACAGTTCTTGCAGGTCGCGAGTCGGTTGGTCTTCCGGGATACGACTTATGGCTTCACTTCGTAAGTTTGATTCAGAAATCTGGTTCTCAGTCGTTGTAATCTGATAAGGGAAACATTCTAGGTGGACAATGTTCATGCATTCGATGGGAACATTGTCGTGGAGCGTTTTCATGACGCTCTGGCAAGCACTTTGCAAATGTACCCTCATGCAGCGGGGCAACTGTGTACAACCAGCGGCCGTTGGTTTGTAAGTGTTACGAAGCTATACATGACCGTTGCACAAGGCTAAGAGTCAGAAATTCTAGATCCAGCTGACGAATTCCGGCCTACCCGTTGAGGCCGAGGATCGCAGGGAAGAATTATTTACTTCTATCATTCGAGGAGACTGGGTCATTCAAGATGACCTTTCCCCCTTGCTCAGTCGGCCACAAGACGCCGCCGTCGTTAATGGTAGTGCCTCCCTGGTTCGCTTTAAGGTCACAACTTTCAAGGATAGGACATGTCTTGGGGTATCCTGGCATCACACTCTTGGTAAGTCTTTTGCATGACTTATAAAGTATTTCCTCAGCGAGATTGGAAATGGCAGGAGATGCGGTGACGCTTTGTCGATTCATGCAAACCTTGTCCCGGTTCTACCAAGGGGTTGAGCCAGTCTTTACTCCAACTTTCGACAAACACGAGTACCGAACCCCCCAGCCGTCTGTGTCCTCGGACTTCCTTTCACTGATGCCTCATTTATGGGTTTCTTACCCTTTCAATGAACTCGAGGCCAAGTATGCCGAGGCCTGCGAGGACTTGGGAAATCTAAGATGGAGATTCCATGAATATCATCTCCATGGACTCCACTCCATGCTCAGTGCCAATGAGGAGGGCTATCTTTCGTTGCACGATTGCCTCACAGCATATATTGTCACTCTGTTGAATCGTTCTATGACTAGGCCCATTCGTATGGTCACGAATGCCGCTAATGTGAGGCTTTCCGTGGACATTTCAATTAGCGCCCTGATCGCTAGACCCTGCAGTCCCGGCGCGTCGAAGCTCACTACATCGCAAGTAATGTTGTAGGAAATGTTATCCAGAATGTCTGTGACTCAAACATTCCACGCAATACGTATTTATTCATTCGCCCGCAGATCCCGACCGGAACCCTGCCATCTCATATGCGGGGTATTGCCACTGCTGTGCGGGAATCGATTGTTCGGTGCCGTGACCGGATGTTCCTTGAGGAGTGGATGACTGTGGCCAGCGACCTCATGCTAATGACTGTCAATGCTGGGAAATCTTTCTTCTTTGCTTCGCGCCCTGACGTGGTGATGGTCAATTCTAATGTCGCGTATAAGTCGTCCTGATTTTCTTCCTAAAGACTTTCTGATCGTTCAATTGGCAGGATTGACTGGTGTGATGCTCACTTTGGGTTTCCTGATTCTTCCAGTTTTTTCACAACTGGGAGCTCGAAATTCTATCTTCGACCCTTCAAAACGAACCCTACGCTATATGATGGCACTTGGCGACCTCGAAAAGGGTCGGTAGACATATCTATGGGCGTTCCGAGAGAAATGAAGTCTAAGCTGTTAGACCGCCTAGCGTTTGATTTTGAGACTATCCTTTATTCGCCACCATCGGACACCGAACTGGAAATAGATGCCGGTGCCCAGGAGTTATGAATATTACGCATATCCTTACGCGCTATCTGACGACGCTTGTTCATTGCAGTACCTATACATTTGGCCGCAGTCTGCACATATATACCGCCCGAGAGATGTCCTTTTTGTGTTTAAAATTCAATGTTTCAATAGTTGGTTCCAATAAGTACTAGCTAGTGTCATGCTGCCCATTGTACATCCATTAACATTCTCCATCTAAATTTGTCCAATATTCCGATACACACAACCAACCGACTGTAGATAAGATCTTATCAACTATTGTGATGGATACACCTTTGGAAGATCTTGTCAAGGAATGGCTTCGCCTTGATCCTGTGCGTGCTCGTGATGTGCTAGAGGCTGCTCCTTTGGATGTTGCTCACAGTTTCTCTAGAATGAATCCACAAGAAAGGATGTGGAACAGCTGTGGCATAATAATGCCATCGACGAGTTGGAGAGACGTATGAGGTGTGTTGCCAGCATCACGGTCCCGGCCAAGACATGCTCAGTATGAGATGTGCACAGGACACGCATAGAATTCGGTACTGCAGGTGTGGATGTTCATCATGTGTTAGCTCAGTCTGACACACTAAGACCTTATTTTCCAAAGGTCTGAGGGGAAAGATGGAGGCCGGATGGTCTCGCATGAATGACCTGATTGTGATCCAGGCATCCCAGGTGGGTCAATCGGACACCTAGATCGTCAAGCATATGACGTAGCTAAACCCGAGCGACAGGGCTTGTGCGCGTACGTCCTCGAGCACGTCAAGAATGCTGCTACCCGTGGAGTAGTCGTAGGACACGATCACCGGCATAACTCGGAGAAATGGGCCCAGCTTACTGCGGCTGCTTTCATAGCCAACGATGTCAAGGTTTATCTGCACAAAGGGCTTGTACACACTCCTTTGTATGTCAGTAACACTTCTGTGGTCGCTTCTGATATAGATCAAGGCTGCTTGAAGGGTTCCATTTTCCGTAAAAGCGCTCAACGCGGCCTGTGGAGTCATGATCACAGGTACGTTGCACTTGGTATATTTTGTCTACACAATCGCACGCCTCCGAGCTGACCCCCGTTCTATGTAGCAAGCCACAACCCCAAGGTCAGATAGACCGATATGTGTTTGGAGTCCATAACTTACAAAGTTCTCCTATAGCAAGATAATGGCTACAAGGTTCGACTGCAATTACAACTCTCATCGCATCTGATCATTGAATAGGTTTATTGGGAAAATGCCGTTCAAGTAATCCACGCGGCTTATATTTCGATCCTTTGGCACTGAGTGTTTTGCTCTTTAGATCATAGGGCCGCATGACGTCGGAATCGCACAGTCCATTCTGCAAAATCTGGAGCCCAGAGTGCATGATGCTTCACAAATAGTTGAATCCGGCATGTGCATCGATTGTACGGAGGAGATGAAAAGAGGGTACTTCGTTTCTCTCAGTCATCTGCGCACAGCGGCGTTATCGTAAGTTCTTAGTTACCATCCGCCATTCTGACCCTACTGAATTACCAGATTCAGCGGAGGTTCAGTGGCTTTTGTCAACACATCCATGCATGGCGTTGGGGGTCCATTTGCATCTAAAGCCTTCGAGATTGCCGGATTTCCGCCTTTTACGCCTGTGAAAGAACAGCAGCATCCAGACCCAGAATTTCCAACGGTGAAGTTCCCAAACCCTGAAGAAAAGGGTAACGACTCCCTCCATTTCCACTTATTATAGCCCTAACGATCAAACTTGCAGGCGCACTCGTGCGTTCGATTTTGTATATTCGAAACACCAGCTGAAGTGTATTCAGGATCTAGCAATAACTACGGCGAACGCCAAAGGAGCATCGTACGTCCTTGCACAGGATCCGGACGCTGATCGCTTCTCTGCGGCTGAAAACTGGTATGCATCAGACTTTTTCTACTGGCCGACTTCATATGAGATCGATATACAGTGATGGAAAGTGGGTAACATTCACTGGCGATCAACTTGGCACGTTATTTGCCTATCATGTGTTTGAGACCTACAAGACTTCCGGAAAGCCCATAGGTAAGCACGGGGACATTCCCTTGCGTGCCTGCCTGAAATTACCTTTAGGCAAGTTGGCCATGGTCGCTTCGACAGTCAGCTCCAAGATGATTGAAGCCATAGCGCAAACCGAAGGGTTTCGCTTTGTCGATTGTCTCACAGGTGAGCACTGCATGGGTCTTCTGCGAGGCGCTGGACACGATTCATGCGGTACTAGGCTTCAAGTTCATTGGCAACACTGCTTTAGATCTCGTCAAGGCGGGGTACGAAGTACCGTTCGGATATGAAGAAGCCATAGGGTACATGTTTGGTTCTGACATCAGAGATAAAGATGGGGTGGCCGCAACTGTGAGTCGGCCTAGCAGCTGTCTCACTTCACCTATCTCACTCAGACCGTCCAGATGGTATTCGCACAACTTGCTGCAAGCTTGCGCGCGCGAGGCACAACAGTAACCGTACATTTACAAGAACTCTATCGAAGGTGAGCCGTCCTCTTCATTGTCGTGGTCACGAGTTTATTCGCAAATCAAGATATGGATATTTCGAGGTTCGTATACAAAATTTTCATCACCGTAGTATCATCTCACGCAGTCCGGAAAGACGAGCAACAGCTATTTCATCTGCACTGACCCTCTTGTCACCGAGACAATTTTTAGGAAGATTCGCTCTTCGGATGTTATGGTATTATGCTCCAGCATGATCAGAATGGCAAGGAATAAACACCATTATTTGACAGGGCTCATCTCAAGGACGATCTTATCCATCCTCGATTGGGGGGTTGCGGATCCAGAGCGTAGTCGATCTAACGGAAGGGCATGGCTACGATAGCACGAACGCGCCTACTTATCAACCCAAACTACCGCTGTCCTTAGGGCACATGATCCAGTTCAGAGCATTCTCCGATTCAGCGGGCACAGACGACTCTCGAATCGTTTTGACAATTAGGTGAGTTGACTGTAATTGCAAATGTACGATATTTATGTTCTGCACAGGACAAGTGGGACAGAGCCAAAGGTAAGCGCCCTCAGGTGTCTTCATATTGTGATGTGTCTGAGCTTCCCCATACTGATTTACCTAGATCAAATACTACCTCGAGGGCAGTGGCAGCAACCGCCAAGCTGTGCACAGTTTACTTGGTCGTGTAGTGGACGACCTAGCAGAAGATTGGATGAATGCAGCCGAGAATGGATTAGGTCGTCCATGATTATATTGCGAACCTTCGCATGATTCTGTATTGTAGCCACAAAGCTCACCGCGTAGACAAGTTGTAATATGACTGGCACAAATCCGCCCGATTGATTGGCAAGTCGATTCTTTCTTGCAAACAAACTTCTCTTGTGTGCAATCATCAATTCTCGCTTGTACCATATAGGTCGGACAGGATACTCTGCGGCCAATTATGTTTGCGGGCAACGCACTAGTATGGCGGGGACGATGTAACCGTGAACAATCGACGAAAAGGATTTGAATCATGGCGATCTCTTTCTTCGGTCAGCATCAAGCCTCTTCGATCTTTCCCATATGTCGATGGTGACTTCCCGCTCAAGCATCGACGCCGCCAGCATCCTGTCTCACAGATGGGTATGACCGTCAAACGGACAGTAATAAAAGGCTCCGCACCTTGCCACCTTCATCGAGTGAATGAGATCGTCCGCTGTTATGGATGGGTCTTCTTGGCGATGACGCACAAAGTCCTCTTGAATGTGCTGCTTGAAAATCAGACACGTAGACGTGCTGTCCGATATGACACATACCCGAGACGTCTCCTCTGCGACTTGAACAGTTCCATAACATTGTTTTGCGGCCGCCAGGAAAGAACGGTATGCCGCCAACTTTACGGTATCAGGTAACTTTATCTGGTCTCTCGGTTTATACAGATCGGCCTCCAGAGAAGATTTTATTTCCAGAGGTACAGTGAATCCCGTCTGCCACGGAAGTGGGCGTCCGTAAGTGGCTTGAAATCGTATGAAAGCGGTGGTTGATAATACCTGGAAGAAGGCACTTTTCCACCCTTCACACAGCACAATTGTCACGATGTCCGTCGGAAATGGGAATTTACTGAATGGGAAGGAGTACTCGAGCGTCTGAGCATCCATAACTTCCTGGATAGCCTTGATGTTCATGATACCTACGTAACAAAGATATCAACCTGTTAATGTCAGACGTTACACATTGAATTTAATACCTTTCTCTACAAGCTTTCCCTCATGCACGTTATTCTCCGTTAGAAGTAAAGTGGTCCCATGCGGGACCTGCAGATAGCCTGAGTGCAAGTCTTCATCCTTGCTTTCAGGACTAAAGTTTTCCTTGTTCAGAAGATCCAGGGAGAGGGGCACTGTAAGATACTGCGGTAGCAAATCAGAGAGTATATAGTGAAGGGTAGGTAGTGCGGATGATGATGGTGCGGGCGAAGGAAAACGTGACAAAGTGAGTGACGGTAGCAGGAGTGGTGTGGCCCGAATGTACCTGTATCTTGCATGAGACGAGCTTGTCTTGAAAGATCGAGGAGAAACTGACACTTTTGCACAAAGTTCGAGAACCAGCCACTGCGCTGCGACCTCATCGCCTCCGAGGGCTTCGTCGGCAATCCATTTGATGAGATCATCTCGAGTAGTCGTTAACTCTTTTGCGGGCGGGGTATCGCCTGTAGATTGCAATTTGTGGCACAGAACATGAAGCGATGGGACCATGGGGGAAGAAGCTGCTTCTGATTCTGGATCGAGACTGGAATGAAATTGAGCATCAGTCGCGAAGATCGTCTGTGAACTCACGACTCGGACGTCAGAATTCCAATAAACGTTACGACGTCAGTAGCTTTGAGTGATTGAGCGGCTTCGTTATCATAAATCTAACGAATCATGAACATTCGTGTTTCTGCTCGATCATGCAGATCTACCTTGACTTGAACTCCGATATGCGGCGCATTTGGTACAGGAAACTTATGAGGTCGAGGTGGGTTTTGACTAGAAGAGCTAGCTGTGAACGTCAGACACAGATAACTCAGTTTATCACATCGAACATACTAGAATGCGATTGGGAAGTCAGTGCTTCAGTTCTCCAAGTAGTTTGCCCTGGCACCGTGACCGCCCACAAAGCAGTGGCTTCTTTGAGGTCACAATAATCAAAACTCGAGGGCCATTCACTAGCTGGCATATTCTGCGAGATCCCCCAACCACCACATTTATTTTCGCTCAGGCTCGCCAGATACATCTCTGGCGATGATGAAGTGTCCTGCACCATACCATGAAAGCGCACCAAAGATCTGTCTGTAAATGATTCAGGGGGATGGTTTAAATCCAACGGAAGGACCTGGCGCATCAGGATCAATAAAGACTGCTATGTCAATGCAAGATTGCATGTATCCGACCTCGCGAAGCGTATCATCGGATTTTAAGAAGACATCTGCGAAATGGCGAGCGACGACAGCAGGGAACTCATCAACATTTCCAGTAGTGCTCTTCATAAAGTTCTTGGACTACTTTTGTAGGATTGTTGATAGCATCTATGAGAAGAGCGGATACCATGATGAAAAGCGGAACTGGTTATGAGGGCGCGTTTCAGCCACCGACGCGCCTTCCACGTCCGATAGTAGTGCCAGCGTTACTAAGCAATGCGAAACCCTCGGCTGCATCATTTCGTGGCTGCGCTCAAGCGACTTGGATTTCACCACGACCATGCCTCTCTTCAGTCGCGCAAAGAAGCAGCGTGGTGATTCGGACAATGGCCAGGACCAGAATGGACAGCCCAAGAAGGAGAAAGGAGGCTGGAGGAGACCAGCAAGTTAGTCCGCTTGCCTAGATTCTTGGGAATACTCTGACGTCTGCTTACCACACTAGATACTGCGTTCAAACAACAGCGTCTCAAGGCCTGGCAGCCCATCTTGACGCCAAAAACAGTTCTTCCAACCCTATTCATCATTGGAATCATATTTGCGCCGATAGGCGGCTTACTGGTGTGGGGCAGCAGTCTTGTGAGTTCTAGGTCACCTTGTGCTGTTCACTATCTATAACTGTGATCGAAAAGGTGTCGGAAATGACATTCGACTATACCGATTGCTGGAATCTAACATCCGCAACGTCACCCACCAACCTAACTTTCACGAATATGCCTTCTTATTCATATAGTCTACGATCAGCAGATTCAGATAAAACAATCCAACCTCCCACATACGCTTACTACAATAACCCCGCAGCACCCGAGGATCAGAAGCATTCATGCTACATTCAATTCGACGTCGTATCTGACCTCGCTGCCCCGGTGTTCCAGTATTACAAGCTCACTAATTTCTACCAGAACAACCGTCGATACGTCCAGAGTTTAGATACCTCTCAATTGCAGGGTGACTACGTCGACCCGAGTTCTCTCAGTGGTGGCAATTGCAAGCCTCTTGCTGTCGATGCGAACAACAGGGCTTATTACCCCTGCGGTTTAATCGCTAACTCTGTTTTCAATGGTGCGTTCCATTGTACCAAAGTATGGGATTCTAACGACCTACTATTTCTGCAGACACCTTCTCTGGCTTTGCGCCTACAAGTGATCTGTCGGGCAACTCCAACTATAATTTCACCTCATCTGGCATCGCCTGGCCCGGCGAGGCTAAGAAATACAGCGCCACGTCGGGTTACACTAATAACCTCGATCAGGTTGTGCCTCCTCCGAACTGGGTGCTACGCTATCCAAACTACACCGACGCTAGTATGATACCAAACCTGCAAGAGGACGAGCACTTCCAGAACTGGATGCGAACGGCAGGTTTGCCGACATTTACTAAGCTCTATGGGCGCAACGATACTGGCACCCTGCCTGCGGGCGAATATCAAGTCCTTGTCTACATGAGTACGCTCATTGTCACTGCGACAGCTTCTCCTCTGACTGGTATGCTATTTTCAGATTATCCAGTTCAGGGCTACAAGGGAACGAAATCACTTGTCATTTCTACGGTTTCTTGGATAGGTGGCAAGAACCCATTCCTCGGTTGGGCTTATGTTGCAGCATCAGGTGTCTTTGTCTTCCTTGCATTAGCGGGAACTGTCCGACACCTTCTCAAGCCGAGGTATGATGATTTTTCATGTACCATGAGAAAATACGACTAATTGCGCTACAGACGTCTGGGGGATATGTCATTGTTGTCTTGGAACCGATAAGAGCATGTTGGATGTCACGAACACTCGTATGTACTGGAACCTGGCCGATTGACCCTGTAATATCATTCCATGAACTTACCCACAGCACGTCATATTTTATCCATTCTATGAGATTGCTATAGTGAAGGGGTATAGCCGATGCCGTCACATCTTATTATAACGCAACCTGATGGGTTCTCTTCGAGAAGAAATGTAGCGCCAGTCATTTGCTCCGCTATTTTTATTGCCGTCCTGTGTGTGGAAAGATGGGTTGAGCCGTGGTAGATTGATGCCAACAGTAAGGGTGATCTCACCTTGTGTGATCGGTCAGAGGCCCGGTCTTGACTTCTGAACGGCCCTTTGCTAGAGCCATGAAAATAGCTATTTGGTCCTTTGATGAGAGTCAGGATTTAAAAAAAAGCGAACTCTAACACAGCAAATTGCTAACCTGTAAATACTCATCTATGCATCCATCATGACCAAGATTACGAAGGAGCTCATCTGCAGCTTCGTTGCCAATCTCCTCTGGAGCCTTGCTCTTCGTGCTGACTGACGAACCCCCTATAATACAGCCGTTCTCAGTCTCAGCGAGTAGTAATATTCCCCCTCCACTTCCAAAAGTCTGCTCCTGGGTCTCTCTGATCGCGTTAATCCGGATAGCAGTCGGAGAAATACCACCAGCCAATAGTCTAGTACGGGCAGCGTTTTTCATGCGTTCAGCAAGAATGAAAGGAAGCCCTCCCACCCGAGCTTCACCCCTGATGACCTGAACAGGTCCTCTCTCTGTAAGCGTTACTGGAGGAAGCGCCTCGGCGATTTGGGGCACACTACAAAACACGACACCCCCTCCTTTTGGGAAGTATCCTCGTCGCAGAATCTTGAGCGCAACGTCTACGCCAAAATGTCGTTTCATGAATGGTAAGAAAACATGCTGGGTATAATCTATCTGAGGAGCTTGCGATGCATTCGTCCCTCCGCGCAGAGTCAGCTGGGAAGGCGTAGTCGGCGAGGAAGAAAATAGCAAGCATGGCAAGGCGAGTTGGAGAAGCAAGGTCGTGGAGCTTGCTGTTCCGGGGTCAGCAGTTAATGTTCTAGGTAGTTCTATTTTTCCTGGCTTGAAGGTAACGCTGGTAGATCCCAAGTCCACGCCTTCTGATTCACCTGCGGAAATCGTGGTTGCGAGATTGATCCCTCCAGGATTGGAGTGAGTCAAATTGAAATGCAAAGCCCCTAGTGGTACATACCTGTTTCATGCTGTTTTCGGAGCCCGGGGGGTCTTCGATTGCTACGAATATTGGCTATGGAGATTGGTTTGGACAATAGGGCAGAGAGAGCGACTGCGTTGCGAAGAAGCTGACCGCCACCTTCACAAAAGCTTCCATCAATGTGCGCGATAGTGGAAGTCATCGCTTGAGCTTGAAATGGAATCTCTTGAATTCCAAATTTAGTAATCCAGTAAGTTGGCCCGTGCGCAGGTTCTGTTTCTATAAAAGGGATCTCTCGATAATATGAATCCTTACCACTCTGGCCTTTTGGCTTAGATCAAGTGTAGTATCTGTTCTTAATAGTTTAACCACTATTATGAGGGCACCGCCCTCATTCTTTGGTTATCAAATTTTTGCCGCCCTTGTTCTTTCGAGCTCTGCTTGCAACTCGAAGGACATGATGACCTTGCTACTGCACTGCCGGCTTGTGTCGTCGGGGGATCTCTTTTCCCCTCGCTCTTTCTCTTCGTTGAGTGGCTACTGTATTGTCTCTTGACTTTACATGGTGCTTGGCAAACAGAATTGGCATCTTAGTAGTTAATGGAATGCTTTGATTGTAATAACTGTTTGATGCTGTGATATGTTCACTTGACGTCAGGAAAGACTCCTTGGTTAGAACTACTGAGATCCCAGTATCAAAAACAATGTTTTGTAGTTAATGTTGTCCTAAGTAACAATGTCTCTGGATGATAATCTACGCAGATGCATAGTGAGAAATGACACTATTATTTGTGAAAGAAGGAACAGGTGGTAACTAGTGTACTGGGGTATCTCCATGAGTCCTCTGAATTAGTGCAAACATATGTATGGGCAATCATAATGAAGACCGACCCTGGACTACCGCTGAAGTCCAGATCCAAGCTAGAGAACGACATGAGCTCCAAGTTAAGAATACACGGAAGGATGAACTCACTGCATTTCGTTGTCGCGGAAGCCATGCAGTAGGAGCAGGCTTGCCTTTCGACGGATTCGATGAGTTTCGAAGCTTGGCCATGCCGCTGTTGAGCACGCAGCTGGACATTAGCGCGAACTCTTTGCGATATTGCTTCTCGGCGTCGAGACGCAGTGCCTGGATGGGTGGATTCGTCAACTCCGAGCAAAATTCTGATTATACACAATCCGCGTACCCTCTCGCGTTGAACTTCCTCCTTCAAATCTTTGATTTGAGTCTGGAAGCTGCCCTCGGCCTCTTCGAAAGATGACTGTACGACAGTGCACCTATCAGATCATTAACGAGGTGAGTTGACCTAAAACTCACCGTCGAACGGCCGGCGAGTTTGGCTTGCTCTTCCTTGAAAAGTTTGTCCTGAGACTTGATAAACTAAATGCAGAAGAGCGACAATGAGCGGAAAACATCGATACTTGGCCGTACCACATACCTGCCGTGCCTTAGCAAGCTTATCTTGGGCAGTTTTCAATTGCTCCTTGACGACCACATTATCTTCGTGCAATGTCAGTAACCTTGACTTGATGTCTTCTGGTACGTCTTTGCCAGACAGGGATGCTCGCAGGTCACTAGTGACTGTCAGCGGTGCGGGCCAACATCATAACTGCAACGACCTACCCAAAGTCTCGCTCACGCTGAAGCATCTTCTCCCTCTGACCAATACCTTGGCTTTGCAGGTTCACCTTCTCTAGCAAGAGCGCATTAACCTGCTCCAGTTGCATCTTATTCTTCTCGCTTAGCTCCCTAATCTGGTTCTTCAAGCGAGTCACGTCAGCTTCCATCCCCGCCTTGTCTTCGTTGAGGGATTCTCGCAATGATGCAAGAATGTCGAGTTGGTCTTTGTTTACAAGGTTCACTGTGAAGCACCGTCAGTCAATAAAGAATAGCCCTACCAATATCCAAAGACTTACGATCTGATTTCGTAATTGTCAGCTCCCTCTTCTGCGTCTCGAAGGCGACTTCCAGTTCGGCGTGCTCTTTCCGTAAAGAATCCAATTGATCCACTGTCTCGTTAAGACGTTGTCGTAGCGCGATTGCAGCTTCCGGCCTGTGAACGAGTTGACTTGGATGCTCGTATGAAAGAGATTCACCTACCCGTCACCTAGCGCTTTACCACTCCGGATTTCTTCGAGGTCGCGTTGTAACACCAGTTTTTCTCGATGGGCAGTCATATAATCTGCTTCGTACCGTGCCTTCATCCTATTAGCGTCCTCTAGCAGGTTCTCGAGGACTAGTATACGGCTGGCATCCGCTTCGTTCTTCTTGACGGATGTTAACTCCCGCTGCAACTTTTTCACCTGCAGCTTCAAATCTGTCATCGTCGTTCCTGTGATGGCGTCATCCAGCTCTCCATCAAGACCAAATGAGTCGCCCATAAGCTCTTCCTCGGTGAGCTCATCGTTGTTCCCTGTATGCTCTGTAGACTGTGTCTCGGTCTTTAACGTGGTAGGTGCCCGATGCGAAGTTAGTTCCATCTCGCGCATGCGCTCCTGGTACAACTCCAACATCTCGGTGTCCTTCTTGCGCTCCTCAGAAGTGATCTTCAACTTCGTACGGGTTTGTTCCAACTCAAACTTCACTGTCTCGACCTCTTGTGACCGTGTTGAAACCTTTCCTTCAAGTTCGGCGATCTGGTTCTTGTAAGACTCCATGAGTGGTTTGAACGCGGCGACCTTGCGGTAGTCCTCCTCGAGCGCTGCATTCTTGTCGACGAGATTGGCATTTTGTTTCTCCAGCGACTGGATGACAGGTCATTGAAGGAGATCAGAACGGTTACAGAAGACAGACCTTGACGTGTTGTCGTAAGTCAGCACCCTCCTGGAGTTTCTTCTTATACTTCTCCATGACGTTCTCGGTCTTCTGTAGTTTGTCGGCTGCATGTCGATACCTATGTATAGTGAGTAAAAGTGGTGGATTACATCTCAAAATAAGACACATACTCGTCTAATTGGTCTTTGAGGCGCGCAGCCTCGTCAGCTTTGACCTGCAACTCGTCGATTCGCCGTGTAAGGTCAGTCACCAGCGACGTGTGTTTGTCAAGCTCGGCCTCCGCCATGGCAAGGTTATCTTCGCTCTTTTGGCTAGCATCTCCGCAGGCATAAGACTGAATCTGGCGGAGCAGTTCAATCATGTACTCACAGCTCAGTCCGAAGGCGCTCAATCTCGGCCCGCATCATCCCGTAAGCATTGTCATTGCGTCTGCTCTCGATCTCCCTTTGAGCTTCTCGTAACCGTGTCAGTGCATCGTCCTTTTCGGAGACCGCATCATCGTAATTGGTTTGTAGCGTTCTGTGCTCTTCGAGAAGCGTCTGGTAGACCTTCTCTACAGTCTCCTTCTCTGAGAGGATCTGGCTTCTTTCTGATTGTATAAGGTAGTAATGGTCGTCTCTGTGAATCCCATCAGTGCACTTATAGCTTATTCTTCACAAACAACTACTGACTCTGTCATGCTGGCTTCTCCGACACCGATATCCCCTTGAGAAGCACTGATCTTGACCATGACCTACGCGCACGTATCATCAATCGTGAATTCTCCACGCGCCCAATCGACACACCTGCTCAATAGCCTTCATCAAAAAATGCTGATCCTCCTCACTCAACTTCTGAATCCGATCAATAATCTCCTTGTTCTGCTCGCACTGCACCGCAATCGCGATCGTTATCCGGCACATGATGAGCGTCGCGCCGACATGACGGTCCTTCGCAATTGCCTGCAAATCTGGGACTTCGAGTCCGCTGGTAGGTTTCTGCAGGACTTCAGCGAAGTACTGCGTAAGGAGTCGGTAGAGACGCTTGAGTGCGCTGAATCGGAGAACCCAGTTGTCGGAGAGCTGTGCGGAGGACCTGCTGAACTGTCTGAAGTAATCTGCGTCTCTGACGGTAATGTTTCAGTCTCTTCTGATCGTATACGGATGGACGACATGAGACGTACACCAGAGCGAGGACATCGAAGAGCGCGGCGCCATCGCTAAGGTCGGCAACGGTAGTGACTGGCCGCGCTAGGTTGAAAGTCGCAAAAAAAGAGATGAAGGCGTTGATCTCTTTTCTCTCCTGCTCAGACATGGCTGTCAGGATTGCGAGCTCGCAGCGGTGGTGGTGGTAGGTAAGTACTAGGGAGGACCCTGTCTCCACGAACGCGTCCCAAGCACTATCGCTTACTTACATAATCGGAATGTCCACTTGATGCATTGACTTGTTCCACCAGTGCCACCGTAAGCTACATGATGTTTGGTTTCGGGACTGGTTGCAGCTAGTTGCTTGACAAGGCCTACTAACAGGAAGCATGATCTTGTATCCTAAACAACTACTAAACCACGGTTATAGATCACACTACAAGCGCCCATTCGTAAAGTATTTCAATAAGCAAGCTTCCTACGCATCCGAAGCCTTCGCATGCAGTTTGTCCACCTCTTCATAAACTTTTGTCCAATCACGACAAACAGCATCGTACCCCCTAACGGCGGATCCCAGGTTATTCACCGCCGGCTCGATTCTCATATTGGGGTGGCATAGAATCGATTGGCGAAGATAATTCATGCAGTGACGAGTGATCATTGATGGGGGTCGCGCCGCTGCGTAGTTGTCACGGATGATTCCCAGGCACTTGAGCTGGTGAAAGAGAGTCACTGTATAAGTGTGACTTTGACCCGTCTCTGGATCGGTGATGTTGACAGCGTGTCCTCCACGCGGAATAAGTTTCGCATACTCTTCTCCCCCCTCATCCGTAACTACGCTGTAGTGCGCCGTTTGGTCTACTCGCATGCATACTGGCTCTCCGAAATCCACTTGAAGGGCTAAATCTGATCGTAGCAGCGTTAGCCAAGTCTGTAGGACACGCTAAAGAAACCTTGTAGTACCGTGGCTGAGAGCTACTCCTTTGAGGGACGGTATGTTGTTGTATGACCAAGGCCTTCGTGCGGTAAGAAGAAGTTTGCTAAGGCCAATGCTTGCAACAGCAAGCAGTACCACTGTTGCGAAGGTAATGACAAGTCGTTTCATTGTCGTCCGCACTGCCATGTTGGGGAAATCTCGTTCAAATATGCGGCAATATCGGTGGTTCCCATCAGAATCACTGCATGTCACATGAGTGCTTGAGTATATTGAATTTCATTGTACAATCATGATATAGTCCTGCAAATGGGGTCAAATATCTATCTTTATGCGCGATATGTACGGCTCAGGGGAACCAAAGTGATAAACGAAACTGGGAGGCAATAAGTAAGAGTAACAAAGGAGGTATGTGACGCCGAATCAAGTATGAACTAGTCTTGTGGTCGTGAAATTTGAATACGTCGTTTGTACTCCCAAATGTGATGGCTAAGGATGCTTCGCATATGCCATACCTGCAACGCGCGTCAGCGTGCGCCGATCCGTCACTCTTTTCCCCAATGTTAAACCCTCCAACTGCATCCAAGCTTTATATACAGTCAATTACTACAAGTTCGTCAGTCATGCTCCACATAATTGCGGTACATACTCACTCTCACTTCTATCCACCTCATCATCATTACTCCCGGAGTAAGGAGCAGCACTGACTGCTAGGATTTGTGCGAAGGCAACAGACAAGAGTAGGACGTAGAAGCCGAGTCTACTGATGTTAAGCATGATCATGGTACTCTTCGTGAAGATTTGCTGTTTAAGACGCGTTGTTTTGCGCGAGATGAGGCTTGAGGTTGGGAGTTCCGCCCTTTAAATATCAGTTCGGTGAGGGTTTATCTATACAAGGAAGTACAACAGCTTTCGCACTTGATTCTCATTGCAGTCGATTGAGAAATCTCTTTGACCCTGGCGCAACGATGGGTCCCGACTTGTCAATGTTATGATAAACCTTGCCATGCGCACATGTGAACTCACATACTGGCCGTACATCGCGCGCACTATGAAGCGTTGCCTGATGGCAGCCAGAGCTCCTTGTGGTGTTTGATTTTTGCGAAGCTCCAGCCGTTGGAGTTATGCGGATATATTCCCCCTTGCGAACAATTAAGCGCCATGATTGAGAACAGCACCGTGTTCGTGCTTCTTCCCTTCTGCCGTTTTTGTTTATCCATATCATTGAAGCCGACGACGAGTGGCGGTGAAATGCGAACTTCTCTGAAGCGTTTTGTATTGTTTTGATCAGACGTCTTGGTCAGGGGCAACGCTATTCGAGGAAGGGGGCGTCGTCACTTGCGGTGTATCTTAGATGGCATCATACCTCCCATGTGCAGTGGCTGCACAGATGGCCGCGCCATGTGAAAGTATGCACATCTCTTCGTACGTGCGGTATATATATATATCGGCGTGCGGTTGATTTATGTACACGGAGCCGAGGCCAACTGTGAACCGCTATTAATATTGATTCTCCACACGTCCGATCAACGCACCTGCTCCATCACTTGCATCAAAGAATACTGGTCATCCACACTCAACCTTCTTCTGGATGCGGTCGAGAATCTCCTTATTCCGCTCTGATCGTGAGCGTCACACTGAAATGATGAATGTCCTCGGCAACCGTCTGCAAGTTTCCGGGACTTTGAGGCCACTGGTACGCTTCTGCAGGGCTCTCACGAAGTACTGCATAGGGAGTCGGTAGAATGATTTAAGCACGCTGAAGTTGACAGATATAGTGAGATATTGCCATGGATGTACGTTATGTACATGTAAGACGGGTAACAATCTGCCCCACCTCCTTTAACCCCTATATAATTTCGAAAACAAAAGTGTCGAGCAGAACAGCGCCGATGCAAAGAGATAGAACACTCTCCCTTCTTTCATGGGGTCGCCATTTGCGAGGAAATTGCGCAGCGGGAGAAAGATCAGGCCGACGATAAAATTGACCGTCCCTTGAAAAAGAAGTCAGAGATGGGAGTTTAAGGGCACAGATGAATAATTACAGTTCAGTGACAAACCCACTGATGAAATGGCGGACACGGCCTGTATGGGGTCAGTGAAGGAATGATGTACTTGGTGAAAAAACTAACATGGGGAGGTGCCACCTCGGGGATGATGACAAATGGAATGGGACCTAATCCAAAGGCAAACGACCTTCGATATGACATGAGTTGCGCACAGGAGTCAGACATGAACCACAGACATAACAAAGGCGGTGATCGCAATACTGGACAAAGTCACGAGGCCGCTATTCAACCCATAGCCAACAGCCAGGTGAGACAGAAGAGCGCCGGCGACTGATAATTGGATCAGTTGTTTCCTTCCCACTCGCTAAGCACTTGTGTTTAGTGGCTGCAAATACTTGAACATGACCAAGCTTGCCTCAATAAGGAAGATCGGCGGGAAAGTCATGAAAAAGTTGACGATTGTGATTGCCAGGGAGACATATGGTGCTAGTTCGGGAAGGGATTTGGAGAGTATATCATTACTGTAGTACAAGACTATGGTATGTTGAGAAGGATTATATCGTGCGGGAAGTTGTTCTGCTCACCTGCGTTGACTCCTGATATTTGTTGGGACATCATAGCAACAATAATTGTCAGTAGAGGTCGGCGAAGCTCAGTAGAGGCAAACAGTTGAGGAATCGTCAATGCAGACTGGCGACCAGTTGAGCGGCGTTCTGTAGCGCTATCACCGTCCGACAACAGAGGTTCCTCGCTGTCTCGTTCTTCAGCTAAAAAGAATATCAGAGAATTGTCTCGGCAAGTCAATATCTGCTCACGATCTGTACGCGAAATACCATGATTTTCGCCCCACAGTCTGCGAATAGCTAATTTCTGTTGATCCACGAGTCCCTTTCGATTGAGATATGAGGGAGACTCTACGACAAACGGGCTCATGAAATACTGGAACATGGATATCCCAGAAGAGATGAATAGAACCAAACGCCATTGTCGTGGAGTGGCGAGTCCAAAGCCCATTCCTTGGGTGACCATAATACCGATGACTATGGCCAGCTGTGTTAGAACACCTAATGAGAAAGTCCATCAATACTGCTAGTAAATGGCACACTAAGAAACAGCGTGAACCCAGGTTTCCCTTGATTTTTGCGGGTGCAATCTCAGACAGGTATATAGGACAGATACAAATGCCCAGGCCTGCTGCAAGGCCAACAAGAAATCTGCGGGCGTGGGAGATTGATATAGTAAATTTTGCTAGTATGAAGCACGCACCTGCCCAGAATGAGCGGACCGACAGAAGCAGACAGCCCGAATACCGCAGAGCCAACAGCTGCGAGCGCAGCACTAAGACGAGAAGCCCCTTTCCGCCCATAACGGTCCATGGCAATGTTAGCGGTCAGACTGCCGAAGAAGCCTCCAACGGTGTAGATGGACGTAACTACAGAAAAGGTTGCGTCGGACATGGGGATACAGGTGGGCAGACCATAGTACATTGGGGCAGTTTCATCGATAATTTTACACGTTAGGACAGCCTGTAGCTGATTCAAAGCGGACGTGTGATAACCATACTTGTAGAAGGACATTGAGATGAGGGCAGGAACTTGGGTAGAGAGCATCATCGGATAAATACCTGGAATGAAACAGTGAGGACCCATAGGCATACGAGCCAACCATACTTGGTGAAGGTGTGAGCACCCTCCATCTGAAACTTGAGAACCGCAGCTGCAGCGCTGGAGGACGGACAGTTGCTTCCGCGGCTTCCCACGCACAACTGACATAATATGTCAAAGTCACGTGCACGCAGTTACAGCGCTTGCATCCCATGGGACTTTGTTGTTCGGTTGCCTAAACCTTGGCAAACCCTGACTTGTTCAACTTGAAACAATTCTCCAGTCCGTCTATTTACTGCGTATAGTCGGAATGGACCATCGCCAGTCTAGCCGTTGTAGTACACCACGCACTCTTTTTCTGTGGTTGCTGTGGACTGTTGGGGCCGTCAAGTACTGGTATGTCACGTCTGTGGGAAATCTTGTTTGACTGACGGTGTCATGAACTGTATTCTTAAAGCCCAAATTAAGTATAAGCACTTAATATTACTATTGCCGCCTTGCAGCGTCTGACACGTTACTGCCGCTGTGTTTTCCCTCCGCTCGCCGTTGTAATATTGTTGTGTTGAGGACTTGACAATGTGAGCACTTCGTACAGCAGTGACAGGTGACCCCGCCAGACATACCACGTCAAGGCATGAGTTGCAGCGATCGCTTTTGGAAGATCTGCATGATTATCATTAATATTCAAGGTTCTCCAGGGTCCCCATGATCAGGTCATACGGTACTTCCACATGATGACGGTCATTCGGTACCTCTACGGTTCCAAATTCGGACAAGTCGCACTTAAAAAATGTTTACTAGAAGTAGCTCATTTGCTTGTTCCAGCTTGCCCCCGTGCAGAACAGATATCCCCTGCCGTCCTAAACCAGCCGACCTTCACTCTTTTTGCAACCGAACCACCACCAGCCCATCTGCTGGCCTACGCTCTTTATCCCCTACGCTCGTTTCGTTTCGTCTTGTATCATGCTTCACGCTACGTCTCTCGCAGTTGCCCTTGTCGCGTTTGCCTTGCCTCTTGTTTATGCCGCAACTGCTGATCAATGGCGAGGTCGTTCAATTTATCAGTGTGTATACCTGTCTCTCCAAATGTCTGATTAATTAATTCTCGTAGAGTCATCATCGACAGATATGCTTTACCTGAAGGAGCAGATCCTAATCAATGCGCCCCAGAAGACCGTACGTGGTGCGGTGGGACCTGGAATTCGTAAGTAGCACGAGTTCTCATTTCTGCTCCATTCCTGACCTCCCCCAGTCTTCGCCAGAATTTAGACTACATCCAGAACGCAGGTTTCACTGCAGGTACGTACAACTTCATTCATAATGATCAACACGTGTGACTTGATTTTAGTCTGGATTAGCCCTGTTTCCCAAAACTATGAGGGTCCGCCAACGCCATATGGAGACCCCTACCACGGATATTGGATTGCAGATGCTACTAAACTCAACTCTCATTTTGGCACCTCTGACGATCTGAAGGCTCTTTCCGATGAACTGCATCGTCGTGGAATGTAAGTACATTGTCAGACCAGTGTTCAACATGCTGAATGTTTCCAGGTACTTGATGGTTGATGTTGTTGTCAACGATGTCATGGCCACGTCAACAAAACCCGATTTGTCCACGTACATGTTCAAAGACGAGGTACATTTATTTTCTGAATTTGACAAACATTAAATTGATGAGTCGTCCGCCTGCAGTCGCAATATCATCCATACTGTGTCATAGATTGGAACAACGCCACCAGCGAGGAGCAATGTTGGTTAGGTGACACCGTCGTTCCTCTTCCTGATATCAACACAGAAGACCAAACCGTTGTTTCCGCTTTTGGTGACTGGATTCAGTCCTTGGTTCAGGAATACAACATTGATGGACTCCGAATTGATGGTGAGTGGGTTATACAGTCTTATTATCACAATATAATGAAGGCTTTGCCAGCTGCGAAGTAAGACAGCCCTCGATCCTCCTACTCACGCTAACTGGGGCGTAGACACGTTAACATTGACTTCTGGCCCGTGTTCTGCGACAAAGCCGGCGTATTTTGCATAGGAGAAGTCTTCGGCTCAGATGTCGAGTATGGTTTCAGCAGTCTATCCTGCTCTATTTAACACAGGTTTGTATTGCAGCGGCGCATCTCTCTTCCAGGGACCCAATTCCCTCGACTCGATTCTGAACTACCCCATGTACGCCGCGCTTGTTAACGCATTCACCATTCCTGGGCCCCAGAATACGAGTGCCGTTTCAGATATGATCGCGCAGGAGGCAGCAAAGTTCAAGGTATGTGGACTATTTTGTATCCCACACCTGTCCATGGATGTAATAACCCGAGGGTGTCAGGACCCCACACTTCTCGGAAACTTCATTGAAAATCAGGATAACCCTCGCTGGGCGAATATCTCCGTTGATCCACAAACTTTATAGTAAGTTATTTTCCGTATTAAATACCGCATACCCTGACCCGAAACAGCAACACCATGGTATTCAACTTTATGACTGATGGGTAAGATGCATCACGGCTTTCAATGATAAATGGCTGACATTTCACAAGGATACCCATTGTGTATTATGGCCAAGAGCAGGGCTTTAGCGGAAATGCTGATCCTGTAAGAAGCCCTTGCTGATTTATCATCAGATGCCCCTTAACACCGCTGCAGTATAATCGCGAACCAATGTGGCCTTCGAAATATGCCAACACTACAACATACCAACTCATGTCCACATTGAATCAGGTATGTCACAGTGTGAATTCGACGGCCTCATGTTGAACCCCACGCCTCACAGTTCCGAAATTTCTTGGTTAACAACACGCAGTGGGCAACCACGCTGACTCAGGTGCTCACGACATCACCATACGGCATCGCAACTTTGAAGGGGGATGTTGTTTCCATCATGACTAATATTGGATCCCCCGTAAGTCCATGGCGAACATTCATCCGAATCTTCGATCTTTTCTGATCTCGCATACTTCATAGCCTCAAAATGTCACCATTCCTGTGTATACCCCATACCATGCCAGCACGGCACTCACCGAGTCAGCTGCTTCTCAACTCCGCTTCGACATCAGAACTCACGTTCTGTTACAGCATACTGACCTGTCAACAGTGGCCAGTGGGTAGCAACGGCACCATTGACGCGCAGTATAGTTTAGGAGGCGTGCCTATTGTCCTCTACCCGACTGATCTCTTGCAGAATTCTGGTTTGTGCGGGAACTCGGGCCCCTTGACAGGTTCGACCAAGTACGCATCGTGGGCGCTGCCCGTTCATCGTCCTTTTGTATCTCTTTATGTTTTGTTGTCTTCTTTGTTGGGCTTTCTGGCTTGTTTTCTGTAATGTTTGGGTATACTAATGGACAAATTATCATGTTGACTGAAGGTACAACATTCTCACATGGTCGACTCCTACTGGGAGAGGGATGTCCCGGGCCTGACCTCAGGTCCTGCGGCCCCTATGGGTCAGGCCTAAAGTCAGGCCCGTGGCCCGTGGGCCTGCTAAGGGCCTCAAGGGGCCTGTCCTGGGTGGTTTGTAGGCCCTGGCTGGGCTTTCAAAGTTTTTGCCAGGCCCGGGAAATTACTAACTAGGAGCTTGATCTCCTGACCTATCATCTTAGTTGTTTTCAGCGACGAGCTGCTTCGTCTGGACCAATGATATGCGACAGGGAACGGGGCGTGGTTGTAAGTAGGTCAGACTGCCGCACGCGCATGACCGTTACACCAAAAGGTAGAATATTGAAAGCTTAGCTTTCAGTATCAGCGACAGTATATATACTGAGTATGGGAACTCAGGTAAGCCAGCGTGCTTAGTACAGTGGTACGGTACCGCCTGAGCGCCCTAATTCATGGTAGTCTATTGTAGGCGTAATTACCTCGGTCACTAACGCACCCACTTAACGGATGCCAACTGAGGGGGCATGCACGATAGCTTGACAATTAGGTGAGTTGAGGTCGGCCACAATCATATCATTGAGAAAATCGAAATGCGCAGGTATCCTGGAGTGAGTGTTGGCGACCTATGATAGATTCAGAAACTTACTAGGTATCAAAACCGCAAGTACTGGCGTATATCTACCTGGCCAAGTTGTGTACGGTCCACCACGTAACCTGCACATTTCGCTGATCTGCATGATACCCCCAGGAACTGGTGAGATCGAGATTCCACGAACCGCAATGCAGTCTTGCAGAACACGGCCTGATTCAATTAAGGCCTCGCGTGAGGTTGGTCGGTTTTGCACTACTTCTACCTTATGAGCAGACTGGCCAGGTGGAACTCTAGATCAGAATCCCGTTTCACCTAGGACATGCGTGACCAGCTCCAAGCAGTCAGCTTTGTCGCAGCGCCTTCTGTTCCAAGCAACTGCAAATATTATTGCATATGTACTGGCACCTTTCTCAATGTCCCACGAAGAGAACTGAGCGGGTTTTCGAGCGATCGGAGCCTGTCAGTGAAGCTTGCATTGAGTTTGCGTATGCATATGGCCGCTACGAAGGATAACACCTCATACGAAACTTAGAATATTTCAAGCCCCTCAAGTCCTGGGCTGGTTGACTACAGGTTTTTGGTGGTCACCACTCCAAGACAATAACGAATAACAATGGCTCTTGCCATTAATAAATAAGTAAGACCTCTGTTGTGTTGCTGGAAGAAGGCCGTTGCTTTGACGAAATGCAACAGTTGTTTGAGACGGAAGCTATTGCCAAATAAACACTAAACCGTTTTCGGCAATCGAAGTTGAACCTCATCCAAACTTCACCAAGTACTAGGAGTTGACTAGGAGTCCACGAAGTTCAAGTTGTCATTGCCTCGACTGTTCTCATCAAGCTAGTTAGGCCCGGTCTAAGCGCAGTCTGCGCCTATCTGTACACATATTTCCCTTACTCCTGAGGAGTATGCTGTTGTCTGTGAGTGTTAATTACATTTCGGCATCGGTGGGCAATCAAAAGGATGAGATATACGACGCTCTTTCATGCTGCAAGAGAGTCACTAGATATCTCCGAGTCTCCTTTGTATCCTGAGCATGAGGGTCACGAAACTGATGGTCAAAATTGAAATTTCAGGTTCACATAAATTGTTTGTTTTGCACATCACTACTCCTTGGACCTCTCTCTAGCATCAGCATCAAGCCCGTCAGCTTACTTCATCCAACCTCAACAAGATGTTCATCAACGACACGCTCAAGACCAAGTTCATTTTCCGGCGCAAGAGTGGGGCGTCCGCTTCCATTAGGTCACCTACGGATATTAACCCTGTGATCGAGTCCAATTCGCTGATCGTCGACGATACAACATCCCCTCCTTCACCTTCTAAGGCCCGCAAGCTTCGCATCTTATCGAATCTATCACTTTTCAAGAAGACGTCTCTGTCCAAGGTCTTCAAGAAGGTCCCCGTCAGTTGTCTCCCAATTTCGTGTGATACAATCGGCTCACTTATTCTCAGGCGATTCAAACACTTCCCATCGTGTTACATCGTACCACGACTGCCGCTCTAGACCCACTCAGACATATCCCGGCTGTTTCTGAAGATGGTTTCCTTCATTTTGCTACGCCATCGCCAACTGAACATCAAGAGTGCGGTACAGACTTTGGGCTTATATCTTCCACCGTGGATGAATCTTCAAATCAGGAGGACATAAACCCTGATCCTCCCGGCAGTCGCATAGCAGATCGCGTTACCAGTCTGCGAATGAGAACTGCCGCAGTTTGGGCCAGCATTCCAGCCACCATGGAAGGACTACCAGCTTCATGCGTATCTAGCGAAGCTTCTACTCCAGTCAAATCCCAGATAAATTTCCTGGAGCAGGATGAGACTACAAGCGTTGAAACTGCAACAGTGGACAGTCCATTGTTTTCGTCACCTGCTACTTCTGCCACGGCGGTTTCAGATTGGGGCCCGCGAGACTCTTTGGTAAATCCTCAGTATGATAGGTCACAAACAGGAGCGAATACGCATAATGCCAAAGGTTGGTCACACTTTTCACGTTCTCGGTTACATCGAGGCTCATGCGATTGTGTAGGTTTCACCTGCGTTAGATATTATCTCCCTCGCACAGCCGCCAGAGTTCTTGGGTTTGACGCGTGTTAAACATCCGTCTGAATGTCAGAACAATAAGGAGAAATTCAACTATACCCCCAATTCTCCTGCGTCTGGATCCGAATCATCCCCTGAGATTCCAAGCAGCTCACCCGAAGAGCGTGCCAATCTGCGAGCAGCTCGGCTCCTGGACTCACCTTCTCCGAGTCCTCGAACAGTTCATATTGCATCGAGCACTGCGGTCTGTCCCATCGTTGCTGAACGATCATTTCCCTGGTTACCGGTCGTGCAACTTTTCACAAATTTGGAAGAAGATCCCACGACTTCCAGCATCCGAGGCTCTCTTACTGTGTTCCAGAAACCGCTCGCAACAGAGATGCCTCTTCGCCCATGGTCATGCGCCAAGATCGCGCGTGCCGAAACTAAGCAAGCATCTCGTAAGGAACAGTTGAACAAGGAGGGTCTCTTTACTCGCATTTCTCGCTTCTTGGAGGCTGGTCCTCAAGATCATCTCCCTGTATCTTCCAAGAGGTGCGCCTATGCAGGGTAGTCTTTCGCTCCGGAAACCATACTGACGATTCCTATAGGTAGAAACACTTACTCCGGACCACATAAGAATTTCCTTCCATCACCGTTACGTGCGCTTTCCATTCTCATCAACATTCTATCAAATCATCATTGATGTGCTCTGGAGCACGTCATCGCATTAGCTCACGATACATAGCATACATATCCATTTCCATTCATTGCATCCATCGTCACTCTCGAGTCGCTCGCTTCTTCGTTACTTGACCATGTAGTCCCCATCCTCACATGTGACAATAGCAAGTGATATGCCCACTTCCGGCTGTGTGGTATGATGGACCAACGTACCTCCGCTCTGCAATTGTCGACTTAAAATACTGTAATCGAGCAGTGCTGCGGAGTTTGTAGATTTCCTACTTGGCCTCGAATCCGCCTCGGCGAGAATATCTGGCAAATCAGGCAGCATCAGGCCCACAAGAAGTCGCAATGGCTGTACCTACCTGGATCATGACATCGTCTGAGATCTCGGCTAGACTAGAGTTTTGATACCCTCACGTGAGTTGTATTCTGTTGTATTCTAGCTTTGCTTGTAACCATGCGATGCGATCGATGTACGCAGTAGCAGATCTTATCGATTACCAATTATCAGTGACGTGTAGCGCGGAACTCTGGGCCGTTGAGGTGAGGAAATCTCATGCATATGTTGCCGCTTGCAGTTGTGTTGCGGGTTCGAGCCTGTTCGAACTACCACGTTCCTCGTTCACCCTGCAATCGCCCCGCAATCACCCCGTATGCCAAATTCATGACTTTGATTCATCTGATCTATCACGCGCATGGTCTACCCTGACCGTTATGGATGTGTGACGTTGACTAAAGAGCGCAAGGGTCCGGCCTTCCATACTTCCTTTGGTGAAGGTTATAAATTTGGACACACTGAGTGGCTTCCTGAAAACAAGTACCCCCAATGTCTAGTCCACCCTCTTCAGAATTCGATATCGTTTTTGCCGGAGGTGAGCAAATAACATCTTCTAGTGGTTTACAGTCTTCACATAACTGTGTACAGGCGGTTCTACAGCTTGCGTTGTCGCAGGTCGCTTAGCTACATGCGATCCCTCGCTCAGGATCTTGATTCTGGAAGCGGGTGAACACACTCTCAATAAAGCTTCTCATGTCCAACCCTACCAATTTCCAAACCAACAGGCGCCGACAAGTACTACGGTTACATTCAATATCGGAAACCCAAGTCCTTATCTCAACGGGCGTGCACCAGTCGTTCCCTGTGGCCGTTGCATTGGTGGGGGTTCAAGTGTGAATTGTGCGTAGCATTCTTGCAGCCACGAACAGGACTCTGATAAATAAATCACAGTCATGGCATACACTCGTGCGCCTGCCTCAGATTACGATGATTGGGGAGTCGATGGTTGGGAATCTGAGAATTTGATTCCCCTCATGAAGAAGGTCCTCGAATACGTCGTCCTTCTTTTATCAAGCTTACAGTGCTCTTGTATAGCTAGAGACATACGATGCGCAACCCGATCGTCCAACTCACGGATACGATGGACCTATCAAGGTGTCCTCTGGTGGGTTCAAAGTGGGTGTCTGCGATGAGTTCATCCACATTGGCACGACCTATCACAAGAGGCCGTGTTCCGACGACTGCGATGATTTAGAAACATGCAACACATACAGTGTGCGTTACTAATGTTTTTTCCCTGTCTGTCGTTACTAACGAGATCCGTCTCAGCCGTGGCAGAAGTAAGTCTATACTCGTGATATATTTCAAATTAGTTCATGCATGAAAAGGTACATTGACGCAACAACCGGAAGGCGTTCGGACGCAGCCCATTGCTATGTCTACAACAAAGCTCACAACAAGAATTTACAACTCTGGGTTGGCAAGCGAGTGAAACGTGTCATCTTCGAGTGAGTGGTCTATCTGGGTTCGCGACCATTAACAAATTGTTGATAAATGAAAGGAACAAGCGTGCTGTAGGTGTTGAGTTCATCAGCGACCCAGTGTCTTGTCCAGACGCGGATCAGTCGTCAAGTACTGTGAGAGCATCGAAGCTTGTTGTTGTCTCTGGTGGAACGTTCGGTTCCCCGGGCATTCTCGAGAGGTCTGGGATCGGTGCCGAGGCGGTCCTCAAGCAGTGCGGTATCGAGCAGCTAGTGAATTTACCTGGTGTTGGAGAAAATTTCCAAGGTGTGTTTTCATTCATTCATTTCATGAGCTTGGCTTAGAATGATCAGATCACAATGGCGTCTTTGTTCCATACATGGTTGCTGACGAGGTTGTTACCATGGACCCTCTCTGGCGTGGGGAGGAGGGTTTTGTACAGGGTAAGCATGTCCTCGCCATGTTTCCAGCACATTTCAATTATCCAAATATAGAAAGCCTTGTGCAATGGAATTACAATGGCAAGTCACTGATTGCACAAAAGTTGGTACAGGTTATTGCTGTTGGTAACATGCTGATCGATATTTCAGTGGCCTCGATGCAAAAATCAAGTGGCGTCCCGATGACGAGGAGCTGAAAACCATGGGTTCGGCTTTTCAACCACGATGGAAGGAGTTTTTCCGAGACCGCCCAGATAAGGCTGTTGCAATATTCGCTGCCATTGCGGGGTGTGTGCATATTACTTTGTTCTGATAACGTGCGAATGCTCATGATAGGTAGATACGCAGCACCACTCTCGGGGTCACTCTCGAGTATCCTTCCTCCTCGCAAATATATGACCGCCTGTTATTATACAGTACTGCTCCCATTCTACCCCGTGCTTTTTATTCTGAATTCATTCAATAGCTTTACCCCGTGTCCATTGGAAGTGTTCATATCAAAGTGAGCGAAAACGGCAAGGAAGGAACGGACTTTACTGCAGGCTACCTAGATGAGTGAGTCGGCGTATTTTATTTCAGAACACTTGTGCGACTACATAACCCGCACAGCCCATCTGATATTGTACCTCTTGACTTTGGGTACAAAAAGCTGCGGGAAATTTGTCGACGCATGCCTTCCTACCGAGGTGAAGTCACCGCTGGTCATCCTCGTTTCCCAGAGGGAAGCGCCGCAGCCTGCAGCGAAGCGTCCGGGCCCGTGGACTTGAATGCACCTGACATCATCTACACTGCCGAAGATGACGAGGCGATTAATAAATACCACCGTGACCACAGTAAGTCCTGACTCACCATCCCCACTGTCACGGTGAAGTACTAAATTGAATCTCAGCACAAACAACGTGGCACTCGGTGTGTGGAGCTGAACCTTTATACTTTTACATGAGGTGCCTGACCTTCGTATGTACAGCTCGGGACTTGCGCCATGAAACCGGAGGCAGATCAAGGAGTCGTCGACGCTCGGCTAAATGTGTACGGCGTGTCGAACCTCAAGGTTGCAGATATGTCTATCTCGCCGTTGAATGTTGGCACGGTGGGTACTGGACAGGGACTGTTGACGTGCGGTCTAACCATCTCCACAGAACACGTATTCTACGGCGCTTCTCATTGGAGAGAAGGCCGCAATGATCATTGCTGAAGAATTGGGCATTGACTATATTTGATATGCATCTTCAGAGCAGTGAGTGTGAGTATGTACTAATAGTTGGCGTGTACTTGTGATGTAAAAATATATGATCGGCACTGGGCTCTGATGAGTAGAACTCAGAATTCGCGAGTAAATCCTCGGCATCAATAATAAGCATTGCTGCATCAACATGGGGTTTTCCAAGATTATGTTTCTTCAGCACCTCTTTGAGGTACTTCCTTTCAGGTCCGGCCCAATACAGGATCAGAGAGGAAGTACCTCAAACAGCGATAGAGTATAATATGAAAGTCACTGAAAGTTCGATGAACAAGTACAGCCCACTTGGAGCATCATTTGGTCATCGACGTCATCAAACAGAGTCTGAAACCCCACAAAGCTTGTTGGTTCGTTGAGCGCATGAGTCCAAGTGGTGCCTTTCAGCCTCTTCCGTCCTAAAAACAAATGGGTTAATATTTGCATCATACAGACAGTAAAACGCATGGCTTATTCAAAATACTGTCGGGGCCCCTCTCTCGCTCGCCCGGCCACACACTCCGCCCCCTAGCACCCTTCAGCATTCACCCTCGAATGGAGGGGGGAAGAGGAGGAGAGAGGAGGGAAATGACCAGAGGGAGGCGGAGGTTGGGTCTGGTTCCTAGAGAACCGGACCGAACCGGACTTTTCCATCACTAGTGTTGGCGACCTGGGAATAGGTTAGCATTTAACGAAGATGGTTAAAGGAATGTGGTACTTACTTCGGCGATGATCGTGTTTCGGACATTGATTTATGCGCCCCTTCAGGGCCCGCTAGCTGCTACCCCGAACTAGTACAGTGAGCAACAACATTGAAAGGGACGGGTATAACTCACCGCGCCCTTCACTACTACCACCTGTCTGCGGATTGCGCCATTGCTCTTCGCGTCAGAATGATATTTGTGTGTGACATTTCGATAGCGATATCATGCCCGAAGTTTGCAAGCTGAGCACAATGGTTGAGGAATGGTAGGGTAACAGCAAGCACATCTCTGACGGTAGCCAAGTTGCCATCGTCGATGTCAACTTCGGCCCTTCTAAAATGGCAACAGGGCTTGCCGGGTCTCCATCATTCAGGCGAAAATGGATGACTAAACGTGCCCTCGGGGAGCTTGGGTGCACCTCGGTGTTGGTGGGTGGACTGGGTTCGACGAGCGAATTGATAGCCAAGACCTTGGAAGCAACCATGCAAAAGTTGTCGGTCGATACAAGATTGATGAGAGGAAACACATGTTTGGCATGCCTTTTAAACGTGAAGAATTTCACGATGCTCGTGTTGCCATCTAGGATGGCTTTCGTTTGTTGCACAAGAAGGGAGCGAGTCGGTGTCGACATTGGACGAGCAAGCTTGAGAGGGGATCTAGCTTTCTTTCATCTTGCCATAGAAATATAGGTGTATGACACGTAGTAGAAACAGTGTGAAGGGCTGATAGTGTCTGAGTCACAGGAAGTCTCCCAGCTGGACCATGTCCAGGACGCATTGTTCCGTTGGTTTCCTTTTTCGTCACACGAGCCACCGAAATTTCATGAATCTCAATAGAATTGCACACGGCTGTAATTGTCTCCCCTAGCTGACAGACCATAGACTTGCCATAGACGAATGAAGATTTCTATACTGTCCTGTGTCAACGTTCAAACGTTCAGCGCCAGCACTTCCCAGTGTCTTGAAAGTTGAATTTGCAATTGCAAAAAGCAGGGTACGTAATTGCGCAGTGGCGCGGAGCTTGTCCGGATCCATGCCTCCAGGGTTATGAGATCATTGGATCCCATCTACTTACCAGAATATGCCATCCGGAACTACCGCACAAGCAAGTACTCCGTGAAGCAGCTGAACTGGACAATTGACATTCATGGGTATAGGACCCTACCTGGAGATCGAGGGAGCAAGGAGAAGAAGCGAAATACATTCGCGAGAAGGCGAGCCTTCCCAAGGGGCTATTTGCATTAGCCATGGCTTTACTTATCAGCCTTCTACAGGAGCAAGCCCAGCTCGCTGCTCTCCGCGAGGAGCAGAAAAACCGCTCCACAGCATCTAATGACAACACCACAAAGGATGCTGCATCAACCACCATGGGTCGTGACTTTGAAGGCGGCTTTGGAGGGCAAGAGGATTTAGAAGATCGGTACGCAACGACTAGCGGAGAGCACTAGTTTGGGGCTGGGCAAGGGTCTCGTATGCGTCGTGAAGTAGTATAAGTACGAGTTATATGAGATACGACGACAGATAAAAACGACAGCTAGCTTAAAGCTGGGTGGTTTTGAATATGGACGTCCAGGAGGCCCTAACTACCGATCAACTATGCCCGGAAAATAACAGTCCGTCGAGTGCCTAGGAGTTCGCGACAAAAATGTCAAGGGAAGGGAGGGTATGGTATAATTGAAGATCGGTTTGATATAACATAAGGAGGTAATTCAAGAAAGTCCAAAAAAAAAAAAAAAAAAACCCTGCGTCCTACATATTTAGCCCCAAAAGACCCAATGTCCACATCAAGCTGCGCTATTCCCAACATAATGAAAGGCGTTATGACTGACGAGGAGGTGATGGGGTAATCAGCGGCTCAGGAACTGCTCGTGCAGCGGCTCCACTGCAAAGGGGCGAAGGAGGCGAGGCGCTCCCGACCCATGGATTAAGGTAGCTGCATGTTGCAATGCCAACCATCGCACCTGCGGTGTCAGAAGGATTCTGCCAGCCATCGCCAGCATTGGCAGTGGCAGCAGAGGAACCAGTGACTGTGAATGTAGGAGGAGGAAGGGTGGCCACAGTTCCCGTGGGGGTGTAGGAAGGCAGCAAGGAGATAGCACCGCCATTGCTGATCTTAGCAGGCGGCCAAGCGTACGATGCAGTGACGGTCGCAGCAATCTGCCCTGCACCCGAACCGCCTGTTTGCCATGGTTGAAGAGGAGGACTCCATATGCCTTGATTTGCGCAGGTTCCAGATGCCGTGCGAGGATCTGTGGGCATCCACCCGTTCTGAAGACCGAGTTGGTACGACCATTGGGGTGATTCGACGACACCCGTAACAGAGGAGTTTCCGATTTTCCATGTCCAGAAGAACCAGTTCTACATAAATTGATTCATATGAAGTCATCCAATTGTCAAAGATGATCGTTTACCTGCAACGCGTCCATACTGGCCAAGGCAAATTGCTGGATACCCGTTTTCATGGTCGAGTCCCAGTTCTGCCAGTCTGTCCATGACGAGCAATTGCCAACGACGGGCCAGGTTCCTGGAGTGTATGTACCCTCGTAACGTGTTCCAAGTCCCACACCGTTAACCCACAGACCGCAGTCCGTGACAGCATTGCTGAATTCTCCGGCGACTGTCAACCCGAACGCGCCCATGGATGTGTTCACTCCAGCAGACCAGTCACTACAAGGAGTCTGAGCGTACGAGGACATAGGGGCGTCAGACTGGCCGTTGAAGCAAATGTAGGGGTGCTGATCAAGAGAGGTGCGGTCAGCGTTCGGAAGCCAACCAGCCCATTGAGGAAGACCGAAGAATCCGTCGTGATAAGAAATGAAGGGACCATTGCCTTCACCAGTGCCTGAAGCCGCGCGGACGTAATCGTATGCCTGCATATAGCTGCAGTGCGAATTATGTTACCGCGCACGGGTCCACAAAGATACACTTACTACCGAGAGAGAGCATCCTGGCCCATCACACTCCCCTGAGGCTCATTTGTAATGCCGAACATGACAACAACATCCCTGTACTCAGGCTGAGAGATGAACTCGGCGATGATGCGAATATAGTCTAATGACCGCTGAGCATTTGCAAGGCCCATCGGGCCATAAAGAACGTTGATTGTGCCGAGCTTGCCGGAGTGATTCCACCCATTTTGACTTCCAGGAAGAGCATGGAAGTCAAGGTTAATGCGAAGACCATACTTACGGGCCCACTGGATGGCCTTCAGGAAATATCTAAGATGTGCTTCCGTGAGGAATAGAAGATTAAAGGATGGCATGGACATACTTCCAGGAGGTCTTTGCGAGGAACGGTTCACCCACGCGGGTTTCAATCGCCCAGTACGGAAGGGGAATGCGAACAAAGTTCAGTCCTGCTCCAGCAATTTCGGCAAAATCTTGCTCCGTCTGGCAGTCATTTTAAGGTTTAGCACCACCAACCTGTGCAACGTGAAAAACTTACAATGAATGTTTGGTAATGCGTTTCCAGCTGCTGCAAGCCGCCACCTGAGGACGTGTCAGCGGCCATGGCTTCGCTCAGTGTCCACTCATCGACTGGTTCAGGGCTGGCACTGAGATACTTTTCGTAAAGAGCGGGCGCGCTAAGATGAAGATAAGTACAGTACAGAATTTCCAGCATTAAGAATAAACTTGCATGAACTATAACGGAATGTCAGTACAATGTGTGAGCCAGACTGATACCAACTCACGGGTTCGGTAGTAAGCCAACCACCCAAATTGACACTGGAAAAAAATGAGTCATGAACGTAGAACAATCGAGAAACGTACCCAAAAATTTTCTCAGTACCAAACTTGAAGGTCTGGTTGAGGGGAGACGTCCATGTCTGAGCCTGAGCATTATTGTTGAATGGGTCTTGAGGATCCCAATACCAGGTGCCACCAAAAGGGTTCGAGTACGTGAAGGTAGTACCATCCTCTGTCGTGATCTTGCTACCATCGCCACCAGTGACGACAGCAGCAGAAGCAGGTTGGCCAGTTGAGGTCGAGGTCGAGGTGGGGTTGCTAGGATTGGCAGCGTTGTTCGACGATTTGGGCTTGACCACGGCGAAATATACGGGGACAATGATAGCAACCAGTACTATCACGGCTGCAAGAATTGAGCCAGCTATGATAAGTCCGCGCTTAGACTTTATGCGTGGAACCGTGTATGCTGACCGCTTTTCAGCAAGGTAACGAGGAGAGTCGGAAACCGCATCCTGGCCCGAGCCAGCGTTGTACTCAGTGTCATGGGGATCATCATGATATGCGCTATCATATTCTGCTCCAGCAGGAGTGGAAGTGTCAGGATTCAAGGCATAGACAGAGGAGTTGGCGGCAGAAGGTGCGGTTCTGTAAGTATTTTGCGACGCCATGGAATCACGGTATGAGTGAGATGGCTCATCAAACAAAGCTGGACCAAGGAAGCGTGGTTGAGCTGCGCCAGGGGGGATAGTATCTGAAAAATAAGTCATTTCGACGGGAGGGGTATCGAAATCCGAGGCATGGGGCGAGGGAGGATCGTGATAAATCGAGTCCCTCGGGGGATCTTGAGTCAAGGGCAAAGGATCATAAGGAATGTCCTGAGAACGTGCGCTATTACTGGGATACATGTCGGGAGGCGGGGTGACAATTATTTCTGGTTGCTCCTGGTTCTCCATGGGTCAGTAACAGTAGGAATGAAAGTGAGGGCAAACGTAAGGGTACTGCGCCAACAAGAAAATGAAATAGAAAGGTTTGTACGGCCTCATGGCGCCAATACGTATCCGATTGTCTAAATATGCAAACGAGACTCACTAGCTAGGATGGTAGCCCGCCGGTGACCCGAATGAAGGTCTGGTCAATGGCGTTTACCAGGTACACAGCTGACACGCGTGCAATAACAAACGAGAGGAGAAGAGGATTTGAAAAAAAAAATGAAGCAGGAGAGGTCTAGGAGGTGGGCGATGGTGGGGCTAGAAATTCAGAACATGCGGAATTTGGACGCGGAGGACGGTTACGAAAAGCCCCGTGACGCGTGACAACCTTCTGATACACGACCTAGTCCGAATTTTAATAAGCACTGCCTCCGAACTTGGACCTCTCTAGAGTCTCATGTCACCCGCATCCGTACAAATTGGCAACAGACGTGCGTCCGCGACATTGAACAGGCTATCTTTGTGCCCGTCGTGGGGTTCTGTTGACAGTGATGGACGCATGTACCCCGCGAACAGTTGAGTACGGCAGTAATGCCGCAAGTTGGTTCAAAAATATCATCGTGTGCTGGGATGATGTAAAGTTATTTTCTTCTCAAGGTGAGCCGGCCACAATTAGACGCGTTGTGACACATTGTCTGACACGGATTCGAGAACAGTAAAACCTTGGCAGCTGGACGAGGATATACCATTAGACCATGGACGAAAAGTGCAACCCGCCTATCTGTGACGACGACGAAGGAGATGTCAAAGTGCATGACCTTGCCTCAGCTGCGCCAACTCCTCTTATATTGCGATTCACCATAGTTATCTTTACACGTGAATTCGAAGCATTGTGTTGGTTCAGTGCCCGATAAAGACTATCTTCCTTCAATCATGGCATGCCAACTAGCTTTTTCTTCGGTTGATGAGCCTCAGGAGGTAGGCTACTTGAACACTCCTGCTTGCTGTAGCTTTCCAGTACCAATGATAGTCATGCAACACTGACGTTCGTTTGTCTAGTGCTTTGGACTAAATGATTCCCGCTGTAGAAAAGGCAGTTCGATGTAAGCCCGTTGGCTTACCTGAGTTCCCATAATCATGTCCGTGATAATGAAGCATGAGCGCTCAGCTTTCATTATCACTGCCTTTTGGCATAACGGTTATAAAAGGGACGATAGTCTTGACTACTTACTTACATCTGACAGGAAATCAAAGCCCCAGCATATCTTTATGTAATCTGTTATCAATAGGAGAGATTGCATCGCAGAAGACAGTTGGCGCATCCTCAACTTACCATGGCCATAACAAGCGTGATTTCCGGTCGCCGTTTTCCATCCGTTTCCCTCAGGGAGTTGCCACAGATCAGCCTCGCTAGGATGAACAAGTAGCGTGTCAAAGCCACCTGCCACATCAACATGCATTGCAACAGGCGGAATTGGGGAATCCGTGCGTATCTTCGTTGATCAAATGAACGCATGACAACCAATGACAGACGAATTCATCTTCGAACACTGCCTGTGGATTGTGAGATCCCATGACCTACCCTCCGCGTTGCGCTCAGGCAGCAAAAGGGTTCCGCCGTATGCACTCCGCCGCGGCAGCTACGCATTCGGAACGCCATCACCTACGTGAGAGTCATGACATTGATAGACTTTGTGACTTCCGGTACAAGTGATTGGGGGTTGCTGCAAACTGGGCTATTAATATTGCATCACTCTGTGGAACGCGTCGGACTGCAAGCGTCGATTTGTTTGTAGCGCACCTCAAAATCCTATCTGGTCCTCGTCGCACGCCTGTCATGTTCAACTTGGGTTCTCTTCGGCTGTTTCCTACATCTGAGAGACGGCCTAGTTTACGTTCACATTTGAAGCTTTCTTCAGCCATAAGCGTGCGCTCTCATTGGTGGAGAGGTACTTAGGCGACAGTGTCCCTGAACTATCCTAAAAGTATCACTATGAAGTGTCTCTCAAGATGAGTCCAAACATAGATGGGCCTATGCCAGTGTTCACAATATGAAAAGACCAACCGGTGAACCTTGTTCCCATCTAGTCTCCCGTAAACTTATTTGATGATGATTCCTTCTATATGCAAAGTTCTGATGCCCATCCACATTCCTGGTTAATACTTCTGTGCTCAAGGCGCAGTCCGCAGCTTCAAGTTGTCAACTTTTAATACTAAAAGCGCTTTGTACTTATAAAAAAGATAAGTCTAGATCACATCAGCTCTTTTGATGACGGCTTCTTCTTGACTGTACAACTTGGAGAATGAGCGGGACACCATTTATGAGTCGTGACTTATCAGATATACATAGCATATCAATATTCACACGACGAGCTATTTCTATGAGGTGACGTAGGTAAACTCTGAACTTGTTTTTGAAGCTTGATTCTTGATCATTCCTCCTTCTAATGTACACATAATGTGGTACTTACGGCCCGATAGAAAGAGCGACCAACCGTAGCGTACCGACACGTGCCAGCCAAGTGCCGGCGCCCGTGTACAGTCTCAGATCTACCTCCATGGCGCAATATTCCGTCGGGCCGGTCCCTGTGCCCATGCATGCGACATCGTCGTTTCCTCAACAGAGTTTTTCAGATGAGTCGGACCCTTCTCACTCACTCTCTTCGGTTATGTGATTTTGAGGATCGTCTAGATCTAACCTCGCAATTCAAAGAGGTTGTTTTCTGGTTACACAGCACCGTTCAGCCGCAGCACACCTAAATTTATTTAGCTACTTATTTCTCCGAATTTCACCGGATCCTCCAGCGGCCCCGACTGGAGAATCATTTTGACCCTCACGGTCTTATGGCCTGTACTCACGCAAGATCAGTTCCTTAATTTTTGCTAACCTAATTCAGCCTATGTAGTTCGAATGCTATTCCTAAAGGCCTAATGCTCAGTGCGTCATTTCTCCGAATTGGAAGGTTGGCGCTTTTAGCTGTTGCTAACGTATGTCGTTGAAACGGCAATGATTCGAGTGTTGTTCTTTGAACTCGCGACGTCGACAAGTACGACTGAACGACTTTGCGACATCTTCGGGAGCTCTGCAACCTTTCGTTCGAACATGAAATGCATGACGTATATATGAGATAGAAGGGATAAACAGGCACCAACAATTCTTGCAGTGCAACCTAAGGTTTTCGGTTCTCGGACGTTGCTCTGCGGATTCGACTCTGCTGTTGGACCGGCCGGATGAAAGTTGGTGCAGATACAGTGAATTGACGTACCGATCTAACTTCAGCTACACCTTTCAAGTTTGTAGGACTGTTAAAAGCCTTCAAATGTCGAGCTTGCTCGCTGTTCTAACCAAGTCGCGATCGACCCCAAATCTGTCTTTATCTATGTAAACAATTCTTGCACAGGCGGCACTACTTGATACTGACGCGTCGACGCTCGGTCACCTGAATGATTTTGCCAACAATATCCTCATTCTTACCAGCGTCCTTCCATCACACAATGGAGGCACCTGCTCAGCGTTGCGTGCGACACGAAATTTGATTCATCCCTTGAGAATTTATCGGAGCATTACGTTCGCAACCACCGTAATTCGGTACGCTTCGACAAATGCTCAGGCCAATATAAAATTAGTCCGAAGTCTTCGCAGTGCCAGCACAACTTGCACTTTGCGGATTCCACTCCCTGGTAAGTCATGGTGCTCGCGAGCTTACTTTTTCTCGCCCTCAGTGCGACCGTGAGTCAGACCCCCGTGGTCGCCGCACTAGGATCAGCATGCGGTGTGCCACTCACCGCAGGAAACTGCTGCATGGGGAGAGTCCTTACTGGCTCGAGAGCATCCAGCATCAGGGTATAGCACCGTATGCGCCTAATGCGACGATGTATCCAGGTATTCCGTAACGTGAAGGATTATGGGGCTGTGGGTGACGGTGTGCATGATGACACTGCTGCTATTAAGTGCGTAGATCTTTGTCGACGACGACGACTGACGAACCTTAATTTTTTGTAGTGCTGCGATCTACACCGGTAACAGATGTGGTAACGGGACTTGCGGATCATCGACGTAAGTCATGACATTGCTAAGATATCTAGTACTCTCTCCATGGCCCATCAGAACTACTCCAGCAGTGGTCTACTTCCCAGCAGGGTGAGTATTCGATTCTGTGCATGCCGCCTAGGTTCACTTGCTAACTTGCCCAATCAGTGACTATTTAGTGTCTTCGCCACTTCAGGCATATTACTATACGGTCATGGTGGGCGACGCAAGAACACCCCCGACATTACTTGCCAGTGCCAACTTCACGGGAATGGCTGTAATTGGTGCGGAGTGGCCTTTTCAATGTGAAAAAGGTTCTTAACTCACCGCTAAGCTAGATGCTGACCCTTACGGCACTAACGGGGCAAACTGGTATACCAACCAGGATAGCTTGTACGTATCATTCAAATCTCCTTGTGTGCACGACACTGATTGGGTTTTATCATGTCAGCTACCGTTCAGTGCGAAACTTCGTTATAGACCTCACACGAATGCCTGCCTCTGCCTCTGCCACTGGTATCCACTGGCAAGTCTCACAGTCAACGTCACTGGTTAACGTGGTAGTCAACATGTCTACCAAACCTGGAAACAATCACCAGGGTATGTCGTTTGCTCCGGCAGATGGAACGCTTATTTAGTACTGCTCCTAGGCTTGTATATGGAGAATGGAAGGTAAATAATACCGTTACGTCACAGGAGACATGATATATGAACAGTATAACGAAGTGGTGGCTTTATGGGAGACATCGTATTCAATGGTGGAAAATATGGTATTTGGGTTGGAAACCAACAGTGAGTGTTTGCTTTCATGCTATTGTCCAAGTTATGCGGCACATAATACATCCGCTCACAGGTTTACCGTGCGGAACATCACCGTCAACAATGCAAACACAGGTATGGTACACGATGCGTTCTGGTACACTCGACTTATATGTCCCAAGCCGTGTTTGGATCATGGAACTGGGGTAATATTTGTCCTTTTGCTGCAAGCGCGGAATTGATGATGTACAGGATGGACATACCAACGCGTTATAATCAACGACTGCCAAGTCGGATTTGATCTAGTAACCGGAAGTGTTGGAGGAGAGGCCATCATTGACGCAGTCGTCACAAACACTCCTATCTTCGTCAGGTCATCAAAGCCGTCGAATGGCTCCCTTGCAGGATCCCTCGTATTGAATAACATTCATCTCAACAACGTGACTACAGCTGTCATGGCGAACGACACTACCGTCCTTGCTGGTGGAACAAGGACCATTAAGTCATGGGGGCAGGGTAATGTCTATGCAGGAACCCGCCCGAACGGAACATTCACACAGGGCGAGATACACTCTGCGTATAAGGATTCGAGCCTTTTGGACCACAACGGTTTCATCGTCAGCAAAGGACACCCTATGTATGCTGACTACTCCGTCGACCAGTTCAAGAGTGTTAAGTGCATGGGAGCCGTTGGAGATGGCATGACGGACGACACTGAAGCTATTAAAGCTGTGCTCGCAAAGGTATCATTACATGTCAGTCTCATGAGATATTCTAGCGCTGATTGAAACATGGGGTAGTACGCTGGGTGCTACATCATATATTTCGATGCTGGCATCTACAAGGTTACGTCGACTATACAAGTTCCAGCAGGAACACGAATTGTAGGAGAGGCTTGGACCCAGATCATGGGCGCCGGCCCTTACTTCAATAACCAAGAAGACCCCAAGGTTGTTGTGCAAGTCGGTGTTCCGGGGTCGCAGGGCGTTACTGAGATTACGGACATCGTTTTCACAACGCAAGGACCAGCTGCAGGTGCCATCGTCGTGGAATGGAACGTCCGCGATCCTTTTGATCAACAAGCAGCTGCAGGAATGTGGGATTCACACATCCGGTGATTCTCTTTTCACCCTCGTCTGATTCCGTCCCTCTGATCTCTGTTTGTGACAGACTCGGCGGAGGCAAGTTCGATGTTTTCTCACTTGTGACCAGCGATTTATTGTTCCTACTTATTATAGCTAATGGGACCCACCTTCAAGACGCGGATTGTCCCGCAGGATCCAATAGTCCCGCGTGTTTTGCAGCTTTCCTTGGTTTACACTTGACCTACGGTGCAACGGCTTACCTTGAGGTGGGGTATTATGATTCTGGTGATAGATCTAACACACTGATTTCAAAATGCCTTCACCAAGGGAACATGGGTTTGGCTGGCAGATCATGATCTTGACGGCTTGGATCAGCTAACCCTGTTCAGCGGAAGAGGTATTCTGTCACATTCCCAAGGTCCTGTTTGGATGATTGGTACATGTAAGTTCGCTCTTCTACGCACAAGACAAGAATGCTAATTCTCAATGCCGAATAGCCTGTAAGCATTGTACCACGGTGTGATACTCGTCAACTTATGGTTATTTACGCCAGCGGAACACCATGTGCTCTACCAGTATAGTTTGGTCGGAGCAGAGAACCACTATATGGGTCTGATCCAGACTGAGACAGTAGGTTGCTTCAAGCTACGAAATGAGTTTGTCTCTGATGTCTCTGCATAGCCTTACTTCCAACCTGATCCTGCACCGCCGACTCCATTCGGAATCTCCCAAGTTTACGACGATCCAACGTTTGAAAATGGCATGAACATGGCTTGGGGACTCTGGGTGCAATCATCCATCAATATCATTGTTTTCGGTTCGTATTGACCATGTGTTCATTTCATGCTCGTGCTTATACACTCTTATTCAAGGTGCTGGTCACTACAGCTTCTTCCAGGTGAGGCAATAGCTGAAGCAAACTTAGAGATTCCTAACCCTCGCCTCTCCCAGAACTACAGCACGGCATGCTTGGGTAACACTACATGTCAAGCACAGATCGTCAACACGGATTGGAGTTCTTCCGTCACTATCTACAGTCTGACAACCGTGGGGACAACATACCAGCTTAGCGTGGAAGGGGACGGGGTTATCTATTGGGCCAATGACACTGAGGGTTTTTCGTCCACTGTGACGCTGTGGAGACCACAACACTAGACTATCCATGCATACTATCCACGCATAGAAATTGTTTATCTTGATTTATTCTTTATTAATTGAGTTCTTGTACATGCATGGTTCTATGCCTTGCTGCAGACTTGAATCTTGACCTGTATTATCATTAAGCCATAGGCAATCGACGGATCAGCGAAGCCATCGAAGGGGTGTGCTCTTTGAACTTGGGATCATGGTTGGGACGCTGATCGCTGTCGTCACGTGCTTATTTGAAGAACATGGTACCGTCAAACGACCCACATCGACTAACATTAACTTAATGATTGGCGACTCGACATCATGGCTTGCTGCCCTGCCAAGCCTATAAATTTGCCAGGTTCTGTCACCCTCTTGACCCGAAGTTCTACCACAGAGGGCGGCTGATCTGTCAGGCAGAATTGGTTCTGCCAAAACGGTTGGCAGAACTCGGCACTTGGGCCGCCTCTGCCCACAACACCAGCGCCGGTATCTTGGCCGGTATGCATAATTATTAAGTCCTGATATTAGATCCCAGATACAGCCCTTTCACACCCAGGCCTAGACTCGCGGCCAGTCTGCGTACATCCCTGGCTTCTCAGCACTCAGTATCCGATAATTATCCATTCGAGAGTCCGTCGTACGCGGGAACCTCAGGTGCGTATAAATTGAACGTATCCTAACACCTTCGTGTCCACCACACAATCAAAATTTTGAGGGTGGGTGGTTTCCTGGCACTGGCAGTCAATCACTGACACATACTAGATACCATGAAGATTCAATTCACCTACCTCACCATTCTTGCCGCCGCTGCTGTAGTGAAGGCATCTCCTTACTGCTTAGAAGTATGCTACCGCGATGACAAGCAATGCGTGATAGGCTTGATACCCGTCTTTGAAGCTAGCACAGGCTGTTGGCACTGCTGCAGTTAGCCATCTAGTTAGCATCATAGGTTCTGAAGGGGACTATACATGACTCGCTGTTGGAAAATATGCTGATGTTGAGAAGGGCCGAGCTGTGCCTTGTTCACCATTCTGATTATCTAGCACATTACCATCGGTATAGTCAAAGGCTAATAAACATCAATATGTTATGCTGAAGAGCCTCCCCCGAAGCGAAAGACTTCCTTGACGTCCTGTCGATAATTTTTGTCAAGTAAGACATCCACCGTCTACAAAACAAACTTGCCGTCCACAAAGGGATCTCCTTTCCGATCCTAGACGCACCGTCATTAAAGCTCTCCTGCATTCTATCAGAGCCTCTACCACCTGTGCGTCTCCTCGTCGTCCCCAATAGCTTTCATGTCTTCCTCAAAGTCATTGTGTACGATGGGCAAATCCAGCGACGGATAATGGTTGATCGAGTAGTTTACGGCGTGGTATCGCCCATGAGTGTCCAGAACACCAAGTCAGATGCTTCTGTGGACATCTTCGTACTCGTCCGCGCATTCTGGTTTGACGGTCAGGGGGTCGCCTAATTATGTCAGAAAATGAGAGTTTGTACACACCTTTATTTATCCGGCAAATACGCTTAGCATGCGGAGCAGACATAGAGGGAGCTACAAACGTCATGTCGAACGTAACGCATTGTGAAGGACTGTACGAGACTGACCAAACATCGTGACCACAGAGTCGGCCCGGCGATAGCTTAAGCACATCAATGCATCAGCCCTCTGGTGTTGTACGGAAGGAAGAAGCATCAGACAAGACTGTCAGTACATCTCCGTCGAAATAGGCATGGAAACATCTGCCAGTGGACAGAGATACTGCCGGTGCAGCCTTATGAAAGCACTATAAGACTGGGACAACCTAAAATGAATATTCAACAGTCACCAATTAGATACAACAAAAGTTTGACAAAGTCAGCATCAAGTCATTGAATGGACGTATACGGTCTGGAAGCACGGCAGGCGTCGCTGTCACATTGGAACTCCGCGCAGTGGTACTGCTTGTTGCCTTCAACGACAAACTACTCCGTACAAAGAGCTATTTGACCGCTCAACGTTCCCAACAACTCGAATTCACCGGATATGATTATCTCGTCAAGATCTGTAGTCCAGCGACCACGACTGTAAGCGTTACACATGTAACCCAAGGTCCTGGCCAGAGGAACAACTCCCTCCATCATGCAGCATCACGCGCGAATTCGGGATGACACCTACACGATGACGCGATCGACATCCTACTCTGAAACATGCAAGATATCTCTCTCGACGATTGTCCCTCCCCGTCATCAACAGTTCTGTTTCACAGGCTCACATCCTATAGCTACACGATGACGCATCGACATCCTAATCCAAGTTCTCAGCCACCAACACCTCTGCCACACCCTACACGATGATGCCATCGACGCCCTACTTCAAAGATGGTTTCATTTTCTGTCGATGACTCGGATGCATGTCCCAGTTCTCAGTCTTCGATATCCACTCTGACAAACGCAAGCCCAACTTCAGTCACAACGCATCCTACACGGCCACGCCATAGGCATCTTACTCCAACAAATGCAAGCCCTTGATCTCGACGATGATCCCTCGCAGTCGTTCAAGCCTCGGCCGCTCATATGTACTCCCAATCTTGGTTACGAATCACGCCACTAGTCGACTCCTACTCCCCTCACTCACTACATTCTATGTACGCGACTAAAACAACGACGCGTCGAACAGCCGACATGGTTGAAGACTACCCGCGCATATGTCGACGCACCTCATCTTCGGTATCAGCCCAATCCGGATAACGTTCAGTTACTTCCTTCGCTGTTCCCTACGACCTGGAGTTATATTGGCCACCGCCAGCCCCGCACATCCAACACATCGATGAGTCAGAGGTCCCCTACGACCACATCCCGATGACGCGCCAAACAACGCAATGGCCTCCTTCACTGTTCCCTACGACATGCCCAAGAAGTTGAAGGCAGTCCTGAGTCCTACACGTGCGTCTAGCAGACTTAGTCCCTTCTGGTTTCCTTCACTGTACAGAACAGAGTTCTTCGCTTTGTTTACTATCCACTTTGTTTAATTACGGACTAATTTCTGCTATGTCTGTTTATTTCATCAACATTGTTCTACTACTCCTTCATTTTCGTGTGTACAATTATCGAGCCTGTAGCAAGCGTTGAATACGATTTTCTTGCATACTGTTTCGAAGGCGAGACACTTCCCAAGTTGAGGTTCAGAACATCCAACGAGTACCGTTACCAAGGCAGTGGCCATTCACGTCACAAGGACGAAAGAACTACTGTTGCTGCCTTCCTTCCTGTATGATATCACAGCGTCGTATTCCAGGGCCACCACAATGAGAACGCGAGGGGGGTACAAGCTTTCGGGATTTCAGGGTTGTTTCCGGATGAATCTGCCATAGGAAGAAATCGTGCTTAGCGTCCGGACAGTTCTATCTACAGTCTAAGGGGCTCCTGTACCCCAGTGCCTCATGCCTCTAGGTTTGCAAATAGCCTAATGTTAGATGCTCTTGCGACCTATTTAGACGCACAGCTCGTCGAAAGTTTAGCCCTTACAATGCCGACAACGCACGCAGCCTACCGAGGAACGAGTCAAAGACTGCGTCGGTGGACACGTTGAGCAGAAAACGAATGTTAAGACATGGGCACATGGGTGTCGTCCGTGTCTTTTCATGACAGGGCTAGTGGAACAAATATCGTAGTAATACCTGACATCTCCTCAACCATGCGCATGAAGAGTGCGTGCTGAATGGAATAACCATCCGCGCTCACCGCCAACGGATTCGAGGTATTCGCGAAGCCAGAAAACCCAAGGAGTTAAAACAAGTACGACAGTAGCGATACAGCGAGTGGGAGAACAAGAAAGAGTGAGATTGATGAAGATAGAGCAGATTCAGAGGTGTGGGTGTCAGGTCTTTTTGCCCGCAGCTGTCAGATGGTTCAAAGTATGGGCGAGAGGACACATACGGGATGCCATTGTCGTCAGAATACGATGGACAAGTATCATTAGTACTTCCCTGACGAAGAAAAGAGGGTTAACGGTTAGGTGTGCAAACAATGAAGGACTAACGGTTGGGTTGTCAGGACAGCATGCGCTGTATCCCAAGTTAGCCACACTCCCGAGAGCAGCAGCGCGATTCCAGCCCTCCCAATTTGTACAGGATACGGACTGATAACTGATATTCCAGACACCAAAGTCCTGGTTGCACGATGATTCAGATTTAAAAATCACAACAGTGGTAGTTGCCAACTATTGCCTCACCGTATAACCTAGAAAGCACGAGTTAATTATACGCGCACGGATGATCTCGAGTGCTCACCATAAAGTGCTTGCATTTGACGGAAAGAAATCATCTGGAATAGAAGATGATGGCCACGCAAGGTCAAAATTCACGTAGTGACCACCACTGTGCGAAAATTAGACACAGACCCCACTAAACAAGTGTACTCACGCGTTCGGCCCATGAGTAGTTGCATTGCACCAACCAGACTGAGACAATGGACATAGGTCAGTAACTTTAATGATCACTGACTTTGTAACGTTGGGGTAGAAAGGAGGATTGGAAAGGAAGGAATTTAGCAAGGTGAGATTAAAGCATTGGCCACAAGCGGGGCCGTAAGATGTACTGCTGCCATATGCCATCTGATTCATGGCAGCGGTCGGATAGTTTGTGCTGGTAGTTGTACACCCGCATGCTGCAATGAAGTTTTCGGGAAGGGAGTAGTGTGTCATAGTGGCATATCCGTCTGCTGAATAGTCAATCCACTCCGAGTCTGAAGCTCGTGATGTGCGCGGCAGAAAGGAGAGGAAGGTAAAGATGAAGGACAGAAGTTGCGACAAGGGCGTCGCGCTGGAATTGCTCCATGAAAGCATTTTTTTCAGTCAGTAAGAAATACTTAAAGAAGGGAAGGGCAGAACCTGCAGAACACCTCGTCCACAAGCTACGTCCTCACATAATACACGTGAGGAGGTCACGTGGGCGTGACTCAGTGAGGCGGCTACATAGACGCGTCGCGCCATTTCGTTGATCCCACCACTTCCGTCCAGATGACCAAAGTAAAACGGACTTACAGTTCGCGCTCGCGGCTATCACTTCCGTCTTCACCACCATCATCGTTGCCGCCGTCGACAACGAAGCGCAAGCACTTAGGGGAAGGTACCGAAAATGAGCCCCCAACAAAGAAACGGATGATATCCACAACGTTGCCTTCGGGGAGGTCGGAAAAGCCGAAACAGAGAGTTCTGAGGCAGCTCATTTCTCTCTCGAAACCTCAGTTCTACGGACCTGCTCAATTTGTAGTCTCTCGTATACACGTGGCGCACCAGATGATGAGTCGTTGCATCGTGCCCACTGCTCACGTGTACAAAGGGGAATGGAGTGGGGTAGAGAGGAAGAACGGGAAGCAGAAAAAGCCGGCGTTGAAGAAATACAATCTGCAGTGAAGCTGAAGGATGGAAAGAAAGGTCGCATTATATGTTTCAAGGCGAACGTCAGTGGAAGAATTGGATCTAAGGTAAGCAGACTGCTTTGTGTTTAGCGCGCTTTATTGATGCGTCCGAAGCTTGCGATATTACTCGAGACGATAAATCTCGCCCTTTCATCTCCCTCGCTATCAACCGACATTCTACAAACCTCGAAGGCATACCTATATCTGATACCATCGCTAACCAATGCGCACCGAGAGAAGATAGTCGGCTGCGTCATTGCTCAACGAATATCTACCGCCATGACTGTCGCCACTCCCACAGAAACCTTGCTTACGCGTGATGTCAATCAAGCTGCCGACCATGACTCGCCCCCGTTATCACCGACTCACCGACTGGTCGCAGTCGACACGACATCGGGACTCTTTTGTCATCCCGAGGCTTTGCCTACGCCCCTCGGTATACCACGCCTATTTGTCTCGTTGGCACATCGACGGCAAGGTATCGCTACCCGCTTGCTCTCAGCTGCAGCCGCAACGTTTATACACGGTTGTCCACTAGACCCTCTTAATGGTGATGTCGCATTTACACAACCCACAGAAGGGGGACATGCTGTCATGCAGAATTGGGGCGGAGGAAACGTGAGGATATATGAGGAGTAACTTGCTGATCTAAACAAAAATTCCCATTCGTTAAAGATGATCATATAGACTTATAGTACGTGCAGAGAAGTGGCGTAATCACTAGTAGCTCAAAATGTACGAACAACTATGCATCGAAAACAACAGTAGCCAGCATGGAACGACGGAGAGAACGCAAAGCGATAGCGAGTTGCCTCGCTTCAAACTTGTCCATTCTGTCGTCTCGCACAGAATCGCGCAAAAAGATATGGAGATCCTCCTCCGGCCATGCCGCTACAAGAAGGAGGCGGGACTGGTTCTTGATGCCCAGTGTTACAAGTTCATCTAGTAGATGGCTCAGTGCTGCGCGACCAAGGAAAGTCCTGATGGGAGTTGTATCGTAGACATTGCTCGACGCCGATAGTTTACTCGCGGATGATGCCCGCCTTGGCTGGTCGGAGCGCTTGCGCGAGGCGGCGTATTGCGTTGGCATGGCTGCCAACGGATCTGGAGACGGAGAACGGACTTGATCGTCCGCTAGGGTGGGACTCGGAGAGCCGGAGTCGGATACCTTCAAGTCGGGTGAGTTGCAATACACTCCTCGACCACTGACAGATGAGAATTACCTTCGTTAGCACCATACGTTGTCTCTGGATACTATCATCAGAGTCGACTGGATAAGATCCTCCTTTGTTCCCCTCTTCTAACTCGGAGGTCGTCTGGATTACTATGAAACGCGGGAGCTGGAGATAAAACCTTCACGTACCTGAGATATAGGGAATGGAGAACCGAGTGGCTCGGAATTCACCATGCCATGTTCGTCGCTGTTGTCAGACTTATCATCGTCCCCTGCCCAATCTTCATTCGTAATGTCATTACTACCGTGAACCGTCTTGTAGAAGGGTGAACTGGGCACCGCCTTGGAATGAAGATATCGATCGACATATGTAAGTAGATGCGCATATGCGCGCTCGTTGCGTTCGAATATTGGAAACGCCTTGTGAACCTAGCGGTGGTCAATGAGCAGTGCTCCTATCTCGTTAGACGCCCGTACATCGGCTAGGAATCGCTCTTTGATATGCTGTTCTTGTTCCCGAGGTTTTCGACCGATCTCGAAGTGCTTCACGGCGAGGTTTCGTATGTGGTGCTGTTCGGAAGGTCAGTTGTCGTTACATGATGCACATGATGGTCCGCCGCCGACCTTGATCTCTTGAAACTGGACGTCGTCATTTTGACGCATACCTAGCGCTTTTCGAAAGGCTACTTGTACCTTTCCTCCCTTTTCCTTGACCATAAGTCTTGTTCCTGCAACTTTGGGCATTTCTGGGAAAGTTCGAGTGCTGGCAATGGTCGAAGATCTGCTCTTGATTGCACTCGGAGGAGGTATTTATCATTGCGAAAAGATAAAATACCACATAACCTTCGAGATTATCTGTCCTCTGGAGAATCTCGAAGGGTATCACATCAGATAGCAATTTGAAACCAACTGGATACACGTGACATGCATCGTGCAACATCGTGTTCAAGGCCCGTATACCGGTAATTTTACTTTCTTCCACCGCGATTCTTTGCGCTTATGCAACCCTCTGTGAGAAACTGTGAGCCGAAAACTAAATGGATTGCCCGTGGATATACCCTCAAGGGGAATACTGTACATGATACAGATGGATACAATATCTTCAACATTCCTATAGATCAATCTGATGAAAATGCGAGGCCGTCTGCCACGACCCTCAAGCTGACACATCAACAGTGACATTGCTGGGAGGAGGCGCGAAAGTCTGGTGCAATGTCAGTAGGTAGTCACAATGATCGTAGGGAGGGTCCTCACCCTAGTTTTAATACCACCGGCACTAGGTAAGCGTGTGGATCCTCCGCTCAACCAAGCATCAACCTCGGCGGCAGCGCCACGTCCCTCACTGAATGATTTTATTAATACTCGAATATGAAGAGCATTTTCACCTACTTTATGCCCCACACAATCAACGATTGACCACGGCGACAGTCACCGGCCGCAAAGACACCCTCGACATTTGTCGAGTATTTCTGCAAGGATCGTTCAGTTCAAAAATGAGTAGCGAATGTTGCAAAACGAACCTTTGGAGGGGTCTGGACGTTTGATCTGGCATCCTGCTTAATACCCAGAGCGTTGGGGGCTTGTGACTGCGGTCCCAGGAAGCCAAGAGCTAGGAAGACTAGTTGCGCAGGGAAAAACCTTCCAGAGCCAGGTACCTCCTCCATCTTCCACCGCCCACCACTGTCCTTGGTCCACTCAACTCGGACTATGCCGAGACGCGAGGCATCAGTATCACATGTAATCTTCGGGAAGTCGAGACGTACCAGTGTTCAGGCCCTTGAGCTTCCCTGCATCATCGAGAACAAATTCCTTTGTGGAAATAGAGTATTCCCGTGGATCTAAGAATACGGTGTGATGGAAGGAAAGACGTCAACTGATGACAAGAATCACGCACCATTGCCAAAGTGCGCAGCAACTTCGGTATGTCCATAGTCGGCCCGGAAGATTCTGATAGAAGATGGAGTCAGATCGATTGATGCATCTCATGAAAATTGAAAACACCAACCTAGGCCATTGTGGCCAAGGGTTATCTCTGCCTCGTGATCCTGGAGGCTTGGGTAAAAGCTCAAAGTTTGTCACGGACTGTGCGCCATGCCGCATGGATGTACCGATGCAGTCGTTACCGGTGTCACCACCACCAATAACAATAACGTCTTTACCCCTCGCATTAATGTAGGACCCATCCTGCAGCTCTGAGTCCAGGAGAGACTTAGTGTTGAGCTAAAGAAGATATTTGAAAATTTTCAATTTGGGATAGGCGATACACGAACCTGAAGGAATTCCATGGCAAAATGAATGCCGTCTACATTGCGGTTGGGAATATTGAGATCGCGAGGCCACGTTGCTCCCGTGCACACAACAACCGCATCGTTCTCTGCTCGGAGAGTGGTAGCATCAACATTGACTCCGACATGAGCGTTAGGTACGAAGGTCTTTGAGAAGATCAGCAAGACTATAAATCATAAGGGTCGCAAAGACGCACAATTCCCTCAGCTTCCATCAAGTCCAAGCGGCGCTGTACGATTGTCTTGTCGAGCTTCATGCTGTTGTGGGTCAGTATCGTTCACATGATCTGATTACGATCCACTCACTTCGGAATACCATACATGAGAAGACCACCCATGCGATCGTTGCGGTCATATACAGTGACAAGATACCCTGCTTTGTTAAGCTGATCAGCACATGCTAGACCAGCAGGACCGGAGCCAATGATCGCGACTCGCTTCCCAGTGCAGAAGCTCGGGGGATTAGGAGTCATCCAGCCCATTTCGAAGCCCTAATTTTTGGACAATTAGTCACATTAACAATGGGGTGCGTAGCCAACATACTTTGTCAATGATGGCGCACTCGATGCTCTTGATACCAACAGGTTGCTCGTTGATACCTAGCACACATGCGCCTTCGCAGGGTGCAGGACAGACACGACCAGTGAACTCAGGGAAGTTGTTCGTCATAAGTAGCCGGTTAAGGGCATCGCGCCACTGACCCTTGAACACGAGATCGTTCCACTTGGGAATGATGTTTGAGATTGGGCATCCCGTGTCAGACTGACAGAATGGAACACCACAATCCATGCATCGAGCTGATTGATACTTCAACTCGCTCTCGGTCAACCGGATCGAGATCTCTTTCCAGTCTTTGACGCGCTTTCGAGGGGGTCTGTATGCCTCATTTAACCGGTGATACTTCATGAACCCTCGAGCTTTGTCCAACTTGTGAAGACGCTGTTTCGTGGTCGAGTCATCAACTGTGGAATCCTCCAGATCTGCGACAGCAGGCTCGTGGCGTTTGGGGGGAGCGTGGATCGTTGCTGGTTCCTTCGGAAGCAGGATGTCTTCTAGGCCCTCCGACGCAAGATCAACTTGACTAGCGGTGCGAGATGGGACCAAGTCGATAACACTGAGCCTCATCTTCTCCTCCTTTTCTTTTGCAGCCTGCTCTTCCAGGACACGCTTGTAGTCGAGTGGCATGACGCGAACAAAAAGCGGGAGCAAATGGTGGAAGTCATGGAGGACGCGATCAGCAACCTCAGAGCCGGTGTAGTGACGATGGTCCTCAATGAGGCCACGTAATGCGGCTATTTCACGTGGGTCGCTGACCTTGCCAAGCTCCACCATCTCCATATTGACCTTCGACGAGAAAGTGTGAGCGGTATCGAGCACGTATGCAATGCCACCACTCATTCCAGCAGCGAAATTGCGCCCAGTAGTTCCTAGGACCACAACGCGCCCGCCGGTCATATATTCGCATCCATGATCACCCGTGCCTTCAACGACAGCGTTTGCACCTGAGTTGCGCACAGCAAAACGTTCGGCAGCCACACCTCGGATGAAAGCTTCGCCTGACGTAGCGCCGTACAAGCAAACATTGCCAATGATGATGTTCTCTTCTGCCTTGAAGGTCGACTGCTTAGGGGGGTAAACGATGAGACGCCCACCAGACAGGCCTTTTCCGACATAGTCGTTAGCATCACCTTCCAGTTCAATTGTGATACCGGGAGCAAGGAAAGCACCGCAAGACTGTCCTGCTGAACCGCGCATGAGAATATGGATAGTATCCTTCGGTAAACCTTCTTCGCCATATAGTTTAGAGACGCGATGCGATAACGACGTGCCGAGGGCACGGTCAGTGTTTGTGACGTCGCATTCGATATGAACCGGAAGTCCCTTGGTAAGAGCTGGCTCGGACTCGTCGATAAACTTGTTGTCGAGGCGAATGTACAGCTTGTGATCTTGCTGACGAACGCGGTACGTTGCAGCGCCAGGCCGCATCTGCCAGGCAGGCTTCAAAACGGCGGATAGGTCGAGGTGGGTAGTCTTGATGGTGCGCAGCTTCTCATCAACCTTGAGCATATCAGCACGACCAACCATCTCGTTGATCGTGCGGAAACCGAGCTTGGCCATGTAACCACGAAGCTCCTCGGCGAGATAATAAAAGAAGTTGATGACTTGCTCCGGCTGTCCCGCAAATTTGCTGCGAAGTTGAGGGTCTTGTGTGGCTATACCAACCGGGCAAGTGTTCACTGAAAGAAACGAGTTAACGACAACCGAGGCCAGGAAGATGCAACACGTACAGTGACATTTGCGCATCATAATACAATCCCATGGCGATAAGTGGCGTGGTAGCGAAGCCCCATTCCTCAGCACCAAGTAGACATGCGATAGCAATGTCACGACCGGTACGAATCTGGCCATCAGTCTGGACGGTGACGCGACCACGGAGGTCGTTCAAGACTAGCGTCTGGTGTGTCTCTGCGAGGCCAAGCTCCCACGGCAGTCCAGCGTACTTGATACCAGTCCAGCGCGATGCACCAGTACCGCCGTCGTGACCAGAAATAAGAATGTGATCTGCCTTTGCCTTTGCGACACCGCTCGCGACAATGCCAACGCCAACCTCGGAAACGAGTTTCACAGAGACGCGCGCACGGGGGTTAGAGCACTTTAAGTCATAGATGAGCTGTTTCAGATCCTCGATGGAATAAATGTCATGGTGGGGTGGGGGAGAGATAAGCCCAACGCCGGCGGTAGAATGACGAGTGCGAGCAATGGAGGTAGAGACCTTGTGTCCTGGAAGTTCACCGCCTTCGCCCGGCTTAGCACCTTGAGCCATCTTAATTTGGAGCTCGTCGGCGTCCGCTAGGTAATTAGCAGTGACGCCGAAACGACCAGATGCCACTTGCTTGATAGCGGAACGCATAGTGTCACCATTTGGGAGTAACAGAGAGCGCTCTGCATCCTCACCACCCTCACCGGTGTTCGACTTGCCGCCGAGACGGTTCATCGCAACAGCAAGCGTAGAGTGGGCCTCCATGGAGATTGATCCATATGACATGGCACCTGTAACGAACCTGCGAACGATTTCGTTCCAAGGCTCAACTTGTTCGATGGGAATAGGGGTGGCGGTTTCATAGCGGAAGTCAAGAAGTCCGCGCAGATGAACACTTTTCGTCTGCTCGTTCGCATTACGAGCGTAAGCGTCATAGGCGGTTTGGTTCTTCTCGCGAACAGCATCTTGCAGATTGGCGATACCGGCGGGATCATTAATGTGTGCTTCGCCTCCATCACGCCAGTGGTACTCTCCGGATTCAGGCATTCCTGGAGGTAAGATGGTTTCTCGCGAAGGCCACCCACGCTCATGAAGCTCGAAGGCATCCACAGCGAGTAGGTCAAACGTGGCCCCCTGCACACGAGATGCAGTGCCAATAAAGCAGCGGTCCACGACTTCACTATGAAGACCGAGTGCTTCAAAAATCTGAGCGCCCTTGTACGACTGAAGCGTCGAGATACCCATTTTCGACATGACTTTGAGGATACCATTATCGACGGACTGGTGGTAATTGGTTAGAAGGTCGTTCACAGTCTTCTCGCCCTTGACGCTGCCAAAGCTGATCAACACAACGAATCTCAATAGACACGTCCAACTCACAGACCCTCCCGTGCAACCTTGTGAATCGTTTCCAACATCAACCATGGGCATATCGCATCAGCCCCATATCCAACCAGGACGCAAAGGTGGTGAACTTCACGAGCCTCCGCGGTCTCTACCATGAGGGCGACCTTGGCACGCTGCTTCTGTTGCGTCAGGTGGTGATGAACGCCACCACATGCCACCAACGCGGACAGGGGTACACGGTTTGGCCCTGTGGCGCGGTCGGTAAGGATAATGACTTTGATACCATCCTCAATAGCTTGAGATGCCTCGCTGCAGACACGTTGCAACGCCAGTTGATATCCTGGGAGCCCCCCTTCTTTGGGGAACGTTATATCAATCGTGATAGAGGGCCACTCCGTATAGGCAAGCTTCAGATTCTTCATGGCGTTCATTTCCTCCAAAGAAATCAGAGGAGAAGGTAAAAGAATGCGGTGGCATTGCTCTGGCTTCATTTCCAGGAGATTGCCCTCGGGGCCGACGTATGCTTCAAGAGACATGACAATGTTCTCCCGAATGGAGTCGATTGGAGGATTGGTGACCTGTGCGAAGAGTTGGCGGAAATAATCATAAATGAGACGAGGCTGTGTAGCCATTGCTGCTAATGGAGCATCGTTGCCCATGGAACCCAACGCTTCTTTGCCAGTGTCTACCATAGGCAGCATGAGAAGGCTCAGCTGCTCCACGGTATAGCCGAAAGCAAGAAGTTTCGGGTCACTGCTCAGAGGGGAATCGTCGATGACTGTGTCAAGAGATGTGTTGCTACGGATGATGCGCTTGATGATATTAGGGACATGAAGGACGTGGCTTTCAACCCATGAAGCGAAATTCTGTTTAGCGGCAGTGTTGCGCTTCAACTCCTTGTCGTCAACAATCCTTCCCTCAAGCGTATCAACCAACAGCATCCGGCCCGGCTTTAAACGTCCCTTCTGAACTACTTTCTCAGGCGGAATGAACACTGCGCCAACCTCGGAAGCGCAGACCATGATATCATCATTACTGACGATGTAGCGACATGGTCTAAGACCATTTCGATCCAGGTTCGCACCACAGTACCGGCCGTCGCTGAAGGTGAATAGGGCAGGACCGTCCCAAGGCTCCTGAAGACAGGCAGCCCAATTATAGAACGCGCGTTTCTGGGCGTCCATGCTCTCGTTGCCCTGCCAGGCTTCGGGTATAAGCATCATGACAGCCTCAGGTAACGTGACAACACCATTGACGACGAGCAACTCAAGCACGTTGTCAAATGCGGCAGAGTCAGATCCGCCAGTCTCGATGATGGGATAGAGCAGGTCGAGCTGGTCACCGAAATGAGTAGATGAAAGTACACCTTCTCGAGCTCGCATCCAGTTCTTGTTGCCGCGCACGGTGTTGATCTCACCTAAGAATTCCGAGTCAGGGCTTACCTGACATCGTCAGGGTGCAGATCACTAACCGTTGTGAGCAGCCCATCTCATTGGCTGAGCTCGATCCCAAGAAGGAAACGTGTTTGTCGAAAATCGAGAATGCACCAAAGTAAAATGCGAACGATACAGGACGTGATTGAGATCATGATAGTAATTGTATACTTGGGGGGGAGTGAGCTGTCCTTTATACACGATGTTCTTCGAGGACAAAGAACAGACGTAAAAGCCGTTGGCGAGCGTACTTTATACAATAAAAAGAAGGTTTACGAATGGATGTTAAGCTTGGTTCATGAACTAGAAAAATGAAAAGTCACAAACATGGTGTGCGTAGCGTGCTTGCGCAAAACGTACAGTTGTCGCTCGAAATGCTTGGCATCGAAAGGTCCGTTTTGACTCGCGATTCCGTCACCGTAATTGTCGCGTAAGACGATGAAAGGCTGATAAATCGCAGGTTCCTTGCTACTTGCGGCAGGACCAAGGATAGTGCCATCGGTCGGAACTTCACGCCACCCTAAAACCCGGAGACCCAGATGACTGGCGATATTGGCGAAAACGGATTGGTGGGTTTGCAGTTGAGAGGGATCATTAGCCTTGAAGAAGACATTGCCTACGGCATATTCTCCTGGTGTAGGAAGAGTGCATCCAATATTCCGCTCTGTTTCGTGCTTGAAAAACTCATGTGGAATTCCAGTCATGACACCGGCACCATCACCGTCACGGCTATCGGCACCGGTGGCGCCTCTGTGCGTCATGGCGCAAAGTAATTGACGAGCGTCAGAGACGATTTTGTGGCTATGTTCGCCCTTGATATGGCAGATAAAGCCCACCCCGCAAGAATCCTTCTCATTTTCGTTGGAGTACAAACCCTGGTTCGCAGGAAGAGATCCTGCCCAGGAGTTAGGATCCCGTTTCACAGCATGAAAACCATTATCGGCTGTGGAAGTCTCGTCAGAGACAAGGGGCAGAGAACTTGTATGATGATCGTCGAAGAGAACAGGAGAAATTGCCATAGAATGAAGAGGGAAGCAGATATGTCAACAATGAACGAGTAAAGACGAAAGTTGTTGAATTTTTGATCAAAGACGCTGAAGGATCACGGAAGATGGTGGTCAGAGTCAAAGAGCGAAAGGATCAAAAACTTGGCAATTATCAAGTACTAGGCTCTAGCTGACAGCTGACAGGAGTCATACAAAGTTGCCAAAATTAGCTAAGCCCCTACGCCGACAAGCCGAAAACTCCCGAATGACTCCGATGGCTTCGGGGAAGCCAAATTCAGAAATCAACGCCTGTCCCAGACTCCCCTCTACTCTAGTGTCCACGACAGTCGCGCACCCTGAGCTGCAGAGCCACATCGCAATGTATCGTACGCATAAACATGGTGATATGGTCAAACCGCCACAGGGTCTACCCGACACTGACTGCGAGCAGGGTTCTCAGGGTCGCTGCCTCGATGGTTCAGTCTCCGCATTCGGTAGGCTTCCATGAGGGGAATGCGGAACACCGTCTGTCACCCCTGCCCGGATCACCATATCCGCTGCAGTCTGACTCCTCGCGATATTTTGCTCTGGAAGTCTATGCGAGCACCTCAGAATTAGCAGCAGCGAAGGCCTCCGGAATTGCATCCGCTTAACAGTACTAGCCGTTAATTTTGTTCTCCGAATTTCATCACCAGCGCAAGTTAATACAGTATGGGTGTGAAAGACTTCTATTGAAGGGCGAGGGGTTGGTGGAAAGTTAGCAGAAAGGGGATACAACAAGGCCTCGGACAGCCAAATATTTTAGACTGAAAGTGCTGGCTAAGAGCACCAGTGACTGGCAGTGCTCGAGCGCTTCCTGGCCTCTGCGCGACGTTGACCGGAAATTGCGACACCATGTTGTGTTCCGATCAATGGTAGCCCCGACCAGCGGAAGGCTTGACAACACTACGATATAGCTAGGGTCTCGAGTAGTACGCAAACGCTGCACGTAACTCTCATGCTTGTAGTACATGAACCCTTTTCCCTGGTGCAGGACGGAAATGAGGAGCGTGTGCGAAAGAAAAACCACGACCGAGAACCTCAGACCTTAATGGATCCCGGTAAGCACACTCTTTGATATGAGCGTGACAAAAAGCACGTCTTACAGTGGTACTCGCACCTCATCTTGGCTCACGCGCGCTCACGGACGAGGCCGCGTGCCGGGTGCACGGTCCGACTGATGAGATCAAAGGACATTGCGAGATGGCACCACGCAAACGAAGCATTATGAATGTTGTGAGGAAGCAACTTCAAAGTCCAATGACAGTCTTCGTGTTTCATGTCAGTAGGAAGCAAACCCTCGGACCCGGGGCACGAACTCAGCGAAACATACATATCATCTCATGTCACGTTTGATCGCACGGGGTCGTAGCACAACGTCATGATCGAAGTGGATTACCCAAATCTCACTCATCGACAGTACCCAATGATATTATTTCAATATAAAGTGACGGAAGGAACACGGTTGTGCTTGATTGCTGTTCCGTTTGCTATTGCTGCGGATGGCCGTTACCTTTGATCACTGAGCAAATATAAACTAACTATTGTATGGACTAGATTTTGATTGTTGTGAGTCTGCGACACCCCAATAGTGCCAATCTCTCAAGACATATCGGCCGAACGGTCCTAGATTTCCAGCGGCACCAAGGCGGGTCGCGGAGGTCAGCCCAAGCTAGCCCAAGCTGTGGTCAGTTGGTAAGGTCGATCAGATGCGAGAAGAGACTCTGGGCATGTACGCGCGGTCATACGAATGCGATTTTTGGGTCCCTTCTTGATACCGAGGAGATGTTGTTACGGCCCAAAAGTCGAAGGCAACTCGCGTCCCGTTAGAAAACGTTTGGGACAGGGACACAACCTGACACGACGCGGGAGCTTCAGGACAATGCCGGGAACAACGGGACCATCCCATAAAATAGCAGGAGAAAACGTGTATCCACATTAGGCCTGAGAAGCGCTCAATAGTTTGGCAAGTAGCATTACTCTGCATGACAATGAGGTAAGGACTGGCCAAAATAACATCTATCAATAGATCTGATGGTGCCATGCTTTGCCATATTCCTGGTCAGAATCTCGGATGCCGATGGGCCAAAGGTGATTTAGAGTTCTGTCTCATCAAATAACCAGAGAAACCATGGACGCGGAGTTGGTGTGGACATCTTTGATTCGGCTTTGACGTCAAGGATGTGCACACGATATTTGATTTGCACAAGTTCCCTGATCTGAAGCATAGTATGACCAAGAGTCAAGACCGAGGACTTACTCCATTATGCCTTAAGGGTCAAAGGAGAGGGCTCAAAGCTACAACGCCGGTGTGCCTCGCCTGTTGTAGTAATGGACGACTCTCTTGATGTCAAGCCAGGGGAAGCCGGATGTGCGGGCCTGAATGTTGAACATAATGCAGAAATTTAGTCAATGCTCCAGGAACGGGACACACCCTATGGGTGACTCAGAACAAGGGCTACTGGGCGACAAAATAACGGGCTGACCGCACCAGAGAGAGTACTCGCCATCAAAACAGAATCGAGTGTCCCGATGGATTAATAAAAAAATATTGCTATTTCGTAGATTCGCAAGTTGGTAGAATAGAATGGTTGAAGTGGATGTTGTTTAGCCAGATAATAAAAAACTAACCAGCCCCATCGTGAAGCGCACAGCAAACAGCCGCTGGTGACATCCTTGAGGTTTCCTCGCAAACTAAAACTCCATGACTCACCTTTATGATGACCATTATACTGTCGCACGGTCTCTCCCGAAGCCATTTCCCAAAGCCGAGCAGTATGATCCGAGGATGCTGGGACGTGAGTTGAATACGAAGGCCCAACTATAGCGCTAGAGTCAACGAATTTCTCACCTGTTACAAGATAAGCAGAATCAGCGCTGAATGCGCAATCCCAAACCCAGCGTTGATGGCCTTGAAGAACCTTCTCTTGTTTGAATTCGTAATTTTGCGATATAGACCATATCTTCACGGTGGTATCTGCAGAGCACGTGGCAAGATATCTGTGTCTCCTTCAGAGACTTAACCAAATTGGTAGCTCAATGGAGCGCACTTCACATCTGGACTAAGCAATACCCTAGTAAGATACTTCTTATGGGCGCTGAACTTTGTTACTGCCTGGTAACGAGGTAGATCTGACTTCTCCTCGTTAATTTTCCAGACGTAGCATTTGCCCTAAGCCGAGAATGTAAATAATGAATCATTGAAAGGCAGAAGATAATACCTTGTTATTTCCAGCAACTAGACAGGAGCCATCTGATGCCAAGCTGACAGACCGAATAGGAACATCGCCTGCAGGCGTCTCCAACAAGGTGTCAATTAACGACAACTGCAACCTTGTTCTGAACATACTAGCTCATGTGAGCAGAGGTTTTCGGATAAATCCCACTGCTTAATGCAACCCGCTTGGTCACAGGATATAAGCTCTCCCTGATTGGGATGGACACAGACATCATTGACTTTGGGAGTTTGAGGGCATCAGCACCAGTGATGAAAGAAGAGATGAAACTTGCCAGGGGCGCCGTTATCATACGTTCTATGCACTTGTGTACTTCTGCGTGGGTTTTATGCGCTCGAGGCTTTAGGATTCATAGTGAGATAACCCACCGAAGATCCCATATTCTGATAGTGCCATCTTCACTACCCGTCACCAACCACTTACCTTCACTGTGGAAGGACACGGAGGTTACATTGTTTGTATGTGCATCCAGGCACGTTAGCTAAAGGGGATAAATGGATGGAGATGGCAGCAAATGTCAGAACGCGCACTGGTGTTGAGGAGGTGCTGGTGATCTCGTAAATGTAGACCTTTTTGTGGATTGCCGCGGCCAAAAGGCGTTTGCTGAGATAAACGTCAGTCAATTTACACATGAGAAAATAGGATATTGGAATTACTCGGGTGAGATGGCAAGACGATTCACTTGCTGAGCCATGTATAAGTCTTGACGATGGAAAATTGGAAAACGTGTTACTCACGCCAGACTCTCCAGACCTTGCTATAGTCCGCGAACAGATTCCACTCCACGCTTCCCAGAACCTGATCTCATGGTCGTAAGATCCAGTGACAAGGATTACAGACATCTTGAACGTAGAAGGGCTGAAGGTGTGACAGACTGTGACCCGTGACGAATGGAAGATTCAGCGCGTTCTCACGTGTAGTACAACTGGTTGTTCAACTTACTAAGTTAAAACACTCAACACTGGGTACTTATCAAAATTTGACCTGTACCGTTGATCGACATGATGCTCCTCTTCGTGGCCCATTTCTCAAGATCCAGGAGGATGGAGGTCCGCTGAGTCGTTGGTATTCAACTTCATATTCATGAGACGGAGCTTTGACGGATCGACTCCGAGGATCAACATGACGATCTGGAGTAGGTGACCCTTGGTCATTTACGCTGCTCGTTTACGGGAGGGAGAATGTTTCGGCGTGTGGCTACTTACCTCTGCGTATGTGCTCTGGTATATCATTGAGCCCGTGCATTTCCTCTGCATGCGCGGCGCACGGATTGTTACGTGTTAGCCGCAAGGCAAGAGGTGCTGTCTTTTGGGTCCTGTACCTCAGCTTCTGAAACCTCATTCATCCAAAATTTCATGACCCTTCAACGGGGAGGCATCGCATTTGATTTTAAGTTCAGGCTCATCGGCATTCTCGAACGGCGAGACATGGACGCATCACGAATCTCGAGATCATCCGTCCGAATGAAATTAGTAAAGCTTTCGGCAATTGTTCCTTAGGTTGCCAGCTAATTAACGTGTCTGCAGGTTCCCTTCACCGTAAGCGACCTCGCTCATTTCCACACAATCCGACCTATCGTACGTGCACCGTTATATGGAACAAATTAGACACGGCCTCGTCAAGTTCTCAGAAAGAAGTAGTTCCCTATCACCGACCGAAGGTGTTGAAGTAATCTGCAGACTCGTATAAAAACAGGAGAACGGAATCATGTCTCTCTCAGCCCACGACTTCTCCAAACTCGACGTTTGTGTGTGGTATCTACTGTTTTGGCTATGAACGCTTTCCCAGTAAGCTACTTCCTACCTGGCTTGACTGCCATCCTGACCAAAATCTTAGAATGGCACTCGAGTTTTTTATTGGGCATCCAGTGGTGAAATCAAGTACGGTACTGTGCGGGCCACCAACCGTATGGCCGATGTAGGGATTCTACGCCATCCTCGAAGGTGTTCTTCTAACGAGTTATCTCATAGGGTACCCAGATTGTGGTGGTATCAGTAGATGGGGAAGGCCACGCACAGTTACCGTAAGTCTCCGCTGATTCATGAGTGATGTCATTGTTAATCACATACATTCGCAGGGTATCCAGCCTCTCAAAAGTAAATTAGCTCTCATTTCCAATGAGCATCACAACCTATAGAGCCCAGTTAGACTTATTTATTGCATCCCGCATTCATGGACCTCAGAATCATCACATCACATCATTAGTACTGTATTCATTCGTCTCGTCGCACGTGTACCTCATCCGTTTGTATTTGGCGATCGATTTCTTGCACTGTACTCGGGGAGATAGATCCTGGATCAATCAATCTGCCTTCCAAGTCGCGTGGCATCATGTGAGTTACCAGGGGATTGGGAACTGATAAATCCGGCGAGAGCATTTTGCAGCCCCAGAAGCCGCATGTCTTTGATTTTCCAATAAACAGTTCATGATTGTCCGGCACAATTGGGGCGACCAGCATAACTGGGGCAGGCTTCTTCGCGGAAGCAAAAAAAACATCCACGTCATTGCTATAAATTGATCGCGGGGGTTGGTTTCTACAAGGGGGGGTCTCGTAGAAAGACATCAGGTTTAGATTAGAATCAAATGATATATAATTCCCTCAAGTGACCTTCTAGAACACCACGATTGAGCCGTTTTTAACCTCAGATACCGTTGTCTTGTTTCTTTCTCCGCTGAATTTTGGGCATCATCCCCGACAGCAATCTACAAAGATACATACATAAGTATACCAGCGATAGGTCAATTATTGAACGAAGCTGTCGGCAAGCTGATACGTAGCAGAGGTTCAATATTACGTTCAACGTTCAACAGGCTAGGCTTCTACCTCACTTTTGGAGAAGTCACTAACATGTAACAAAGAGAAGCAATCGATCGAGACGTCGTTACTGGCGGCAGATCAGGAAAAACTAATTCTGCGTACAAACTGCCAGCATGCGGTACTCACTATGCCTAGTACGTAGCACAGTGGGTGCGACGCCACAATGACTGTCAGACATGTCAAGGGCAATACTGAACGTGTGGGAATGTTGGCCGTGAAACATGTGTTAGACGAAGGCCCCTGGGGCAAGACTGCCTTGTTGTTTTTTGAGAAGTGCGGCTGTCGGAAAAACTCGCAAAAACGCGCACAACCGTGTCCCTATTTCTTTGCTGGCGGAAAACCCGAGGCGTTCACATGTAGGACTGTCCGTCGTCAAAACTTTCTGTAACACATCCTGAATGATCGGATTCCGTTTTACCAAGGGACGTGGTCCAGCTTGCCCACCGGGCGGCATACATGATATCTGAGATCTTGAAATTATGACATGGCTTGGCAATTCCATTGCTTCTTTTTCAACACTCCCAACAAGGTAATTTTAATTCTTTTCATACTCTTCGAATGTCGTCAAGTAACTCGAAGATATTTAACCCATTTAAAAGCACTACTACCAAATCTTTGTTCGAGCTAGCGAACATATACGCCATGGGGCTGGTATATTCCTAATGAGTCAGTACAGCAAACTTCGCTGATAGACCGCGGTTTCAGCTGCAGTACGAGATCGTCAATACGTAGTCATTGGGAAATCAAAACATTCAGATCAGCCTGACTCCAGTCCGACAGGGCAAACAACGCTTTCCGACCAGATGTAGAAGACAAGACTTTGCGTGAATGAAATGTGCGGTGATATCGTCGGTGCCTGTCTATACACCGACAACCTTGGTATGACATTCATGTGAAGAACGTGAAGTTCCTTCATACCAAACAAAATCAAGCCGTCGAAAACAGGACCCTCCAGCACACCAGGAAGTTTGTTTTGCCTCGATAGTACCTCGAAATGTAACAAGCTCACTATGAATCGAATGTAGATACTTCCTTTCGGTCCTGAGGGTGATCAAATATTATGCGTCCATATCTGCCAAGGATAATAGACTTACTCTGACCATTATACTGACTCGCTGGCCATCCTTGATCTCGTTTCCGCGAAAACGGCCTGCTTTCAGTACAGAGTGATTATAGTCGTACCGTACGCTGTCCCTACTCGAACTTTAGTTTCAAATTGAAGGCAAACCAAAGGCAAGTACTTGCCTTTGTAAATAAACACTTCCTGATGGGAGTAAAACTTCGAAGAAGTCTTCTGGGTCGCTGGTCGACTCCATCCGTAGTACTCTTGCTGCGCCAAGGCTGACACCGAGAATCCAAGCTCCACTGGCTTGTATATTATCCACATGTTTGAGAATTTCCCCCACGGATGACAAATGCAAAAGATGTGTTTGTATATTTGGGGTTGGATATAGCCCCTGCAAACGAGCTAAAATGAAGGAAAGGCCGGGATTTTCATCCACCGGCCAGGATGACAAGTGCATCTCACGATAATGTCGTATCACACCATCGTAATGACCCTGGGTTGTTCATAAGCCAAACTCTTGACGATGAAGAAAATGTACAACCTCTTGGAAATTATAGTATGCGTCAGGAAGGAAAAGGTCATCGATTGCATGATTCTCTCGTGGGTGATTGGAAAGGAAGTTCCTTCGCCGCTTCCTAGCTTGTTTGGTTTCAGTAGAGTCGAGTTTAGAGAGTGCGGCAGAAAGTAATGTGCGCTGCTCCGCGGGGGACAGAAACTCTGGGAAAAATTTGAATCCTTCTGGAAGGCCAGCAGACTTGGTCCGTACGAAGGAGTGAATTTCGCGTGACGATGGTACATATAATCTTTTATAGGCAGAGAACATCTCTCACTAGGCCATAAACCTCGGGAGATATAACATGAAGTCGAAGTAGTGGCTGGTATTTAAGTATATTAGTGTTGTCTCCAAGATGTGGTAAGGTTGGCTTGAATTTGAGCTCCGCCTAGACTAGGCTTATAGGCTATAAGGTGTATACCGTACTTGTGCAGTTGCAGTCTGGACTCTGCAGATTTGTTCCACGTTACGTCGTACCTTGCTTACCAACTGCACTAGAAAAGAGATAACTCGTCTGCCATCAAGGTTCGGCAACTTCGCTTGTGTGAATGTCGACAAATCCTCAGGACAGTGCAGAACAACAAGGCAATCCATTGTATGCAGCACTTGCCAGGACCACCACAAGGGGAGTAGCACTGTACTTCTCTCGCCCGGTGCGACTGTTTCGACCAACCAAAGGTTTGTCCGTCTGAATATCTTTCACGGGAGATCTCGTCGACAATGCTCATGAATATTTTTGAGTGAGCGGCTGGCACTCTCTTCGTGGTCATGCTAATAAGCACGGGGCGACTCTAAGTATCCAGTATGTATCCGCGCTCGTGAAGAAGCAAGGTGTAGTACTCTGTTGCGGTTCTTTTATGCCCGTACTTTAATGTTGATAGGCTTTGTCAGTTCATGGTGATTCCAAAACATTTTGTGCCGCCGATGGTCGTAAATGCAATGTTGGGTACTGTTCTATGGACGACCTACACAGAAACATCTAATTACCTGGAAGCGCATCTGGAGACGCATCCGACTTTTGTCGCTGCGCTTTCAGGCGCTGCTGCAGGGGGCACCCAAGCCTTGGTTGCAGCTCCTGTAGAAAATGTCCGTCCTTATTGTTGAGGGTGGCACCAGTAGAGGATGGCCTCATGCATGGCAAGAAGTCTTTCGGGGAACTGAGCCCCCTAGATCAGCCAGTAGAACGGACAATATTCAAGAAATAAGACAGGTGAGGCATTGGATGAAGGAGGTTTCTCAGATGGCTGGTCGGGGGTGGGATGGTTGGGGTTGGGGATGTGCCAAAGACGTTTGCGGTAATGCCCCCATAATGTTCACAACTGCACTTTCTGAGATCTCATCGTTGGCCAGGCTTTGCTGCATTCTTTGTGATATTTGAAATCACTCGTAGAGTGGCGATAGCTTCCAAAGCTGCAGCGCAAGGCACCATCCAAAAATTATCAATGACCTCGGAGGAACACGTCTTCGGCCGCCATTTTCCACGAGCCATTCATGGCATTACCTTAGTGACTGGAGGGGCATCGGCGGGTTTGGCATACGAGATCCTCAGCAGACCATGGGACGTAACCAGGCGCACAATTCAACTAGAACGGTCCCTTCATCCCACTTTGAAACATCCGCTGTTCGTGATTGTGCAGAAAATTCGTGGGGATGGAATAATTCATTTTTTCCGTGATACCTCGACTGTGGGTAGCGAAACAAAAGAAGCATCTACCATTCGGCGTCGGATAAATTCCGGCGTCCGTACGCTTGCTCGAGTCGGTCCATGGGGCTTAGGATTTTTGGTATGGGAGGCTTTCGGACCGGGTTTGTCCTAACAGAACCATGTGGCGAGGATAAGCATGTATCCCATGCAGGCATGTAGTCGTGCAACGTAACCCCGTTTTCTCACCATATTTCTCACAACTGAGTAGGCACCTTGCTGCAGATAGAAATAACCACATTTGCCAGTAGCAGAGGCGAATTCGTGCGCAGATTTCACCAATAGATCTAATAACAGCTCAAGTGTTCTGCCTACGATGTTTCTACATAGCAAAGGGAAACTCAAAAACGGCCGATCGTCTTACGTACGCACGATCTTCGCACTGGTGGCTGTACAACATCAACTTGTGGCGCCACATCAGTAGTATACTATAGAGTGAGTGCGAAGAACCGCGTTTCGAGCATGCGTCCCCTCCCTTGAAACTTCTAAGATACTTATGACCCGTGAGGACGCGAACTTTTCTCCCATTCACTTTTACATCATGATGCTAACAGGGGGACAGATCGAAGCCATTGGCCCATCAGGTGCGAAAATGCGCTGTTCACGCTGTATCACTAGTCTTGAAATAATATAAAGTGAGTCCGTTGAACGATACAATATATTTCGCCACAAGGGGAATCCCTAGGCGCTGACCGAATATCCGTAGCCCTGCATGCTGTGCCCCGAGGAGTAAGTAAGCATCCACTCAAGGAGCGTAAACACTCAGAGTCACTGATTGACGAGTCAGCTACGTAGGGCGTAGCATTCCATTGCCATACAGTATACTGCTGTTGTTCGGTCGTGTTATTTTCTTTCCCATGCGATTTGCGGAGCTTCCACACCTCTCCGGGTGAACTACCGATCGGCAACGACGTGAGTGTTATGGCAGTATTGGAGCGCCTTGCGGCCCTTGCCGCACGGTCTGAGAACACTTGACGCCTGGATCTTTATAGCTCTGTGAACTTCGGCTCTAGGAAATGCTTCCATTGTCACGATGCAACTTCATCTCCAATGGATCAAGAACAGTTACGATAGATCACTCCAAAGTAGCAAAGCTGTTACTTTGCAAGACCAAGAACACGTGGTTTCCCAGTGGTTTCATGACCGCGGCGCTGAACCAGAGATACGCTCCCTGATTACCCTCAATATCTCCGGGATACGCGAAAGACTGATAATGTTATACAGATTGTGCCAAAGTGGATACGAGCACGAGATTGAATCATATTAACATTCAACGTTTGGCCCTTTAGTATTCACCACTGGCCAAGACTTGCGCAAACATGATCGCGAACTATGTTTTGCAGCTGTGATCCGTTTACCGAACGTTCAGCACGAGGAGTCATTTGACCTTCTTTGTGAACAAGCTTAGTAGAGAACTTGCCCATAGACTACTCCACAATCTCGTCCATTCCGTCAATTTCATGATTCACTTTTCGTGATAGAGCTGAACTTGGTTGTCACGATATCGGTCGAAGCCTTGCCCTATCGAAATTGTGCAAAGGAGGAATGTCAACTTCCTGCATTCTACGAATGAGTCACTAGTATGGTGCGAAACTCGGGCATCCTGCATAACGTGAACCGTCTCGTCATGATCAGCTGAGAGCCTGTATGGATCATTTCCGACTTTTCGTACCAATTGTGATGTCGTTGTCACGGCATAGAAGAGTGTTACTCTTGTTCTTGATTGGTATCTGTTCTATGAACATTTCAATGATAACCAGACCGCTGAGCATTTGATTCAACGGATGACATCTGACTTCACTATAACGTATGGCTATGATCCGTAGTGCACGGCAATAATGGAAGAACATAACAGATGCAGTCTCACAACCGTATCACACTTCCGCGAACGGATAAGTTCGCCCCACTCTGAATTTACCGGATGCAAGATCTCCGTCGACCCTTCCATAAATTATAAAATGCAGCCTCTTATGATCCACTCTTTTCTGCGAAAAAGTCCCGTTTATTATCCACGTGTGTTGCCGTGCCCTATTATGTAGACAGTACATAGTAATGTTGTCAATTATGTCCCTGTATAAAGAGTCCATTTGGCTCTTACCTGGTATCGGTGTAGGTGTCAGTGTGGAGCGATAAGGAGTAAGCGTAAAGGTATCAGGGCAATGGGGGGGTGTGCACGATTAGTCGGGGTTAGACCTGCTGGGTGGCGCGAAGAGACGCTGAGAGCTCGAGAGACAATGTCAATGAGTACTCAGCGGGCTTGCGCTGGAGACTATCAAGTGTGCACAGTCACCAATGTCCTTTATGCCGTTATTTACATATATGTCGACGTGACTGTGTAACTCGATGCGTCACCGAATTGTATGTAGTGGAGCAAGTGTGGGATGTATATACTTCGAGTTAGTGTAAGTAGCTTTCGAAATACACGCGACAGGCCTTGCAATTGGGCGTTTCTCTCTGAGCAGAATAAGCACCAACTTGCTATCAGTTCAGCATGTGGTTATGTAAGCAATCAAAGATCAGGTCGAGGAAACAAATCGCGTGTCCCTCTCAGAGTCCCAAGTACTTACTTTGATTGCAAGTCATATTCGATCTAGCAATGCCGCGTTGCACACGGAAAGGATGCAATAAGGAATACGATCCAGCTGCTAATAGTGCGTCCAGCTGCACGTATCATCCTGGAGCACCTGTGAGCCGCTATTACATCTCAACATCAAATCACTGCAATTTAGTCCCGCCTTTAGGTTTTCCATGAAGGCCTTAAATCGTGGTCTTGTTGTTCAGATGTGAATAAACCAGCCTTGGAGTTCGACGAGTTCATGAAGATACCTGTAAGTACTAACACTGGGTCTTCGGCCAGCGCAGCACAGTGCTACACCACTGACAACCTCGATATCAGGGATGCACCGTCTGTTCACACACAGATGAAGCTCCCCAAGTACCTGTCCCTGCCCCTGCTACAAAGACATCCTCGACCGGCGCCAGTTTGACCATGAAGGAGGCAAAAGACGGAGTGGAGATTTATTCGTCAGGTGCACCGAAGGTTGCATCGCCTAAGCCATCAATTCCCCTACCTATGGAAGCTCCTGTTGTTGAAGATGATCTCAGCGTGCCCGTAACTCCCGGCACCATCTGTAAACGCAAGGGTTGTGGTACCGCTTTTGTCAGCGATGAAGTGAATCGAATCGGAGATGGCGATGAAACTATCTGCACATACCACCCAGCTGCTGTACGTTTGATGGTGTCAATGGTGAGCTCGCGTATCGGCTGACTCAAGACCTCAGCCCATGTTTCATGAAGGAAGCAAGGTCAGTCATGCAGAAGTCGCGCAGTTGCGAAACCAAAGCTCTACCCACAGGGTTACCTATGCTGTAAACGACGGGTCTTGGAGTTTGACGAGTTCCTCAAGATCGAGGGATGCAAAAGGGGGCGTCACGTCTTTGCGCCTAAGCAGCGTACAGAATCGCAGGTTTGCTCCCTCTCTGTCACGTCATCGCTTGAATGACTGGATTGAATGTGTGATTTCTTTAGGCAGAGCAGTTCACTGACTGCCGTGTTGATCATTATCAGACACCAAAAGAGGTCCATATTTCCGTGTTCGCCAAACAAGCGGACAAGGAAAAGAGCACTGTCGCGATAGAGGAAAATCAGATCCACGTCGACCTCTATCTCCCTGGATCAAAGCGCTTCCGCCGCACAATCATTCTTTTCGGTCCTGTGGATCCAGATGGGTCTTCGTACAAATTCTACAACACTAAGGTCGAAGTGGTCCTGAAGAAACTTGATACCAGGAGTTGGACGTTGCTTGAAGAGACAACCCGTGACCTCGGCAACATCAGCTTGACTTTTGGTGTCGGTGGCCGGACGGGTACCATCGGGGGCAAAGATCTAGTGCTTGATGAGCAAAACGCAACTAAAATCAATTAGAGGATTGAGGGGAATACGCGAAAACTCTAGTCTAGATTTCTAGTGTAAAGATAAAAATACCACAGCCATAGTTTGAAGCATCCCAGATCATAATACGCCAGGTATTTCTATCGTCTGATACATCTGTATCAAATCACCGTCACGCAAATCCTCATAGTCCTGCAGACTGATCCCGCATTCAGTACCTTTCTTCACCTCCGGCATGTCCTTCTTGTGCTGCTTAAGCGCATCGAGGGCACCCTCATAGATTACTTGGCCATTGCGTACAACTCGGGCACCTTTCGACTTCTCGATGGTGCCATTGGTGACTCTGCAGCCTGCAATCTTCTTTGTCGTCTTCCCTTTTAGGTGGATATCAAAAAGTTGTAAAACGGTCGCCTCGCCAGTAACTTTGGTCTCATAGGTGCAAGGCAGCAATGCGGTGACACGGTCTCGGACCTCGTCCATGATCCGATAGATGATCTTGGACGAGTAAATTGGGACGTGATTCTGTGTCGCAACAGTCTCCACTGAACGCGGAGTGTTGACTGAGAAGGCAACAATCATGCCTATGTGCGCAGTATCAGCATCTCGGCCCGCCGTAAATCATCACAACTCGGGGTCCTTACCCTCAGCGGCCTTAGCCATCATCACATCGCTCTCCATTACATCCCCTACCCCCGTGGATACGACCTTGACGCGAGCCTTTTCATTGCCGATCCCTCCCAGCGCGCCCACAACGGCCTCAACACTCCCGCTCACATCACCCTTGATCACCAGCCGGAGCTCTTTAGGGCCGCCATCTAATACATTCCTCACTTCTTGATTCTTATCCTCTTCCCTCCGGACTCTTTCGCGTTCTGCTGCTCGTGCAATATTAATTGCCTCCGCATCCATCAGAACGGTTTCCACTTCCTTCTTCCTAACCCTATTTGCAAGGGCTTTTTTTACGTCGCCCTCGCTCCCCTGCACAACTTCATCACCTGCGCTCGGAAGTGAGCGCCACCCAGACACGGTGACCGCCATTCCAGGGTATGCAGCCTTAACAGGTGCGCCAGATGAATCCGACATAAGACGGACTTTGCCGGAAGATGTGCCTGCCAGGATATGAGCGCCAGGAGTCAGACATCCACGTGAAACCAGGACTGTCGCAGTAGATCTGTAAAAAAACATGCGGTCAATTGGGGATGACACAACGCATCGGGACGTACCCGAGGCCTTTGTGCATCCTTGATTCAATGACATGCCCATAGGCTGGTCCATCTCGCTCTGCGCGTAAATCCTGTACCTCGGCCATCAAAGACAAGGTGTCTATTAGATCATCCAACCCCTGTCCCGTCAACCCGGACACATCGACAGACGGGATGTCTCCTCCAAATGCCTCCAGCTGTATGCCCTCTGCAAGGAGTGCATGCTGAACTTTTTCCTGCAAAGCACCTTCCGTTGAGCCGCTAGAACAGGGACGACTCGGAAAACACCCACCACATCCGCTTCTGGTTTATCAACCTTGTTGATAGCCACAACAACCCCAAGCTTGTCCCGCTCTCCCTTGATAAGTTCGATAACCTCTTTTGTCTGAGGCATCACACCATCATCCGCTGCGACGACAAGAACAACGATGTCCGTAACACTAGCACCACGCGAGCGCATTGCAGAAAAGGCAGCATGTCCAGGGGTGTCAAGAAAGGTAATTGTCCCACTAGAGGAACCCTGGACAGGCACAGAGAACGCACCAATATGCTGCGTGATACCACCAGCCTCACTATCGGCAACAGATGCTGAGCGAAGGGTATCTAGAAGAGTAGTTTTACCGTGGTCGACGTGACCCATGATCGTAATGATGGGTGGGCGTATGGGAAGAGTAGTTGGGTCAAGATGCGGAACACTGAACATCGCATAAAGTCCACAAGTATATCAAATATCTCAGACCACGTACGGGGGATATATATCAAAAGCAGCCTCATCATTGATGATAGGGTTGCGGCCAAATTCTTCCGCAAGAAGGGCAGAGTAATCGGATGTTAATACTGCAGTAAAGCATCAATAAGGAAGCGGTAAAGAAATGAAACAAGCATGACCATGGTCATATGACGCCTCGGCTGCCATCCCCGCTTCGACCATCTTGCGTTGGAGTAGTGCTGCAATTTTTGAGACTAGGTAGCCTCCATAAAGTTATCAGTTGCTTACTCTGCCGCACGTTTAACAGCCTTGCAAGTTGACCAACAGAAACCGTCGTAGGAATGTATACATCAACGGCTATTTTCTTTGAGTGAACCTTCGCCTTTTTTGCTTTCGAGCCATGCTTTGGGTTGGTTTGATGTATCCGGGAATGGCTAGGAATGGCGGCATCTCTAGCATGCCGAAGCGAGCCTCGATCCTTTACGTTCACCCGCTCAGGACGTCTATTCCGGCCAACATCCAAGTCTTCGTCCACAGCAAACGCTGCAGAGAAGCGATGTCTCTCTTGCTCTGTGTTTGAAACTCCTTTAACCTGCGATGATTCCATTCCCTTCCTAGTTTTGTGGTCTCCATGATGTTCTTCCCGCTGTCTTGGAGGTGGTTCTTGAGACTGCTTCTGAGCCGGAGATGGGCGCGTCCCCATATGAGGCGCTTGGTCTCGTTGCAATTTCTGCCGAGAAGTGGAGCCACGACTAGAAGCATCGGATGCTCTTGTTAAAAGAGCACTCATGCCAGGTCGCGATTGAGGAGTTGCGGGACGAGCCCATTTTGAAGCGGAGGGAGCAGGTCCACCACGCAAAGACACTCCTTGGAAGTCATCAGGGTCACTATTAAAGGACGTTGTTTGCGCTCTGGACCATTTACCCAGGGTCGACTGTGGAGGAAGAATAGAGTCGACGGACGCCCATTCCGAAGGCTAGCGATATCGTTATAACGTATAACGCTGTTGTGAAAAAATGTAGCGGTGCCTACCTTTACTTTGGCTGCCGTTGACGCGCACCTCCGCTGCGTGAGCTGAAGAGCGCAAATAGTGACTTTGCGACGATGCATTTGACGTGCTCGATGCTCGTCAACGTCGGCGTCCAGACCGCGTTAATGAACGGACAAGTGAGATTACGTAACAAGACACTGGGACTTACTTATTAGCGCATACACCCTTCACTTACTACACTTTTTACAGACCATGAGCTTGTTAAGCTGGTAAACCATTGCGTCAGAATGATCGGACTACTTGCATCTAGAAGACTCGTTAACCCGTGTATTGCTTTCCTCCATCCCACACAATGTTTTCAGCGAGGTTACGCGCTTTCTCGGTTTCCCGAGCGAAGAACCGGTTTTGGGAGGAGTTCAGGACGCAAACCAACTCAGGGAACCGTGACATCTGCTCAGGATGCTGACCAACAGGCGTATAAGTCACGATTTACATTAGAGGAACAGCCCTCTGCGCATGATTCGCAACTCTGGGGCTCGAGTCAGAGGACGCCCTCCAGTAACCCGGAGGAGGGTTTGAAGCATCTGTTACTCAATAATAATACATTGGTCATAACAAGGTGTATCTTCTTACTGCAATACATAGAAGGCAAGCTAATTCACTGTAGACAGCTTGAAATGCTCAACATATTCATGGGGTTCGAGCAGTCAAACCGATATACCATTAGTACGTGACTCTTATTTTGCACCATCCAACAGCTGGAATCGTCGAAATTTACTCTCATATTAGCAAACGAAGCTGGTGAATTGCTTGGCTACATCGCTGAAGAGCCTCGAGGCATCCTGTCGATATTTAGCAGACAAATATTCCGCACACATCGTCCCTTTCGTGCTTTAGTTATGGACCTTCACGGGTCACCTATTCTCTGGGTGCGATCCATAGTAGTCTTCCTGGCTGGTCGGAATAAATTCATGAAACCATGCAGATTCGCCGGCCATTTGCGTGGATAAATTCGCGCATGTTTGTTCAACGGTTGAAAGACCTCCACGAATATACACCGGAAGGAGAACCCGTTCTAGACACGTTCGCTGAAGTCCAACAGGAGTGGCATCTTTGGCGAAGACGCTATCATCTCTTTCTTCGGTAATGCAACACAACTGCTCTGTTTGTATGCTTAGTACCAAGACTTGTGTCATAGTGACCAGCCAAGGCGTATTCTTTCCACCACATCTGAGCCGCAGCCCGAGCCTCGGATAGATTCATTTACCCAATTTGCAAAGATTGATGAGGGGCTCTGGGCCTGGCATTTTAACATGCTCGATGTGTGTGCCACGCCCATTGCGACCGTCAACAGGGCGTTCCGCGGGTTTGGAAGGGAGGTAAGTTAGGCATACCCAATCTCCGCATTTCAAAATGTTACAAGGGGCTCAACGGTCTTCTCCGCAGATTTTTACTGATACAGGTTCTGACTTGCCAAACTGCTGAGGTGCTAATCTTACTGACGTGGGCGTATTGCGGTTGATAGGACAATATATCGTGACCTTTGACGCCACACACCCGGACCTATCCGATACAACGCCACAGCAGCCCACGGTGATCAGGAATCTCACTCTTGACGAGCGCGCGGTAAATATATACCACTTGCTCCATCGTTACGATTTTCTAATTCTTTTGCGCGGTATTAATCATCACAGCTAGTGCTTGCGGCGGCAGGTCAGTACCCCGAGTGTTCTGATGGAGTTGACTATTAACGGGTAGCAGTAAACATCGATTACGATTACTTCTCAAGACATTCAGGGAGTCACGGATTTGGGTTCCCCATCTGGTGGAGCCCAGGGGAATGATGATACTCGTGGAGTACTGCTCTATCGGACGACGCTGGCAGAGTACAACAAGTATATTAGTGCAGAAATGATGCGAGACAGCTACAAAGTGACTAGGATGACAACATGCAAAAACTAAGAATGTCAGTAACTCTCCCCAACTTCACACAAGGTTTCCAAGAACAACTTCAGATCGTCCTGATCAATCTCGAGCACGCTGGCATCAAAGGTACTGTGGCGTGACCGTGCATTGCAGCGTTGCTTTGCTTCAATGAATGCTAGACCAAACTCGCTGAAGTGAGGTGAACCATGCACGTCAATACTAACAAGAAGACACGAACGTCCGACTTACTTTCTCCTGACATCCCCAAAGTCAAGCGCTCCCATGATACCGACCACAGCGTACGTTCGTGTCTTTTCATTCAAGCAAGCGACGACAAACGGGAGCGACTTCTTTCCTCTTCCTTGGGGGCCGCCGATTTTTGTCCCTGGGAGACGATCACGAAGTGCATCAACTAGCCAAAGCCCTAGACGCGCCAGAACCCCGGGATGGGCGAAGAGAGCAAGATCAGGCCCCTGTGAGAGCACCACAACGCGATGGGAGCGCATCGTTCGAATACCCTGCTTGTCTATTATCGACGTCCCTTGCCGAATGATGGCACGATGAAGCGACATTGCAAGCGACAAACCGTCTCTTAGGGGTATAATGCTAAACACAATTATTCCAGAGCGCACGTCTCCAGGAGGAATAGCACTTACTCTGTCAAAGCATCATAAGCAGCCCAGAAATTCTTCTCCCACCATGTCCTCTCCTTCCGCTCTTCGCCATCAACGTCTCCATCCCCGTCCCCGTCCTTTTGTCTGCTGCCTACCTCCATTCGCTTCTCCTGCTGCCCTTCCCCTTCCCTTCCCCCTTCCCATAATCTCCCGCCACCAAACCACTCCCCCCCGTGCCGTGCGCCTTCGACCTCGACCTCCATCCTGATACCGCCTGCAACGTCGAGCAACGCACCTACTGCTTCCACAGCGTCCGCTGCACCGAGAGGGGAAGCACGATAACCAAAGCATCTCGCAAAAGACGGATACGTTAGCTCCACCAGGCCGTATTCTGGCGCAATTGAGTCGAGTTTCGCCCGCAGTTGATGCTTCAAGTCAAGGTCCATATGAGCATAGGGTTGCTGCGTCTGAGGAATAGAGAAGCTACGGAGGAAGAGGTTCAGCCACGACAAAAGAAGTGTTCATGAAAGCGCACCCCATTTTCGCGAGCAATCCAGTGAGACGCTTTCGTCCACGCTCTTTCCATATGCCAAGCTTGCCCGCAACATAGCTTGAATGGTACATTGCATCGTACAGGGTCCAATGTCGGAAGAGCATAAAACGTAGCTCCTCAGCTGCACGTACAGAGAGATCGTCTGGGCTCATAGCTGTAATAGCATCTGTTGTATTCGCAGCAACGTCTGGTGGGAGTGGGTTTAGGCGGAAAACTTCATCGTAGTATATTGAATGGTATTTGTCGTAAGTGTCGCGGGATATTCGAGCGGTGGTATACTGGAATGTGAGCCCAAGGATCGCTAGCCTGAAGAATGTTTTCGTAAATCGAGCCACAGGAGGTCAACGAGTGGGTTACCAGAGCAAATCACAGTCCACGCGTTCAAGGACAGTTGCAAGTATGTACATTGTCGCAGACGCACTTTGACCGTACCACGACCCACTCCCATAGTATTTGGCGATAAGTTGATGATATGCATCACGTTGTTCTCGCGACAGTCGGGTAGATTGCTTGATCATGAGCTTAATAAAGCAATAACGCGTTGGGTGAAGGCTGAATGATGGCTCACGTCGTCCAGCTTCCGTCGCTTTTCTTGACTTCGATCTCCGTCTCCCAACGATCTCCGCTTGCCCGTGGGGCCCCGTTCCGAGAACTCATTATCATTGTCATGATCATCCTCTTCATGTGACAGAGCGCCATCTTCATCGTCCAGCTCCGAGTCCTCGTCAGAGTCGGGTTCAGGTTCGTACTGCATTCAAGTCAGTGGGAGCGGCCGTGTAGCGATCATTACATTCACCGTCAGGGCTTCCCAAGCCTTCCTCTCCTCTCCCATATTCTCTGCTTCACCATCATCCCATACAATAAACCTCTCGCCATTCTCACCACCGGAAAACATGTTCGCAAGGTTCTGTGGCCGGTTTGAGTCTATGACGTGCACTGTAAGCTTCATGTTGAATTCGCCGAACCAATTCTCGGACGAAAGGTCAAGAATAGCACCCATATTCAATAGGATGAGAGTGTGTAGCTTTCGAGTATTCAGCTAGTCGGTGTACCTTTGACGACAGTACACACACCTCGGCAAATGTAATCAGCTCGTCTTTCATGCGTTCAAGGTCGGCCGGACCCGAAGAAGGGATTATTTTGTGTGTAACATCATCCTGCTTTAGGAGTTCCGCAAGTATTTTCGCTGCACACAATGCGTCGACATCGGGAGCAACGAGGATTACGACAGACGAAGCAGATGCGAGCGGCGAGCGGCGGTGTGCCGCAAGGATGTTTGCATAAGCCTCAGCGTAGGCAGGACGTGAGGCGGATGCTAGGTGTGGTGGCGGAAGAAAGACCATAAAACCGGAGACGCGTGTGGAGAACGAGTAAGTACGTGTCTTGGAAGCGGTCGGAACAGACTGACGCGACCGTGACGCGTCGCGTACTGTAACGATGACACGTGCAGTCACATCATGTCAATGTCACGGAAGACACAAACATATACAAAGCACAATAATATTCATTCAACATGATACAACGAGCAACATGATGAGATATGATAGCTACATCGTGTTTCCATGGACAGTCCAGCAACATATAGGAGAAATATCAAGCAATAATGCAAAAAGAGGAACAGCGAGAATGAGTCACTGGTGATGAAGAATAAAGGATGATATGTGGTGAGAGAATACAATGAAATGAGTGTTGTTGATCATGAATGGTGGTGGAAAAAAGTGATTTCAGCAAGTGCAAGAATTGAAGAGACGATGCTAGAGGTTGTGATGAAAAGGACGGTCCACCTTTTACCGGAACTAGTGGACCTCCAATTTCTAGTTATGACACATCCATTTGTGTTTTGTTCCTTGCTTTTGACCTCGTCTGTTCTTCCATCACAGTCTTGTAATCTATCATTTGCCTTGTTCCTCCTCATCAGAGCTTTACTTGTGCTCTCACAACAGACTTAGGGTGTTGCTGACAATAGGTCAAAAGCAATTTTAATGCCAGAAATCACCTTTCTTATCTACCCCTATCATGTCATCGAACAATAACTCACTTGACACTGATCAAAACATGTCTTCTCCTAATGGCGCTGATGGAGGTGCCCTACTTCAGCTTCTTACCCAACTGGTTCAGGGACAGCAAGACTTTGGGCAAGCTATCACCTAGGTCTTAGCTCAGCCTACACCACCACCAGCAGCGGTACAAACCCAAACTACACCAATGCCTAAGGCATCTATTGCTGAACTGGACACTTATGACAAAAGCTACAAAAAATTTGATGCGTTTATGAGTCAACTTTTCTTGTTGTTCTCCAGCAAGCCGTCGGTCTATGCTAATGACCAGATGAAAATTATTATGGCCCTTTCTTTTATGAAAAAGGGGTTTGCCAGCACCTGGGCAACTAATATCACAAGGTGGTTGAGGGAAGGTGGCCTAACCTTCTCTGGTTGGGCATCCTTTGAGAGGAAGTTGAAAGAGGTGTTTGATGACCTGAATAAGAAGCGGGCTGCACAGGTAAAACTTCATGTATTGAAGAGATCCCCAAGGCAGTCAACCGATGAATACTTTGCTGAGTTTGATCAGCTCGCTATGATTGTGGGATTCAATGATGAAGCCCTACTTGACATTCTCCATCAAAACCTTGATAGACCTACATTCAACGCGATCATATCGGCACCACAAGTTGATTGAACCTTGGTTGGGTGGAAGGACTATGCTAAAAAGTATGATAGGAATAAGAGAGCGAATGAAAGAAGTGACGGAGAAGTGACGGGCAGAAGGAGGATTGGAGAAGGATGGGCTGGTCCAGGCTGGATTAGAATGGGAGGCTTACCGGGTATGGGACAAGGCTCTGGAAATCCAGGGACTGGGATGGGGACAACTGGTACAAATCCTAATATGGGGGGTCAAATGGGCATGGGCACTAATATAGGCGGCGGACATACCTTTCCTGGTTGGGGCAAACCAATGGACATTGATCGACAACAGGGATGGGTAGGACTGCTCAAATGCTACAATTGTAATTGTGGAGAGCTTGGGCATATTTCTCGCAACTGTTCTAAGCCACGGGGCTGGAATGCTATGAGGGTGGTCTTTGAAGGGTTAACCAAAGAACAGAAGGGAGAGGTAGCGGAGATCTTTAACTTATGAGAGAGGTCTGAAGAAAAGCAGGAGGGTTTTTGAAGGTGTTGGGAGAAAAGGGTGCAAACTCACCAACAAATTGTATGATAAGTGCTGAATCAATCAATGAAACTTGCAGTTCAGACTCCCAAGCACCCAATCTTGCAGATAAATCAAAAAACAACTTGCAGAAAAAGAATCAGTGAAGAAAAGAAAAGAAATGAGAGGCTAAAAGGGAAGAGTTGAAGAAAGAACAGATGATGGAAGAGGAGAGGAGGAGGAGGAGGAGAAAAGGCTCATTACTATGGGCCCTTGAGATGCTCTCTTCTAATGATGAAAAGGCATTGAAGACTTTATGACAATGGACAAATCATCAGCGGACCTCTGAGATCACTTTTGATCTATTAAGTCGACTTTGTCAAGTTGAACCCCCTATACAGAAGGACATTCTTCGCAAGCTAAAGCATCCTTGAAGCTGGATTCATAAAATCAGTCAAAATGCCGTTATCACGCCTGTCATTATTTGTACTTTGGATGACAAATGCACTTTTGATCTCCAAGCACTATTGGACAGCGGAGCTACAGGCTGTTATATTGACGAAGGCTTTGCCCAAGCCAAAGGCTTGAACCTTGAAACACTTCCTCGACATATCCCTGTCTATACGCTGATGGTTCGCACAATGAAGGTGGACCAATATGAGCGGTGGTAAAGTTACGTCTTCAGGTTCAAGATCATGTTGAAACTTTCAGCTTTGCTGTCACCAACATGGGGAAAACTGATCTAATCATTGGATTTGACTGGCTTCGTAAACACAACCCTTCTGTTGACTGGCATACCGGCAATATTACCTTTAATCGTTGTCCGCTTGCTTGCCATGTGTCATGAATGTTACCAACTGCATCTAAATTTCGATTATCAAACCCTAAGTCACCTATCCGATAAGATTAGATTAGATAAGATCCCTGATAAGATAAGATGGATAACTGATTAACGATCACTATCTTCACATCACATCTATACTACATCAACGTCATCCATCTATATCCGTGACCCTAGACATCCGAAGTCATCACATCCTTAGAAGTCCTACGATTAGGCAACCAGCTACATCATAAGCATCTACACGCCTCTATGATCGAACCATAACCGAGAGTCCTTTACGAGCCATCTCTCAAAGAGTCATCATCCTTTCACATCGCAGACCTTCACTTCCCACACATGACATGTTAAGAGTTACCTCTGTCATTCACCGAACCTCTTACATAAGAACCTGTTGCACAGTCACAGCTAAGAACCCTGAACCCCTATCACAGAAGTGCCACTCATAGAGAAGCATGCTCATTACCGAAGACCCTGGAGAAACCCCTAGATCCGATCGTACCCGATACATCTCCAGATCCCATCTCTTATCGAGATCCTTAATCACCACTCGAGACTTCTTGTCACAGAACTCTCTCACCCGTCTTCATATCCGCCCACCCTGAATAGAAGCAGTACCCTGAGACCCTGCTTAATCACCGATACCCCTAAACCCTATGGACCCTTTCTTGTAGTTGATTGGTTGGTAAGAAGCCCTATACCCTAGGTGCAATGTTATGACTGTATATAGATATATCACCACCTTTCATACTCAGATATCTCCGCCTAGAGAGTAGTATATAGTTTAGGTTGTAGTCAGTAGTACTCCTTAGACTTAACCTCTTCGTTCTTACGTCATCGTAGACCTAGATGTTCCCTCTCAATACGATCCCCTTGTTTTATCATCTCTCAGACGAGTCCTGTGGTGTGGTCCGATCTCCAGACACCTACTAGTTAGGTTAAGGGACGTTGGTCATAACACCATGCTACACTTGGGGATCAATTGCGGGAGCCAGAGGATGAACTAGTGAAAAGGAGACGAAAAGAACAGTTGGAAGCGGGAGATTGTATTTTCGTAACGAAGTTTGAGATTGAAAGTCTTGATGAGTGGCATTATTGGGAGAAAGCAAGAAAGCGGATGAAAATACGAGCAGTGGAGACACAATCACAGAAATTAGCAGAGCAAGCCCTCAAGTCAGGGAAGAAGGTATCATTGGAGGAGTTACTTCCTAACCATCTTGAAGATTTCACGCCAGTGTTTGAGAAAGTATTGTTTGACCAATTACCCGAACATCATCAATGGGATCATGCTATTGAACTCAAACTGGAAGTCAAACCATTCAATAGCAAGATCTATCCATTGAGTCTAGTTGAGCAAATGGAGTTTGACAAATTTATCAAAGAACACTTATGCATGGGACGAATAAGGCCTTCAAAATCTCCCATTGCATCACCTTTCTTCTTTGTCAAAAAGAAGGATGGTTCCTTACATCCAGTCCAAGATTATTGCAAGTTAAATGCAGCAACTATCAAAAATTGGTATCCTTTACCTCTCATTTTGGAAATTGTGCACAAACTCCATAATGTGCACTATTTCACCAAACTCGATGTCTGATGGGGATACAATAATATCCGAGTCTGCAAAGGAGATGAATGGAAAGCTGCATTCATGACCAATCATGGTCTTTATGAACCTTTAGTAATGTTCTTCGGCCTCACTAACTCCCCTGCTACCTTTCAGACGATGATGAATGACTTATTTCGCAAGCTCATTAGCCATGGTGTTGTAATCGTGTATATGGATGACATACTCATCTTTACCGAATCCCTTGAGGAGTGCCAATGGGTCACATGCGAGGTCCTTCAGATTCTCTGCGATAATCATCTATATCTCAAAGCTGAGAAGTGCGAGTTCGAAAAGACGGAGATTGAGTACCTTGGTCTTGTTGTTCGACATGGGGAAGTATCTATGGATCCGATCAAAGTAGAAGGGGTGAAAAAATGGCCTCATCCAACCACTAAATGGGAACTGCAGCAGTTCCTGGGATTTGTCAACTATTATTGGTGTTTCATCCAAGGTTTCGCTCACATTGCCCATCCGCTACATCGCTTGACCGGTAAAGAGCTATGGCATTGGGGAGTGGAGGAGGAGAAAGCCTTTCAGGGTTTGAAGTCTGCTATCACGACAGCCCCTGTCCTCATCATGCCAAAGGACAACGCACCATTTCAAGTTGAGGTGGACAGTTCAGACTATGCCACAGGTGCTGTCCTTTCACAATTACATAATGACGGCAATTGGCATCCAATTGCATTCCTCTCGCATGTGCTTTTGGATGTCAAACGTAACTATGATATCCATGACAAAGAGCTTCTTGCTGTCATGCACTCCCTTGATGAGTGGCAACATTATTTGATGGGCGCTCGACATACCTTTGACATTCTAACTGATCATAAAAACCTCAAATATTTCACAACAATGAAAAAGCTGAATCGCCACCAAGCATGATAGGCATTACAATTAGCAGAATATGACTTTCGACTTACTCACAAACCCAGTCACAGTCATGGAAAACCTGATGCCCTCTCGAGATGAGCAGACCATGGAAGGGGGGAGGAAGATAATGAAGGTCGAGTTTTGTTGAAAGAAGAGTGGTTCCAAGCAGTGACAACAGAAGTAGAGATGGAGGGTGACGAAATTTTATCCAAAATCCGAGCATCAAAGAAAGTTGAGGGGTTTGTAAAAGAGGCAGTATGAAGAGGTGAGGAAGGTTGGAAGACCAAAGAAGGGTTAAATCTATGGAAAAACCGGATCTATGTGCCAAACGAACAGTCCCTTTGAGATCAAATCATCCATACTCACCACGATTTGCCAATATCCGGCCATCCTGGACGTTTCAAGACTGCTGAACTTATTTTACGAGCATATTGGTGGCTGCAACTTCACGCAGATGTGACATGTTATGTGAGTGGCTGTGAAAGATGTCAGCAAACCAAAATGTTCCCTGCAAAGCCATTCAGACTCCTCGCACCCAATCCAATACCAGATCATCATTGGCAATTCATGTCTGTGGACCTTATAACTCAACTCCCTCAGAGCAGAGGGAATGATGCTATTCTTGTTGTTGTAGATCACTTATCCAAGATGATATGTCTCACACCAACAAATGGGGAACTGTCTTCTGAGGGATTAGTGCGCTTATATCAGGATTGAGTATGGTAAGACTTTGGCATTCCAGAGCGGGTCATTAGTGACCATGGATCGCAGTTTGTTTCCAACTTTATGCACGACCTTAATCAATTACTCGGGATTCAAACCAATTTGTCAACTGCATACCATCCACAGACAGACGGACAAACAGAAAGAATCAACCAGGAAGTTGAGCAGTACCTTCACCTATTCACTAATTACCATCAGGATGATTGGGCAGAATGGCTGCCACTTGCCCAATTCAATTATAATGACAAAGTCCAGACTTCCACTGGTTACTCCCCTTTCTTTCTCAACTATGGTTGACATCCTCGGAAGGGGATTGAACCCCAAGCCTGAGTCAAAGTGGAAAGCACAGATGTTTTTGCATCTTGTATGCGCCACCTTGCCGAAGAAGCTGCTTTAGCTCTAATGAGAACAGTGGAAGACATGAAATGTTACTATGATGAACGTTGTTGTGAAGCTCCAGAATATCAACCAGGAGATTTAGTCTATCTGGAGGGCACCAATCTAAAATCTGATCGCCCTTCGAAAAAACTTAACGATTGTTGTTTCAGTTCTTTCAAAATTCTTAAGAAGGTCGGTGTTAGGTACCATGCCGGCTCAAGAAGCAGAGGGGTTGGGGCTTGGCTTCAGCTCTTGCGCTGCGCCCTTAGCTGAGTACATGCCCCAAATTTGGAGCAGGTCCGACATTGTCTGACGGTAGGACGAGTAGACTGCTTAGGTCCGCTTTGAGGGTCGGAAGGTAAGAGCTACTAGCGGCGGGCTGACTAGGAGTGGAGCGGAGAAGGCGGAGGATAGTGCAGAGGGTGGATAGGAGCAGGGGGAATATTTGATAGGGGCAGAGTAGTAAGGAGAAGGCTTAGAGCATGGCTCTAAGTCAGAGTGGAGGGTCAGAGGTGACAACAAGATGAAACTTGTGTCTGGAGGAGGCAAGGTCCTACTGAGAATTCTCATAAGTAGAAACTGCAAGAAGACAAGTAATATTAAGACTGGGGAAAATATCTAAGTGCAGGATATGTTATATACTTCTAAGTATGAGGCAGTGATCAGGATAACTATGTTGTAAAGCTATGTACCAAGGATGTAATTTGTAAGTACTTACACAGGCGAAGACATAAGTTGGAGCAGATATCAATATGTATGCGTTGGATCAGTGATTGAGCGGTAAAAGGAACTACCGGTGATCCGGAAGTGAGGGTCTATGTACTGAAGGGGAAGTACATGTCCAAACAGGGAAAGAGGTTCCAGTTGAATGGAGACGTTATGGAAGGGGACTGGTTGGGTGGTCGAGCGGAAGCATAGGGGCGGATGTGGACAATGATTGGACAGAGCAGAGGTGGTCGGAAAGCGGAGCAGATATTAATATCAGGGTGGTCGGATCAGGTATATGACAGTCGGAGAATGTGCCTATAAACTTGATCTACCACATACATGGAAGTGCATCCATCCAGTTTTCCATACTACCCTTTTATGTCCCTTTACACCATCAGTTTCCCCATTACAGCATCGGCCCTCGCTGCCACCACTGATAGATCTCAGAGGCACACCAGAGTGTGAAGTTGAAGAAGTATGAGATAGTAGAGAAAGATGGGGAAAAAGAGAGTTTCTTGTTAAATGGAAAGGTCAGCCGTGTGAAGAAAGTACATGGAAACTGGAGAGAAACCTGAGGAATGAGTATGGGACCAACAAAGCCTTTCAAACATTCCTAGTGTGCAATCGAGAATGTCTCACCATTCAAATACCGTGCCAGGAACATTGGAGATATTCTATGCTGAATCAAGGAGTATATGATTGGAAAACAAGAAGGTTTAAAAGGATGGTTGATGAGGACATTGACCTTCAGAGGGGGTAATGTGATGAAAAGGACGGTCCACCTTTTACTGGAACTAGTGGACCTCCAATTTCTAGTTATGACGCATCCATTTGTGTTTTGTTTCTTGCTTTTGACCTCGTCTGTTCTTCCATCGCAGTCTTGTAATCTATCATTTGCCTTGTTCCTCCTCATCAGAGCTTTACTTGTGCTCTCACAACAGACTTAGGGTGTTGCTGACAATGGTCAGCAGCAGTGTAAAATACAAGGTAGGGTGGTCATACATATTTGTACACTGTCCTCAGTGGCATCATGGGCAGGAACAATGTATCCAGTGAGTGTCTTCACAGGGGGTTGGCATGTGAACTTGCAACCAGCTAGGTGCTTCAGACTGAAGGGATTCACACTTCTTCTGATGCCGAGTCACAGCATCGCTCCTCGAGCACACCAGATGGCAATAGAGACATTCACAGGTGGTGCTATAATGAACCATTTCAATATGACAGCCCAGATAATTCATTGACAATGTATCTGTGCAACCCTGAAACTTGCAGACAACCTGTTCCTGAACACTGATACCATGCCAGTTATCAAGATGGTTTGTGATGTGATCCTTGGTCATCTTGATGTAGAGACCACATGGCTGATCAGTCCAGTCACATAACCATGCGCATGTCAACCCTGCAGGGAGGTCCTTCGCAACAGCAACCGACCAAGTGCTGTAGGAGTCATCAACTTCCATCATGCCATATTTTTGCATATGAGGAACGTTCCCCTGAACATCACAAGTCCTGTGGCTGTTAGTGTCTATGGAGTCGGAGTCGAAAAGAGGCTCCACCTCACCACTGTCATATGAAGGACTGCAGACAGGAGATTGTTAGCATATGAAGATACTAGTTGGGTGAGTGGACTGGCCCAGACATGTTTGAACAATGATATAAAGTGAATAAATGACAGCAGGGGGTATGTAAAAGTGAAGGAGAAAACAGACTGGACGCCGACTTTTAAACCTCACAGAAAGCATGAAATAAAGGACACCTAAATGCGTACTCGAGTGTGTCCTTACGAAACTGCAGATAGTGATTTCACATTGCACCCCACAAACATGTCACAAAAAGGCAAGCCACTGTGGATACTTCAGCAGAGGAAACTTACTTTTGGCATCATTTTCGGTGTGGAACCCACTGCTTGGATTAGGCATTAATGTACAACAACATGGACCTGCCACAGCACGTTGCTCATCCTTTGTAGACCTAGACATGAAGTGTTGATGCTTCTCCAAGTGTACATGGATTTTCATGTGCTGAAGCAACACATCCCCGATGAGATGCCAAGAATTGGAACAATGGCACTTACATTCTTGTTGAATATAGTCCACACTCCACCAGAGATACCATGAGCTTCGCCAATGACACCTGAGACGTAGCCGCTGAAAGTTGTCAGGTAAGAAAGCGCGTAGTCACAAGCAGCAGGCTTGAAAAATGACATGTATATGTGGGGTCAGTCACATTTTTGACTTGTAAACTGGAAAAAAGCCATGGCCAACGACGAGAAACGCTGAAAAGACACGCGAAGCTAAACGGATTCCACCACGTTCTGGATTGCGGATGACAACGACGGTAGGTACGAGTTAAGGAAAAGACGTGTCTACAATGTGATGAACCATATGTGTATGTGGACGTAAGCCGCCAGGCTTACATAAACGTGCAATGAGGTTGACGTTTGTTGCCCATTCTATATACTGTAGAGATACGACACTAGCTTCGTCACGTGCAGCACGTGACACAGTCACACTTGGTGTCACAGCTTCGAATGACCCTGTGACCTGTGACCACACAAAAAATAGCTTCGCAAATTGTGATTGCTGCACCTTGGCTTCTTGTCTGATTCATATATTATTGTAAAGCTGAGAAACAACAGGTAGAATCTAGCTCGGCATTGTTGTTTTTATATGTTTTCTGTATGTTTTTCTGTATGTTTTTACCATATGTCACAAATTAGCTTCGGTCCCCAAAAAATTGGTGTGACAGTCACACCAAATAGGTTCGATTCGTCGATGGCTGTGACCCGTGACGAACCTAGTGTCGTATCTCTACAGTAGTTGTGTCGTCAGACCCAAAGTAGATCTTTGACGTGAGAATGGGAGGGCACAATATCATCTAGTAACTAAAGCACCAACTGGTACTTTTTAGATGGAAATCATCATGATATGACGTTACCGTCTACGGGAAGATATGAGCTAACCGGCGATATGATAGAGAGCATATAGCTCGTATTGCCCTCATTATATGTAAGATGAGGGCAGCACACTCACTTTGGTTAACACGATTGAGTCAAAGGCTTGAAGCTGTATTGTTGCTGTGTTTATGATGCGAGGCTTGTATATTAAATTCGCTCGAATAACTTACTAGGTTGTGCCAAACTGCCAGCAGGCGCCAGTGCATGAGGCATGTAGGTAGGCGTTGTTTTGGTCTGTTGTTCGAAAGCTTCCAGGAGTTACCTTATTCGGGACCGTGGTCTGGCTTCCACATGGGAGGATGCCGCGTGCTGAACATACGCTCAGCACGCATCCACGAGGTACTTAAAGACCGTCTCTGTATCTTCTGGCCACACTTACAGTCGCCATGGCGTATGAGCCAAGGCCCTCAACAGACCAAGGTATGATTTCTAGTCGGCCAGATATTATCTATACTTGTTGCTTACATTGAGAACAGAGTCTGCACCTCTCTTGCGAGGTGGAGATGATGATCCTCCTCAAAGCGCTCAGTCACACTCTCCTCCCCCATCTATGTCTCGCAAAATTGCAGACGTCATCCAAGAGCCGCTCACAGGTCTCACCAAAGTCCTGCTTGTTGAAGTTCTCATACTGCTTCTCATTAGCTCTGTCTTTATTGGCCTATTCGCTGGCGCACAACACAAACTGAATCTACGAAATGGTATCCCTGGTGGTGGAGACGGCGGTGGAGGTAATACCACCCTGACCAAGACCGCAACCGCTACAGTGACTCACACGACTACTGCTGCCTCAACTATAACTGCCTCAACTATAATATCCGGTATTATAACCACCACCACTGCGGTGTCTACGGCGTTTTCTACGGTCTTCGGTACAGCCACTACGACCAAAATTGCAACGACTACTGCCACGAAAACATCTGTGTCTACCTCAATTTCCACTTCCACTTACACGACGACAGATGTTCACACGCGCACGGTGATCGTCGGGCCAGAACCTACAGGACCTCCCGAGAATCCTAGTCCGCCTCCATCGGTAAATCTGCTTGCATATATTTGAATTGTGTCTCACCATTTATAGGATAAGTGCCTCACTCCAGATTGCATCGTCTTGTCTGCATCCATTCTATCCTCGCTGGACACATCACAAGATCCTTGCGAAAATTTCTATGACTTTGCGAGTAAGTCGGCACGTGGTTTTGTATCGTGTCTGCTGCGTTGCTTAATTATAACATCAGACGGTGGTTGGATCGCCTCGCACCCCATTCCGGGTGACAAAAGTGCCATCACTTCCTTTTCGGTTCTTTCGGAAGAAAATGCGCAAGTTATTCTCAAATTACTTGAGGGCGACTCATCTACCCAACACGATTCTTGGGATGTCCAACTTCTTCGCAAGATTCATATACTTCACACTTCATGCATGGATGAGGCACGGCTTGATTACCTTGGCCAAGAGCCGTTACAGAAGTTCGTCAACACGATTCGGAAGCTTTACAGGGGAAAGAATACCCAAGCATATACCATGAATCCGAGACAGGGCTTATCCAACGCCTTAGGTTTCCTGCACTCTCGGGGTAAGAGTCGTTTGTTTGACCTTGCGTTACCCATTCACTCATGCTATGACTTAGGTGTTGACGCACTTTTTGAGTTTAGTATTGAAGGCGACTCTGGCGCTGATCCGAACAATATGATTCTGTGGTTCAGTCAACCGAGCCTGGGACTCCCCTCCAAGGTTAGCTCCAAAATTTCGGAACCTTTAACTCGTCTAACAAGTATTAGGAATACTACAAGGACAAGAGCGTCCTCACCGTATATCAGGACGTCATCGAGCGCCTCTTATCTTCCTTGAGAGATGACAAAGTTCTTAGTCAACAGAACCCAGGAGTCATCCTTCAGACGGAACAACTCGAAGACAATGTCTGGCCCCCCTGGCCCTGGCCACCTTGGGATGAAGATGGCGACGATGATGACAACGAGGATGGTCGAGAACGTAGCCCTGAAGATCCTTTCCAGAACGCTCGCGAGCTTGCGCAGAAAGTTGTCAAGTTCGAGACTGAAATTGCGGATGCAACACTCGACCTGTAAGTTAATGCACGTCTCACTATTTTGCATACACTCACCGGTTATATCACTATCAGTGACAAGCTGCAGCAAGATCCGTTCGGGACGTATAACCCAACGAACATCAACACTCTCAAGGCTGAGCTGTCGCAGATCAACTTCCCGGATTACTTTGCCACATTCACGCCTCGTGCCTTCCCAAGTCGTGTTATCATCACGTACAAACCTTACCCGAACTCCCTATCGGAGATCTTGAAGAGGACACCAGCAGATGTCATCGAGGCATACCTCGTTGTGCGCGCGTCGTTAGAGTATGCTCCCAACCTTGGTCAGACCACTGAGGCTTGGAAGGCTGTGAGAACTCTACAAGAGACTTTATATGGCGTAAAACCTGGTGTAGTCGGCTGAACGCTCCCAATTTTGCATGACCAAGATCGACACTGCTTTGGGTTTCGGTACTGGAAGATACTTTGTGAACCAGACGTTCCCTGGCGAATCAAGGGAGAAAGCGACCAAGGTCATTGATAGTGAGTGGAGATGTTCAACCTTCAGAATACTGTTGACTTTTCATTGCTCAGATATCATTGACGCCTTTGAGAAATCCTTACGCCGCATCGAGTGGATGGACGAGGAATCCGCGCGTAAAGCTGCCGAGAAAGCTGAGGCTCTTCACGTCAAGGTTGGCTTCCCTCTATCCCCAGACACGCGTGATCCACGTTCCCTTGTCTCCTACTACACCCTGGTAAAAGTACATGTGGACACCTTCTTTGAAAATATGCTCAGCGCTGCGTAGGTTGCACGAATACCCGCTTGAACCAAATACTGACCGTATATTATATAGTTCCTCCGACATGTACAAGATGTGGCAGAAAGTCGGCAAGCAGAGAAATCCCGACGAGTGGGAAATGACACCAGCAACTGTGAATGCGTACTACAACCCTCCTGCCAATGAGGTAAGTGAAATCGTACGTTCGAAGATGCTGGACTGACAAGGAGCATACAAGATCGTCTTCCCAGCGGGTATCTTGCAACCCCCCTTCTTTTCTGAGAGCTGGTGCGAACATAACTCACTATTTCTCGGTCCTTTCTCATCCACGCTTCTATTTGCAGGCCTGGATACCTCTCCTATGGCTCCTTTGGAATGGTAGCCGCGCATGAGTTGACTGTAAGCTCGGCACATTGCGCTCCCCATAAGCACTGACTTAAGTGATATTAGCACGCATTTGACTCCTCGGGTCGTCTTTACAACCAACAAGGAAAATTAGAAGAGTGGTGGTCACGCCAGACCAGCGACGCATATCAGATTCGCCAGGACTGCATCGTGGAGCAATACTCTTCGTATACAGTCGAGGATGGCAAGGGAGGACTCGTCCACGTCAACGTACGTTCCATTTTTCTCCCTGTTTTATAATAATTGACCAGTTGATCCACAGGGAAATCTGTACGTTCATGGACATGGGGTTTTCAGCTAGTGAATGTTACTGACCGATAATCTTCCAGTACTTCCGGGGAAAACATCGGAGACACAGGTCTGATTCAGGCTTACCGGGCTTGGAAGGCACAGTATGAAGATTCATACGATGCCGGAAAAGAATACTTGCTTCCCGGTCTTGACTACACGCGGTTCGCAACACTAGATGTATTAATATCACTCAGGGACTAACGGCACGTTTAGGGAGCAGCTATTCTTCATCTCGTTTGCACGTACATGGGCAATGAACAACAGGCCTGCTGACGCAGTAAGTGTTTTATCCATCTCAAGAGCCATCTCAATATAATCGTCCAATAGGTTCGACGTGTCCGGTCGGACCCTCATTCGCCGAACCGGTATCGCACTGAAGGCACTGTTTATAATATTCCAGAGTTCGCAGAAGCCTTCAAGTGCTCAAAGTATGCCAAGGCAAGTGCGAGCACACGATGCACAGACCCCTGCTGACACGATATATCACAGCTTAATCCACCGAAAGAGAAGAGATGTATCTTTTGGTCTTGATCTGATGTTTTCGATACCTTGTCTCTATGTGTCATTCGCTCTCCTTTGATGGATATGTGGTTCGAACACTGCACTCCTGTACATTATCTATTCAAGCATGTCTTTATCCCTTTACATCCGCTGTGCATCAAGATGTTTGATCTGATTCAAAGTTAATCCATCGTCACAGAACTCCTTTTGTACTTGGAACATCGTCGCCACCAGTACGTTCGATGGCTTGTCTGATTGCAAGGGCAAGTGCCTTGAACGCAGATTCAGATCTGTTAGTTGCTGAGTGAGTGGTGTCACTGGATTAACTGACAGTGGGCAAACACACCTGTGGTGGTCGTTTTCGCCCCGCAGGACGTCGACGTGAAGAGTCGCACCAGAAGCTATGGCAAAAGAATAGAATATATGAGGGATCATTTCTGTTGACAGATCTCCGATTTTCTCCCTCTTTAAACCCAGATCTGTGACACAGTACGGTCTGGAGCAAATATCAATAACAGCTCGAGAGAGAGCCTGGAAATTGTCAGACGGGCATACAATATCTAAGCTTCCTATTAGTCACTCACCTCATCTAATGGTGCAAATCCAGTACCGTATCGACGAATTCCACGAACTTCACCGAGAGCTTCCTTGAAAGCCGTTCCGAGGGCGATGGCACTGTCCTGTAATCACCACGAATGTATTGGTCTGCGATCCCTTCAAATCAAGAGGATATACAATACTTATCTGCTGTGTGATGGTCATCGATCCATAAATCTCCTTTGCACTTCATAGTGAGTGACATCCCTCCATGCTTTGCCAAGGCATGGTACATCTATTAAGCTCAATCAGCCGGAGGTCTGGAGGAAAAGAACGATCATTCATACGTGATCCAGAAAACCAATACCCGTCGATATCTCAATTACCTGAGCATTTTGTGATCCAGGAGTACAGTCTAGATTGATAGAAACTTCTATCTGTGTCTCGTTGGTCTTTCTTGAGATCGTAGCTGTTCGTGCTGCCATGTCGAATCTCGATCGACAGCCAATATGCACGCCGAATTGGGACGTTAGAAGGCTTTGGACAACAAGAACAAACAACCATCTAAAAGATCCTGAACAACAGCAACAAACATCCACTTATGGCTTCTCCGCTTCTTCGCTCAAGGTCAGCACTGCGAACCGTCCTTGGGCCACAGACCCGTCAACGATCATTATGTGCCAACCGGCCTAGGGCTAGATCCCTTTTCAACTTTTTCCGCAGGTCTGCCAAAGCCAGCACAAGCAGAACCTGTCCCGTTGTTGACTGAGGACAACTTATTTCATCCGTTCTCGAAATCTCCGTTCCCTGCAGTACGTGCTCGGGGGGAAGCTATACAGTCACTGGCCACATGTCCCGTGTGTGCCTCAGGTCATAGTAATGCTCATGCGCACCCGAAATCGCAGCCTCTCGCAGTGAAATTTGAATGTCCCGACTGTGGTTTCCCAACACATTGCTCGCAGGAGCATTGGATGGCTGATCAAGAGCACAAAAAATATTGTTCTAGACTTCGGGAAGTCAACGAGGATGAACATGATCTCCGAAGTGGTCGAAAATTGCACGAATTTCAGATGCCTGGTGCGTCATCTAGTCTTCCACTTTGGACATTCCAATTAATTCACTCACCAGGACCACAGGCTTACGAGGAGGCTATATCATTCGCGAATTGGGACGTATTTTGGTATACACGCGGATTTCCCTCCATGGACACGGAACGTTCGAGAAGACATGCCAGCAAAATTCTTACCTATCCACTTACTATTGGTTCAATTCTTCATCAAAATAGTGGACTGACTTTAAGCAACCAACGAGTTACACCTGAGGGAAGCCGCTCACTTGCAGGTAGGTGTTTACCAAATCCTTTCAGAGTTTGCCCTCAAAATAACATCCAGCACTGCGCACTACGCTGCATGTCCCTCCTGGAGCACCTGACACAGAGGAGGCTGGTGCCGCAAAACCTCAGATGCGCATATTCATCCTCGGCGCTCGCGCCGAGTCATCTTTGCCACCGCATGCCTGGGAGCAACTTTGCATGTTGTTCCCGTCCTGTCATTTTCACCTCTTCTTTATTGGACCACAAGTCTCTTTGCCAAGACCGGCTAATTCTCCCCCTCCGAAGCCTCCCAACGAATCTGTAACGAAAGAGGATACCATCACCGGCGAATCTGCGGCAGAAAACGTCTCCACGACACGCACATCCACTGACACTGCCAAGCAGCAGGAGGAGGATATACCAGTGTATGTGCCGAATGTCTATGAACCTCCAACACCGGCACCAATCGCGCGCCTTAAGCGCACACGATCATCAGTCGAACTCTACGGGATTCCCTCCTACACTGTTCCTTACACCCCTCAGCTGACCATCACTGGACTGCAAGCGAATTACGCTGAAGTCCACGCACAGTTTCAGGATACCTTCGATCCCTACACAGACGCCTTCTTCCTCTTCTCCCCTGGTTTTGGCTTCCCGTCGCCTAATTCTGTATCCGAATTAGATGGCAAGCCTTACTTGCAAGTAGCTTCCCCAACAGAATGGGGCCCTGTTGTACCAGCCCTACTCGCAACTCGTTGTGCCATCTTTGTGACAGGTTTTTCCCCTGCGGACGTTGAGAGAGATATTCGTTCCATCGAGACTGCACCAGACGTCGCTGGTGAGTTCGAGTGGGTGATTACTCCGGGAGAGAATGCATTTGGCAGTGAAAAATGGGAGGTCGCAGACTTTGATCCTAGGGTCATGGTGAAGACTAACTGGGGTGTTTGGGGCATCAGGGGCAAGGGCCGAGAAGTGAGAGAGCGTAGCTCTTTTAGCTTATTCTAGAATGTACTTCTCGGCACTATGGTTAATCTACTCGGACCACAACTCCAGACGTTCGTTCCGAAAAAACCCGATTGCAGCATATTAATATCCCGCAAACATAGGCAGTTGCTATCGGCGTAGCGTTAAGTCATAACCAGAACTGTACTAGGTAGAAGGTTGCTCCCATCTTTGATTAGTGATGCCCAACGGAGAGGACTTGACCATAGTGGCGGGTTCGTGACAACAGGACTAATATTGCATCATTTACTCTGGCAGCGCTCTGAACAGGGGGATGAATCAGAGAGACCAGAACCGGTTGGGGTCAGTTGTAGTCATTATGGAGGGCAGTAACATCCGTTCAAGAAAATACCATGCCAGGAGTGGCTGATAGGGCCACTGTGAACAACGAGTGGATGAGGCACTTCACAGCTCAATCACACCTCAAGGTCACGCAGTGGGATCATTGGTGTCCTAACGGTGAGCAAAGTCTTGGACTTTCCAAGTGACCTGCGAAGACCCATTCGCCACGAGTCGACACCTCATATGTGATGATGTATACCAAAGCCAGAGGCCGGCGAACACGAAACACATCATACTAGCCAGTTTTTTCATGGTGTAAGGGACACACGAACCACTCCCTTAATCCATTCGATCGGCCTGAGAGCCCTCGCTCTCCTGGTATCTGCGACTTGCATGTTAACATCGCGGCCAGCGGAAACAGAATAATGACTTGCATCGCGCTGGAGGATCGCCACTAGTAGCAATCATCCTGAAGCTTGCGGGGAACGCAGTAAGCTCGGGGTCGCCACTGCTTGATTGAACTTGATCAAAAGACCCTAGATAGGAGTGATCACCCCATGACCTAGACGGGCTGGTCACGAGTCTACCCATGAATGCATGACCAACGTACTGCGCTTTGACATATTACAAAAAGAAGGTCACATTGGACCATGAATGGGGGAAGAGAATAGAATGTAGAATTGTAATTACATGGGAGGCGTTAAGGGGCTAGTGGCGCGCGCGCCGCAATATTGGTACAAGTAATGAAGGCTAAGACAACAAGACCTATACGTATACAGTTTGCCATTGGTTCGCCGTGCAAGATAGGTGGCGATCTCCAGACTTACACCCGAGCGGCCCATCTAGATTCCGGGCTCTTCGCTTACGCTCCAACCCGTCTGTCAAGGAATGTCAATTGCGAACCCCTGTTCCAATAACTCGGAGCAAGCTCAGTTGGTTTCGACATGACTCATGATGGCATGAGGCCTAAGATAAAGTTCAAGTCGATCTAGTATGTACTACTTAGGTGACCACAGCACCAAAGCCCCCCAACACCATCGCTTAGAGAACAAGGATCGATATTCACGATCAACGACAATTACGAGCGCGCCTTTTACTTTCTTTAGGCTCGACCATTTTCACCCCCGCGTCACTTGTCTACTTATTTTGATGGACTCGCGGCTCTCTCCATAATTGTTCTGCTCGCTGATTCAACATGGCCCGTCTACAATAATCCAAGTATTTCGTACTCGCGCTTATGCACTTATTTCTCATGTATCACAACAATATCAGTTGATGAAGATTGATTTCTAGAAGTGACTGCACAAAGTGCATAAAAACATGGTAGCTAGTGTAAATAATCGGTGTTGACAGTGCGCGAAAGGCAACAAGCGGTTGCGAAGGTATGCAATGATATGCAACTGACAATATGTACATGACGGGAAATCTATAGTTGTATTATCAGTCGAAGACAGACAATGATTGCAAGTAACATTTTAACTGAGTTTTATCTTCTCTTCTGGGCGCGAGAAGACATGTGGGAGATACACAGACTTGTGGAGATTGAAGGGGAGCCACCCAAAGGGTAAAAAGGTACAAGCAGCCATGCGAGTGGTGCAGTAATCATGAGCGCTTGAAGGCAAGCGGTGCCGGGCAAAGAGGTGAAAAAAGCAGCCACGCGAGGGCGTGCAGCAGGCAAAAGTAGGATGGCACAAATGACGAGCACGAGGAACAGTATCGTGTTGGAGTATGTCAAGAGCATGTTATTTCAAGTTATTGTTATTCGAACTATTTGTTGTATTCAGTCTACATATCACTTCAGAAGGTTTCTGAGGTCTCACCATGTAATACATTCGAAGCACTTAGCCGAACGAAAAAGGACGCGAACTTGGAAGAATGCGTGCATAAATTATGAACGTCGACGAAGCTCCGAGATCAGATACTAACTTAACTTGTCAAGAACCGTTATTCGCTTCCAAGATTGAAAATTCTACAAGTCAGGTGTCCGGATCCTTGTATGGCGCTCCTCTTGTCCGGACCCGATTTCGACTCCAGGTTGGAACAGGGTCCATGTGCAATTCGTGGGCCTATATAATGCCTCTGGCGAGCCCCTACATTCATCCAGTCGCATTTGTTGTTGGACATCTTAGTATTCGGCGTATAGTTTCTGTGCAAACTGTCCTACATCAATTCGAGTATGTGCCCCACTCGTCTGCTTTGAGTTTGACTCCCCATACTAATGATATAGTTAACATGTCTTCGATCCACGAGCTCAATGATCCTGCTTCAAACACGGTCAGCCCGATGTGTCAGCAGTCATTATGTTTTTGCTTAACCAGCTTAGATTGGAGTAAGGACCTCTCCTGAGCCCAGCGAGGTCTTTCGGCAAATTTTCGCCCTGTCCATGGCCTCAAACGCTCTTTATACATCGAACGGCATCCAAGACGATCTCCTACAGTGCATACAGACCAAGTTACCCGGCATCGTCTCTGCTATCAGCGGCCAGTGGACAGTGGTATGGGGCCCGGTGATATGGAAAGCTGCGCCGGACGATGAAGAAACCGGGCCTAGTAACACGTGGTTTATCGCGCATAGTCCGAGCGTCCTCTTCGATGATGGGAAAGAACGTGAGGCATACGTGATAGCTATCGCTGGGACGAATGCCAAGGCAGGTTCTGGTGGCTGGGAACAAAACCTTGGGGTTGACAGAGTAGTGGACTTTCCCGCGTGGGTGACAAGCGGAATCACTCAACCTCCGGTACCAGTGGACCGAGTAAGCGTTGTACCTGATGGGACATATGTGGCCAATGGAACGGCCACTGGTGTGCACATCCTGCTTTCTGAGCATTCCCCTCCAGGCTCAGCTTCAGCGGGTCTCACACTTTATGAATACCTGACTGGTATAATCGCATCGGAGTCAACGAGAGTGGTGTTCACGGGACACAGTCTCGGCGGGGCCTTGTCTCCTACGTTGGCACTTGCGCTTGCTAGATCGGGTGCCCTGAAAGGGAAAGCGCTGGTGTATCCCACCGCTGGACCAAGCCCCGGCAATGGCAGCTTTGCAAATCTCTTTGCAGAAACTTTTCCAACGTCCCCGAGCACAACCCCTGAGACTCGATATGCAGTCTGGAACAGAAACATCATCAATTCTCTCGATATCGTACCGCAGGCGTGGTGCACGAACCCCACATTATCACCTGCGCAGAACATGGACAACATTCCGCCCATATACGGCGTTCCAGTTATAGAATATGTCCAACAAATCACCAGTCTCCTCAAATTCAGTGCCATCAGTTCGGACACGGTGTACATCCCACTCCAGAGCTGCATCCTTCCCGGCATCAAACCTCAAACGGTCCCAGAAACTGAGACTGAGTTTATGCGTGTTGCATTGGATCAACACATGGCGTTTTACTCCGGCGTATTTGGTGTGGAGGCACCAGAGTTAGACTGCAAGAAGCTCACAAAGAAGACGGAGGAGGAGATGTTCCTTGAATTTCCTGTCATTGGTGACATTGAGTGGGGAAAGGAACACCGAGCTGAAGTGGAGGCCGCAGTGTCCGCGCTGCAAGGCGAGTGAGGGTACACCCGACGACGGTGAGGAGTGAAGAGTTTAGGCATTCGGATGGGCCTCGGAGCGAGTGTACGTTAAGCAATTTGTATGTACGATTTGAGGGCAACTGTGATACGTTTGTGGTGATTCTGAATGAAAAAATGCTATAGGACATGTAAGTCCATTCAATTGCAAAGCGTCCGTAGTCAATATGCGAAACATTGAACACGACTACTTCAGAGCGCTGCGACAGCCTGTTAAATGTGTTTTCGTAAGTGCAGAACCAGTGTTCCGTGAAAGATGGCAATACTCACTTGGTCTCACTAGGTAAGTGGACCAACGTTTAGAAGGAAGATAGTCCGAGTCGGTCCTTTAAAATCATTACCGGTACTTTGCCGGTGCTCTTAGTTTATTCAACTTTTGGTTTGCTTGTCCGCGTACAGCATGTTACACAGTGCACACCATCACATGTACATCATGCATCAATTCGCACCGTTCTCTTCAGAGTCTCCTATACAGAATGCGGAACGGACCTTTTAAGTATTAGTACAACCCGGATTCGAAGTGGCCGCTACCAGCACCCTTGGAAAAATGAGTTTTCCTGATGGCACTGGCACGAGCCGCGGTCGGCGTCTGAGGCCTTCCTGGGGAAGACTACGACCGTTCTGCACGGTCACGAAAACGTGCCTAATAACGAAACACAACATAAAAAGAATTTATATGTGATCCGTGTTGACTACTCTGCCTGGCACTGGCACTTACTAGTTGCCGCCTACTACTCTCGCAAGTTGGCCCCCCGAGATTGCCGCGGTGCACTGGACGTCATATGAGGCATTTACACTACTTCCTTTTGGTGATCGGAACGCTCGAGCTGTAAAGGATTCCTTGAACTGGAGAAACCGACTCGGAAATCTAGCAGTGGTGGACCCGGAATACTCATGGCGTGTTACTGCTCGAGCTCAGCGTATTTTTCTAGATGCAGCAGGGGTGAACCTTTTCCTGGCCAACCTCATCGTGCGAGTCATCTCAAAAAGAGCTCGACTCAGAGGCAATGTACTCACTTCGACCCGATCAACACGGGTGCTGAACGAGTTCAGCACGGCACTCGAGGACTATTCATTATTCTGACGTTCTCAAGATTGTCGTGCGTGCATACATTCTCCTACCAGATGCACTCCAAACTAATACACATAGTATTAAGTATACATATGCTTGCTTACTTGCTGCGATTCATGGTGACCCGCCATATGCTATCACGACGAGCTCGGGCAACGCGACAGGAAACATTCCATCTCTATCCTCGAGCAGCACTGACGTCCTTGTAAACATTTTCTGTCAGTCTTTGTCGCACTGCGCACGTGAACCTCGAAACTAGGTGGAAGCATCATCCTCAGTGCCACAACGTGGTGAACTCATCAATTATAAGTGAGTTTCGAATAAGTAATTCAACTCCACATCTCTAACTAGATTGAAATTTTGAAGGATTCGGTTTGCCATGCACGTCTTTCGGCCGATCCAAAAGATCCACAACTACACTGTCAACTGACTGGCAGCGAGCTGAGTCTTATGACGTACCTTCTCAGCGATAAGTCACAATCAAGACAGGTCGAGGCATCGAGAGTCGCACTTGTAGATCACGAATGGATGCAATAGGTGCCTTCTTTCTCATCCTCGAGAGCTCAAATAGCGAAGTCATCGACAGACTGGCGCCTCTAGCCAAGCACATCTCTTAAGAATGTTCAACACCACCTTTACCTCTATATCTTATGTGGCTCTAGCACTGGCGAGTGGCTCATTCGCTATCAATGCAAAACGTGGTCTGGCGTTTGCTGATTCTAACAATGCTGGTGATATCGCTGTCGCCAATAACGCCCAGGTCTCTTGGGTATATGACTGGGGCAGTACCGCGCCGAGCTATCTGGAAAACACAGGCATGAACTACATTCCCATGCAATGGGGTGCAGACGATGCCGAGAATTTTGCGGCTGCGGTGCTGGCTCAAAAAGCAAAGACAATCTTAGTAAGTTGTTCAAGTTAAGAGAAGGCGCTCCCTCAGCTAAACTTCTGCCGCAACTCAGGGTTTCAACGAACCTGACCTTTGTTCCCAGTCGAATATTACACCTGTGGCTGCCGCGTCATTGTGGATGCAGTACATACAACCTCTGAAGAAAAACGACGTCCGGCTCGGTGGCCCGGCTGTGTCCAATGGACCATCAGGAACCCCCTGGTTATCTCAGTTCTTGGGAAACTGCACTGAATGCACGTTTGATTTCATACCTCTTCATTGGTACGGTGAAGGCCTTAACAATTTTAAAAACTACGTCTGGTCGTTCCATGGCAAATTCTCTTCCTGTCCATTGTGGGTTACGGAATTTGCATCTACTTCTTCGAATGTTAGTGGTGAGTATCCGTCATCTCCGACGCATCAACGACCTCTGCAGCTCTTGTTTTATAGAGGTGGAAGACTTTGGCATTCAAGCAACAAATTTTCTTGATGGGCTGGATTGGATTGGAGGGTATGCCTGGTTCGCATTCTACGTAAGTATGATCGGACACGTTTTCCGCAGAACATGAGCTGATGCGTATTGATATAATCACGGCAGCACCAGGAATCAGGCTCCCACTACAGTAAGAGTATTCTGACTCCTAACAAGCCTCGCCTGAACTCGAAATATTCAGGAAAATTTTGGAAGGAATCACTGTAATGACCCTAGCAATGCAGCAAAGGAGAACATATCCATTAATGCTCTAGCAAGGCAGAGGGCACTGCACGATGCTGCTGCTTTTGATTCACCATAGAGCTCTGCTACCCCTAGTTCCCTAGTTTGCCACCAATTGAACTGAATTTGCTTGATGATAATCACTTGGTGCAAAGTAGACTCGTGACCAGCCCGTCTATGAGGCAAGCCGTCGATAGACGGACTGGTAAATCTGGGTTTGAATTTCTCACAGTAACGTGATGTCTGGCCAATGAGAAAACGAATGTTTTTCGACGTGTCAGATAGAATGTAAAATAAATGATATAATTATCTTGTTATTAACGCGACGCGACGCGAACTATACTACCTGCAAGTTCAATGGACCAATCTTCCATCATCCAAGCCATTCACAATGCTTCTCTTGATGCGCTGGATCGTTTTGCGCGTGATTTAATCAAAGAACGACTCCCCATCAATTATATTCAGACCCTCAATACTAATGACAAAACGGATGCACTACGAGCATGCCTGATTGTCTACGTTCTGACGTCAACGGCCATAGTACCACATCAATTCCAGCTCGAAGCTGTTCTAGCAACATTGAATGGTCGAGACAGCATCATAACTGCAGGAACAGGCAGTGGAAAGACGTTGTGTATCCTAATTCCTGTCCTACTTCGTCCAGGTACTGTGAGTATGACAATTTCGCCGCTCAAACGGCTCCAGGCCACACAGGTAATTTGGCTTGAGTGCAATAACTTTGCGCACATACAGAATATTCTATTACAGGTCCTCGAGTCCACAAAATATGGTATACCTACAATCTCAATCAACGAGGACACTCCAGCGGATCCATCTCTCTGGGAGGTAAAACCAAAGCTTGGTCATGTATTGTAATTTGTGCATTGGAGCTAATGTAGAGCAGTTGATTCGCGCAGGAAATTTTACTCATCTTATTGTTTCGCCGGAACAATTATCGATGTTCAATGGCCATCTTCCGCACCTTGCACGACTTCTTCGACAAGATCACACCTTCACTCGACGTATAAAGCGTGTACATATTGACGAAGCTCACAGCATCTACACTGCGGGACTGTCTCATCACGGTGAAGAAGCTTTCCGACCAGCTTATGGCAAGCTTGGTGAACTTCGTGTGCTCCTTTCCAAGGGCACGACATTTCAAATGCTTTCGGCTACGCTTCCACCTCACATTCTCTCAGCTGTGAAACACCAACTTATGATGCCACCGGATCATATCTACCTAGCACTGTCAGCAAACCGTCAAAATATTACCTACGCAATGACGCCCCTCATCGGGGGCCCCCGCAATTTTCATAATTTTGACTTCCTGATTCCAGCAGAGTATAGACCACCAATGATGATTCCGAAGACACTCATATTCCATGATAATAAGCAAGAAGCTGTGGATGCGGCTGCGTACAATGATTCCCATCTACCGAAACAATTACAGAATCAAGGAATCGTGAAACATTACCATAGCAACATGTCAGCAGAATACCTTCAGCAAACTTATGAAGATTTTGCATCAGTCTCGGGCACTTGTCGCATCATTCATGTTTCAGTTTCTTTCGACCAACTGACTCTGCGTCTGGGAGAAGTCGGAACAGCCTCAGAGGTGCGTGGTGCTGTGATATCAACGAAGCCAGAGTCTACCGAACGATTGAAATCACTATCCAGGATGATCGAAGAGTCTCGCATGATGTTGCAGGCAGTGATAGACCAAAGACAGTAATAGAAATAGCGATAGTTATAAGGAATAAGTTACGATGAAACGTCCGTCGAACGATGCTGCCCAGCAGCTAATGTTCTGTTGTCGAAGTCGATTGCAGACAAGGACTTGACGACTCTTTGCAAGGGCTTAGCAAAAAGCTCACATGGTTTTGTTATGCCCAAAAAGGTTTATACGTCACATTACTGTGAGAATCCGCTCGACATCCAAATTCAAACCCAGATTTACCAGTCCGTCTATCGACGGCTTGCCTCATAGACGGGCTGGTCACGAGTCTAGGTGCAAAGTACATGACTGAAACCACAAAGGATAGTGTGTTGAGCCAGGCCATAGTGTCAGATTGAAGCATAAAGGTGTATGATTAGACACAGACCTGGATGCACTGGCTACTCCCATCTCTAGTATATGTGTCATATACCAGATCCAACCGCTCCAATACTGATATCCGCTCCGCTTTCCGACCCCCTCCGCTCCATCCTATCACAACCCTGCATTCCGCCCTACGCTTCGCTCGACCACTCAACCGGTCCCCTCCCATAACATCTCCATTCAACTGGACCTCTTTCCCCTTTTAGATATATGCTTTCCCTTTCGGTACTTAGACCTTTACTTCTGGATCACCGGTAATTCCTATTACCGCCTGATCACTGATCCGACGCATACATATTGATATCTGCCCCAACCTATGTCTTTCCTATGTAAAGTACTTACAAATGATATCCTTGGTACATAGCTTTACTACATAGTTATCCTGTTCACTGCCTCATACATAGAAGTATATAACATATCATGTACTTAGATATTTTCCCTTAGTCTTAATATTACTTGTCTTCTCGCAGTTACCTCTTGTGGGAATTCTCAGTAGGACCCTGCCTCCTCTGGACACAAGTCTCAACTTGTTGTCACCTCCAACCCTCCGACCCTCCGCTCCGACTTAGAGCCATGCTCTAAGTCTTTCCCTTGTTACCCCACCCTTATCAATATTCTCCTATCACCCCTTTTCCTATCCTCTACATTATCCTCTGCCATCTCTGCTCCTATCAAATATCCCCCTGGTTTCTACCCACCCTCCGCATCGTTCCCCGCCTTCTCTGCTCCGCTCCTAGTCGGTCTGCCACTAGCAGCTCTTACTTCCCGACCCTCAAAGTGGACCTAAGTGGTCCACTCGTCCTATCGTCGGACAACGTCGGATCCACTCCAAATTTGGGGCACGTACTCAGCTAAGGGCACAGTGCAAGAGCTGAAGCCAAGCCCTGACCCCTCTGCCTCTTGAGCCGGCACGGTACCTAACAATATGCTTCCATACTTCTCCCACAGTTTTGTTGAAGTCAGGAATATCAGAGACGTCAGAGGAGATGTCAGAGGCAATAGATGAGTAATGAGTTGCAAGTGCAACCAAGGGTATGAGAGAATGACACTTTGACATTGGTCCAAACCTACCATATTGCAAAGTGTCAATTCCTATGCTATGCTAATATGCCAATTGTTACGCTAACTTACTATAAAGATATGAGTAGTGTTGTACAAATATCTCAGTTCTTACTAGAGACTGAGATGTGAGTACCATTGATTATTTTCTATTTTCATTATGCTAACAGACCAGTAGTATATTTTTCTACTAAGTACATCACTTGAGTAACAAGTTCTTACTAGAGACTGAGATTATATTTTTCTACTAGCCCGACAAGTCCCACATCCACTCACCTCTGATCACCACAAGCTTCTCTTCAAATTCCTGGCTTCTCCAGGACCTCTTGGGGCTCCATGGGAATTACCCCACAACACCAAAAACATCACCCATTTTAGTAATCTCCACAATATCACACCTTCCCTACTTCACTGCAGCTTCACCACTACACCACAATAGGTCCCCCTTTGTATCTGAGTAGTAGTTTTGTATATATATGTATAATATAATATAATATAATGAACCACCTTTTTTATTCATTTGTGTGATAGGTCTCCCTCCAGGGCCCTTTCAAAATGATGTAGGGTACAAAACATTTTCGCACTTTTGTCCCTTTGATAGGGAAGTGTTCCAGGGCATTAAGAACATGTTTAGGAGTATATATGAAGAGACCCATCTTTATTTGACCCCCTGAAGCGCCCTGCATTAATAAATATAGCATACATACAGGAACATACAAAATATGTTCCATGTGCTTATTTCTAGGTAGACATACTTTGAAAAATAATCCCCAGCATCTATTCAACATTAGGAACAATGTATCAGGAGACCAGGACCATAGGACAAGACCTTGTTGTATAGTGTACCCCTCCTCTCCTAGTGGTATACCCCCTGTGAATTTTTCCTGTAGGGTCAGACTGTCAGAACCATGCCTAATGGGTAGGAAGGAGGTTATGGAAGGGCTTAGCTTCAGCTCGTGTGCTGCGCTCCTTAGGCAAGTATGGTGCCTGTAACTTCAAAGGACAGATAGAAATGGCCAGAGATCAACTCCGATGTGCTCAGACAGGGGTATGGTTGTGGGGGACTACATCTGACGCACTCTGATAGAGGTAAGACTATGAGGGACTAAGTCTGAAGTAGAAAGTAAGGCAAAGCTGTCAAAAGATAGAGGCAGAGGTCGGCGAGACCAGTCTTGGAGTCAGAAGAGGTAATGGACAAGACTTTAGTTGAGTCAGAGGTAGTTAGGATAGATTCAAGTCTATATTCATATTGTATAAACTTCTCTGGGACACATGGGGTTTATATACTATAGGGATCTGGGCTATGCAGCACAGTGTAGTGGAGTACAAAGTAATAATAAAAGGAACAATGAACTATAGTATTTAACAATTGTAATTGAAATGGAGGATTGGAGCATACAAGGTACAAAGACTAAGCAGAAAGCGGAATACACAAAGGGAACTTGGAATGGTCTGACAGGTACCTCGTACCTTGATTGAGTCAGGGGTGGAGGTATGTACCTGACATTGGAGTCATGTATTCAGCAATGGAGGCACATAGATGAAGGTGGAGGACTAAGAATGAAGGTGGAAGATGCTAGTTGAGGGTGGAAGTGACTTGTGTGGATCATGGATATGACACAGACCTCAAGGAGGGTAGGGGGTCTATTTCTATGTATATTTATAGTAGATACATCACATAGCTAGCCCAGGACACCTACAGGATCCTTCTACAGGAACAAAATTTGACAAATCACATTTTTCACATTTTTCATGTTTCTGACTACTCTATCCTTGCATGAATAATCCAATCTGTTCATATAATTAGCATAGCATATATCCTTGCTTTTTATGACCAGGATCAGCTCACAATAGGCCATAGTTTTGAGATAGTGTATATACTTGCTATTTCTACTGATAAAAGGCCCATACCTTCAAATTATCAAACTTTAATGATTAGACACCTAGAGTACATTTCACATATATTCAGTATCATGGACCCAAAATTCCCGCTACGGTAGTAGTGGGTTTTGTGGTGTCATCCTTGAAAAAACCTCATCTTTCAATTTCTGGCAGAGAAATGAGTAACTTGCCTTTTTTAGTGCTTTGTTCGCACAGGCTTTTCTCACGCCCTTGGATGCTTTGGTTTCTTCGCTGCGTCTGTTGATCTTCCTCAATCGTCGACTATGTCTTCTATTTGTTATCGAGTCCTTGGATCTTTCGCTGATATCCCTGCTTTTATTCGTGTCAATGATGCGAGTCCATATTCTTCCATCTCATTGTCTTTCCTGCACAGTTGCAATGTGCCGCGTTCTGTTTCTAATCATAATGGTGTGGCTGTGGAGTCGAGTTCTGGACCGGCGCGTGTTCCTACTGTCGACGGCTGGTATAATTCTCAACAGACGTTTCTATCCGCCCATCTGAATGGGTGTGATGTTGAGCTGGGCCATGATTGGCTCGTATTTGTAAATGCGAGGTTCGATGGCTTTTGATTTCTTCGGCCTTCGGAGACAGATCTCGCGCAGCTTTCTGCTGGTCATAGTTGGAATTTCCAGCCCGAAGGTACGTGCATTCTAGATTTATTACATGGATTGTTTTCTGATTTTTGCAGTAGATAACATAATTCCTTCTGCGTTTGCTGTTAGAAACCGAAAAGATAGTTCAGCTACCCAAGTGGGTTTATGTCTAGCTACCCAAGCAGGTTCATCTATTGCCCAAACGGTTTTGTCTCCGTCGCCTTCTTTGTGTTCACCTATCCTAGCGAGTAATGAACATAATATCGACAAATTTTTTGATGGTTATGAAACCTTGAAAAGACCAGCGCTGATCGCATTAGCGATTTCTCATGGAGTTCCGATAAACATTGATTCATCTATAGAAAGATTATGGGAAGCTATCTGTCAACATGTTGGATTGGGACTTTGTAGTTCTCCATCATCGCGATCATTTGAAGGGTGCAAGTCTGTAAGTCAAGAGTTCCTCATGTCATATGATGATGAAGGAGCTGTGCTTTCTACGAGGATAGCGTTCTTGATGGCAATGTTGATGACTACCAAACGACGTCCTTTGGAACGATTGTTGAAGGCGAATGAAGTTGGTTTTGAATCCAGATTGAAGAAGGGACGGCTTCGTCGTATACTGAAGAAGCATATCAAATCACTACAGAAAGCAAAGGAGAAATCGTGTGCACGTATTCACAGCCAAGTGCAATTGCTTGATTGTGAAAACCGTTGTCGTCAGCTTTGTCGTGACTGGCCCCAGATTCCGTCCTCGCAGTTGAAACGTCGTCTGGTGCAGATGTTCAAGGACGAGACTTCTTCAGAAACATTGGCCACGCTCACTTGTGCATCCTGTGCCAAAAGTGTTTTGTGCTCTGAACGGACAATCACGTCTCTGGAAAGCGTTGATTTCTCTCCGTTGCGCAGACCTGACTGACAAGAAGATCAGCACATGTCGAACGACTATTTTGACGGAGACTGTCCTTTGCCTCGGCTGCCATTTGCAGATTCTGATGGTCCGCTTCGTGATTTGATGCTTGATCCTTCTGGAGTGAGACAATGTGGTAAAGACGACTTCCAGCTGTCTTTATGCAATGTTTGTAACAAAAAAATCAAGAAGGGCAAATGTCCGGCTCTCAGTCTTGCAAACCGAACTTTTTTGGGAGATGTGCCTGATGAGTTAAAGGATCTGATGGTCGTCGAGGAAGCAATGATTGCTTGTAGTTGTGCGAAGTGCTGGATCGTTCAGTTGAAGGAAGAAAATCAGGACCTGCAACTTCCTACCAGTCAGCATGGAATAAAGGGCCACATAATCATTTATCCTCAGCGTCCAGAAGGGATCACGAATGTCTTGCCTCCGACGGTAGCTGATATTATCACCCCAATCTGCGTCATTTTCGTGGGCTCGTGTCCTCCAACTCGTGCGTGGCTCGAAGAAAAAGCCAAACCTTTGATAGCTTGTAGAGAAAAGGTTCGTGCCGCATTAGTTTGGCTAAAGAAACACAACCGCCTGTATAAGGACATCACCATTGATTTCGATGTTTTGAATTCTATGGAGGAAAAGACATTGTTGCCCTTTCACGTCGACCATGTTCTTCCCAGTGAAGCACGCGATTCGTTGACATCAAAGTATGATGCAACCGAGGCAGTGCAGTTCGAAGATCCATCTGATTTGGGTGACCCTCCCACACCATCTGATGATCAATCGCGTGCGGCTGAACTGCAAGTTAATTTTGAGAGTGTCGTAGTTACTGATGTTGATGGCAATGCATCTGCAAATGAGTTGCGTGCCGCAGCAGTTTGTCATATCAAGAACAAAGGTGGTGGATATGTTCAAGTCCCTCACGATCCTGAACCTGTCAATGAATTCTTTGAACCGGACCTCTTTCCAATGATTTATCCCACATTGTTTCCGTACGGACTGGGAGGATTTGAGGACCACCTGTGTTCTGAACCGTTATCGATCAAGAGACACGTCAAGCACCTGTTCAACCTGGCCGACTGTCGTTTTCAGGAACATTATTCATTTCTATTCACGGCATTCAACATTTTACAGCAGCGTAAGATTCTGTTACATACATCTTTGAAAGTGAAGTGGGACTCCTTCCCAGAAATAGCCACCAACCTTGCTGCTGTTTCGCCATGGGCTGTACATTGTGTCACAGAACGCGTGGCTTGAGGGGACACTGTTTCTGCAAACAATGAAGATGAGCAGTGTGTGTTATGCTTAATGAAAGAGGTGCAAGTGATAACTTCACAAGTCCCAGGATCTGCACATGCAAGAGCTAACATGCGAAATGAAATTCGTGGCCTGATGTGTGAATGAGGGCTACTGAGTTTTTATGTCACCATTAATCCAGCTGATGTTTATAACCCACTCATCAAATTTCTTGCCGGTGCTGAAATAGATATCAACAATCTTCTGCCAGGGGAAGTGCCAAAATTCTATGATCAATCTATTCTCATAGCTCGAAATCCAGCTGTCGCAGCTAAATTTTTCAATATCTACATGAAAGCTTTCATAAAGTGTCTTCTACGATACGAGGGAAAGGGAACAGACCTTCAGGAGGGCATACTTGGCACTGTCAGTGCTTATTATGGTTGTGTTGAAGCCCAAGGCCGAGGAACCTTGCATTGTCATATGATGATATGGCTCGAAGGTGGCCTTAATCCCAATGAGATTAAGGACTGAGTATTACGAGATGAGGAGCAGGGTTTTAAAGAACGTCTACTTCGATATTTGGAAGATACCATCTCGACATGCATCCCTGGACTTCCAGAAGAAGACATATCAATGCCCAATCAAAATTTTCATCCGTGTTCAACTCGCAGAGTCAAATTTCAGAACATGGATAATGGTTTGGTAGAGCCGATGCACAAAAAAGATATGCACCTCCTCGCTAAGAAATGCCAGACTCACCGGCATTCAAAAATGTGCTGGAAATACTGGAAGGGCCCACCTGAACCAAAAGAATGTCGATTTGATCTAGATGAGAAAAATGTTCATCCGATAAGCCTGACTGATCCGGTCACAGGTGAAATTACCCTAAAGTGTTTAGATGGTCTGGTGAACCATTTTAACGAGAGCATTTTGGAAGCCATGAGATGCAACATGGATATTAAATTCATCGGATCAGGACCAGCCGCGAAAGCAATTCTGTATTACATCACTGACTACATTACAAAGTCTCAGTTGAAAACTCACGTTGCATTAGCTGCAATGGAAACAGCGGTACACAAATTAGAGACGTACAACCCAAATGATGATGATTGCACCTTACGAGCGAAGAAGATGCTTCAAAAATGTGCTCATTCGATGATTTCGCACCAAGAGCTGTCCGCTCAGCAAGTCTGTTCATATCTGATGGATTTCGAGGACCACTTTATGAGCCATGAGTACCGTGGTTTGTATTGGACCAATTTCGAATCCTTCATCGAGAAGTGTAGTCCAAGTCCTGAATGTAATTGGTCATCAGCAGTCGATGACACCATGCCAAGTATCACCCACGATTGTGATAATGATACCGAAGGGACACAGGATGAGCTTGTTGAAGAACAGGAGCACAGACCTGTCAAAGGAACCCTTGATGATAACGGAGCCTACATCGAACAACTTCAAAACGATGAGATCAGGATCGGCAGTGACAATTTCGGAAACCTCGTGCTGAAAGCTCAGGTTCTCATTCGGCAGAAGATATTCTTTATTCTTCGGCCAAAACACGGCCTTCTGGAGAACTTCAGATGGGGCATTATGAATCACGCACTCATTTTCTGCGAGTGAGACGACAAGAAAATCGATTTATACCTGTTCCGATGGGTCCCAAAATGCCTCGCAGAGATCAGGAGCCCATGTACCCCAAATATTGTCGCCTGATGCTCATCCTCTTTAAACCCTGGAGATCTATATCTGATCTGAAACAAACAATGCAGTCATGGACTGAAAGCTTTGAATCGTTTAAACACACCTGCAATGACAAGGTTATCGCCATCTTAAACAACATGCAAATTTTGCATGAGTGCAAGGACAGCCGAGATGATCATTTCGCGAATCGCCGACTTCGACATAAGCTTGCAGGCATCTCGCATGAAACGCCCAGCTACAGTAATGGAATCAATGAAGAGGGCTTGTTCACAGACAATACCGATGAAGATATACTCTCTCATCTAGAATCAATGGACTCCTGTCATTCTATACACCAGTCCATGATTAACGACGACCTGATCTGTTGCCTTCAACATATGGAATCATGTCAGTTCTTTGACAGTCTCTTGCGTGTTTCGGATCCCGCAAATCCTGCTATGGACCATCCTGAAAACGACAATCAACTTTCTGAACAAATCATTCAAAATATGGAGCAAGAGAACGAATGGCGAGACTGCTATGAACAAAGGCGAAAAAAATGGAAGAAAAATCAAGCTGCAAATGATATTTCAAAATCTGACCTGCACCATGCTGCGCCATCAACGACAATTGAGATGCTGCAGACAACGCCATCAGAAACACATGAGACCCTTGTTCCAGGTATCCAGAGCCATACTCATCCAATTGATGAATTTCACGATGTGAATAGTGACCGTGTTGCTGAAGAATGGTCATTAAACGACGAACAATCCAGGGCATTCAAACTAATAGCAGAGCACAGTCAGGCGAGCAATCCCGAACCTCTAAGAATGTTCATTGGGGGACCTGCTGGAACTGGGAAATCAAGGGTTATCAATGCTCTAAAAGACTTCTTTGTAAAACGAAACCAAGCACAACGATTCAGACTTGCCTCATACATGGGAGTAGCTGCACGGAACATCTCAGGTATGACCCTGCATGCATCACTTCTATTAAATCAAAGACATAAATCAGCAGCAAATACCAAAACAAAACGAGACCTTACTGCGATGTGGGAAGGAATTGACTACTTATTCATAGATGAGGTATCCATGATAAGCTGTGATTTTCTCACCAAAATTCACGATGCACTAGTTGACGCCAAAGGAAACACTGCCCCGTTTGGAGGAATCAATATCATCTTCGCTGGAGATTTTGCTCAGCTCTCGCCCGTGAGTGGCAAACAATTATATGCTCACCTCAACGTCAGACGCTGTGCAACAATGCAGGGACAAAAAAGTATCTTTGGCAAGCTTCTTTGGCTGTCAACAAACTCCGTGGTATTACTAATGAAAGTAATATGTCAGTCAGGTCCAGAGAACGATCAATTCATCAACTGCCTTTCGCGCCTGTGCCAAGGAAAATGTACCCTAGATGATTACCAGCTTTTGCAATTGAGAGTGATTGCAACTGGTACAACACATGTGAATGATTGCGAATGGAAAGACGCACCGATCATCATCTGTGATAATGAGAGCAAGGATGAACTAAATGTTAGAATGACAACAGCATTTGCACGAAGGACGGGATGTACTCTTCACTGGTACCATTGCACAGATAAACATCAAGGAAAACAACTGCACAATGAAGATTTGATCAATAAACTACAGCACATGAATTCGGGGAAAACAAACATGCGACTGGGAAAAATCCCGTTAGTAATTGGCATGCCAATCCTCGTGTCTCAAAACTTTGATGTTGAGGGTGGAATTGTCAATGGTAGCACCGGAATACTGAGAAAAGTGAGATACTCACTCAATGATGAGAAACAACGAGTGCTGAGGTCCTGCATTGTGGAAATCAACCAGTCGTCAGACAAAGCACTCCCAAATTTATGTCCGCACTACATACCCATCATCAAAGACTCTACAGAACTCAGATTCACACATCCCAACTCGAAAAAGACATGCCGGATCACTCGCACTCAAGTTCCCATCCTTCCAGGTTTCGTTATCACTGCACATAAATCACAAGGCCAAACACTAGAAAAAGTTATTGTGGACCTTGGCTCAAAATGGTGCGAGGAGCTGAAAAACCGTATGTGATGGTATTGTGTGCGACCTCTCTGCAAAGCCTGTTTGTCCTATGTCCATTTAATTACAGCAAAATTTGCTCTCACCCGTCCCAAGATATCCGCCGAGAAATGCTTCAATTAGAGATATTAAACCTCAAAACATTAATTGACTCACCACATACAAGCAACGAACAACGAGAACAAGCACAGCAACAATTACCAGTCCTGAACAATCCGGTCACACAAGAAAAAACATTGACATGTGCCAAAGAAGATGGAGCGCGTGAACTAAACAACATTCAACAGACCATCCTCGACCTTAACATTAATCTCACTATGGCAGGCACCCAACCCGGGTTAGAACAACAACCACCTCGTCGAAAGAAGAGAAAACTGACTGAATTAGTCAGTGAGAATGAGACGAGCAAGCAGACACTGACCAAGGTTCCCATACCTCGGTCAGCAGACAATGATCTGCCACCACCTCCACGACGTACCAAATGCCGCAGACCAACCTAACTGCCAGTGTCAAATATCTTTGTCAGCAAGGGTATACCTCATATGAGTCTTCATCAACAACAAAATTTACTGTGCGTCATACCAACAGTATGACACAGAGAATGACCTGCATCCGCCTCCACGGTGGATCAAATGCTGCAGGGCGACCTGACTATGATTGACAATGATTTTTGTCAGCAGAGGTATGCGTCATATGAATATTTATCAACAGCAAAAACCACGGTGTGTCATACCCTTGTAATCCCTACCTCCTGTTATTTAAACCGAGGTGCGATGCAGTTTGAACCATGCGATCTTCCACTGAAACCACCACCATGTCCATTCCTGACTGTGAAGTCCAATGCTTCTCACACCGTGCCGCAAATGGCATCTATGATCGCGTCGCCGATGCGATGACGAAGCTTGGCAAAGATGGTTTAGGAGAAGCCGACTTCGGTATCGATTGGTGCACGACTGTGCAAGACAACTATAGCGGAACGAATTGGTCATACGTGAATATGAAGGATGGTCGACCGTTTAAGACCAACATCATCGGCCAGATTGCGACCTCCGCATGCGGCACTAGGCATTCGGCCAAAGGCATGCACTTTACCAAAAAGGCACGTACAACTGTTGCCAGTCAACTGACGTCATCTGACACTTGTGAGACAAGAATGTACCTCTGAGTGACTCAGACACAGTCAAATGGAAGTGGGCACTCTCTAGGCCCACTTTATGCTCACCCAATTTAGCGGACATCTGGGAGAACCAGCTGACGTCTCTCGAAGATTGGGTAACTGAGGAAAAGAAAAGGGTGGCGAGTGTCAGTGACACCCATAACATCGTTTCAAATCTAACATACCGTACAGGAATCAAAGATCAACAGTTGCGCCGTCAAGAGCAACAACAACCTGCAGTATGCAGACCTCATCATCCTCACATCCCAGCACATCTATGAGGTGAGCCACAAAGCGACGACCTCCACATCATCCTAAACATATCGATCATAGAAACCAAACGGGAAAAATATTCCCACCAGTCATGACACAGCTCCACAACGAACGAAGCGAAAGGTCACAAACGAGGAAAGCATGGCAGGACAACAAGCCACGCCGATGGCGACAACATCTGTAGTGAACATGACAGAAATAGTAGACATCCCGATGCCTACCGTGGACGAAGGTAATGACCATGTCGATATCGCATGATAAATACCAATGCTCACCCGTCATTGACAAGTCTTTCACGGAGCTCTTTATGATCCGAGAATCCTCCCTGACTACCGCGGATCATACTTTGAACTACGTCAGAATAAGCTTAAACAACTAAACATCTTCGACACCCCAGATAACAACTGCAAGTTGGTGCCCATGCACAAGATGTATGCGAAGTTAAGACCAGGGACGCTTATTCTCGCTGTCTGCGAGGCGCACATATATAACATTGTGCAGAATGGGCTACCGACGAGCGTACGCACCTCTAAAAATCGAACATCACATCTACTAATCCCGCACTAGACATTCCAACTGGCAGTACAAGCAATCAAGATCCTTGATCCATCTGACGAGCCTGTCGAAGAACGATTTATCCTGATTCTCTCCCCGACTTTGACAGACATGTCGAAAGACAATTCGGCCGTCGCAAGCTTCTCTATGTTCGATGTCGCTACCAACCCTGTGAAAAAATCTAAGCATGCAAAGGGAGGCAAAGGAAAAGAGAAAATGGACTAATTCGTGTTTCAGCCTCGCGATGTACTTGTACCGATGAATCGTGTCTCTTCTGACTGAAAAAAAGGGAGTCGTTCGAGTATATTTGTAACAGCCTCCACATTGCCTTATGTTTTGATATGACCTTTTGTATTTATAGTGCCTCAGTATTGAAATCATAGCGTAGAGTCAGGGATCAAATCAAAGGACCATAGCGGGCTCTGCCGCGTGTGGCCCTTCGCGTTATTACAGAAAGATCCACCCAGAATTGAGAGCTGGGGAAGTGAAATAGATAAGAAATTGAGTGTGGGAAACTTCAAATGTCCTGAAGTTCAAATGATCAGTTGGTGTATACATTGCTATGGGCCACCAATTCAAACACTTCTACACCACATCCCTCCCACCAACACTCTACCCTCAGGGCAGTATGTAGTATAGGTTCCTTAGGTAGTCTATCATGTATCCTACACATTTTTAATGAAATTTTCAACCTGTATCATATATAAATGTGAGGTCAGTGCTTGGTGCAGAGATCAAAGACCTGGTGTGGAAGGAGAACAGATTGCATTTCTGTGCCAAATCTGCAATGACGGAGCAGCTAGAAATTTCATTTATGCCTCAGCTTGCAGAAAAAAATAGAAGATGTGCACCAACTATTTGGAGATTAATATTCTCACTTCTTGAGGCTTCTGATGAATGATGGAGCATGGGAAAAGCTACAGCTGATGATATAGTGATGACAGAGGTGTTTGCAGATGCAGAGCATGACCTTGGAGAGATTGGGGGTGACAATGGTGTAGATGAATTTGCAATGTCAGATACAAGCAATGAAGAAAGAAACAACTCACAAAAACATCCACTGAAACAGTCCCGCAGTGCCCAAGTAGAGGCAAGAAATGCAACACTGCAGATAATTGTCAGTTCAATGACATTACACTGAACTCATGCCTCTACAGAAAACTGTTGTGTGCATCAGTATCATTCTGCAGAGCTCAAATGAAAGATGCAACTACTTACAAGGTCTCCTTGGCATATTCTTCCACTTGATGAGTGTTCCGCAAAAGGTTATTGATGTCCTGGCACACATGGGATTATCAATCAGTGTCATATCAATCCACAATGTGATACACTCAATGTCCAAAGAAATTGCAGCTAACATCAAGCAAGGTATTTAATCACTGAAGGTGTCCTTTGTATATGACAACTTCAACATCAATTTCAAAACTTCAGAACCTACCATTGGCCATCATTCGACCTTCATTAGCACAACATCTGCTACCTCATTGCCACTTGTAGGCATTGATAATCCCAATGCACTATGCTGCTTGGCGACATTATGGGCTGCTGATTCTCGTAACCCTGCACCTTCAACAATAGCTGTTGAAATTAATGAATTTGACATGCTAAAACATCACATCAACGACACTTACAGCAGGCCTAAACCAGGCAAGCATCTCAGCCCACGACTCACTGCCTTTGCATGGCATGTACAAGATATTCTTGTCCAACATGGCTAGTATTTCAGATCATTTGCAGACAAATGTGGAGAGCCAGAATCAGTCCTACAGATACCTGTCACAAAGACTGACCAAATACCTTTCTGTTCCATGAGGATCAAGCAAACAACTTCTGACAGAAATATGGAGGTGATGGAGAACTTGCTGTGACAAGAAGGAATTGGAGATCCCACAGATAAGGATTTTGAATCCACTGGAGATGTTGACATGTCAGAATATGTCTTGCTCATTCATGGTGATTTACTCACCAAGGAACAGCTCAACACCATTTGTGATACATGGAGAATTGAGAGCACACCAAAAAATTGATTCCAGTACATCATCTTCCTGCCAGGCTTATTTCACTACAAAATGGCATGTGCAGATGCAATATGGAGGACATACCTTCAACCCAAAGGAGGTTGAGATGACTTGAATAGCATGTTCCAACATGTAGGCATTTTGCGACCACAAAAAACAGGGTGCATATTGTTATGACCAGCATTCACCAAATGGCATAGGCAAGAACACAACCACTAGGACTCGGTCACAGTTGATGATAAAAGCAAGGATAGGATTGAGCGTGAATGTCTAAGCCTACTACAAGTGTAAAGAACGAAGAGGTTAAGTCTAAGGAGTACTTATGCTAGCTAGCCTACTTATATACATAACATTGAATCAGATATATCTGAGTATGAAACAAATCAACCAATGAGAAAAGAGTTGTACAATAACTGCAGATGACATAGTATGACATTGTGATATATAAGTGATGAGATCATAGATGGAGATTGAAACAATAGGAAGAGAGATCATTCTAGCCCATGGAGTAGGGGATCCAATCGGAGATACAATGGGTGATATGTGAAGAGGTGAAACTGTGACAGGAAGTGAAGTCACGTGACTGGTTTGGGAACTAGAAGTAACTGGAGGAAAGCCAAGAAACAAAAAATGGTTTGTATTGGGAATTTGTGACACATCCACAAAACCTGGTTTCAGATGCATGCATGATGTCATACACCATGACCTGCATGCTTCAATTCTTGAATGCTGGCACCTTGAAGCACAGTCAAGTCGGCCAGTTGAATGGCAAACATTGGAGAAGTTTGGAAAATCAGAGTTGGAGTGGGATCTGCTTGTGGAGATGTCTGAAGCAATTGTCAACAAGTATGTTGCAACATCAGACAAGCTTGGTGACCTACGTGCCATACCAGTTGGCAAATGGGACAAACAATTCAAAAACCAATGTCTTCGGAATCGGGATCAGCTACTCTATGTTGATCTCTGCCAGGCCATGAATGCTGGTGATATTTGTCAAGTTGAAGCATGTTTCCTGCTGTGGATCTATATATTTTATGCAACTGGCAAGCATAAATATGCAGCACAAATCAACAAGTTTTCAATAAACTTACAATATGTATATCCCAAAGACTTGTGGTAAAAACTGTACCATTGTGCCCTGAAATTAACAAGTTAATCACAACAACACAGTCACATAATATGTCTCAACTTACTTTGCAATCCTACAGGAAAATCCAATGCTTTTTGAGCTGTGGATTGGTTGGTAGAGCAAAATAATTTGTACACAAAGGTGGAGAATCTTGGTGACATTATTATTGTGTCACATCCTTATGTATTTGGCAGGTCATCTTTGCAGGTACAGGTCCAAACCGCACAATTGACAACATTATCAAACAATCACCATTGATTGAGGTGTTCCACAACTGCCACATCATTGTGGAGAACACATTTTACCTGAAAAACCGAACCATCCAGCACACACACCCAGACATGACAGCCACCATTGAGAAGCTTCGATCATATATCCAGTCAACGTTGTCATATATATCACAAAGCAGGAGTACAAAGCAAGTTATTGAAGACCAGATTGCAGTTGAGATGAAGCTAATACAACAAAAAAAAGTTAGCCAAACAATGTCCGGTGAAGAACACTATGAAGCAGAGCCACAGGATTTCATTAATAACTAACCTGCAGATGGAGCCACATTTACATCATTCAACTGGCTACCTCTTTGCTGCTTAGGTACATACTTCAGATACAGACAGTTTGATGCTATAATCTAGTTCAGTAGTTGTATGAGTGCAAAAGTACCATGAACTTATGTTATGACTAGCATTCACTGAATGGCAAAGGCTAAACAACCACACCAGGACTCGATCATAGATGATGATAAGAGCAAGGATAGATTTGAGTGTGAATGTCTAAGTCTACTACAAGTGTAGAAACAAAGAGGTTAAGTCTAAGGAGTACTTATGCTAACTAACCTACTTATATACATAGCATTGAATTGGAGATATCTGAGTATGAAACAAATCAGCCAATGAGAAAAGAGTGGTATGATAACTGTGGATGATGTAGCATGACATCGTGATATATAAGTGATGATATCATAGACAGAAATTAAATGGGAGGAAGAGAGACGATTCTAGCCCATGGAGTTGTTAAGGTCATGCTCAAGGGGAGGAGAACTCAAAGGGCTTGGCTTCAGCTCGTGTGCTGTGCCCCTTACTCGAGCACATGCCCTTAATTTCTGGGAGGTAGGAAAGAAGTTCAATGGAAGTCTGGGTGAGTCTGGAGGTCAAACACAGGGGGAGTTCAGTGAAACTCCGGAGGGTCAGAAGTTACTAGAGTAGGACTACTATGGACAAGTCCAGAGTAGAAACAGAACGGAGGTAGACTACCCTAAGGTAGAGTTGGAGATATAGTCTAAGGGTTGAATCCAAAGACTTGGAGATGGACAGGAGGTAAACTCAAGTCTAGAGAGACAGGAATGAGCAGGAACTAAGATGACATTCGAACTGAGGAGGTATGGAGTTTTACAGGAGTTTATATACTGTAGGTATCAGGTAAGTAATCAGTCAGCATAGTGAAAAGCTATGTATGAGGCATATGGAAAGTCTATTAGTAAGTATACAACAGATCAAAGAAATGAAGTCAGAAATGAATACAGAGGGACAGATCAGTAAGCAAGGTGGAAAAGCATATAACTGGTAACCGGAGAGAAGGAGGTCTTAAAGGAGATAGGTGTGAATCTGGAGATGAAACCAGAGCACCAGACGGAATTTAGGTCAGAAGTCCAGGTCTAACAAGTGAGGATCCAGAGTTCTGGGTCTGGAAATACAGGATATGACAATTACCAACTTGTGTAGGACAATCAGAAACTATCCTTTCCTTTATATGTTCAAACATAAACATGTAATGATTGATAGTAGAATTATGATGATGATTGTGATTCTATACTATATATTGTTACAAGCACTCTGCTCATCTCAGATCTTTTACAGCAGTAACAAAGAGTACACTACATTTACCATCTCTCTTTCTTCATTTGCAGGTGACCACAATGTTTGAATATCATGTTGATTGTGGACTCTCAACAGCACTGTGTACAGTTAACCATGTGCAAATCCATCTGTGCAAACATCAACCATGTGTCATATCCATGAATTATCCAAGTCTCTTCCACCCTCAGTTATCCTCTTCTGCCCTCAATCATAGTCCTCTGCCCTCGTCCATGCTCCTCCACCTCTAAATCAGTATCTCCAATTTCAGGCACATTCCTCCACCATTAACTCAATCAAGGTATGAGGTTGTCATATCCATGATCCACACAAGTCTCCTCTGCCCTCAGTTGTCATCCTCCACCTTCAATCATAGTCCTCCGCCCTTACCAATGCTCTTCCGCCTCTCAAAATGTATCTCCAACGTCAGGTACATTCCTCCGCCCCTGACTCAATCAAGGTACAAGGCACCTGTCAGACCATTCTGAGTTCCCCTTGTGTATTCCACTTTTCAATTAGTCTTTGTACCTTGTATGCTCTGATCCTCCATTTCAATTACACTTGTTATATACTTGTCATATACCGGATCTGAGCACCTCCAATACCACCTGTGAACATCCCTACTGCTGGTCTGACCCCCTGTTTCCCTGTCTGCTCCATCCCTCCTTCTCTGACAATGCATGAAGTGCACCTCAGCAGGACTAGCCCTGCTACCTCCGCCCAACTCTGCTCCACTTCTCCAACACTACCCCTATTTCCTCCGACACCATATCCCTACCATCTGACCCTATCTGGAGCTCCGCTCCTCCGCTCTGTCGGTCCACCCAATCCTATTCCTACTCCCTCCACCATCTCTGCTTTTCTGACCCACTCGGTTCCTCCAGTTTCTCTTGTATCAGTCCACCTGACTATTAGTCCGTCTGACCACCTCACCAGTCCACTCCTAGACTAGGAACCACTCAACTGGTCCTATCTCCTTTTAGTATCCTAGTTCCTCCTTTCGGATCATCGGTAATCCCTATACCCAAGTGATTATTGATCCGTCGTGTACACACTGTTCTCTGAGCCCCTTTCTTGTATGTCTCAGTCATCTTTCTAGTAATTCTGTACACTCAGCACATAGCCTTCTGCTATGCTATGCTACTTACTTGGAGTATATAAACATATGTACATCTGTCTGTAGATCTTCAGTCTGAATATTACCTTTTCTAAGCCCTGCTCTCTTGTTCTTGTTCTTGGGCAAAACCCTTGACAACTCCTGTCTGCCAGCCTAGGGGATTGACTCCCTAGGTTGGCCGCCTTTCCTGTGCCTTGGACTTGTGGCCAATACTCTTGTACAACTGTCCTCCGCATTTCCATTCTGCTTCAGACTTCGTCTGAGCAGTCTCCTCTGCTCTGCTCCTACTGCTAGCTCCAACTACAGTAGTCCTCCGACTCTCTCCTGTTGGGTGGACCAACCTCCACCCAACATTCCCATGCTCATCTAGTAGTCCATTGGTCCTCCTTCAGAGGACCTTCACTCCGACGATTTGTCGGAGCTCATAGAACTCGAGTCAGACTACAATCCGAAATTAGGGGCATGTACTTGGGTAAGGGGTGCAGCGCACGAGCTGAAGCCAAGCCCCTCAGACTCCACCTTACCCCTGAGCACGGGCTTAACAATACTATGGTTCATTGTTCCTTTTATTATTACTTTGTACTCTGCCACACTATGCTGCATAGCCCAGATCCCTATAGTATATAAACCCCATGTATCCCGGAGAAGTTTATACAATATGAATATAGACTTGAATCTATCCTAACTACCTCTGACTCAACTAAAGTCTTGTCCATTACCTCTTCTGACTCTGAGACTGGTCTTGCTGACCTCCACCTCTGTCTTTCGACAGCTTTTGCCTTACTTTTTACGTCAGACTTAGTCCCTCATAATCTTACCTCTGTTGGAGCATGTCAGACATAGTCCCCCACGACTGTACCCCTGTCAGAGCATGTCGGAGTTGATCTCCAGCCGTCTCTACCTGTCCTTCAAAGTTATGGGCACCATACTCGCCTAAGGAGCACAGTGCACAAGCTGAAGCTAAGCCCTTCCATAATCTCCTTCCTACCCATTAGGCATGGTGTGGGATGCCAACCACTACTGAGCTGGTATTCCCCTCCACCCAGCCAACTCCATACAACTCTTGAACATCTTTCCACATCATTTCCATTCAGTCTGACTCCCACCAATTGAGGCCGACTCTGTATCAATGTATGCCATTCACAACTACAAGTCAGGCAATGTTCAGACATGCATATTGCTGGTCAGCTGCATGCGCACTTCATATACCTAACCTGCTACGCCATCTGACTGACCCATATCCATCCATTCTCGTCCACTGGTACATTGTACATACTTTCTACACTGCTTCTAATGATCCAAGGCCTTATTCTCTTACATACCGCTTATTATGTTACCCTAAGCAACTCAGCCCAACCACATAAGTCCCATTCCCATTTGTTTCGCTTAGACTTACATGTGCTGCACTTATATCCTGATAGCGCCTCGAGGTAGTCTGAACATCCCTAGCAAATATATCTCCTTGTTACTTATCTCATAGCCAAATTGTACTTAAGTAGAATGGACCCTTGTTGAAAGGCAGTGAATTCTCACTCAGAAGCCATGTCTTTTGTTTATTCCTCTTCTCTCTATCGTTCTGTGTGCTTCACGGAGTTTCCACTCGTCTTCAGTCTTTGTTTGTTATGCACAAATCGATCAGCCGACTTCACAGTCAATTGGTCTCATCTTTGGTCAACTAAAGAAGTGATCTATATAAAGTCAGATACTATGGCATGTTGTTACATCCCTTGTATTATATACTAGGGTTGTGAATCAGTTTGCTTTGTTCCACTTCCCCTGGGTCAGACTAAACAATACAGATCTTGCTACTACTTGAATTGGCTGCAATCACACTGATAGCTTAGTAGCATTCACAACCTACAACGGTTCTGACAGAGGTACACATCAGTCCATTATAAGTTCCTTTTGTACATTCCACTTTCTGACTGGTCCTGGTACCTTGTATGATCCAACTCTCCATTCCAATCTAACCTGTTGTACACTATGGTATGTTGTACCATTTATTATTACTTTGTACTCCACTACACTGTGCCACATAGCCCAGATTCCTATAGCATATGAACCCCATGTATTCCAGTAGTGTTTCTACAATACAAATATAGACTTGAACCTATCCTAACCACCTCTGACTTGACTTGAGTCTTACTCATTGTCTATTCTGACCTCAAGACTAGTCTCACCAACCTCCACCTCTGTCTTCTGACAGTCCTTATATTATTTTCTATGTCGGACTTAGTCCCTTGTAGCCTTACCTCTGTTGGAGTGCATTGGACATAGTTCCCCACAACCATACCCCTATTGGAGCACATTGGAGTTGACCTTCAGCAAGCCCCTATCTGTCCTCTGAAGTTAAGGGCACCATACTAGTTGAAGCTAAGCCCCTCCATAACCTCCTTCCTACCCATTAGACACAGTTCTGACAGTCACTAATGAAGGACATCTTCATATGTGTTCACAATTTGAAGATTATGAGCAACAAGGAGAGGAACTCAACTTGTATTCATATTTTCAGTCCATAATTGACACATACAAAGAGGCAATCCCATCTTCAGAATAGGAACAGCAAGAACATGAAGCTTCCGCTTCATCTTCAATCCAAAGGTGTGGTTGACCAAGAAATGAATGGAGTTATTACCTCAAGGACCATTCCAAACATCACACCCACCACCAAGTTATTTGATCAAAGGGTCATAATACATTTCCCAATATTGTTGGACCATTTTTGCCCCAAGGCAATGACCCAAAAACTCGAAAACTGTATTGTGCATTGATCCTTGCATTGCTTCTACCATGGCACAGTATTGAAGAACTGAAGGCCAACTTCAAAACATGTGAAGATGCATACATGGATTTTTTCAACCATGCCTCACAGCAAGAGAAGGATGTTGTTGCTGGGATTCAATATTATTATGAATGCAAGAAAGCTGCTACAATTTCATGTATTCACAATAGCAAAAATGTCCTATCTGCCAAACTGTCATATACTGGATCTGAGTACCCCCAGTACCACCTATAAGCATCCCTACTGCTGGTCCAACCCCCTGTTTCCCCATCTGCTCCATTCCTCCTTCTCTGACAATGCATGAAGTGCATCTCAGCAGGACTAGCCCTGCTACCTCCACCCGACCCTGTTCCGCTCTTCTGACACTACCCCTATGTCCTCCGACACCACACCCCTTCCATCCGACCCTATCTGGGGTTCTGCTCCTCCGCCCTATTGGTCCACCCGATCCTACTCCTACTCCCTCCACTTTTCCGACCCACTCAGTTCCGCTCATCTTGTCCCACCCAACTATTAGTCCGTCCGACTGCCTCACCGGTCCACTCCTAGACTAGGAACCACTCAACTGGTCCTATCCCCGTTTAGTATCATAGTTCCGCTTTTCAGATCACCAGTAATCCCTATACCCTAGCGATTCTGATCCGTCGTGTACATACTGTTCCCCGAGCCTTATTCTCGTATGTCTCAGTCATCCTATTGTATTCCTGTACACTCAGCACATAGCCTTCTGCTATGCTATGCTCATCACTTAGAGTATATAAACATATGTACATTTGTCTGTAGATACTCAGTCTGAAAATTACCTTTTCTAAGCCCTGCTCTTCTATTCTTTGACTTGGGCCTGATCCTAGTCAACTCCTGTGAGCTGGCCTAGGGGATTGACTCCCTAGGTCAGCCACCCTCCCACCCTCCGCTCCTCCGTTCCCCCATTTCCCCGCTCCCCCATTCCCCCGTTCCCCCGTTCCTCCGCTCGTCTGACTTCCCATGCATTGGAACTAAACCCTGCACTCTCACAATCCGTCCCCTCTGTTCCACTCTGCTTTGGACTTCATCCAAGCAGTCCCTTCCACTCCACTTCTACTGTTGGTTCTGACCACAGTAGTCTCCCGCCTCCCTCCTGTCGGGCGGAACAACCCTCACCCGACTTTCCCGTGCTCACCTAGTAGTCCGTCGGTCCTCCTTCAGAGGACCCCCATTCCAACATCCTGTCAGAACTCATAGAATTTGTGTCGGACTACATTCCGAAATTAGGGGCATGTACTCAGGTAAGGGGCACAGTGCACGAGCTGAAGCCAAGCCCCTCAGACTCCGCTTTACCCCTGAGCATGGTCTTAACACAAACAATGTGTATCAAAAAATTGACAAGTGGCTGCGATCATTGATGAAGAAGACAAAGATGAAGAGACAGTTGTTAACTTGATGATCAAAGATTTGCATGCATACAAGGAATCCCAGAAGTCTCATCATGAGGAAGCACATGGGCTGGATGCAATTGCAGTCGGATATTTAAAGGGTATTTTTTGGAGGAACCAGATTCATTGGATGTTGTCACATCAAAGTTGGTATCACAAGTGGTGCCAATTATACTCAGCTTCAAAAGTAGCAGGCTGCAATGGCTGATGAAACAAACTTGGTTGATGAGGTGAGAGATGAAGATATTACTGCAGCTGACTTTGGAGATGTCACCATGATGGACAGACTACACGAAGTTGATGATGAGGGTCATATATCATACCTCCAGCCCTCAGTTCAAGAACACATATCTCCAGTCAACCCATCATGTCTTTTGAAGGATCAAAGATGTGCTTATGATATTGTTGATTGGCACCTGTCTGAAACATTGGCAGGATGTGAACCTCTGCAACTACTTATGCAAATCTCAGGAGAAGGAGTTGGCAAATCAAAGACCATCCAAACCATAACCAAAAACTTTCAGAGCTGAGGCGTTGACTCTGAACTTGTGAAGGCAGCCTATACTGGAATTACAGTGTCCATCATTGATGGAAAGTGTTAGAGACCATGCTCGGATGGAGAAGGGGAGGGGTCAGGGCTTGGCTTCAGCTCTTGTGCTGTGCCCTTAGCCGAGTATGTGCCCTGAATTTGGAGCAGATCTGACGATGTCCGATGATAGGACGAGTGGACCACTTAGGTCCGCTTTGGTGGGTCGGGAAGTAAGTGCTACTAGTGGTAGTCCGACTAGGAGCAGAGTGGAGAAGGTGGAGGAAGTTTATTGGGACAGAGGGGAGCAAGGGGATTGATTGGGGGAGTCAGAGAGGTAAGAGTAATACTTAGAGCACAGCTCTAAGTTGGAGTGGAGGGTCGGAGGTGATGACAAGGTAAACTTGTGTCTGGAGAGGGAGCAAAGTTCTATGGAGAATTCCCACTAGTGGAGACAGCAGGAAGACAAGTAATATTACAGCCATTTGCATATGTAATGGTACTGGCACCTTGATGTAAAACAAATGATAACATAAACCAAAAAAGGACTTAGTGATATTTTGAAGGCTCAAGTTGTAGTACCGTGACGTCTCAGCTGCCAAGTCTACTATGACATGGGTCATAACCCGAAGAAGTTCAAAAGTGCAGAGTTCATCAATGACTCCAATAGCTCAAATGATGATGGCAGCGTCCTTGACATTTCATCAATGTCTTCCGATTCCGATAGCTCAGGGTCATCAACAGCATTCAGATCGGCAGGGCCAAGCATTTTCAATTTTGACACTTGGGACAGTATAGATCGCGAACTAGACGCATTGCCTGCTCTGCCTCCAGTTATAGGGCCTCTTCAAGCACCTAGTAAAGTCAAGTCAAAAAAGAAAAAATGTTGTGCATATATTCTGTTTGTGACTGAATAACTGACGTGATCACACAGTGAAGCAGCCTCAACCTGCAACTCTCCCTCCCAATGAGCCAGAGGTTATACCCAATCAAGTAGCTCCACCACGTATTGAGGCAACATACAGCATCATGATTCTGCCGTACAGTGAGCTCAAGAAAGATGACATCAAGAAACATGTCGGCACTGTGTTAAGACCATGCTCAGGGGTAGGACGGAGTCTGAGGGGCTTGGCTTCAGCTCATATGCTGCACCCCTTACCTGAGTACGTGCCCCTAATTTCGGAATGCAGTCCAACACAAATTCTATGAGTTCCGACAGGACGTCGGAACGGGGGTCCTCTGAAGGAGGACCGATGGACTACTAGGTGAGTGCGGGAAAGTTGGGCGAGGGTTGTTCCGCCTGACAGGAGGGAGGTGGGGAACTACTACAGTCAGAACCAACAGTAGAAGCGGAGCAGAAGGAACTGCTTGGACGAAGTCTGAAGCAGAGCAGAACGGAGGGGATGGATGTGAGAGTGCGGGGTTTAGCTCCGACGCACGGGAAGTCAGATGAGTGGAGGAATGGGGGATTGGGGGAACAGGGAAAACAGGGGAACGGGGGAACGGGGGAACGGGGGAACGGGGGAACGGGGGAACGGGGGAACGGGGGAACGGGGGAACGGGGGAACGGGGGAACGGGGGAACGGGGGAACGGGGGAACGGGTACTATTGTTCGCATTGCTCCTCAGCCAACCTCACTTGCAGATGAAGATGATTATTGCGAGTTCATCAAACATCTCCAGTGAACTGGCACACCTGCTGCCACTATTTATATCCAAGAGCTTTCGGCCATGAAAAAGGTGTGAATTGCGTGTGGTTCCTTTACAAGCTAATTAGAGTTTGATAGTGCAAGGATCAGTCATCAGACAAGGAGAACAACGGAGAAAGAAATGAGCATGAGAATCATAGCAGCTCAGAATCGAGTGACGATGGCAAGAAGAGGAAGCCGAAGAAGAAGAAGAAAATAAAGGTAACATAATATATCATTCCATATCTCAATGTTGGCTGATGAAAGTTTAGGCACCGAAGGCCAATGACATAGACGAAGAGATGAAACCAATCAACAAGAACATCAAGGCTTTATCGGATTGGTGGGTTTGTCATAAAAAGCCAGGCTGCTTGAGCAACTACTGCTACCCAAACCCTGGTGACAATGGATCTCATGTTCATCTCACATTTCCCCTTCTCAAATGCTGGGCAGCTGCAATGGTCCATATTAGTTTTTCAAACATTTCATAGTTTCACTTCGAACCCCACACAGGAAAAAGGGCCAGAGTATGCCACTCTTGAGATGCCTCCTAACCATTCTTCCTTCAGTATTATTTCTTCTGATTCTCTTGGACAGCCCTCGCTTCTTTCTGTCCGCCGCCAACAGCTCGACGAACAATCCAAGAAAGCCACTCAGGCTGAGGCTGTGCCTGCTGCACCCACACAAGCCAGACCTGTAATCAATGCCAACTTTCCCCCCAAAATGTTCCAAGCCATACGTGCAGCATCTGTCTCAGAACCTGTCCATCGTGCACCAGCCCCTACCTTGCCTCCACCTGCTGTATTGCTACCTCTTGCTGTTCCAGCTTCTCTCAGCTCTTTGCTCTTGTCGACACAACTTGCTTCCCTTGGACCGAGGATGAACCTTGTGGACTTTTGCTCTGCTTATGAACTTTCACAAATTCTTCAGTCAAAACTCTCAGATCATGGTTTTACGTCTTCGCATTCCCTTTGTTATGTCACTGTTGATGATTTGCAAAAGGTGGGCTTACTTTGTGGAGAACTTGCTGAGCTCAAGGATGCAGTTGCCCGCTGGTGTGGTGAATAATTGTTATGTGTTATGTGTTACATTTTTTATTGTTCCTCTCACTCTGCATGTTCTATTGTTTCTCGCTACTCTCTCACTTTGCACACTGCTGCTCAATTATCAATAATGTTTGTATTCTAGAAGTACCCTGAATGACGCATGTATCCCTGTGCATCCTCCGCTGTAATGATCTCCAGGGCCTCTCATAAATCATACATAATCCCGTCATTGTCCACTGCTGCAGAAAACAGGTCATAGTTACAACAAATCCATGCCTTGAACTTCAAAAAGGCTTCCTCAATTGGGTTGAGATCGGGGGAGTAGGGAGGCAAAAATCTAATTTGTACACCTGCTCCGAGTCACATTACTAGAGTACATCAATACTATGTAAGATAGACATACCAAATCTGTCTGCAAGCTCGCGAATTTCTTCGCTGTGGTGGATCCGAGCATTATCCATGATCCACACACTATTCTTGCCAGGATAAGCCTCGCAGTTGGGCAACTATCAATGAACATCAATTTACAAGAACAATCAAGTTTGATAAGTACTGAGTCCTGACTCACGACAGAATAGTCGAGAAAGTGAAGGTATCCATTGTGACACAGAGATCCTTCCAGAACATGTCCCGCAATGATTCCATCCATCGTCAAAGCAGCTGCTACTGTGAAGCGCTGTCCACGAACAAATGCACCCTTCATGCTTGCATATTGGCTCCTCTTTGCTCTTCCGTACCTCTGGATTTGTGTTCATTCATCTTTTGACGTCTCATCGATAAACAACAGTTGATCTGGTGTATACTGTGCCATCTGTCGCTTGAAGTCTGCACAGATGTCTTCGTTGTGCTCCTTCGCAATCTTGCGGAGTTTTTTGAGTGAGATGCCAGCTTGGGTGAGCTCTTGGTGAATTGTAGAATAATGGACAGAGATGTAGTGATTGTGTTGCATAAGCGTTGTCAGCTCATCGAGAAACCAATCAGGACGGTGATGAATAAGTTCTAGAAGGTAATGGAGGTCTTCGAGATTGAAAACATGTGGATGACCAGCATATCAGCTCCTTGGCTTGACAATGTTGCCAGTCACATTGTAGAGCTTCTTGATTCTATAGAACATCATGTGGGAGAAGCCAATGCAGTTGAGGATCTCATTGAGTCTAAGAATTCCTTGTTCATGCAGGCGAATAGCTGCCAGCTTCAAATCAGCCGATATCTTCCTGTTGCCCATGGTATTGACGATTGTGGTATGCAAGTCTCATAAAATTTACGCTAAGTCTTTTTTTGGTCTATGTTATCATTTGTTTTACATCGAGGCGCCAGTACCATTACATATGCAAACAGCTGTAAGACTGGGGAGTAGCTAAGTACAGGATATGTTTTATATAATTCTATGTAGGAGGCAGTGACTAGTTAGTCCTTGGTATGAGGCTATGTAACTAGTATACAATTTGTAAGTGAACACAGGTGAAAAACATAAGTCGGGGCGGTGTGGGGAATTCCCCCACTGTAGGTGTAAAACCCTGTCCTTTCCAAATTGTCTCACATCAGTTCTGCGTATTCCACACGTTCCGCATTTCCCGCGCATCGTCCGATGGGTTCCGCATTCCCGCGCATCCTTCAGAACCCGCCCGCACTATCTGATATTCCCGCGCATCATCAGACAACCTTCGCATGTCCTGTCTCCATCCTTCCAGGTCCATTGGTGCACTGTATTCCTCTTCCCATTGCTTCTAACGTTATCCGGATCACACTGACACATGCCCTTATGGCATGGACCCCTATTCCGGAGTATTGCGCCCATGTGCACTGCCTGCCTTCACTTCCGCTTCCTGAGAGACTTACTACCTGTACCTCAGTGTTCCTTGAAAATAATCTTCCCTTTAAGTAGTGATACTCAGGGCTTGGGTGTTTTTTATTGAATCCCATCTTTTACCTTCCCACTTTTCCTTCACCTTACTAGAGGACCGCCTTGACTTATGCCCACTATCAATCTAACCTTGTGATATACTTCCTTCGACTTGATCTGCAAGTCCCGATGACTCTGTATGTTCTGCATTGTATCCAGTTGAGTTCCGCTTCATTCCATTCCATTCCACTTGGGTTTCACTTGTTCCGCTTGAGTTCCGCTAGTTCTGCTTGTTCCACATTTTTGCGGATCCTCATCCTACCTGCAGTAGGGTTGATTAGGGTCGAACGTGCTTGTTCTCAAGTGAGGCAGCAGGCAGCAAAGACCCAACTGTGTAGTAGATCGATTTCTCTCCACTGCACTTGTTGTACCCACAGCGGATATCAATATGTACGCATCAGATCAGTTAGTCAAGCGGTTATAGGAAGTACCGGTGATCTGGGAAGTAAGTACTATGTGCAAATGGGGAAAGTATATACCTAAATGGGTAAAGGAGATTTACAGTAGAATGGATGATGCAGAAGGCCACCAATGAGGCAGTCAGGCGGAGCTGTAGGAGCGGATACAGGAGTTGACTGGGACAAGTGGAGGGCGGACAGAGCAGAGGTGGTAGGAAAGCGGGGGAAGTATGATTGTCGGGCAGAGTGGATATCAATAAGTGGAGCGGTTGGATCAGGTATATGACAGAAAGACTCTACATGTCTGTTGGAAATGAGCAAGTGCGCCTGCAGCCAAGGCACATCATTGTTTTGGTCTTATGTTCATTTGTTATGTCCAGCAACTCATATGTTTCTATTATGCACTCTTGTTATTCTCTTTTCATTGTACCCACTGAATCTATTGATCTCATGGGCCAGTGCCATATACTCTTTGTTACAGTCTCAGTTACTCAATTCATTCATACAAGAACATCTTGTCTATTTAGATAGCTACAGACTCAGACTGTCACCTCAGATGTTTGCCTTTGTGCACATGATCTGAGGTAAGATACCTAACTTTTACTTTCATTCACTTATGCTTGCTTTTCATAGAGTCTATTTGATCTAGACCCATGCAATTGTATTAACCCTTTAATGTCATTGTGCTCATACCCCCTAATGGTCGCCAACAAGGAGCCCAGATATTGAAGAAGCTCACTGCATTTTGAAAAGGCAAACTATATCTCATCATCAATGAGAAGTCCATGCTATCTCACAAGTTCTTGGCAAGAATTTCAGCATATATCAGGAAAGTGGAGTCTTTGGCTGGTGAAGAAGGGGGACAACCAAGCATTTGGAGGAGTCATTGTGATTATTGCTGGAGATTTTCACCAATTTCCACCAGTCACAGTGAAGAGGAGCACAACTCTGTATTATCCCTGTGATTCATCAAAAGATACTGTAGAGGAAATGCTAGGACAGAAGATTTATGAACAATTTACAACTGTTGTTCATCTCTGTTAAGGTCATGCTCAAGGGGAGGAGAACTCAAAGGGCTCGGCTTCAGCTTGTGTGCTGCGCCCTTAGCCAAGTATATGCCCTAAATTTGGAGTGGGACTGATGACATCTGACAATAGGACAAGTGGTCCGCTTTGGTCTGCTTTGAGGGTCAGGAGGTAAAGGCTACTAGCGGTGGGCTGACTAGGAGTGGGGTGGATGGAACGGGGAAATGAGTCAGAGCAGAAGGGAATAGGGGATTGGTTTATTGGACAGAGGGAAGTAAGAGTAATAACTTAGAGCGTGGCTCTAAGTCAGAGCAGAGGAGTGGAGGCAACAACAAGGTGAAACTTGTGTCCGGAGTGAGCAAAGTCCTATGGAGAATTCCCACAGTAGGAACTGAGAGAAGACAAGTAATATTAAGACTGAGACTGAGACTACAAGCTAAGTACAGGATATGTTTATATACTTCTAAGTAAAGAGGCAGTGATCAGTAGCCCATAGCATAAGGCTATGTGCTGAGTACACAATTTGTAAGTATTACCACAGAGGAAAACATATGTCAGAGTGGATATCAATATGTATGCGATGGATCAGCAATAAAGCACTTATGGAAATTACTGGTGATCTGGAAAGTAAGAGCTATGTTCCAAAGGGGAAAGTATATACCTAAATGGGGAAAGGGGTTCCAGTTGAATGGTACCTATGCAGAAGGTAACCGACAAGGTGGTCAAGTGGAAGTGTAGGAGTGTTAGGTACCGTGCTGGCTCAAGAGGCAGAGGGGTCGGGGCTTGGCTTCAGCTCTTGCGCTGCGCCCTTAGCCGAGTATGTGCCCCGAATTTGGAGCGGGTCTGACGTTGTCCGATGGTAGGACGAGTGGACCACTTGGGTCCGCTTTGAGGGTCGGGGAGTAAGAGCTGCTAGTGGTGGACCAACTAGGAGCGGAGCGGAGAAGGCGGGGAACGATGCGGAGGGTGGATAGGAACCAGGGAGATATTTTGATAGGAGCGGAGATGGCGGAGGATAATGCAGAGGATAGGAAAAGGGGTGATAGGAGGATATTGATAGGGGCGGGGTAATAAGGGAAAGACTTAGAGCACAGCTCTAAGTCGGAGTGGAGGGTCGGAGGGTTGGAGGTGACAACAAGTTGAGACTTGTGTCTGGAGGAGGCAAGGTCCTACTGAGAATTCTCACAAGATGTAACTACGAGAAGACAAGTAATATTAAGACTAAGGGAAAATATCTAAGTACAGGATATGTTATATACTTCTATGTGTGAGGCAGTGATCAGGATAACTATGTAGTAAAGCTATGTACCAAGGATGTAGTTTGTAAGTACTTTACATAGGCAAAGACATAAGTCAGAGCAGATATCAATATGTACGCGTTGGATCAGTGATCGGGCAGTAATAGGAATTACTGGTGATCCGGAAGTGAGGGTCTATGTACCAATAGGGAAGGCATATATCTAAAAGGGGAAAGAGCTCCAGTTGAATGGAGAGGTTATGGAAAGGGACCGGTTGAGTGGTTGAGTGGAAGTGTAGGGTGGAATGCGGACTTGTGATAGGACGGAGTGGAGGATGAATGGGGCGGAGCGGTCGGAAAGCGGAGCGGATATTAGTATCGGAGCGGTCGGATCAGGTATATGACAAGGAGCAGATGTGGGGATCGACTGGGTCAAGTGGAGACAGGCGGAGCGGAAAGGGTATAGGGTCAGGTGGAGCAGATATCAATATTGTCGGAGCAGTCAGATCTGGTATATAACAGTTGCCAGTGGAACTCAAACATGATGAAGAATCATTGCCAAAAAAAGTGGGAATCAACTTTTTGTGTGCAAGGCATATGTGTCATATCCCATACCTCCGGATCCAGAATTCCGGATCTCCCCTACTAAAGTCCGGTTCTCTGTCCTGTTGTCCGCCCAGCACTCCGCCTTCATCTCTGTACTCACAACTAGCTCCTTTTAGAATACTGCTCTCTGGCTACCAGTTATGTCTTTCCACTTTGCTTACTGATCCGTCCATTTGTACTTCATTTTGACTTCACTGCTTTGATCCATTATACTCTTACTAATAGACTTTCCATATGCTTTGGGCATAGCTTTTACTTTGCTGACTGATTTACTTACATGATACCTACAGTATATAAACTCCCGTAATACTCCAGTACCTCCTCAGTTTGAATATCATCTTAATTCTTGTTAAGGTCATGCTCAAGGGAGAGGTTACTCAAAGGGCTTTGGCTTCAGCTCGTGCGCTGCGCCCCTTACCCGAGTATGTGCCCTTAATTTCCAGGGAACAGAGGGGAAGTCCAATGGAAGTCTGGGGAATTCCGGGGGACAGAAGTCAGGGGAGTTCGGCGGAACTCCGGAAGACTATGTGGGGATGGAGTAAGGCTACTACGGAAGTCTGGAGTAGAAACAGAACAGAGGTTAGACTACCCTAAGGTAGAGCCGGAGAAGTAGTTCTAAGGTTTAACCCCTAAGACTCGGAGGTGGACAAGAGGTGAGACTCAAGTCCAGAGATTGCAGGAATGAGCAGAACTAAGATGATATTTGAACTGAGGAGTTCCGGAGTATTACAGGGGTTTATATACTGTAGGTATCATGTAAGTAAATCAGTCAGCAAAGGTAAGGGCTATGTACGAAGCATGTGGAAAGTTTATTACTAAGTGTAACGGATCAAAGCAGTGAAGTCAGGAATGAAGTAAGAATGGATGGATCAGTAAGCATAGTGGAATAGGACATAACTGGTAACCGGAGCAATAGCTAATCTAAAAGGAGTTAGGGGTGAGTGCGGAGATGAAGGCGGAGCGCTGGGCGGAATAGTAAGATGGAGGATCAGACTTTAATGAAGTAGATCCAGAATTCCGGATCTGGAGGTACGGGATATGACAATTCTGCTCATTCCTGCATCTCTGGACTTGAGCCTGATCTCTTGTCCACCTCTGAGTCTTAGGGTTAATCCTTAAGACTATAACTCCGGCTCTACCTTAGGGTAGTCTAACTCTGTTCCACTTCTACTTCAGACTTGTCCACAGTAGTCTTACTCTATTCGCTCCTAGCCTTCCAGAGCTCCGCCAAACTCCCCCCATGTCTGACCTCCGGACTTACCCGGACTTCCATCGGACTTCCCCTCAAGCCAAGCCCTTTGTGTTACATTTCCCTTGAGCACAACCTTAACAATATGACACCATGCAAGGACAGGAATTAACATTGACAGAGAAATTTGCTGTAGTGACAAAGCCCAGTGGGAGAAATGCTAAACAAGATGAGTGAGCAGCTCCACCAAATATTGTTGAACTTGCAGTCAGAAAGAAGGTCATGGTCACCTTCAATGTCAACACAGATCTTGATGTTGCAAACAGAGCACAAGAAGAAATAATGGAAATCATATTGGATGAACACAAGACCAATTTCTGCCCAACCAAGTCCATTGTGGAGTTAGACTATCCTCCTGCTTATGTCCTCATCAAGTTGAGTCATACCAAAGCAAAAACCTGTTGGAGTCTGAAGAGTCCAAGCCAGTGACAATGGCCAAAGCATAAGATATGAGCAAAACCAAAAAAAGTGGTCCAAGCAAGCAACACTTTGATGTCAGCTGCAGCTTGTCCATATTGCAATGTGTTGTTTGCTACAATACGTATATTTTTCATCTCTATGCTAACCTACTATAAGAATTTGATTACTTTTGTACAAACATCTCAGCTCCTTCAGAGACTGAGATATACTTTGTTTTCTATCAGCATCCCATCCCACTCATTACTACTCACTTTAAAACCCTTGAAAACTTGGACAATGGTGTTCTGCCACTGACATCAGGAAAAACCCCCTTTTCCTATTGGGGACAATTTGAGCAGATTATATCAAACATAGAAAATCATGTACTGTTTTCTCAAGTGCATTCCAACAAGACCCAATATTCAACAGTCTGAGCCAATCTGTCCATTGAAAAAAAAAAAGAATTCAAAAGCATTTGCGAAATTTTTTAGATACAAGATGCCATATCATTATACTAATTTACAAATGCCATGCGCAGCAAGCTGCACTTCCAATAGATGCACCTTTCTCCCCTCCTCACACCATTTGATTTTGGTGTCCCAATGATCTGCTATAAGTTGATACATATAGTTCTGAGAGACTGTCAGAGGGGCCGGAGTCTGACGGTAGGGGGGACAGGAGTTTGAGGCATTTCTGCTGGGGGGTAGCCAATATCCCCCACTCTGGAATGTGAAATCTGCGGGTCAGCGATTTTTTGATCCTTGTTACTTAGTGAGAAACTGCTGACAATAGCATTAATTAACGACTCGCACTTACTTTTTGATGGGCAAGTTTTTAATGGGTGAGTTCCCATCAATGGCATTATGCTTGCCAAAATCAAGGGAAGGTGAGCATGAGCTAAACAGTCATTAGCCTGAGATCTGAGAAGCAATTGTTACACCATCAAAAATGTGACAACCCACCGCTTCCCAGGTATTAAATTCTCTTTGTCTGCAATAGAGTCCTGCCACATTGTAAGTCAAAGTTTTTGTAGTATAGAAGTTCAATCTGCGCACCATAAATATAACACACCAGTTGATAGATAGCAGTGCACAATCAAGAACAAGACAGAATCAATGAGTAGAGAAAATTTTGCGCATCAATACTGTGACCAAACCATGAGAATAACCTTTGCAGTGCCTATAGAACTACATGGTGCGTCCGAGTGCTAAAAAACAGTAACATATGCATCATGGTCAGTAAAGTTATTGAAAAAAAATGTACTACATCTATCTAATACATTGCTTGTTGTCCATTCACGAGGAGCCACAGGCCCAAACTTTGGCATCAAGTGGATAGAACATCAAATGTTGCACACAGGGACAATGCTGGCCTACTTATCACCATCGCAAAATGCTCACAAGACTTTATACATGCCATGGTTGGCCTCTGGTCTGTTAGCAAATGGCGTGAACCATTCAACATAGGCCAAATGATCCGGGACATTCACTGGCAGATTGCGAAACATAGTAAGTTTCACCTTCACTGAGAGACTAAACACAACCTGGACTTGTGCAACTCGGTACCCTAATATTTGTTTTGCCCGTCAGCATGAATCTCCAGAAACATAGTCCATGCCTACCTTCCACACTTAAATTTCCACCACTGCCCAGATTGATGAGAGCAGTGTCAAACCTAGCAGGCACATTCCTGCTGTGGCGGTCATGTCTTGCTGGCCGAGCATGAATGGAGTTGATGGTAAGGTTGTTGAGTGTTCCATCGTCGTTGATGATGTTGTAGTGGATGTTATGAAAGATGGCCACAGATCGCAAAGGCAGTATCACATCAACAGCCACATCCTCGAGCTGTTGTGCAGTCAGATCTGGCTGTGTCACTTGTACTACAAAATGTGCCAGGGCTGCATGGAAATGCACTGCACCATAATCAGCTGCAAGTGACAAGAAAGTCACTCTTTTGGCGGATGGGTGTTTTGCAACCTTATATCGCTGAGAATACAGAAGATCAAAGTGCAGCGGGGAGTAACTGAATGGTTCATGAGGATGTGATGAAGCTAAGCAACAACACCACTGAATGAATTTGTGGTGCCAAAGAATCTTCTCTCGTCACTCGAGCCAAAGCATCATCTGCATATATTCATCTTTGTGGTTTGTTGCACAGTAAGCATCCTTAGTGAGGTCAATATGAAGCCATTCGGTGTATTCAGTATTATAATTGTCAGTCATTCCAAAGTACTGAATCATGGCAACATAGTGTCACAAGGAGTGGAGCTTGGGCAGATTGAATGACGAGCGGATACCAAGATCAATGAAAATCGACTTGTTTTCATGGAACTGATTGAGCGCATCGTCCAAAAGATCCAAGGTCCACTGTGAGTGACATGGATACCATGCAAGATACAGGAAATCAGGGAGGCCTCTTACAGCACGGACCAATTGAAGCGGTGATGCACCATTAGGCAGGTGAATGTCAATGATTATCCCCAGTAGGAACCGACAAATTTGCTTGTGCTCCATGCCACTGACTCATGAGAGAATGGAGATGCCCTTCATGAAGACTTGCACATTGTTATTTGGGGGCAGGTGTTTGCATTGCGCGTCAATTTCGGCCTCACTGAATGCCAATTTGATCCATGAGATCAGGTGCTTGACCAGTCCCTGGTACAATTGATGCAACACGTCAGGAGTGATCGTGCGAAAGATATTACAATGAGAGAGGTCTTCCCAGAAAGGATGAAAGAGTGGCTTGATTCCTGCACTGCGACAGGCCTTTGTAAACTCATATGGATCTTCATCTACCAGAGCGAGGGCATCCAGAATGTCTCCAAGATCTCGTGTGCGACAAGGCAGATCCTTACTCCCAAGCTTGGCTGATGGTATATCACACTTTGGACATTCACCAGTCTTGATGCCTGTGACGAGGAGCTGTTCTGGGTAGTCCCTGATGTAACAAGCAACCAAAGGATGCCCATGGCATAAAGCGCCATCTCCACTCGCAATGTCCATCCCATTTCTGCCTGGCTCTACCAGTGGTTCAACGACATAGCGCATGCAAGCATGAAAAAGATTCACGAGACTTTGGTGTCTCACCGATTTGTTGGTGATATGTTCTAGCTTGGTGGTGGGCAGATATGCCAGGAGTATCTGAGCACTGTGAGAAGGATGTTGACAGATTTCCTTGGGCAAGTTTCCAATCATCATGTATACAGGGTAGGCAGCTTTGTTCCTAAACATCGTTACTTGAGTTTTGTCGGATGACAACAAAATCGGTATGATTGTAGTGCCTGGCTTCTCTTTCTCAAGGTGCTTCTATTAATAAATGCCAAGTCAGTGGTGCACAAACAAGTCTGGTTAGCCATCTGTACCTGTGTATTCCACCACCATTTTCCAGTATGTAGATCATGGTATAGCCTTTCTGTCTCATCTTGATCTGTATAATGCTGCTCTGGGACAAACATGAGGTATGGTGCAAACTCTGGGTCTCCATAAAGTGCTCTGACACACTCAATGATATCTCAGCAGTACACATCAAATGCTTCTCCGGCTGTTATGGGAAAGCCCAGCTTTCCAACAGTGCACTTGATAGGGTCAATCCCATGTCCGCTTCATGGAGCACCAGGATGATGGAAGACTGAATGGAGGCTGTCCATCCAGAATGACTGACTAAAGGTTCAAAGAAGAAGCTAGAGTCGTATATCACAAGTGAAGATCAAGTTAGAGAAATACATGGTCTAACTACAGTGGTATATATAGGTATCGTCCTATGAGTTCAGGGTAGGCTTAGGTAGCCAGAAAGCGTCCCAACTAGGTAAGCATCTATGTGAGTCATAAGGACTCAGAGATAAGAGTCACCGGTCCAACGGTAAGGGTCCAGGGTATGGTACCAGCACAGCAGTAGGTGTCCAAGTCAGATAATGCTATCTGTCATGATAAGCGATAGGATAAACAATAGTCAGTACCAGTGTATCGGTAGGGGCGATATGGGAGAAGCGTGCGGCTTCTATTGATCCCGGTCTAGGTCTAGTCCAGAGCTGTCCTGCTCCAACAGCTGTCATGCTGTGCTCTGCAGTTTAGTCATGTGCCGGTGATGTCATCTGTTACGTGTTGTAACATGGGTGTGATGGCGACATTTGGTGGAGATGATAGGGGTCTGAGGGTCCCTGTAACACCGGCCACTAGAATCTCCTTGCGCTGGAAGCGAGGCCGGTGGGCAGGAATCTTGGTATCAATGATTTTATTTAGTTTGCATGAGTTTTTGTATGACAGTCCTAGCTTCTCGCAAACCTACTGGCGGTAAGTATCTCTGATTTTGAACTCAGAGTTCTGCTCACCCCTTCAATTTTGAGAAGGTCCGAGAATAATGTCGATCCAGGTCCTTGTGTCTTCGCCCAGTGCACCACCTCATAGTCAATTTGAGATGAGAAAGGCACCCAAATTCCATCCTCTGAGTCATCAGAGGAGGTTGACAGCTGCTGATGATAGCGATAGTAGGCATTCTGATGATGTTCATCATCCGAGGCTGGGTTTAAGGTAGCTCCTGCACTTTGAAGAGGGAATTTAACTATATGTTGTTGCTGATATAGCAGCGCTTCAGCTTTGTGCCAGCAAACACTATTTTGAACAGGATCGTGAGTAGTAGAAGGTGTGTCTGTGTGGTCCGTGTTATCTTCCATAGGAAAATCTTGACATTCGATGGGAGCCTCCCAGTCTCTTTCTTGCTCAGCTACTGCTCCTTCAGCCTTGACATCCTCTTCCTCTTCCTCCAATTCCAAACCCAGATCACCATCACAATCAGCCTCCTCAGCAGGCCATTCCAGGTCCTCTGCTTCAGTGTTAAAGTAGTCCCCCTCAAAAATATTAGTTGGTGGGTTTTCCGAATCGAAGTTTATATTGTCAAAATCATGCTCATAGACCACACCATCAGGTTGGTGATGTACTTCAGTTGGTGCCGCACTTGGACTTGGAGATTGTGAATGTTGGTTTGGTCCTAAAGGTACGTAGTTTTGCATCTGCTTGTATATGGTGACACATGCAGGATTTTGAGACTGAGCTAAGTGGCGAGAATAGCTGTTCTTAGTGAACAAAGACTCAGATGAGCCTCGCATGACTCACACAGCTGTCAATTACGACTTGCAGCTGACCTTGAAGACTCCGAGTCGCTACCGCACACCAGCACCGCAGACATCAAAAAATCGGATCAAACATAAGGTAATGTCTCATTCCTACTCTATTGTCTTATTGTATGTACTAAGGTTGCAGAACACCTTGTCCGAAGGAGTTCGAAGCAAGCAGCAGGCAAAGCAAGAGGAGGAGGGGAGTATATCCTTTTGGTTTCAATTCACACAGTGCTGACTGACGGTTTCATTGTTGATAGAAACCAACTTGGTGTGACAGTGCTGAAGACCCAAGTGATGGTCAAGTCAGGAAGCTTGTGACTGTCTCACATGCCAAACTCATGCAAACGAGCGAGGAGGATTGGCCACCGAGCAGTCAGATTAAGTATAGTAGCTCAGGGAAGGTTAACCTCACAGATCAGCAACCCCATATGCAGGATATGCTGCGCACTTCCATCACCCACATCCTCGAGTACCTCATTTTCAAAAATTTGTACCCTGACTTGGAGCATCAGCACAAAATTATGGGAGACATTTTGCTTGCATGCACCAACTGTTAAGGTCATGCTCAAGGGGAAGACAACTCAAAGGGCTTCGGCTTCAGCTCATGCGCTGCGCCCCTTACCCGAGTATGTGCCCTTAATTTCTGAGGCTCAGAGGGGAAGTCCAACAGAAGTCCGGGGAAGTCTGGAGGTCAGATGTCAGGGGAGTTTGGCGGAACTCCAGAAGACTATGAGAGAACAGAGTAAGGCTACTACGGACAAGTCCAGAGTAGAAGCAGAACAGAGTTTAGACTACCCTAAGGTAGAGCCGGAGATTTAGTCCTTAGGTTTAACCCTAAGACTCGGAGGTAGACAAGAGATGAGACTCAAGTCTGGAGAAGCAGGAATGAGCAGAACTAAGATGATATTCAAACTGAGGAGTTCCGGAGTATTACAGGAGTTTATATACTGTAGGTATCATGTAAGTAAATCAGTCAGCAAAGTAAGGGCTATGTACAAAGCATGTGGAAAGTCTATTAGTAAGTGTATAACAGATCAAAGCAGTGAAGTCAGAAATGAAGTACGAACAGATGGATCAGTAAGCATAGCGGAAAGAGCATAACCGGTAGCTAGAGCAATAGCTATTCTGAAAGGAGATAGGGGTGAGCCCGGAGATGAGAGCAGAGCGCCAGGCGAAATAACTGGACAGAGAACTGGACTTTAGTGGGGGAGTTCTGGAGTTCCAGATCCGGAGGTATGGGATATGACACTGACGATCGACCTGAATTTGAGGCTGTGAAGTCATGACTCATGAAGGATCCAAAGTATGTGCGAGCCCTGGCTTCAGTGGTATGTCTTTGAACTGACACTTAATGCTTCACATTCTAACAAGTTTTCATTTTATGTCTTAAGCCTGAAGGTCGTATCAGCCATTTCTGGAACAATGTCCGAAAAGTGGCTTAAGCGCATGTGGCCAGCCACTATGGACTCACAAAAGGCGCTGACACTAAGGTCACTGACCTCTTGAAGAAAAAACATGTTCATCTGTCCTGTCAACAGTAAGGTGTGTCTACTATGTGCTTCCATCATACTATCCACTGATGTGTGTAGGATGAACCAATTCGAAGCAAGCCATACCAGGCACCCGCAATCCTGGACACCATAGCAGAGGCCTTTTTCATTGATGACACAAGTGTGGGAGTCAAATTTCACAAGAAGTTGGTGTCGACTGTCAAGGATCGTCCAGACGAGAGGGAGCTTCCAGTTGCTATGGTTGCACTCGCAGGAACAGTGGTAAGTTCATTCTAGCACTCGATCATGATGACCGAGCTACTTATTAACATGTATTGCTTCTAGGTATGCAGTGTGATCATGCAATATTCATCCAACAAATATGACCATGATTTCAATTGCAAATTGTATAGCGGGATTTTGTTAGGTACCGTGCCGACTCAGGAAGCAGAGGGGTCGTGGCTTGGCTTCAGCTCTTGTGCTGCGCCCTTAGCCGAGTACGTGCCCTGAATTTGGAGCGGGTCCGACATTGTCCGATGATAGGACGAGTGGTCTGCTTTGGTCTGCTTTGAGGGTCAGGGAGTAAGAGCTACTAGTGGCGGGCCGACTAGGAGCAGAGCAGAGAAGGCGGGGAGTGATGTGAGGGTGGATAGGAGCAGGGGGAATGTTTGGTAGGGGCAGGGAAGGCAGAGGATAATGTGGAGGGACAAGGGAGAATATTTGATAGGGGTGGAGTATAAGGGAAAGACTTAGAGCATGGCTCTAAGTTGGAGCGGAGGGTCGGAGGTGACAACAAGTTGAGACTTGTGTCCAGAGGAGGCAAGGTCCTACTGAGAATTCTCACAAGATGTAACTGCGAGAAGACAAGTAATATTAAGACTGAGGAAAATATCTAAGTACATGATATGTTATATACTACTATGTATGAGGCAGTGGCCAGGATAACTATGTTTGTAAAGCTATGTACCAAGGATATAGTTTGTAAGTACTTTACACAGGCGAAGACATAAGTCAGAGCGGATATCAATATGTACGCGTCGGATCAGCGATCGGGCGGTAATAGGAATTACCGGTGATCCGGAAGTAAGGGTCTATGTACCGAAGGGGAAAGTATATATCTAAAAGGGGAAAGAGATCCAGTTGAATGGAGGGGTTATGGAAGGGGACCGATTGAGCGGTCGAGCAGAAGCATAGGGCGGAATGTGGACTTGTGATTGGATGGAGCGGAGGGGGTCAGAAAGCGGAGCGGATATCAATATTGGAGCGGTCGGATCAGGTATATGACAGATTTACAAAACATTGGTGGGTATCTTGAATGGTATCTTTGACACGAGTGAGCGCAAGTACCACGTACTGATGCATTCCATCTACAATACTGTCTAGTACGTGCTCATTGGATTGATTTGCTCACTATTTTACTCACTGTGTATTGCAGTGCCTCCAAGGCCAACATGGTGTGTGATCTGGAGGCGGACGAGGCATTGATGTTCCTGAACATTGATGCAATGCCAGAGTCGGAGGAGTAATAGGTGACGAGTGCGAGTAGTAAAATTGACTAGGATTCACCTGAATTTGATTGTTTTCACAATGTTTATGTTTGAATTGGATCTAATGTGTGACTTATGATTTTCGATTGGGAGTATTAGGGTAAATTGTCTACAATTGGGAGGGGGACTAAAAAAATCAGTTGTATCACCTGAATGTATTGAATCCTCGACAATCCGCAAGAATTGTGTGATATTGTGACAAATTAGGAATGCCCAATTTCCCTGATGGACTCCTATGCAACAAACTTTTCATGTTGTGATGGGTGGCAGAAAATGGGTGGTAACACAGAACCAGCTTCCACTCACTCCAGCATATGCATTCACTGATTATTGATCTCAAGGACAAATAATCAGTAATGCATAGGACAAACAATCAGTAATGCAATCATCGACATCGCAATGCCACCAAGTGGTGGACTTTCCCCATTTATTGCACTCTCCGAGTCTCGAGGACATGGTCACGAGAATATACATCTTCTATGTGATTTTGACGAGAAGTTGTTAATGACTCACCTAAGTGAATATCCCCGTATTGAAGACCGACGGATTATGAAGCTGGACCAGATCATGGAGCAGTGGTGGGATGCAAAGAAGCAAGAAGCCATGAGAGATTGATTGTAGATAAGTTCGGAGTTGGACAACATATGTATACTTGTAATTGTAATGAGAATGTAGTACTATGCACACATGCGACATCGCAGTGCTTGCACGAATTCCCACGGGATGAAAAATTGGGAACGTACAGCCATAATTATGCGCTGATAGTGACCTTGTTGGTACAGGGTAATATCTGTTTCAGAATAGGGTAGGACTATTTTCTCGTTTCCGCAGTGAATATGTAGATATGTGTCCTTCTATCCTCTCCCCCAGTCCACTGATGGAGGCCGGCGAACACGAAACACATCATACTAGCCAGTTTTTTCATGGTGTAAGGGACGCACGAACCACTCCCTTAATCCGTTCGATCGGCCTGAGAGCCCTCGCTCTCCTGGTATCTGCGACTTGCATGTTAACACCGCGGCCAGCGGAAACAAAAACATGACTTGCATCGCGCTGCAGGATCGCCACTAGTAATCATCCTGAAGCTTGCAGGGAACGCAGTAAGCTCGGGTCGCCACTGCTTGATTGAACTTGATCAAAAGACCCTGGATAGCCTGAGTGATCACCCCATGACCAAGACTGGTAACCAGCCCGTCTCGTCTATCGACGGCTCGCCTCATAGACGAGCTGGTCACGAGTCTACCCATGACCAACGTACTGCACTTTGACATATTACAAAAAGGTCACACTGGACCACGAATGGGGGAAGAGAGGAGAATGTAGAATTGTAATTACATGGGAGGCGTTAAGGTGATACTGGCGTGCGCGCCGCAATATTATAGACCGCACAATGAAGGCTAAGACAACAAGACCTATACATATACAGTTTGTCATTGGTTCGCCGTGCAAGATAGGCGGCGATCTCCAGACTTACACCCGAGCGGCCCATCTAGATTCTGGGCTCTTCGCTTACGGTACAACCCGTCTGTCAAGGGATGTCAATTGCGAACCCCTGTTCCAATAACTCGGAGCAAGTTCAGTTGGTTTCGATATGACTCATGATGGCATGAGGCCTGAGGTAAGGTTCAAGTCGATCTAGTACGGACTACTTAGGTGACTGCAGCACCAAAGCCCCCCAACACCATCGCTTAGAGAACAAGGATCGATATCCACGACTAACCACAATTACGAACCCGCCTTTGCCTTGCCTCTGTCGGCAGCGACGTCGATTCTAATTGTTCCAGTCCCCCACCTTCACACACTTCATGGGTAAGTACTCTTTATGAATTCATCACATCGTCGTTTATTCCCTTGCATGCATGCTAGCGCCTCAGGCTCGACCATTTTCACCCCCGCGTCACTTGTGTACTTATTTTGATGGACTCGCGGCTCTCTCCATACTTATTCTGCTCGCTGATTCAACATGGCCCGTCTACAATAATCTAAGTATTTCGTACTCGCGCATATGCACTCATTTCTCGTGTATCACAACAATATCAGTCGATGAGGATTGATTTCCTAGAAGTGACTGCACAAAGTGCATAAAAATATGGTAGCTAGTGTAAATAATCGGTGTTGACAGTGCCCGAAAGGCAATAAGCGGTTGCGAAGGTATGCAATAATATGCAACTGAAAGTATGTAAATGACGGGAAATCTATAGTTGTGCTATCAGTCGAAGACAGACAATGATTGCAAGCAACATTTTAACTGAGTTTTATCTTCTCTTCTAGCGGGTAACTGCAGGCGCAAAGAGATGTGTGAGAGGCACACAAACTTGTGGAGATTGAAGGGGAGTCACCCAAAGGGCAAAAAGATGCAAGCAGCCATACGAGTGGTGTAGCAATCATGAATGCTTGAAGGCAAGCGGTGCCGGGCAAAGAGGTAGAAAAAAGCAGCCACGCGAGGGCGTGCAGCAAGCAGAAGTAGGATGGCACGAATGACGAGCACGAGGAGCAGTATCGTGTTGGAGTATGTCAAGAGCATGTTATTTCAAGTCATTGTTATTCGAACTATTTGTTGTATTCAGTCCACACGTCACTTCAGAAGGTTTCTGAGGTCTCACCATTTATCACATTCGAAGCACTTAACCGAGCGAAGGAAAGGACGCAAACTTGGAAGTATGCGTGCATAAGTAAGTACTACTTATAAACGTCAACGGAGCTCCGAGATCAAATACTAACTCAACTTGTCAAGAACCGTTATTCGCTCAATTGTTCAACTTACGTTGCCCTTCCAGGATTGCATGTCAGGGTGTCCAGATCCTTGTATGGCGCTCCTCTTGTCTGAAACCTGATTCGTGGGCCTATATAATGCCTCTGGCGAGCCCCTACATTCATCCAGTCGCATCTGTTGTTGGACATCTTAGTATTCGGCGTATAGTTTCTGTGCAAACTGTCCTACATCAATTCGAGTATGTGCCCCACTCGTCTGCTTTGAGTTTGACTCCCCATACTGAATGATATAGTCAACATGTCTTCAATCCAAAGCGGTGACTCGGACATACATCGTCTCGAGCCCAATGATCCTGCTTCAAACACGGTCAGTGCGATGTATTAGTAGTCATTATGTTTTTGCTTAAGCAACTTAGACTGGACTTGGAGTAAAGACCTCTCCTGAGCCCAGCGAGGTCTTTCGGCAAATTGTCGCCCTGTCCATGGCCTCAAACGCTCTCTATAAGTTGAAAGGCCGCCGAGACGCTCTCCTACATTGCATACAGACCAAGTTACCTGGCATTGTCTCAGCTATCAGCGGCCAGTGGACAGTGGTATGGGGCCCGATGATATGGAAAGCTGCGCCGGAACGATGAAGAAACCGGGCCTAGTAACACGTGGTTTATCGCGCATAGCCCGAGCGTCCTCTTCGATGATGGGAAAGAACATGAGGCATACGTGATAGCTATCGCTGGGACGAATGCCAACGCAGGTTCTGGTGGCTGGGAAGAAAACCTCGGGGTTGGCGAAGTAGTGGACTTTCCCGCGTGGGTGACAAGCGGAATCACTCAACCTCCGGTGCCAGTGAACTACGTAGACGTTGTTCCAGCTGGGACATATGTGGCCAATGGAACGGCCACTGGTGTGCACACCCTACTTTCCGAGTGTTGCCTTCAAGGCTCAGCTTCAGCGGGTCTCACACTCTATGAATACCTGACTGGCATAACCGCATCGGAGTCAACGAGAGTGGTGTTCACGGGACACAGTCTCGGCGGGGCCTTGTCTCCTACGTTAGCACTTGCGCTTGCCAGATCGGGTGCCCTGAAAGGGGAGGCGCTGGTGTATGCCACCGCTGGGCCAAGCCCCGGCAATAGCGGCTTTGCAAATCTCTTTGCAGAAACTTTTCCAACGTCCCCGAGCACATGCCCTGAGACTCCATATGCAGTCTGGAACAGAAACATCATCAATTCTCTCGATATCGTACCGCAGGCGTGGTGCACGAACCCCATACTATCACCTGCGCAGAACATGAACAACATTCCGCCCATATACGGCGTTCCAGTTATACCACTTGTCGCAGCCGTCATCTTTGGCCTCAAACTCAGTGCCAACAGGTCACGCACGGTGTACATCCCACTCCAGAGCTGCATCCTTTCCGGCATCAAACCTCAAACGGTCCCAGGAACTAAGACTGCGTTTATGCATGATGCATTGGATCAACACACTACGTTTTACACCGGCGTATTTGGTGTGGGGTCGCCAGAGTTGGAGTGCGATAAGCTCACAAAGAAGACGGAGGAAGAGATGTTCCTTGAATATCCTGTTATTGGTGACATTAAGTGGGTAGAGGAACACCCAGCTGAAGTGGAGGTCGCAGTGTCCGCGTTGCAAGGCGAGTGAGGGTACACCCGACGACGGTGAGGAGTAGCATTCGGATGGGCCTCGGAGCGAGTGTACGTTAAGCAATTTGTATGTATGATTTGAGGGCAACTGTGATAAGTACGTTTGTGGTGATTCTGAATGAAAAAAATGCTATGACATGTAGGTCCATTCAATTGCAAAGCGTCCGTAGTCAATATGCGAAACATCGAACACGACTACTTCAGAGCGCTGTGACAGCCTGTTAAATGTGTTTTCGTAAGTGCAGAACCAGTGTTCCGTGAAAGATGGCGATACTCACCTGGTCTCACTAGATAAGTAGACCAACATTTAGAAGGAAGTCCTTTAACCGGTACTTTGCCGGTACTCTTAGTTTATTCAACTTTTGGTTTGCTTGTCCGCGTACAGTATGTTACACAGTGCACACCATCATATGTACATCATGCATCAATTCGCACTGTTCTCTTCAGAGCCTTCTATACAGAAAGCGGAACGGAGTATTCGTACGACCCGGATTCGAAGTGGCCGCTACCAGCACCCTTGGAAAAATGAGTTTTCCTGATGACACTGGCACACGCCGCGGCCGGCGTCTGAGGCCTGCCTGGGGAAGATTACGACCGTTCTGCACGGTCAGGAAAACGTGCCTAATAACGAAACCCAACATACAAAGAACCTATATGTGATCCGTGTTGACTACTTACTCTGCCTGACACTGGCACTTACTAGTTGCCGCCTACTACTCTCGCAAGTTGGCCCCCCGAGATTGCCGCGGTGCACTGGACGTCATATGAGGTATTTACACTACTTCCTTTTGATGCTGCTTCATTGAGCTCGGTGATCGGAACGCTCGAGCTGTAAAGGATTCTTTGAACTGGAGAAACCGACTCGGAAATCTAGCAGTGGTGGACCCGGGATACTCATGGCGTCTTACTGCTCGAGCTCAGCGTATGCAGCAGGGGTGAACCTTTTCCTGGCCAACCTCATCGTGCGAGTCATCTCAAAAAGAGCTCGACTCAGAGGCAATGTACTCACTTCGACCCAATCAACATGGGTGCTGAACGAGTTCAGCACGGCACTCGAGGACTATTCATCATTCCGACGTTCTCAAGATTGTCGTGCGTGCATATATTCTCCTACCAGATCCACTGCACACTAATACACATAGTATTAAGTATACATGTGCTTGCTTACTTGCTGCGATTCATGGTGACCCGCCACATGCTATCACGACGAGCTCGGGCAACGCGACGGGAAACATTCCATCTCTATCCTCGAGCAGCACCGACGTCCTTGTAAACATTTTCTGTCAGTCTTTGTCGCACTGCGCACGTGAACCTCGAAACTAGGTGGAAGCATCACCCTCAGTGCCACAACGTGGTGAACTCATCGATTATAAGTGAGTTCGAATAAGTAATTCAATTCCACATCTCTAACTAGATTGAAATTTTGAAGGATTCGGTTTGCCAAAGTGCACGTCTTTCGGCTGATCCAAAAGATCCGCAACTACACTGTCAACTGACTGGCAGTGAGCTGAGTCTTATGACGTACCTTCTCAGCGATAAGTCACAATCAAGACAGGTCGAGGCATCGAGAGTCGCACTTGTAGATCACGAATGGATGCAATAGGTGCCTTCTTTCTCATCCTCGAGAGCTCAAATAGCGAAGTCATCGACAGACTGGCGCCTCTAGCCAAGCACATCTCTTAAGAATGTTCAACACCACCTTTACCTCTATATCTTATGTGGCTCTAGCACTGGCGAGTGGCTCATTCGCTATCAATGCAAAACGTGGTCTGGCGTTTGCTGATTCTAACAATGCTGGTGATATCGCTGTCGCCAATAACGCCCAGGTCTCTTGGGTATATGACTGGGGCAGTACCGCGCCGAGCTATCTGGAAAACACAGGCATGAACTACATTCCCATGCAATGGGGTGCATACGATGCCGAGAATTTTGCGGCTGCGGTGCTGGCTCAAAAAGCAAAGACAATCTTAGTAGGTTGTTCAAGTTAAGAGAAGGCGCTCCCTCAGCTAAACTTCTGCCGCAACTTAGGGTTTCAACGAACCTGACCTTTGTTCCCAGTCGAATATTACACCTGTGGCTGCCGCGTCATTGTGGATGCAGTACATACAACCTCTGAAGAAAAACGACGTCCGACTCGGTGGCCCGGCTGTGTCCAATGGACCATCAGGAACCCCCTGGTTATCTCAGTTCTTGGGAAACTGCACTGAATGCACGTTTGATTTCATACCTCTTCACTGGTACGGTGAAGGCCTCGACAATTTTAAAAACTACGTCTGGTCGTTCCATGGCAAATTCTCTTCCTGTCCATTGTGGGTCACGGAGTTTGCATCTACTTCTTCGAATGTTAGTGGTGAGTATCCGTCATCTCCGACGCATCAGCGACCTCTGCAGCTCTTGTTTTATAGAGGTGGAAGACTTTGGCATTCAGGCAACAAATTTTCTTGATGGGCTGGATTGGATTGGAGGGTATGCCTGGTTCGCATTCTACGTAAGTATCATCGGACACGCCCTCCGCAGAACATGAGCTGATATGATCACGGCAGCGCCAGGAATCAGGTTCCTACTACAGTAAGAGTATTCTTTTCAGCAGTCTTATGTCCCTTATGTCATAACCTTTTCATCACCTAGACCTTCTTGATGTTAGTGGCGAGCCTACTGCACTTGGAAATGTCTACATTCATGGCACCAATTAAGACCTTCCTTCTAATTCAAGAAATAGAAGCACATAAGTACATACTTCCTACAAGCTGATTATACATAACGGCCGAACTCCCCATCAGAGGACACAGTCTATGATCGCCCAGCGTGCCCCACGTCTTCCTTCTATGTTGGATCTGCCTATACTATGAGGCTGTCTGTGATTCAAATCACGGCTTGTGACGGTCCGAATCGTGATTCTCGAGTGGCGTTTCGTTGTCTGTCGGTCAATCTTCTTTCGATACTCAGAGCCACATTACGTTACACTATATATTTAAAGGTTGTCTTCATAGCGAGCGCGATGCCAACGGCAGTGGTGCAGGTTGACTTGAATGAGGGCCACTGATGCTGAACTAAAAGTGTTTCCCTGCGAGGACCGGCAACCCGGTTTCGTTTACATCACCGGTCGCAGGTGAAATCCGTGCTACGTAGCGTTCGAGATTTGTCTTGTTCAGTTCATTTACCGTCACAACCCGAACTTCCATCTCCTGGTCCAAAATGACAGTAAAGAACATAACTTTTCCAGACAATGTCGACTACAATATCCAGTCCATCGCCGTTCCTGGCACCAAACGCCCTGGTCAAACCGGTGCGTCCTATATATTCATCCACGGGACATTTCATTAACGTCGAAGTGCTGTCATCAAAGCCCACTACCGGAATGGTGAGTCCTATCTAGTACAGGGTCGAGCACCACATATTGTTTTGTGACACTTCTTCCTCAGCGTACTACGGTCTTGTGGACGTCAACGCTCTACCAACACTTCCTGATATCTTTGACAACGGTTACAACATCAATCCGGACAATAGACTCCTCGGCCACCGTCCGGTAGTATCGACCAATCCGCTCAAATTTGGCACTTATGTCTGGCAGACATACAGACAGGTGGATGGTCGCAGGCGTCGCATTGGCAGTGCTCTGCACAGTTTGTTCTCACACGGTGAACTGCAAGGCGAGGACCTTGAAACTGTTGGTATATGGTCACAAAATAGGCCAGGTGACCACCTTTCCCACTCCGAAATCCTGGTAGTCCTAATCAATCACTGCAGAATGGCAACTTGTTGATTTCGCTTTACATGCTTACAACAAAGTCGGGGTTAGTCTTTATGATACCCTTGGCAAGGACTCTGTGGGCAAGTAGATGGTTTTCGGCCATTTCCTATCGTGCTGATGACTTCGCCACAGAATATATGTACGCGATGTCGTCGTCGTTTCGTTCACCCCTAACAGTCACGGTTGTCTAGTATCAATCATGCGCATCTTAGTATCCTCTTCACTACGGCCGACCATATACCTGCGCTGTTGAAACTAGCTCCCAAGGTCGCAGTCATGAAAATGATCGTCTCCTTTGACAGTTTGAGTCCAGATGCCTACAAAGCCTTCGTGGCTTGGGGAGAGACTGTCGGTGTGCAGGTCAAAGAACTTTCAGAATGTGAGTATCTCAGCTAGGCTTCTACCGTGTCGCTTACATGTGCCCTAGTTGAAAAGTATGGTGAAGAGCACTTGATACCGCCATTGCCCGTTTCCCGCGACACAGTCGCATCACTGTGCTATACTTCAGTACGTCGCTTCCGTATACCATTTTGAGCATTATCAACCAGGCATCTTCAGGGCACCACAAGCCAACCCAAAGGTGTGGGGCATCCATTCGTTGTCCTTCTGACTCTTGAACTTTTGCTTATCAGGTGTTATACTTACTCACGGGAACCTTGCATCATCCGCATATTCCAACATGTTTGGAATGGACTATCCTCCAAGTACCAGCCTTCTCTCTTACTTGCCGTTGGCTCATATTTATGAGGTTTGTTTGTGTCTTTTTCACCTCGTTGTCTATACCGATCTCCTCGCAGCGTGTGGTGGAACTCACAACAGTGGCCATCGGTGGATGCATCGGATTTTTTACTGGCGATCCCTTGCGGCTCCTTGAGGATGCCCAGATGCTGAAGCCTAATTTCTTCCCATCTGTACCCCGTGTATTGAACCGAGTCTATCAGTCTGCCATGGCTGCTGGCAATGTCCCTGGGCTGAAGGGCGCTCTCTTCAGGGCAGCTGTGCGGGCAAAACTCGAACAGTACCATACTACAGGTGTCAGTACTCATGCATTCTGGGATGCCCTTGTCTTCCGGAAGGTATGTTTTCATCGAACCTCTTGCATTGTTAGTTACAATCGTTGTTTGATTTGAAAGGTTCGCGCTGTGCTTGGCGGAAACTTGGTCCTTGTTTGCACCGGCTCTGCACCTATCAGTGCCGAGGTCATCGATTTCCTGAAGATTGCCCTCTTCTGCGAAGTTACAGAAGGTACAGTCGCTCATATTTGACTGTTGATTGCCACCTGAAGGATGGGTCAGGTTACGGAATGACCGAGAACTGCGGTGTCTGTACACATACATGCGCGGCGGACCCTAATTGCGGAGGAACTATTGGTCCTCCTCAGCCCGTAAACGAATTGAAATTGGTTGACGTGACTTCCATGAACTACACAGTTGAAGATAAACCCAATCCTCGAGGTGAACTCTGTGTCCGTGGTCCCAATTGTTTCACGAGTTATTACAAGGGTGAGGTCTTGTTTGAATATATTCGTGGTGGACGCTTACCATTATGATAGATGAGAAAAATACCCGAGAAACCTTGAAAGACGGTTGGATCCACACCGGCGACGTTGCTGAGATCGACGCGCAAGGCCGGTTCAAGATCATTGACCGTGTCAAAGTCAGTTTCCTCACACATCATCAACGCCCTGATTTAATTTTGTATTACCCAGAATATCATGAAACTTTCACAAGGCGAATACGTTGCTCTCGAGAAAGTTGAGAACATGTATGCTGCGTGTCCGATCGTGCAGCAAATCTTTGTCCATGGCGATTCTCTGCAATCGTACCTACTGGCTGTGGTCGTCCCGGACCCAGTAACTCTGGCTCCATTAGTGTCTACGATTCTCGGCCAGAAGATAACACCTGATGACATTCCAGCACTGGAGAAAGCTATCAAGGACCACCGAGTAATAGCTCAGGTTCTCACTGTTCTCAATAAAGAGGCAAAGAAGAATCGCTTGACTGGGTAAATAGATTTCTGATCTCTGGATCAAGAGCACTGACCTTCGTCAACAGATTCGAGACAATCAAGCGTATCCACATCAGTTTGCATCCGTTTTCCATCGAGGATAATACCTTGACTCCGACCTTGAAGCTCCGCCGCAAGGATGCGTTTGAGAAATACACATCGGAGTTGCAGGCCCTGTATGCCCTTGGAGAGCCAAACGGTGAATCCAGTAAGCTCTAAGTGAGGTGGCATGGATCTCCTTAATTTCATCTATATGCTATTTAGAGATAGGACTTGATTTATGTATGTATGTATCTGATAACGCAACGGAAAACTCCTCGAACACATCCGTATTTTATTGCCACAACTAAATTTTGATGGTATGGAAAGCGCACCCTAAGAAAGGAAAAGTGATAAAATAACTTGTAATAACAGTAACCAAAGATACGGATATGAACAAGGAATCAACGAAAACAAGTGCCTCGAAATAGACGTAGATAGTCGTGATGATATTGTGATATGCCTTGGGAATATATAATGCGATTGCCTATGTGGTGTAGGTCTTCTATTGCAAATGGACTGTTTTCAACCGGTCATCTTCACACTGTTCTGCTCGATCTTGCGCGATATCGTCGTGCCAAGGAACGAGACCGCCACCATAACGGCAACCCACAGGTGTCCTCCCAATAGATTGTACTCTGCGGAGATTGCAAACAAGGAGCTAGAAAAACATGAGGGCATATCCTGCACGTGAAGAAGGACAGAGACACACCTGACAAGGAAAGGAGCGAATGATCGCGCGAGACACATTGCAAATTGAATTAAGCCATTGGACTGCCCCAGCGACGCAGCATTGGGAGCGTTCTCCTTGGTGAGAAGCATGCTGAGGCTAAAAACCATGTGTCAACCACCAAAGCAAGTCAAGAAATGGACGACCACGTACGAATAAGCGAGCGAAGCGACCTTGGATAACATGAGGACGAAAGCGATGCCAACCCACAGCAAAGCAACAGCGGGCGTTCCAAGTTCACCAGTGGTCTCATCCAAGCCAGCACGAGCGATAAGGTTCAAAACAGGCAAGATGAGGAAGGTATAAGGCCACAAGGCCATGCAGAAATTATACATCTTCGCCGAGTCAAACGTTCGAAGCAGGTAGGACATGATACAAAGCTGAATAGCAGCAGCAATAGCGCCCGAGGTGGCAAGAGAATATCCGATTTGTGATGCCTGCCCAGTTGTTAGTCGACCACACCTGTTCAGAGCGTGCAGTACTTACTGAGAACGCCAGACCGCCGGATTCAATTGGCGAGTAGCAGAACAAGACAAATACGACGTCGAAGGATACACCAAGAAAGCTCAGCATGAAGCCAGATAATGCCAAAGCGGATATGATTGGTATCGATAACAATTTTGAAACGCTGAGAGGCTTCTCGGGAAGAGCTGGTGCTGATGAGGCACTAAACGCCATCGGTATTGGTAGGAGAGCCACTTTTCTCGCGAGTGCGCTTGCTGGGCAGAGTCTAAAGTGGGTATGAGAATCTCCAGATAACACACTGCTTTTGAGCTATGGAATGGAACGTACCTCGTCAAGGAAAAGGAATCCAAGGAAAACACCAACGAGGGCGATCACGGATGCAATGAAGCATGGCAGGAAATAGGGATAATCCTTAAGAAACTGGTACCCGAATATTTCGGGATATTTTGAGGCCGGGTGAGAGAACGTCCCGCCAATGAGTGGTCTATGAATGTACGCATGATTAACACTGACATCCTGATTAAGTGCAAACAAGAAGCACACCCAATGATTGAACCAAGAGGCCATGTGAGGCCGTATATGGGGAAAGCAACCGCCTGGTTTGTGGAATCGGTGATTTCTCCCAGAACCGAATGAATGACAGCGACGTTTCCCGAAAACAGTCCCCCTACGCACAATCAGAAATTAGTTGGAGAAGTATAGAATGTTATCCACCTAAGCAACGCGCGACCAAGACACCCGCCAGTGACTTGGACAAACCAAACATAATCGTAGTTGCCGCGAGCCCAAAAATACCCACAAATATTACAGGGCGTCGTCCAATGACGTCTGTAGCAAGGAGTGAGGAAATGTGAACCGAATATTGCGACAAAAGTACCTGATATCTTAGCCCAGTGGTAGATGGAACATAGCTGAGATATAGCAAAAAGGCTTTCCTGGTTATGATCAGTGAGATTAGGGATGATGAGATCGAGCTATACAACGTACAACCAATCCGCTGTAAAAGCCTATTTTTGATGGGTCATCTGTGAGATGGAGATCGCTCATGAACTCGTTGACGTATGGAAAGAGTTGTGTGAACGCTATGGGTTCGACTAGACGAACTGCGCAAAGTGCAGCAAGTTGGCCCTTGGGCAAAGGAGTAGGCTTGGGTTTCTCAGCAATTTGAGCTTCAGCGCTGTTAGCATTGGAAGTACGGAGGAGTGGGGATGTCTCATCATAAATGGTCGCCTCGTTGGTGATGTTGGCGGGAGTCATGGTTGAAAACGATGACGAAAGCAAGAGAATTTAAAGCGAGGTAGATGGTATTTATGTGCATCGCAAAGGAAACAAGATGCCGACAGGCGAGTTCGATCCCGCTAGATATTTTTCCATGTCAAGTTAGATCAAAACATAAGTTTACGTATCTTGCATTAATGCCTAAAACATCTAGTAATGACGGTTGGGGTTCAAAAATATAATCCACATAATGACCTCACACGGACCGACGTACATACTTGTGTCGAAAATTCCATCGTCTGGCCCGGTAATCCCGATTTACAATTTAGCATCAGTAAGCTCAAAGCAATAAAACTTGTCATTCTTGGTATAAAGTCGCCGTGGTGCAGTTTTGACCACCCCGGCAAGTTTATAATTCTTGGTGCCTTGCACTAGTTAAAGGCGCATGTGAATATCTTTGGCAGCTCCACCAACCTCATACATACCTTCCCAATAAGCGGAATAAGAACAATATGCATTAGGCCACCATCTACGACGCTTGCAGCTCGAAAAAGGAACAAGGCAAAGGAGCAAGGTAGAGGAACAAAGCTGTAACTTATTACAAGCAGTTTAGTATCGTTTGATGCCGGTGGCTGAGATAATAACATACACAAACAAGGAGCTCGTTGTGATGGGTGTGCTTGAGCCCCGGTTTCTAGTCATCCACTACGTTCATCTGCTTTACCCTTATATCTACTCTTACTTGCTTATAACTTGCTCACACCAATCTCTTATCAACCATGAATTTTAATGTCAACGATAATCCTCTTCTCGTCGCTCCTCGACCCGTTCGCATCAGTAGTGCTTACCCACACTTTACTACTCGTTCTACACATTTCAAACTTGTTGCTTCTCAAGTCGATCTTGTAAAGTTGTCCGACGACACTGAAAATATTGACGAACACAAGCAGCCTACCCGTGTTGACTCCTCGCTTTCGTCCGATAAGGATCCTTCCTCTCCCCGAGCATCGCCTCGGTATGTATCTATCTTCCATTAAATCACAGCCATGCGGTCTGTTGAGCGGAAAGTGCTCACGTCTTGGCTTGCCACGTCATCCCATTTGACCGTTTTTCATATCATTGATTTCTCCGATCACTTCAGGTCCAACCTTCCATCAGAAGCGCTCGAAGAGTTCTTGTCAATCTGTATGGGGTGGAAATGCCCATCCTCTCCTGTATTGCGACCACGTCTCAACGGTGCTGTGTCGCTGCCTACCTTTGGCCTCCCATACAGGTCCAGAAGCAGAGTGGATTTTATCCACGCCAAGGGTGACCTCTCCAGCATCACGCTCACCGAGGAGAATGAATGGGTCCCTCGCGCACGATCTCCTCAAACCCTCTACGAGCGAGACGAACTTGAGAACCTTGAAATTCCAGATCAAGATACCCAAAGGTGGAACATTGCACACTCTCTGTGTGAGCCCAAATAATAATCCTCCCATAATCCACTTATTAGTATTCTTTGAGCAGCGTCTCCGATATCTCGTGCGCGCAATCCATTTTTACGCCACCCTTCTTATGACATTACCCTCTCTGGGATCCCACCCTTTTCCCAACCATCCCCTCCAATCACTTCGACAACGCCTATGTCTCCGGCGGCTGTTCCTCTTCCCGTCCCAACCCCTGATGAGTTGGTCAAGGTTTACTGACCGTCTGATGGTCATCAGTACTCCTCGTCTTACTGTCCTGTCATTACTTGAAATTTGTGACCTTATCTCCGGTATGTCCTTGCATACTGCGAGCTAGGTTTACTCGTCTTGAGCTGATACTGAGCTTTAGACCAGTTCTCCGAATACATTACATATACCACTTTTGATTTGATGATCTACGCTTCTACCGCACTAGTATTTTATTTTGCTTTACTGCGTACTTTATTCCACGTTGATGCCTACCTGGTTCTTTCGTTTTGCATACGCTCATTGCTATGTTCACCGAAGGACCGCCCCCAACTCTGTCTCTTCTTGCGCTATGCCCTTCTCATGTGTTACCCGATGCTGTCTATTTGCATTCTAGGAAGGAACTCCTGATCAATCGGCACATCGGTACAATTGCATTCTTACGATGTATAGTATTTGGAAATTCCTGTCGATTTATGTATTGGATTGATAGCCTCAACATCATGATAGATCATTACTACTCTTTTCGTGAGTCCGGATCCGACACCTCTGGCGAGAAGACTGGTAATTTGGTGGGCTTCGTGACCAACGCCCTTCTTGGACTTGAGCCTTCCTTCCTTCTCCGTACCCGCGAGTAATTACCTAGCCAGTTATACGTTGCATCCGTCTCCCTTGCTTTCAATTGCTCGTCTTTAACAAATCGACGCAATATTCCTACACATCCTTAAACTTCCAACACACATTACTATATTCTTGCAACTCAAGACTCAAGAGGTTGTCGAGAATATCATTCATCTGGCTACACCAATTTCATCACAGACAAGGTCCCGGTCTGACGCACGCACCCGAGTGGTCTCCCCTGGCCATCCTATTCGAAGGCAGATAGTCGTTCCTTCGTATTAAGGCACCTAAACCTTTGTGGGTATAGTACCAGGCATTAATTGCTTGGACTTAGCAGCAGCAGCGTCGTCGTATACCCACTTATTACCCCGTATTACCCTGAGACACTTGCACTAGTGAGCAATCAGATGGGGAAACCCGACGTCGGAGACACTGCGATAAATTCAGCGATGGAGTTAATATGGTTTCGATGAGAGGGGTGCGGAGCCTTCGGATTCAAATAATGAATGTTCTGGACTTCTTTGGGTGTTTGCGGGGAGACAACCTTAAAGGGTCATACTAATTTTCAGCGTCAAGGAAGATGTGGTGTGTGCCATAAGATTGTGGAGTGCTGATCAAGAAGGCGTGACTGTCTTCCTTCTCTGATGGTCTGGATAGGGGAGACTGCCCGAGTGCTGTGAAAAGAGTTGAGTTTACTCTTGACGCAGATAAGATATTCACCGTGACTTATCTGTTGAGGAATACGAGAGTAATTTCCAGAGAAGGCGTAGTAATGGTTGATCGGCGAACTGTTAAATAATATCTCCCTTGGTGATAGTACATAGAGTCATGAAAGCAAATTCATTCGACTGCTTCCATTATGATTGCACTATCAAATGAAAATCTCCTAATCTTTACGACGAGCATCCGTCAGTCCTCATATCCGACTAAGGGCTTATTAAATACCACCTCGTACCGCTCATCTAACTGGTATGTAGCCCTTCTCGCTATAGTGTCTAGGAATAGATCCAAATCCGATCACAAAACTTCTGCGGATTTAAGATGCTGCATGTTACATCAACTAACCTCTTTTACATACTCATCTGTTTCAGAAATTCATATTCCCGGAAGCCCAATCGGAGGAACGCGAAGTTCAAGGATATAGCGGGCTTTGCGCTTGTCCCCCAACCCCCTGGGTTAGGAATACCGAATTTCCGCTCTCGTCGATGTAGAAGCAGTCTTCAAGTCGAATACCGACCTGTACGCAACCGTTAGCATTGGTCGAAATAGGCAGGAGCCTCCGTAGCTCTGTGACGCAAATCCTCGAATTACCGTACCTTGCCTTCGATGTATATACCTGGTTCGTTCGAGAAGGCGTTCCCCGTTCGGATGGTGTCGTCAGTTCCTCCACGGAGGTAAGGAGCCTCATGACCTTCAAGTCCGATGCCTTCCGACGGTAGTCAAACTCAAAGACTACAACTCTGGGCTCAAGTTGCTTGGTGCTCACCATGACCCAGCCTATGCGTGAAATATTCCTTGTACCCGCGCCCGTCAAGCCAGTCGCGTGCTACCCTGTCTACGGCAGATGTATTCACCCCCTCCCGAGCAACTGCATGCGCCAGGGTTTGGGCAGTATGTACATCATACCAGATCATAGTATGTTCTGGAGGAATGGAGCTATCGTGTAGCATGAATGTCTATGCAGAGCCTCAGCAAACCGAATGATTTTCACGGCGAACTGTGAAAATCTTACTCGTGTAACGTCGCTGTGGTATTCGAACAACAAGCCACCAGCATCTATGAGAATGAAGTCTGCTTTTCCCAGTACGCGGTCGGTCCCGCTTCCATGAGGGAGAGCAGCATTCTCTACGGTAGACGAGATCGAAAAGTCAGCAGGCACATTTAATCCGAACGACAATTCTAAAAAGTCTTACCCCCAAAAAGTACTAGTGCCCATCTCTCCCTAAGACCAGCAACAGCGAGCGCTTCATCGATCATTACTTGAACTTCTGACTCCCGTATCCCAATGTACATCTGGGCTTGTACAGCCCGAATTCCAAGAACGGTGACCTTGATGACTGCGATGAGCTAGTTAAGTTCAAACGCGAACACATCCGCTGACCTCGTTCGCACATCTCAGAAGGTCTAGTTCTGCCAGAGATTTGCGCTCCCTGAGCTGGGTGACATCGGGTGGGGCGGTCATGACGTGGACGCCAGGGGCAGCCTTCTGGAGACCGTCGACAATAAAATTCCTCATCATGCCATCAACGTAGATGGGTCCTTTAAGGGTGGAAAGCGCGTGCAGCGCGACAGCGTATGGATCTTCGTCTTCTGCCCAAGAGGCATATGTAACATCAATTCCAGGTACCAACAAAAGTTTGGCGCGTGTTTCCTCAAAAGCTGGTGTGATGACGGTGATCTTGGCCACAATGCTGGCTTCCTCGAGTGTAGGAAAGATCATAAGTAGTAGTGGTCTTTCGGAAAGGTGCCATGACGCCTGGGAAATGTTTCCAAAGTACTGCGCGTTTGCGCCAGGCTCTGCAACGTAGGCTGAAGCGCCATGGTCATACAATATCTTTGCCAAGTTCTCCTGGCGTTGAAGAACTTCTGAACCATCTATGGGCTGCGCATCAGCACAGTGGCTTGCCAGGCCTACCCAGGGGTCATTATCTGCTGAATGGGATTTGGGACCGATATCAGTGAGAAAATGTAAGTAGAGGATGGTTGCACATATGGCAAGACTGAAGAAAAGCCTCCACTAAGGTAGAGGATGTCCGGGTGAATTTCATTTCCAGCAGTGTGAGCAGCTCACCTCTAGGCTCTGTGTCACTTTGGGTGTGGCAAACGTATGAGCTATCTCCTTCCTGGAAACGGGGGTGTCAACTTTGCCCATCTCTCAGCGTCTGCTGAGCAAGACCAAATGATTGACTGACCGTGCGGGGTTCCGTTAATGATTAGCGAAAGCGGTACCGTGACCTACTACCATACCTGGGCAGTGGCAGTGCACAACTTCGGACAACTCGAACGTTTCACAACCAAGCTTCACGCTTGTATGCTTTGGCATTATGGAGGACACGGAAACTTTGCTCGCATTGGTCTGTAGCCTCCTGACCGTTCCAGTGCCAGAAATGGATGTTCTTCTCGACGCACTCTTGTCGCGCGATGGAGATGTTCATGCCACTGCCAAACTACTTAATTCTGGCGACAAGACAGGATCTAAGCCAGCGAGCAGCGCCTCAAAAAGAAAGCATCGTTTTTTGGATCTGCACGGCTGGTTACATACAGTCAAAGCATCCACGGTCTCTGACAGTCCGCCTCGAAAGAAACGAGACGTTCAGGAATCCAGTCTCTCTCCTGCTAATGTTGTCATCAAGGATACCACTGCAAGCAGCAGCCCTCCGACCAAACCCAAGGTAGACTTGATGTCAGTTCTACGTCAACCGCCCTCGAGTACGCGATCTGTACCGCGTCTCCTTCCTCTGACATTGACGAATCCCTCGATGGTGGCCCAGCATACGCCTTGCACGATGCATCTATCTATATTACCACCAGACCTTGCCTGTAAACTATTCTACACCATGCTCGATCTGTCGCAGTCTTGGAAAAAGAACAAATGGTGGCTATTTGACCGCGTCGTTGAGAGTCCTCACCGCACGTCATTCTATGCTCGAAAAACAGATGGTGTGGAGCCAAATGATTCATGGCAGGAGGCTGCCCAATATTGGTGAGATAAAAGAGTGCTGTATCTTATGGAAACACATACTTAATACGAAGCACCAAAGGTATAATGGTCGGCAAACAGACCCACCTGAAGTCTTTCCTGATGTGATGGAGGAAGCCTGCGTGTATGTAGAAAATATCGTCAACAAAGAGATGCAAAGGCGACCCCGCCTCCCGCTTGAGTGGGGAGGCAGGGGCTCCGAAGGTCAAATCTGGCGTGCCAATGTAGCCGCATCAAATTGTTATGAAGGCACCAAGGACAGCGTTGGGTTTCATTCAGACCAGCTGACATATCTGGGACCTTACCCGACTATTGCCTCATTGAGTCTCGGTGAGCGCCTCTTAGCACACTGTTTTATGTAATCTTTACACCTAGCCGTCCACAGGGACGACGAGAATCTTTCGCCTTCAGGAGGTCGTACCAAGCGAAGAGATCCGCTCACGAAAGGCGCAAACTCTCAACATTCCTTTACCCCATAATTCTGTACGTCTCGTGCTAGTGAACAATGTAGAATTAGACTAAACCCTGCTTGTAGTTGATCATCATGCACGCCGGCACCCAGGAAAAATTTAAGCACTCAGTTCCTCCCCAACCTACGCTTGACCTCTACCGCCCTTTCGCCCCTCACCCCTCTCGCCCTGCGTCTCCGCCAGAGCCATCCAATTGCCGTATCAATATAACCTTCCGATTTTATCGACCTGACTTCAGGCCGCAAAGCATCCCGCATTGCAATTGCGATGTACCTACGATTTTGCGTCCAGACATGAAGAATAGACACGACGGTCAGACGGATAAATACTGGTGGACATGCTACGCTGGCGCACAGAATGAAGGGAAAGGATGCTCTTTCTGGCGGGACATGAACATGAAGACCGAAGGTCGAGGCCCGACCATTTCTGATGTAGAGAGCAATGATCAGTAATGTGAATTATGCCACGGAGGTGAGGAACGTTCGTGATTGCGCGCATAAGCAGTTCTGGTACGTCACTATCGTTTCATCATTCCATCAACAATTGTATCGAAATAGCTGAAAATGCGACAGAGGTGATAGACATTTTTGGAACAACAGTATTACCAGATTATGCTGAGCGCCGAGCCAAATTCTCAAAGTCTTCGAGTTTTGCCCAAGGCTTGGAGGTGTAATCATGTGGTAATGATGATGGTGGGTTCGATAGTGGCCTGGCAATATGAGAACGTCAAGAGAACTCGCTGGCCGCATATCTTATCGATGGCATGGTTATACTTTCTTGGCATCGTCGTAGGGCGACCACCACAACACACATATGCCACCTTCACCCTCACAACATTGTTTAGGTTGCAGAATTAGAATCACATTTTTCTCGAGTTTCATTTCACAGCTCTGGATATCATCCACTTACATACCAGTGGATCAGAACGTAAAACAGCACACGGCTTGATTGAGGTTCGTCATACAAGATATGGTTTCGTCTATCCTTAGCCCTGCCAATTGAACTCCCGCGCTCAAATTCAATTGAATATTAACATCTTGCCCATATTACCATATCATCAACTCCACTGGCCTCCCTAGAAGACGGTCTGACATGCTTCAAGATCGGGGACTTCATCTCCGCTTCACCTCCATATTAACGCACCCTGATTGGCACTTGCCCATACATAGAATATACACATCATGATTCATGAGTGTACGAGTCTGAACTTATCAGAGACATCGCGTTCTTCTTGGAAGCTTGGGAGAAGATCGAGCAGGGGCTCTGAAGCAGCTGGATGCAGTGTTGAGTTGCCGCCTTCCTCTGGTGCAACTAGAAGGGTTGATCTGCCGCGCTCGTGCTGGACAACTCCCAGGAGACTCGTCTTACCTCACCGCAGTTTAACTTTCATGTTGCGACTTCCCATGGCACGTACCAGGGTGATATCTCTTCTCGGTTGGCGGACATGATGGGAACCGTGGTCATTCAGGAATAGAACGCGACAACGTGTTCCGATGGTTTTCTGAGCCTTGGGAAGGCCCTCCTCGTTTCAGGGTACAAGTTTTCATCAACACCTGCCTGCCTATTCTGTATCGTCGCCGCCCGAATGTCGGTTACAGAGTCCTAGGTTTGCGCCGCCACATATTACCTTGCTGAGCCTACTATTTGTCAGGCTGAGTGGATTCTCTGATATGTGCATTCCATGGTCTTTCCACGACCATGCTTCTGCACTAGTCCAATTGCAGAGTGCGAGCTCCATCCCAACTTCAAGTTTTGAACTTAGTAAGGATAGCCGCCATCATCTTTCGTAAGTGACGAAAAGGATATGGAGCCAGTGAACGTTCCGCAGTTGATGCAGCATACACATCGTCACTAAGCGTGAAGGCATATTGTGTGCTCTGCGTCCCAAATCAATGAATCCCAAGAGCGAATAATTGACTAATCATGTTATCTCTTCCACGGCGGTGTTTGGGCCATTAGTCGACTGTAGATTGGTTGTGTACACCACAACTTTCCGATGGCAAACCTGTATAGCGGTTATGCAAGTTTTCCAATTGCCTGACCGATGCGGTGAGGAGGCAACTCTGAGGAAGATATGAAGGATTGTTCCGAGTCGGTGATGATACAGATTCGTTTGGGTGTCCGGCCCTTATGCATGGCCGATCCTACTGCCGTAGCCGCAACGCGCATCACAGGGATTGCCTACTCCACTTCAGCGCATGCTAGTGAGTCGTGACTACTTAGTAAAAGCGCAGAGCTGATGACTCAAAGGGTATTTTCAAGTCGAGTCACGTGACGGCGTTTTTCTCCGCTCTCGCCCGAGTTCGTAGTGTGCTGTTCACTGCCTTTAGGCTTTAGACCTTCCCATTTTTACTGTCTACATCAGACCATGGCCCGTGTATCATTCCAAACGACCCCGCCAGCTCGTTTTGCCAGCACCGTGTGTATCACTCTCCTGTCCTCTGGTGATATTCTGGCCACGGCCCAGTTATTGATGTTTGCTTTTGATATCATTTAGTGGGTCAAACGGTGGGGGCCAACGTTGGGCATTTGGGGTGTGGGTGCCGGTACTACTGCCCTCTTCGTGCGTCTAGAGTATGCTGCTTCCTCTTGTCCATTTTCTAATGGGATGAATAGTTATTGTCTGTTACCCCGGTGGTGAAGCAGGGCCTGCTCATAAACATTCCAATGGTGAGGTCCTACGCTATCATGTACAGTCGTTCTGGTCGCTCATTGCTCAAATCTCTTCACCTCGTGCGTGATGCATACAACGATAGCTTGGCAGTTACTATGAGGACAAAACACCTGCTTCGGACAAGCCGTTCTGAGTTCGTCCGCAATTATAGACCCATACCGGCCTTTGAAATACCAATATCTCATTAATGTAGAATGCGGCTACCCGGACTATTAGGCTTTGTGATGGTTTCATTCCTCCGCGGAGCAGTCAATACAATTTGTGATACAACCAAATTCTAGTCAAGTCCCTCAAAGTTTGGCAGAAGTTATACTGTTGTTATGGTCTAGGTCACCAGTAAGGTCAATGCCTAATTTCCCTGCCAACTGTTTGACTGCATTAAGAGTGCCACCTATCGGAACATCTGAAAGAAGACGTCAGAACAGTTGGCCAGAATTTATCTTAGCGCCACATGGTGTTTAAGCTGCCAAAGATAATGTAAAATATGCGACGTACGGATGGTCTCCATGCCAAGACCTCGAGCGGCCTTCAAGTTCCTGGTGAAGGTCAAAAGGTAGGAGCACCCCACTGGGAACGCGGTAGGAGCAGTCCTCACATTCCTATATCATCAAGGAAGACGGCTTCTCCAGGGCGGATGCCATTTCTGTTACATGCAAGGAGATAAAATTCGGGGTCGGGTTTCCTGTTGGTGCGTTGAAGGCAGTATAAGCAACTCCGCTATTGCTCGTGAAGATCGAAGGGTTTTCCTAACTTACCGCATGCCCAACTCGCTGGAATCACAGAAGTCGTCGAACAAGGCGCGGAGATGAAACGTTGCCCTATCTTCCCATCCCAAGAAACGTAACTCCGAGTCGGGAACTCGTATAGGAGGTTGTCCTGCATTTGGCGGTGTCGAAAAAGGGTGATCCGTGATGTGCTTCGAGTAATTATTAGTAAGGGCGATGATAAGCCACTTTCCAGTTGCTATCACAAGGCACTGAGTATGACGATCGGAGTGTGCCGCGATGCAACAGAATCACCTCTTATCCGGCGAATGGCTCGCCAGATGTGATCATCATAGGCTGTAGACTGTCGCATCATCCTACCAAAAAGCTTTGTGGCGTTCAGCGGGGTTAAGCGGAGCAGCGGCTTAGTAAGTGCTTCTAGCACTAACCTCACGGCCGTCGATATCAATCATGACAGGTAGAGTCGGGCACTCTGATTCGAGACAAAGGTTAAAACAATTACCCAAGAAACGTACGAGTGTATGAGGTCATACCTATTTTCTTTCGAGCACAATATTCCATATACCATTTGTTACCATTTTCCGTGTCAGACAGATCATGTCCAAACTCTTCGTAAAATGGGAAGAGTGATAGCTCTCCACGTTCGAACTTCTGCCAGGCACCAACAGGACCTCGGGAGGCTCTGTTCGCAACGAATCAACGAATCAGATTTGCAAGGGATCACAATAGCATGAATAAACAGACATGGAGACATTCAGATAGTCCTTTGGGAGGCCTTTCTCCTGACTCATACTCGGCAATTGCAATGAACGGGCTATGAAGGACGACACCGCCAATCTACAAAAGGAACAGTCACCCGAGAATGATCGATGGTTAGCAACTATGACGCAGGACAGGCGGGACCGCAGGTGCTGTTCGCGTCGGCGTCATCGGGACGTACATCGAAAATAATGGCCTTTAGATGAGGAGAAGACATCGGCTAAAGGGACCCGGCGGCTATTGAGACTGTGACCGCTGCCGCACACGAAGCTCGTCAAACCGAACAAGTGAGTCAATGAAAAGGAATCATCAACAGCAAAGAGTCACGGCATCTATACATGAATGTTGCCGGTCATAGCCTATTCTATTAATCCCGGCGGCAACTTGAAGTTGATATAATCCTCAAGAGTAAGTCATGTTAATGGTTTCCCGCGAAACGTTTTCATCATAGAGATCAATGTCATACCCGTCAGAAAAGCAAGGTCTTTTTCCGCATTGGCACATTGGCTACCTGGACATACTCACCAGTGGTATTGCTATTACTTTAAAGTGCCGGCCGGAGTTTGAAAATACTTCTAGCTTTCTCGACAACTTGTGCTACAGCAGGCAACAATTCGGGGTACTGTAGAGATTCCATCTGTGCCCGTTCGATTAGTGTATCACCATCGCTATCAGCTTGCAAGACTATTATGGCTAATCCACGGCAGCGTCGTAAAGCAAAATCATCGACGCACAGAGCGGTATCCCATTCACGGCGTGCAAAGAAGATCCTGAAGAAGATGCCAGGTGAGCTCCGATACCATTGCGTCCTTTGCTACATAAGCGTTTTCACCCGTTCATTGGATGCTGGTGGATATTTGATTCCCTTGTTTGAGTTGTACTGCGATGAAACCATTACGGTTATACCTGATTGATTTTTCTTCTGAAGGTGTACGTGTGACTGACTAAGTACATAGCTGATAAAATTCATTATAGTGATACGAGGTCCAAAAGCCTTGCAGGACGCTTGGGATAAATCAAAGACAGTTCGCCAGAAGTGAGTTCAGTCTCACATTGATTTTAACCTGTTTTGCTTTTGGAGTTGTCGGTGTGGCGGGTACGTCTGAAGTTATTCACTTTTACGGTGATATGGACTTCGCTTCCGGTCGCCAGACTTTGGGAACTGAAAGATTGTGTCCTCTACCGTGACGATTTTTTAAGATAGGTTATTACATGTGGGCTACTGTCCAAACAGAACACATTTTGATCCCTGTCAACTTCCGCGAGACTTGTCGCCAGCTCCGCGGCTCACCATTGATTCGATGAATTATTTCCTTGCTCTTTGACTGGTGGTTTAAATCTTTCATACTAATATTTTATCTATAGTTATGCTGCCCTGGGACTTCAGCTCGCTTTGACCCCCACTCAGTCGGGCGGCTCAGAGCGTACAACGATCCCTTCAAAAGATCCAGCCACCGCTGGGTCAGTCTCTGGTACCGCTAAATCAGTCGAGGCTGGTCCTTCGACTGCATCATCCATTCCCAGAGGGTTTGGAAGGATCATTCGAGATGCATTTGGTAATGTGATGCGGGTTGACCTTCCTGAATCCGAGGAGATCGAACACAGCGTACAAAACAACCAGCTCCCAGAAGCGGATGTAGATGCGAGAACTATGGACGATTGGGTCGGCTGTCTTGATACATTACACCGAAGTGACGCAATAGATGCAAGAGGGTCTTCCTCGCCATTCGCGCGGGGAACACATCCCGTTACTGGTGAGTGTCCCATTAAATGAATGTTCTAGTGGTTTTTGGGTTCAATATCTTCTGGCGCGAAAATCAGTTTTCCGATCTTTTGGTATGATGTCAACTGATATTAAAGAGGACATCAACATACCTTTTTTCGGGATGAGTTCTTCTATAATATCTATTTTTGCGGTGCCTACGGCACAAACGCTTCCACGGTTTATATGACATGCGGAGTCTTTCGATTAACTAACCAAACTTCTGTTTGAAATAACAGTGTTGGAGAAACTGTCGGCCTCGGGTAGGGCACTGCCGCGACACTCGTCATGTGGAGAAAGATCATACCTCGCACGTTTGGTCCAAAAATATGGCGATAACTATGGAAGTATGGCGAGAGATCGCCGACTTAATCCTGAACAAAAGACAGTGGGTGAGCTAAAAAGGGCGGTCGAAAAGGCGGGTGGGGTGAAGTCATTCTCCTGACCGAGACATTCATGTGCGCACATTATCGTGGACTTGATTTACAATGCAAATTTACCTATGTTACACAGGTTTGAAATAAGCGCTTCAAAGAAATAAGATGAAGCGCTCGGTCAAGATGAGTCAACCGACCCCGGGGTGACTGTCACATATTATGACAGCTCACACCGGTACTTCGAAAACACCCAAGGCTGTGCGCCGACTGATCGGGACGAAATTCAGTTGACAGAGTGTTGTAATACGTACTTATATACGTATGCGAGTAGAGTAGCACATGGATGTTTTTTCGGAAGGTTCGTTTGGCAGGGTCAGGGGTGATGTCACAACGCAGATCACAGGCTAGTAATAGTACTTTTGAGTCAAGATGATATCCCCGGCGACTCATGACAGCACAATTGCAAGGCGGCCATAATATGTGGCGCAGCTCGCGGAGAGTTTTGACAATGGACATGCTCTCCATGCGCCGTATATTTGCCAATCTGTCAGGGACCGCTTGTTGAGTTTTTGACAAATTCCTGCGCCTTGAACATAAAATGGGCGTTGATAGTGAGTAGTATAGTTAGTCCCTGGCTTGAGTCAATATAATTTTCTGACATTCCATGATGGAAAAACATAGCTTTTATTCAAAGCCGCATCATTATAAGTTGAGATGGAACCAATAATCGTAGATCTGAAGTAATTATTTGAAGCCGGCATGTCGGAATTCTAAATTTGATGAGTTGTTGACAACAGTCTCGACTTTAGAAGACGGCAAAGTGGCCAAGACCGAGCCTATCAATGACTGTCAAGAGCGCTCGCAGGTCGCCGAACGCAATTGTGCAAAGTTGAAAGTACGACACCTGATATCACCTATTCTTGGTTGGGTCGGCCTCTCACGGGAGGAAGTCTTGTCTTTCCCCTAGGCCGATTGGTGGGGGTTTGGACCGATTGGCGGAAACACAGCGTTCGCTCTATGAACGGTCTTTTCAACAACGAATCAGTGCCTGCTTATCGCAAAGGGACAAGAAAACCGCGACCTGAATCTATCTGATTTGCGCACAGCCGTATGAGGTACATGGCACGATGCACAAGTTCATGACATTGAATGAAAACGTTGCAGCCGCCTGTACCCGCTTGGGATGGCGACAGTCACCGTTGACCTCATTAGGTGCATGGTGGCATGATAGCACATTGGCTTTTAAATGTGATATGATTAGGTTGGTAAGATTCAAACTTATTGAAAACGCCACTAACGAGAGACTGTGCATACAGGTGATCACCGAACGCACGGATACTATCATGTATCAAGATGAGCTATACATCAAGCCAACCCCAATTCTGGTGTTCCCGAAAGATCGACTTCGACTTACGACATCCGTTTTTCTCGTGTCTTTTTGGCTATGCCGTTTTGGACTCGTGTTCTGTTCGAGCCGTCCGAGGCGCCAATCGAACTTCCGGATATCGACGTCAAACAAACAATATTAATCTTGCCTTTCCGTAACATCATCATATCGGCCTTTCTCCGTCCTGGCTTTAAATTCCAACTATTTTCTACTTTACTATCTCCAGTCCCTTCTTCTCCTTCTCGTGATTGTCTTCAGTTTACCATAATATCAAGTTCCTGATCTACTCGCTAAGCTCAACTACCAACACAATGTCGCCACGAGCGTCTTCGTCTACCCCACGAAGCGCTTCCTCAGCCAGTGCTCCATATCCACGACGTGCTGCAGGTCAACCCAAGTCTTCTAGACAGCAGTTCTCTGCCTGTGGGGCTTGCCGCATGCGAAGGTTCGTTTTGTATCATAAATTATCCTTGACTTTTATTCATGTCAAACAGAGTTCGCTGTGACCTGAAAGACCTACCCATAACCCAGACTTCAAATGGCATGCAGCAGCCTTCATGCTCAAACTGCAAAGAACGCGGTATTAAATGCGTGTATGTAATGTTCAACTCACCAGTTCGATAATCTCTCATATCTGCTTCAGCGATGAGTTCGCCGAAGTTAAAGCTGTCAAACTTCTACGTCGCGGGCGCCGTCTACAACAAGTAGAGTGAGTCTTATCGTCCTCTCCCCGACCCTTAGTCCCATTCAATTAAACGAATATAGAGCTGTCTACGGTAAAGTAACTGATGACGAATTGAGCGGGTCTTCTACGATGCCTGCAGGATCAAACCCCACGATGCCCGCCACGCTATCCGCGGGGATCGCCACACCCTAGACAAAGCATCATTCCCCAGCTGCAGCTGGAATTCCTTAGCTCATCTTTCTTCCGTAGATTCAGTATCCAACGTAAGAATTCATTTTAGCGATCATGGTTATCACGTATCCATTTTTCTTCATCTAGGTCCTGTTATCGAACCCACCGAGTTCACGTCAAGATACTTTGCCCATATTAAGGGTACTTCCACTCTCAGCATCGAGGGCCAGATGATTGCGATGCTACTTGTCACCTGGGCTGCCTCATTTGGCGTGAACGAGTATGGTGTCGAGGAGGAAATGGAGCCGCTTTCTCCGACTATGCCCGACGGGCCAAAGTTCTCGCCAGATAGCGACGACGATCTATCTGATCCTACCCGTCGCGCTCGGTCTCTTCGTGTAGAGACCATGATCAAAGAGATCCTCAATCTCGTCGATGTTCATGCTCTGCTGCGACGCCCAACTTGGGACGGTGCTAGGGTTCCTCTTACTTATCCACCCACTAACTCAAGGTATGGATTTCCTTTTGAATCCGGGGAACCCTCCGCTCACGTACTCGTTACTCGCGTGCAGGTATCCAAAGTTCGATTGACAGGGCGGTAAGTGCCGGTGCTCAATTGACATTGAATCGTGTTGACGTGCAATGGTCATCAGACTATGTACGAGGCGACGCTTTCCCAAATTTACTGTCTTTGCAGCCTGGCCAGTCCTTCTACGGTACATAGTGGCCAAGGACCTTATTGTGATGCACTTGTCCGTGCCAGAGTTTTCTGGTATGCCTATGTACACGAAGGTGTCCGCACAGGCTTACGCGGCGGTCGGCTATATTTGTACGTGCATTCCGTCCGTGTGTGACATCCTCTGATATCTCCACAGTGAGGATGATGACTTTAATGCATTCCAAAGCACTCTGCCTCCCCAATACTGTGCATCTGCATCTAGCAGCGCTCCGTCCTCTTCGTCTGCTTCATCACACCCCTCACCTACTGCTACTTCTCCAGTGTCGCCCGATTTCCCTATCACTTCTTTGCAAGATCCTCGTGGCCATTCCCGCGCCTCGCTTTCTTACCTTCTCGCCGCCCATTATTTTTCGCTCGCCCTTGCCGTGTCTGCTGTATGTCGTTCCGTCCATGCAGTGCTCACTGGCCCTCGTGCGCGTCGTCGCACCGACGCTGGAGTTGCCATCCGCGAAGACTCCCTCGTGGAAATTTGGGATGGTCTAGAGCAATGCTGGGAGGACTTCGAGTCTCTCCGTCGTGGAGCAGGCGGCATTGGCACTGTGGGCGGCGGCCTTGTTCGTGGCGAGGACGTCGAGCGTTTCGTCAGCGGATGGCAGGTATTCATATTTGAGTGCTTGAATGTCATCCGGGAAGCCTTGAATCAGCGCATCGTTACACATAAACGGGGCAGCCCCGACTCAAACGGTAACTCTCCTGCCGAACGTGCCCTTTGCCGCCTGCATGCTCAGGCTACTCGCCGATGCCGCATTGTCCTTCCCCGCGTCATTGCTATCTTGAAGCGACACCTTGCTGTTCCCTCTAGCGGTTTCTTCGCTCACGATGCTGGCCTCATCCGAGACGGATGTTTCTTTGCTGCCCTCCTGCTTGCGCAAGGTGACATTGATCAGGACGCAGATAGTGATCTGAAAGGCGAAGATGGACTTGCTTGGGACGTCGACGCCGAGGACGGTGTTGACGTGTGTCTTCGTGCACTGGGAGAGATTGGCTGGATCTTTGCTAATAGCCACGAGCGAGAGAAGACTGTTCGCTTGGTTTGGGATGCACGGGTCGACCGTGATGATGAGCGCCGTCGTGAACGCAACCGTCAGCGTGATTATCTTGAGGATCACCGTGCGCAGGCTTATCACTCTGGACAACGTTCGCAGGATCGCTCTCCTTACATGATTAACAAGCCTTCGCTGCCCACGTCCACTCGTGGTCAGGGACCGACGCCTCGTTCGCTCTCGCTTGTCTCAGCCGCCGGGCAGACCCGCCCCCATCTTCCCCCGCTCTCGCTTGCGTTTTCTCCTGTGGAGAGTGCCCCCAACACAGCCGTTACGGATGATGGTAGTGGCAGCTGGACCACTTATACGCCACCCACGACGTCAGGTTCAATGACGAGTAATGCCACCACGAACCGCAGTGTTTCGCCACCCGATTCTGGATCGCCTCACACATTGACATCACTAAAACATCTCCCTCCTATCCAAAACTCATTGAAGACCGAAAATGATTCATTTTACAACGGGGTCACCGATCTGGACCCATTCTCATTTTCTGTCGACGGCACCACCGGCCCCGGTGTCGTTGGCTCAGCTCATGCATGGTCGACGCAATACCAACATCAAGTTGGACCTGGTAGTGGTTATCTCGACCCCAGCGTCATCTTCACTGGAGCAGACTGTCAAACCTTCTATCATTAATGAGGCAGTCACTATCATTATGATCTGTACGTTTTTACTACCGCTACATGTTATCGCGTCGTCGTCTTGGTTCATTATTTCTAAGTTCCCATCACACAATGAAACTAGTTCAGGCATCCATCATCTTCACTTTCATTTCATAGTTATATATTCCTGCTTTATCATTTGTTTGGATAGATTCTTGCATTGTACTGGCTTCCTGTTTATACCCGCCGCTTGACACTTCAACAGTAATTGCCACAATATCCATTATCATAGACACTACGTATAGATGTATTATGTGCATGCCGTTCAGGAATGTAAATCGGTAGTTTTAATGACATGACATGCCGCACGTATGAATGTTTGATCAGTACGTCATAGGAAGGAGATGAGGAGATATACCGGAGATACACCGCAGGGTTAATTGTATGCATACTTTTATGGAATACAATTCAATTGCACAGCGCTCAGGAAGTCTGACATGCCATGATATTCATCCGTGCTAGAAGCAGCTTTGTGGTGGCCTCTGTCAATGGCGGACCTGGAAAAAAAGAGAAGGCGCATTGACAAATGCGCCTCGAGTAAACCTCGCAGCTCCATGATAAGCGTATAGACTACAAACTGGACAGTCTTTAACGAAATTTTCTTTCATCAGGCTCGGATGAAGCAGACCAGGCTATACTGCAAGTCACCCTGATCATTCCGCGTCGCGGCGGCAAGTAGGGAGCTGAATTTTTTTTATGTCATAGGATCGACTTTAGCGCTCGGTTCGGCCCTATGATAGCGATTATATCTATGGCTTTGGCAAAGTCTCCAATCGAACGCCACAAGCCTTCCGCTTGAAGGTTGAAAGGTATTTCCCCATCACTGAAGCCGAACCGTCTGGTTGGCGGAAAGGACTTTAGGTTGACCACAAAACGGCAGGTTCCTTTGCGCTATTCCAAAAATGTCGCTCAAACAAATCTATATTGAGTGATCAACTTATCTTCAGAACGGCGGCCGGTCCATTGTTTGAGATTTGAACGCAATGTCTCCGACACATTAATCCCGCACACGATCTTCCATTCCCCAACAAAGGAAAAGTAATCGCGTAGATTGAATTCTCGTACCCCATGTAGTTCGGAAGCTTAAGGTTGGTGATATCATCCCGCTGCAAGCCCATCAACGTTCTTGGCTAATGTCCAGGATATGCTCAGCTCCTGTCCTCGTGTCGAATCCACCCTGACAAACCTTGTACTATGCTCATGGCGGCCGCCCTTTATGGGACGGTCAACATTGTACACCACGGCAGTTGTACGTGATGGCAGAGCTCCAGGCGCTCTCGGACAGTGTAGTACTACAATAGTCTTTCAAACGCCAATACAGCAAGTCCGCTTCAACAACGGGTATTTGAACTTGCAAACAACTGAACAGTCCAGATTTTGATAAACTTGCATCGAGTATTACAACACGGGCTCCTATCTCCGGATTTCGAAGCTCTTTCGAGTGGTAAGCATAGTACGCTCTGAGTGCCTTGATTCAATTTTTATATTATACTGGATTCTAAATTCTAGGCTGCGTGCATGTGGTTCAGTGAATTATAGGATAAGTAAGCTGTCAAAAATCGTCCTGCCCGACCAACACGCAGTGTCGCCGCAGCGTCGGGAAAGTCCCGACATGTTGGAACCTCTCGCTTTGTGCTTACTTGAATCGTACAGCATTTGTTGTTCAGTCGCTTATGCGATTGTTACAATTGAAAATCATTCGGAGGGATGGGACACCTTAAGCGGAGGCTTCGGATACTCACCGTTCCGGAGATTTATGGACTGCGGTCGTTCCTTGCTGTGTCGAGAACCCCGCTGTCAAGCACCAAGGCAGGATATTCGCGTTTCGGACTCCGATGAAGTTCTATGCGCGCTCCGGGCCCCAGTCAGGCGGTTCTGTTCTTCACACATGCAAGTAGATTTCGTCCTAGTCTGGGTATATCGACAAAGTTCTTGTGCGAACGGACGAAACGCTTTAGGCGGTGTGTGTGTCTCTCTCCAATTCAAATCCAATTCCACCATACAAATTTCATCCCAGATAACTGCGAGCGTACAATACTGGCTAGACTGGCTGTCAAATGTTCTTGATAAATGACCCGAATATCAAAAGGCCTAGTACTAGCGCCTCTTGACCCGCACGGGTAGAACCTTCACGGGAGAATCATAGTCACCCGCCTTGGCATGAGATGACATTTGCCGCTGTGTCAGCCTTGCCTTGACGCTAGGGTCAAACGGTACTTGACTTGTTTGAGTGTTGAAGTTCAGGTCGGACTCCGCGGTGAAAATTGCCGATTTGAGAGATAAATAACGAGCGATTCATAAATCATGATAGTGAGTCCTGACACATCTTCGTCAAGACCATGGTATCTCCCCTCGGACAAATGCGTCTTCAATGCCTACTTTAAAAAAAATTGAAATCAATACATTTGAGCGCCTTGACACAGCCACTTGGCCAGTCATGACTCACAAGGCGGCTGTTTCTTATCCGACGTGTCCTCTCTACTTCATCCCGCCATCGTCCATAAGAGATTTGGCCTGAGATGTCTTACTATACCCCTAATCATGCCCATTCATCAAACCTCAGTCGATATCCTAGTACCCGACCTAGGCCATACGGCTATCAACAAGGCCCTCCAACCGGCGCTGATCCTCAGCTCTGGCAGTGGTTCTGCGCTGTTGATACTGATAGATCGGGCGCCCTCAGTGTTACTGAACTTCAAGATGCCCTGGTAAACGGTGAGCGATACTAGAATATTGTGGATATTGGTCGTGCTATAACTTTTGTGCTCTAGGAAATTGGACAAGTAAGTACATCTCTCGTTGATGTCATGGATGGTGCATTGTATTGTTGTATCGCGAAGTCTGGGTAAGACATCGAGAAGTGATCTTGCCGATGTGGACCTTTCTCCCTGGACCCATTCATCTCACTCCTTACTGAAAACATACTTAGAGTTTGATCTCGATACGGTGAAGATGCTCATGAACATCTTTGTGTGTATAACCTTACTCCAAGAGAGAAAAATTTATCACCCCACAGGATACCGATCGGAGTGGAACTATCGGCTTTAACGGTTCGTGACACACGAAACCCTCAAGTATCACTGACACCATTCGTATACAGAATTCGCTGGCTTGTGGAAATACATTGCTGAGTGGCAGCGAGTCTTCAAGCACTTCGATAGAGATCATTCTGGCTCCATCGAAGGACGTGAACTTGCGGAGGCCCTGCGCAGCTTTGGTTACAATCTGTCTCCTGTCTTGCTACAAGCACTGGAAATTAGATACGGTACTGAAATCCCTTATATGCAGACAAAAGTCTAAAATACCTCGGTAGCATCTGGCGCACCTAGTGCGTATGGTCCCCCTCCTGGTATTACTTTCGACCGCTTCGTGAGAGCGTGTGTTACGGTCAAGACTTTGACCGAGACATTCCAAAGGTACGACAAAAATCCATTCACGACACGCAGTTTTTGATGACCGCCCAGGGCGGATCATGATAATGACGGCTGGATTCAGCTCAATCATGAAGAGTTTTTGAAGGTGAGCAAGTGTGTATTTTCAGGTGGTGTGCGCGCATCTGACCTGGATGACACCGCAGATCGCGCTGAATGCCCCTTAAACCGCTTTTCATTAATGGATTCTGTATTCATGATCGCCATGTAATGTCTTCGGAGATTCGATGTTCTATCGAGAATATGTATACTACAACCCTCAGAATGGATGAACGAGCATCATCAAACATGTATTATTTCTGACAGAACATGAATTTTTTTAAACCTACACTGGTAGCTGGTGCTTCAATGGATGATGACCTCTCGTGAGCGCCGAATGGGTGCAGGAGGATGCTGCAAAAGCGACTACAAGCACTACCATTCGGAAGCCCTGTCGAGAATTGGCGCTGAGCGCTGCGAGGCAGTGTGAGCTGCGCAGCGAAATAGGAGGAAACAGAGTCTCGGGTGCAATTTGCGTACATTTGGACCAAGTTTGTCCCCTTGACTGCGGAACACCACTCATTGCTGCATTGCATCTCTTTCATTCGTTACGTTAACCATGGATTGCTTCTGTGAGGCGATATACACATTCTGTTGACCAGTCTCTCATACTTTTCTTTTCCTACAGTTTGTCTACCAATAATCGGTTCGTGGAATTTCTCGCCTGGTATGTCCGTGCGCACTGCGATATATAATTATCCCTTGCAGTTGGCTGCCCCACGAAAGTTAAGCCGGAAGGGAATCAAGAAGCCAGAATCTGCCCTCGGTGCCACAATGGTACGTCGTATGACTCTACTACTGTATATGTCCAATAATCAAAGCCTACAGCTGCAATGTTCTCCGCAAAGTCTAGGACCTGGTTCGAATTCTGCTTCGTTCCACTTATTCCTATGAACTCGAAGCACGTATGGATGTGCGGGATATGTCAGCTGCAGGCGAATGTGCAACCTGGGTAAGGGAATCATTAATCTACTACACTCGGATTGCCAACACCCTTCGGCAGGTGGGAACCTCAAATAGCTCAACCTGGGTACCAGCACCCGCAGGTGCAAGGCCAGTATGGGTCGCCTCAGAACGCTGGTTACGGGTACCAGCCCGCCTACATCCAACCTCAGAAGTGATACCTCGAATGTTGAGCGGTTGATTGACTGAGTCATGTATGATCTACTATCTTTTACATATGAATCACCTTGTATGAAGTGCTCTGCCTCTGTACTATACTTTTGGACGCTGTATCTACTTCAGTTATATTATATATGTACTTGTCCTTGCGATCGCCTTCGCCGCCGGAGCCGGAAGACCACAATTCCAATGGCTCCAATCAAAAATCCGCACACTCCGCATACCACACAGGTCGCGATAGTATCCCTCGTTTCTGTAGCTGAAGAACCGACACGTTGCATGGAAGGTGGGGGAGCAGGATCCGGTCCTCTAGACGATGTGAATTCTGCGAGGGCCGCCGATGGGTCCGTCGTATTCAATAATCCGATCATGGGTGGATCGGAGCTTGTTGTGCCCTGGTGTATGGCGTAGACATTCTGCATAAGGTATTAGGGACGTACGAAAGAAGAAAGGTCCGGGCGTACCCTCAAGAATACAGCCCCGAGAAGCCAGTCTCCAGAGTCGACCTACAGGATGAAATCAGAACATAACGAAAATTCGGTTCAGGATCACTCTCACTCCGTTGTTTACCTGTATACCGCCGGTACACCACCCGTCTTGCGCTTCATCTTTAGCCCAGCTGACATCCTCGGGATGGAGTGGATATTCTTTTGCGGTATCGGAATTGCCAAGTTTAATCCGCACGTCTACGGCCCTCTCGCACCTCACTTGCCACGTTTTTGTCTGCTGGTTGAACTTCGTGGACCCACCCGTACCGATCGCATCCCAGAACGCATCGACGTCTCCGGCTGGGCCTAAAATGAGAGTTGTCCCGGTGTCAAGCACAGCGATTGGTGACGATGCACCGCGGATCAGCGAACGGGAAAGAGGAAGGACCTGTGAGTTGATGGTGATTTCTTGGATAGGAAGCTTCCAGAAGTCATACTCGTCCGGTGTCGATGCGAAGACGGGCGTGAATACGAACTGGCTTGTGTCATTTGTCAGGGAGGAATCCTAATTCCCCGATAGTGAAAGATGAATCTGAATACGAGGACATCCTGCGACTCGTTTCGTCCTAACTTGAATGCAAAGAACCGGTGCTGATCATCAAAATGAGCAAATAGATTGTTCAAAACGGGTGTCCCAGACGTTATGGGGATGGAAGCGGCAAGTGGAAATGATAGGCCTAGAATACCCGAGTTTCCCGTGATAGAGAGACCAAGTCCACTCGTCTGGTTAGCCAAGGCTGCGTGACAATCGTTGAGTGTCTTAACAAGGATATGAAACAGGAGCCGCACCAAACGTTTGAGAGGATATTTCATACGGGCCGAGGGTCACAGTCTCTGTGCCTACCGTTCCCAGCACTGATCCCATCAGGTATGCCAACTTGAACGGCTGATCTGATAACGTCAGGGTGCTAGATGACGAGGACGAATATCTTGTGATGCCCTGGCAATCTGAATTGGTGCAATCTGATGAGACCACCCACTGTAAAATAGGAAATGGATTTCTAAGTGTATTGTGTCGAAAAAGATAACGGCGGCCTCACAAGGTCTGAGGAGCCGGTATCAAATGTAATCCAAAAATCTTGTCCCCCAATGCTATAGATGGCATGAAAGGGGACTGATGAGAAGACACTGGAATACGTACTCGGTACGAATCAAATATGCGCTAAGGGGCCATCAGTTAATTTACGCGGGTGAGACAACACGAGACCCACTACTCCTGGATACTAGCCACTGAAACATCACTGAGTAAGACAGATAGATCTTTATTAAGCCCACGTTGTAGGCGAAGCTGCATCCTTTGGGAACGGTGACTGCGGCTGTTCAGTCTGTTCATGTTAGTCGCCATATCGAGGGGACGGTAGGTAATGAGTCACGGTGATGAGTTAGATTGGAAGACGAAGAAGTTTCACTAACGATTACAAGTCCCCTTCAATGGATTTGATCGGTCGTGATTAGAATCTGACCTGAAGTAGTCTCAGTGGAAATTCACGATGGGACACGGTCAGGTTATGTCAATGTAAGCGAGTATGAATAAATATTTACTGTTGGCACTATCAGCAGCATAATAATGCAATGAAAAATATTGACTTTTCAACCGTACCCTATCTGACCGCCAATCAGTATTATGTACTGGAATGACTTCAAGAATGCCCGGCGAAAAACGCATCCTCACTAAGTAGGTAGTCCACAATGTTCACCGGACAAGCTCTGCATCAGTAATACAACTCCCCGCCTCTATAGTGAGCTCTAGGCGTTTACGCGGCGCGCGTATATGTTTTCAAATTTAAACTGCTTTACACCAAACATGCTCAACGAAGCAATGGCGAGCGCGCCAGAAGGTCATTTCCAGAACCAGGGGGAATTTTCTTGTCGCCCAGATAATTTGCAAGATGAAGTGCGGACCAAAGCTCCTGCCAGAACTACATTCGTTGTTGTGAGGCGGCGAAGGGACATCATTAAGTCTAAGAGTGGCGGTGCCCTGTTGTGTTGGCAGAGTCACGCCTCACACATCTCGCGTCACACAGCATCCAACCGCCAATTCACCTTGTCCCTTGTCTTTTCTTGCCTCGACTCCCTTAGTCGCCACCGCCGTCAACGTCTATCTCATCCTCGAGCTCACCATGCACACCAGCGAGTACGACTATCTTTTCAAACTTCTCCTCATCGGTGATTCTGGTGTTGGAAAGGTACGTTGCTACTGCGGCGACCAATGTCAAGTATCTTCTGACCTCTTGTCGTTCAACAGTCTTGTCTCCTCCTCCGTTTCGCAGACGACACGTATACAGAGAGTTACATCAGCACTATTGGTGTTGACTTCAAGATCCGAACTATTGAGCTCGAAGGCAAGACCGTCAAGCTGCAAATTGTGAGTTGGATGCCCTCCACGACTTCCCTCATTTGGAGTGCTGCCGAAAGACTGTGCACTGGAATGCGCCAGTGCAGTCGGCCTGCTTTCCTTTGCGGAGTCACCTGATTCATTTGAGCCCGTTTTTATTGTTTCCTGCGTCATTGACTTGTTGCTCACATACCTTTCATATACGTGTTATAGTGGGACACTGCAGGTATGTTCATCCGCTAGCTTCTTTGCAATGGTGGGCTGATGTGCGAGAAGGCCAGGAGCGTTTCCGCACCATCACGTCCTCCTACTATAGAGGCGCTCACGGTATCATCGTTGTCTACGACGTTACCGATAACGGTGGGAATACTTTTCTCAAATGCCGACTTGAATACTCACTCTGACATCAAGACACTTTTACGAACGTTAAGCAATGGCTACAGGAGATAGACCGGTACGCCTCTGAGGGCGTCAATAAGCTACTGGTTGGGAACAAGAGTGATCTCACCAGCAAGAAGGTGGTAGAGTACAGTGTAGCGAAGGCAAGTATATTTGGTTACAATTGGTGCTGGGGATTTAACCGTTTTATCAGGAATTTGCCGACCAGCTCAGTATTCCTTTCTTGGAGACGTCAGCAAAGAATGCGACAAACGTCGAGCAAGCGTTTTTGACGATGGCGAAGCAGATCAAGGATAGGTGGGCAAGATTTATCGCCATAAAATTCATGTGGCTCACCTGAGCATTTAAGGATGGGATCGACCTCGACGCCCGCAGGTGGTGCCAAATCGTCAACGGTTACTCCGGGGCAATCTGTTCAGCAACAGCCGTCAGGCTCGTGCTGCTGAAGGGGCGTTGTAATTGGCTTGGGGTGGGGTCGTGTCATGCCGGTTGTACGCCCTTGTAATTTCTCGCGGCTGCAAGATTAGTATGACGACCCAGTACTCAGGGGCGGTTATCTTAACATATTCCCCTTCACATATCATCTGCTACTTTGGACACATTCTGATCAGTGCGCTTTATCGATGTTCCTTTTCCTAATTCTAGGCTTTTCTGCTCTTATCTTGCTTGATGCTGAGAAACATGAGGGCATGAGTTTCCTCCTATCTCCCTTTGCGTACTAATCAAAAGCTGCTTGTTGCCTGACCCCACCGATCGTCATGGAAGGATGAATAAATGTCATCATATACGGCAAGCTGCCATCCCCATTAGATTTATCCAATTCTTGGGGTGACTCACTGATCACATCCATATCGGTCGAATTGGGCTGGCAAGCTGGTCGACGGATTAATGAAGATTAATGACCATCGATAAGTGAGAGGTATATATTCCTACCTCCCGCGCTCGAATTCTCCACTCGAATTCTCCATTCAAGTGTACAATGTCTACCCGCAAGAACCTCGGCACCCCTCGACAGGTTCTCACGAACTCGTTCGTAATATCCAAGCTCCCTAAGACGCAATATTGGCAGTACGAAGGTAAGTCCCTATATGTCTAGTACAACGATGAAGCGGTTGATCCTCTATAGTCGGTGAGTGCTTTGCCCCAGTGGTCAACAATGGCTTCTCACCCGAATTTAGCGATCACCGGGGCCGTCGGAGTGTTGAAGAATCCTCGGAGACGGATAGAGGTGATGGAGAGACTTCAAAATCACACCAACGCTAGATTGTTCACTCCTCGCTGTATCTACGACGGCGCTGTGATTCTGTATTCAACCCACGAGCTTCAATTGGCTGGCGGTGATTCCCAGACGGTGAGTGTCAGGGTGATATCATATGAACTGCTGATCAATGTCTTTTGATTGCGGGTATCTAGTTCGATGTCAACATGTCCGATAAACCGCGACTGGATGGGTCTGCCCCAACACGCGGTGCACTTCAAGTGTCGCTGAAGAAAGTCTCCGCGGAAACGATCAACTTTAAGTACGTTCTTCCGTCGAGCGAGTTTTCTCAGTTCCCTCTCACCGTCGAATTAGCGCTTTGCAGGATTTTATCGATGGACGACAGATGAAACAGACGGCTCAAGTCCTCACCTGCTATAAACGTACTTCAGCTGATCCTCCGCCAGGCACCGAATTTGTACGTCTCGCTTTTATCAGTTATTTAGTAGAAACGCTCATTTTTCCTTTGCAGAAAATATCCAAACAATACCCGCGCATTCTTCACCAAAGACGCCGGCATACAGGGCATTGGTGGAGGCTTAGAGTTATGGCGCGGATACTTCCAGTAAGTCGATATCTCTGCGGCAACGTATATTTGAGTGACCTAAAGTTATTAGGAGCGTTCGCCCAACCATCGAAAAAGTGTTGGTGAACATTGACGTGTCGACGGCCGTCATGTAAGCAAGCTCACCTTATTTGCTACGCGTCAGCACTCATATCCGTCTCAGGTTCAAGGAGGGTAGTTTCCAATCCGTTGCTCTTGATGTTTTGAAAGCAGGTGACGTTCGCGCGCTGGACCTCCGCCCAGATTCGGCCCAATTTCGACAATTGAAAAGTTTCTTCAAAGGCGTTTTCGTCACCCTCGTCCACCGACCGGGTCACAAAAAAATTCGAGGCCTAGTTCATAACGCCGGCAATTATCAGTTCGATAACACGACGGTCAAGGTGAGTTTCGACGTGGACATACTGGTAACTACTTTGCTCACAAGGGTGTAGGAGTACTTCAAGAAGGTTCATGGTTGCACACTCCGTTATCCAAACATTATTGGTGTACAGGTGGGCTCGAAGGACCGCGACGAGGTGATACCCGCGGAGATGTGTATTATTGCGCCCAATCAACGATACACTCGCAAACTTCCTGCCGAATTCTCGTCATTGATGGTAAAGTTTGCGTCCAAGAATCCCGGGGAACGTCTGGCGCTCATCAGCGCTGGTATTAATAATTCGATCACGACCGACCAGCGCTCTGTGAGTGATACATTCATCTTTTCATTGCTTTAATTTGACTGTTTGTGCAGGCGCTCGACTACCAGAACTCGCCGTTCATGCAGGACGCTGGCATTACAGTTCTGCCCGACCCGATTTCTGTCAACGGGCGTATCCTCCCAACGCCGTCAATTTACTACGGAAATCTCTCCAGCAGCAGTTCAGTAGTAAGTCCAAGACGCCACAACGCATGTACAGCAATGATATCTAATCTTTAACCTACAGGTTCCGCGAGACGGTTCCTGGAACATGATTAATCAAACTTTTCATGAACCGAAGAGTTTGACAGCCTGGGCGATCGTGAATTACACACGAGTCAACGACAACACCATCAATCGGTTCGTCGGCACGTTGATCAACGCCTGCAAAAAACTCGGTACGATAACTCTTTCTCTTCGACGGTTTGAAACTAACCTGATCTTTCATAGGCATGAGTAAATCGGATGCTCAATTTGATTTTTAGCTGCTGATCGTTGCTTGCCAGATGTATCCCCGCCTGTCACGAGTCAATCAGGTTCCGGCGCGTCATCCGTCGTAAAGGCAATTGATACATTGATTCGACTATCGCACATGCACTCATCTCAAGCAGGACATGCGGTCCATCGGACAAGACGTCAACAACAAGACGAAAAGATTACCAGAGCTTGTGCTGGCTATCCTTCCAGTAAGCTCTGCGGATATTTATATGGTTATCAAACAATTCGGCGACGTTCACGCTGGTGTATGCACTCTTTCTTATCCTTGATTCGAATCATACTCACATCTTGTTTAGGTGCCAACGCAATGTGTCGTAAGCTATGTCCCAGTTGTTCGTGCCTCGATTATAATCCTCTCCATCTAGCGAGAGAACAAGATCGCGAAGGCCAACGACCAATACTGCGCGAATCTGGGGATGAAGTATGACGATCTCGGTCCCGTTATGCGCCACTAACACATTTGGTAGAATTAATGCGAAACTCGGAGGCGTCAATTCGCTTCCAAGGTCAGGTGCGTTAGAGAAGCTCACCAATGCTCCTTTTATGATCATGGGTATGTATCGTCTTTTTGGTCTCGAGACCCATCGATGGCTGGTTCATCCTGCCTCAGGTGCCGATGTGGGGCATCCCGCACCTGGCATGAAGAATCAGCCCTCTGTGGCAAGTCTCGTTTGGTCGTACGATCGGTATGCTGTGAAGTATGAGGCTATGATGTCCATCCAACACCCCCGGCAAGAGAAAATTGACGAGTTGAAGTCGTTGGTTTATGTGAGTGGTATTACGTCTACTACGTTTTTACATGGTCTAACTATCACAAGCGAGCGATCGAGGAATTCGGCTGATCGTAACAAGGCCGCGCCAGTGCGGATTATCTTTTTCCGCGACGGCCTTTCCGAGGGAGAATACAGCATCGTTGGGAAGGATGAAATCGAGGATATTGAAGGTGAGTTACCAAGTCCAGCGACGGCCATTACTTTGTTCAACCATGTTCTACTAGGAGCGATCGAAGACATCTGGCGCGACAAGAAGTTGAAGATGGATAAACCAGAATTGACATTCATCGTCGTAGGCAAACGGTGAGTCTGCAATCCATTCTAACTTGTGCTGTTGTCGCTCATCCACGCTCAAGACACCACGTCCGGTTCTTCCCGAAGAGCAGGTATGAAATTTCTTCAGTTACTTCTACTCTACTTGATCATGGACACTTTTCTAGGAACGAAGCGGACAGGTCTGGAAACTGCCCCGCAGGGTTCGTCGCTGATAAGGGTGTCGGCAACCCTGCCGTACGCGACTTTTACCTCCAGTCGCACGGAGGCATTCTCGGAAGTACGTTCTTCATCAGTACATTTTCTCGATCGCTGATTGTTTGTAAAGCGAGCAGACCAAGCCACTATATCACGCTCCGGGACGACATTTATAAAAACAACACCGACGAGTAAATCCGCATCTCCTCGTTGTATCGTATAACCCCCTCACCTTGTTTCAGTTTGCAGGAACTTGCGTTCACGCTCTGCCACGCATACGCTCGCGCGACCCGTTCGGTATCGATTCCTGCGCCTGTGTATTGTGAGTCATATATACCACGTAACGCCGTGGACTGGTTCTAACACACTTCCCTCGCATACAGATGCTGATGCAAGTACCACATCTGTCGTGCCCAGTTATTGTGCTCACTCTTCATTCTTTGATAGATCGTCTGTTCGCGTGGCGCGTTCCATTTTAACCCCGCTATGGGTTACGACGCTGCCACCATTTCTAGCGACGAGGACGCCTTTGACCTCGACCGCTGGAGGAAGAGCTTCAAAGACAGGCACTCGAACCTGGCTAAAAAGATGCATTTCATGTGATAGGCTTGGCAGTGATACTTTTGTTCTCTTGAATTACTGTTTGCATGCTCGTTTTGGTGTGTACGAATACATTGTTGAGGTGTACTAAATACGTGTAGGATGGTATGATACGTTACGTCGTTTGATTGAAAGCAAAGACCTGTTTCTCGCTTGTTCTGTTTTCCCCGCGTGTATGTTAGCATGGTGCAGTACGTTACATGGAAAGCCAAGACCTATTTCTCGCCGCTCTCTTCCCCGCGTGTATAGTACTTCCTACCAGGGCCTCGACGCGGTCGTCTGTTCCTGTACCAATTAGTTAGACAGAGTCCCGCAGTCTATCGGACGGATCTACATACAGACTCCTCCAAGACAACCTGACGTGACATGTCAATGACAGGTTCATATTGAAATCGTAATGCATCCATTAATCTCAGAATTGCATTACGATGTCAATCCAATACGATGAATACTACTAGGAGGGCTTTATCAGTCCGCGTGATATAGCACTCCCAATAGAGTCGTGGGTTGTGATAGTGGTAGATGGACTAGGTACGGTCTGGGTGATTTTTGGTCCTTGGAGTTGCGTGGACTACCGTGATGGTCTGGTTTGTTGTTTCTCTTGGTTGACGGGAAGGAAAGAGTCGTTTCCCTTATCTCGGCAATCAAGACGTACAGCAATAGTGAGGTTGGCATCAGCAACAGTGGCTGAAATTTCACGTAGTTTAAGTGTTAGAAACCAATTCAGTTCACCTGAGACTATACCAAATAGGGAATGTCAAGGATCGTTCAACGATAGGTTTTCGACGGGTCCAAACTCTGATGCTGGGACAAGAGAGTTCAAGCAGGTCATGTACATAAGTCACGTCCTAGGACAAAGCGGACTTCTAAAACAGATGGGAAGGCCCAAGTATGTCATAGCACATAAACGTTCAGTGAACGTGTACTGAGACCTTGAATGATGGAAGGACGACTGGCCAAGCCTAAGCCTCGCATACGACTCATTCTGCAGCGATCTTGCCGTCGACATGCATGTGCATTCTATGTGATATACATACACCTATAAGTTTACCTCCTCCTACACAATCGCTTGATTGTCTCCTTTTAAAAAAGGTTTTATTTTCACCACCCGCGGGAAGCAAGTCTGCCCCCTTTTAAATTTTCATCGCTGAACGCACGAACAATCAACATCAAAATATGTAAAGGCAAATATAAACGTACATCGTGAGACCGACCATAGCAGCACCTAGATCTTCAGAGACCTGTCATTTGACGTTAGCGTGAAACAGTGCATGGAGAGATAAGGACACGCACTTCTGCGAGCATCTTTGGGTTATTATGATGAGTCACCTGGCGGAGACGTGTCAGTTTCATGATGATTTTTGAAGGAGATAAGATACCGCTTGTACGATCGCTCGCGCCCGTTTGGCCGGGTCACCAGACTGTATAGATAGTGAATATCAATTAGCCATCACACATGCGTTCATTGATAACTCACGTGGAAAACGCCGGAACCAACAAAAACTATTAACCGCATGAACATGAAAAACGTTTCGCCAAGGGGTGGATTGGACTCACTTCCATCACAGCCTAGTTGCATCATAAGCGCTGCATCAGCTACAAGGAGGCGTCAGGTTTTGCCAATTCCCAACAAGGACGCACATACCCGGGGTGGCGATACCCCCCGCAGCGAAATTGACGACCGGCAACCGTTTCAGCCGCGCTGTCTCCTTCAAGAGGTGAAACGGAGCTTGTATCTCCTTTGCATACGCAAACAGCTCTTCTTCGCTCATGACGCTAGCTTTTCGGATCTCGCTCATCATTGAACGTTGGTGTCGTACCGCCTCGACGACGTTACCGGTCCCTGCTTCGCCTTTTGTACGGATGAAAGCTGCACCTTCTGAGATGCGGCGTAGGGCTTCGCCTAGGTTGCGTGCACCGCATACGAAGGGGACTTTGAAATTGTGTTTGTTGATGTGGTGTTCTTCGTCTGCGGGGGTAAGGACTTCGGATTCGTCGATGTAGTCTATGCCGATGGCTTGGAGGATCTGGCGATGCGAACATAAATAGAATGGATGGCATGGGATTATGGCTGGGACTCGCCTGCGCTTCTACGAAATGGCCGATGCGGACTTTTGCCATGACTGGGATTGTGACTGCATCGACGATGGACTTGATCATGGCGGGGTCGCTCTGTAGGAGGTCAACGATCAGTGCATCAGAGGAGGGGAACGGGTACCATGCGTGAAACGCCCCCCTCTGCACGGATATCAGCAGGAACGCGCTCGAGGGCCATGACAGCACATGCCCCTGCCTCTTCGGCAATGCGTGCCTGAAAGGGGCCAAGTTGAGTGAGAAAGTCAGGGGTGGAAGTGAATTCGCACCTGGTCTGGGTTGATAACATCCATGATGACACCTCCCTGTGTGGATGAGAGCGGTAACTATGGATTGAGAGATGCAAGTACCTTGAGCATTTGAGCCAAACCAGATTTAACCTGGGAATGGTGAGTTTTTTGATTGATATTTGTGGGATTAGTTTGCGTACGCCGAAAGTTCCTAGTTTGCTATTTACTCCATCGCGTTGTGCTGAGCGAGGGGGTGCTGTTGTGGCGGGTTGAGGGCCATTTTGGATTGGGGTTGTGGACATTGTAGGGTAGAAAGGAGGGATGGAGCTCTGAGTTTTTTGAAAATTGGATTGTCGATCTTGACTCACCTTACGATTCGCGCATTCCCGAAAGGGACGGAGTTGATGTGAAAAATACGAGTAAATAAGCTCAAGCTTGCTGCAGAGGTATTGAAACATGAAACTATCGAGCTAAGTAACTATGGGAGAGGGGGCGTGGGGATGGGACGGGTCAAAAACCCTTGTTGTTGAGCCAATTGATCACTTCATTTTTCCAATGACCACCTGAGAGGACAAGGTGCTTTTGTGCCACGACTTGTACTTTTAGTCTATTGGCCTCGGGAGTACCTTGCTTGAAGAGTGATTGATTAATATCGTTGGCAAGAGACTGGGTGGGTGGATGGATGGTAAGTGAGTGGCAGGTAGTAATGATGAAATGATAATCACGTTTAATTGACCATGCACGTTCCTGATTGATACTTGGTATTTTGTACCACCGTTACGAATATCCGTGTAGACAGGTAAAGAGCCACGAGTATTGCGGCGTATAAAGTATGGGTAAGTACGTCTGATGAGGACGTTTGAGGTCATGGTTTGAAACAAAAATTGTCACAATAGCGGAATTTGAAATAAATGATAAGCCAGACGTTGAACAGCAGAACAAAACTGAATTGGTTAATCAGGTCTCTCCATTTCTGGTTTCACTGCTGTGATGTGGCCTTACGTAGTTATTCCTCTCGCTTCTTATAAGACCCACTCGACACTCCTTCTCACCCATCATCATGTCTTGTCTTGACCCACTCTCATCTGACTGCTGGTCAGTTGATCTATTCCAATCCCCTCTAGACGACTGGTGGTCTTTATCACAAGAATTATCTTTCCCTCCTAGGTCAAAACAGCACTTACGCCCATTTGACTGTGAGCCACCTTTCATCCCTCGTAAATTCTCCTAATTAATAAATCTCAAAGTTACTCCCTCTCCAAGTTCAGAAACTTCATCCTCTTTCTATCTATCACCCTCTCCAGAACCACTCCCAATTCGTGTAGTCTGCAATGTCCCTCTCCTAGCACCACGTCCACTTCCATATCACTCTCCAACTTTCCTCCAATTCGATCTTCCAGATCCAGACGAGGACTTGTCTCACCCACCCTACACACACAGACCCTCTAAACGAAAACGTGAAGACGACGACCATCACTCTGACAATCTGCGCTTAAAACGCCATGCTGGCGTACAACGCTGGGCAGCCGGTGTACACCGCCAAGCTTACTCTGCCAAACAGGGTCGTTCTCACGTATATTCCGCCACCCGGCGTGATCGCTTACGATGAAAGATCCCCCCCCCGTCTTTAGGGGTATTAAATATCTTCCTTTCACCGCGCATTTCGCTTTTGGTTAGTCAATATCTCTCTCTCCGTGGACAATGCTCTTTCTTACATCTTCATCTCCAGGCCTATTTTTGCCACTTGTTCCTGCCACTTATTTTGCCGCCCCACCGCGCTTCTATCATTACGCAGCTTAATTCGCACACACCTTGACTTTCCCCTCACCGCAACTTACTTTCTTATTTACCAGCATTAACTCCACACTGTACACTATTACATAGCATAGTGGAATCATAGCATATGATCGCCTCATGGCACAACACAATTACCGTTTTATCCAACTTCCACTCCTGACATCAATCCCACTTCCCGCATAACGCGCATGCCGCCTTCATCACCTTCATTTCCGTACGTTCCACTCAGCGCGTCCCTGACGTACACTCCCGGCGAATATACATAGTCTGTCGCTGTACGTCACCATCACACCACTAGCTCCAAACACATCCTTTCTACTAGTATGCTCCACCCACCACGCACAGGGTTCCAATATTGCGCTCTCCATAACGTCTCTAAAAAGAAACCAGAAGCCCTCCGGCACCATTAAAAGCGTATTATTAGTATCAACACCGGAAACTCATTTATGTAAAACGGAGCCGCCAAATTCAAATCGCAGCTAGCGGTCTAGGGCTGATGGAAACTCTGCATCCATATCCAAGAACCCCGCCGCAGCTTTCTTGCGGTGATTTTCAGCATGCTCGCGCCTAGTCTGAGCTGCGCGTAGGTCTATACTCGTGAGATCTAATTCGTGAAGTGCCCGCCGGACATTTTTGGAGATCTGGATGTGTTCGGATGCTGCGCGTGTGTAGCTGGCTTCCATGATTTCGATTTGGGTGAGCTGGGAAGATTATTAGGATTGTAGGGAAGTGTAGGAACGTAAGAGTTACCTCTGCTTCATATTTTGGGCCTAGTTTTTCTTTGAGAGTTGGGCGCCTTGTAAAGGGGGGTAGGAAGGGAGCTGTGGGTGGTCTGGGAATTGAAGCGGGGGGTTCGTCGGGTATGGGTTGTTTGAGAGATTGTGCGGGGGATGATGGTGTAGGGGGTGTTTTGATATGGGTGTTAGGGGAGTGGGAGGGTGGATCAGGAGACCGGTCGCGCATCTTAAAGTCCCCTTCCGCATCTTGGTCAGTCTCTTCCTTGGCTTTTAAGCTTGATGCTGGAGAGCGTGCAGTCATCCGAGACTGGCTCGATTTTGAGATGAACATGATGTAGGTCATCGTTAGGTTCAGCTTTGACACGCGGGAGAGCTAGGAATATTAGCTAGGTGGCTCATCTGGGGCGCGAAAGCGACCGATGTGAGTGCGCTGGGGAAGCCAAGAGACGCGTTTCATCTTGCGTGGGCTCGGGCTTGACATCTCTGGACAAGGAGCGCCTTGATGGGCGGGGACTAGGACTCTGTCGCCTGTCATCACTGTGGTGTTCTGAATAGTGACTTCGAGGCACTGATGGTGGACGGGGAGAAGGCTCATGCTTCACCGGATCTCTCGACGAATGCCGATGAATGCTGCTGTCAGGAGAGGGCGGCCTGCTGTATCGTCGGGGTGAGTATGACCGACGAGGAGACTTCATTGGCGAATACCGCTCCCGAGGACGCTCATTCGAATCTACAAACAAAACAATTAAAAATCAACACTTTCAGATTCAGATGCCATACCTCGACGCGGAGAATACGGCTGTCTATGCCCACTCGCCCTATCATCAAACCTCCGTCTCTCATGATAATTCCTATCATACTCCCGACTCCTTCCCCGAACTCCATTTCCACTTCCATAATCCCTATCTCGTTCCGAATCACGCCCTCGCCAACTCCCTCCCCCATGATACCCATTCCCATTCCCTCTATACGGCGACGCCCGACCCCTACCCCTACCCCGCCCCCTCCCAGGATACTCATCACGCGTAACCCAAGCCCTATCATCCCTCCGATCCGAGGCCCTTCTCATACTATCAGGTTCCCATCCCCTCTCCCTCTCCCCTCTTAGACTAGAACGCTCGTCTCGGTGGTAGTAATCCCGGTGATTGTCATTTCTGGAAGGTGAAGTGTATGTGTCTCTTCCTCGGGGGGATCGGAGTGGGGAGCGGGAAGGGTGGTAGTTTCGGTCTCGTGAGGAATGTCGGTCGCGGTCTCTGTCGTCGCGTCTGGGACGGTAATGGTCTGGTGCGGCCATGGGCACTGGGCGTCCTACATAACGCCTGTCCTCTGTAGGCTCAGGCCAGGTGTTTGGTGTTCTGCTGATATCTGGTTTGGGAGGTAGACCGCTCATGGAATGTTGTATCAAGTACGATGGACTTGTCACTTTGGATTGGATTGGAAAGGTTGGGTAAGCGCCGCGGAGATTGAATTTATGAGTTGGTATTGTCGGACTGCTTGTGGACTTTAGACTTGGTACAGATATCAACGACACTATAGATTTGGCTAGGGGAGACGACCAGACATGCCTGCTGATCTGGTCCCGCTAGCCTCGCCATCCCAAATAGAACGCACGCCTTCTAGAGAGGACGGTATTCCTGAAGACTTGGAAGAAGATCTGAGAGCATTCGGTTGCAAACTCATCCACGAAGCTGGTATATTGCTGAAACAGTACGTCCAGTGCAGCGTCTACAGTCCATTCTCAATTATTGAACTTCTGGACAGGAAACAAGTCGCTGTGGCTACAGCCCAAATTCTGTTCCAGCGGTTCTGGTATGCGACTTCTATGAAACAATTCGGTATCGGGGTGAGTCTTACAACATCAATGTCTTGCTTTAATTTTGGACAGGAACCAATATTCATCACACGTACACAGGACATTGGAATGGGAGCTCTATACCTCGCATCAAAACTAGAAGAATGCCCGCTTCGCATGCGCGACCTCATCAACATATACGACCTCCTCCTCCAACGCACCACACACACCCTCTCCTCCTCCACACCCTCCTCATCACCATCCTTGGCAAAGGGCAAAGATACCTTCAAATACGCCCCCATGTCCTACTTCGGCAACACCTTCTACGACCTCAAAGACGCTTTGGTCGTAGCTGAGATGCAGATCCTCAAGAGACTGGGGTTTAACGTCCATGTAGTGTTGCCGTATGGAACCCTTATAAATTATTTGCGCGTTTTGGGGTTGACGAGTCGGAAGGATGCTTGTGCGAGAGCTTGGGGGTACCTCAACGATGCGTGAGTACAATTCTTCTTATGTTGGACTGCATCACCCTCTGAACGATGGACGGTACATATAGCCTACAAACCCCAGTATACGCATTATACGCAGTCCCAACCATAGTCAGCGCCGCCATCCTCCTCACTTCTCGTCAACTAGACATTTCCTTGCCTTCTTCGCCGCCGAATTGCTGGTGGGACCTCTTTGATGCGCCTTGGGAGGACGTGTGGAGCGTTTGTGGGTGCATTATGCATTTGTATCGGGATAGGACGGGTGAGGATAGGATGAGGGTGTTGAGGTTGGTGAGTAAGAAGGATGTGAGGGGGTGGTTGGAGGAGAATGTGAATGCGGGTGTTGGTGTGAGGACTTGATGCGGACTGTGGTTCCAAGGGGTTTTTCGTCGTGCCAGTCGCAGATCTCGTTGCAGGAGTACGCTCCGAGATGCACTTCTGTGCATCCATCAATTCGTTGGACATCGTGGCATCGGCATCGGTTCCGTGCCACACGACAGCTCAGATCTCAGAAGCGGGCTTCATTTCGTTCGAGGATGCCATGATATACCCAGGGCTTGCTCTTCTTGCCCTTCTTCGTTCCTCCCTGCCCTCCGATTGATCGCCCGTGTACGCTTCATCTCTACATTCGAGAATCCTCCAGTCCCGCCTCGATTAGCGTCACACCCCCTGTATTTGAAGACTTTGTTTCGAATCGATGCATGTTTGAGCTGCATTTCCGTGTCCCAATCGATATCAATTTTGGTCCCGTCTCACTCGTAAGAGGGAGGGGGTGATTGGAGAAGAATGCTCTTGTGCGATCTTGAAGGGTTTGCGAGTCACGCTTCAATCCATGAGGCTTCTAAAGTTCTGGTTCTGGTTCACCAGTCGCAGATCTCGCTGCAGTACGTCCAAGATTGGTTCAGGATGCAACGTCTGTACATCCGTCCGTCAATTTCCTCGGTCATCGTGGTATCGGTCCCCCTACACAACGGCTCGGAAGCGTGTTCGGTCGAGGACGCGCGCAATATATACCCAGGGCTTGTTCTTCTTGCTCGTCTTTGTTTCCCCCATGGAGCCCCTGCATCCGATCGATCGCCCGCGTACGCTTCATCGCTACATTCGAGAATCCTCCAGTTCCGCCTCGATTAGCGTTACACCCCTGTATTTGAAGACTTTGTTTTGAATCGATGCATGTTTTTCAGTCGCAAATCTCGCTGCAGCAGTAGCGTCGAAACTGCATTTCTGTGCGTCCATCAATATCAATTCTGGCAGCATCTGTCCCGTCTCACTCGACGACGTCTCGTTTGGAGTTGGTTTGGACTAGCTTGTGGAAGATGGCCTTGACATCATCTCGCGGAGATACTGTTGGGTGGAGACCTTAACTGGGATGGCTCGACATCATAATCAAAGGAACGACTGCCTAGGGGAAATTAACTCGACATATACTCAGGCCCTCTCCTCCTTCCTTGTGGCCACCTTCATGCCATTCTTTGCTTCCTTCCATAGAGCTCCTCCACTCCGTCACCCGCCCATGCGTGGATGTTCATCCAGATGTTATGAACTCATCCGCACGTCAGTTCTACGTCATTAGCACTCCACACATGTATTTAAGGATTTTGTTTCAAATCATCATCGTATGTTCTAGTGCTCGAGGACCGTCTGGGAATGCTCAGGGGATGCAGGGAGCTCCTTCCAGCGGAACAGTTCATGATTAGCATTGAGTCTTCCCAACCGTATCCGATTGGCAGAACGGCGGTCCATCACTGCCAGCTTTTTTTGGTTTGTTGTCGTGCGTAGCCCGTGTACGCCCACTCCAACCCACTAACCAATCCCGTTGTGGCAGGCTTCTATGGACTTGTGAGTGAGGCTAACTTGATTGGCATATTTCATTGTTCTCGACTCTGGCAGCAATCAATTTGCTGTCGGGCCAACGCGAGATGGAGAAAGAAGTGATGACGGTCGATCGTATGCCGACATCAATGATCTTTTTTTTTTTTTTTTTCCTTTTCCTCGTTGAAGGAAGTCTCGGGAAGGAATAAAAACAAATTTTCATTTCTCATAGCCTATGGTTTGGAACTCAGACAGCTCTGGTACGCACCGAGGATCAGGGAAGTAAATCTATGTCTTCTAGAGCAAAGACACGTCTCCTGATAAGCTGACTTGATCAGCTGCTACTCCGTCGGAAAGGGTTGACAGCTTTGACACTTGTTGTTTCAAACCACCAACACGCCCAGGCCAATTACCGAAAGTATGACTATATACACCGGGGGATGCACTTCCCGGTGAAGGTCACCGCCCATACACCTAAAAGGAGCCAGAACTGCTCATGTGCACGACACTAGCACTGGTAGGGTTGAAATTATTGACCTTCTGCCATCTTGCATATTGACGTCGGTTATGAATTATAGTATCATAAAGCCTACGTCACTCAACAAATCACCGGCAAATTCAACGAGGCATCACAGTGTTCTCGTGGAGTGTGACCAAATATTAATATTCATGTACAGTGCACAGGATCAACAGCCTCGGGTTCGAGCGGCCGCATTGAAGCCCACCCGGAAAGAACGAGTACCGGAGCGCCCGAAGCGGTTTTATTGCTCCAGAAAAGAATGCCGTACGCAGTACTCACATATCCATTCAGGACTTAGCATACTCTCCGTCGACTCGCACCGTGACAGAAAAATGACCAGAGCATTTTGATAATCCCGCGCCCGATTGCCTATCACAAACCGATATCATGGCTGCTCAGAATTTCTCAAGTCCAGAAGGCAGCCGTAAAGCAATGGTCTTCCTGTTTTCCTTGGTCTGTGGTATGTCGAGAACACCCGGGGCCAATTATCTCCTGGAATGTGACTCGGTCTATGGTAATACGTCGAGAACCATCCCGGGGCCAGTTATCTCGCTGGGCAGGGAAGTTCAGAAGGTTTGCAGCCCGCGCGCCACGGTATCGGGCATTCTGACAAATAACCCAGATAAACCCGTCGAGCCTCAAACGCCGAAGAAAGTCGTCCTACCTCCCGTCTCCAGCTGGTATGACCCTGGGAGTACGACACTTTCTAGACGGCCGAGGCGTCTCGAACGTACTTGAAACTTGAAGGTCTAGCTCAATAGGAACTCGCCAGCTCAAATATCACCCAGTATAACGGACACGGCAAATATAGTACTATACAGTATATCTTGGAATGTACTGTACACCATAGGGTGTCGCCCCAACGGACAATAAACAACGATTCAAAAAATAATCACCCATGGCTGAACTGGAATTTCTAACACTGGTGCCGCTGCAAGATGATGGGACCGCCAGAATGAAGCGGCTGACTAAAAAAATATTATTATGGGATAATCGAGGACATGAGATAGTCGTATTCCATCGGCATCGGAGTCATCGTCGTGTTGAGCGACAGTGGACAATATTACTGATGGCGGTGTGATGAGAAACTGTGCTTTGCAAGGTTTCACGCAAATTCACTTGCCGAGGGAGGCAGTTCCGGTCAGAGGTCGATCGCAGCAAAGACTCGGAGCTGAGAACCATGAGCACTTGCAAAAGGTATTATATATGGTTCAGAAATGTGGCAGTGAAGAATACAGACTCGAAAGTCCAGGAAGGATTAAGGCGAGGGTGAACGCAGCAGACAGTCGTGACAACTTTGTTACTCAAAGTTCCGTCAGGAATGTGAATGGAGCTGATAGTGGACTAGCGCTTCCTCTTCCCCCCGCACCGACGAGAAGGCTCCTCGGCCATGGCTGGAGAAAATGGGGAACGAGGCGACAGATGCTGATGAAGATGTACGATCCTACCCGGATCGACGAGGTCGAAGAGCAGGATCCTGGACCACCGCTGGAGAAGCAGGGGGAGGAAGTTTTGACGAGACAACAGATGGTGGTGATGAAGATGCAGGAGGTGATATCGGAAAGTTCTCAATGTTATTCAGGCCCAGTTTGATGATCTGGAAATTTTGGTGATGAGAGACGTCCCTTCCGTTCCTCATTGCATCTCTAATTGCCTTGCGCCACTCTTCAAGGAAGGGACGGCACACTTTAAAGTACGGCGCCGGTTCGTAAGTTGGACTTGTCTGCTGAAAGTCTTCCTTCAATAAACCGCTGGTGTAGATACCAATCCGATCGTCCAATGTCGCAAGGCCGTCGTTCCATCTGCGGGTGTTGACAGAGGGCTGTCCTTCGTCCGTTAATGAGCCCCCGGACCCCCCATATTTAGCGACAAACTCGAGGAAAATGCAAAACAGTGACTCCAGGTCGTCGGAGGTCTTGCGGTCAATCAACTCCGGAGTCGGATTATCCCGCATGAGCTTGAGAAGGCACCAGGATATGCATGGTAAAGTGGCCTTTGAACCGTGATATCAAAAGCGAGCACCACCAAAAATGTCAACCTCGAACTCGCGGTACCATGCAAACCTACTACTCGGCTATTTTCGACGAATTTCGCGTGGTCAAAGTCAAGCAAGTAGCCTTTTCCTTCGTGGATGTCGATATTGTTAGGGCTAATGTCTCCATGTAAAACATTCCGCTCGGTGACCATTGTTTTGTGGGCTACAAGGATTTGTCATTACCAAGAATGTCGACAACCACTGGCACACGACGAACTCACCGACCACAAGGGCAAGAAAAACCTTGACCAGTTCGGCGACGGACGTGAAGCTCGTTAGCGATTCTCCGCATAGGGTCAAAAGTATGCGGCGGTGATTTTGTTGACGGATATCGGCTGATTTGGAAGGTGACCACGAAGGTGGTCACGAATCTTCGACGTGGAGTCACTACACCCATCATACTGGACGTCCCAGTGTCCCACGAGCCGGACGACATTTGAAACACCTTCGACCGCCTTGAGAATCTTTGCTTCATTATCTAGGTTTCTCTCATCTACCCAACAGTCCTTCAGGGCATATACCTTTCTATCCTTGGTTCGAACACCGTAACAAGCGGTTCCGCGCGAAAAAGACCACGACTTTTCCATAAGACTGCGAGGATCCAATACACCTCATTTTTATCGTCAGTTACCCAGCCTATCGCATCCGGGGGCATGTAATTGGCCCCCGCTGGTAGTTCGTCGTGAGCAGAGGTAGAGCAGATGCCGTGAACACAAATATGAATGGTTGTGTCGACACCAAGGCCAGGGGAATCTGCTACCGTCATCGTGTTTGATACATCAATGAAACGTACCGGATCTCCACTGATCGGGACTGGTTCAGTCTCGGACTTACGCTGCTCCCTCCCCGACCTCTTCACCTGACCTCTGAATGCACCAATAAACCTCCGCTGGCCTTGTATGTTCTCCTCCCATGGTAAAATTCCTACAAATAAACCCATCCATTTGTCTCACACTCGGTGATGGACGACGCAAGCGACGACATGGAAGATTTTTTTTTGGTGTTGCTTCATTGTGCTTGGTTTCAGTCTTATCATATTGTTTCGGGACTCGGTAGTATCTTGTGTGATGTAATATTCGGCATGGTCAGATGCGGCGCCCTTTATCCAGGAGTAAAGCAAAATGCACGGGTCTGTTACCGCTTGTCGATCCATGACATAGAATTCCTGTCATAGATTTACGGGAAAGCATGTTATGGATGGGCGGACAATCAACTACACCCAGCAAAAGAAGAGCGACGTCAGCAGGATTCGAACCTACGCCCTCAAAGAGGAACAGATTTCTAATCTGTCGCCGTAACCACTTGGCTATGACGCCGTCGGAAGTTATATATAGCGACACACCAATGACTACATCCTTCAACATGTCCGACGTTTGGCAATTGAACTACATATCCCTTTACCTCCACCGAGGTCTGATTTGTCTTAGACGAACCGCTCAAGGCCCATCGATGGAAGGCCGAAGGGGATCTTTCAAGGCCTTAAGATTCACTGTTCAGTTAACGTTTCAACCTCAAGTAAGCTATCATCAGGTATCGTTTCTTTGACATACAACACCTTCCTCCAGGACCACGACCACTGATCCAGCTGGACATCCCTGCCGTGACCTGCCTCAGCGTCCCCTTCGTTGAACAGCAGTGCACGAACCACTATTACTGCATCGTATCTGACCAACATCTTGGTATCCACGTGCTTTCGCCCCACCATCACCAACCTCAGCAATTAATGGGCGCCGTCGTCTGAGGTATCGCCACAATCGCACTCCTCGGGATGCGCGCTGTCGTTGCAAGCAAGACGAGTTTGATGGGAAATTTCACTCGAATCGCGTCATCTGGCACGCTTCATTAGGTCGACCTCAGAGAACGAGGTCACGCATTTCTTGGTATCGGTGTCGGCTGCGTCACATCCCCTCTCAACTCCCCCTTGCATCGACGTCACGTCCTATGACTCTGATGATGCAGGTTCGCCCTCCCAACCCTTATGGGCAGACGTCGCCCGACCCTTCATGCACTACTGCCTTTCGATTTCATCAAAATTAGCCAGGGCATGACCTGGAACCTTGTTGCCCTGTCGTTCTATAAATCATATATTTTCCATTCCGGCATTCTCAAGGCACAATTCCAGCACACCAAGTTTCTCTTTTTAATAACATCTAACAAGTAGGAGCGAATGTTTTTAATCGAATTATAACAATGGTTGTTGAGGCAACTTTCGCGTCCCACTCTGGTGCATCTCACGTCGTGTTACCGCTGCTCAGCCTGCTGACTCGTGATGCTTATTCTAACATGTGTCTTTGTCGTCATTTTCTGTCATGTATTTCAATCCCTGTGCCCACACCCCGCTAGGAGATTTTCGAGCCCTCCCACGACCCTCGAATATTACGCAGCTTGACATCTCCTGCGTTTATCCCTTCACTCGACTTCCCTGGCAGCCTGGGAAATGCAATGGACGGAGACGAGGATGCGGACGAGGAGATATGGCTGCCTTACTCTTTGCCTGACGCGTCGCTACTTGACAAGAGCGGTTGGCGCAGGTGTCAAGGGGCGCGTATTGTCAGCTGCGTCGGAGGTGCTAGCTTCGGATACGCCCGTTAAGACGCGGATGAGGCTTGTGAGATAGGAGCATCGGTTTGCACTGCGAGAGGTGAGGTAAGGTGCGTGACGGTCTTTAATGCCTTGGCTAATTCTTCGTTAGTTTAGTAGATGTCACAAAGGCACCTCATGATCACCCTTGGGACGCAGTTGTGATAGCAGCCCCACGAGGACACGTATAAACACTGGTAGTCCTTATACGCGCGGGGGTCTCACATCATTTTTTGACCGACTGGGTGTGTGTCTGGCAACGCTAGGCTGCACGTTGCTCGTCGAGCCCTTTAGAGACCAAACTATGATACCAAGACATCATTTTCCCCAAGTACAGCATCCGATTCGTTTTAGTGTTCAAACCGGTTTTGTCGCCACATCTAACTGAGCGAGAACCTCGCGTCAGCTCCTTGGACATCAGAACCGAAACGATCAATAAGATATGTAAAATCAGATCATTCTCGGGTGAAGGTGAAGTAGGTGAATGGAAAGATCGAGTGTACGCCATTTCCGTGGATCTTGCGCGTACACTGCTCGCCGATATCATCCGCTCCGCATATCTGTCCTGCCAGCCGAATATTGGTGGTATAGATGGATGCTTCATGGGCAAAAGAAAGGCTAGGATTTGAAACAAGTGAGCGGATGGTCCCCAAATGGTCGCACTGTGTGAGCTTTTAAGTCGTAGGCCTCTGAGTTCACCGTTGGTGCCTATAGAGCTTTTATCGCTTAACAGAACGTAATGCCAGCGAGTTCATCGGAATTAACTGATGGTCGACTAAGTATAGAAGGAACACAGTCGTCCCTCCTTATTAATAACGCCATGAACTGGAGCACACGACCAATTCATGATGGTGGTTGCAATTGTCAGGGTGCAGTAGACATGAGGTGGTACGCAGGAGGCCGCGGGAGAGGATGGACGCCATTTGATTGAGGAGGAGATGAATTCAGCGGGGGCTGGGCTGGAGGTGTAGCGCAAAGGGGGTTTTGGGAAGCGGGAATCATTAGGTCAGCGGACACTGGGCGTTAGTGGCTTAAAAGGTTAGGCCCCTCATTACTAATCACACAGATACATTGCTCCAATCCCCCTCTATACAGTTCTCCGTAACCTAATGACTCATGCTTATTAAGAGGAATGAATGTCTACAAGGATCCGACTACTGGAGACCAGACTTGATCGAACATCCGTGAAATTCCGATGAGTCAACTTGCTATTGCGTCATCAGTTTTTATGGTTCGTCAGAACCGTTCTGTCGAGCGATAAAAACTCTATAGACGCCAGCGGTGACCTCAGAGCCCTCTTAAAAGCTCACACCGTGCGACCATCAACCGTCGCTGAATCTATGAAAGAAGAGAACAAGCCTTGGAGAATCCGAAGATGATGCAATTCGCAGCGGGTGCCATTCTAGCTGTTGCCCTTACTGCCTTGTCGTTCACGAAAGCATCGTCGCCTGGAGAAGTGGTGTGTTTGCAATTGTAATTCTGCAGCGCTATACTTATCTAATTGTCTTGTAGTATGTTGACCCTCTACTGTACAATGTTGTGGGAGCAAACTACACAAAATGGCGCAACTCGTCCGCTGTTGGCTTCAACCCCACGAATACTTCACCCCCATTCATTCAGGTCTTTGACCCCTCATTTTTCGAAGTCACCGGATCATCTGCCACAATTCGCTCAATTGCTTCGAATCCTGGCTTTGCTTTTGCTCATGAAGCACCCATCTACGTTCCGGATCTCAACGTCGTCTTCTTTGCAAACACTGGTGGTGTCACACTTGGGTACAATGGCTGGTATAACAACAGCGTTGTTAGCATGATCAATATGACAGAAGTCGATACGGCGCTGGCTTCTACAACTGGAGATGTAAACATTCAGGTTCAGACGGTGGGTCGCTTCCGCTCGGTCATTGATGCCTACCCATCTTGACTTTCAGCTCAACCTCTCCGACACTGTCCAAATGGTCAACGGGGGGACAGGCCCATACAAAGGAGACCTTTTGTTTGTCACTGCAGGTCGTGCTTTACTTCCTCCTTCGGTTGTGCGCGTCAATCCCAACTCTCCCTACAACACAACTGTTCTTCTCGACAACTTCTTAGGCAGACAGTTCAACTCGCTCAATGACGTTAAAGTTCTTCCAGGCACGGACATAATATTCTTCACTGATCCTCCGTGAGCAATTGATTGGACGATGGTGTGTGCAATGCTAATAGTAACTTCGGTTTTCCCAGTTACGGGTGGCTTGGTGGTTTCCGCCCTGAACCAATGATGCCTTCGCAAGTTTACCGCTTTGATCCATCCACTGGGCAGGTGAGAGTCATCGCTGATCAGTTTGTGCATCCGAATGGTATTGCGTTCACTCCTGGCGGCAAGACTGCATATATGTAGGTCCAATCTATGTTTCGCCTCTGCGGATAACTCTTACAATAATGCATCAGCACCGACACGGGTGTTGCAGGAGGCTTCCTCGGATCGAACCAAACCCTTCCCGCCACGATGTGAGTTTTCCCGCCGAGCGTGACAGTAATAAAGTACTCAAGCAAACTTTAAAGCTATCAGTTCGACGTTGACCCATCGACCCAGTCGTTCGCGAACCGCAGAGTGTTCGCCTATACTGACTCCGGTGCGCCCGATGGCATTCAGGTCGATAGCAAGGGCAACGTTTATTCCGGTTGCGGTGACGGTTTTCACGTCTGGAATCCCGAAGGCACGCTCATTGGGAAGTTCTATCTAAACGCCACTTCACCTCAACTGGTGTTCACGAAGTCAGGTCTCGTCCTTTTGGAGCAAACGTCAATGTATCTGGTAAACATCCAGGCTCAGGGGATGAACCTAGCCACGTTGTAGCTTTCTGTGTTCCACCGTGCGTGTTATATTAGATGTTCATAGAGGTATGTTAGCGGCGCCTGTGCGCTAACATTGTTTGTTCATAATACTGCTACTACCGGTCACTCAATATTCAATTTCAGTGTATCCTTGTGATTTGTAACCACCAACTTTTGACGAAGAACTTTTGATGTCGACAACCAAGCTTGATCTGAGCCAACCTAATTACATTCAAGAGTTTTTCGAGAGGATATTATCATCCGGCGGGTATGTATTCGTGCTTAAATATTGTGGATGCACTAAAGTGATACATATAAGAGTTAATTTTCAAACACGTGACTGACGCGTCGCGATCGACTCGGTGTATCGCGTACAAATAAAGTTTAAATTGGGAGGTATACAAGTATTTGGCGCTGGCCGTCGCGCATCCCTCAGTCAGTACCGTCATAGCGCATTTTGCAATCTTCACGCCTTCGTATCTGAACCATCATGATCTCCAAAACGCTGTCTCTTGCCGCCCGTGTCACTATCCAAGGTTATCTTACAACCGCGTACTTCAAAGAGCTTGTCATTGATCCCACTTTTCAGGTCATGTCCGAAGCAGATGAGGTCTCCGTTAGCCTTGTTGCATCCAGTGTCTGCTTGTCGACAGCCATCCTTCTTCTAGCATCCGCTGAAGCTGCTCGACGAATCATCAACGACGACGCCCAACGCGTAACATCTCCCAAGAACGATTTCACTGAAGCCAGTGGACCTTTTTCTGGCGACCACGTTGTGGATATCTCAACAACCAACTCGTTACTCGGCCTTCGATATACCACCTCAGCCGTCTTCGTCGTTTGGCGCTCCTACCAAAGGCCTATCGACGATTGATTCCGACACCACCCCCACAGCCCGCGATGAGGACTTAGTCAAGGACATCTTCTCAGACGGTGTTTTAGGCAACACAAGCCTTGAGTTGCGTGGTAACGACAACACTCTCTGCGAGGTAGGAACTTTAGCACAATTTTCCTAACGTTCGTCAACTAACTTGACTGTTTGGGTTTATAGGACGCCTGTTGTAAAGTACATCTTACACAAGATGAAATAACGCACCTTGCACGTCAACGACGATCATGCCATCGACAACCTAATCCAAAGATTCCAATTACTTTCACTCGACGATTGTACTTCCCCATCCTCGACAGTTTTGTCACCTCGCACCCTACACGATGACGCCATCGACAACCAACTCCAAAGCACGGAATCACTTCCTCTCGACGATTGTACTTCCCCGTCATTATCACTTCTGTCTGCCATTGACAATGTACTCCAAGAACGCAACTACTTCCTCTCGACAATTGTACCTCCTCGTCATTAACAGTTTTGCCAACTCAGACCCTGCACGATTACAGCATCGACATCCTAATCCAAAATATGCAAGTGCTTACTCGATGATTGTGCCTCTCAGCCATCAACATGTCTGCCACACACCCTACACGATGACACCATCGACACCCTAATCTGAAAAATGTAAGTTCTCACTCTCGATGAAAGTTGTCCTTCTCAGCCATCAACATGTCCGCCACACACCCTACACGATGATGCCATCTATACGCTGCTCCAAAGATGGACACATTTTCTCTCTATGGTCCCAGTTCTCAGTGGTCGAAGCTTCGGCCACAGTACCCTACACGTCCAATCACGTCATCGACATCCACTCCGAAAAACGCAAGCCCAGCTTCAGCCACAATGCATCCTACGCTATCACACCCATAGACGTCTCACTCCAACAAATGCAAGCCCTTAATCTCGACGGTGGTCTTCTAAGCCTCGGCCGCTCACATTAGTCGCTAAACTCCGCACGACATCTACGAATCCTGACATTTATATTCTTCGATCCGCCTACCACATGGACGAGTTGACTCGCAAGATGAAGGCGCTCTCCCTCTCCAGCAATGGATCTTTCGCACCCTGGCAGAAACCCCCCAATCTTGGTTACGAATCGCACTACTAGTCGACCCTTACTACATTTCTATGTTGGAGGTCCCCCGCGACTAAAACAACCGCGCGTCAAACGACAACAATGGCCTCCTTCGCCACCCACACATACTATGTCGACGCATCCAACACGTCTTCGGTATTAGAGGTCCCCTACGACCAATCTGGATGAAGCTCCGTGGCCTCCTTCGCTGTCCCCTACGACGTCTAGTTGACGGCCACTGCCAGCCCCGCACATACCGATCACCCATTCTATCATAAGTCTTCGATGAGTCTGACGTCCCCTACGACCACATCTCGATGACGCGCCAAACGACACAATGGTCTTCTTGTCCTCTACGACCTGTAGTTATATTCACAAGGTTGAAGACCACTGTCCGCATTCCGATTCCTACACGTATGTCTAGCAGACTAAGTCCCTTCCGGTTTCCTTCACTAGACGAACTACAGAGTTCTTTCGATTTGTTTTCCCCTTCATTGACGGTACGATCATGGACCATCTGTTTAGTTCAATACTCATTTCCGCGATCTATCTTTATTTCATCGATATCGTTCCGCTTCATTTTCGTATATGTACAATTATCTTGCATACGTTCTGAAGGCGAGAAGCTCTTGAGGTTCAGAACATTCGATGAGTACCGTCACCAAGGCAGTGACTATCATATCGCAAGGTTGCTCTACTACGAGTGGAAGAAGTGATCTTCTAGGAAATGCTGATCTCCGAGCGTGGGGGTCTCAAGCTATGAATCATCAAGGTATTAACCCATCACATAGTGACACCATTAATGGTGCAGTATTTCTTGCCGTCTAATATGATCTTATGACAGACCATAAACCTGTGTATTGTAAAACAGTGTAAATGAACACTACCCTCAGAACTTGTGTCAGTGTCTTCCTTCTGTAGTTTCCGAGTCGAGACGAAATCACAGCGGGACCACCACAAGGAGAACAACAAGAAGCTTTCAGGATTTCAGGGTTACATTTCGGATGTAGGACGACTGTCTCCTCCCTAGTAAAGCATTTCACTGGATGGGAAGCAGTCGTTCTGACCTCCTAGGACACTAAGAAGTGCCAGTTGGAGTGAACAAGTTAAGTCAAATAGAGTCAAATACACAAACCAACTTCCGACTACTCATATTATTTTGTTTGCTCACTGAGAATATCTCTGGTAGTATATCGGATAGTACACCCGCCTGTCACGCGGGAGAGCGGGGTTCGATTCCCCGCCAGAGAGATTTTTTCACTTTTTATAATTTGAATGCTCTAAGGAACTAGGTTCTGTCTAGGGACATTACATATTGGCTGTCCATGTTAGATGCTGGTGTATTGTTACTGTTCTGTCGTTAGCCCGGGCATAGGATAGGGCATAGGATAGCTCCAGTGATAGTGGCATAAACCGTGATATATTTGGGCCATCTTAAGTTCCGACCTCAGCCCGAAGGAAAAAGACGATATGTTTCGTATCGTAGCTGGTGTAGGCTTGCCAGCCGTACTGGTTTTCAGAGCTAGTATTGATCCTATATATAGCAAGTGGATAGTAAAATTACATCAGAAAATCAGTCGCTCAGTATCGCCTGTACCACGTTCGCAACTCTCAGCTGGCGGAGGTCGGTATATGTCTGTTGCAACAGTCAGCATGCGGTAAAGGCGTTAGTGGGACAAAACAATAAACCTGGCCGCATCCGACAAAAATAATTGGCTGGCCTGTCACATATGTCATCGAGAGCGCTGCGCCAACCTATGCACGAATGTCAGACGCCATTGTTACGGAAAACATATCACGCACTTTGTCATCCACAGTATCCCACTTTGTTACTAGCATACCGTCTATGCCACGCCCCTTGCCCGAGCCGGATGCAGATGAAAAGTCACGGAGGGCACGGTCGAACTTAGTAAGTTGGTCAACGGCCTCGTTGCCAACGAGCGCCTCGCCGACAAAAATGATTTTATCGGGGTTGTTCGAGGCAACAAGCTGTGAAATTCATCAAAGGACTTAAAGGAACTTCCACCACATATCACGTACCTTGGCAAGTGCGCGCATAAGGGGCTAGCAGAAAACGATCCATCAAGATCGTCACAAATATAGAGCTAGCTTCCGCACCTCGTTGTCTTGCATGCGCCCGGCTGTGTCAATCAACACAACGTCGAAGTCGTTATCTTTGGCTGGGTACAGAGACCTTGAGTTGAAAAATGCACTCGAACACTAAAATCCCTTACCATATGCGATGGCTTCTTTGGCGATGCCCGCAGCATCTTTCCCGTACCCTTTCTCATACAGTTCAACACGGCCTTTGCTATTCGTTGCACCGTTAACGCCAAGCATGGAAAGATTGCGTACATGTACGCGAAGCTGTTCAACGGCGCCGCTCCTAGACATGATGTTCAGAAGAAAGGCAACTTGCACGCTGAGGTTCTCTTACCGGAAAGTGTCACAGGCTGCAATGAGCACTCGCATGCCGTTCTGAATGAGCCAGAAACAGACCTTTGACAAGTTGGTGCTTTTCCCTACGCCATTCACACCGACAAAGGTGATGCTATAAGGCATCCTTTGTTGAGCGGAAGGCAGGGGAGAAGAGAGTTTGGTCCTGATTGACAATAACAGGTCTGTTGAGGTCTTTGGCGTTAGAATACGCGTGAGCGAAGACGAGAGTGCCGTCCGAACAGCGTTACTGGTGGCTGAGACTGCGTCAGAGCACGACTCGTAGATATGCAAGACACGGCATACTTTGGAAACCTCCAACTTTCTTCCCAACAAGACTCTCTCCGACACCTTCGCACACTTTGTCCGCAATTTCCATTGCGACATTTTTCTTCATGAGGTGTTGCTTCATCCCTTCCAGCACAGGCTTTAGATCCTGTTCAGTTAACACTTTGGAGCCTGTCAGACGGGCGAACAAAGAACTCATGGCGCCCAATGAGCCTGATGGCTGCTTTGCGCCCTCGTTCTTCAAAGCACGGGTGATAGCGTCGTCCCCTGCAGCAAAGTCCCAATCCTTAACCTCATACAGGCCATCCCTTGTCCTAGTTCCGAGAGAAGCTTTGTCTACGAGGGCTTGCAAGTCATGCGATAAATGGCCATTTGGGCTGGAATCAGGCTTGTCGGTGCTAAAGTCCAAAGAGGCCATTTCTGTTTCTGACGGGGCTGATTCACCCCATTTCCGCTGCGCCTTGCCTTTCGTCTTCTTGCTCGTCGATTCGGAGCTACTATAATGTAAAACATTGGTTTGAAATCAAACCATTTGCGCACTCACTCTGAAACTGGCATGCTGTCCCAGCCACTTCCTGACTCCACCTTCGCCACACCTCGTCCCCCTCCTCTCCGGCCACCACGGCCGCGTAATCTATTCTTGAGCGCTTGGACGTTCCGAGCTATTTGCTGCTCATCCTGCACTGCAATCGAAGATTCGGATGGAACTGATGGTCGCTTAAGTATATATCCGTGACGTAGTGCATGAAAAATTTACCTGTGCTGAGGTCATCAGAAGGAGGACTGGGGTCAGGCAGAGCTGGAGCCACTGGTCTGTAGCGAGACTTCCGCTCCTGCAGGCTTGGAGTGAGCAGGAACGGCATATGTACTTGGGGAAGAGCGCACTTGAGCAGCTTTTTCTGCAAAGCCCTTCACGAGCTTGTCGAAGACATCATCCCAGCCTTCAAATGCTTTTGCAAAGTTCCACGTCTTCGGAGAGTCGCGCGCAGCAGCTGACTTGCCGCTTTTGACTGCGTGTAGTGAAGCGACAAAAGTAGCCAAGAATGGCTCGAATAACTTGATAAACAGTGCTTTTAGAGCAGCCAGCAGGTCGTCCACGTAAGTGAGTTGGAGGATGCGGTGGTAGGCAACCTGCATTTGTGAACGTCGACCGAGTTACTCCAGTAGCATGGACTCCCGACGTACCACAAAAATAAGCTCTAAATCATTGAAGAACGTCCACTTCACTGCGTATCCATCCTTCTCGTATTTCTCCTCAGCTGTTCGGCCCTCGATTAATGCTTCACGTATGAGAGAGTTCACGGGAGACGATGGGGAAGAAGCTAAGTGAGATGCCTCTGGGGTGAAGGAGCGTGACCATAATACGATGCCTCCTATAGCTAATAGTGAGTTCTGGCTCTCTAGAAATGATAACCGGACCGACCTTTGTGTGAGATTGAGCAGTGGTCCAACATGGTCGACTAGATAGAACACTTACTCCTTCCCAAAACACTGCATCATATGCTGATTACATAAGTGACACGAATTGAGCATCTCAATTATCATGATGTCCATGAAGTTTCGAAGCCTTGGCCAGCTTAACTGATCGCGACAATAGCCCGGAACATTGTTTTCTTCTGAGGTGCAGGTTCACATTCCGATGCAACCAAACGGCGGAGAACAACCAACTTGGTCTGTTTTTCTGGTCGACTAGTACTGCCCGTGCCTGTCCACAATACGCGTCGTGGTCAGGATGTTTTCAGGTGAGCGACGAATCGTCCTGAAGTTGTCAAGAGTCGCAGTGCCGGAAAGACCTTTGACAGCGGGGATTCTGACTACATTGAGGCTATCTCGGCGACCTGGTGCGCGCATTCCCAGAGTTGATTTCTTGATCCAGCTTAGACCGTGCTCAGGCTCAACGTCTCGGCCGGGTCGGAAACACAGACCAGTTGGCACCCTAAGCACTGGTGGTTTCTGAGACCGGCAGTTGTTGTATGATTGGTCTATGCAAATGCTAGCGTGTCGAGCATAGGTAAGTTCACTCGTTTCCCCACAGGAACTATCAGGTCCTTCTCTTGCATGCACTGATTACAACACGCAGAAATTTAGATCAGCAAGCCCGGTGATAAATGACAGGCGGATGGCACCTGAGGGTGCAGTAGGTGAGGTACCGTTGTCATGATAAGACGGTGCTAGGCGCTGATGCAGTGCCGCTTCAGATCCATTATTGGCTTTCTCTGTGCGACGCGCTGCCATTTGGGAACGTGTAAGTGATATCCATGGGTTCTTTGCATAGGCCGGACTCGTGCAACAATCCATTTTTGGAATACCTCCTTCGTGATTCTGCATATTGATCGAATCGCGAGGCAGTCGGGGAAGATGGGATATAGAAAGTTGCCCGACTTTATGAACATCACCATTGTATGGTCATAAGGCGGCGATTACTCCTTTAAATTGATCACCATTTCACTATGACCATACGATGGGAGATGAAGGGGCAAGTAATACAATCCCAGCGGGAAAAGCTTGAGCTAGAAAGAGTTACCAGGGCTGGAGATTGCTTTGAGTGCCTAGTTCAGTGGCACTCATATTACCATCACTGCTAGTATGGGAAACGACGACAATAGTGTCTCGATATTCAGGAAGAAGGAAGCTAGACTCAGCTGCAGATGCAAAAGGGATCCTGCTGTCTCACCGCCGGGTGCGAAGACTGCTCTCACAAGTACAAGTTTGTACCAGAGATTCGGAATGTGCAAACGCGAGGAATACTTATCAACGAGCGTAGGTGCTATGATATACTGGGAGTTGGCGACACGCTGGCGACAGACGCTGGAGAACGGGAGAAGAACGTGCACGATCTCCAGAGTCAAATAGGTTTGATTACTAGTACGTATATCCTCGGTCGATAACGTCGATTACTACCATGTACTAGTATCAGCAATACGACTCAAGTTACAGTTCAATAAGCATATGCAGGGAATATCCATCACCTAATAATAAATTACTACCTCCTTCCAACATCCACACTACGTCGTACAGGTATCAACGGGGGTAAAGCCTGTGCATCCGCAGCAGATGCTGGCCGTCGTCGCGAAATCGGGGCAACAGAGAGCTTCCACAGATCTGTATACGCATTCGGTACGGTCTCTGCGGTACGTGAATGCTCCATGGGGTATGTGTTTTGCGTCAATGATGAGTAGCCAGTATCGGCTGTAACAGAAAGTGGAGATTGGGATCTAAGGTCTTTGCGAGTATCGAATCTCCCTGAATCACGAGACCAGAGCTCTTGTGAGCTACCGATGCTAGATACCCTGGGCGCTGCATGACTCATGGAATCATTTGAATCTTGTTGGACTGGGTATCGAAGAGGCTGCAGCGGCTTCTCTAAACTGAAACGCACAGATTGCGTATCTGAGCCCATCGTCGTATCTGGGAGCTTGATATCCGACATTACAGGACTCGTGTGATACGAATCTCGTCTTAGTGGCAAAGGGACATGATGGGTTGGCGCAGAGGGAACGATTTCCATGCCGGAATCTAGTCGGAGGACAGGCATTTCTCCACGTTTTATGGTCTCTGCGAACTCTGAGGAGGGTGCGATGTGTCTTCTTCGTCGAGCACGACGGAAGAGGATGAGGCCGAGAATGAGCAACGCTAGGACGACAACTCCTCCGACTACACCGCCTGCAATGGCGCCGGCATTGGTGGAGGTAGTTGTTAGAGAGCTGTTCGTTGCTGTCGATGATGATGCTGCTACGGCTACTGATGTAGATGGGTCAGTGGAATTCGGGGTTGGTGTGGATGTGGTATCGGACATTGTAATCGCAGTGTTGGTGGAAGATGTCGCAGAATAGAAGCCACTGGTGTCAGCGGTTGTATCAGTAGAGCCGCTGCTGACGGAGGTTGAAGAAAGCAGAGTCGGCGGAGATTGTAGAAGTAGGCTCGGTGGTGGGTTGAGAAGAAGAACCGGTAGTGTCGGGGTATGGAGTGGAGGTGAGGTTCGGAGAATCGTTTGTTGGAGTAATATGTTCTTTACCCATATGTTACTGCAGAGTCGACGATGAGAGGTTACTAGCGCGCGGGTTGTTATCTACGAAGGCACTGCTGTAAAAAGGTATCCATAAACCTGAATGGTCAAAACACAGTCTTGGCAACACTCACAAGAGACGAAGACCTGCAGGCCGAGCGGGTACTGCCCTGCATCCAGGTTCAGAAGACAATGGGAGCAAGAAGAAGAACCTGCACTCCAGGGCAATCAAAAATAAGCAGGAGCAAGCGCTAAAGGGAGAGTAAGTGACCCCACTTGACATGTGAGGGTACATCACCTTTATCCAAGGCTGTGCGATCAAGATGCGAGGAGGCCGGCACGCTGCCTGCATTTGTTAGAAACTACATCAGATTCAGGGAGATAGGACCTTAGAGTACTTAAAAATATAATCTCTGTTAAAGCTCCGCGACCAACATCAGTTTGGCGGTGTGACGTCTACTCACCGAGTGACCGACCTGACATATGCGGCTCCTTTTACGTTCCATCGCATTCCGTAGTCGTACTACCCGCGCTTTCTCATCTACTGTTTCAGTGCTCAGCAAAATGAAGGTCGTTCCAGTCCTCGTCAGCGCAGATAACTATGCGTACCTCATCATCGATGAACCGAGCAAGAAGGCGGCAGTGGTTGATGTATTTAATGTGGAGAAAGTTCGGGCAGTAGCTGAACAGGAAGGTGTGAGCATCGTTGCTGGGATCACGACACATCACCATCACGATCATAGCGGAGGAAACAAGGCATGTCATTCCCAACATTAATATATGTGTGTCGGTGTCTAACGTTTTGTTACGTCGGCCTGATAGACATTTGTGGGTAACGTGCAAATACAGTATTGATGTCGTATTGACGCTCGTTCCAAAGGTTTCTACGTATCCTAGTATCCCCACTTATGGCGGCTTTGATGTCCCTGCCAAAACTAACCTCGTCGAAGACGGAGACAAATTCACCATTGGTGACAATATCCACGTTCGGTGGGTCCATAACTACCCCTGAAAGTTTCATACGTTGACCATTCCACGGGACCGCAACAGATGCCTGGCAACTCCGTGCCATACGAAGGATTCCATCTGCTATCATGTCACGGACTCCTCTAACAAGTCCCAGTCTGGTGGGGTGTTTACAGGTGACACCCTCTTCCAAGGTATGTCTATCCTAGTCCCGTAACTCTTCGCATTCTTGATACCGCCTCAGGTGGCTGCGGCCGTTTCTTTGAGGGCACGGGAGAGCAAATGCGTGCCTCCCTTTCCAAACTGGCGACGCTCCCAGACGACACGATCGTATACAACGGTCATGAATACACCGCTGGTAATATTGCATTCGCCAAGTCTGTCGAACCCGAAAACCCGGCTATCAACCGACTTGCCAAGCTTGCACAGGAGAATAAGGTGACTACTGGTCTGTCGACTATCGGTGATGAGAAGGAGTGGAATGTGTTCATGCGGCTGGATAAAGCTGCCATAAAGTATGCTGTGTTCGGTATTCATAGCCGTGATGCTGATCTTGCTGTCACAGACAGGCTACCGGTGAAGAGGAACCCAGTGCTGTCATGACTAAGTTGCGCGAGCTGAAAAACAACTTTAGGGGGTGAGGAGGTACGTTCTGCAATTTAATTCAGCCAGGTCGACTAATAAATGCGGTATAGAACAAGGCTTTAGCGCGGGTAGAAAGAACAGCAAAGTCCAGTCTTATTGATTATTCACCTTCACTGGCTGAGAAGAACTTCTACGAATGTATTGATTAATCATCATATAGCATTCCAAAGCAATAGCACATCAGGAAATGAGAGGCATTATCTATCATGATCTCATAAACATACATGAGAGAGTGTAACATCCAATTAACTCATTCCGACGAGTTTCAGCACCGCTGATCGGGCATAAGGGATGTATGAGAGGTTGTACCAGGTGTAGGCGAGGTATTCGACGATAACAAAAACTGATGAGATCAAAACATCAGCAATCGGCAACTTCCAAAGTTTGTAGGGACTCACTAATGCACAATACCTGTAAGATGCGAGTTAGCGTGGTCTAGGCACACGATAGGGGGTACGAACCTCGTTTCCGATTACGAAGGCACCGATGAAGACGAGACCTATTGAGCCAATGAAGACGATGGTGGCGATGAGCCGTACGGGTTTGAACATCTATAAAGAAGGTAATTGTGTGGTATAATACTTGAAGGACATAAAACGTACGAGCTTGATTTGCGAGGCGAACTATTAGGATGATCGATCAGTCTCTCTATCGTGTCAGTAAGGTGGGCCAACTCACCCCGATGACGAACCCAGTGCCGACGAGCGATACCAGAATTCCAATAGTGTACAGAACTTTACAAAGAGGTGGTCATAAACGTACTCAGAACAGTCTGGGAGAACTCACCTGCAAAACTACCCAACTGGCCCAAGAAAAGCAATACGCTGCCTAGTAAACTTAGGGCAAACCCTAAGATGAGACTGCGGAATGTTCAGCCACGCATGTTCGGCTCTGCGTTAAAAGAACAAAACGCGCACCAGCCAATAAAGCCGTATAATCTCTGCGTGCGAGTGAGGCCGAGAAATTTGAAAGCAGAGTCCCCCTCAAAGAACTGGGTCTCGGGGATGATGCCGCCTGCGGTTTCGAGGTTGAACCATCCTTTAGACGGCATTGTGAATCAGGGTGCGTTATGAAAGTGTATTTAGTGGTCGTGTATCGTCTTGTGAGCTGGTGCAAGCTAGACAAGAATTTCGAAGTTGAGGGGAAGGGCGTCTTGCAAGTACAGACGTGACGCGCGACGGTGACAATGACAGTTGATGTGGCAGCTTTCCCACGCTTACTGCAGCTCATGGCAGGCCCAGACAAGGGCGAGTCCAGGCTTCTGCTAAAGTACGATGACGGCTTGATGTAACGGCTGCCATCGATTGTCGAACACGGCGGTCTCTGAGCAGGTATGTAATACTAAATTTGAGACAAGCAACCAGTCTGGCTAACAGGCAATGTGCTACATATCTAGAACGATTTTTAGGTCTCGGCAGAACTTGAAGGGGTCCTGCACCAACAACAATATTATGTTGCGTGAACATTACCGTCTCTGAGCAGGGGACTAGTTTGGCATTAAACCTCAACTTCATCTATATTATATCTTCAGCGTTCTTGTAATTTCGCTCCACCATCAATGGCGGTGCAAAGTTGAAAGAATGCTGAAGATATCTGTACCGCATCCGTTCTCTGAAATAGCCGGTCTGGGAGCAAGCTTGCGGAGACTTTGGGCTGGGATCAGGTCTGAGTGCACGCGACAATGCTCTTGCGGAGTTTGACGCAGCCGTCATTGCCCAGCGGTCGCACTCTCATGTGGTGTGGCACTTGGTCAGGCTCGAGTCATGCCGTCTGCGAGGTGAGAGAAGGACGGCTCGCCCAGCCTCACAACACTTGGAAGAATGAGGGCAGAGGCGAGGGTGGTACCAAAGGAAAGCCGCAGACCAGTCCGAGGCAAGCGTCGCACGTTTCTGAGGTGTATCTTCGACTTACGCTCGTTTTTTTAGCCCTCAACCTCAAACTAATATTGTATCTGATGTATCACAGCCGCTGAGCGACGTGCAGGCTCTTTGGGGTGCCGTGAAATCTACTGCGATTGGGAGGCCGGGCCGATCAGTTCAACGATATTATTACCGTCTTGTTCTCTCGCGAGCAGAACACCTTTTGAATCTCGATCGAAGATATGCACGGTGGTGCGTCACTACGAAGCCGCAGATTGTGATAATTTGATGATGTGGTGGACTAAACCGCAACCAAAGACGGTGTGACACATTCCTCCGCGCCGATCAACTGATCAAAGCGGTCGGATCTCACCAATACATGATCCCCGACTCCCACATTAGTGGGGGAGGGTCATTGTCGGGCGAATACGTCTAATTTCCTCTACTTTGCTCTGCAGCCTTAACCTTATTTCTACCTGCTGTACAGTTATCAGCACTTTCCTCTCCGCCTAGCACTTGTTGCGCCCTGTTGCGCCCCTAACCTTTGGCTGCTATTTTTTTTCGGAGCACAGACAAATATTATGTATGTTCTTTGTCAGACGATATGCTCCCCGTGCATCAAAGTACTTATGACAGAAAATGTATCATTAGATGTAGCTTCAAATTACGTTCAATGCTTAACAAGCTACGGGAGTCGGGGACTTGGTGCGTAAGCGCCGTTACGATATGTATGATTGACGGGGATGGGAAGGACAGCTAACTCGACTGGTTTACTAGTGAGTGCTTTGGGGTCTTAACCGACTTGCGGATAGATACTTAGGGTCGTTTAGCCTTCAACAATTGCACCGAGGCGCTAGATTACTGATGCTACTCCCTCTTTGCGCACCGCAGTAACGCAACATTGGCTTAAAGCCTATATGCGGAGGCTGTTACGCTCAGCGTCGTCAGACGTCTTAGCAGTAATCAAAAGTAGTCGAAAGTTCTAGCTAACACCCTAGTGTTAGAGTTGTGCGAGTAAAGCAGTAGTATTGCAGGCCCTGGTCTGCGTAGGTCAAGTTAAAGAGTACAAACGGTAGAGATGAGGTATATATAAAGGTATTGAGTCGGCGAATGAATAGTAGAAGCAGAGCTTCAATAATAATGAGCCAATGAGAAAAAGAGAAAGAGAATCGTACGATAGAATGTTCTAGAAGTACACGTATTAGAAGAGTGAGCATGTGAAGGTGTGAGATGTGAAGATGTGAAATGTATGACAGGGTGTGACAGGGTGTGACAGTGACAAGGTTTAGGGGAAAAGGGATGACCGTAACATTACCCCCGTTTTAGGTGGTAATCTGAGTGCTACGAAGAAAAATCAAAGATGATGCGCTCGTTTATAGGAAGAAAGGATTTCGGAAGCGTTACCCATTTGTCTCTCTGTCATCCATTCGTTCTCGGAACTCGGGAACCCTTTCCATTTTACGTTGTAATATCTGCGTGAGGTTGAACCTCGGTGGCCTACTATGGCCTCTATCTCTTGTTCTTCTTCGCCGTCTATGAGGTCAGGCGGTGGTGCGACGAAGTTAGGACCATGAGTGTCGTTCTCTTTATACGGGGTGAGGAGTGCGGCGTGGAAGACGGGATGAATGCGCCATTGGGTAGGAAGGGTGAGACGATAAGTGACTGGGGATAGTACGTCGGAGATGATGAATGGTCCTTCTCGTTTGGGTGCGAGTTTATGGTTAGGATATCCGAGATGGAGATTTTTGGACTCGAGCCATACTTTATCGCCTTTATTGAACGGTACGAACTTCGACGTGATTCGTTGTTTCATGGTGTTGCGCGCTAGTTCGTGAGCGGCTAAGGCTTCGTCACGTGCTTTGTTGAGAATGATGAGACGTTGTTCGACGTTAGGGATGTCGCTCTTAGGATGAAGGTCGGGAAGGTGTTTGGGGTGGTAGCCCATCATGAGGTAGAAGGGTGATGTTCCACGAGCGGAATGATGATGGGAATTATGGACGAATTCTGCGAGAGGGAGCATGGATGCCCAGCCAGTCGCGTCATTTGCGCAGAAGATCCGGAGATAAACCTCGAGTTCTTGGTTAACTCTTTCGGTTTCTCCATCGCTCTGAGGGTGGAACACAGTGGAAAGGGAGTTCTTGTATCCGAGGAGTTTTCTGAGTTCGATCTGGAATCTAGAGGCAAATTGGGGTCCGCGGTCAGATATAATTTTATCGTAGAGTCCGTATCTAGAGAATACTTTAGAAAAGAAGATGTTTGCTACGCCTTCGGCGTCTATAGTTTTGTTACATGGGGTGAGAATTACCCCCTTCGAAAGTCCATGGTCTACCACGACCATGATGCTGTCGTAGCCGTTTGACGGCGGGAGGTCGGTGATAAGGTCAGTGGAACAGTGCGTGAAGGGTCGATTAGATAAAGGAGCGGGAATAGGGTATAATGGGGGAGAGGACGGGTGAGTGTTGACTTTGTTTTGTTGGCAAATGCTACAGCCGTCGACAAAGTTCTTGACGAACGTAGAGAGTCCCAGCCACCAATAGTCCCATGAGAGGAGTTCTTGTGTTTTGTACCATCCTGGATGACCGGCGGTGGGGGAGTTGTGGTGAAGGGAGGTAATACTGCGACGGAGGTCGCCTGGTGGAACATAAGTAAGTCCTTTGTAAGTAAGAATACCGTCAGAGAGTTTCCAATCTGATAGTGCGGAGCGGAGAGGAGGGGGAATGGTGGGGTTCTGGAGCGCGTCAAGCGCTATTTGTACTACGGGGTCGATGGAAGAAGATATACGTAATTGTTCGGAGATAGAAGCGGAGTTAATGAACATGAAATCGGGAAGGAGTTGTATACTCGTGTTGTCCTTTTTGACACTATCGTCAGGAAGGTGATCCGGTCTACGGGAGAGTGCGTCAGGAATGGTTAAGTCTTTACCAGGTACGTATTTGAAACGGATATCGAATTGGGAGAGGAAGGTTTGCCAACGTGCTTGGCGTCTATTGAGATCTTGCACGTCTCGGAAGTAAGTGAGGTTCTTATGATCAGTTTGAACCTCTACTGGGAAGGGGGAGCCTAACAGGTAGTGGCGCCAGGCTTTGAGCGCTCTAATGACGGCGAGGAGTTCTCGGTCATAGATCTGATAGTTTCTTTTGGCGGGGGCGAATGATTGGGAAAGATAGGAACAGGGGAGCCATTCGCCGTTGGGGTCTTTTTGAAGGAGTACTGCGCCGGTGGCGTATAAAGAGGCGTCGGTAGCGATGGCGAATGGGGATTGTCGGTCAGGGATTTGGAGGATAGGAGCGGATGTGAAGGTGGATTTCAGCTGTCGGAAAGCGGTATCGCATTTGTCGGTCCATTCGAACGGCATATCTTTCTTGGTGAGATCTATTAGGGGACGAGCGATGGTTGAGTAGTTAGCAATGAAACGTCGGTAGAAGTTAGTGAATCCGAGGAAGGATCGGACTTCCTTGACTTTCTTCGGAGTTTCCCATTCGGAGATTCCCTTTAGTTTAGCCGGGTCCATAGCTACCGATCCAGGTTTGATGATCATACCGAGATATTCGATTTCTTCTACGTTGAACGTACATTTTTCCGGTTTGAGGTAGAGACGATGTTGTCGGAGTCTTTCTAGTACTCGATGTGTTCGTTTTTGGTGGGTTTCGAAGTCGTCTGAGAAGATCAGTATATCGTCCATGTAAATAATTAGCCATCCTTCTTGGAGCATATCTCCGAACGTATCGTTCATCATAGATTGGAAGGTGGCAGGGGAATTACACATGCCAAAGAACATTACCGTAGGTTCGAAGAGTCCTCTTGCCGTCGCGAATGCTGCTTTCCATTGGTCGGTTTTCTTGAGTCGAACGTTGTTGTATCCCCATCGGATGTCCATTTTGGTGAAGATCTTCGCGTTCTTTAGCTTATCTATAAGGTCAGAGATTAGCGGGAGCGGATAATTGTTCTTAACCGTGTGTTCGTTCAAGTAGCGATAGTCTTGGCAGGGTCGGAGAGAACCGTCTTTCTTTCTGACGAAGAAGAATGGGGATGATTGGGGAGATTCGGAGGGTATGATTGTTCCTTTAGCAAGATTCTCGTCGATGAAATCATTCATGGCCTTCTCTTCCATGGGGTTGAGTGGGTAAATTTTGCATTTACGCGGTTTGAAGGTGTCTTTCAGGTCGATTTTGTGATCGAATTTGCGTTCTGGTGGGAGGGTTCCGTTAGCTACTTCTCCGAATACATCCTTATACTTTCGGAAGATCTCTGGTACGAGTTCTTCAAAGGTTTTCTTCGGTTTGGCGGCGTCTTGGGCGAGGGTTTGAGAGATGTTGTCGGTTTTTCTGAGTAGGGTTCCGCGGGTGGAGAAGTATCGGTGGTCGGCGGGGATATGTTCATCTGTGAGAGGGGATTCAAAAGTTTCATAAGTTCCTATGACGTGATCGCCTTTGCAGTAGGCGATCAAAAACTCGTCTGGTTCTAATTCTTCTTCTGTGTCGTCAGCAGGTTCGGGGTCAAGGAGTTTAGGAATTTCGGAGGAGTACGGAATACTTTCCGTTGCAGGGTCCCATTCGTCTTCTAGGGTTTCTTGAGTGTCGAAGAACGATTCTTCTTCTTCGTCTTCGACTTCTTCTATGTACGCGCTTCGTTCGCGTAAGGTCACTTCTTCTTTTGTCCAGTCTATCTGTGGGTTTTCTTTCTTTAGCCAGGATATTCCCAGGATGACGTCCTCTCCTCCTAAAGAGGTTACAAGGAAGCGTCTTTCCATGAGGATTCCTTTGATTCGGAAGGATAAGTTACAAGAGTGTGTGATCTGACCTTGTTTGTTGAGTGTCCCGTCAACGTTTCTAACTTTTATCGGTTTTGTTAGTTTTTCTGTGGGGATGGAGTTCCGTCGTACGAACATCCAGTCGATGAATTCCCCTTCTGCTCCGCAGTCGATTAGAGCTGCGGCTTCGGCAATGCTAGAGTCAAATGTCAGAGGTAAACGCATAGAATTAGAGTCACCAATCGATTGTACTACTAGTCCGATTCTAGGAGATACTGATGCCGGTTCAGTCTCCTCTAGGCAAAATCCTTCTCCTCAGATTTCTTTGCCTGGCGTGCTTTAAACGCTTTCCACTCCAGGAATTCTCTATAGTCTTCATCGTCGTCTTTGCTTGCTTTCTTGGCGGCGGTTTGGGTGCGTGGGGTGAATGCGGGATGGTTGGGGCAGTCTTTGATGAGGCCCTTCTTGCCGCATTTGAAGCAAAGGCCGTTCTTGCGCCTGTGTTCTCTCTCCTGCGGGGTTAGGTAGGCCTTCTTCACTTGCCTCTCTTCCTCCTCTCCTTCTATCTCTGTTCTATCTATGTCCATAGTGTATGGGTCTCGGGACTTGTAGTTAGTGGGAGCCGTAAGACTACGACGAGATTCTACTTCTAAGGCTTTTTCAAGCCAGTCGTCTATAGTAGTAGGTATGTTCTCGAAGTTAAGTATAGTGCTTACGATTTCCTTCTTGAGTCCGTTTCTAAAGAACATGATCTTCATACTTTCTTCGACGATGCCTGTGTCTGCTAGGATGGTGCGGAATATAGACGTATAAGCGGGAACGCTTCCTGTCTGTCTCAAGGTGGAGATGCGACGAATCGCTGTGTCCACGACGTTCTTCGGGTGGAACGTCTTCTTGAACTGTTCTAGGAAGTTCTCATAACTTCCATACGCTTTGGAAGCGCTGGCGTTCTTGAATTGTCCTTCCGCCCATTTAGCGGCTTCTCCCTTCGTCATGAGGGAGAGGATGAAGACGATCTTCTGTTTGTCGATGGTGTAGACGGAATCGTTGATATCAAGGTAGGCTTCTACCTGTAGAAGCCATCCCTTGGCTGCGCGGGTATCGCCATTGAAGGCGGGGGGAACGTTGCCGATTAGTTTAGGCATGTCATCGTCGTCAGTTTCTGGTTCAGAGTCGTCGTCTAGGGGAGGTTGTAGAGCTGGAGGGAGTGGTTCTTGTACTGGGGGAAGTGGTACGTGTGCGGGAGTGGGGGATACGAGTGGTGTTTCGGGGAAGTCGTTGTCGACGTAGGATTGGGTGTCAAAGTCCCAATGTGTTCCTTTCTTAGTGGTCTTGTTCCTGTACGTCCTCCACTGGTGGATGGTGAAGACGTTGTTGTCAGCGTCAGGTGCTGTCCAAGTTCCTAGTTCTTCGTCCCAGTCAAATCCGGGATAGTGTTTGCCGCGAGTCGCCGTTTTGACTTTGTCGGGTAGCAACTGCAGTAAGTACCGCGGATGCTTAAGTCAGGTTCGTTTGTTGGTCGCCGAGGTCGTAGGACGGGCGGTTCTGAAAAGTAACTTGACCTTTTGTTATGCTCAGCGTCGTCAGACGTCTTAGCAGTAATCAAAAGTAGTCGAAAGTTCTAGCTAACACCCTAGTGTTAGAGTTGTGCGAGTAAAGCAGTAGTATTGCAGGCCCTGGTCTGCGTAGGTCAAGTTAAAGAGTACAAACGGTAGAGATGAGGTATATATAAAGGTATTGAGTCGGCGAATGAATAGTAGAAGCAGAGCTTCAATAATAATGAGCCAATGAGAAAAAGAGAAAGAGAATCGTACGATAGAATGTTCTAGAAGTACACGTATTAGAAGAGTGAGCATGTGAAGGTGTGAGATGTGAAGATGTGAAATGTGTGACAGGGTGTGACAGGGTGTGACAGTGACAAGGTTTAGGGGAAAAGGGATGACCGTAACAGAGGCCCCCCACGGCGTGGAAAAGGTGCAACGTCCATCATTTTCCTAACGGTGCTGGTCATCCTGATCTATAGGTTGTCGAGCCATTCAACATGTAAGGGGCCTCATGTACTTCGAGGATAAGGCTCGTGTACACTCTTATATACCCTCATTTGCGTTTCATTTGTTTCTTGTCCGTTCAGGATCTGATGGCTGCTATCAACTACACCAATCACGGTATTAATCACACCGCAAGCGCCCTAGCAACCTTGCAGGCCATATTGCAGGGTACCTCCCTCAGCACTAATTAAACAGAGTGGATTGCATGTATGACGCCTGTACAACATGCCAAACTCGTCTAAGTACTGAAGAGTCTGTGACCATGCTCTGTGTGGCAGTGTCGATTTCCTAATCGGCGAAGTGGCTGTGCCCCACGAGATGAGGTCATCTCGGAAGTTGGAACACATTTGAATCTTCCGCTCATCCGTCATCCGAACGTTATCGCTCACTTAGAAGCATGCTCGCAGTGATGTCTTTTTCTATCAGTCTCAAATATTTTGACCAACCACAACATTGTCACCTATACTCAACCGTTTTACCATGTTCAGCAATTTCATCAAGAACATCGTTAAGGTTAAGCGTTGCTCAGAAGCGCTGCTTCATAAACAAAAAGTAGGTTCTCAAAGTGTTTGTCGACTGGGACTTTCTCATTCTCATTTGGTGGTTTAGGCTAAATTCGAGTCTGGTGTTTATGACGGTCCCAATAGTCGTCAGTTCGAGGTACCGGCGCTTCTTATTACACCCCCTCCTGCGCCATCGTATCACTTGTCCGATACCGATGCTCCTCTTCCCTCGATAATGGACCAAGAGGCTGCCGTTTGTTGTGGACAAATGCAATCTCGTTTTGGAAGGGCCGCCCTTGAAGATATTCCAGCCGAGTTGCGCTGCCATATCCTTAGTTTTCTTTCATATAATGAAATTATTCGCTGTGCGTTGGTGAGTCATAATACATCTATCCCTTTCCTTCGAGTCATGGGACTAATGCACCGAATTGCTTCGTTATAGACTTCCCACACGATGTATGATACAGTCAAATCTTCTGTTGAGCTACAATACATCATCGAACTCGGTTCCCAAAAGTTAATTCAGGTTCATCCACGACCACCTACTGTCTCCACAGCAGAGTGCTTGCATATCATCCGAGACAAGGCGAACGCATGGAATTCTTTTGAGCTTGATGCCACGAAAGCGAAAGCCCTTCGCTTCCCAGGCGTGTTCAACTCTAGCTCCATCATCCATCAACAACTCGGTCTATCCAATTCGTCCATTGATGAGAATGCTGCGTACCACGCTATAGATTTCAAGAGCTACGCAACGCGTGCCTCTCGTCGCTGGCGGCATGATCATCATCCAGTGATTCGCACAACCAGGTTCATGGACGACGCCCAGGACCTTATAATTACCGCTAGATTTCCGACAGCCATCGACTCACACGAGTTCAAGGTACTGTTCCACACGATATCCACGGGGGAGGAACATCCTTTGGCCCACGAATCCCGTGTAGTCGCTGGTAAACTCGCTTGCGATGAAGAGGGTGATCTCAATGTTTCTGTGTCCGTCCTCGGAGATCGCATTGCACTCTGTGTTGCTGAGAAAGACGAAAACGGGGACTCGTACTGGTCCCTGCATGTCTGGAATTGGCATCAGGGTGGTCAAGCTGATGTAGGCGTCACGTTCCATCCTCCATTCAAACATCTGATATGAACATTAAATAGGACATATCTGTGATCGGCAAGGGCCATGACTTCTGCGACGTCCGTTTCCTTACCAGGGAGAGGTTACTAGTCCTCTCATCAGACGGTCACATAGAGCTCTACGATGTCGAGAACCTTTCAAAGGCGCCGCGACTTTAGGCAAGATTTATGATGCCCGTCCACAAGGATATGGGCGCCTTCGTATTTCCTTCAGTATTCCATAGTGCCCAAAACTGTGCACGCCTCAAGTCACCAGACGATCATTGGATTTGGACGACAAACCCCGCAGATCGAGTCATATCCGTGATGTGGTCCTTTCCAACATCGGTTTTTGTTATATCCGCTCGCATATTTCTAATGAATATCCCTCCGACATGGTTCGATGCAACCTTAAAAGATGGATTATCCGTCCCGTGGTCATCATGGGGTCCACAAAACTCTCGCTGCTTCGGCGGGGCGGGCAACTTCGGAGTGGGAGGATCTCGTGTTATACGAGTAGTTCCGGTCGCAGGTCGAAGCGATTCATCGTTCCAGTTGCATATGACCGACTTCAATTCCTCCGCCGTGGCGCGTGGCATCGGCAAGGTCACTCGGGAACCTACGACAACAACTATCGTATCAGACGTAGAGGTGACAACATGCCTCCCTTTCGTGGAGGTGGTCTACGACCAGGTTTTCGATGCCTCTCCTTGGGATATTGCACTAAACGAGGAGAGGATGGTGATTTCTACACTAGCGAAAACTGAATCTGTGAGTGTATCTCCCTCTTTCGAGCTAATGAAGCTAATGATCTCCCTTAATATAATAGATCTTTACCACGAATACGGAGGGCATCGTTTTTGACATGTAGTCTATAATTCGTTGGAGGCATAAGCATGTACTCAATTTAGCCTACCGTGAAAATGTAATTGGACCTCGCCTTCTGTCGCGCATGCTGCCGATGCCTGAGTGATGTTTGATATATCGCGTTATACTACATATTACAGGCAAGGAGTGCTATCTAGCGGTAAGCAGTACAACTGATCATTTTCTACCTGACTTACGACTGCCCATGGTATCGTGGGAGCAGCCTGTGTCTGAGGCTTCCCCATATGCGCGCTAGAATGCGCGTGTTGAGAATACCTATGAGTTGACGATTCGCAAGGACATCATGATGGTTCAACATTTGGTCTACTCATAGTGTAAACAGAGGCACTGCACACGGGAAGAAAGATTTTAGAGAAATGAAAGGGAAATGGCGTCTACGGCCGACGGCGTCATCGAGCGCATTCGCACGTCAAGGAAAGTCACTGATACCGTTTTGTTTGAACGTACAGTAACGAGTCAAGTTGAAACGCTTTATACACAGTTTATCACGTGATGTTCGTACAAGACAAAAAGTTGCATTGCGTGTTGTGTCGCAAAGGGAGACGCAGTTGCGACGGCAGGCAATTACGAGACGGCTATTGAACGTTTGAACAGTGATTATGCTAGATTGCTCATGCCACTCCCTCATGTCGGTCTCTTCGCTGCAAATGGCCGATATTGTGGATGTTACTTCGACACTGTATACCGGCTTGACAACCTGAGCGCTCCTCGTTTCGCGAACCGCAGACTGCATTTGCCTTGCATCACATTTCCCGTCACAAAACTCACACTATGATCTCAATATGATGTCAAGGCGGGACGACCTGCTAATCACCACAGAAGACAAGCTGATTCAGTTCTCGCCGGCACGCCCTACTCCACAGACATTCTTGCTCATCCGTCCGTGGAATCGTCATGATCTCGGGCTGCCTGACTTTCCAGACCATAATGCACGGAGCGTGGACGATTGGTCAGGCCCGAGTCTCCATTAGACGAATCGCTCAGCAGACACCCTGGAGAAAATGAGCTGGTTGATTTGGAGTCTCACTCGCGAGCGTTGAGGTTGATTGTTCGCCCGGGACAGCCTTTTAGCGCACTTCTGCTAGCGCAGCAGCGTGGTGGGGAGTACAAGAGGATAGCGTCGGATTATAATATCATTCCACAGGTCAAGGACACGGCTTCTGTTCATGATATGACAGAGGTCAGGGCGTTAGAGATATTATAGTTGCATGGATTTCGAAGGACATAGCTTGACAGCACCAATTCCTCTATGCATTTGTATATGTATTGTCAAGGGATCGTATGCCATTGCTGACTGACAACTATTTAGGGCTACCGCAGTCCGGCCCAGGACCTAGGTTCGAACCCGAACCTGTGTGGACTGGACCAATGGTTCGTTCATAGGTTCAGGCATTCTCCTGGACCGAACCTAAGAGGAGGTTCAAGGTTCGGTGTGTCACTCATGAATGCGAACTGGTTTGGGACGCGTCTGGACCGGTTCGAACCCAGTTTATCTTTATCATGTCGTTGTGCTAACTTTGACTTAAGATTTCGAAGCCTCATATTTCTGGTTGCAAGGCTTTCTGTTTACGTGGCCTAACTTGCCCTTCCATTGTTTGTCTTCTTCGGCTTCTCTCCAACTAAAGGTAACTGTATTGCCCTCATCTGCTAACATCACCGAGTTCCCTCGTTAACTTTCTAATGTCATTTGTTTCAGAACATGCCTACAGCCACCACCGGTGGTGATTCACGGCGGGAACTATCGCTCGAATGACGAGCCTTGTATATCAACCACCGCTAGCACCTATTAGTCGACTTGATACACGCAAACTTGTAACGCGGCACGCGTACAGTATTTGGTTATCTAGTACGTGTGGTTTAATCCGCATGACCAAAATCCAACCCTTTCATGCACTCATCTGACCTTCAGCCATCTACTAGGATTAGTATCAGGGCATTTTTGGCTGCCTTATCATCTCGGTTTTAATACTTATTAGTCGCGAACAGCCTTTATTCGCCTCCCCGCCCTATCTCATGTGATTCGAATGAACTAGACCATTTCACTGTCGGACTTTTCCCGTGACCATTGTTGACCCCACTCTCGATGAGAAGGGGGGTCATCTACGAAACGTGAGTAATGCCAGCACTGAACCTCTCAGTGACTTTCTGAGCCCAATAATTGACTTAGACGACCTGAAGAAATTCAATAACGCTCCTGTTTGTTTGCAAATTGTCGGTCGCTATAGGGTTCTGTACTGGACCGAGGTGTAGATTGAATAACGGTTCTGTCTTGATAGGTGTACCTTAAACATACCTGCAAACCTCGTGATTGAAAGTGGTTATGCCTTACTTATTCGCGAACGCAGCTGCCAGTGCTACACTCGTCCCGCTGCCCACATACTTGTGCACACTGTACGACGTGCAGTCCCCTCGCTCAGTCTCCGACTCGCTCCACAATACTTGTTCAACTTCGCCGGGTCTTCGCTGAGCGTGACACCTTTTCGTCAACTTACTGAATGAGGCACAAACAGACTCTTGTAATTCGACCTGAGGCAGCTAACTGGCGGGAAGCATCGGGAGTGCGGGAGGCATGGTGAAATAGTGTGCCTGGCCCATCAATAAATTCAGACTTATATTGAGACATTTACGATGTGGCTTAAACCGTCTTGCGCTTTCAACCCCTGGACCAATGCATCATCAAAGATTCAGGGTACTACATATATTTACACTAGATACACCGTCAACACCGCGTGTACTGTCAAATATAGGGCTTCGCCCTAACGGACGATAAGAGTCACAAAATGACTGACAGGAAGACTATGAATGAGTGCTTTACCAAAAGGCCTTTTCGGACAAGTGACCCATAGGCAGCTCGGCATAATGTATCGATTTTCGATGAAAGCCAACACGAAAAGTGCATGGGGCAGCCTGTCAACACGAGTTTCGTCTTGACGACAGATCCGATAAGATGGGTAGTATGGTAGGGATGTCGGTCTTCATGTCGGTCTTCGAGACCACGGACGTCAGTCATGACCTATAAACAATTTAAGGCCAAAGGCTGCCGATCACTGGCATACGCTTCCTACTACGTACTGCATGGCATGCACGGTTGACATAGACAGTCGACCGGACATTAGTCTATGAGGATGTTAGTGCGTTATTCAGACTTCCTGTTCCAGACAACACGGTGTGGACGACAATGTAGGTACCGCTTCTAAAAAGCATCGGTTTGCGCGTGCAGGCCGCATTGGTTCATAGCAAACATGAAGACGCACCTCGAATAATGCTATTAAAAGTAGCTTTCATGCCAGGGATGCAAGAGTCAGGAAGCTGACCAGAGATATCCTGATTGAGCACTTCAAATTCAGCCTTGATCGATGGAGTAGTCCAGAGAGCCACAGCAGGAACCACGAACGCTGCGGCCGTGTTCAAATTTGGCATCGCAATAGTGTAGCCGGCGCCCAAGGTTCACAGCACTGACGATGGTGTCCTAAAAGGTAGGACTGACTCAGATATGATGGAATGCTGTGCGATATCCCCATGCGTGAACAGAGCAGGGCCAGCGGCCAAAGGCCAGAGCAGCCGAAGATGCCCCCTATGACCTGCCGCATCAGCCCTATGATACTTTGCTAATCTAATACCTTACCTTGCGAGCCAATCGGTGTATTCCATCTCCCGGCACAAATAATGCCTTTCACGTCACGATTTTACGAAGTCCTTGATCCGATATATATTGTCGATTGTGAATTACAGATTCTGTTGTACTATCCATCACGGCTGAGCGCTGAGCGCTGACTCGTCATCACCCCCACAAGTCGTCACCACCTGGATATCTCACTCAATTCTTACTTTTACACACAATTTGCAATTGGAATCAGTGTGCACCTTTAATTGCGAGGTTGAACGAAAGAATTTCGTCAAGGAATGATGGAGTTAGTTGGAGCCACTCAATGTCACGGCGGTGGCAAGATGCCGACTCTCAGCCGCAGCGGAGTGAGCCACTGTGGCAAACACGTGACCTGACGACTTATAGGGGTGACGACTCAGTAATCCATGATCATCATCGGGATAGTACATAGTCCTTGGAAATTGGATCACTATACAGTGCCGTGCGTCATGAGAGCGCCCAGCGCCCTCCTCTGAGAGTCACAAGGATGTAATTACGCTGACTTAAACAGACGTAACTTAAAGTCAGCGTCCTATAAGTATTTCAATTTCAAACCATGACGAGACTAAGTGCGTATTGAATGAGCCTCGCCGAGGGTATCTCCGAACGGAATTATCCAAACTGTATCGTACCAAAGGGCATTAATATTGAAACGGTTCAGTTCGACGTTCTGGGACTAGACTACCCCGGTATTCGCTGACATAATCTGTCTTGCCAACATACTTACTACTACATAGGTCCCTGCCTGACGGCCTTTCCACATGGCGGCAGTCACTGTGGTGGCCCCAAGCTCTCCCTATACATACGAGGAATGACCGCTGTGCAAATTGCTGAGACCTCCAAATGCGAGTCGGACCCGAAATTATAACATTGAAGACACGCCTTGCAATCGAGGCATAATGTTAAGTTACCATCCTTCGAATCCGTGAGATCTGATCGGACCTTATTGGCTCGTGAGGACCTAGAAGCAACCGTCCCTTGTAGAAAGATGGGGAACGTGCCAAAGTCCGAGCCAACTCCTTGAACCTTACAAAGTGAGCGGTGTTTTTTTTAGCTTGAGTCGGTCAGTAGTTCATTCGAACTGTTGCTGCTTTTGGTACGTTCCCTGCTGCTGTACCCTCCAATTAGCCACGGTCCTGCCCTTCTTCGTACGAAATTCGATTCGGCTTGAGTTAGCCCATGAGGACCTAGAAAGCAGTGTTCAACATTTACGGCCGGTACGGGATGGCATATGTTATTGGCGTTAGAAGCCCGGACAACCGACCTATATAAAGTGGCGAGCAGGGTCCAGGTAACTTGCGTGACCCATCATGATTCTGCCCATCAAGATGCCACTCTCTGTTAATATGTCCACCATGCTTCTTGCAGGCATTGGGGGGCTTGTGGCTTCTTCAGGTTTGCTCGGTATCTGGAATATGTTTCGTCACCCTACTGTTTGTGCGGTGATCGCCGCCTCCATCTCTTCGAAATCCGCAGTTTATTACAATGGTGTGTACTAAGACCGAGACCAAGACTAAGTGTGAACGAGGCTAAACACCGACAGGATCGACGCTCTATACAAAGGATAATTATCATTGGGCATCTTCGAGTAGTCAACTATCTGCTTGCTCCTTCGAACCTGGCACCACCGAGGACCTCGTTAAAGCGGTTCGTGTTGCGGAAATAAAGACCTCATGCCAAATTAATCTCATACCACAGCTTCAAATATTGAGAGTTACCAGGACGCCGTTTGCAGTGAGCAATGACTTCTTCAGCTTGTGCTTTTATCTTACGCAGGTATCAAATAGGTTAAAAGCGGCGGTCACTCGACAAACCCAGGCTTTTCGTCAACCCCAGGCGTTCAGATCGCGATGTATTTATTCTCGGACATCACGTATGACTCGGATTCCCAGACAGCAAAAGTTGGCACTGGTGCGATATGGGATGACGTCTATTTAACACTGGAAGAATACGGCGTGAATGTTCTAGGGGGGAAAGTCACTGGCGTCGGAGTTGGCGGCTTCTTACTTGGTGGAGGTATGGACGTCACTAGATGGTTCAAACGTGATATAACATTTTGTCATTTGATCAGGATTTTCGTTTCTGACAAACCAGCATGGGCTAGCAATCGACAACATAGTAGCATACGAGCTTATTTTACCTGATGGCACGGTGACTACAGTCACCAGCTCCAGCAACCCAGATTTGTACTTCGGCTTGCGGGTACGTTTTTCGTCATCTAGATTTTCAATATTTTGAATTCTCATGCCACTGAAGGGGGGTTTCAATAACTTTGTGCGTGCTCCTCTGATGAACACCGCATGAAACCATGGACTAACTCCCATATAGGGAATTGTTACCTATTTCACTCTCAAAACGTATCCTCAATCTCAAGTTTGGGTGAGACGTCATACCATAGCGTATCGTGCATCACTCACGGTGACGACTATAAATAGGGTGGAAGTCTCGCATACAGTCAAGATCAACTCAAAGCGGTGAACGCCGCGGTCGCCAACTTCACTGCGAACGTTACAGATCCCAAGGCATCAGTATATTCCACATATAACTATGTGTCTGGATCGGTAAGTATATTCCAAAGGCAATCTACGTGGGGTTGCGTGCTAACGCGCTGTCGCGTAGCCCATCTTATCGAGCGCGCTGTTCTATGATGCGCCCACTTACCCAGATGGTATCTTCGATGACTTCTTGACGATTCCAAACATCGGGAAAGACATTTCTACCCGGACCTTCGCATCCATGGTCGATGTTGAGCCAGTGAATGACACAGCTGGCCTTAGGTAATTTTATTGGTTTTATGCCCGGCGTATACTCACTGCGAAACAGAGCTGTGTTCAATGCCATAGCGGTCGAGGAGTGGACGGAGTCATTATTGAACGATGTTGCCAATGAGACCCTCGTGAGCACACCTGTTTTGATTTAAGTCATCTACTGACAGGAACGGCTAGTTCTACAGCAACAAGTTGGTAAATAGTAGCGTGGTTGAGATCACTTACAACGTGAGGCCCTACCTTACTTCGATCTTCAGCCACTCCGATATACCATCTGCATGGCCGGATTCACGTGAACGAGGCTACTCATACTTGGAATTCTTCTATGCATGGAAAGATTCAAGTGAAGACGACCTCTTCTATGACATCGTCGATACCAGTTCCAATTATATGGTGTCGCTAGCGATCGCTGCAGGGCAGGACGTTGGAAATGTGGTTTCGTATCCCAACAATGCAGATCCTTCCACAAGCATGGAGAAAATGTACGGGACAAATCTACCGCGTCTGCGGCATATCAAGAAGGCTATTGATCCAAGCAATGTGATGGGACTCGCTGGAGGGTGGAAATTCTAGGTGGGAAATGAAATGCACGGTACATACTATCAGATATATTCATCGTCGTGATGTCATGTTAATAGTGGATATACGGACGGAGAGTATACGGAGGCGTGTCCTCCAGTTGGATAGCATGAAGACAATGAGTGCCACTACTTGGCAGTACAAACAATTTGAAATCCATAACTTCACTTCGTTGTTGAACTACTGTCATATCAGCCCGACAAGTCTGTCCTGTAATAAGTAGCACTGCACTTCCAGCAGTGGCAGTGGTACCTCAGGCTATATTCCTCCCACTTCGAGTGCACAACCCATACATCCAAATAACGTCTACGCGACAAGGGCGACAATAAAGTGCGACGATACAAGTGACTCATTTATGTATCTACCATTGGAAGTAGCCCCGTGGGCGTCTTGTGTAGGCATATAGCTGTTCCACTTGGTGCCAAGCTTTTAGCTGCGCTGCAACTGCCTTTGCGGTATCCTCCAGTTTCTCATTTTGAGTTTCTGCCACATCCACAACGTGCTGCTGTCCACCAGAAGTCGGTAGCACGAGTTTGACTTGCATAGGCGTGAACGAGATAGACAGTTCGCTGAATAAAAGTCTTCCCAAAAAAGCCACGCATATCCAGTGTGCCTGCCATACAGCCCAGCCTTCTCTGCCGACAGCGGCCTGCATGATAATCTCGTTCTAGATGGAGAATTTCCCGTGCTCACGGACCCTGTTTCATGGTTGTACACACCGGCGTTCCTCAGGGGAGGGTGTGTATCCACAATTCCATTCATGACGGCACGGTCTCGAACGAGGTCCTCTAGCCGACTGCGCGGCTGCTGGAGGTCGAGAAGGTCGTTGAATGAATTTTCTCGCTCGATGTGAAGCGACGAGTCATCGAGCATGGCATCTGCACGGACCTTGAGGAGGTTGAGGACTTTGGCCTCGCGCTGCAGGGGTTTGACCCCATGACTGGTAATGCGAGTAGAAGCCAGGGAGGAAGTTAGACGTGGATTAGAGGAATATGGATGGTGTATCATCGAAGTGTATGCGGATAAGTATTCGCCGCGCAGTACATGCTCGCATGCTTAATGCCATAGTGAGTTCTGCACATCAAATAATTTTACAACGCGTACTAATGTATTGACCCGCCGAAGTTGTGTGAAGAGCCAACGAAGTGTCTTCCCTTCCGAAATCTGTCTGGCATCAATCCCAGGTACTCATGGGAGAGTCATATAGACGATCTTCAACAGGAGATGGGGATGTACGTCAGAGAGGTTGGCTGCTTCACGATGAAATTCGGCAGGGGGAAGTTCTGAGGTGTAATTTGAGACAGCACGTTGTATGGATTGACTCATATGTGTTAACGTGGTTGCGATAGGTTATAGGGAAGTCGTAGTAGCCCCTTTTATTCAACTTTTATTTCGCCCCTTTTATTTAAAGTTTTTGTGCACAAGTATTAGTCAGGCCTCGGAATTTACATTAATATTAAATTACAACAGCCTGTTGTAAGCCCGTTGGCTTCCCACAATCAGCATAAATACTGTCCGCGATAATGAAGCATGAAGCATGAGCTTTCATCATCACTGCCTTTTGGCGTAACGGTTAAGGGACGACAGTCTTGACAACTTACACCTGTCTCCTTCCTCGACATTTCATGTTGACATTGTTCATCGCGTCCGGTTAGCAAACAACATGCAGACAGCCAACTCAACAGTCAATTTCTCACTGGCGGTGGATATCATCGGTGCGCTGTAGAACATTGTATGTGGCCAGTTTTATAGGCACTCGCGTCTGAATATAATAATAAATGCTCGCTTCAGCTCGCACGTTCACGAGTTTGAATGGTATATCAATTTCGTGTGCTAAGTATATCGAATGCCGTTTATTGATGATGACCAGTCACCGGATGGCCCAGACCTCGAAATCCCATACTCCTGAGCCAGTCTCCTCAATGTTAACCATTCTGCAAATCGAGCTCAAAGACCAGCCCATCAGCGCCATCACACCGAATGGCAGCAGCAGGCTGGCAGCTGGATGCAATTTCGCATGAGTTCTCCGACCTTGGAAACAGTCATGGACAATATCAAAAAGTTTCACCAGCACCTCGTCGCAAAGCAGGACAGGATCACTCAGTCCATGAATTTGCAATTTTGCATAAGGGATTCGTATCGGCTCTCTGGCGCTTGCCAACCGAAGTCCTATCCCAAATTTTCATCCACTGTCTCCCGGACACCAGCCACTTGTCGCCTATGTCGGGGCCAGCATGGGGCCCCCATACTGTTGACTAGAGTATGTCGACGATGGAGGGAGGTTGCTGTGGGCATGCCCAGTTTATGGTGCAGGCTGCAGTCGGAAGGCAACCACCGCGGCAGAGACTGGAAGTCATACAAGTTCCGGTTGCAGGTTGAAGCGATCCATCGTTCCAGTTGCATATGATCGAGTTCAATCCCTCCGCTGTGGCGCATGGCATCGGTAAGGTCACTCGGAAACCTACGACAACAACTATCGCGTCAGACGTGGAGGTGGTCTACGACAAGGTTTTTCATGCCTACCCTTGGAGTATTATACTGGACGAGGAGAGGATGGTGATATCTACCCTCAAGAAAACTGAATATGTGGGTGTATCTTTCGACCTAATGAAGCTAACAAGCTCCCTCGATATATTAGGTCTTTCTAAAGAATTCGGAAACGGATGGCGTCGTTTTTGATATGTAGTCTATAATTCGTTGCAGGCATAAGCATGTACGCAATTTAGCCTACCGCGAAAATGCCATCAAACCTTGCCTCCTTTGCGCACGCTGTTGCATGCTACCTAATGCTAATAAATCATTGAAGCCAAATCCATACAGGGAAACTCAAGATTGTGGCCGTTCATATCAGGTGGAACCTGCAGCGGGAGCCATGCATTGAGTAACATTGTCGATTTTTAACCACACCAGCAATTAGACTTCATAATGGAGGACACGGTTCACAACACATACACCAGAGAGCCAAGGTCCCTCTCTGCCTGAGCCAATCTACGCCATGTGCTGGGGGTTGATTTCCTGGCAAAAATGCCGTTCATGTCTGAGTGATACTTTGCGTCATTCCGCACACCGCAGCCAAGGAATATTATAGCTATCTGACCTCATTCGCGACTGCCCATGGTATCGCGGTGGCTCGTGTGTTGAGGTTGACGATTCGCAAGAACATAGTCCAACATATGGTCTAATCTTGGTGCAACTATTTCACCAAGAGGCACTGGAAGAACGATTTTAGAGAAATGAAAGAACATGGATACTGCAGGGTTCTTATCGAGTACTTTGCACACGTCAAGTAGAAGCGATCACGGACGAGTCGGAATGAATTGAAGCTGGATTCGAATGAATGCTGAAGATATACCTGATTCATATGAGATCTGACTCAATGTTTACTAGCTTTGTGGGGCGGTAGAAGGTTGATAGGTAGGATAACAATAGAGACGGAAGTTGAACTCGATTTGGACAAGTAGCCTCGTGCCTTCCTCGTGTGTTCAACGAGGCCAAGTCAGTTTTTTTTGTTGAACGACTCTTGAATTCCTCGTTCTCTCCAGGTTGCGGTATATACAGCTTGCTGATAGTATAATCAAGATGGACTCTAGACAAAGCAATCTTCATGACAAGCTTTTCTCAAGGGGAAGCGCCACACCTCCACCTTCCTCTCAACCATTCCCGATAACTCAGTCTACTAGTTCTACTACTACTACACCTCCAACTACTACCCACCTCGATTCACTATTTCAGTCCATAACAACTCAGCAGATTCCACACGGAAATTCTGCACCAGCAACTCCTAGCATGATTGCTGATGATGACGCCTCGACCCACTCCGCTCCAGTATCAACTACTCCTGCAGATAGGCAAAGCGCTCTCCTATCATTGTTATATCCCGCTGCGACCTCTTTAACTGCTACTCGACCACTCCAACCGTCATCAGGTCCTATCATGCCCCAGCAAGTCCCCTCTCCTCCTGCTTCGTCTATAAGATCAGGTCAATCTCCTTCAAATACCAGCGAAGCTCAAGGAAAGATTCTCCTGGAACAGCTCATGGGGTGAGCACTCGTCCATTTTTGTCTTCTTGCTTTTTCGTGCACGGACCCTGCACTTCATGTCCACCTTCAACGGATGGTCGACTTTGCAGCGTGTTGATGGCACCTCGCCTCACACACGAGGCAACTTTGAGCCACCTTTTTCTACCCAAAGTGTCATCTCACTTTGCGTCTTCCTTTTTCCACCACCCAACATGACCTCTTGGGATTACCTCGATACATTCTTTGCTGATCTTTATGACAGCACCGCTCCCCGCTCCAATTTTTCGGAGCCTGCTCCAGCACCGATTTCCACTTTGCCGCCTATGTCTTCCCCGCAGTTCCAGTCCTCCATGGGGGACAAGTTCCAGCCATCCCAGTCCTCCATGGCTGACAAGTACCATCTCAACGAAGGTTCATACATGCCCCAAGAGCCGCCCAGGGATTCGCCTCAGCACAATCAACCTGTTCCCCAGCCTCAACAGCCCCAGCAGCAACCCCAGCAGCCCCCCTCTCCCCGCAAGTCCATGTTTGATTTCGTTTCTCCCTTTGATGCTCTTGCCTCTACGTCCGCTGTCAAGAAGAAGCCCGTTCCTGCAGGTCCTGCTAGTGCATCCAGCACAAACGAGGACTCCTGGACCTCGGCTTCCCTTGGGTCTCTCAACGACCCAAAGCGCAAGTCCGTCGAGAACCTTATGGACCAGTTGACCAGGTCCCAACAGTCCTACCCCTCAGGGCAGACTTCATCTCCTACGTACGACCCTTACAGCACCACGGACGAATATTCCCAGGTGGAATCACAGCCGACTCCTCAGCAGCAACCGCTTCATCCTCGTACTATGCCCCCACCTCCTCCTCTTCCCCCCAAGCCTGGCCGTTCCGCGTCGCCTCCTAGGGGCTCTCCACCGAAGCCTGCTGCTCAGCAGCCGCGTCCCCACCCACGGCCTGTCGAGTCCCCTCTTGGTCAGGCTCCCATGCCGCCTGCAAGGCGAGAGAAGGACGGTTCACCTGGTCCTCGTAACACTTGGAAGAATGAGGGTAGAGGCAAGGGTGCTGCTAAAGGAAAGCCGCAGACAAGCCCAAGGCAAGCGCCGCACGTTTCTCACACGTGCCTTCAACTTACATTTGATTCCTTAGCTCGCAACCTCAAACTATTGTATTTGATGTATCACAGCCGCTGGACGACGTGCAGGCTCCTAGAGATGCCGTGAAATCTACCGCCATTGCTTTGGTCAAGCAGGACTCTGTGTTCTTGCCTGGTACGACCATTGGTGCTACCCATTGGATTGCGTATGCCATGACCAAGGGTCGCGTTCGTGTTATCTCGCGGTCAAGCGGTGATCGCACTCTTCTTCAGCTGCCCACGGTCTTTGCGCCTTCGACGTCGGTCATCGACATGGCTGTGTACGGTAACAGGCTGGCGGGCGTCACCTCTGACGGTGGCTTTGTGGTGTGGGAACTCCCCGAGGTTATCACAGATGATGTGCCGTGAGTATTTATCTGTGCTAGGGATCTTTTTGGTCTAATCATATTTGCAGTGGGCGACTTTTGTTGTGTATCGTTCCCAGCGCTGATGCCGACCCTCTGCACTCCGTGAAATGGCACCCGAAGCAACCTGATACTCTGGCAGTTGCATCTGAGACGAAAATGTATCTACTTGATCTAGCGGACGCTGCGCGTACTTTCAGGGGAGAGCCTTTGCCGCAAGTTGAATTGAATCGTATTTCCCAAGTATTTTCCGTGCCATCAGTGAGTTCTAACATCTTATCCTCTCTGATATCTCCTCATCCTTTTAACAGCGCCTGGTTGCGTTTGATTTTGATGTTCCTCATTTTGCATTGGCTACTATCTCTGAGGACTCCACGCTCACTTTGTGGAACGTCCACGACAAGATGCCCTTCTGGACCCATCGTGTTCGCGGCGACGATGTGCCGTCGTCTTTGACTTTCATTGATGATGGAATTGTCATCGGGAGGAGGAATGGCACCGTATTCCAGCTCTTGTCCGTGATCACCAAGAATGTCCTTTCTACATTCAGGTTCGTCAACGGGAACAAGGAAGACCCTGACATGTTCGGTCACGTCAACTACGACTCCAGGATCCAGACGCTCTGGGTTGCGAACAACCGTCGTGACAGTCTCATCGCACTGCGCGTTGGGTTTGATGTCTCAGGTTCTCCCTCGGGCGAACTCGTCCGTGGCGGCTTCTTTGAGCAGGTCGTAGAGTTTTCTGGCCCGAAGCCAACAATTCATTTCGTGATTCTCTCGGCCGATGCGGACCCTACCGGTGATGAAGCACATGCAGCTTGCGTTGCTGCTAAACTTCCCCCTGGAGACCTCGCTCTCGTCGCATTTTCCGTGCACTCGACCGGTGTGGACCAGGTCCTTATCCGGAAGGAGTGGTACGATACTGCCGTGTTAAACGCTCTTGCCAAATTCCCGCCTTACATGCCTGCGGCCCCCGTGGAAGCAAAAGGCACTCGTCACATGCCTCCCGCGCCCGTGTCAATCAGCGGCCCTGCTCCTGTGACACAGCAGTCTGGCCCTATCATCGCACCAGGCAGGAGTAGGACACCTCCATCTGAGGAGCTCGAGCCTGATATCGCCCGCGACGAGGTCCGTGCGCACGACACGAAAGGAAAGAACGTGAGAGGCAAGAACGTTGCATTCAGGGATCGAGACGCGGCCAAAGAGGCTGAGAAGGCGTTCAAGGGCGATGCAGGCGCTAGCAGTGACACTGGTATCGCCCTGGTTGTCACCAAGGAAATCAAGAAGAGCGAAGAAAGTCTGCACACTCGTATAGGACGGCTGATTGGGAAGGAGATGGATAAGCAACGTAAGTGGTTGCTTGTTTTACTGCTGGGTGCGAGATGCCTTATGCGGTTTTGTTCCCAGACCAACGCCTCGAAGAAGCGCGCGCCCATGAGCAGGCTGAGGATTTTAATCGTCAGGAGAAGATTCTTAAGCTGATCTCGACGGAGCTTACGAGGAATACTACGAGGGTTGTGGAGATGGCTGTCAAGGCTGAAGTGCAAACCTCGGTGTTACCTGCGCTGGAGCAAATCACGAGGACTGAAGTTCGAGCTGCTCTTAATGAGCATGTCGGTCGGGGTCTGACTGAGTTCATTCAGAACGTATGTTGTATTTTTTTTCTTTGCTGGAGTATTTTTTCTGACCTTGCTGTATGCAGAGCCTTCCGAACGAGATCGAGAAGCTCCTTTTGCGTCCTGACATTTCGAACCATTTCGCTAGCATTCTCTCGACGAACTTGAACCCTCTCATTGAGCGTTACATCAAGGACTCTGTTACCAAGAACATCATTCCGACGTACTCCCAACAGACTTCTGCTATGCACCAGGATATCCTTCGGGAGATGCGGGCTGAGATTTTGAACGTGAAGAAGGATTCGATGACGTGGCAGACTGAAGCTGCGCGGAGTCAGGAAGTGAGTGGTTTTCCCTTCGAGCTTGAACGAGTTCTGACAAGTTATGTAGTCCTTAATCCGGGAACTCGAGCACTCCGTCAGGATGTTGTCGGACCAAGTCAAGTTCTTATCATTGAACTCTGCCGCAAGCCATCGTATAACAAGCAGCAGTTCCCCCGCTCCCAGCATTTCAGGCATGAGCTCTATGAGTCAGGGCATGCATCGCTCTCAGAACCTTCCTCCTGCAACAACGCAGGCCCCGGTGTATGGCTCTCAGTCTCTTAGTTCGTTTGTCCAGCCACCACAGCCGTCGCAGATGCATGCTACGTGGTATCCTTCTACGATCGCCGCGCCGCAAGCGTCGCACCCTATCGCGCCTCCTCAGCCGCCTCCGCCTCCCTCTCAGCGGTCTCCCCCTGCTCAGCATGATGCTTGGGAAGATACTTATATGGCTGTTCTGGGTACGCAAGATCCGAAGCAGCTTCGGGAGTTACTTGCTCGTTCCAGCCCTGAGGTTGTGATGCCTATGGATAGGAAGGGCCCGTTGTCTATGGCTGTCATTTTGTCGATCTTGCATCGAGTACGTCGTTTGTTGAATGCGTTTTGTGGAGCTTGTTGATTGATCGTGTTTGTTTATAGCTTGCCACTATCATCGCGGAGACGCCTCCTGTTGATGAGGCTTTCAAGTCATCTCTGTGGTGGATGCAACGCACTGCTACAGTTTTGAATGTTAATGTAAGTAGTCTTGCCGCAGCGCGGGTTGTGCTCAACTGACACCGTTTGATTTCAAGGAACCTCTGATTGCACCATACGTCGCGCGGGTATTGCCCAACGTGAAGGCAACGCTAAATACTACCAAGCAGCGACTTGCGATTCTCCCCGGTGGACCTCAAACGATGGACGCGGCACGAACCATCTCTGAAATCCAAGATATTCTCAACCGCAAAACGGTGTCTGCTCCACAAGGCGGTCTCTGAGAGAACTGCCTTTTTTTGCAAAAGAGAAACGCGATATGATGCGTGACATTCCTTTGACTCGATTTACTGGTTTCTCTGCCACGTCTGTTACGAATACGAATGCAAATGCTTTTAGGCTCATGAAATTTCTTACGCATGTTTCGTTTCTTGTTTTTTTGCTGACTGCTAGCGCTGATTGTTCTCGATGATGGCATACATACTACCTAGTTAGTACCGTAGTTTGCGCGCTTGTTTTTGTGACTTGTAGTGCAGTGTTTTGATCACATGTCATGATAATCAACTTGGAAATAGTTCCTTGCTCAAGCGCTCATCATTGCACATGACAGGCCTACATCGGCAGATCAAATGGAAGGACGTTGGAAGATTGTTTCTCCCTCAGGACAACTTGAAGGGGATGCTTATCTTCCATCCAAGCTTAGCCTGCTCGGGACCCGTCAATTCGCCCGTGATCATTCCTTGGTGGCCCGGGCCAGAACCACAAGTAAACTCGAACGTGTCGCATGATGCGTTTCTCCGAGTCCCTGAGCTGAAGTTAGGCTGTCGGGGCTCGCCCCGGAGTCTCCTGCAGCCTGGACTCGTTTACGTCTGAGACTTTGATTGTACGTACGGTGGCCCTGCGAGTGCGACTGACTATAGACTCACTAGGCTTGTGCTGAGACTTCTGTGTCAGCGATGGTATCTGCGACTACCAAGATATACCTGATTGCCCTTCATACATCCCTCGCTGGGATGTTGTGGGGGTTAGATACCGGTGCGTGTTCATGTTTCCGACCTAGGGAAACAGCATGTCTAATCAATGATCATCTCCTCCAGGTTCCATTGGTCCTATAACCCAGATGGAACAGTTCGCCAGCTCTATTGGCCATCTCTCATCAGGCGTCCTCGGGATTTACGTCGCGTGTATTCTTCTATCTGCCTCCTTCTCTTCGCTATGCAGCGGTTACGTAGCTGACTTGCTATCCCGCAAGTACGGTATCCTAACCGGAGGCATCGTAGTCCTCCTAGGAACGATCATCTCTGCCTCCGCGAAAACCTTCCCTGTTCTCGTATGCGCACGACTGATCACTGGAATCGGACAGGGTCAGAGTATCTCTGTCGTCACCATTTACCTCTGCGAGATTTCTCCGCAAGAGATTAGAGGGACGGTTGCGACGATGTTGCAGTTGCTCATTACTATCGGGATCGCTTTGGGGTATTTTGTCGCTTATGGGTCGTCGAGAATTGAGGGTAGCTTGGCTTGGAGAATTCCTTTCATTTTGGAAGCGAGTATGGCTGCGATACTCGTGTCTGGGATGGCCTTTATGCCGTATTCTCCACGATGGCTTGTCGAGAGGGGGAGGATAAATGAGGCTCGTGCGGTTCTTCAGAAGCTGCGTGCTAGCAGCGAGCTTGTGGAAGAGGAGCTGTGTCTCATTAAAGGCAGTCTTGAGGAACAGAGCCGGGAACATGCTTCTTATCGTGAAATATTCCAAAAGCGATACGTCAGACGGAGCGTTCTTGGTGTATTTCTGATGGCCTTTCAGATGTTATGTGGGGTGCGTGTTGTTCTGTGCTGCCGACGATAGGTTTTATCCGAAACCTCTGTCTCTAGATCGACGCAGTTCTTTATTACGCCCCAATCTTGTTCACTCAGGCTGGTTTTTCATCGACAAGAGCAGCTTTCCTTGCTTCTGGTATTTCCGGAATAATCAACTTGATATTTACGATACCTGCCCAACTGTGGGTCGACAAGTGGGGGCGAAGATTTCCTTTGATCGGTGGCGGTATTGCTATTGCTACGTGCTTCATGGCCATTGGCGCCTTATATGCGACCTATGGTGGAAAAGCAAACGGAGAGGTATACCTGAGCGGCAAAGGACCGCAATGGGCTGTCATCATACTCATATACATGTTTGTGGTACGTATCACCCACGTTGCGTTGAATCACCCACAAAGTACTAAAGAGCTGATGTGCAGGCGAGTTTCTCGTGGTCATGGGCTGTGGTAGGTTGATTCATTATATTTATTCACTGTGAGTTGATATAAACTCGTCCAGGTTATTAAAATATACGCATGTGAAATCATACCCACACGCCTTCGCGCAAAAGCATGTGCTATTCAGCAGGTTAGTGACCAACTCCTAAGTCTTCCTCATTTGACATCTATCAGCTCAGTAATTGGCTGGTGAATTTCGTTGTCGCCCTTACGGCGCCACTCTTTCTACGGGCTTCTCCAAGCGGTCCATATTTCTTCTTTGGCTCGGCGACGCTGTTCACCACGGTCGTCTGTCATTTTTTCATGCCGGAGACTAAAGGGAAGAGTTTGGAAGAAATTGAGGATTTGTTTGAGATGACACCTAGGGCGATAGGTCACTCAGTATCGGCGTGATTATATGTGACGCCAGTGCTCGATCAAGGAAGGTTGATCAGAGGGTGTCGCTACTTTTGCGCTACGCGCCCCAGTTGTATGTATCCCAGAATGTGCTACGACTTTATGATGATGCCGTGTATGCAACATGAATTTTCCTTCATAACACAACCGTTCTTACGATTACAAAATTACATACAGATAACTCCGTGTAAATCATCAAGTAACATGCATGATCGCAGGATCTTAAGATTAGTTTTGTCTCTCTTTGTTAGTAAGGTTATGTATCTAGACAATGACTAGAAGCCTAAAGAGCGGTTATGACCGTGCTCATGGCGTGCCTTCCTAGTGATCACTCCCCTAGATGAATCATCCTCGCACTAGAAAAAGGGACGATTCCAAGGGCTGACAACCACGCATCAACCCGTGCGCAATAAGATCTATGATCACCTGCAAGTCGCACCGTGGCACTGAGAATGTAGAATTCGACGAAACCGCGGAGAAGACTGCTAAGCGCTAGCCGATCGCTGGCTTTGTATTTGCTGACCCCTATCACTGGACATTTCTACTGACCATATTGGATACTACCAAAGCATCGAGTCCGACTTTAGTCTACATCAATTGGTCCGGGTCATCAACCACCTGTTTTGCGGGGCGCGAGGACCTGCCCTCCACTTAAGGGGAATTGACACATATCCAACAAAGGAGTCGGCGCTTGTGATTACTGTCTGCTCACAAATATTAAATCATGCTGGTCTTCATCACAGTGAAGTTTTGAGTTTCCGACGATGGCCAAATAAGTATAATGCAGGGACCCCTTGCAGTGAGTATATGAGCTCATTGGAAGTCACTATATTGGATATATACCTGCAGCGAGTACACGAGCTGCGGGAACCATTAGCTAGGCATAAGTAATGTAAGTAATCCGACTGTACTGGTCTGTGCGATCCCATCACTGTACTCCTGCGGCTACTTCGTGCCACGACTTCTCCTCCGCACTGTTGCCTGCGCTAACACTAAGGTTTATCCACACCCTACAATAATGAACAAAGGTGCCGCGGGACATGTGCGGTGCCGGCAGACATCTTCAAACGATTTTCCTAGGTCACAACGTCTACGTTTGGCTGCCACCTGCCGGGTTGGAATTATGTATCCTTGAGCTCGGTAGTCGGTGGACGCTTACGCTGCTAATGAATGACTGCCTTCCCTCTGCTATAGGTCTGGCTAAGGATGCCTACACAGGCAGCTGTCTGCGCACGATGGTGCGTGATCCATCATGCACGTCAATTCGAAGACTCGGATATGAGTTTCACTGGTATCAGAGACTCTGGAGTCCAGGTCCTAGCGCGGGTCCAATTCGATCCGACTCGGACGAGCATTAAAATGATAGAGGGAAGACGGTCTCTCTTATTGTCTCAAAAAAAACCTCGTCGGAGTGGGGAAATGCGTCTACAATCGTTCCGAGCACGATGCCCCGTTCGTGACGACGGGATCAGCCGCGATGTCGTGAGACTCACAACTAAGTGAGTCACCATAAATTCTATCCCTTTCGCCATCTCGATCTGCGTGATCTAGTCAGATGTCACATAATTTTCAAATGTCGTGTCTCTCCTACAACATTAAAGAAAGTTTTATTTTAGTACATCACTTCTAGGCAGTTGCCTGAGTTTTTTCGAAGCAACTTGAGTGCAACATCCAAGTGTTGTACACCATCTTGCAAATTATGTGTCATGACCCGGAATGATAGTACACACGACAGTGTTCGCCCTTTGACGATGTCCTGCGCATTGCGATTGTTCTCTTTAAACAGACCGTGATTTCATGCCACTTTACATAAGTAACTGTACATGCGGACAATGAGCGAATATTCCTCCCATCCTGCATCACGCCCCTTCGCTGAAGTTGATGGGAAAATAGTCCGCATGGGTGATTATAATACAAAGTGATGTAACATATCCACGTATTAAAGACGTAACAAGTTCTAATGGCGAAAGCGACACCACCGACCGATATAAGCATTGTACAACACGTTGACCCAAAGCGGCCAAACTCCGAGTACTCATCCCACCCGGTCATCATTTCTACCCTAGAGGTGTGCAACACCCATATTACGGATGATGTCCGTTGGCACCCTGTAGTAGGGGATCTGGCCTGCAAGGTCGATTGAGACAAACCCAACAACAGTGGTGTTAACTTACTGTTTGCCCACAACGCTGAAAACATAGAGCGTAAGGACTCCGTTTGAAAGGAAGGCCACACAACCCAAAATGGTTATGACATTGACAATGATATTGTCAGACCAGAAGCAGGCGATAAATATAGCTGCATAAAGAACCCCATAGGTCATCAGTAGGAACACGTCTGGTACCTCACTTACATATGAACAAAAAGAAGGTAGAGACTGCCAGACAGATCGAGGGCCATGCCAACCACACCAGCAGACAGATAACCTGATGCCGTGCCATGGTCTGCGCCGTGTGTCAAACCGTGCGCCGACCTAGACAAACTGACTCACTTTGAGAGTTTCCATGTCTTGGTGAGTAGTGCTAGTTTCATAGATAACAAGGACAGCGGCTCCGGATATCACGCTGAGCAACGCAGCACCAAATGAAACCATGCCGAGGATATACGAGGTTGAATTGCCATACGCCATCAAATGAGTCATGGGAGCTGGTGACGACAGGAACAGAGTAGCCGTTGCAAGTACCAGACCGGCCTAAAGCCTGGTCGTCAAACACTAGCCACGAAGACCAGATAATATCAAACTTACAGTGACGTTTGAGTTCTGGAAGCGATTGACCATCATTTTGACGTGTTCCTTCCATTCACTGTTTCTTGTATCATTCCAATGGTCGAGAGACTTCTGGGAGACTGCAATAATGCACAAGATTTGGAACCCCAACCTCAAAATAGAATTTTTAGGAGCCCGACAGTTTTGGGGGACTTCAGAGGCTGATATAGATGTCACCATCATGATGGCGGGTATGACTAAGTGGGTGCTCGAAGCGGGGCTGAGCTGTTTTCAAAGGTGCGGCTTGTAGAAGAAGCAATAACAAAGTGATACGGTTTAGACGATGTGGGATGGAAGACACCCACAGGACAAAATTCTCGCAAAAAGACTTATGGCATCGGAACATCAATCAGGAAGCGAAGAACATCAGGAAGCGAGGAACATCACATTAATATTGCGCGCACAGCACACATAACTCGTTTATAACGTTTATACTTGTTCAGAAAGATCGTGGGAATCGAATGTCCGTGGCATAGGGGTTGCGGTCAGATCTAAAGTAGATTAGGCGCTTGATTTTAGGGCTGTCCACAAGGAACATGCGTTTCTGTTCATTGAAAATCGAGTCCCCTTCGCCGACAAGAGCGCTCGCTTGAGTGCTATGGAAAGCCTCATATGTCATGCGTGAACCGTGGATGTACAACAAGTCTAAGAAGTCCTAGGAAATGTGTGCGTGCTTGTTGATTGGTGTCCTTCTATTGGCCTAGCTCGATGGGCGACTGCTTTATGACACATAGATAGGGACGCAAGGAACAATCAAGCCTGATAAAGCCTAGAGACTCTCATATCGAATCAAATGCATGCCCTTAGTTCACAAGCTGAGGACATGGCGGTTGTTGAGAGGTTCCGGCAGATGCCGAGCGCTCCCGAGCTTACATACGAAGTATTGCATGATCGATCATATGCATCAGCTCTACGGAGTCAATTTGCAGGTGATCAGTCCTTCTTCCTCAGTAATCTCCGTATGTAAGTAGGTTACAGGTGGCAGTAGAAGGAAAATAGTCATGCCTAGAGTCTCTATTATGAAGATAAATCCGTCTAGATTAATGTAATACAACACCCTGTTTGAATAGCTTGCCAGTGGAAGTTTCAAGCAGTATATATTTCCAAGATCACTTTTAATATTAGTACTTATGGTGGTCAGATCTGAAGTAACTATAGTCTCGCAATGGCTATGTTAAGCTGCTACCACTGCAAGTCATTAAGGATTCGGCTTAAGAAATGGTTTGTATTTCAAGGTACTGACACTCTAGCCTGGCAGCGTAAACGCAGTCCATCTTCACAGCCGGCAGCGAGTGATCCCTCGTCCCTATGTGAAGTATTTGAATGCAGCAACCTCATGAGCATAGCAGCACCTTACCAGCATGACAATATGGGACCCCGTCTTCCTTGTGACCCCACCACATCACAGGCGACCACTCGTCCACGAGGTTAGCAAGCGTCTGTAGGTGGCCGTATGCAGCTGGCTGGGGGCCGTGCGGTCGGAGCAATGCAACGAAAGTGAAGAAGCAGGCAAATAGTGACAGTGCGAAACATAAGTTCCAGATCTGCAGGAATGTGTAAGTTGTAGCGGCTGTACATGGACAGTATATGCGAACCTGGGCTGTAAACATATATATCCCGATCACTTCTAGTGTTTGGCTACCGCCACCAATCAAAGTGAATGAAAGCCCAAACATCCAGTCTATATCGGTGATAATGTCTGTATACACCGACCAGAAGCTGGACGCAAATGACTTACGTAGAGCAGGCTTCGTAACTAAAAGTACAAGACTGAGCGGATTGGTGAGAACCGGCTTTAGCGGGTTTGTGGCCATGCTAAGTCCTTTCCTTCCAGTAGCGCTTCTCCAATGCCTTTCATCTCGAATGACATTCGCAATGAGCTCTGAGCAATGCAACCCAAGTGTCAATGGTCCCTGGACGACCGCCAGGTTTACGAATGACAGAATCCACCACTGGACACTGACACCTCCGGAGAGTGGAATCACGTAAACGAGTGCGTTAGAGTAATCATAGCTGGGGAAGAACGACCACGATTCCAAGCCCAACGTAGGGGTCTCGAATCCATATTTGTTGGAGAGGAACATGACGAGTGCGGCCCACCCAGCGCATGCTACAACGAGCGCCCAAAGTGAAATTATAACTTTCCGGATGCTAGGGTGAGCATGCCACGCGGATGGCTGTCTCTCTGATGGCTTCGCTGGACCTCCACCCACGTCTAGGTCAGACACGCCACGCATGCACCGGGAAGGAGCCGGCGTCAATTGTGTGTGGTGGACCATAGCAGCAGTCAAGTCGAAAGATGAGGAGCTCCAGGTCAATATTTTGACAGCCCGCAACCCTGACAATGCGATCATCACCTGAAGAAGCAGCGCGATGCCCAGCAGGAGGAGAGGCAATCCTGCGATGCCAATGAAAGTCACTTCTACTCCCATAGCTCGATAGTTGTTGTCGAAAGACAATATGACGAGTGATGCTGAGTTGTAGGATATGATGAGGAGGAGAGCCGTGATACCATTGAGCAGGGCGCCATTGGGTTTGCTCCATCCACGAGCTGCAGTCAGAAGGCGCAGATTTGTATTGAAACGAAGCCGACACTCTGAAGCTAGCGCAGACCGCAAAGCAATGCTGTGCACGAAGCCCGTGGACTCTGTGCATAATGTGACGATCAAGTTTAGTATCAGAACCAACATCTCTTTCTGCAGATTGTTGTTTATTCCTATTGGAATGGCCCCGTTGCCTCTGCGAGTGGCAACAATGACAGTGCCTGCAATGATGCAACAGCAGCTGACAATACACGAGCACGCCACTCCAACAAGGGCATATCTGCGGCTTGTCAGACTGCGGTCGTAGAAATCGTTTCCAGTCTCAGCGGTGGTCTTCGAGTAAGATGTTATTGAGTCAAAGTCATCCTGGTGATCCGGGAGTGCTTTATATGCAAGAAGACTGGATGCATGTAAATTTTGTTCTGTCGGCTTGGAAGAAGTTGCCATGAGAGAGGTGGAGAAATGATGGCCAACACATCACATACACCTAGATTAAGTGTGTTTTTGGCAAGGTACTCTGACATGCTGAGTCGCGTAAACACAGCCCCTGGGTGTATGTAACTTGGTGATAGAGCTCGAGCGCATCAGAGAACTCGTTAGTCTACCCCTGCAGGTACTGAGCCATCCACGTAATCACTCAGTATAGTAAAGCTTACTTATTTGTGTTCTAACACCCTGACAAGGTGTTTGATATGCTCCGGGTGTAACTTATCTCTCTAGGATCTATGGGATCTGGATCATTTATGATTATACAAGGTTGCAAATCACCACTATAGTCTATGCCGTCTCTCGCAGCTGCAACCGTTGAAACAAGCTGTTCCATCCCGTCTTGCAAAGTAGCTGTCATAATTTGCGAGGACACAGACAAGACAAAGTTCTGACCGGACTGGTGGCCACGAGCCATCCCTGTATGAACCACGCGGTCGACAACTACTGTCCACCAGTCTCGTGCTGGTCGACTGATAAAAGTTACGAGTTATGAAGTATAAGCAGAATGTACTCCGGTACTCCCAACTTTCGCAGGCGGCAGGAGGTGGTCTCTCGTAGGCGGACCAAATTGAAGGAAGACGTTCATCTGACTGGCTTTGAAGTTCCGATAAGTATATGTTAGTCTCCCCTACTCAGACCATATAGAAGGAAGACAGTCGCTTCTTCTGAATATATGTGGTCACTGGTGAGGTTCATCATAGGACCATGGGTTGATTTTCCAACCACGCGACTGACGCGTCGCGTTTATTGAGTTGGCAACAAGCACACACAAATATCCTGAGTAAAATTGCCGCCGTCGAATATCTTGCCAACGAACTCTATCTAGTTAGATCATCTGACAATATTCAGTCATCATGATTTCCACCACTTACGGCGCCTCAAAGCTGGGTTCCTGTCGGCTTTCCACTGAAATTCCAGAAACCGTCGTTCGTCCTAACGTTCAGGCCCGTGCCGCCCAACCCCAAGAAGATTTCCGCCAGCCTGGTCGTGTCGACCCTTTGCATATCAATGATCACTCTCCTTCTGCCCGCCAATGAAGCCGCCCAAAAGTTCCTCAGCGTGAACGGCGGTACCGATGTACCGATGTGGCCGTGACAATGCTTCTGGCGGTATCCCTACTACTCCCAGTCGTCGCCTGCCCGCAGAATTGGCACTACCCAAAGGGCCAACAATCGATAATCCATGTACAATAGAGTTACCAATTTCACCCTCGCCATCCTTGCAGAAGTCATTTTTACCATTCCAGTAATCCTCGCCACCTGTATTCGAATCAATACCTTGCTTCCTCACTCTCAATTTGCCGAATTTCGCCTCCAAACGTAACTGTTTATCAATTACTTCTGACACTGCCCTCATCGCCTGTGATGATAACATATTCTCTGATGAAGCCTCGTACACCAAAGACATTGAGTTGTCTGGTGAGTCATGACGAAGGGACTTTCAACGAGGTAGGGAGCACCATAGCCTGGACCTGTGCCCCCGTACATTTCACTCACTACAAGACAACTATGCTACAGCACACTGTTTGAGGAACACGAACCAGCACACCCTACGCACGATAAACATGAACACAATGTTGACTGCGGCCATCCTCGTCGCCTTTATTCAAATCAATGCCTCTCGATTTACCGACTTTTGCCTCCAATACTACCCTCGTGGCCCACGACAACGACTTCTTTTCTGACGAAGCCGAGAAAACCAAAGACATTGAGTTTTCTGATGACGCGGTCAAAGGAACTTTCCACGAGGTGGGGAGCATCATGGCCTAGACTTGTGTCGCCTAATATTTGTCTCTAAGGACGACTTTGCTACAGCACAGCACGAACCAGCACACATTACATCTGACAAACAAATTACACGAACACCACCGTGACTTCGACATTCTACCCCCGACAATGACTCAACATTGACTCTGAACCCTCTTGTCTGCCGAACCTTCGACCGATTGTTCTAAACGACAAATACCAGACATTATCTATGAATACCAACCTTCCTCTTCTTTGATCCGCACACCCTATGTGGTTCAGAAGCCTCTGACACTCGTTACGAAACACGCTGCTGGTCGACTCAACCTCTCCCCCCTACTGCACTTTTATATTAGAACTTGTCCCGCCCGTATAAGCTCTAGTTTAGCATACAGAAAAAGGTACGGACATGCTCATCGCTAGACTACGCCACTCATCATTATTGAATGCTGCCTGTGGTGACGACCGGCGACACGCCAACAGGATCAGCCGGTCATTTCTCGTAGCGTTCAGATTGTTTGTTGGGATCAAACGCCCCGTTCTTACAATAGTAGACGTCACCTCACGTACGTGTACGAACAGATCCGCGTCGACCACGCAGCCCTCATCGACAGCTGGGTTGCTGGCATGGCGGAGGTGGGGCTCACCGGACACCACCCAACGTCGCCAGCACCATCACTTTTTCCCATAGTTGATGCGATTTCAGTTCCAGAGCCCGGTTTACGAATCAAGGCTTGCCTTGCACCACTTCGCCAGGGAACACATACCGTCGCAGCTGCAATTCCAGCCGTCATCATCACCACCACGTCTTCATTACTCCGACAACACATATCATGATACCTTCATGAAGACCATTTTACGGCCGCCTACCTTCACCTAACCGCCAAGAAGCACCCCCTAGCATACCACGAAGGTCACAGGCCACGAGAATCGAAGTGAAGAAGACGGCCATTTCATGACACTCAAGATACCACGACGATATCCGAAGGAGACCACTCTATGACGCTCAAGACTGAGAAGACGAAGGACACCGCGACCATCAGAAAAACACCAACTCACGCCTGACGCCACTAATCAAACGGCCCACGTCATTAGGAACACGATATGTCCCCACAACTCTAGCGAGACGAGATTCGACCCGCTTTCAAGTGCGACACCACGTCCTTAGCTACTGGAGTCGACCTACAGAAAACCGAGTGACCTCGTCGGGTGGAAATGCTTCGCTTATATCTGCATTACCCGTTTCCCTGGCTTGAGCCGTCTGCTCTGCACATTCTTGTACTCAATCCCTTACGTTTTGTTGGCCGTATCTCTTACATTGGATCATATCGTCCTCTACACTTCTTTTAAACTTCGCTCCATACCGTTTGGACCCGAGATGACATAGGTGTCGCTACTAGTACTTACCCATCGAAAATTACAATGCCATGTATCTCGATCAACTTGAGTATGGTTCGCGTACCATGGCAACTGCACATGCAAGCCCAGTGAATGCGAATGCTAAGCCTAGTACTCAAAACAGTCACGGCTTGTTGAAGCACCTGAGAGGCAGACATGAAAATGAGATGCAATTGAGCAGCGCAACAACATAGATTAAGCGGAAGACTGGGTAAAATGAACTACTGATCGAGGTCCCTCGCTGAAAACAATAAGCGCCTTATTACACATTGGCACAAGAAACTCACTTAAATCCTGATATCTAAGATACCGGACAGGGTCCAAGCCCATCAACCGAGAAAGTAACTCTACGCACTCCTGTTTCAGGGTTTGGGAATTCGGCAAGTGATTTTGGAGCAGGAGTCGCTTATAGTGGACTAATGACTCCATGCACCCTGTGGAAGAATAAGTAGTTGCGGAAATAACCAACACGATCACTTGCATTTGCTGTCAGGTTGCTCTTGGAGTAACTCCGTAATGAGTTGTATCTCGCGTTCCAATTGTGATTTGCTTTCCCCTGTTCAATGTGTCATGTTAGATTGCGTACAAAATAATCCGTGCTCGAACCAGAGCCGATAAGCCATCTATGGTATATCCACGCGCTTTGATCGTCTGGATCAGTGTATAATGCGTTGCTTACGAGCTCGAACTCTATAAGAAAGAGTTCGGAAAAGTTACAACCCGATTAAAAAGGGCACGCACCATCATCTTTCGACTGGACAGGATCCAGCTGACCACTCTCCCAAAGTCCGAGTAAGGTCTTAGACCTTTGATGCCATGCACTAAAATTGGAGAAATTCGCTCCAATCTTGCGAGACGTGTAAGCCAACTCTGAAGTCTCAGGCCTTCTTGTGGGCATGTTCGCGAGGACGTATCTGCGATAATTCCAAGCGTGGACTAGAAGAGATGAGTGTCAAACATGTGCGAATACAGTGGCGAGACGACTGACAATTCCTCGCATCTGCATCAAGCATCCTCTCCGCTACAAAGAGTTCCTTGTCCCAATTTGCCTGTCTCCACTCCATAGACGGTATCCCATTGCGTTCCGGCCCGTCTGGGACATTCTCGAGACACCAGCAACGGTGATTCCATATCCAGTAGACTTTCGGATTTGCTTTCAAAGCCGTAGTGGTCATAGAGAGTTCGTTAGAAAGAACATCATGAATTTGCTCGGGAGTACTACGAGGGCTCTGATTTTGAGCAAGTTTCGCGTCACCTTCATACGTGCGCACCTCTGGGGAAATATGCCATTGAGTAGGATGTTCCGGCGATAATTCCACACGGTGTAGAATTCAGGGTTGATCTGAAGCAAACGCTGAGTTAATTCAAACGCATCATTGCTCCACTCCTGTTTCTTCTTCTGCACAGATGGCAATCAGAAACACGACAGTGCACAAGCAAGATTGATTCGTACTCGAGATAGTACATTGTCTGTTAACACCTGGTACTCTTCGATCTTGGACTTTTCTCGCTGTTTCTTTTCTGCAAGAGCCTCAGGAGTCTGTCGAGTACGCTTGATGTTATGCTATTCTATGCTCATTCAAATTGTGCGCAGAACGATCTGAGCATGACTCTTACCATCGCAGTTGGTGCCGGTGAAGAGGAAGCTAAGTCTGGACTTATTTGGTTATCAATTACTAGATCAGAAAATAAATAAATAAATACTCTTCTCAACCTACTTACCTGCTCTGGGCTTCAAGTTCGTTTGAACTTACCAGGACCTCAAAATGCCTTCGGTCGCAGAGAAGTCGACTTCACTGGACTCCCTGACGTCCCAATTTCCTGTGACGCTCCCAATACCGACGCCTACGACCAATTCAAACTTGCTGTCCATTAAAGATGTTCAGCGCGAGGAAGACCTTCTCCGAAACCCATCCTCTTTTCGCGCATGGTGGACAGCCATACATACGACGAAAGATGCGTTTAGCGCGCAATTGAAGGCAGAGCGACGCGCGAACTTGCCCGACGAAACCATGACACTCCTCGGTCCACTCGCGACTCCATTGACTAGACATTCGTTGCAGTGTCTAACTTACCTTTACGAAGCAGCCATTGCTCAGTTTCCCGGCTCGTTCAAACTATGGAAGTCTTACCTCCAGATGAGAATGTCCTATGTTCTCGGCAGACAAGTTATCAAGAAAAGGGCTGGCGGAAGGAAGAAATTACCTGAGATGAAGGATGCTTTAGAAGAGGAGAAGGAGGACCTGGAAACATGGGAGGATGGCCTTGATGGAGTCGTAGGCTGGGAGGAGTGGAGAGCGCTGATTGCGACATATGAAAGGGCCCTTATGTGGTTGCCCAAAGTACGCTCTATTTCCAGGGAACCGTCATATTTTGCTAATTGCAGAGTCATTTTAGCTACCCAGACTGTGGCTAATGTACACATCAGTCTTCTTCCACCCTATGTGCCCATCAGTCATCTCTCATACGCATGCTCGTCGGACATTTGACCGAGCTTTGCGTACTCTACCGCCTTCATTACATTCACGAATATGGGTTCGATATCTACTCTGGGCCGAGACGAAGGGCGGATCTACGACAGTGACCGTCTACCGACGTTACCTTACTGTCGATCCAAGTGTTACCGAACACTACACCTCCATCCTACTCTCCCCTGCAGACTCTGTGCCGCGGCCCCTCGAAGCTGCCAAGCTCTTGCTCTCACTAGCAAGAAAAGCATCACGAGGGGAGTATGTCAGTCCAGAAGGGAAAAGCCCATACCAGCTTCTTGGGGATTTCCTTGATATTGTCGAGCGATTCTCTGATGACGTTGGGTTTGACGTGGATGCCACAATTGAGTCCAATGAGGCCAATGCAAAAGCTGATGCGGAAGCTTCGCAGACAGATGGTCAATCAGCGCCTGTGGACGGGCAGCTCGTGCGTATGGGCGGTCCCCCTGTCCTAGTTGGAGCTGACAGAGCACACGATGAGGATGAAGATCCTCTCAGCCCACGGAAGCTCAACATAGAACGCATCGTCCACAAGGATGGCCTTGAAGTTTACAAAGACCAAGCTGGCCGTCTCTGGACTGGGCTCGCAACCTACTGGATTAAACGTGGCGAGTTTGATCGGGCGATAAGCACCTTCGAAGCGGGCATCGCAACGGTATTGACTATCAGGGACTTCACGCAGATTTTTGACGCGTATGCAGAGTTTTGCGAGTCATTAATTAATGCAATGATGGAGAGCCTCGAGAATCCAGACGAAGATGAGGACGAAGAAAACGCAAAGGAGACTGAACGAGAGATGGACGTTAAGATGAAGGGGTTCGAAGCTCTCATGGACAGAAGACCGTTTTTGGTCAACGACGTCTTGCTCCGAAGAAATCCAAACGACGTCCAGGAATGGGAAAAGAGGGTTGCTCTATGGGGTGAAGATGATGAAAAGGTAAGCGTTGGTCTGAAGGCCGAAATTGACTCGCCTGACGTACTCAGGTGGCCGAAACGTACACCAAAGCATTGGAGACTATCAATCCCCGCAAGGCTACTGCCAACCTCCATAGAATTTACGTCAACTTCGCCAAGTTCTACGAGGAAGGCGGATCCTCAGGTTCGGCGGAGCCTGACTTGGATAGTGCCCGTAAAATCCTCGAGAAAGCTACGAAAATAAATTTCAAGGCGGTGGAGGACCTCGCGGACATCTGGTGTGAATGGTCAGAGATGGAGCTTCGCCACGAGTGAGGATTGTCATTCAGGTTTTCACCTGATCTAATTTACTGACTGTCCCCTCTTAGAAATTATGATGAGGCCGTGAGAGTCATGCAACGTGCTACTGCTATTCCTAAAAACAACAAGATTAGCTATCATGACCATGTGAGGTCTTCCTGGTGGACTACTTTTCAAATTTGCTGATTTCCAATAGTCTCTACTCGTCCAAGCCCGATTGTTCAAATCCTTGAAACTCTGGTCATTCTATGTTGACCTTGAGGAGTCAATAGGGACCGTTGAATCGACGAAGGCTGTCTATGACAAGATCATGGATCTGAAGATTGCCAATGCCCAGATTATCGTCAACTATGCTGCTTTCCTTGAAGAGAATCAATACTGGGAGGACAGCTTCAAGGTGCGGCTGATCTTGAACATTTTTCTGGAAATCGTTTGACAGCGTATATACCCAGGTGTACGAGCGTGGCACGGAGGTCTTCACATTCCCCATATCCTTTGAAATATGGAATATCTATTTGTCGAAGTTTGTGAAGCGATATGTACGTGCTTTCGTGCTTGACTTTTTTCTTATTTTGTTCACACCTTTCAGGGAGGATCCAAGTTAGAGCGAGCTCGTGACCTGTTTGAACAAGCACTAGAAAAATGTCCACCGAAGTCATGCAAGCCCTTGTTCCTGATGTACGGTCAATTGGAAGAGGATTATGGTCTAGCAAAACGGGCCATGGCGATTTATGAGCGTGCAACTCAGGTTGTCGCCGATGAGGACAAATTTGAGGTACCGCAATCAGTTACGTTTCATATGGACCTCCGCTTACATCACAACGACAGATGTACACTATCTACATTGCGAAGGCCACAGCTAATTATGGCCTACCAGCCACCCGCCCAATCTTCGAGCGCGCACTCGAGGTTCTTCCTGACAAGCAAACTGCTGAAATGTGTCTGCGTTTCGCAGCATTGGAACGCAAACTTGGCGAAATCGACCGCGCTCGCGCTATCTACGCACACGCTTCCCAATTTTGCGACCCCCGTGTCAATCCCAAGTTCTGGCAGGAGTGGAACAGCTTCGAAATCGAGACGGGCTCGGAGGATACATTCCGAGAAATGCTTCGTATCAAGCGGAGTGTCCAAGCTCAGTTCAATACCGAAGCATCATATCTCGCTGCCCAAACACTATCGGCGAAACAAAATGGTACCTCGGAGCAACCATCCGCCGCTCAGGCAGCGGACCCTATGGCTGCTGCAGAGCAGCAAGCAAGAGGTCCCGCATTTGTCGCAGCCAAAAAGACAGCTCTTCCAAGAGCAGATGAGGACGAAGCTTCGTCCGCGCCAGCCTTGGCGCCACAACAGGCAGAGAACGCTGATGAGATCCATATATCTGACGAGGAAGACCTGTAATTGGTGACGCGTTGTTGTACGCTGGGAGTATTGTTACTTTGTCTAATTGTTTTTATTATCTTGCGTCCCATCTTTCTACCTCTACTTCACAAAGGTCCTCCCATTTTGCGTGCCAACCATCATCTCTTAAGAAAGGCTGCTCGACCCATTGATTGATAGCGTTTCGAGAATGTTCAAAGGACACTGTATGAGTGCGCAAGATGTCAACTAGCTCCTTATGAAGTGCAAGCGACCGATGATACGGAGTTGTCAGCCCAGACAGTGACAGCACTACAAACCCCCGTCAGTAAGTGATGGCGAGAGGAGAATGTTAGTGTACCAAATTTCTCGATGGGCCATGAAATCCACAAAGGTTCCTCGTGGCACCATTGAAAGCCCTTTAACTTCTCCGCTTCGAACATCAGAGCCTCCATATTATCGAGCACAATGCTCATTCTCTGCAATAACTTCGACTGACAAATTCATTATTACGCGAGACACAGGACAGGCACCTTCTTACGAGCTTCATGAGAACCGAATCGAGTTGAGTGATACATTCATCCATCACGTCGAGCTTCGGACCAACCATGATTGACCCAGGCTGCATATCGGCAGGAACCATGGCAAGTGCGTTGCTGAAGAGTTCCATAATCACCCAACGGCTAAGAGGACGAGAGATTAAGCACAAACTCCAATTCGGTGCGAGAATCGACCAGAGTCCGCGCAGCTTTTAAGCCGTCGACGAGGACGATGTCATCCCATGTATTGGCGATCGAGCGCAACTCGTGGAGCAACGTTCTAAATTTTCGATGAATAGACGCATCGGAAGCCCTTGATGGTGATGCTGGCGTCACTGATTTCTTTACTTGTGACACGGGGGATGATGTTGGCGTAGACGGGCCATGAAATGATGCTAGGCGCTTGCTCATGAATGGAGCCCAAGGGGTATTTGTTTATTTCAAAAGCCTTTACCAAATAGTAAATAGCGTCAATCCACTGAATCGACTTGAATGGCCTGCATTTGCCGATATCGACCATGTCTGACATTACTGCGGATCACTCGTATTTGTTGAGATCAGCAGCTGAACTTGTACTGACCGAAGTTTGTCCTTCAAATCGCTTTAGCTGTTCGTCGCTCAGATCGATGGCAGGCTCGCAGACAAAAGGCAGAGAGAACGAAATCTCTTGGGTCTCCAATCCAGCTCACCGGCAACGCAATCGACATCCAGATTCGTGGTAACTATGCATGGATTGCTGAGAGTGCGCATGTAGCGAAGAAGATCGATTTAGAGGTATGTTTCGACGACTCATCTGCATCACTCGGCTTAGGAGGTCACGCGTGTTGCAGACAGGAAAAACCTTACAGATATACAGAGGTCACACCGCGCCGGTGACCTGTCTCGCCTTTTATGACAGATCCCCGAACTCGGGTGATGAGAAGCTTCTGATAACTGGGTCTTGGGACAAGGCAAGGGATGGTGAATATAGCCGTTCAAGGGATACTGACTCCTTCCGCTAGACCATTAAAATATGGGACACTGATGTATGTATTGAAACACATCCCATGTCTTTATAGGTAATAAATGCAGGCCATATCGTGCAGACAAAGGGCCTCATCTCAACGACTGTTGCTCACGATGATTTTGTCAAAACTCTGCTCGTCGTGCCGTCTGTGAAGCTCTTGGTCAGCAGCAGCTCCGATAAGATCGTCAAATTCTGGTAAAACGAACTCCTCTCATACTGGCGGTCCTAATATTGATGCTTAGGGATTTAACCGATGTTCTCGATACGTCACCACAGCCTGCCGGGTCAGTCTCGGCTCATAGTCGCCCAGTAGAATGCATTGCTGGCATTGCCAACGCTGATGGCTCCGTCACGCTCTTCACTGCCGACACCATGGGAGTATTGAAGGTGTGGAAGCTAGAAAAGGAGGGCGGGTCGCGACCTCGGTGGCGAAGCACTCTTCGGGACACTCTCAACCACCATCGAACACGCATCACTGAAATCATTTATGATGCAGGGTGCATCTGGACAGGTGATAATGATCGCTCCAGAGTGATGTTTAGCTGACTTCCTATATCAGCGTCATCGGATGAAACAATTCAAGTATTACCTTACCCACCAGGATCTTCCGACCAGAAACCCACCCCACCCATCACGCACCCATTACCTGTGCGAGCGATTCTTCCACTGGCGCTCTCCGATCTTGAAGAGCCATACATCGTGACTGCATACGGAGACGTCATCCGCCTGTATGATGTCTCGACGCCAACCGAGCCGGAGGTTATGGGGGAAATTGACGCACACTGGCACGACGTCACTGCGCTGAGGTTGTGGGTTCATAAGAGTCGCACAGACGACGGAAGAACACGCATCGAGCCATGGATAGTCAGTACCAGTCTGGATGGCACTATTCGCAGATGGCGATTTAGTGGTAAGTTTTATATGGTGGGTATAAGATACATCCAAATGATGTCTGTAGAACTGCACGATTCGAGGCCAGACAACCCTGCAGGACAGTCGAAAGCTACAGTTATTGCTCCCACTCCCCAACCCAGAGGCGATTCTAAGGATCAAGTTGGGCTCACGGAGGAAGAAGAGAGAGAACTCGCAGAACTCATGGAGGAAGAATGAGATATATACTTCCAGTATGATTGCAGCTGTCAAGTATGCATTAGGTAATGCTCCTCCCACCCGGGATAAAATGGGTCTTCGTTCAGCGTCCTCTCTTTCCAATCTTTTGGGACCCAACCTTTATCTTCTTGCTCTTTCACCCAGTCTTGTAATGCAGGTATTAACTTGTGCTCGATGTGCCACGTTCCTTTATACTCCATGATCGCCTTCTTTCCTTCGAGTAAAACCTTCAACACCAACTTTGGAATGAATGGCTCATTGCGGAAATCCGTCACCGGCGTAAATAAGGCCTTGAAGTTGAACACAATTGCGCGGGATTTTGGCAGGCGACGTAAGGTTTGCCAGTCAAGTCGCAGGTATATTTCGGATAGAGGGATGTCCGGGTTCTGATGTTGACGATGATTCCAGCCGGGTTCATCCGGCTGAAGATAGAGAGGTTCCCCGACTTCAAATTCCCAAGACCCTCGCTGAATGGGCTTGTCACAAGGCATCTTGGAAAAGAATCTGTGAATTCATGCGGTGTTGTTATGAGTAATGCCTGACACGTTCACTACGTAACTTGCCTATCCATCGAGAACGCCATTTTCTCTTTGTAATCAGGAACTGGGCTATGGATTTCATGCAATGGTTTGCCCATCTTCTGACTGATATTCCAGCCAATTGCTGATGTCGAGACGGCAGCTCGTAGGGTATAGAGCCCGGTCTCAGGGTCTTCCTGGGTGATGACGAAGTCCTCTGGGACATTCTCAAGTAAGAAAACCAGTGGATGCACAGTTTTAATGTTGACTGTGGAGTCGAGGATGTGGTTACGGAACGTCGAAGTCCATTCATCATAGTCAAACTGTTGGGGGTACCTTAGGCAGAGATACTGAATAACCATTTCCACCAGCTCCTTTGAAGCTGCCTCGCTCCCGGGAAGCTCATCTATGATACGTTTGCCATGGAGGGCATAGAGTTGTCGCCGTTGCGCGATACGATCACGATAAGTACTCTCTAGCTCCAGCCAATAGTCTGGCTCCAACTTCTTGAGGGCTGTGAAGGGCACAGATAAGCGAAGGATATTGAACATGATGCGATACACATACACATGTTCTGGTGGTATTCCCATCGGAAAGGCCGGTATGGGCGAGGACGAGCGCGGGCTATGTTAAAACCATGTATCGGCTTTGGATGGGGGAAGCCTGTCAACTGAGCAAAGTCTGGTAGTCCTCTGCCAGCTACCAGAGCGGCTTTCTGTCGCAGAAACTTCCAAAAGTTGCGTGGGGAAGCACCCTTGCTGTAATACACGGCAGCAAGGCCAAGTGCGACAACCACAATTCCTGTAACGTCCGGTATGCTGATCATGGTGTTGGTCCTTGGAACGCTGGACAAGTCTTTTCAAGGTGATTTAAAGCGGCACATATCAGAGTGACTCTTTTTACCCATGCTCTGGTGATAAGACGCAACCACGAGACCAACACGAGACCAACACGAGACCAAGAAGTTTGTGTATCCGATAGGTTTGTCGTGAAAATAGCAATTCGGGATTCCGTGGGACTGCCGTGGGACTGAACCTGACTGATCATAGCATTAAGAAGGTACTCAGAATACTTAACGAACGTTCGAACGGGTATCTTCATTTGTCTATGGTCTGCTAACTATTAGGGCAGACTAAGGTCGCCCAAGTTGCTCAGCGCTCCCTGCTCCCGGCAACATGAGTATGGTCGTTTACTTGACGAAGATGGCACTGCCTGTCACAGGGGATGTACATTGTAGATAATCTCCATCCTCGCTACAGTAAGTAACGAATTTCTCAGTACGCGACTCAGAACCGAGATGTCTGTGGTTCAACGTTGGAGATTTCAATATAAAGCGGCGTAAAACAAACAGTAATATGGCACGGGAGTCTAGGCGCACCGACCCTTAGGCCTTAGCTTCAACTAGCAAGAGTATCCGTATACTCCGGTCGGATGATGAGATCGAATTTGCAAGGTATGTAGTTGAAGCCGGCGCTGGATTCCTATTCGACGGCAACAGCTGGCAGAGCAATTGGAAGCCTGTATATATTGGACAAGACCATAAATTTCAGGTGACTATTAGATATTAGATGCTTCGAGATTATCGAGATTGAGCTGATTCTAACACAATTATCTAGATGATGTTGAATTCCTAAATTAAACACTCCCTCCTTGCACTAAACCGTTCTGTTTTTGATTTGGATGCTACATTGTCGACCTTTGCGTCAAACATACAAACAAAACGAAGTTTTGCTGCCGACGAAAGCGGGTGGGAGGTCGGAGAGGAAATAACTTGGGAGGCTCAGGTGATTGACTGAAATGTGGGATGCTTCAGGCTCACTCGACATCTAGATGATTGCCGCGAGGTATTACATACGTCAATTGATAACGGGCTTGCGGACAAGTCACTGCAACATGACCTCGGTGCATTCAACGTTCGAATTTCGAGCGCTTTGATGAGATCATCATGAGGTACTTTATGAAAAGTGAACAACTGACGTTGATCAACTTAGACCAGTTCGTTTCACGTCGAGTTAGTTCAGGCGATGCGAAGGAGCCGGCAGTCATAACGTTCACAGAATGCCGCACTGGCACTGGAAGAGTAGCGCACCCTGTTGCCAGTGGTGCTCCTCCCTGCATGGAATAGCGCAATCTGAATGACTTTATTTCCAGTTTCATCGACGCACGTAATTATCTTTTAAGCTACCGTCCGCGGGTTTCCCAGCTGGAAAATAGTTCCTATTTACCTTCTCGCCCAACTCTTGGGAGCCTTGTGTGGAGCAGGTGTCGTCTACGCCATTTACTACCATGCGATCAACCTCGTGGAGGGAGGTTCCGATACTCGTACAATTGCGGTAACTGGTAACCTGTTTGCAACATATGCGGTAAGTTCTGACCTTCTGTTGGCACAACTTCCTCTGGCTTATGTGTATCTAGGCCGACTACCTAACTTCAGTCACCGCCTTCTTCGCTGAAGTGAGTCCATGCATAATTAACAGCCTTCAATCCCGTGCAGACTAACGACCCGATGTAGTTTATAGGGTCTGCCATGCTCATCGTTGGAATTTTCATGTTCACGGATAAAAGAAATGGCCCTGCGCCTCCCGGTGTTGTTCCCGTTGGAATATTTTTCGTACTCCTTGCCATCAGTTCGGCTCTTGGCATGGATACTGGAGCGGCCGTTAATCCTGCCCGTGACCTGGGCCCCCGTATCCTCACCCCCATGGTTGGGTATGGTCGCGAAGTCTTCAATTACAGGAAGCAGTATTGGCTCTGCCGCCCTATTCTTGGCCCGATTTTTGGCATGCTTGTGGCTGCGTTCTTCTACGATGCTTTGCTGTACAGCGAGCCCGACAGTGTTTTGAATAAACCGTGCGTTCTACTGTTGGTGTGTGGTGTAAGTATTGAACCGTTTGTTTTTAGGACGGTGGAGGCTAAAAGGCACCACTTGCACTCAACGAACCAATGGGGTCGCAGAAACCGTTTGATGGCAGACATTTAATAGCGAGCGCCGATAATTGAATGATACTTGGACATGTATTTTTAACTGAGATTTCTACACTGTCCGATCTACTTACATAGTACATCCTTACGGTATCTCCATATATACTCAAGTGCAACACCGTCTGAGTGTAATTTGGACATCCACCACCATCAATACTCGTCAGAATGTCCTCTGACATCGCTCGCGCTCCGTTGATGAAAATTGATCTCCCTTCCCCCGAGGAGTTCAGGAAGAGGAAAGTTGCGCTGATCTCTGGTTCGTTTCTTCTTCATCTTCAGCGTCAAGCAGGCGATCGTGCCATCACCCCGCCTGTTCTTATGCCTCAACCGCGATTTCAATCCTGGCGTGTCGTATTTATCGTATGCTGATTTGAAATTGTAATTGTGTAGGAATAACTGGTCAAGATGGATCGTATTTGTGAGCACGTTCCTCGTCCAGCCGGTTGCTACTTATGTCCTTACATAGGGCGGAGCTTCTTCTGGAGAAGGGATATGAAGTGCATGGCATAATCCGTCGCTCTTCCAGCTTCAATACTGGTCGTCTAGATTCTCTCTATTCGGATCAGCATGAGCGTGCGCGTCCATGTAAGATCGTATGACCAGCATATTGACCATTCTCTCTAGGACCTAACAAGTTTAAGTTGCACTATGGTGATCTCTCTGATAGCACCAATCTCGTCTACATCCTCGCCCAGGTTCTCCCCTCGGAGATCTACAACCTTGGCGCTCAATCGCACGTCAAGGTCTCCTTCGAGATGTCAGAATACACTGCCGATGTTGATGGCGTCGGCACCTTACGCCTCCTTGACGCCATCCGCACCGTCGGCCTCGAAAAACACACGCGGTTCTACCAGGCTTCGACATCAGAACTCTACGGAAAGGTAGTCGAGACCCCGCAGAGTGAGACCACGCCGTTCTATCCTCGCAGCCCATATGGTGTCGCCAAGCTGTACGCATACTGGATCACGGTAAACTACCGCGAGGCGTACGGCATGTATGCGTGCAATGGAATTCTTTTCAACCACGAAAGTCCAAGGCGAGGGAGGACGTTCGTCACGAGGAAGATTACCAGGGCTGTTGCAGATATTAGTGTCGGTAAGCAGCATTGCTTATACCTCGGTAACATTGATGCGCAGAGAGACTGGGGACATGGTAAGATTTCGTCTATCGAGTCCTACCGCCTCATCATGTTTCTAATAGCTAAGGACTATGTTGAGGGCATGTGGCGCATGCTCCAGCAGCCTACGCCAGAAGACTTTGTTCTTGCCACCGGAGAGACTCACCCTGTGCGAGAGTTTGTCGAGAAAGCCTTCATAGTTGCTGGGGTGACAATAAAGTACGCGTCCCGTGCTGATGTATGTCACATCTAACGTGTCCTCGATTCCACATAGGTGGCGCAACTCTGGTGTCAATGAAGAGGGTTATGACGCTCAGACCGGGCGGGTGGTAGTTAAAGTTGACCCACAGTACTTCCGACCCGCAGAAGTCGAGTACGTTTTCTTCATCGCGCCTCTTCCTGCAAATACTCATGCTTGTATGCAGCCTTCTCCTTGGCAACCCTGCCAAAGCCGAGCGTGTCCTCGGATGGAAGCGCCAGGTCGACTTCGACTCCCTCGTGAAGGAGATGGTAATTGCTGATTTGAAGGCGACGAAAAGCCTCGTGGAGGACCAGAACTGAGGAGAATGCCAAGGCCAACAAAAGATTTGCAACCGTGTAACCATGTACAATTCAAGGACTCTTTCGTGTGGACTGATATTCTAGCATCGTAACAATCCAATATCATTGACGCAATTCAATTGTGTTCGAGGTATAAAGAAAACAAAGATCCTACAGCGACGCATGCCACTGCAATAATAATGATAATTCGATGTTCATGTGAGGCCGCGCAGATGGGAATTACTGTGGACCTTATTCTTACGATACGACTCGACTTGTAGAGGTGTCCAGGTAAATCGCCACTCATAACTTTGCTTTGCTTGTCATGAGAGCTGAAGCTGTTTTCAAGCTCGCAGCTGCTGTTGCAACTAGCTCATCGACACTACATAAAGATGTCAGTATAATCCAGAACAGAAACGGGCTATCGTACATCTCCTTCGCTGGCTTGATATCCTGTGAAGATGCATGAGTAAACGGGTTTCAATCAGTTTGTTTGACGCACGTTGATGGATCCTGCGACCTTACCCATCAACCCTGCATGTGAATATATAAGATCGAGCATGACAGTCCGAGCGAGCCTTCCTTACACATTCGTCCCTCTAGAGATTTTTCGGGATGTGTTTGTAGTTCGACGTCATGCGGGATCTTGCCCTGCGCGACAAGCTCTGCAATTTCCCCTTGTCGCCGGGTCTCCCAGTCTGCAACATAAGGAGTCTTCCGCACATTTAACGGACGACCGCTATATATGAGAGTACGGATGGTGTCGTCATGACCAGCTGAGATAAGTTGTTCCTTGTGTTTCGGCGGGGCACTTGCTTCGGCACTTGCGACAAAGCGCGTGCCAACCCAAACACCGGATGCACCGTAGCTTGAACAACAAAACGTTACTAGGGAGCGGGCGTATACTGGAAAGTGCTCACGAAAGTGCGGCAGCAAGACCACGGCCATCCGCGATACCCCCAGCAGCGACGACGACGACTGGCTCACCTGTTAAAGGGCTTTTGGCATTCTTGCAAAGGTCGACGGTTGCTGGTATCAGGATGGAGAATGGAGTGTCGCCAGTGTGGCCACCTCCTTCACCACCTTGCGCGCAAATGATGTCAATACCTAGAAGATTGTTGGAAAGGGTGAGTAAGCCGGAGCGAAGTCAAGTGAGTTTCGCACCTAACTCGAGGGCTTTCCTGGCATGCTGAAAACATTTATTTAGACACATCCTTCATCTTATCAGAGAGTATATTACCTTTGGGTGACCGATCATGCTAAGCTGTATTTAGCCATTGCAACATCACATACGACACACAGACATACTTCATGACCGGGATCCCAGCAGCATGAAGCTTGTCAACAGCTTCTTTGGGTGGAACCCCTATAGCAGAAACGAAAAGTGCAGCCCCGCTGTTTATAATGATGTCCAACAGCTCGTTGAGTTGACCGTTCGTGTAATCATACTGGGGCCCCGCGTGAGAAATATCTGTCTCTGAATAAATAAAGACACTTACATTCGTCTTCCGTGCATTACCGCCCACTTGAGGAAGTAAGAGGTCTACGCCAAATGGTGCGTTCTTGTCTTCCAGATAGCTCTTGAGTTCATCAATGGTTTGCTGGAGTATCTTGGGACTCAGGCGAACTCCCCCAATGACACCAATGCCACCAGCATTGGTCACTGCTGCAGCTAGCTTGGGCCCTGCAGCAACACTCATGCCTACACACGTATGAATGTCGGTATGAGAGCCAAAATACAGTAAAGTCACCTGCAAGCATGACGGGATGATTGATCTTGAAGAGGCGCGTCAGAGGCGTCGAGAACACTGGCTGCGAGGAAGGCATGATGAGGGATCAAGTTGAAGATAGGAACCGAAATTCGAATGGGAACCACAACTCTTCCACGTACTCGGCAGCCATTTGAGTGAGGATGCATGCCACGACGGAACAACTTGCCGGCTAAGATGTGCCGCAAGCGCCCAGACAACAATCACGTGTGAAATCCGACCATAGAGCTGATGACTAATCAAGACTATCTTTGCTTCCGCCATGGCAGACAAATGCCCAGTAGACCACGGCGGCCATTCTTCAGACCAGTCCTGTCCCGTTGACCACAAATCTCGCACGACATGGACCTCTGTCTTCTCAGGCAGCAGTTCTGCTCACCCACCCAGCGCATCTGCACTGTCGACCGAACGGGAGGTTTCTTCGATACCCCGAACAGACGATGGTCATTGGGTATACCCTTCGGAGGCTCAGTTTTTTGCTGCCATGGCACGCAAAAATCATAATCCGCATGCTCCAGATATGAAGACCATAATTCCTATCCATAACGCCGTGAATGAACGCGCTTGGTCGGAGCTGATGAAATGGGAATCTGGGAGAGGTGGTGAAAAGTGCGGCGGAGTGAAGCTTGTAAACTTCAAGGGCAGACCTAATGACCTGACTCCAAAAGCCCGACTCATGACCTTGCTCGGGTACGCGTTTCAACTCACAGCTCATGCAGGAACACTGATTTTGGTTTCTTAGGTACTCTGCTCCCTTCGATCGTCACGACTGGGTGGTCGACCGATGCGGAACCCAAATTAGATACGTGATCGACTTTTATACCGGACGGGGCGCAGGGTCACCGTCGTCAAATAACGTGTCTTTCTATCTCGACGTTCGGCCTGCCTTGGACAACTGGGAAGGGGTGAAAATGAGAGCAGATAACATTTGGCAGGACTGGTTTGGAAGTCGCAGTAGCAGCACGCCATCTCAGTCATCTCAGCAGTCTTCGTAGACGTATATCCGATCTCCACGCATATTTTATCCCCACTCGTGGTTTAATAATCGTGAATACAAAACCTACTTCACAGTTTACCGTTTTCCTCGTATTCGAACTTTCTTGGCAGGTGGCCTCTCTTCGGGTTCATCATCACTTTCCTCTTCGTCGCTGCCTGGTGCTTCGCTATGCTCGTCATCGCTACCCACTTCACTTATCTCCTCCTCTTCGTCCCATTCATCTTGACCTTCCTCGTTACCTTCCTCATCAGAATCCTCTTGGTTCTTCCGCAATCCTTGTTCTTTTTCCGCTTTCTTCCGTTGCACGTTGCTTTCTTGTTCCTCCCGTCTCTGTTTTCGCAGTCTCTCCTTGGCAACATGAGAAGCCTTAAGTGCAGCAGCTTCGGCCTTTGATTTTTTAACTGTTGGATAAAATGATCAGTTTATCCTCGCATTATACGCTTAATTTGGGACGCACCAAATTCATGATACAACACAGCGCCTTCCCTCCCTGGAACGCCTTCAGAAATTTTAATCAGCCTCAACTCCATCCTCGGACCAACTTCACTCAGTCGAACAGCCTTCTTCTGTCCCTTCTTATTATTCCGACCAACATAATCATCCGCCAAGGATACCGCATCCCCATCATCCCCAGCAGCACTCGAAGCCGACGATGCCGCAGACTCATACCCGTCGCTCCCTGGTCCAGGCTCCCCTCTTTTTCTAAGCAAAAAGTCCGCGACATCTTTCTCGCTTCCGAGGTCCAAAAACCCACTTGAGTTGTTGGTTGATGATTTTTTGGGGGCGCCTTCTAACACGCGTCGGACGCGCTTCGAGACGCCATATGGTTTTACAGTGATGACATAGTGTCGGAAATCGACGGTTCCTCTGTCAGGGTTGTATGCTATCAGGACGATCCGACGGCAGTTGGACAATGACATCGAGTTCGGGGATAATGGAGGGAAGAGGGATTGGAATGATTTCATCAGTAGAGGGAGATGTGGGGGCGTTTCGGGCGAGGGTGGAGGAAATGAAGCGAGGACGACCTAGAAAGATGATCATGGTTGGATGTTTGATGGATAAGTCAAAACTATAAAATGTGACTTACCAGTGGGGCAGTGAGATACTCCATCCCCATGCTTCGTGAGGATCGAGATGTTTTCAAGATGTCTTTCATCAAGCTGTATCGTTCCACGCGGAAGCTAAGAGTAGGTCCTGCGGGAAGTCGAATTATGCGCAGTGACGGTGCGACGTCTGTGACAGTAAGAGCCAGCAAATGTGTGACCCCCAGCGTAGGAGCCATAGTCAGGTAGTCTTTTAATTTATTACGGTTACGTTCCTGCATTCAGATGTTCAAAGACATTTCAAAGACAAGATTGATAAAACTCACCTTCAGACGGCTGGCCGTATTTGGTTCCATAACTTTTCGTAGATCACGAACCAGCTGTGTAACAGAAGAACCCACTTGTCCATGTTTGATGATGAAGGACTTTGGGGCACCATCGTTCGCGCTCTGTGCAGCTGCCCCTGCACCCTTCAGATGTGTGCGATTTTTGCGTCTGCGAGCCATTGGTAATTTTAGGAAATTTCCTTGAGCAGATCGTAGAAGCGGCTGTTTGGCTTTGTTTGCCAACACCTTTAGGATTCAACAGGCATAAACAACCGACCCAGATATAATCAAACACAAAAGTTATGACCATTCAAAGAACTGAAAGCTCCGATTACAGTAAGAATACGTGGAAGGAGCACAGCCCATCTACAGGTCGAAGTTCAAGATTAAATAAATAGTTCCAAGACGTACGGTCACTCGATGGAAACACGACGGGGAATGATACAGAGCATATGGCAGATCAAGCTACAACTACGAGATAGATCGCAGAACAACAAAACAGAGGATATTAAACAGGTTGGGTGGCTCACCGATGGAAGGGTGATTAAGGACACAGAAGGAGGCTGCGAAAGAGAGATAGAAATCAGATGGAGAGATGTTTATGCTATAGTTCAGCCTGAAAGTCGGGCCCCTAGGGATAAATAATTCGGGTTGTTGGATTAGAATTCAAGGAACTGGTATGTTATAGGTTCAAAGCGCCGATGGAGCGGAAGAGGGGGTTCTTCCATAACGAGACCGGGCATGTCTTCGAGCGTCGGATGAGGAAGGTTCAAGAAATGACGAGTGTCATCCAGTGACGTCGTGTGTGGGATGATCGGCGCCTTTGATCGGTGTAGGTGAAAAAAATTAAGGTAAGGTAACTAACGATGCTCCTCACCTTGATTTCACATCGCTCCAACGCTTCCCAATCAACTCCACGGAACCAAGGATGATGCAAGATATCTTGCGGTCCACCAATCATATTTCCAAGACGCTTGGTTCGGTCAGGATGCAAGAACGCTCTGATCAGCTCTTTAGAGAGCCGATCCATGGTGCGAGGCCAATGAATATTGCCTCGTAGAATTTTCTCGTAGATGCCGTACGCGGTTTCATCGAAGAATGGAGGATAGCCGACCAGCATCTCGTAGCACAAGACACCGCACGCCCACCAGTCCGCGGCTTTTCCGTGACCGTCTGACTGGATGATTTCTGGGGCAAGATACTCGGGCGTGCCACAAAGGGTCCAGGTACGGTCATCGACGATCTTCGCAAAGCCAAAGTCGGTGAGTCGTAGATAGCCTCGAGAGTCCAAAAGTAGATTTTCGGGCTTGAGATCACGATATATGATGTTAAAGGAGTGTAAATACTGGAGTGCGAGGATAATGTTAGCGAGATAGAATCGGGTGACGTCGGGAGTGAAACGGCCCGCCCGTCGGAGATGGGTGAATAGTTCACCGCCAGGAACATAAGACATCAACATGTAAATGTTGAGACTGTCTTGGAAGGTTGCAAACAGGTCCACTACGAATGGATGCCGCACACGTGATAGAATATACCGCTCTGCATTGACGTGCTCAACCTGGCGGAGGCGGACAATTTCGGTTTTGCGCAAGACTTTCATAGCAAAGATATTTTGAGATCCTGGAGTCGCTGTTTTGAGGCGAACTAGGAGGACTCTCCCAAAAGTACCAGTGCCTGTCAATTGAATAATAAGGGAACGTTGATCTTGAGAAGACACAGACACAAACCAAGAGCGCCTTTGACCTCGAAGTCGAGCAGCCTAAGCACGCCACGTTTTTCTACGTGAACTGCTTCATCCTCCAATAACCTGGCGGGTGTCCTTGCTGGTGACCTAGGTTGTGGAGCTACCACAGGAACCAATGGCTGCTGCCACATGGAGGTGTTGACGGTAAAAGAAGGGCGTTGAACTTGTTCTGGCGGATAATTCGTGGGTTCTGCTTTATCCAAGGCCATCGCATTTGCGGCATCATCTTTGCTGTGACCTGGAGAGATAGGAGGGGTGATGGGCCCTTGGCCGATCATGGGGGCTGATTCATGGAAAAATCGGGCACCGACTGGGTTGCCAGTTGCAACACCTGGCGATACGAATGACGTAGAATTATACATCATTGCACTGGGCCAAGATATGAAAGACTTTAAGAGAAATGTTATGGTGTGTTAATAGAGCAGAATAATGTAGAACGACGGACCTAAAAAAACAAAAAGATTGATGATTTTTCTTCCACCCGGCCGGGGGTGTAACTGGAAAAGTTGGTAGAGAGAAATGAACAGAACAATACGGTAAATGAGGGGGTGAGAAGATAAGGCAAGAGCGGGGCAAGAGTTGTACAGGAATTAGCCTTGTGTCACAAGTAAAAGCAGTGACTGGAAGTAAAGAGAAAGGAAGGTTGAAAAGTTGATGGTTGGTGCGGTACTAAGTAGGACCAGACGGTTGCTGAGATAGACAGAACTCGAATATCTTGACAAGCGTTGCCCCGGTCGTTGCCCCGTGACGTGTAACCGAGCGAGCGTTCGGATTCATTCAACTCTAAATTAATTTTCGCCTTTTTAGGTCGCACCACCAACTGTAGCCGCCGACCCCAGTACCAACGTTTGACCGAAACAAAAATCTGAACTTTTGTTCAACGTCTGGCACTTGTTTCTATTTCTTTACCATGGTCGTTTTTCTTCACAGATGGTCCGACCGAACGAATGAGAACGTCAGGGAGTACGGTGGCGTCTCTGTGTGCTTGGACTCGGACCTTGGACTGCAAGTTGGAGCCCTGACCCACAATGCATAATGAATGGACGAGCCTTCCCATAGATGGCTGCCGAGGGCAGACTAGACCTCACCAGTGACAGGGACGAAAATTAAGACCCGGTTCTGACACAGGGCCACCCTTGACGAGTTTCGGAGTTCTAGTAGTATGCAGGGACGTCAACCTGGTCCAATGGAAGAGTCTAACCAATGGAGGACCACTCAATATTCTATCTAGGTAGTTACTTCCATTGGGGGTCAAGATGTAGTAGTGTTCGTATCGATACTGCAGACCGAATGTGGTTGTCTATGTTATAGAAAATAAAATTGCCCATGCATGTCGTGGAAGTCAGAAGCTTGAGTTGAGACGACTAGGATGCTCCGAGTCTGAGACGCCCCCCTGTGTATTACTAATGTGATCTTGACGTATTATTGTTTGTGTGTTGTCCGCAAACCGTTGATACATTTGATCTTGACCGCACACCATCAAGTTTGATAACTTCTACTCTGTCACTTCAGACTGAACACGCCGGCATCGAAAGTTGAGCCATGTCAAATCGCAACGTAGGTGGCTGGTTGAAGGGAAAGACCGTCCGGAAAGGTGGTATAACATCATCCAATGCACACACCGCTCGTTCCAGCACACCTCAAGTCCAGAGCACATCCTCCACCATTTTCAGCGGAGGTGTTAAAGATGCATCTGGGCGAACGACTGAATACTTCGTACGTCGTAGTCCTTCCGTTCAGCTCACGTACAGTACTAACAAGCCATGGAACTAAAAGTCTATGGACGACCAATGCCCTGTGTGCAAGTCTGATCGGTACTTGAACCCCAAACTTCGCCTCCTGGTTAGCTCATGTTACCATAAAATGTGTGCATCCCAGTTCGCATGAAAACCCAAGCTGATGAAAATACTCCGTAGGTGCGAGTCGTGCATCGACCGCTTGTTCACCTTGGGACCCGCCCCATGTCCTATCTGCCAAAAGGTCCTGCGAAAGCTGGCATTCACCCCACAGACTTTTGAGGACCTTACTGTGGAGAAGGAAATCGCCGTGCGCAGACGAATAGCTAAAGAGTGAGTAGCCGTATATTTGTATCAAGCCCTGCACATCATCATGAACGGTCAGGTTCAACAAACGACGCGAAGACTTCCCTGATCTTCACTCCTACAACGATTATCTTGAAGAAGTGGAAGATATCAGTGAGTGCCCTATATTCGACGATGTGCGCTGCCTCTCATGCTATCAAGCTTTCAACCTCATCAACGACGTCGACATTCCTCAGACTGAAGCTCGCATACTCGCTCATCGTCATGAAAATGCAGCGCTCATAGAACTCAACTTTCAGCGCGAAGAACAATATGCACAAGCTCTGAAGGAACAAGAAGAACTGGAACGACAGGAGAAAGAACAACGTGCCCTCGAGCTCCGAAGAGAAGTGGAGATAGAACGTGAGGAACGAGAAACGTCCCAACGTGAGATCATCGATCGCCTCGAGACCAGCACCAAGGATGCTGCCAAGGTCATCGCCAAATCTCGTGCAGAAGCCATGAAGAGATCGTCTGCTCGCAGTACTACCACCACGGTTCTGAGGAGTAATGCCCAACTACTGCGCGCACGAGCTGCTCAGAGTACTGTCGTTCCTGATCCGCCACACGTCCCCCTGCAGGACGATTGGTATGCTTACGAGGATCTATATACGCTCAGGGATCACTACGACGATATGTACAGTGACGCAGTGAGGAAGGACCGCGAAGGAATTATGAGAGCGGGAGGATATCGGGTCGAGGAAGCTTGGGACAGAGCCCTCAGATGTGCTGTCGCTGGGTTGGATTTATTACCACTGTCAGAGCTGAGCCCATCGCCTGGACGGATTGATGTTGTGATGGCATCTGCCTGAAACTCGTTTGCAGCCTTCGTTCCACATTGATGTATAAGGACATCAGCTATGGCAATTCTATCATTGCGTCATAGACAGACACGAGTCGTCACACTTCGTCCCTGCACCGCTCTTTTCACATAGCTGCTCGTCTCCGCACCATCCATCAAGCCCGCAGTCCCGTAGCGAAAACAGCTATAGAGATACCCCAATCCACCGTGTCAATGCTGTATAAGATGATTCAGAGCGCAGCGTCCGTGGAGCAAATTTCCTTCGGGGAAATTATGGAATCAGGCAAGAACATATCTTATGGATCAGCTAAGGAAGGGGATAGCAATAATCTCCCATAGTCAGACTTAATGGTATTTCCTTCTTTTTCAGGGGACGGCAGTGGCTCGGCCAAGAATGAGCAAGTAGTATTCAAATCATCTTGACCGTTAGGTGACGCATAGTATGTGCCACCTCAACCCAGATGGTTTCGGGCTGCAGCATTGCCAGTGTTCATAGTCGAACAAAGGTAGTCAACGGATGGCTTACGCTGCACGAGCTCTGACTCTGATCGTGCAGTTCTGGGAGCTTACCAACGTCCGTAGGCCGAAAAATATCCTCCCATGTTCCCGTCATACTCACCTGCAATGCAGAAAGCGAATTCGCTCAACATTCTGTTCGTTCTCGTTGGTTATATCCTCATGCACACGTCATCCATTCATTTGTTCTTCTCAGCTCGTGCACTTGGTTCCTAACTTGAAGCTCAGCGTTGCAATCTTGTCATCATCCATCCTCGCGTTCACACTCGCTCTCCCCATCTCACACTACCTTGAGATTTCTTTAGATCCAATCAGTCTCACTGAAGCTCTGCTCTTCTTTGTGCACGTGGTTGGCTTCGATAAGCCCCTCTGTCTTGTGGCCGCAGTGTTCAATCACCCTCATTTGTTATCTCCCGTTAAAGAGGGCAGATGGCATGGTTAGATGAGACCCGCCGGCGAGGTACTCATGGAGGCCACCGAAAACAGCTGCAATGCCATCTTGCGCGATTACGCACTCGAGATACAGTCAAAGAAGGATTTAGATGACATCACTTCTTCTACCGCTGCCAATGGCCATGCTTGCAGCGGTCAGGCAACACCAAACGGTGCGGTAAGATCTGCGGGGTTGTGGGATAGCGTACGTGAGATATGGGAGGGATGAGAGGTCGCCCATGGATCAGGCGAGCGACTTGTAGGTCGAGACGATGATGCCATTGCGCCCCATTTGTCAGGAGCTGTATTAGGTAGATCACGTTGATCAGCAGGAACATTTATGGAGAAGGAAATGATACGTACTTGGAGAACACGACCAGTCAGCTGAAGAGCACCTATAGCACAAGGAATGGAATGTGCACGAGTGGACTACTTGCGAAGACCGAGAAATGCCACGAGTGTGTTCTAGCTCGAGGTTATTTCAAGTAGATAAAACCAATTAGTCTACACTCACTGGTAAGGCTGGAATAATGAACTGGAAGTCAGAGTGAACGACGTGCTCAAGGACGACACCAGGAACAGACACATAACGCGCATGTACAGTCCACTGAATCATGGGTGCAACGACGCACAGTTGAATCACCTTCCAGATAATCCCCCTTGGAAACTCCAAATATAATTGAGTACTAGTCATCAGTAAAATACCACGTTTCTTAAATTAACTTATTGGGAACTTATTTTACTTGGTTTGGCGCCCAAGTGCGTCAAGATGTTCAAGGCTTCGATTTGACTTGGAGGGCAACTTGAGTGTCTTACCATCAAGCCGACAAAGACACTCAGACAATTAAAGCATTTTTAAGACAAATTTTGAACTTAAGCATTGCAAGAAAAATGAGTATATTAAGATGCCAGCTCGAAAGCATGGTGATCAATGAACCGATTTACGTAGAATCCTCGATATACATCCAGAGAATCGTAGAATCGAAGGCCGCGTGGTACGAGCTGGGTACCGAATATTGGGAGCAAGTGAGCGCCGCGAATGATACTGTCGATATGGATGATGGACAAATCGTGAGAGCCATCTTCATTGAAAGACCACCTAGTGTTTGAAAGTCCGGTCCGGTCCGGTTTTAGAGGCCCTTTTTATGGCAACCGGACCTGGACCGGTCCATGGACTCACTGAAATTTCGATGGACTGAACCTAACCTTACAAGACCGGTTGCCGTCGGTCCTCACATAAGGTTGCGGTCAGTTGCAACCAGTTGTTGATGAAACCGGTCCAAGACCATTCAAAACCGGTCTAGACCTGAACGTTTGAGCCATGAGGCTTGTAATATAAGGTCCACACAAAGTTTTCGTCTCTGAGTCCTGCATTCAAGCTAGTACTCCCAAACCCAACAACCATGATTCGTAAATCTACACGATCGAAGCAGCCAACGGAAAAGGCAGCGGCAATGGCTCCATCACATGTAAAAAAGACAACCCGATCTCGCCCACCAAAGACAAAACCTTTGTCTCCCGCTGGCAATAAAAGGGCCCACAAACGAAGAATGTCTAGTGAGGAAGAGTTAGAATCGAGTTCCAGTGAAGGAGAGCAAGAACCAACCTTGAGACGAAAAGACGGCGCATCTAGGCCTAAACGTTCGTGCTGACACTCCAACTTGAAGGTAGTAGCCGAGGTAGAGGAAGTTGAGGAAACCCTCCCAGATGACGATGAACTCGAAGAAGTTGAAGTATCATCAAGATGTACCTCTGTCCGAAGCTACGAGGGCAAGAATGACACTGAGAATGTTGATGATGAGGTATTTGTTTGATTGAATCCGCTGATCAACCTGCGAGTTTAATATCAGCTGCAGGCACTGAGCAGTGATGATTTGGAGAAACAACATCACGCACCATTACCGACAACAATCAAGATAAAGAAAAGAAATGCGGAAGACATACTTACTGTGTTCTCCGATCGGTGTACTGTAAAGTTTTGCCATACTAATGGTAAAGCTGAAACACTCAAGGGACGGTGGTGCGATATATGCAGGTAAGTACTAGTGAACACGCTAAATGTGGCATAACTTAGACTTACCGCATTCAGTAGATCTGATGAGACATTTATCTTGAAGAACGGAAAACGAAAGGCGTTCCATGTAGGAAGTAATTTGTCATGCCGCCAGCACATCCGGGGTCACTATGACTTCTACAAAACTAAATGTGCTGAGCTGAAGTTGCCAGAACACCACCATGGCATACCGCGGGAGATCGTGAAAGCAAATATTGAAGCTGAAGAAAAAGACAAAAGAAGGTCAGCTGACTCTTGGAGGGATGTTTCAGAAAACATTGGCAGGTGAAGGAGTTTTCCAGAGAAAATGCCTTGCGTACAGTTGCTGAGTTTATCGTTTGTGATGATCAGGTAAGTGACTCACAGTTAGCATGCACGGTCGAGAATTGACTGCTGACTCATTCGACTCTTTGATTCAGAGTCTTGCGGTGGACTGATAAGGCCAGTTTTAGAAACTGCCTTGTGTCAATGCGTCCAAACTGCACAGAAAGTTGATTTACCATCTGCTCACGACATTTCTTCCTACATCCACAATGCATTTGTTGAGGTCATCGGTAGTCTCAAGACAAGAATACAGGTACTCCCTCAATTTCTTTTCTTCATCAACAATACCCTCACATTACATCAGGCAAAGACAGCTGGGCGAGTTTCAACAACAACAGACCTTTGGTCTGTCGATCAGACCAAAGCTGCATTCATGGGACTCACGGCACATTGGATTGAAGTCCACGAGAAGACAATGGCATGGACGCTCTGCTCCCAAGTGATTGCCTTCAAGGGGATCTCAGGAGCACATTCGGGGCACAATCTTGGCCGGTATTTCATAGGTCTATGTGAACGTGTTGGCATTGTAGAAGGCCAGTCCAGCAAGGTGCGTCTATCCATATCCATTCATTGAATCTATCTATTTACTCACAAGTACTAAACTTACAGCTATTTTGTATCATGGCCGACAACACGAGCAACAATGACACTGCCTGTGACACGATCGAAACGATTCTACACCGCCGACATATCTACTCATTTGATACTACTCAGCACCGCCTCCCATGCCTTGCCCACATCATTAATCTATCCATTGTCGACATCATGTCTGTCATAACACGCATTGTGAATGTTGAAACTGCCTCAGCCATATGGGAATTTGACCCAGGCCTTCCTCGTAACCGTGTCCTGGGTGACTCACTTGACATTGTCGCTGCCATTCGAACTCTAGCCATCAAGATTCAAGCTTCGGGTCAACGGATTGCATATTTTGAAACCCTGCAGACTGAATGCGGGATAAAGACTCCCCTCAAGATTCCACTCCATAGCAATGTGCATTGGGGCACTGCTGATGGTATGCTCAGGTGTGCGTATCTTCTGCGCCAGGTATGTCCTTCTAGCACTGTCGTGCCATGTACGTTACGAATACTAACTTATGCACTTACTTAGCCAATCAACCTATTCGTAAACTCTGCCGATGAGCTTTTCGGACCAATGACTACCATCCGACGCACAGGACAGGCTGTTAAGCGTATCCCATGGACCGCTTTTAGTTTCAAGACTACAGATTGGGAACGCATTAACGATGCTCATGCGATTATCTCCGATGCCAACAATATTCAGCATTACTTCGCACATGACCGTCAACCTACCCTCTGGCGCGCCATTCCTGCACTTGAAGAGCTTCAGACTACTTGGGAAGCAAAGTCTGAGGCTCCAAGGTTTTCACTATACAAGGATGCTATTCAGCGTGGTCTTGCAAAGATCAGCAAGTACTATTGCAGGTTTGACGACAAACTGGTCTATGTTCTTGCCTTAGGTAAGCAATCTTCTTTTGTGTTGATGCGTCTATACTCATTATACATATATACGCTTACTCAGTGCTACACCCATACTACAAACTCGTGTATATCAAGATGGCCTGGGGTGGTCCAGATGAGCAAAAGACAGAGCATGAGGCTGGTAATCTGAATGCCAAGGACTGGCACAACAAGGCACTGCAGATCGTTGAGAAGACAATGGAGGAATATTGGAAGAACGCACCTGCTACCACCATCGAACACAAGTCGGCCGGATCAACCGCCACACTCAACATGGGCCAGGACAATGTGACCTTGGATTCAGAGTTTGACCTGTCACCGTCGCAACCTGGTGAATGCAGCAACTGGTGATCTTAGTGGAGGGTGGGCTTCTGAACTTCGCCATTATCTGAATGAGCTACCAGGGGATGTGTCAAAGCAAACCGATGTTGTTAAGTGGTGGTCGGTGAGTGTACTACCATTTCCTTTCAAAGATTTGTTACTGACTATTGAACAGGAACATGCTACGGTGTACCCAACTCTTGCTCGTATCGCCATGGACATATGTGCTATCCCAGCTTCATCAGTCCCATGTGAACGTCTCTTCTCGGCTGGCGCTGAAATCGCAACAGACCGGCGCTCACGTCTTGGTGCCGAAAAGTTCGAACAGCTTCAAGTTCTGAAACATGCATGGCGAGACATGATCACTGACCATGCTTCTCACAATTCTGCAATTATTGATGATATTTCTTTGGACGAGTTTAAGGAACTACTCATCCACGATGGTGAGATGGATGAATGGGACAATGAGGTGGAGGTGATTGCTTTGTAGTTACTAAGTTCTGTATCATTGAATCTACAAGCAACCGGTCCAGGAGGAGACCGGTTGTGGTCGGTTTTTCGTCGGTCCTGGGCCTGAGTCTGATGTGACGCAACCTGCAACCGAGGTGAGAGAAACATCTGGCAACCGCAACCGCGGTCCGGTTCAAAACGGTTGCAGTCCGGTTTGGTTGCCGGTTTTTTGTCAGTCCAGCAACCGGACTTTAAAACACTAGTGCCACCATCCACATTCCTGTGAGCTTGTCTCGTTCCTCGGCGATGCGATGGAACCATTGAACTGAGGGCACATGGGTATGTGCAACTGTTAGTGAAAGTAAAAGAAAAAAAGCAGAATATTCGAACGACATCCATGCTCAACATTCCGTCATGCCTATCGTCTGTGTTGATGAAGGCGCAGTCAAAGCGAGCTGGTCCATTGCGCCATGAAGGCACAACATGAATGTGCTCATGGCGCATACCAGTGATTCCACTCGGATCACTGGGTGCGATAAATGTTGCAGCGGCTGAATGAAATATCTTGATTGGTCCCGTGTAGGATGGACAGTCGCGAAGTGGGACGTTGGCAGAAGAATGGTGGTTGTCCGTGTGTATTTGGTCGTACAGGAAGAGATGAATGAAGGTCGGGAACGATGGGATGTCGAGTTCGTCTGTGAGATCAGCAACGGTACGGGCGCATTTTCGTTCTGAACGGTGTGTTAAGAACGAAGGTCACAGTGAGTGAAGGGTTGGATACGCACGAAAAGTCCGCACTAATTGCACATCAGCAATGACGTCCACGTCATCTACAACACCCTGATCCTCGACATCATCAAAGTTGTCACTCTCGATAGCAAAGGGATTGCTTCCTGCATGCACTCGGTTCTGTTGGACCTCTGGGTCTCCATCGTCGTTGCTGATATATGAGGGATTCTCAACTAGAAATTCAGTGAGTAAAATTCAATTAAAATAAAACAGACCACATACCAAATGAATTGTAGTAGCTGAAGGCACAAGACCCTTTGAGCATGCTGCATGTTGTGAAATCAACTCTTGCTGCTGCGACTTTGTCCAGGCGCTGATTGGTAAGGAGCATCTGGCTGAGCGTGTTGTACTTGCTTGAACGTCGCCATGGTTGCTTTACCGCCTTGATATGTTTTGATTCCGTGATTGACAAGCAGAGGCCGTTTGGAGCACCGAACATTTGGGTGAGAAGCTCGTAGTGGATGAGAGAGTGTTGTTGGGGTAGGGAAATGTCGAAGCAGACACTGGTAGTCTGGAAAATAGTTCGGAATCCGCATTTGCAGTGTCGCATTGCTTTGAATGGTCAGTAAGGCAGCGCACGTGTCAGTTACCATGTCTGAATCTCTTCGTCGCGACAGTGCATCAGCCGCTTCATTATCCTCGCCCTTGATATACTGGATCATGATGTTGTATTGCGACATGTATTCTGACCAGCGGGCCTGTCGTCTCGACAGGTCGCGTTGATTTTGAAAGTTCTCTAGAGTGCGATGGTCAGTATAGACATTGATGTGCGCACCCAGAAGTTCTAAACGCCATTTCTTCAGCGCACGGATAATCGCCAGCAATTCTTTCTCGTGTACTGGGTAGTTAAGTTCGGCAGTATGCAACTGGGTTGAGTTGAAGGTGACAGGCCTAGCACTCTCGCGTGTCGGACCCCACGAAAGCATCGCACCAGTCACATAGTCGGATGTGTCGCACGTCAGAAAGATCTTGTTGTCCCCAGGATTGTCATGGTCAATGGTCGTTAAACACCTTGGGCTTACCACCAGTTCCTTTATGGCGTTGAAGGCTGCCTCGTGTTCCATCGTCCATGCAGGGAACTTCAACTCGGCAGCTTTAGTTGTCATGGTTGTAAGGATACGAGTGTGTTGTGCCATGTCAGGTAGATGCTCTGCTAGATAACAAACGATTCCCAGGAACGAGCGCACATGCGTCGCTTTGCGCGGTCGAGGCCAATCCAGAATGCGAGCCACCTTAGAGCTATCAGCCTCGATTCGCCGTGACGAGATGTGATGCCCCAGGAAGTCGATTTCCGTGTTGAATAGCGAAGTCTTCTTAATTGAACAATACAGGTGGGCCGTTCGCAACACTTCCAGTACATGACGAACGTTCTCCTCATGCTCCTCGATCGTTTGAGACCAGATGATGATATCATCGAGGTATACGTGACATATTTTACCTATCAAATGACACAGGGCCGCAGTCATGCGCCATTGGTGTACTGCTGGTGCGTTATGCACTCCCATTGGCATCACCGTCCACTCGTACTTGCCCCAGGGGGTGTGTATGGCGAGATATTTCACTGTCAGTCTGGATGGACGCGCAGTCTGAAAGAACGCGTTAGTCATATCAATTTTACCAAAGAACTTTCCTTTCGCACAGTCCTTTAAGATCTCCTCTATACAGCGGGAGCGGGTGGTTGTCCGCAACAGTGTTAAGATTAAGCTTTCGAAAATCATTTACCCAGCGCGGCAAGACTGTCGGATCAGGCTTGGGAATGATGAATGACGGTGAGGACCACTCGCTGTCGGAGTGTCAGTAGTCGTCCGCTGTCGACATGAGAGTCCAACAGGGTCTTCCATGCACCGCGCGATATTTCTTGGGGCAATTGTACGATCGCAGCTGTACTATCTTGTTAGCATCCTTTACGTTTATCCGAAACAAGACATCCGTTGGCATTGTGTCATTATGAGGGATATCAGCAGGAAAACGGTCTTTAAACATTTTCTTATACTTCTCGTCCAAGCCTTTAAGTTGCTCTTGGTACAACAATCCGTCTATACGGGCTTGCACAGCCCCAACGACGTCAATACCTTTTACCGGCTCGCACTTCGCTGTCGACGATGTCTTTTAGTTCTGGTAAGACAGACTTCAGTTCGTTAACGACATCTCTCTTCATCCAGAAGAGTTGTGGTCCTGACGGCAAGATAGTAGCGTGTGAAGGTGACGTGTTGTTCTTGGGCTGCAAGAGATCATAATTAGTGTCTTTGACAATGCACGTACATAGTTCATGGTCGATGACAATTCGATTATGTTGGAGAAAAGGACCTCTGAGTAGTAGTGGAGTACAAAGGTTCGGTGCGATGATCGCACGTACAGATCGAGAAGTGTAAACTTGGTCGAGCGAGGTACAGGCAAGCTTGACGTAATGCGAGAGGAGGAATGATTCTTTGTCTTTAGACAATGCGAGAGAGACAGGTAGCGGTTTTGACAGTAGCCGAATGGCACAGTCCCAGTTTGTTGACTAGATCTTCACCAATCAGAACTAAAGAAGAGCCATGGTCAATAAGAGCGGAGACATTTATGGGAGAAGAAACGGCTGGCCCATCAACGAGACAGTCCCAATGAAGGTGAGGGGTTTGTAGCGGGGCCACAGCACTCTTCGCCCGAGTCAGTACCGTTTCCTAATACTGCGGACGGCATCACTACCGCGACCATTTCATCTTCCTCATCCTCATTGACGTCCACTGCAGCCACAATGTCTTTCTTTTTTGTTTTCTTCAGCTAAGACTGCACCTGCTGTGAGTGTCTTGTACTGATGCGCCGTCTGGGAATCCTTTCAGGCATCCTGACGACGTATGACCCGTGAACGGCTCTTGGCACTCGAAACAGCCAGTCGTTGTCACGCAACAGTTGCCTTTCGGTATCAGTGAGGGTCGGTAGTCGAGTGAATGGCTTAGCTGCAGCGTCCTTTGACTGGGCATTACCGTTCGTTGAAGCTGTTACTGTTCTTGCTATTGAATTTTGCGTTTGAGTTTGGCTTCTTATCGCCAGCAGAGCGGGCTCGTTCAGCACGTAGTGCATTCTCCACTGCCTCTTTTTGCCTGACCAGGTAGCGGAGCCACTTATCGTCGGGGATACGAACCTTCTCGATCCACTTGCAGTAGATCGTCTTCAATGATGTTCTCCGCGTGATAGTCAGCAGCGAGATCAATGTTCATGTGAGATTCGAGGTGGTAGAGGATGTTAACAGTCTGCGAGGTGAGATGGTGTCCCCCTAAGGAGCGTGTTTTGGCTTTGCACGTCTATAGCCCATTCGCTAAAGGCACATTGACCTTGCGTCGAGGCTAGCATCTTTCGTCTGATGGTGTCAGCCCAACCTATGGGGAGCCAGATGTTGCGGACTTCAGCCATGTATTCTTTGAACAGTCAAGATATCGATTTCATCTTGGTTTGTTATATACCAGTCTTGGATGCGTGGGTCTTGCAACCCCCATGCAACCTTTCGAACCATTTCAGTCCACAGGGACGACCTTGTGCATGAAGAACTGTGTACACCCCATTTCCCACTGACCATAACGCCTCGGGTGTTACTTCTCCGGCGGTGAGTAAAGGGGGTTTGCTAGCCGAAGGCTGTTCACAACGTCCCATCTTTGACGAAGACATAATGGATATAGCGGGTGTATAATCAGAGTCGCTTGATTCAGAGTCAGAGGATATATGCGCTTTGGTTGGCATGAGAACGCTGGAATTTTGTGAAGGCAGAGTGGTAGACGGTGATGGTACGTGGTCAGGTGAGGGTATGCGGTCAGGTGACGGTGTTCGGTCTGGCAAGTCGTTTATTGGAGGTGCGTTGGCAATTGCTCTTCCGAGCTTTGAACGACTTCTCGTTGTGATAGAAGATAAGGTTACGGGGATATGAGTACGGCGGGGAGGCAGTTTGTAAATTTGTAAGAATGGCGGGTTGACCCGGTAAGGTCAATACCCGACGATGCAGTTTGTAACAGATAGCGTCGGTGACAGAGAATAAAGCTCAGCTGAACGTTAAAAAAAAGTGTGAGGCTGTCACAGTATACAGCCAACACTAACAGTTGATCGGACAGAGGTAACGTGGATGAGCGTATGGATTTGGCGGTACGGTAAGAGATAAGATGTAAGTACCGTACGACCAGTGTTATATATGAATGAGAGCAAATAAGAAACAAATAACACGCGGTGTCCAATCATAACGTCGCTCGTCACGTGTAGTAAGCAATATGCTTACATGAACCCCCTATTTTCCGACTGCCAAATTGATTTCATACTGACTACCTGACATGTTTCTCTATCATGGCTCAAGCGGCAGTGATTTTCCAGACTCTAGAAATACCTGTATTGTTCAACTCAGCGAGAAACTACGCATTGTACCATCAACCACAGCACCAATGGGAAAGCAGACGACATGACTTACTGTCGCATGTCATTCAGACTGCAAATTCATAAATGCAGATACCATCGCTAGCCTGTCAATATCGTAAGAGGTGAGTGAACCCTGAATGCGAAGCAAACTACTCATACTCACACAAGTGAATTCGCGACAACAATCTGTCGAGGTTTTGCAAGAGTCGCCTTGGGATCTACATGCACTGACAGACATAGATGCTGCCAAAGCGACGGCAATAGCATGGAAGGAGAAACGCATGATTTGTGCGAGGTGATATGGACTCTGTCAAGGGAGGTCTCGAATGCTGACTCTGAGTTGGGGCAACACTAGAAAGACGGCTTCCCCTTAAGTCATGACAGTAGTATTGTGGGCAGAACTCGGCAGTTCTGCTAATCAGTTTGGCAGAATGGATATGCCCGGCGGACCTTCGATTGGAGGTAGAATCTGGCAGAATGATCAGAAACAATTCCGGTTGTTACGTGCCTCGACGGGGGATGGAGCGGTCGTGGGGAAATACAGTATTTGGTAATCTTGCTTGCGCCTGAGTACAGTCACTGAGCTCGCACGATCCGTATAGCAGGAGAATACCCACTGTACTCTACTAGAGATACTGAGCTGACAGTGATTCACGACCTGGGCAGGATCAAGTGTGAATGACTGCAATTGACTTGAAGAAATACTCGATATCTCGCCATTCTCGCGCGTCTCATCAGGGTCTTCAACAACAATAATCTCATCATCTGGCTCAGATGATTTGATTCGCTTGTGCTGGTATAGATCGGAAGGCGACGAAGGACGCTTCAATTTCGAGGAAAGTTCGTTAGACGCAGGGTGCATGACAGACTGTAGCACTTGGTTGATTTGTGACTGTTCCCATACAGCAGGGGAAGGTCCAGCCATCGCAGCTCGATGTACGCTCAGTCTATGTAGGTGACTTTGGTGACTTCTGCTTCAATACCATATGAGAGGAGCGCAGCGTCCATACGGGCCAAGTGCCTGCGGACAACTATGAGTCAGGCAGGGACTTGATTGTTTGCCAGAAAAGGAGCATGGTAATAGTCACCCCTAAAGAAAGAAGACAGCCGGGCCTTCTTTTTCGGGGATGGCAATGACTCTCAAGGTTGCAGGTCGGGATTCAAGTCATCTAGTCCATTAGACTGGCGATTACACGAGCCATGGGTGACAAGATGTCTACCATCGATTGAATCCAATTGTCCACCGTAGTAGCGCTGTAGACTCTTGGGCTCTCAGCTCGAAGTGACTATGATCCCCTGAGGCCTGCCGTGCCCACTTGGACCTCTCTATGCTGTTATTCGGTCAATAATCATCATCGAAGGTGCTGAATGTAACCTACATAAGTGACCTTGCACTTGCCGTGTCCGTGTACTTGATAATCGCTACCGAGTGCGGTGGACACGGCAAGCATAATCGCAAGAAATCGGAGGTACATATAGAATCGATGAAACATCGCCCGAACCGAAGAAGCCAGATCCCTGCTTACCGTAGCGTATAAAACGTCGCTTGAACAACCTTGGAGGCGTGTCTGGATCAAATGCGTTCGCTGACCACGGTTATTGGAGTCGATCAAGCCTCTCGTCGATACCAACGGGGAGGGGGAGACTGTCAAGACTCGACACCCAATCTGGCGCCAGCGCAGATGATGTTGAATCTTGATGGGGACCACGGAAAGCTTGTCCATGAGGTACAGATCATTATCACACGGGCAAGCAGGCAAATCAGCATACACCGATAAGATGCATCAGTCGCCGCTTGATGTACATATAACATCCCATTGATAGCACATCAGCACCCAGCGATCATTATAGGCCTTCGTTATCTCGCGAGGCGCATTACAAACCATGATGAAAAACGACTTGAGTAGAATCGCAGAGTTGACTGGCGCACATATGACGGTCGATGAATAAAACGGATGTCCTCTCGAGCAGCTTCACTATCGTAAGCAACAGGCTGGCGGCGTGGTAATTAGTACAACAAAAACTTGACCAAAACCACACATAAGCGCCTACACGAGTTGGATGTTGAGGAGAAATCCGACGCTACTCACCACATGCGAGAGCCACAACGCAGCCATATCCCTACTGTGAGCTCCTTGTCAACTTCAAATGATACTGACAATCTATCTTGCTGTCTAGGTTAACGACATGTCAAGGGTGCTTAATGAAGCAAAAAAAGTGTACCTTACTGTGAGAGGAGGCGCGACGCCGACACCAACGCGGACGATGCAAGGGCACACGGGCAATGTGCGGGCAGTTGCATTCTTAAAAGATGAACTGGCGGGTTGTCACTGGTTCCATGGACTGACACCCTGCAAATGTCGGACGTGGAGAAAGGAAGATTGGTAGGAGGGTCATTCCAGAGGCACAAGGGAATGACATCATCAGTCGCCGTTTCGTCAGACGCCAAACAAATTGCGAGTGGTGGGTACGATAAAACCATCATCAATATGGGACGCCGAGTGCCAGCAGAAAGTACGTGATCCACTGGTGAAACATAGAGGCCGCTTGATCACCCAGTATAATAAGGCTTACTTATTGGGTAACCCAGGTGGGTTCTTTTGTTGATGCTCACAGAACACCGACCCGTCTCGATAATGGACCGAAACGCTCCCATTTGTCGTCGACAAATCCTCTCTCATTTTGGAAAGCCTACCCTCTCTAGTATTGCAGAGGAGTTGTGCTGCCATATCCTTAGTTTTCTCGTACAATAAAATTATACAGTGTGTGTAGGTGAGTCATTCCCTCCTTTTGTCAGCTAACACACTAATCTGCTAGGACTTGCCGAACGATGTGAATGGTGGTCAAAAACACTGTGGAGCTGCAATACGCCATCGAAATTTGTGCCCAAAGATTGGTGCCGGTTCATCCACGGCCACCTACTGTCTCCATAGTGGAGTACTTGCGCACACTCAGAGACAAGGCGAACGCGTGGAATTCCTTCAAGCTCGATGTGACGAAAAAACTTTGTTTAGATTCGTCCTTTAGTTCCTGGTCCATCACCCATCGATACCTTGGCCTTGCTGAGTATTCCACCAAGGACGAGTGGGCCGAATATGTAGGGCGACCCGGAGGATTATCAGGATGTTTGTTTGGTCCACAGTTATCGATACCAAGACCTGCACATCTGAGACAGTGTATGATGTTCCTTTCGGATGATGCATGGATGATGCAGTTCTTGAATCATTTGCTGGCCATCACTGCATAGATGAGACTCGTGACCTTTTGGTGACTGTCGACATACTGAAGAATCGTCCCCTACGCAACTCAAAATATCAAATAAATTACCGCACGCTATCCATGGGCAAGGAACATGCTCTGGCTGATGGATCCCATCTAGTTACTGTGACTAGAGCGGGCCCTCGCAATCCATTCTCACCACTTCTCACCACATGTGTTGGTCGATGTCCTCGGGGATCGCCTTGCTCTCTATGATGAGGTGGTTGTCAACTCGAGCCCGGAGGACGTAGATGTTGGAAGTTACCAATACTGGTTGCTGCATGTATGGAATTAGCATCGAGGTCGTCAAGTTGATGTACGCGTCTTCTTCCGTCTATCATTGAAAAAAGGTCTTATCGCAGTTTTGAAAAGGATATACTACGTGTGATCGACGAAGGCTGCGGCTTGGTCGACATCGGTTTCTTTACCAAGGTGAAGCTTTTAGCTCTCTCATCGCGCGGTCATATAGAGCTATACAACGTTGAGGACCTATCGAAGGCACCACAGCTTCAGGCAAGATTTATGCTACCCATGCACATACCCGACTTCCGCTTTCGATATCCTTCGGTTTTTCATAGCGCCTTAAGTTGTGCACATCTTGTGGCACCAGATGAACGTTGGACTTGCACAACAAACCCCGCAGATCGAGTCATATGCGTAAGGGAGTTATATTCTAGATCTGGTTCAATTTTGTTATAACTGCTCGCCCGTTTTTCATGAATATCATAGGCAGAAGTATGTACACCGAGCCCGTTCAGACCAAGTTCAAACTCAATTGATATCATCTCGAGGACTTTGAGCATATCTGCCAGCGCGGGGATACCTGTTTGGACAAAGCCACGTCACGAGTTCTGCGAAGACACACTATTATCAGACATAAAAGCAAGTCGTCTTCGTAGCGTTGCCCTCACAGGCTCAGAGTTACTATTCGACACCCTCTCTGGCAAACCACGTTTCACCTCGCACAAGTGATGCGTTTCTCCTTCCTTACCGTTTTTGCTGCTTTGACAGCATCTACGTCTGTGAGTGCATGTGCGCCCCGATTCGGGTCTTGCAGGCTCTCAACAGATTGCTGCCCTGACCTTCTTTGTATGAAGAGTGTGAGTAGGAGTATTTTTACTTCGCATCCAGGATTCAACTCTATGACTCACACCTTGTAATACTCAAAGTCTGCGACTGGCATCTGCGATTATCCCATTTCCCGTTGAGCTGGCAGTCTGAATGACACGTCACAACAGTGAGTCATGGTTCTACTTTCCCATCGGTGCTGTGGTTGACGGCATGTCAGGGAGTTCGTCGCTGAATCGATAATATGGTTGCTTCTGAAATCTGGAACATGAAAACTCCGGCCGCGGAGTGAATGTTTTTAACCCGCACTTGCTACTGCGAAAGGGGGAACCTCGGCTCTGGCGTAAGCGTCCGAGTTGCGGATTGTATGCTCCGTCATATAGTCGAATTACTAGTGTTGCAGTTCGTGGTTAAGACATTCATGGATGCCAGTGTGCAGGAGCTGCCTGCGACCTGAGGAAAATAGCGTCTTCTCCAAGCCTTCGTTCAGCAGGCTGACCCTGACAAAAACACTTTTTTTTTCTCGACTGAAGTGTAAGACATTACTAGTTCTATCAATGATCGAAGCACAATCTCTCCCCCATCCCCCGCCCGAACTGGGTATACCTGGGTGTAATTCTCCGGCCTTAGGTTCTGCCAGCCAGGTTCTGCCTACACTCGAAGTTCCGCCAGGTCCATTCGGGTCAGGTGAAAATGACGCGGTCTGGCGCGACACTAACTTATGCCTTTGAACTAAGTACCTTTAAATATCATGTTATGTCGCTCGATCGAGACACTTTTAATTGTCTTTATTGATGAATGTTCATCTTCGTGCTGAATCGTGCAGGCCCTAGAGTGCTGAAACGCACATGCACCTCACCTCATTAAGTTACAGCACTTGCCAGGTCCAAACTCCACGTTGGGCCCGTTCGCAGTGCGCACAACACGGGAAAATATCGATTGCAAGTTGTAGTAGTACGCCTCCTGTATTGTCTCTAACGGTGGTCTAATGTTAGCCTTCAGATGAAGTGTTATTCGGGCTGTGTCACCTTGTCAAGCTTAGTATACTGGCATGCATGGGCCTCAGTATCGGTATGTCAACTTGAAGCCCCATCCCATGCCACGTCAAGCCACACCATATACCACGTCAAGCCACACACACGCTGCGTCAGTGCCACGTAAATATTTCTGTGGGTAGTGAGATTAAGACTAGCGGGACTGCAAGCCAGTGTACTAAGCTTTGGGAGACTGGAGTGGCATTGACGTGTCAAGGCGTGTCACAGCAGCGTCAAATAGCCACCGTCCGCGCCCCATCAAAACCGATTAACCTAATCGATTAGCCAAACTGATTAGCAGAACTGCCGAGTTCCACCTACAACACTATTGTCAGGACATAAAAGAAAGCGTTTGCCCCAAGTCTGAGTCAGCATTCGAGACCTCCCTTGACAGCGTACAAATTATGCGTTTCTCCTTACGTGCCGTTGTTGTCGCTTTGGCAGCATCTATTTCTGTCAGTGCATGTAAATCCCAATTCGAATCTTGCAGCACCTCAGCAGATTGCTGTCTTGAGCTCTTTTGTGTGAATGGTGTAAGTATACGGTACTTTGCTTCGCGATCAAGGTTCACTCACCCCTTGTAATACTACTAGGGTACCCGTCATTTCTGCAATCTGCCAATCTCGAAGCCCTGAGCTTACAGTCTGAATGACACGCGACAGTAAGTCACGTCGTCTGCTTCCCATTGGTGCTGTGGTTGATGGCACAAATGTGTAGTTTCTCGCTGAGTTGACCAATACGGGTGTTTCTGGAGTCTAGAAAAAATACAGTGCCGCTTGAGCCATGGAAACTGAATAGAGGAACATGTCAGGTAGCACTCAATATGACACTGACTTGGTAGTAGTCAGAAAGTCGGTGGACTCACTCCGTGGCTTGGAATTCTCCCGGCTGGAACTGCAAGGAGATTGAATTTAGCGACATACTAAAGGCCCTGCATCACCGTCACTTGTCGGTCTCACGGTCAAGATGATTTGAATACCACTTGCGGCGGTCTTCATTCTTGGCTAGCTATTGCCGTCCGCTGAAAAAGGAGATTCTGTCGTCTTCAAGTTTGACTAGGGGAAGATTATTGCCATCTAGGCTTAGCTGATAAATAAAACATGTTCTTGCCTGACTCCATGATTGCCCTCAAGTAAATTTGCTTGCATGGACGCTGCGCTCTGAATCATCATATCTACAGCATCATTCTATAGCTGTTTGCGATATGGGACTGCGGGCTCAATGAAGGATGCGGAGACGAGCAGATATGTGGAAAGAGCGGTGCAGGGACGAAGTGATAGAATTGTTAAGGATGCACTGGATTTTGAGTGACTGGACGTGAGTGATAGCGCTTTCTCAGCTGTCAATTTGTTCATATAACCGTCGCTTTCCTGTTGTAAGTCAGCGTATAACACGATACAAATGTCTAGAGGAAATGTTCCATGCATGCGCTGTCAAGCTACGAATGAAAACGCGTCAGAGGTGTTCGAAAACCATGGAACTATAATATCTCTAGCATCCTGCCATCCATTATGTCGTAAACAGAAGCCATGTCCTTGACCCCTGCGATGATATTGTGATCCGACACAATTCCCTTGTACTCCCCACCGCGCTGCTGCGCTAGCAAAAGTGCGCCAAAAGGCTGTCCCAGGCGAATGATGAATCTCAACGCTCGCGAGTGAGACTCCGAATCAACTAGCTCATTTTCTCTAGGATACCCGCGGAGCGATCCATCCAACGGAGACTCGGGCTCTGACTAATCGACCATGCTCCGAGCATCTTCTGCAAAGTCAGGCAGCCCGAGATCATGACGATTCCACGGACAGACGAGCAAGAATGTCCGTGAAGTGGGGCATGACGGTGAGAACTGAGTCAGCTTGTTTTCTGCGGTGAGTGGAACCCGCCCGTCTTGAGACATCAAAGTGACATATTTCTCCTGGTCTTGACCATGTGAGTTCCGTGAGGGGAAATACAATGCAAGGCAGATGCAAACTACGGTTCGTCAAACGAGGAGCGCTCAGGTTGTCAAGCCTGGTGTACAGTGTCGAAGCCAGATCTATAATACCAGCATTTCGCAGCGACGAGACCGAGGTCTGTATCTGATCTTCAGATAGAAATTGCATCGTGAATGGCAGAGTTTTGTATTGTAAGGATTGCATATCCTCTACGCACCGATCACGCTTCAAAGCGAAGACGATGTAGCTCCGTTACTCTTCGCATCCGAGTTACGCGGATACAAACTTCCATTTTTCATTTCCTTTTACGATCTTATCTTGTACTCACACTTCACAATCCCTTTCTTGGACCGAGTATTTTCACCTCACCATATGCTCTTCATGCCGATTCCAGCCTAGTTAACTCTCCTTTTTCTATGTCCCAAAATCGCAAGGTGCAGTCCAGTGACGACCCGTCGGCCGTCTTTGAAGAACGCTACTACCCACACCACATACATGTTGGACCGGGCACGGACTGCTAGGGGAAACCCAGGCCAAACCTCTCAGGCGGGAGGCGGCGGCTTTATCTATCGAGCACGGCGGACTATGAAAACCTATGTCTAGGACTCCAGCCACTGCCCCAGAACCCCGGCACCCTACACCAGACCTCCTTGCTACGGTGTGCATTTGCGTCGTCCGCGTTGACATCAGTGAACTGATGAGCTGCAGATAAAGTCTTATATGACGATATATCGTCATATATAGAACTCCTTTCCTTTATATTGGAATATAAAGTCATGTAGAAGACGTAAAGTCACGTACCCTGGGTACTAGACTCACGGGTTCTCTGATGTTAGTGCCGGTGTTGCGCCCCCTCTCACACTAAGTTACGCTTTTTTTGCTCCGTTAAGCATCCCTGATATGTCTAGACGGTCAGTAGCATTTGAAATTGACAAGGAGCACTCGGTGGTTATGTTGTGGATTTCGTGTGTGGTGAGTAGCGTTGGGTTTCAGCTCGATACCTAACTGGTGTAGGCGCATATCCGTTGTTCTTATTGGCTCCTTATTACTACGCTCCGGCTTCGACTGGCTCAAGAGTCGGTGACACGATCTATTAGGTTGGGCTGGACCGAGCGTTAGCTCGGGATGGGACGCAAGCAGGTGGAGCCGCTCACCCAACGACCCGGAACGACCCGCGGCTCAAAGCTGCGTAGCCCAACCAAAAACGTGGAGGCGATGGTTAGAGAAACGTGGCATTAGCCAAATGCTGGGAGGAGATCTGTTCGAACGCGCGGATGTAAGTCTCGTATGCCAACGATTTCCATCGGCCGGCGATTCAAACTATTTCGGGGTCGACCTTCTTTGCCAGATAGAATGAAGCGCCCCCTATGCGAAACGAGTGACCGAATGAAGTGCCCCACCCGCATCCCATCAAAATTGAGTTGATTCGTTCCATAGCGCGAACTTTCACCATCGGGTGGACCTCACCCTTGGCGTCGTGCCACGAAAACAGAGGGTCATCTGCGAGGGCGGGGACAACTGATACCAGATTGCGGAGAGCTGCCAACGGGCATAAATCTCCCTGCTCGTTTAGAAAAATAGACTGCGTTTCCCCGGCCCTCGCTGTCTTTGCTGATGGAAGGTCGAGACGCGCGTATGGATTGTTCCGCAAATCGTGGCCAAAGAACACGTGAGATGTTTGGATGGACTAAAGGCTGATCGGGAAGCAACAGAGACTTCGCCGAACCGCATCATACTGAAGAAGGCACAGGACGCCATTGCCCAAACGCAAGCATCGAAGGATTCCGACAGTACGAGAGTAGCCTTGATGACCGTGAGCATCGCGATAGTTATAGGTGGCCGAAGGGGCTTTCGACGGCTAGCCTGGAGGTTCTCGAGTCCTCGTAGTGACCAATTGATTCGTTCGTGGCGGAAATCTGATAGTGGTGGGGGCTATCCTTGTGCAATGTGCCAAGCTCGCACGGCAGATAGGTATTTACGAGCAACGCCGATGGAGACCGGCTCGAAGTTAGTTGTGCTTCCCCCTGCAGATAAAAGAGGGTCGCCAGCCTCTGGGTCTGTGACTGCCCATAGAGCGAAGGAGTGGAGTAACTGAAGTGTAAGACATTACTAGTTCTATCAATGATCGAAGCACAATCTCTCCCCCATCTCCCGCCCGAACTGGATATACCTGCGTGTAATTCTCCAGCCTTAGGTTCTGCCAGCCGGGTTCTGCCTCCACTCGAAGTTCCGCCGGGTCCATTCGGGTCAGGTGAAAAGGACGCGGTCTGGCGTGGCACTAACTTATACCTTTGAACTAAGTACCTTTAAATATCATGTTATGTCGCTCGGTCGAGACACTTTTAAATATCTTATTGATGAATGTTCATCTTCGTGCAGACCCTAGAGTGCTGAAATGCACATGCATCTCACCTCATTAAGTTACGGCACTTGCCAGGTCCAAACTCCACGTTGGGCCTGTTTGCAGTGTGCACAACACGGGGAAATATCGATTGCAAATTGCAGTACGCCTCCTGTATTGTCTCTAACGGTGATCTAATGTTAGCCTTCAGATGAAGTGTTATTCGGGCTGTGTCACCTTGTCAAGCTTAGTATACTGGCATGCATGGGCCTCAGTACCGGTATGTCAACTTGAAGCCCCACCCATGCCACGTCAAGCCACACCATATACCATGTCAAGCCTCACACACGCTGCGTCAGTGTCACATCAATATTTCTTTGGATAGTGAGATTAAGACTAGCGGGACTGCAAGCCAGTGTACTAAGCTCTGGAGTGGCATTGACGTGTCAAGGCGTGTCACAGTCGCGTCAAATAGCCACCGTCCGCGCCCCATCAAAACCGATTAACCTAATCGATTAGCCAAACTGATTAGCAGAACTGCCGAGTTCCATCTACAACGCTATTGTCAGGACATAAAAGAAAGCGTTTGCCCCAAGTCGGAGTCAGCATTCGAGACCTCCCTTGGCAGCGTACAAATTATGCGTTTCTCCTTACGTGCCGTTGTTGTCGCTCTGGCAGCATCTATTTCTGTCAGTGCATGTAAATTCGAATCCGAGTCTTGCAGCACCTCGACAGATTGCTGTCCTGGGCTCTTTTGTGCGAAGGATGTAAGTATACGGTACTTTGCTTAGCGTTCGGGTTTCACTCACCCATTGTAACACTACTAGGGTACCCGTCATTTCTGTGAATTCGATTATCACATCACCCCTGAGCTTACAGTCTGAATGACACGCGACAGTAAGTCACGTCGTCTGCTTCCCATTGGTGCTGTGGTTGATGGCACAAATGCGTAGTTTCTCGCTGAGCTGACCAACACGGGTGTTTCTGGAGTCTAGACAAAATCCACTGCCGCTTGAGCCATGGAAACTGAATAGAGGAACATGTCAGGTAGCACTCAATATGACACTGACTTGGTAGTAGTCAGAAAGTCGGTGGACTCACTCCGTGGCTTGGAATTCTCCCGGCTGGAACTGCAAGGAGATTGAATTTAGCCACATACTAGAGGCCCTGCATCACCGTCACTTGTCGGTCTCACGGTCAAGATGATTTGAATACCACTTGCGGCGGTCTTCATTCTTGGCTAGCTATTGCCGTCCGCTGAAAAAGGAGATTCTGTCGTCTTCAAGTTTGACTAGGGAAGATTATTGCCATCTAAGCTTAGCTGATAAATAAAACATGTTCTTGCCTGACTCCATGATTGCCCTCAAGGAAATTTGCTCGCATGGACGCTGCACTCTAAATCATCATACAGCATTGACACGTTGGATTGGGGTCCTTCCAGTAGACAAGTTCCAGAACTGTTTTGTCATATGAAGCAGAGACAAGTTGCTAGCCGTCAGGTGACCAGAAAACACTTGAAACCGCAGATTCATGAGCGCTGATCAAGAGAAGAATAAAGCTCGGCGTTATCGGTGCGCCAAACCCGGATGGTACGATCCAATGATGCGCTTGCTATTTTTGAACGATGACCCTCGAGTGTTGAGGGGACTGCACCAGTCTCCGCATCCCATATGATACCCGTGCCATCAGCCGACCCGCTGAAAATTCTCTTGCCATCGGGGGAGAAGCACGCCGAGTACTATACACAGTGCTTTCATGCTTTACCAGGGCCCAGCGGATAAAATAATTTCTGCTTGCTCTTGGCATCCCAGATGATGATGGTCTTATCTCCTCACCGCTCGCAATTCGCCTATCGTCTAGCAATATTGCGATTGATCGCTTGTGCCCCTCGAACTTTGGCCCTCCTCCGAGTCAATTCTCCTTTCTCTATATCCCAAAATCGCAAGGTGCAGTCCAGTGACGACCCGTCGGCCGTCTTTGAAGAACGCTGCTACCCACACCACGTCCATGTTGGACCGGGCACGGACTGCTAGGGGAAACCCAGGCTAAACCTCTAAGGCGGGAGGCGGCGGCTCTATCTATCGAGCAGGGCGGACTATAACAACCTATGTCTAGGACTCCAGCCACTGCGCCAGAACCCCGGCACCTTACACCAGACCTCCCTGCTACGGTGTGTTAGTGCCGGTGTTGCGCCCCCTCTCACACCAAGTTACGCTTTTTTTTGTTCCGTTAAGCATCCCTGATATATCTAGACGGTCAGTAGCATTTGAAATTGACAAGGAGCACTCGGTGGTTACGTTGTGGATTTCGTGTGTGGTGAGTAGCGTTGGGTTTCTGCTCGATAACTAACTGGTGTAGGCGCCTATCCGTTGTTCTTATTGGCTCCTTATTACTACGCTGCTACAGCATTCACTTCTTCCGAATTATCACGCAGTGCCCCTTTATTAAACGCCCGTCATATACCAGTAACCCCTCAATGTGCACAGTGAACCGAAAGTGATTCACGACCTGGACAGGATCAAACGTGGATGACTGCAATTGGCTTGAAGAAATACTCGAGATCTCGCCATTCTCGCGCATCTCGTCATGATCGATAATCTCATCATCTGAATCAGATGATGATTCACTTGTGCTGATTTAGATCGGAAGACGACGAAGAACGCTTCAGTTTCGAGGAAAGTCCGTTAGGTGTATGACAGACTGGTGGCACTTGGTTGATTAGTTACTGTTCCCATACAGCAGAGGAAGATCCAGTCATCGCAGCTCGACGCACATTCAGTCTATGTAGGTGGCCGTGACTTCCGCGTCAATGCCGCATGAGAAGAGCGCAGCGTTCATGCGAGCTCAGATACTGCATTTCCCATGGGTCATAGCCAACCCATCCGCCATCGAGGGACGTAACAACCAAAATTGTTTCCAATCATTCTGCCAGGTCCTGCCTCCACTCGAAGTCCCCCCGGGCACATCCATTCTGCCTACAACACTATTGTCATGACTTAAAGGGAAGCTATCTTTCTATCGTTGCCCCCAACTCAGAGTCAGCATTCGAGACCTTTCTTGACAGAGCCCATATCACCTCGCACAAACCATGCGTTTCTCCTTCCGCGCCGTTGCTGTCGCTTTGGCAGTATCTATGTCTGCCAGTGCATGTCAACACATATACAGGTCTTGCAGCACCACATCAGATTGTTGTTATGACCTCTACTGTAAGGAGAATGCGAGTGTGAGTAGTTTGCTTCGCATTCAGGGTTCACTCACCCCTTGCAATACTAATAGGGTACCGGCGAGAGTTTGTGCGATACCGATTAACCCATTTCCCGTTGAGCTTGCAGTCTGAATGACACGCGATAGTAAGTCACGTCGTCTGCTTTCCCATCAGTGCTGTGGTTGATGTCACAATGCGTAGTTTCTCGCTGAGTTGACTAATACGGGTGTTCCTGGAGTCTGGAAAAAATCTATCGCCGCTTGAGCCAAGGAAACTGAATAAAGAAACATGTCAGGTAGTACTCAATATGACACCGACTTGATAGTCGAAAAGTAGGTGGACTCACTCCGTGGCTTGGAATTCTCCCCGCCGGAACTATCAGGAAAGCGATTTTAACGACATAAAGGCTCTGCGTCACCGTCGCTTGTCAGCCTGACGGTCAAGATGATTTGAATACCACTTGCAGTCTTCCTCGGTCTTCAGTCTTGGCCAGCCACTGCCGTCCCTGAAAACGAAGGAAAGATTCTGTCTTCTTTAAGCCTGCGACATGAGACTGCGGACTCGATGAAGGGTGCGTGTGTGGAGACCAACAGATATGTGGAAAGAGCGGTGCAGGGACGAAGTGTGACGATTCGTATCTGGCTAGGACGCAGTGATAGAATTGCCAAGGATACACTGAATATTGAGTGACTGGCTCTCATTAAAGATTCGATCATACGATGGTCGTTTTCCTAGATATCGTGAGCGTACGATACAATACAAATGTATAAATAAAATGTTCCATGCGTGCGCTGTCTAGCTACGAATGAAAACGCGTCAATACTCAGTCTTCAAAACCCATAAAACTATAATATCTCTGGCATCCCTAAAAGACGTTGCACGTCTAAAGAGACAGAACTCTAGTGAGTTCTGTACTACATCAGTAAGGAGTGTTGTAGGATATGACTTACCCCCAGTCGAGTATAAGAGACTAGGGAAAAGACGAAACGAGCGAACGTATCGTACATGGAGTTTCCGTATATGGTAACTCCGCTGGCGTTGAATGAGAGACAACTGACAGAATGGTGGTGGGTCTATGCGTATCGAGACTTATGTGAGCGATGAGAGAAAGAAGAAAGGTATCGATACTGTTAATTGTAACTGTGCGATTGACAATGATGCTTAGTGAAAGATTAATGGCGAGGTATTTGGGCGAAAGCTCGCAAGGGCTTTCCGGTCCGAAACACTAGCTTGAACCTGGAAGAAAAGGTGAGCTGTGAATCCCAGAAGATTAGGAGTTCGACGACGCGAACAGCGCAGCTTGTGGCCTAGTGTGTAAGGAGGTGGACTTACTCCGACTCTCTGAGACTACGCTATCTCACTGGGGGCATGGTAATGCGAGTGAAAGGCTCTAGGGAGGGGTTTGCTTGGATGTACGGGGCTAGGATCCTTGCGTGCTCTCGCAGGTAGCGCGTGAACGCATCACTCGACCAACGTCCCATCGATTTGACTACGTCGAATGGGACGCCTCGAAGGAGGTACTCTAGGGTGCCTCCAATGCGAATGCTGTGTCCTTTCAGGTTAGGTAGGTTGGTGACGGTTGAAATAGTTGATATTCGTTTGATGAGTTCAGTCTTGGATAGTGCTCGTATACCTTTTTCAGGGTGTTTCCAACCGAAAAGGTGGTCCGAGCTTTCTGCTTGGTTGATGCGGAAATGGTTCTCCAAGGCTGCTTTCGGATCCGAAAGTCCCTCTTGTTCCGCCCAGTAAGCGTCTTCTCCCTCTCTCGGGGAGGATTTCGTACTGGGGAGATGGAATTTGGTGATCGCGAAACCATTTCGGTCTAGGCCGTCCGAAACGTCGCCTCGGGTGATGTGTTTGCGAGGGTCGAAGTCTTTTATCGCTGAGACCGTGAATTCTCCTAAGCGGGTGATCGAGTAGAACGTTGTGGTGATGCATGCGAATATGGCCGCGTCTTTGGGATCTTCGAGGTTTAGCTCTTTGCGAATGTCGATGATGATGGCGGGGGTGAAAGGAGTGCGTTTGGGGCGTTTGGAGGTGGGGGGGGAGCGAATTTAGCGGCTCCGTCTAAGATCGACTTTAGTTCGTTGGGTGGTATGAGCCATGGGCGTCCATGCAGGATGTGCCAAGCCTTGATACCGGCTGCATAGTTTCCTAGCGCGGATCCTGAATAAGCTCCTGCGCAGCTCGATAAGAAAGCGAGGAGTAAGGGACGGGAAATGGGGCATCTTTGGCTTTCTGCTATCTGCTGCGCGTCGCAGTACACATGGAATACCAGTAGCCCCGCACCGTATGTCTCTTTGGTGGCTGTGGCCCAAGAACATCCCATTACTTCCAGCACTCTGTCCAGCTGGGCATCTGAGATGGTGAACTCGTGAGGGTCATTGGTGGTTGCCGTTCTGCGAGTGTCTTCGCCTGCTGGTATCCACAATATCAGCCTTTCTCGAGCGAGGCAGTGAGGACGAAGAAGCAATGGCGCGGGAGTGAGATTAGGTTTGTATGGGTGAGGGATTGAAGGGATGGTGGCGGTGAGGTTGGGAAGAATGGTATCGAAGCGCTGATGTTCAACAGTTGATGTTCGTTTGGTCCTGTAGGGATTCAAAGAGGATCTGGTCTTCTTCTTCTCTACACGCTTGTAGGCGTTCAGCGCTCTGCTGTCTGATCCAGGCTCGGTTGATGATTTTAGCGGCTGGAGGGGGGTAACGCCCGTTGTGCAGGAGGTGAAGTTCTGTAGCTGTTGGGGGTTCTGTAGTGTCCATGATGAACTGCCTAATGGCGGGAGGAATGTTGATTGAAGGGAGTAGAAGCTCTTTGGGGGGGTAAATTCCCCTGGAGGGCTTGTCGGCTGGGTTCTGCTCGCTGGCGACATAAACAGTGCAGATTGTGAGACGCTGGGGTAAGCATTGGACGAGCTCATGAATGTGGCGGAAAACGGTGTTGACTTCTGGGTTCCTGTGTCGTCCTTTCCACCAGCCTTCGACAACTCCTGTGTTATCTCCGTACACTGTGAGTGCGTTACCCATGTCGGGAATAGTGCTGAGAGTTCTGACGAGCAATTCAAATCCGACTGCTTCTGCCCAGCCAATATCGTGTTTGCCATTGAGAGTCTGCCAACCGGGAACTAATCTCCAGGCTCGCCAATGTTTTCCAATTACGATACCTATGCCTATGCTCGAGCTGGCGTCCGAGAAGGCTTGGGGGTCTGTGTAGACTAATGGGGGGTGTATGGGCCTCGCGACGCCTCCGCTTTGTAGTAAGTCTGACCACTAGATGAGGTCTTCCTCAATTCCTTTGACAGGGCGGTGAGGGAGATGCGGTTTCTTCCCGCAGATACTTAACATGGATTCTAGCGTCGTGAGGTAGGCATGCCCTTTCCTCGTGACTTGGCAGGTATGCAACAGCTTTCCATAAAGCTCACGTACGTCCTGAAGGACGTGGATTGCTCTATGATGCCATTTGTGGATGGCTAGTAAGTATTTGGCTACTTTCGCCGGGCTTAGCGCCACGGTGCGGTTACTTACGTCCCACAGAAAACCTATGCAGACGGTCGAGGACGCAAATGGTTGGTCTTTTTCCTTTTCCCATCTGATGCCGAGATCGCTGGAGATCTTATCGATGTCCTCGAGGCAATATCCGAATAATTTGTCGTGATGTGATCTAGGGGACTGTTCCGATAGGTCTTTGAGAGGCCAGGAACAGTCTTCGCTAAACTCCTCTATTGAGCCGTCATCAAACGTACGTCCTCCAAACCATATTCTGCTGCCTGATTGCTGCATCCCTCTTCTTATTAGGTCTTTATTCCATTGTGCGCGCTGTCTGTTGTAGTTGGCTATGTGTTCCGTGCGAATGCGGGCAAATAAATGGTCATCGACCCATTTGTCGAGGGGGCCTATTCCATTATGCCTGATAATTTCGGCACCTGCGTCCGCTACATGGCCATAGGCGCCTGCTGACGGAGTGGCGCCAAAGGCCATGCATGTGTCAACGCATACTTCGGTGTCCGACATTCGGATTATTCCCGATGGCCATTGGGAGGGGTGCAGGGGGAGAGTTCGATAGGCTTCGGCGACGTCTCTCGTTGCAACTTCGGAGCCTATTGGTAGCCTCGAGATTAGTAGGTATATAACTGAGAATTTGCCCCAGGTAGTGGGAAAATGATTGGCGTCTATGTAGGAATTAATGGATGGATTGGGATAAGCGGGTGTGGTGGAGTGAGGAAAGGAGAAATTCTGAACGAGTCTGAATTTGCCGGGTTTTCCGGGTTTAGGTATTATAGATAATGGAGATGATTGAAAGGGACCGATGATATGTTTTAGTTCGACGGGGGTGAAGGGGCCTATGTACCTGCCTTTGATGAATTCTTTCTGAATGATGGTATTAAATTCCGTGCAATATTCGTCAACGGAGTTCTTGTTCGGTGGGCTTTGTACACGTGTAATTAAAGGGAAATCTAAAACAAATCCTGATCTGAAACCTTTGCAAAACGTTTGATTGCGTTCGCATCGCGAAGCGCTCGCTCCCATGCGTCTGCGATGTATGGGGTGAGGGGGTTATATCTTCTGTGCTCTAGCACAGCGCTGGGCGCCGTGTTCGGATGAGCCACACCCTGAGCAAATGTGCTTACTGTTGTGCTGGGTGTTGGTGCATCCTTCTTCGCGTTGCCATGAGGTGCAGAGTTGACGCCCGTCCTTAGTCCATAGTGCTTTGTGGATGCGCTCTGAATAGGAGTTGAAGAGGTTGTCCCAGGTTTTTGTGGCGGTACACTCCACTGTGCGGTGGGAATTGCGCCCAAGGCAGACGGCGCAGCACGGGAAGGGGGAGGATGCGTTGATGGGATCTCGAAAGGACCGATTTCTCTTCTTCTGATCTGCATTTTCTGCGTTCGGAGAGAGAGCTCTCTTCTGGCTAACGGGGGGTCTATTATTGTTGCTCTGTTGGTTGCGACTTGCGTTAGCGTTGGTAGCAGTGGCAGCCTGTTGCGTGCAGGAGTGTGTTGGTTTCGGCGAGATGCGATAGCGATGGGTGGCGCATGATGTCCGTGGGGTGGTAGAGTGGCGAATGATGGCCATTTTTGACATGCAATGGTCGGGTATAGTGGGTTTTGTTGGTCGAGCGTGATGTTGAAGAACGTAAGGTGAAAGCGAACATCACGTGCATAATGCGTGTGGTTCAAGGGTGAAAGAAAAGCGGGGCGGCAAAACGGTTAGCTTTGCATGGAGACTTCGGAGTTCACGTACCTGTCGGAGAGCTGCGAGTGCTAAATCGCGATCTTCATTGAAGAGTTCTTCTCTAGCCTCGAGAATGAGGTCTTGGTTGAGCTCCGCTATGCTCCAACCATGGGGGGCCACCTGCTGTGAGATGCCATAGCCGGCGTTGCTGGCTTTGATATAGTAGTAGTGCACGTTGCTTCAAGTTGTCGAATGCGTGTCTCCATCGATGGTTTTGGAGCGCTGTCCAAAACTGGATGTGCATAGTTACTCTATCTTCTGGCCACTCGTGCTGTTTCATCGCCATTATCATCTGTGGGGCAGCTTCATTGAAGTGCTCCCAGGATAGATTCTCGTCCTTGGTGATGACGGCTTTGGGGTTGCGCGATTCGTCTGCGTTGATCCAGGTTTGCTGTCCATCCGCATTTGTGGTTAGCGTTAGACCCGGTGCTTCAGTCGAGAGCAAGCTTTTCTTGGCATCTTTTAAACCTTTATTAGTGAAATAATAGAGTTCGCAGTATTCCCCTGCTTTTAGTTTCCATACTGCGTAGTGCGAGGGTATGACAACTGGGATGGAGGGAACTTTGGAGTTGCTGACGGGAATGAATTTGGATTTGTTCCTCTTTTGTTCTTCTTTGCGGGCGGCTTCTTGTTCTTCTGCGGCGGCTTGTTGGCGATCGCGTTCTTCTTTGGCTGCTATGCACTGGACTTCTTCAGCATCTCTAGCAGCTTCCTCAATTTGTTCTGCCCAGAGGTCTCGAGCTGCGTTGTTGTTCAGATGCCAGAGAGTGGCTAATAGCTCTGCGGCCTGTGCGTCATTAGTGATTCCATCAGCTATAAGTTGATTTCTGGCTGCTCCGTGTTCGTCAGTCCTAAAGTCAGGCAGTATTGCAGTATTAGGGTCTTCTAGTAGATGGGCCATTAGCTTCAAGGAGAGTGAGCAGAAAATGAGAGAGCTAGGGCTAGTGATCGTCAACGACGTTCGGAAGCTGATGTGGTCGAGAAGAAAGTTGCTGCGCCACACTGCTTACTCACGCGTAGACTATATTCTATGTTAACCTCGTGCCTCGGCTAACTTAGAATTCGACAACACCCGCCAACAAAGTGTACCACTTATATAAGCAGAATTCCCCTAAAACCACGAAAATCATGGCACAACGACAAGAATTATAATTTCTACATCTACTACAATCATTTTCAGTATAGAATTAATCTACAAGAGTAAGGTTATATGCAAGTGGTCCTGTAAGTGCAGTATTTGCAAATGAGTGTGTACATTATAATCTACAAACCTCCATATCGAGCTGCATGTTTAACTAGGTTTCTAAATGGATTCGAGGAAATTGATGTCAGTGTTGACAGCCTCCCCCAGACTTCGAGCATCTGAAGGACTAAATAGCACTGTCTCTTGCTTTTGAAATGCGACTTCTTGGGAATGTTTGTCTCGATACTGAGCCAGCAATGAAGTTCCAACTGATCATTGAGTGCTGGGATCAGTATTGCCTCGAGACATGCAGAATCAACGACCAGAGCAACTGTTTGCTCTTGTGACCTTCTTGCATTCATAACGAAGCAGTTTGTAGTTTTCATCAGCATGAGTCTGCAGCGTGACCCTAGTGTCATGCAAACATTGACTAGTGGTTGCAAATTGTTCCTCGGATTGAGCAAGCTGCTGCTGGAGGGCCTTGGCTCTTTGTAAAGTGCCATGAGGAAGACCACAAGTTAAAGCCTGAATTGGTGAGAAGTTTTCTTTATTTTTATTGCGAATGAGGTTCAGGTGTGCTGAGATCAGGATGTTGGCAGCCCATGCAGATATATTATTAGAGGTGATACTAATAGGATATCATAATAGGTCATCAGAGCGAACGTGCCACAGCTTGTGTTGAGCTGGGTGAGAGACGAGGGTGAAAATGTGTGTTACGGTAGGTCGCATTCTTTGTTTGGTACACGTCTGTGGCTGAGATTTCGTGTTTTCAGGGGCCCCAGTGTGCCACAGCACAAACACATGAATTATGAGGTGGGTAAAATGTCGGTGAAGTGTGAAAATATACCACAATATCACGAAGTTTTCTGGTACATTCGCTCATCAGGCAATCTGCCAACAATTACACACTTTGCCCACAATCTATCACATTTTTACCTTACATTTTCCCCACAATTCATGCAATATTTCCATACGTAGACACCGCACAACAATCACGCTTTGACGGTAGCTTAAAATCACACACAGCAGCTCAGATTTGTGTGCAGTGGGCTTGATTATAAGGAAGAATGATCCAGGCCATGTTGCACATAAGGATGACAAGGTTATCGAGCGGAACAACACGTCTAACTCCCCACCACAACGTCCCATGTCGAGCCCTGAGTATAACTTCAGCTTCGGTCCTCCCCCTCCTTTGTATGGCCATCCCAGCACACCAGCAGGCCATGCATACAGTGGAATGGTAGGCTCCCACGAGATGGGAAGGGCTATGTACCAAGGTGGCCCTACAGGAATGTCGGATGGGCGTCCAATGTCTGTCCCAGTGCTGACACCAGGGTTATCTTCACATGAGTTCCAGCGGCCAGCGTCCATTGTTCCCCTCATAGATCCCTGACTGAATACAGCTCCAGGCAGTGTAGGAACAGGCACCAGCTCAGCACAGAACACCGGCGGTCCACCCAAGTCGATGAAAATCTCTTAGGTCTTGAGTGAGATGACCAGTTTCAACTGCTGGCTGGCCCAAGCTGAAGACTTGGAGCTGTGACATGCAAATGAACTGCGTGCGGTGGAGACTAGATGCGTTCAGCATGTCAAGGCTGCGAAGACTGAGTTCAAGGCTGAGATAAAGAGTCTGGAGGAGCGGTTTGAGCAGAAAGTCGCCAGTTTGCTTGTGAGTAAGAGTCACGTTGATGTAGGAGACGGGTCTGAAGCTGAGACCGATGAGGAGTTCAAGAAAGATGTCAAGAAGCTTGAAAAGAGTGCCCTTGCATTCGGTGACAATGGTCTGAAGGTGAGTAAATCAGTGGATCCAGTATGTGAAGAGTACACTAATAAGACATCATTCAGGCAGCTGTTTGCATTGTGTTTCAGATGTTGATGGGAAGCGCAAAGCTTACCATTGATGCGCTTCCTTCATATCCAAGTGACAAAAATAAGTGGCCGCTCGATCCTGCCACCAATGAGCATTTGATGCGTTTTTGCTGGACTGAATCCCATCAGCATTCAGATAATCACGCCAACATCCTGTGCATCATCACTTACATTTGTCAACATGGCGCAACTGTATGCACTGGCACTGGTTCTACTCTTCGCGATATCAGTGACAAAGACCTGCGCGCCCGTGTGGTGAAGAAATATCAAGACTTACAGAAGAACTTGCGGAAGGCAGGCAGGTTGTCTGGACACCCAGTGGTGCCTCTGACAGCTGCGGCAAGTACTGTTGAAGATGATCCGCTCGGGCCTTCAGCTCAGCCTGTAGCCATAATGGCAACTTCACGAGCCAAATTGCAAAGTTGTGCCAGAGGAGTAAGTCATGGGCCATTAATATGAACTAGAACTCACCTGTGTACCTTAGAAACTTGAAGTGCATATACGCAAATATGAGAATCTGCCAGAGGATTCAGAGTTCGGGCATGAGAAATATCGAGCAGCACTCACAGAGTCCTTGATGTCGCAGGATGAGGATGAGGTGAGTGAGCAGGGGCAAAAGATGGGGCGATTTATATCCCATGCTGGAACATATTGAAGTGACCTTGTGAGTAAAATGACGACAGCTAAAATGGACACTGACCCTGATAAAAATTGTAGATGTCGAGGTTCTTGGCCACTGTTGATGAAGCGGCGGATCCACACCCCCCTCCTCACTTCACCGCTCGGGTTAAAGGCAACTCGAAAGAACTCCCACTCTTAGCTGTGAAGAAAATTGAGAATTGAGCACACTGATGGATGGTATCAGCTGAATGGCTTGCGAGAGAAGAAAACAAGAACTATGACTCACCTAGCTTTCTCCTAGACAATGGGCGTGCATGGGGTGATCCAAAGGACCCTGAGGAGATATTGGCAGGGCAGAAATGAGTGAAGGAACAGAAGAGGGTGATTGCAGCGAAGAAGTGTGTGAAAATTGAGGAGATGGAGGCGAAGAAGAAGGAAAATGGAACAAAGAAAGGTAAAGGCAAATCAAAGGCCACAACTGACAAAGGGAAGGGACGAGAGAGCATCCCAGCACAACCAGTAGCAAGTACTAGCACAGCTCGTGAGCTGCCTCCTGCTGCAGAGTCGGATGACGACTTCAGTGACTAGATATGACAAAAAGTGCACACCTTATCTACTCTCCATCTTCGTCTTCTAAATAGTCTTCAGGTTCATTCCCTGCCTACAAATTTTTTGAGACTGTTGTACAAGAGTAATCACAGTTTGTAAACATACATGGTCAAATGAGACGGTGATCCATAGATCTTTTTTGAGGACATTCGAGTGCACTGGAATTAGTGCCAGTGGGCACTCGATCTGTGATACTGGAACCACTTCCTGAGGGCCCAATTCAGTGTAGGAGACATGGATACCAAGTGTAGATGCACTGAAAATATATGAGCACTTGTCCCTGCTAACCGAAAGACTTACTAGGGATCCCATGGCATTGCAGGAATGTCATCATCAGAGACTAATCTCCGCACCACTGCACAAACATGAGGGACGACATCAAAAACACCAACCACAAATAATGCCGTGATTTGCACAGGGACACGGGTTCTACCTTGTGATATGAACACAAATGAGTCAGCGTGCGTGCGCCAATTCATGGTGCAGCCATAACGAATGCCATCTTTGCGAATGTATGCGAGTGCACGAGCTACCTTGTTTGCATAGAAGGGGATGCCATTGTTGCACGATAAATCACCAACCAGGTGAAGGTCAGGCCATAGAGAACGACAGTACTGGAGGAGAATGGGGTAGAATACTCCTTGAGGCGAGCCATATGCATGGAGATTGATCAATTTTGCATTACGGAGTGGTAACCTAACATTGTCTGGTGAAATATCATCAGTTGATAGATTGGTGCGAAGAATAAACATGTACCTTCGGCAGCTTCGCTCTGATAAACCGCTATCTACGTCATCATACTTCCACGGTCTTGAGCTTGTACCTTGATAATGCGATTAATCTGGTCTCATTTGAAAGAATGAGTGTCGGCAGGAAGAGCCAGAAGATACTCATAAATGAGATGAGTTTGGACCCAGTTCCGTAAGAGAGTTAACTCAATCTGTCCTCTGTCATGACCGTTATGGTGAACATGTTCCAGCATGCCATTGAACCACTCGAATGCAAAGAGCCACCAGGCGTATACAGGACCAAACTTCTTTATCATATCAGCTGTATGCATCAAAGCTTGATGGTTGATGGTGAGTGGGATGCAAAGCTGCAGACATTCCAAGCAGTAATGGGCTAGAAAGCTCTGACCAGTGCAAGCCTGAGCCATAGAGATCATGCGGGATGCGAGAATTCGGACACCAGTGCACAGGAATAGAATGGCCTGATACAGCGAGCGGCGGTTACGCGAGAAATCTGGGGCAACAGTGTTGGGTGGAAGAGGAGGCTCGGTGTCTGGTATTTCGTCATTAGCATCCCTCCAAGACCACCAGAGAATGACCAGGGTGATTGTTAGAAGACAACACCACTCATCAGCCTTCTTGAGGGATTGGTTTTCACCCAGCTGATGTTGGACAAAGATAAGAACTAAGTCGGCTATCAAGGCAAACACATACATTTTTCGGCAGTCGAGTGACGTGGCTAGGCCATCTTACAGCATTAATTATATCTTCAAAGTGTCGCTTCAGAGAATTGACGCCACCCATGCCCGAGAGCATATATCCACCAAACAACACACACATAAATAGGTGCGAAATGATTCCTTGATCAATCAAGATGTAGGCATGTCAGAATGAAGAAATAGACACATACCAAGGAAGATACAGTGCATAAAGTCAAGAGCTGACTTTCTCAATGGTAACCAGCCTGAAATGACATTGAGAATGCTAAATCTAACTCTGTGGTCTCGCAAGATTGCTTCTTGGCGAGCGGGAGTAGCATCCTTAGAGTAGAAGCTCTGACAAAGCATATGATAATTGTCTTTGTTGGTCCATGCTACGCACCAAGTCAATGGGGATCATGTGTGTGAAAGTTCACTTACAATTGTTGTAGCCTTCGGGAGTATTGATTTTGACGATGTCGATGTCACAAAACGCACATGGATGGAAGTCGTGACTGTGTCCAGCTGTTCCGTTACATTTATGCAAGGCAGGCATATCGCAAGTGAGGGCTTCATTATCTGCGAATACATCTGCAAGATCTTCTTCTCCGTAAACATCCATTTTGACCCCTAGATAAGTTCAAACAGTGAGCATACAATTAGCATTTAAGACTTTGCACCATTCTTGAGTTCCATCAGCTCATGAGTAGATGGCTCTAAACAATGGTTGATTTGAACTATGTTTGGCTCTTTTGGACCCAGCATAATTGCTGCGCATATGACGTTGACTTGTAAGAATTGTTGATCTCGTGGGAGGTCATTGATAGCATAGTAGATAGGGCCGCTAGAGTGGGGCCGATTTTCGAGTATTCCCATCCTACATCACGATTATGTCAAATTAAGTGTTCAGCGAGTGCAAGTACAATGTTTAAACTCACCAGTCAATATTCAAGGTCAAATGCAGGCCATATCGATGTTTGGTAAGCTTCGTTGTTGCTGGTTGGTTATCCTGAGGGCGGTCGCAGATGGTACCTAATTCACCAATCTCGTGGACAGTATTTGTCTCGAGTTCATGCCATAACATGCCATTGTGCATATCGGTCATGACATAGTCTTCGTCTTCGTTTTGTCCTCAACGATCTTGTTGGCTGTCTTGAACTGATTTTGTGAAACCAGGTCACATGAACATGTGGCAAAGGCTTCCGATGAGAGATATGTGTGGCATGATCTTTTTGGAGGTTCGGACACGCTTGCCTTTCACATCAGTATGTTTGTCGTATAGTACTCCTTCGCAGTCTGGCACAGTACACTCAGGAGATGGAAGCTCCTTGACCTGAGCAGGAGTAAAGTGCTTCCAGCACTCGGGGCATATCGCATATTGGGTGATCCACTGGTCAGCATCAATGCCAAGTCGACGCTTCACACTGAGGAGATGGCGGATGGGACGTGGATGCTTGGGTAGTACACCTTCAAGTAGCATACAATTTAGCTGATTGTTGAGAGCATCTGTTGTAGCTTGTATGCTTTGCTTTCTGAAGACATTACCAATGACTGTGTTGAGATAGGCAAGGCGGACACCTGGATGTTCTTGGAAGGCTTGTGGAATGAGAGATGGTCAGTCCTCTTGATCCTGGTCACTGCCAGGAACTCGCACGTCAGGCCATGCCACCAGACAGAAGTTGAAGTCTTGGAGTTCCTGGATAGGTGCTTGTCGTTCTGCTGGATATTGAGGCTGCTCTTCCGCACATTGGTCATCCATAGGCTGAAACTCGAAATCATACTCATCCTCTCTGACTTGAGGTGGAATCTCCAGTCTCTCTCGACGGTCGGTACCCTCAGAGTCAGATGATGACCTGGATGTATCGTTCATTGAATTTGCACCTGCATCAGCATTGGTATCGACACCCGGTGGTTGCAAGACAGGGGGGCACTTCTTCGCGTGCTTCATAAAAACCTGCTGTGTCTGGTACATGAATCCGTCTGGATGCTGCGAGCAGCGCGCACAGCTGCATTTGTAACGATGTGTTGACATGGTCAGCTACAGTGCTCGAGGGATGATGAGCTCGATGACGGCACTATATAGCGAGGGACTTAGTGATTATAATATTAATACATATGGTTTATTTCGAGAGTCTTTGAGAATACACAGGCTGTTATTTTGAATTGGGTAATATGTGGATACAATTTCGGGAATTCTGAAAATATGAGAAATTATCCTAGCACCGTATTTTTCGTGTTTGTGCTGTGTGCATTGCAGTGTGGGTACCATATTTCCACACATATCACTGTTCTGTTGCCATTGTCGCGTGTATTTGAATGCAATAAAAAAATGTTGAGGCTCAATTTTTGAAAATCATCCATTATTGGGGTGATATGCGCGAAGTGACACGTTGATCTCGACGAGTTTTGAACCATTTAAAATTTTGGCCTCAACATTTTATTCCTAGGCTATCACACAGTATTTTGGTCTACTTAGATTGCTCAAAAAGAATACGGTACCCAGACGTCTGTGCCGCCTCTTATTGAGTTATTTGGGCGTCTAATGCCCGTGGGAATGCACACTTTGTTGGTGGGTGTTGCCTACCACCAGAAAGAAAGGTATGCATATACTACGATGTTGACGGGTTGATTTCCAACAATCCTGACGTCCATCATGTCATAAATAGAAGTCGTGTCCTTGACTCGTGCGATGATATTGGAATCCGACGCGATCCTCCTGTACTCTCCACCACGCTGCTGCACTAGCAGAAACTTATATTCCATCGAAACCTCTCTCATAGTAGCAAACCAGCAGATGTGTTGCATCAATCGCTGTACTCTAAGGCACGCTAATTTAAGATAGGTCAGTAACAGTTCTTCTTGAAGTTCCAACTCTCATCTTTTCTCAGATTTATTTGTTTCCTACTACTTGGCTCTCAACTTCAACCTGCCACTAGAATCTCCCTGAGTATGGATCCTCTCTTGTGCTGCACGACTCCAGAATGCTGGACCGTCGCTGGTCCACTCTCCACTCTCTTGGATGCCGAGGCTCTTGGAGACTTGGAGTTAGTCATTGCTGCACCGGGGTATGTTCTACCGTTCAGGTGCACATTTTTGTTGAGTTATATTCCACATGTAAGTGTAACGCATCCCACAGGACACATTTTTGACCCAACACCAACAAATACCAGCACCATTATTCCCTCAGCACCAACCAGCACCCACGAGATTCACGCCGCCCACAACACCAACATTCATAATTCTGCCCACCGCACCAGGTGTTCACCCTTGAGCCACGTCAATAAATGCTAACAGCATCAAAATGCGAACGCATAGCATGTTGGAGGAAGAGATGGAGGGAGGAAACTAGAGAGAGGAAGGAGGGGACTAGAGAAAGGAAGGAGGTTAGAAAGGACAGAATCTATGGCGCAAGTGAGTACTGACTTTTGCAGCCCCCAGTACAACCCCACACTGCCAGGTTCTGCCAGTACACTATTGAGAACCTTCTGCCATCTGCCTGGCAAAACCGGTATTGCCAAAGCCGTTGGCAGAACTCTGCCGTTCTGCCCACAACACTACCTGCACCCAACATCGGTATACCACGCCCAGCGCTGACGTTAGTGCTGGCCACGTCATCTGCCACATCAGCACTAATGCAACCACCACCACCGCCAACATCAGCGCTACTCTCAGTTCCCAGCATGCATCTTCTCACCCACGACACCAACACTACTGATCCATCAGCCCAATGCCCAACTCCATTCAACCCGCATGCTCTGCAATGCAGGCATGCAGCAGCACAACACTGGCAGCGAATGCTGATGCAGCGCATAACTTCACGTGTGTCATTGCGAGTCTCACAGGCAACATATGTCGACAATGCTCGACGAGTGTTTGTGATTTGCGACTGGAGTGCGCACAATATATTTTTTCCAAGCATATTAAGTATATAATATGTTACACTGTTTGTAGTGGCTAATTCTATGTTGTTTCACTATGTGGTACTCACTGGGTAAACCCTGTACCTGGGTACGGGTCCGAGCTTGTCATACCTGCAAAAAAACCTGTACCAGGACCTACCTGTTCTAACTGGGATTTTGCCGGTTGCGGGTGCGGGTATGGCCTCCGTGACCCCTAGCACTGGCTCACTCTACTATGAGATCCATTCACGATTGAATCGAGATCATGCGAACACCCGCAGTTCATATAACTATCTAACTACTAAGGCTATATGTAATAGTGATCACCGCAGAATACTGATGTATCACCTCAATGGATAGCTTAGCGATAGGATGTATTGGAATTTTAGGCTTACGAACCATTATGATATATCTATTATCCACCCTACACAATCAGGTGGGTCTGATGCAAAGACAAGTTGCTGGCCGTCAGGCGACCATGAAACACTTGGAACCCAATTACTGTGAACTTTGATCAAGAAAAGAAACTCGGTGTTATCGGTGCGCCAAACCGAGATGATACCTTCCGCTGATCCGGAGGCAAATTTTAAGCCATCGGGGCTGTATGCGACACTCCACACCGAATTACAATGACAACCGGGTATTGCGAGGACAGTACCAGTCTCCGCATTACATACGACAACTGTGTTATCACTCACTTCGCTAGTGAGACTTTTACCATTGGGGGAGAAGCACACTGAGTACACAGGGCCTCTATGTTTCACCAGTGGATCACGTACTTTCTGCTGGCACTTGGCGTCCCATATTGATGATGGTTTTATCGTACCCACCACTTGCAATTTGTTTGTCGTCTGACGAAACGGCGACTGATGATGTCATTCCCTTGTGCCTCTGGAATGACCCTCCTACCAATCTTCCTTTCTCCACGTCCGACATTTGCAGGGTGTCGTCCATGGAACCAGTGACAACCCGCCATGTTAGAGTCCGAATGATCTGAGGGATCAGTGACAAAGAAAGCCGAATGATCCGAGATAGTAGAAGAGAAAGAGTGATAAGTCCAAGCCCAAGCCAAAAGGGACTTTGACGAGCGATGCACTGACGTCGGCTCGTGTCCTACAATATGTTTTCCTTTTCCGTTCTGATATATTCCATTTCTATACAACTTACTATATAAACGCCAGCAGTAGCACAAGCGCATCTCAGCTTCTTTCAAGAGACTGAGATGTGAGTTATTAGTATCGTTATATCGATTAGAAAACTAAACTAACGAGTCATTAGTATACTTGATTTATTAGGTACATAGCTCGTTATACCGAGCTTCTTTCAAGAGACTGAGATTATACTTGTTTTATTAGCATGCGGTCAGCTCCCACTTGTTATAACTCACCACACGCCGTTCATCTTTTAAGAATGCAACTGCCTGCACATTGCCCATGTGCCCTTGCATCGTCCGCGTTGGTGTTGGCGTCGCGCCTCCTCTCACAGTAAGGTATACTTTTTTTGCTTCATTAAGCACCCTTGACATGTCGTTAACCTAGACAGCAAGATAGATTGTCAGTATCATTTGAAGTTGACAAGGAGCTCACAGTAGGGATATGGCTGCATTGTGGCTCTCACGTGTGGTGAGTAGCATCGGGTTTCTCCTCAACATCCAACTCGTGTAGGCGCTTAGGTGTGGTTTTGGTCAACTTTTTGTTGTACTAATTACCACGCTGCCAGCCTGTTACTTACGGTAGTGAAGCTGCTCGAGAGGGCATCCATTTTATTCATCGACCGTCATATGTGCGCCGGTCAACTCTGTGATTCTACTCAAGTCATCTTTCATCATGCTTTGTAATGTGCCTTGCAAGATAACGAAGGCCTAGAATGATCACTGGGTGCTGATCTGCTATCAATGAGATGTTTATATGTACATCAGGCAGCGACTGATGCATCTTGTCGGTGTATGCTGATTTGCCTGCTTGCCCGTATGATAATGATCTGTACCTCATGGACAAGCTTTCCGTGGTCCCCATCAAGATTCAACATCATCTGCGCTGGCGCTAGATTGGGTGTTGAGTCATGACAGTCTCCCCCTCCCCATTGGTATCGACGAGAGGCTTGATTAATTCCAATAACCATTGTCAGCGAACGCATTTGATCCAGACACGCCTCCAAGGTTGTTCAAGTGACATTTTATACGCTACGGTAAGCAGGGATCTGGCTTCTTCGGTTCGGGTGATGTTTCATCAATTCTATATGCACAGGCTCCGATTTCTTGCGATTATGCTTGCCGTGTCCACCGCACTCGGTAGCAATTATCAAGTACATGGACACGGCAAGTGCAAGGTCACTTATGTAGGTTACATTCAGCACCTTTGATGATGATTATTGACTGAACAACAGTATAGAAAGGTCTAAGTGGGTACGGCAGGCCTCAGTGGATCATAGTCACTTCGAGCTGAGAGCCCAAGAGTCTACAGCGCTACCACGGTGGACACATGGATTCAATCGATGGTAGACATCTTGTCACCTATAGCTTGTGTAATAGTCAGTCCAATGGACTAGATGACTTGAATCCCGACCTGCAACCTTGAGAGCCGTTGCCATCCCCGAAAAAGAAGGCCCGACTGTCTTCTTTCTGTAGGGGTGACTATTGCCATGCTCCTTTTCTGGCAAACAATCAAGTTCCTGCCTGACTCATAGTTGTCCGCAGGCACTTGGCCTGTATGGACGCTGCGCTCCTCTCATATGGTATTGAAGCAGAAGTCACCAAAGTCACCTACATAGACTGAGCGTACATCGAGCTGCGATGGCTGGACCTTCCCCTGCTGTATGGGAACAGTCACAAATCAACCAAGTGCTACAGTCTGTCATGCACCCTGCGTCTAACGAACTTTCCTTGAAATTGAAGTGTCCTTTGTCGCCTTCCAATCTATACCAGCACAAGCAAATCAAATCATCTGAGCCAGATGATGAGATTATCGTTGTTGAAGACCCTGATGAGACGCGCGAGAATGGCGAGATATCAAGTATTTCTTCAAGTCAATTGCAGTCATTCACGCTTGATCCTGCCCAGGTCGTGAATAACTGTCAGCTCAGTATCTCTAGTAGAGTACAGTGGGTATTCTCCTGCTATACGGATCGTGCGAGCTCAGTGACTGTACTCAGGTGCAAGCAAGATTACCAAATACTGTATTTCCCCACGACCGCTCCATCCCCCATCGAGGCACGTAACAACCAGAATTGTTTCTGATCATTCTGCCAGATTCTACCTCCAATCGAAGGTCCGCCAGGCATATCCATTCTGCCAAACTGATTAGCAGAACTGCCGAGTTCTGCCCACAATACTACTGTCATGACTTAAGGGGAAGCCGTCTTTCTAGTGTTGCCCCAACTCAGAGTCAGCATTCGAGACCTCCCTTGACAGAGTCCATATCACCTCGCACAAATCATGTGTTTCTCCTTCCATGCTGTTGCCGTCGCTTTGGCAGCATCTATGTCTGTCAGTGCATGTAGATCCCAAGGCGACTCTTGCAAAACCTCGACAGATTGTTGTCACGAATTCACTTGTGTGAGTATGAGTAGTTTGCTTCGAATTCAGGGTTCACTCACCTCTTGCAATATTGACAGGCTAGCGATGGTATCTGCATTTATGAATTTGCAGTCTGAATGACATGCGACAGTAAGTCATGTCGTCTGCTTTCCCATTGGTGCTGTGGTTGATGGTACAATGCATAGTTTCTCGCTGAGTTGAACAATACAGGTATTTCTAGAGTCTGGAAAATATCACTGCCACTTGAGCCATGATAGAGAAACATGTCAGGTAGTCAGTATGAAATCAATTTGGCAGTCGGAAAATAGGGGGTTCACCATGGCTTGGAATTCTCCCAGCCACAACCACAAGGAACTTGATTTTAGCGACATAAAGAAGTTGTAAAATGATCATCCGTGATGGTTTGGAACACGACATAAGCTACTGTTATTTCAGGAAATAAAAAAACGGATTTGGCCTCAATGTCCTGCCATCCTTGCCCGACTTTTGGCAATGTACTCACTCTCTACTACAGAGTAGAGCTCAACAATGCGTAGGAGGTTCTGCTGGAAAATGGTATCATAAAGTGCTGCAAGATGCAAGCGAGCGGTGGGGTCCAATGATAGTTCTATGTAGCAATAAGTCAGCAATGAGTTGTGCGAAATGAGCATAGTGTACTGTGTTTGTGGTCCTGAAGGTCCTTCTCAAAATCAGCCAGGTTCCGGTTCTGATGTGCAAGTGCTATGGCACGCATGCTCTCAATCTCATGGAGCTGAGCATACTTCACCACGAGCTTGATGGAGAGGAGTGACATTATATCTTCAGGCTGGAACGCACATTCAGGATGACTAGCGAATTAAAATCACCAGGCCAGGTAAGTGGATGTGACTTCCACGTGAAGGTCCAGTAGATATGTTGCTCAATGAGGAACAACGAGATTTGTGCCCAACAGGGCGCAGAAGCAGTGCCTGTTCGTATACAGAGATAGCCTCGTCGAGGTCATGAAATGTACCTTGGTGACCAAAGTGGTAGATGAGTGAGACGGCCAACTCATAACTCATTTGAAGTGTTCCGATGACTTCTCCACTGCCTATGGCATTCAGTCAACCTCCAGGACAAAATTGCTAACCCTCAATTACATAATTTTGGAATAATCACGGTTTCATTTCGCCAAAGCCACTGTGACATTGTCTTTGCTTGCCTCATCGAATTATGATGCTCACCCCTCAAGGCCTCATACACCACCAGCACAGAGTTCACAAATGTTACTGCCAGATACAGCTCCAGTCCCTCATCATACCTTACGAACTGATTATCGCACGGGGGATCTGAAACTAGGCCACATTGCTGTTCTCGCTGATTTGAGAAGGTATCTGCAGGTTCCATTCGATTGCCTCATGAAATGTGTTGGTGCCATGCCCTCTCAGCAAGATCTGCAGTGGATATGCCACAACTTGACAGAGTGCAAGATTCTCACCGACAACGAGAGTGGCTTGCAATGGACGGACTTTACCCCACCTGCCACATCGAAAGGGTCTGAAGAGAATGTGTTTAAGCCCCTCGGTCGCATCATCATTGAAATTTTGGTACAAGTCCCGAATAGTGCAGTGTCCTTCCTAGCGAACCCAAATGGAACACCCCTCTCGCAGTGCAACAATACTTTCAGGCCTGATGGATACCTTGTACTTAGCAACAAAAAAACTGAGCCCAAGATACATTGGTTCAATATTGCTGTGCCATTCGAGTTCAAGAAGGGATGGGATATTTGTTACAGTAACATGAGCGTTACGCGTCATTTCATTCTTTGGACTCGTCTAGACCTGGACCATGGTTATGATTCTATTTCTGCCTTTCTCCTTTTGATCTTGTTGTTCTGAAATGCGAGAAGCTCTCGCTTCTACCCCTAGATCAGAGAAGCCTCGCCTTCTACCGAACCCTATGCCCTTCCCACTGTTTTGGTTCTCTCATTGATGGGGATTCCCCATGCCCTTTGCCCTTACTGTTCAACCGGTACTTCTTACCTCTTTTTACTTATGACTCACACAACCCTTGACCCTTACCACTGACTCGGTATTGCCTCCGCTTACCCTGTACCCTTACTGTTCCACCGGTATATCACCCTTACGTATATATATCTCACTTGTACTGTAGATAGATTCTCTAACTTGAATCTACTCGGTTCTCATCTGATACTTGTCTTTGGGTCTGAACTTCTCTTACCTAAGAGAACTCCCTCTGTACAAAGAACCATCTTCTCTTGAGACGATACTCTTGAGTTGAACTCCGTCTCTTGGATCATATCCTTGAGAAACTCCAATCGACTCTACGTAAGTAAGGGTCTCAACCCTTACTCAGACTTAGTGCAGACAAGCTCCTTGCTGGGCTAGTGCTGAAGGCCACACTTTGAACACCCCTTGCAGGTTTAGCACTGCCAGATCTCATCCGAGAGGTTTAGCGTAACAATATTGAGTCTCTCCGAGATGTAAGTTGTTACAGATCTTGTCAGCATCTGCTCACAAAGCCTGCTCTAGGACAAACAGAAGATAATCTGGAGCCTTCACAGTATCATGCGCGAGGATCTTCTTCGTCGGTTTGTGTTCAGTATCACAATCGAGGACATGCAATTGAGACTGTGGCTCAGCAATCATGCATTCCTTGCAGTTACAGAACCTATCGACATCTTCAAGGTACGCAAACGTATCGCGCTGTGTGTCAGGGTGCTAACAGGCATGGTACATCTAGAATATCGATGGTGTTATCTTGCTCTTTTACGCTCTTGGATCTGGATCTGTGTCTTCTACTATGAAAGAGCTCGGATGGGACCCTACTGTCAAGTGGATCTGTGATGGGAAGGATTTCCAATACAAGTTCACTATCGGGGACGAAGTGTTCACCACAACACGTGAACTTGCAACCTATGGTGCAGACTCTATGGTTGGGCGTGGAACTCGTGTGTACGAAGCCACAGACGCCAAGGGAAAGAAGGTTGCCATCAAAGATTCATGGAGAGAAGTTGAACGTCAATCAGAGGGGCGGAGGAGTTGGCGGATGCCGAGAGGCACTTCATTGGAGTCTGGCTCTGGAAGGATGTTATAATCAACGATACCCGAGACAAGACGCTGGACCCGATGGTTTCAGGAGAGCATAATCGTACCTGGGAGTGGGTGTCCATCAATTCCAATCCCATCCTCTCCATGAGACCACATTTACCTAGCACAGGCGACGTACCCGACTCTGGTTGGCTGTCTCCCCTTCTTCCCACACGATTGGGCAGTATTGCACGAAATGACACTGGCATCCCACGCAGAGTCCATACTTGCACTGTGTTCCATGATGTCAGAGTTGCTGTCAATGATGTCACCTCTTTGGCCGACATTCTGAGTTGCTTGTTAGGCGCGCTCAAGGGTGAGCAAACCACTGTCACTCTCCTTTCCTCAGTCACTCATTCAACCTTAGCCTTGCAATATATGCACAAAGCAGGCTGGGTTCATCGCGATTTCAGCATCGGGAACACAATTTGGGTTGGGGGTATCGGGAAATTGGGTGACTTCGAGTACGCGAAAAAGATAGATTCAAATACTTCTCATGATGTTCGAATGGTAAGATTTTTTGAAGATGATCTCTTTCATTGTTAACTCGTCGACAGGGAACAATGCATTTCATGGCGCTGGAAGTAGAAAGCCAGAAATACCTTTTCTGCTCAGATCCCGACTCCCTCCCATTCAATACAGACCTCCCGTCCGACATTCCATTTCACATGAATTTCCTGCACGACATCGAATCCATATGGTGGGTTTTTACCTGGATCTTCTTTTATCACATGGACACAGAATCAGCGAACACCGGCCATTCCTTTGATACTCAGTGGGAACAATTCCAGTTGGCCTTCCCTGGTGCGGTCGGCTGTGCATCACGCTGGCACTTCTTTAACAACTTAAGAAAACTCCATAAGAGCTGCCAAACTGTCCTTTCAAAGACGTGCTTTGATGTTTGCCATCATATCCCTCATTTCGCAAAAGCTCTCCAAGATGGCTATCGAAAGGTGGAGGCAAATTATCCCGAGCTAGCGCTTGACGACACTCTTCTGGAAGATATGCACGGAAGAGCTGCAGAATTTCTCCGCGATGCACGAGAACGTGCTGGAGTTATACAACTTTGTCTGCTCCCCAACTTCCAGAAGCAGAAGAGGCCCAGGCCAGGAGATGAGACATTGCCTCCGCCAGGGAAGAAGCCGCAACATGATTGATTTTCTATTGTTTGTATGAGAAAGAACCAGGAGATGGTAGCTTGGCGTTTTGTAGCTGTGACTTCGTGGTTACAAATAATAGGAATGTTCATATTATTTCCTTCATCACACCCGGTTACATGACCTACAAACACCGCACCTTCAATCTTGAAGGCAAAATTAATGCTCAATGGTCTTGAGAACTCGGCACAGACAGCCGTCTCAGGATCCAAAACAAGCTCCATTGCTGCGGATATTACTCACCCTTCGTCGAAGCCACTATCTCCCAAACCTGTTACACCCACTCCATTCTCCCAGGGTGCAACAAAGCCTACATCAACTTTGAGAAACACGTCTTGTACATCTGGTACACAATCACTTTCTCCCTCGTCCCACTCCAGTTCGTCATCATGCTTGAAGGCCTCTTGTGCTCAAGGCTCAGCATGTTAAATCTAGACAGAGTTAGATCTATCGTAGGTAAATTATTAGAGTCTGAAGGTAATCAAGAAGAGAGATAAAGAAATGTACCCTCAGTTGTGTGTGTAACAGACTGAGGGAAAAGGAAAACAAACATGAACCACTATATATAATGTCCGTTTGGTATTCTAAAGTGTTGCGCTCGTCATGTGCACGTAACATGCGCTAACACTCCTCCTCGACGCGACGCGTGCTCCTCCTCGACTGATTCACTGTAATCCAAGGTAAGCGCGTAGGCGAGTGTAGTCTGGTTTTGCTAGAGCATTGGTGAAGATATCCGCAAGGTTTTCTTTAGATCACACGTAATGTAGTTTGAGTTGTCGCAAGGATACCCGTTCATGAATGGAGTGATAGGCCATATCAATGTGTTTAACTTGAGCGTGGAAAGAGTTGTCTTCGGTGAGTACGATAGCACCATTGTTGTCGCACATGAGGGGGGAAGCGGAAGATTGGGTAAACTCGAGTTCGTGAAGGACGGTGCAGATCCATTTAATTTCTTTTCTGGTCTCGGATGTGGCGACGTATTCAGCTTTGCAGGTGGAGAGGGCAACTGTCTTCTGTTGACGTGCGCTCCATGTGATGAGTCCGCTTCCGAGTGAGCAGCAATATCCGCTGACTGAGCGGCGTGTGTCGATGCAACTGGCGAGGTTGCTATCAGTGTATGCAAGGAGTCGTGCGGTGTGTTCCCCACCAAGGACAAGACATAATTCTCGGGTACCCTTGAGGTAGCGGACAACACGTTTAGCGGCTTCCCAGTGTACGCACCTGTAGCTGTTGAGAAATTTGCAAAGTTGTTGGACAGCGTAGGATATGTCGGGACGGGTACCGATTGCGAGATACATGAGGGAGCCGATGAGAGAACGGTACAGGGTACGAGCCATGAGGTCGTGTTCGGTATCATTGCGGGGGGAGTGGTCTCAATGGGACAGGTGAAGGCCAGGTTCCATAGGTATCAGCACAGGGACTGCATCCTTCAAGCCAAATTGTGTGATGATGTGATCAATGAGGGCAGTTTGGGAAAGTGAAATGGTGCGGGCGGTGCGATCGTGTTCAATAGCAATACCTAGACAAAAGTGTGCTTCGCCAAGTTCAGACACTTGCCATTTAGTGTGGAGTTGTGCCTTGAAGTCGGTCAGAGCAGCCTTAGAGCTGCTAATGGTGAAGAAGTCGTCAACGTGAACTGCGATGAGGAGAATACCGGCGTTAGTCCATCGGAAATAGATACAGTGCTCACTCTTTAGCCATTTAAAGCCCCAGGATAGCATGGTGGCATTGAGAGTGCGGTTCCAAACAAGGCCGCCTTGTTTCATGCCGTATAGGCCCTTCTGTAGCTGCCAGACATGGTCCTCAAAGCCAGGTTCCACAAAACCCTCGGGTTGCTCCATATAACACACCTCGTCGGAGTCGAGTAGACCGTACAGGAAGGCCGTTTTAATGTCAAGTTGTTCAATTTCCCAGTCAAGGGCTGTGCCAAGGTGAGCTAGGATGCAAAAGGATTCTAAGCGGGCGGTATGTGCAGAGGTTTTGGTGTAGTCCTCCCCCCAAACGGCAGAGTAGCCGCGACAGACATACTGAGCTTTGAAACGAGCAGGCGCCCCGTTCTGATCGCGCTTTAGTTTAAATACGGGATGACCCTTCATCACCTTTCGGCTGGTAGGAACAGTAGAGCGAGGAACGAGTTTATAGACACCTAGGTCATGGAGCGAAGCAAATTCCTCTCACATGGTGTCAGTCCATTGTTCAGCATGCTCAGAGCCCATAGCCTCGGCGTAGGTGGTGGGGTCAGTGGGGTGCTCGTGTTTGAAGTTGTTGGGCATTGCAGCGAACACTTCAGTGAGGTAGGCAATTTCGACTTCGAGATCCTTGAGTTCTGTGTCAGTGGCATCAGCGGATAGCGCGAGATCTGGTAGACTGTCAGAGGAACTGTGCTCAAGGGCCTGCAAGCGCTCGTTAGCCACCAGTGAGGCTAAGATGGTGTGCTGAGCAGCAGGTACATAGGGTATCCCATTTGCAGCACAGCGACGTTCAGACGGGACAGGGGCGCAAGCAGAGCGATGAATGGGAGGTGTATCCGAGGAGTCAAGAGGTGCAGGGTCAGGAATGGGGTGAGGAAGTTGAGTGGGGGGGGGGGGGGGCGCCGGGACAGCGAGCTCAGGGGCAGGTGGTGGTGGCACATCAGGCCGTGAAGAAGCAGGTGGATTGTCAATAATGCGCCCGGGGTGTAAGGAGGTAGGGCTGCCGTTGTGAGATTCAATAAAAGACACATGATAGGATACGAAAACCTTGTGTGATTCACGGTGGTAGCACCTGTAAGCCTTCAAATCAAGGGAATACCCAATGAGGATACATTCAACAGAGCGATTGAAAATTTTGGGGTTGTGCCGATTCTGAATAAGGACAAAAGCGCGGCAGCCGATTTCACGCAAGTGAGACAGATCAGGCTTGCGAGCAAACCAGCACTTATAAGGGGTATGACCCGTCTGCAAAGCTACTGGGGTGCGGTTAGAGAGATAGTTGGCGGTAAGCACGAACTCATCCCAGTGATTCGGTGGGACACCACAGGCTGAACGCATAGCGTGGGCCTTGCCCATAAGAGTGCGATGAAGGCGCTCAATATGCCCATTCTGAGCAGAGGTATGAGGGGCGGTGAATTGGTGTTGAGTGCCGCGTGATAGGAGCCATTCTCGCATGGTCGCGGCCTTGAGCTCTCCATTGTTGGAACAAAAAATACCGACCTTAGAAGAGGTTTCAAGTTCTCACGTGCGTTCCCAAGCTTGTAGGGCGGGAAAAGTGTCAGCCTTTGAAGCTAGAGGGATGGCCCAAGAATAGGACGAAAAATCGTCAATAATGTCCATGATGTAACTATTGCCAGCCGCAGAAACAGTGTCCGGATGCTCCATTAAGTCAACATGCACTATGCCCAGCTTACGCGTTGCTCGTTCCCCCTCCCTGACCTTCGGGACATGAGTCCTGGTCTGTTTGCCAAGGATGCAATTGTCACAAATGGGAGGAAGGGAGGAAAGATCGATGGGCATACCGGTAGCATTACCAGAGCGCGCTAAGTCGTAGACAGCGCAGTAATTAGCGTGGCCGAGCCGGCGGTGCCATGATTCGAGAGTAGGTTGGCGATGAGCAAGGTAGGCATGGTTGGCGGACAACTGGCCACCAGAAAGCGCATAGAGACAATGGGAAGTGAGTGACCTGGTGAGCATGCGAGTTCCACTGGGGCCTGGACCCAACAAGAGGTGTCGTCGAAAGACGCCACGCAACGGTGCACAGAACAGAGAGCAGACACCAACAACAGACACACAGTGGCATTAGGAATGAACAAGACATGGTCCAGCATGAGGTGGATGCCCTTGGCAACGATGAGGTGAATGGTCCCAACAGCAACTGCCTGAATGGATGAGCCCCCAACACCGCTAACGGAGCGCGGAGGGATAGGGCGGAGAGAGTAAAAGTCAGATTCAGTGTTGCTGATATGGACGGACGCCCTGCTATCATATAATTCACGGGGACTGGTTTTGTGGCTGTGTGTGGGAGACGCATAGCTCACTAAAGGCCACATGGGAACGCTTAGCTCGCTTAACCTCAATTTAGAAATTTCGCGTGGTTCTGTCAATCGGAGTTTCAATTTCCAAAAACCGTTTTCCCTTACTATACGACCTCACTGTCCAAAATTGGTTATATGTAAAAATTGAGCCACAACAAGGGATTTTGGGATAGAAAAGAACACCAAGCAAATAGAAAAATGTGAAAACAACAATGATGTATATATGTACTGTAATTCTGTATACATAAAAATGGGAAAAATGCGAAAATATAAAGATAGGAAAAATGGGCAATGGGTAAACATGGGAATGGGAAGGTGGAGAATGGAGAAATGGGGTGAATGGGGAGATGGGAGGAGGAGGACGGGAGGATGGGAGAACAGGAGAACAGGAGAACAGGAGAACAGGAGAACAGGAGATAGGAAAGCAGAAAATAGGACAGAGACACGGGAGAATTTTTTGGGAAGGGCAAGAGTCAACAGCAAGACACAAACAGTGAGACTGAAGTTTACCTGGGACACTGGCTTGCATCCCGTGGCCTCGTACCTCGGCCAGCAGGATGCAAGCCAGTGTCCCAGGTAAACTTCAGTCTCACTGTTTGTGTCTTGCTGTTGACTCTTGCCCTTCCCAAAAAATTCTCCCATGTCCTCTGTCCTCAGAACTAAAATAAAAGTATATAGTATTTTGTAAATGTAAGATTTAATACAAATAAATAATATGTAGACATGTGCCGAAGGCACAATGGGTGTGGGCTAGTCAAGGAAGAAGGGGAGGACAGATGGGTCCACGATGGTGCGTGCACGCTGGTTGGGGGCCTTGTAGGTGATGCCAGCAAAGTCCACAGGCTGGGTGTGAGAACGCCAGTCGACACTGGTGTCAAGGGAGCCAATAGCAATGAAAAGGGCGTTGTACTCGTCGCAATCTGCGTCGGGGAGCTCGCTAATGAAGGCAGATGAAATGCTGTCGTATGCTAGGCCAGCGAATTCCTTCGTG